GGTCATCGTTCCTCGTTCTCGTGTACTCTTGCCTTTTTTCTTGAGAGAATAAGCTTATTTTATCTGTTCTTGACTTATACTGTGAAAGAGCACTGTATTGTGAAAGACTGTGATCTTGGCCGCCGACCCTGACCGTCAAGCCAGGCTTCACCACTCAAAAAAATTCCCGATTTCCCACCACAACAATTCCACACTTTTTCCAGAAAATCGACATAGTGCAAAGACAGATGCAAAAAGAGAGTCAACTGTGTTTAGGAATAGCCGAAGGCGGGGCTCGAACCCGCGACCTTGAGGTTGTACTTTATCAGATGATAAGAGCCACACGCTCTACCGATTGAGCTACCCCGGCAGGTCTGATGATCAAGTTCACTGAGTGAACTGGCTGTTGACGATGGAGGGTGCTGAGCTTGTGTAGAGTATATGCCCTTGGACTCCAACAGGGTGAGCGTCGCTCCAAGCTAGCGTTAACCCCCAAATGTAATCGTCTACAGTATGCAGACAATAGCGGAGGTGGGCTTTGGTCCGTCTTGAGAAGGGCCGTCGAGTTTTGCCGCCGATTTCGTCGCTTTGGGCTCGATCTTGTGGTTAGGGATGTTCAGGTTAGAATGAGATATTGTCACGACATGGAGATTTCTATCATCCTTGAAGACTACAAGCTCTATCGGCTGACTTATTGCATACTTTGCCGAATTGGCCCGGTATAACATGCTGAATGTATAGTAAGTCTGGAGATTGTATGGGGTATGTGCTATTAGCATGTACATATGATACGCATCTGCGTCTATTCTTGGGCCCGAACGAAGGTTTCTCGGAGTATGAGTACGTGGCGATGCAGATGAGATCTGGTCTTGACTTGACACAAAATAGGAATCAACCCGCGAAGCCCTATGTACCTTTTTTGGTAAGTTGTCTGCAGAGTAAATCTTGCAGAGCCCTTCAAGGGGATGTGGTCGTTTAGAGTTTGGTCTGTGTAAAGTTTGGTGTCAGTTGCTTGAGCTTTGGCTTGCGGCATTTGAATTGCTTCGGTAGATTCCAAAGTCTATACCTATGCACGCGCGTTCATATTATTCAGATACTGCACAGAAACGTGGCTTCCTGACTTTTAACAATGTGTACGATGCATGTTTCTCAAGGAGTGACGGTCGCTTGTGGAACGAGCGGACGTCGCCGGCAAGGCAGGTGTCTTGGAGTTCGTTCAGGGACAGGGTCCTGCCATTGACAGCTACAGCCAACGCCGACATCGTTCGTCTGGAAGCCGACGCAGAAACTTCTACGCTCGGTCCCACAAGCTAGTGCCCAAAGACTCATGTCCGCCACGTGCGAAAGCAGCGGGTTTGACGCGGGGACGGCCACTAAATATTTGGCAGCAAGCACGACCCAGACCATCGGCGCAATGGAGATGTAAAAAGCGGTCCCAACGAGTAAAGAGAGGCACGGGTCAATTTACTTGCACGCTATGCTTCGATGCGGTAAGATGATGATGGAACCCGTTTGCGACAGTTCAAATTTTTCTGAAATCATATTGAAATGATGTAATTCCATGGATTGGGCGCTTTTCCGAGAAGCATCTCGTGTGCCTTGCGCAGAGAATCGGACGAGTATGGGCGAGCAGAGCGACCTCTTCACATCTCCTACATTAGCTTGTAGAGTGTCGCAATAATGGCTGTAAGTCACGGTCGGTTTGCGGCCAGATTGCATTGCATGTTGCTCAGTTGTCGGCGTGAACATTTCCCACTCACTGGCCAGCATCTGAAAAACAGTTTCAGCAGCACAAGCGGTGAAAAGGTCATAGGAGTAGCTGTCGCGAGTATCAAAGAAACTGCAGATGATCTAGTCGAGCTGTACGATGTAACCAAAGGCTGAGTGAAAGCTTATGCGATCAAATCCCGACATGCTTGTCGAAAAAGGAGAGAGACTGGAGGTTCGTCATCAGTAGGGGTTGTTCAACAACGCAAGAGAGCTGAAATCGAATGTTTAGTCGAAAATAGTGCGAGCTATTCTTGAGCGCATTGAGATGCCATTGAGTCGAAGCAACTCTTTTCTTCAGCCACTGGTAAGCAAGCGGCTGTTCCTGCCATGTATAGAAAGACATATTACAATTTGGTGGTGAAATGATTCGGCTCGAAGACACCGAGCCTGCAAGGTCTAGCCGTATGTCGCAAGGTGCGAAATGTGCTAATGCATGTCGAAAAGGAGCAAGACGTTGATTTGAGCCATGACTCAGTAGGCGTATTTACTCACGATCTAGTCTTGGACAAACCAGGGGACCCCACTGACGAGGAGATATCAATGTCAGTGTCAATCAAGATGTCGGTGAGGAACGAGTGTCTGACGTTGGCGGGTGTGTTCCCTTGATGTCCCGTGTAAGCGCAGATAAGGTTCTCATGGCATCTTACTTGCACGTAAAGGACTAGAAATAAATTTTCAGGCTTTCTGCCTGTGCACTTTGCTATAAGCAGCGGCCGCCAACGGATTGGCGACGAGGGCGGAACTCAAAAGCTTGACGAAATCTGATCTAAAATTTGTGCGTGTCCGATGCTCTGACAACGGTACTATTTGTTGCTGCTGATGTAAGGTAGGAAATTCATGACTTTTTACCCACAGCACGACGTCCTAGACCTCAGTAAGGCTAATGTCGGATTTTCCTCTCCGGGGCGTAGTGATGAAGCATTGCTCCGCGTTGCGAACAAGCAATTCTAGTCGTGGAGACGACAGGCTCACGAGCAAGAGACTTTATTGCCTCGATTGGATCCACGGACACACAAACGTAGCAGCGATTTCCTAAAGTGCAGCTTGTCACTAGGAAAAGAAGCAAACGTCAATGATCTGATGTGTTGCTCGCTGGGCAAGGATGTTGATGTTGTCGGGAGCGAACGTCCCAGTAGTACCCGCGGCAGAAGCGGACGAAAGGAGAACATCGAGTTTCTCCAGGCCAGGTACGGGTAGCTGCCAAAGGAAGTGACTCGTGCGACCTTCGCTTCTGAGCGGCTTAGAGACATTCTTATCGAAGACACATCCTAACATTTTGCCTTCAAGAGTGATAGCGACGAGGTGGCATGTCACATCTCATCAGAAGTGTCTGGTACGCATGCAAAGACTTGGCGGTTTCCCATGGGTAAGCTGCATGCAGTAGCTTCTTCCTAGAGCGACGACTAGGGATTCCACCGTCTTCATCCTTGAAGATGTGGCAACCATCCATTGCGGAGTGAAACCATGGTTCGTTGAGAATGTTTTAGCACACGTGGCTGAGATCTGTCTGGACGAGTCAAGTATTGTGGTGCTGACTCAAAGTATGCATGGCACCCATGGTATGGCCATAAAAGTACTGAAGACAGCTATACAGCACGCCATTCATAGCCGAAGCGGGATTCATCATTGTCGTAGCCTAGAGATACAGCTCGAGTCATGGCTGAATCTTGCGGACATGACTCAACTGTCGAACTCTGAGGATCGGAAGGATCAAACGATAGATACTCGTAGACACACATCCGGGTGCAGTCCGTCTGCAGGATGAACGACGACGCAGATTGGCACCTCGCACTCACCAAGTATGGCACGCTCGAACGGAGAAAGAGCTTGCTGCACAAGAGGACAGAGCAAGAACAGACAGGTAAAAAGAAGCGACGGGCTGCAAATGTCGGCCATGTATAAGAGCATGGCTATGAATCGTGTTGAGCAACGGACGAATCCTAGCAAAGGGAATCGTCGGGAACGAAGCATTGACTAGTGTAGCGATAGGACAAGCGGCGGCATCAGGGGGAACGAGGGTGAATGCCGTTGTGGAGTCTCAGGATTGGAGGGCGGCGAGTGCTTGTACGAGCGGAAAACGGGAAGTAGGCATTATTAATCAAGATGTGGAAAGAGCGTTTCGAAACGATCGCCAAAAGATCGAGATACAATGTGCCCAGAAGTGCTCATGGCGAATCATCATGAGAAGCAAGTTGAATTGTAGAAAGTGGTATTCCCGAGAGTGGGACACAGGCGCGGCGACCAGGAGCTGATGATCTGGTGGGGTTGCAATTGTGAAGGTGGGGCATGAGGTTGTTTTCCCTGAGGAAGTTCGAAGTTCGAACCGTGGAAAGACCGTGATTATACGACGCATCTCGACTCCCGGAAAGACTATTACCCATGCACAACTGGGCACTGGTCAGGTCAGTGGACATGGACGTGCAGTAGCCAAAACAAACGGTCAAGTATGACAGAGGCTCTGTGTGGGGAGCGTTTGTAACAGCGAAGGAACAAAAAGCGAGTGCCATGTCAAGATTTGAATTTGGATTGACAGCGACTTCGGCCCCTGGTAAGGAGCAGAGCACGGTGAGCAGGGACAGGAGGGAAATAAGATAGCTTCTTGTAGGGAAATAAAATGCGACTGAGTGGTAACCTTAGCAGAGTAGTGTTGTGAATCTAGCTGGCACGATAGGACAATTGGCGGAAAAGAGTGCACATCAGTGGGATCAGAAACACGATCGACAAGTACGATCTGCACAGCTGTTATGGGCGAGCACAGGCCGACGAGTTCGAGGGCGGTCGTGTCGGTGGTCTTGGTGACGGGGCTCAGCGCAGGCCAACGGAGAAGTTGCCAAGCACGCCAGTGCGAATCTTGGGAGGCATGAGACGGCGGGCGCATGATTCGACGCCCTGACTCGTCACCAACTTTGACTTTGACCAGGAAGCACGATACTCTTTTGTCTCTATTCTGTTATCCTCAAAGTCCTCCCTCTCCCTTCGCCCATTTTTTTCCCTCGTGTCGCGCCCAATCCCACGCCAGCCCGGCTTGTGCCTGCACTCTCGCCCATCCCTCACTTGGCTGCTTCTTGGATCAACACGCACTCGCCAGATCCGCGACGTGCCCGCCAGCGCCCACCGACCGTGCATCAAGACTAGATCACGTCCTGCATGACTCGCCCATCACCTGCTCTCCAGCGCAACACAAGAATTTGCCCATGATGGCCACGACGAATGGCTCATCGGGCTACGGCACGCCGCAGCGTGACGGCACCATGTCAATCCCGCCCGCCAATGGCACCCCCCTGTCGCACTCGACCCCCGACCCAGCAGCCCAGCCCGGTGCATACCCCGCCGTCACCAATGGCAGGAAACGCAAGGCCGATGGCACCTCTTCGCGCGGCGTCGCCAACCTGACCCCGGAGCAGCTGGCAAAGAAGAGAGCCAACGACCGCGAGGCCCAGCGCGCCATCCGCGAACGCACCAGGAACCAGATCGAGACGCTGGAACGTCGCATCAAGGAACTCGAGAGCCAACAGCCTTTTCAGGAGCTGCAAAACGCCCTTCGCCAACGCGAACAGGTCCAGGCCGAAAATGACGACCTCAAACGCCGCATGCAGACCATCTTCTCGTTGCTGCAGCCCGTCGCTGCCTCACAGGGTCTGAATGGTAGCAGTAGCTCTGTCGTCCCCCACTAGTCTGCCGCAAGCTGACAAAATCACTTAGACCTTGCTGCTGCTACCGCCCAACAGAGTCCTTTGCCAATGCCTCAACACCACCCTCAGCAAGCTCCCGCACCGCCTCCTCAAGCTCTCATGTACCCCTCACAACCACCAAATCTTTATGACCAACCCCCCTTTGCTCAACACCACCTTCATCCCGACCTTCGCAATATTCAACCCACCCAGCAGTCTCACACTCGCCCCTGCTCCCGTACCACAACATCAACTCGTATCCGAAATGCCCAACCAAAGTTTCGGTAGTTTTCTGGCTGAGGATCGCAAAGTGCTTCCGCCGTCACCATCAGCACGCGACCTCATGCCCACCCCTTCGGCCGATATGCCGGTGCATATGCGTCTTCCTCGCAATCTAGAAGCGGCTACTTGCCCCTTGGACAGCGTAATGTTGGACTTCACAACAGAGCGTCGCAAAGCTGCAGCCCAGGGCACGCCTTCTTCCTCGCTGGTCGGCCCCGCCTACCCCTCTATATCGTCTCTCCTAAACCCAGCTCGCGCACCCAAGTCGCATCCTCTGAGCAAGCTCTTTACCGACGTCTTGGCCAACCTTCCTGAAATTGACCAGATTCCAGAGCAGGTTGCCTGCTTGTACATAATGTTCCTTGTCATGCGCTGGCGCATTGCTCCTACTCAGGAAAATTTCGAACGCCTACCCGAATGGATTCGCCCTATCCGGTCGCAGCTTGAAGTCAGCCACCCTATTTGGTTTGACAACGTGCCATGGTGAGCTATTTGTTCTGTCGTTTCGATTCTCTATGCTAACCCGCTTATTAGGCCTTGGATGCGCGACCGTATGATCAAAAATGCTTCTGCTTATCCTAATGAGCGTTACGGTCCTCTTTATTGTCAAGATCTATCGCTGAACTGGCCATATGATCCCCAACAATGTCTCTTACCACGTGCGAGCAGTGTCCATGGCGCTGAAGCTACATCGGCTGCGGTATTGGACGACGACGAAGAGTTCATGATCAACCCCGTCTTCGAGTCTCACATGCGCAACCTCAGCAATTGGTCCATCGGCCCTGCCTTTGCCAATAATATGCCCGAGCTTGCTGAAGGTGTTCCCGTCAAGCCAAGGTAAATTTGCCACCACATTCCTTGACATTGCCACGTTCCCACGACGCTCAATGATCTTATTTTCGTTCCAGGCCACGGCCCATATTGACAAGCGAGCCTTTCAGGTCGCGAAGCTCTTCGTCGCTTGATGCGGAAGAGTCGATCTGCTGAGCTCTGTCACTGATTACTTTCTGTGTCCATGATTACACAGCAGAACATGCTACGAGAAGTTTGTTGCCGTTTGGTGACTAGATTTTGGGGTATTGATAGACCGAGTCACGAGTTCGGGCTGTAATTCTAGTTGGGTGGGAACTGGTGTTGTTTCGATCCCAATAAAAAAAAGTTACTATCCACACTGATCTTCTCATGTCCGAAGTGATCATCCCTTTGTTTGGCAGCTGGTGTACTTTTTGGTGTTCCGCCACCGCCTGTAGTGAGCAAGACGAGAAGCGCATGAAAAAACAAGACGGCTGAAGAGTTGTCGGAGTCTGCATCTACTTTACAGGACGAGGCAACCAAGGGCTGTGCACAACATCTCAATGCGGAAAAGCCTGTGCCAACAGTGGACTTACTCAGAGCGAGGCAGACGAGAGATTTCGCATTTGTGCTATACCCACGAAGTTCAGGGGTCTTGAATGGGACGTACGTTCGTGTTCATGTATCGAAAGCTTTGACTTGAGCAATACTATTCCAGTATGTAATCATTCCACCAGTACCTCTTGTCTCACACCGTTGTGAAACCAAATTCATGACCATCAGGCCAGGTCCATCTAGTAGACATAGAAAGTCTGGACCTCATCTTCAGACTGTCTAAGCTTCTCGTTACGACGCTTCATGATGATCTTGACAATCCATGCAACAAGAGCGGTACCAGCGGAAAAGGCAGCGCTCGAAAACATGGCAGGCTGATACTGCGGTGCGTCTTTAGGATCCCAGAGATAGGGTGTCCAGATAAAGGAAGCATTCATCACCGTGGTAACGATTGAGATGGCCGCTGCCTTCTTCTCCGTACTCTGGCCACAGGTAGATCCAACCCAGCCGAGAATAAGGGAGTTGACGGCATAGGTACCGATCGTAAAGACGACCATGGCAAAGTATTTGGCACCAGTGTTCATTACGACTGCACCGACGATAAAACCTACGATTGCAACTGATTTGGAAGCAGTGATGTGCCAGGTACGTTCATTCATCTTGCCAGAAGACCAAGAAACCAAAAGTGTTGAAGCGCCGGCGATGAGGTAAGGTGGGCACGTCAGAACGAGAGTGATAGTGGTGTTGAAGCCCAGAGTTTTGACGACAGTGGGGAACTGGAAGAGCTCATCAGGCTATGTTTGTTTAGACAACAATCGCGTGTAGAGACTTACAAAGTTCTTGAACCCATTGGCAGCCAAGTGAAGATGAGCCATGAGAGCAAAGAGCCAGACGACGGGGTCAGAGCCAGCCTGTCTGAGGCCATTCCAAACACTGGTATCTCCCTTCTTCTCAACAGTGTCGGCTGCAATGCGGTGGTGGGCGAGTTGTCTCTCCTCGGGTGTGAGCCATCTTGTGGTCAAGGGTGTGTCTGGAAGACAGAAAAACCCAATCACGGCAATGACAAAGGTGACTCCACCCTGGAGGATGAAGAGCCATTGCCATCCAGTCAACCCTGCTGAGCCGTCCATGCCGTGGAATACACCAGCAGCAATGAGGCCCGCAAATGCAGTGGCAAGGATATTTCCAGTATAGAGGATAGCGATACGTGTAGCAATCTCCTTGCGATTGTAGAAGATACTGAGGAGGTAGACGGCGCCGGGATAGTAAGGCGCTTCCGTCACACCAAGGAAGCTTTGTTCTTTGTTAGTCATATATCTTGGACTAAGGTGAAGATAATGCCTCTTACAATCGAACCAGCAGAAGACCAACAAAGTTGTGGCAGACAGCAGTCAGAGCCGATACAATAGCCCACAGAGCCATGCAACATCCCATGTAGTAGCTGGGTCTTGTTCTTGTAAGGAACATATTAGAGGGGACTGCTTTCGAGTAAGTGGACGTCATTCGTATCTATGAATGAACACGGTCTCTTACCTTGTCCGAGAAGGTAACCGACGAAGAGAATGCTGACACAAGTAAGATACTCTGTTTATGGTCAGTACTATGTCAACCATCGATAGATAGGTGTAGTATACGAGTTCCTGTCAAGTTGAGATCCTCCTCCAAGTCATTGAGGCGGGCCAGAGCGATGGCATTGCGGTCAAGGTAGTTGAGCCAATACATTGACCACAGCATGGGCATGATCCATCTGTCAAGTTTCTTGACAAGGGCTATCTCAGCCGGGTCTGATTTCTCAGTCACTCCTGAATAGTCTTTCTTGACTTGAGGCTTCTGGAGATCATCATCATTGCCGATGTCTTCAACCATCATAACTGATGGCTTCTCGCTAAGGTCTTTCTGCATGACTGAAAATTGGCTGGAGGAAGACAAGAAAGTCGAATTGAACTCGCACTGATTGAATGAGAAGACGGACTCTACACAGGATTTATATATCTTCGAGGAGCGCGGCTGGAGCACAGTCCTTGTCCAAGATCTTACCTCTGATCTGGCCGCCAACCCCAGACTTCCCCATGCTGTTCACAGCCCTCCCCATGATATTGCACTACACATGCGGGGGATGTTACAAGATCGTCCGTATGATCCCGATGTCAAGAAGAACCAAGGCAGCCAAGATGATGGCAAAGGTAGGCATAGACGGCACGAAGTCGAGATTCATGAGATGTCGTTGGAAGAGCCAGACTCAAGGTGAGAGGGGAAAGCCAGGCGTGGTACAGTCAATGGCAAAACAAACGAAACCAAGAACTTGGCCTCTTGGAGTGTGACTTGTGTATTGAAAAGGCGTCAAGATGGCAGACCAACAGGGCCGGAAAGTTGTCGTTTGCCCAGATCGAATCTTATCGTGAGGTTTGTTACGATACACGCTCAGGCTGTTTTCTCGGAACCTTAAGCTCTGGTATGAGCGACTTCGGTGTACGGTCTTCCCACCGAGCACTTGATTTGGCTCTCGCGGAGTTGTTCAACCACAGCCGAGAAATTGCCCAAAGAGTTGATCATTATATGTTCTCTAGTCTTCGTGGCACTCGATGGCAGTCAAATTGTTCATTGTCACTACATTGACAAAAAGGAAGATGTAAACACGGTAGAGTCTGATGCGTTGGTAGAGCCAAGGAGGAGGGGATGTTGAACAAGACCAGGGGCTTGCATTGACCTTGACTCGCGGAAGCGCCTCGCATGTCACGTGCATTTGTCTTGCGGAGAGTGGCTGTGCGTCACGAATCCCAGCCCACAGATGACTTGTGCAGTCATCTCGATAACCACGTACAATGGACTTGCGAGCTGCCTATTTCAACTTCGATTTTGACCTCGGAAATGCAGGTGCGATCCGCTGCGAACCTTGAATAAGTAGACGCGTGGACAAAGGACGTATGTTTTCTCGAGCGGACATAGGAGAAGGCAGTGATAGACGCACGACGGACTTAAGAAAAGCCAGTATTAGACGCATGTCTTAAGGACCGTCCAATAGTGTCCGAGGTAATGGTAATAGTTGAATAGGCACTTGTCATCTCTTATCTTGACAGGCTCTTATCTAGGTTGGTGGCACGAAAAGATTATTAAAGTGGCATAAATTGCTGGCTTGTAGCTTATTCTGTAGGGATGATGACGAGTGCTGTCTTGAAAAGTGTCGAAAAAAGGAGCACGTAGCAAGAGGGAGCTGACCGAGACATGGACGAAGGAAGGTTTGAGATGTAGCCGCATAGTTCGGGGAAGAGACGGCCTTTGCTTTTGCAGAGGCTGGATCTTTGACAAGCGCAGGACCCTCATAACCTTCCTTCACTTTATCAACAAGATGCGCCTTCCCACTCGCCCTCGTATCTCTGCATCAATCGAATAACACGGCTTGACGACCAGTGACATTCACCATGAGCGAACCCACGCCACAGCAAAAGGCCAATCTGGCGCGCATCCGGTACACAGCACCCGAATGAGCACAGGTGCTAGCAAAAGGCTAATTTTGTGTGCCTCAGTGACAACCAGCGAAGGTCGCGCGCCCGTCGCAAGGAGTATCTGCAAGAGCTTGAGACAAAGTACAGGTCTTGCGAGGCCATTGGAGCAGAGGCTTCACAGGAGATTCAGGCCGCCGCCAGAAAGGTTCTCGAAGAAAACAAGCGTTTGCGCCGCCTGCTACGGAACCAGGGCTTTAGTGACGCTGACATCGATGGCCCCGAGCACGATGAATTTGCTTCATCGCCGTCGGCGACCGAGATGCTAGAGGTCATGCTGGTGACGAGGAAGCCATGCAGACCATCGTCGGGTTCGGGCTGTGGCGACAGTCAGGTGTGCAAGACAGAGGACGACGACGACGATGCCGACTCGAGGCGGCAGAGCGTCATCTCAGCTCCTGCTGCTCCAGCATCATGTACCGCGAAACCGCAACAGAAACAGCTGCGGCCCCTCGCTCTTGCCCCTGCTCCCGCCTCTGCCGCTGCTGCTCCTACTCCAGTCTCTAGGCCTCAGTCTCACGACCCCGTCGTCCACAACCCACAGCTGCCTCAGCATCAACAACAACACTTCCAACAGCAGGGCCAGCAACACATGCAATTCCAAGGCCACCCTCAGCATCAGCAGCTGCAATCTCAACAGCAGTTCTTCATGTCGCCCGCTTCCCACGCCTCTGCGCCTGGTTCCTTTGTCCCCGAGTATCCTATATACGCACCACAACCCTTCGGTTACCCAGTACCACAGTCCCAACTACTGGACTGGGACATGGCTGCTGCCGACTCCATGTCACAATCTGGAAGCTACCCGTCTGGAAACCAGTTCACATCACCTCCGCCTGGCTTCCCAGCTTCAACATCATACGCATCACCCACTCGTTCAGCTACTGCTGCTTACAATGGTCAAGACAACACCTCGTCGTGCTTCACAGCGGCAGGTGCCATTCGCGGCTTGCACCCCGAAGCAGGCGACGAGGTCGAGTCAGCGCTGGGCTGCCGTCCCGGCGGTAACGACTGTCGCGTCGATAATGCTATGGTCTTTGACCTTATGGACCGCTATGCGGGGGTCCATGGTCAACAAGGCGTATGATGCAAGGCACATGTACGAAGCAAAAGAAACATAAAAAGTTGATACACCTGACGACAGAGGTGGTGGCCCTGTTGGCTGGCCAATTGTACATAATCATCCACTTGATGTTATCCGGCATTTTTTTTTTTTTTTTTTTGTTTTATAACGACTTAATGTATATACATAGAGACGAGAGAGGATCATACGCGTTTGTTATTTCCGACAAAAAACATGCATGTCAAGGTTAAAGCTGGATCATCCTGTTGTGGCTCGAGTCAAGAGAACTTTCGAGATTGTGATGCGTACGCAACACACTTGTACGACCGGCTTCTACGTTATCCTCCCGAGACATCCACGAATCAAATCAGAGACATCATCACAGCACTACCAACGCATAGATGACGGTAGTCATCGCGAAGTCGGGATACCATGTAATTAGTGCTCTTCCAGGACAGAATAACCTCGGTTGTCGCATCCATCGCGTTCGAGAGAGAGAGAGAGAGAAATTATGCAACAATAGTACAAGCCAGTCGAAGATATGACTCTGCACACAATTCAACATCAGCGCATGAAGTAATTTATCGAATATCTGGCTCGCTTTGGTTAGTTTGGAACATTGTAGCGTTATGGCTGTAGAAGAGCTCAATTCAATTGCACAATCAGGTTGAGGATAGAGGGATGGTCCGATAGTTCATGTTCGCGAGGTATGCTTTGTTGGTTCGAGATCATCTGTAGATGGCAATCGAGAAGGGACAGTGCAGTCGCACTTTCCTCTCGAACAGTTGCATTCTTGAAAAGTACGTCTACAACTATCCGTCCAAGTCGCTCGGACGTTCACTCGCCCTAACACCCCACCCATTCTCCAACAATTTCTTGACTTGTTCAAGCTCAAGATTTTTCGTCTCTGGATAGCACCTGAACACCCAAATGTATCCGACCAAGCAGATAAACACGTACACAAGGAAAGTGGCACTAGGCCCAAGTGCATGCATCATAGGCAAGAACGTAGCTCCGACGATGAAATTGCTGGTCCAGTTTGTTGCAGTCGCCAGACCAGAGCCCATACTTCTCACAGAAAGACTGAATAGCTCGCTTTGTTGCCATGGGACACAACCTAGACCACTTGCATACGCAGCCACATAGAAGATGAGTGAGAAGAGAAGGACTAATGACCAAGGACCTGAAGCTTCAGCTGATGTATCTGAAGGCGACACTGAGTCTGATGGTGAAGCATCGATATGCATGAATGCCAAAGCGCAGCTGCCGAGTCCAAGAATCATAAATGGAATTGAGTAGAGGAGTATGCGACGGCGACCCACTCTGTCGATGATTGCGAATGCCAGGAGAGTAAACACAAAGTTAGAGACCGATATCGACAGCGATGTTCCGATGGGGGAGGTGAATCCAACCAAGGCGAATATGGTAGCGCTGAAGTACATCAAAGAATTGAACCCAGATAATTGTTGCAGAGCTTGGAGTCCTGCAGCAATAGTCAGGGCACGTCGATTAGCTGGGACAGTGACGAGCTCCTTGAACATGCTTCCACTGGCACTAAGTTGTTCTTCTTTAACTTCGTGCTTGACCTGCGCAACAATGTGATCGCAGTCATCATGGCCGAGTCGGGTAAACACTGCAGCGGCTTCGTCGTCCCTGCCTTTCAAGACCAACCAGCGGGGCGATTCAGGCATACCAACGAGCAGAGCGGCCTGTATCAGAGCGGGAACACTTCCAAAGCCAACAGACCAGCGCCAGCGTCCCATAACTGCCCAGCCAGCGACGTAGGCTACGACCTGGCCTCCTGTAATGAACAGACTCTGGACAGATACAAGTTGTCCTCTTCGGTCTGCTGGCGCGATTTCTGCGATATACAGCGGTACCACAGCGCTAGCTGCACCTACAGCAGCACCGACAACAGACCGACCTAGGACCATAGTCCACACATTGGTCGCAGCAGATTGAAATAGGGCTCCAAAGATGAACAGCCCACATGCTGCTGCAATCACGGGTCGGCGACCGACAACATCGGCAAAGTGTCCTGCCAGGGGCGATGCCAGTAAAGCGAGTAACGAAGTACTGCTCGTGATAGCAGACAAGTCAAACGTGGTTAATGGATGTCCCAGATCCTCATGTATCGAGACAAGGGTAGAGCTTATGACGCCAGTACTTTCAGATGGTAAGTAAACATTTTGTCACGTCTCTTCTTATCCAGACTTACTCATAACCAAACAGTAGCCCGCTCAGTCCCGCGCTGAGAGTCAACAGCCATATCAGACGATTTGCTTGCTTTTGGGTGACTTCAGGAAGTGCAGTGGCGTCGTCGTCGCTCTCGTCGACTATCAGTGGTTGTTGGGATCCATCGCCAACACGCATGTTCTCGAGTTCTAGTTCTTCTGCAATGTAATAGGATGGGACAGACCGTATGGACTGGTGATTGTCGTCCATCCAGGAGTGCAGGTTATAGAATTGGTAAGAGCCAAAAGCCGCCAAAGGCCGAGGTCCGGATTCGTGGGGAGGCAGGTGGCTTGTGATCGACTGTTCAGGGCCTGAAGATCATCACACCTTAATTTAGAGCATATCACCAGGCACAGCTAGAACACGAGTACACAAGATTTTCGATCTTTCGCGTTTTACATTCATGGTGAGTCTTCACTAGCTATCCACCCCAATAATCTCCTCAATCATCTTCCTATCTGCCAATACCGAAGCTGGAGCACATCTCAACAAGCTCGCTTCCATATCGACGATCCTCTTCAACCTACCAATTGTTCTTCCTTGGCCTGTGTAAACTATACAGTCTTGGTCGACCCTGTTGGACGACATTGTCCTGATTTTGATGCTGGACGGCATGGCCAAACCAATGGTTCATCGTCCTTGCAATTTATCTGGTTCCTGGCGCCGTAGGAGAAATAGTCAGTAGATACTATGATCTCGTCTCTCCTGAGGCGTGGTCACGTTGTATCAAACAGCCTGTGCCATCGTGACATGGCAGCTGAGGTGCTGCCTCATTTGCCCTCGTCTGCTGGACCGGCGGGTTGCATTGGTGGCATACCGGGGCTAGGGCCTTGTTGAGGAGCTGCGTGGTGTTGACGAGGAGTCATCTGGTTGTGGTTGTATCCCTGGTTCGACATGGCACGGTGCTGCATGGGGTAGCCATGTTGGCCTTGAGGACCACCGGGATACTGGCCCTGGGGGAAGTTTCTCATCTGCTGCACTATAAAAATGTCAGATGATGGTGGTGGCCATGCGACGAATTTTTTTTGGAAACTTACTCTGTCCGGGGTGCTGCTGCATCATCATGGGAGCATTGGGCGGCATTTGCATATACATCTGTCCAGGGTGTCCTTGCTGCGATCCTTGGTGACTCATGGGATGTCCGCGTCCAAAACCTGGACCAGGCTGAGCAGTGGGATGGCCTGGGAAGTGGGGCTGTACATGGCCGGGCACAGGTGAGGCATACATTGGTACCTGTTGTGCCATTGCGCCATTCATGAAGGGTCCGTTAGACGACTGCTGCACCATCATGTGACCACCCATGGGAGGTCCCTGTGGGCTACCGAATTGCTGAGGACGCATCATACCATATGGAGGCATGCCTGCAGGGAAGTGCTGCATTTGTGGATGCATCTGCGGGCCATAGGCCATTGCAGGAGGCAGACGAGGAGATGGCTGGACTGAGGGAGTGTTGGATCCGTACTGCATGCGATGTTCGTCATAGTGTTGGCCAGGGTGATGAGGTTGAGGAGGGTAGAAGCGAGGAGTTTGGTTGTTGGGAGGACCATTCTGCAGATGAGGCGGAAGTTGATGAGAGTGCGCCATAACGCTGTTGGTAGGAGTGTGCATAGGCGGAATAGCAGCGACTGGGCTCTGAGCAAACATGTCACGGTATGTCTTGTCTTTGTTGGCTTCAGCGACCTCCCATGTTGGCGGTGTGCGATATGCTTGCGGGATTCCTCCATTTGATGCAAAAGTTTCAGTCTTACCCTCGGCTGCAGTGGTCTCAAGCATATACTTGACAGGGTTGAAGGCGTCCTTGAGAGGAGTGCGTTCGGACAAGGGCTTCTCTGGTTTGCGGGAAAAGAACTTGGCCGGCGATACAGCAGAGATACTGGGACGCTTAGCAGGCTGTGGGCTTGCCTTGGTAGGTGAGGTGGGAGTGAAAGTGCTTGCTGATGGGTTAGGTCTGAACTCCATTGCCTTGACATTGAGTCTGGCGGAAGCAGTCGAGGGGCTGGTAAGTTCGCGAGAGGCAGGTCCGGTAGGGGGTGAACGGATCTCGGGAGGAGGGATAGGCGTTGGGATTTGCATGTTAGCCATAGGAGCTCTGTATTGCTGAGCTGGTCTGGGCGGGACACCATGCGACATGCCAGGTCCACGAGGGGGGACGGCTTGGTTTTGTCTCAAGTTCTGAGCCATGCGCTGTCTTTGGCTTAATGGAGAGCTAGGCTCGTTTGCGGTCTCGGGGCGTTTCGCAGGCTGGCTTGCTGGCTGTGCTTGGTTATCCTCAGTAGAAGCAACTTCAGGTTTGGCAGGTGCGATGCGAGCTGGGCTAGCTTCAGCGGATGTGACCTTTGACTCCTTCTCACGCGCCTGCAGTTCAGCCTTTGAGACGATCAGATTCTGCTTCTCCTTTGTCTTAGCAAGGATGGGTACAAGATCTTCGGGGACGCGTGAGTAGAGCTTGAAGTTCTCGGCGAACTTCTTGAGGTCGTTCAACTTGACTGATTTCTCCTGACGAGCACTGGCGCGTTGGCGCTCCTGCACAACACGTTGATGTTGCTGAACGCGGAGCTTCTCATTGTTGGAGAACTGCTTGAATGAGTCCAAGACTTTACGCTCGACGCCCTCAGTAGCGCCTTTACCAGCGTTGATCGAAGGAACTGGCTTTGACACAGGGGCAGCAGCAATCGGAGCGGGCTTCGCAGCGGCAGCTGAAGCTTCTACGGAAGGAGCTGTCACGCTTGGCAAGGAAGGAGCTTCTGCTGTTGCCGGAGTCGAAGCGTCCTTCGAATCCTTCGATTCCTGCTCTGGTTGCTTGGATGAGACAGCTTGGCTGTCCGGGGTTGTGGCTGTAGCTGGGCTGGGACGTGCAACCGAGACGATAGCTGGGTCGAAGGGAGCACCCGGTACGGTAGGCTGACTAGTGATCGGTCTCCGCGATGGAGGAACGTAAGCATTCGGTGCACCCTGCTTGAGCAGCGATGTGATGTTAGTCTCGCGACGGACACCGCTGTATCTGAGAGAGGTATTAGCGACATATCACGCCTTGTTGATCAACTAGACATACTTTTCTTCCTCGTCAAGGCCGCCATCTTTCTCAGCATTCATGCGACGTTCTTCTGCGACGTGAGCATTGACAGGAGCGCTGCGCTCAATCTCCCGGGCGATTCTCTCGGCTTCTGCTGCCTTGCGTTTGTAGTCTGGGTCGGATCTGTTGATGGCGGTAGTGTAAAGATTCTCGTCGTAGTCACTTCTGACGTTGTAGAGAGCTTCGTTGGCAGCGAACTGATCCCATTCTCCTGGACGCGAATTGTCTTCAAGAGACATGTTGATGGCGGTATCTGCACTGGGTTGCCATGGCTGGAGCTCGCGCTCACGGATGTTGAGGTTTCCTGAGATCTCGACATCGGTGCGGAAAGAAGGAGCATTCGATTGTTGAGCTCTTGTTTCGGAAGCAGCCAGGAAAAGATTGATGACCGAGAGATCCACAACGTCGTGCAGACTGAAGGTCATGACGTGATCTTCGCCCTCACCGATGTATGCGTCGGACTGGTCGGTTGTGCCGTTAGTTTGTTGACTGAGCTTCTTGGTAAATTTCAAAGTCAGACGAGGATCAGCAGGATCGGTGGAGGCTGAAGAGAAGACACCAGTGAACTTCTCTCCATTCTTGAGGAAGACAGCAACTTCCATGCCCTGCAATACATATCGAGGTTAGTTGGACATGCTTGACACAAGACGGTGGTTGGTTCGTACGGTGAAGTTTGCGATCAGAAACAGAAGCCTGTCCGTAGCATGTTTGTTTGGTGTGCCATTCTCTTGCTGAGGCTTAGACTGCGCGGGTTTGGGAGTGCCGTTCGCCAGGCCATTGGTTACGGGTGTGGAAGCATTGGAGCGTTGTGTGATGGGGTTGGTGCCCGAAGACCAGGCCTTTGGAGCGGGAGATTTTCTAGTCAAGTTGAGTTAGAGATTGCGAAGGATTGGTATAATGTCGCATGCTCGACGTACCTCGAGGCGGCGTCCACGGGGCTTGCGGCCTGCTTACGAGCACCGTCCAGGGTCTTTGCGAAGGAATTCGTTTTCAACTGCTGTTTCGAGGGATTTGAGTTCGGCTGGGAAGCAGAAGATGTGGAAGCACCGTTCATGGCGGAGGGTTGAGCGGACATGATTAGATCAGTCAGGGGACGGACAGGAGACTGGGGGAGTTCGATCTGGATGTTGGAGCTCGCACGCGCAACCAGAACAACCGAATGCCTGATAACGTAGTCGGGACTCGTAATGTCGCGTGCTGGTCGAATGCAGCAGCGGAACGAAGTCAAATAACAGGTCGGCGAGCAGCCCCGACAACTGATCAGTTGATTGAGGACAGACTACAGCTGGGTAGATGTCGTGTTTCACTCAACTGGGATGGGGAGCTTGGCGGCCGCTTCGGAAGCTGATCCGACCAGAGAGGGTAGGGCTGAACGGTACGTGTAGACTTTTGGCCCGAGAGACTATCACTCGAAGGCCTGCCGTGTTCGCAATGTCGAGAGGTATGCAAGCTGAGGCAGCGACAAGGCACACCGTACAGAGTCAGAATGGTAGCAACTGTGCCTCGATGGGGGGGAGACAGGAATAAAGGCGGCTTGTGTCGCCGAATGTTGGGCGTCGGCTGGCACGTGAAGAGAAGATGAGCCAGCTACTGAAGGAGCCGCGCGCCTTGATCGACGAGCAATATCCTGGTCTGGACCGCCGAGCGAGCAAGCAAGCAACAAGTAGTACTCGTCAGTACGGATGTGTTGATTTCCAGGAAGACGAGCAGGCAGATAGCTAGTTGACCTGCAACTTTTGACCGACCTTGAGAATTGTTTGCGAGGAAGTCACTTTAGTAGGCAGTCGAAACACACGTCGCAGGTCGAAGCTTCGACTTGACTTGGCCAAGAACTGGAAGCTTCAAGGTGGAGAGCCAAAGCATGCACCAACCAAGGCCAGCATCAGGAGCTTTAGTCAGGTAGAAAGCAGAGATGGCTTCAGGCAAACCGTCTTGTACTCTGTGCTGTGCTGGGTGACCTGCTCTTTGTTCGTTGTTGTCGTTTGTCTAGCGTCGTCGCATTGCTTTTCTGCTTGTCCTTGGTTCTCAGGCGCCACGCGAGATCATCCCCCTTGTTTGAGCAGCCCCTTTAGGCGCCGCGTTGCCTTTCCAAGCAGCTCCCGCCGTCTGTCTACGGTCCGCAGAAATTGTCAACCGTCATGGCCAACGAAGATCCGAGTCTTAGGAGCAGCTCAGGCTCACGATCGTCCGCTGCTCGCTCTTCGACACGACAGTCGTCGCAGCCGCAGCAGCTGTCGACCATCGAAAAGAGCGTCACCCATCTGCTCGTCGCTACTAAGCAGCTCCTCGAAACTTTAACCCAATGGTCTCGCAATGCTGCCAGCGAGAGCGAGGTCTCGGATGTCTACGTTCGTCTGGGCTATGAGTTCAACATTGCCTGTCGCGCCTTCAACGGCATAGGTGTCGATACCCAGGATCTCGGCCCTGTCCCCGATCTTCTGCGCGCCATTCTCGAGGAGACCCTCAGCCAGGAAGCCAGTCAACAGAGCCTCGACCGATTCCTCCCACGTATTCGCGATATCATCATCAACCTACTGCATGGCCTTAAGAAGAAGCAGCAGCGTTTGCGACAACGTACCAGCAGTGGCAGTCAGAGCTCTAGACAGGCCAGCGCTGCTGAATCGGCTGCTGACGACCTTCTCGCTCGCCAGTCTGCCAGTCGAACACAGTCGCAACGAGTTGCCAACGAGCCTTCTGGTCATGACCTCCCTCCACGCTCGGCCTCTATCCAGGGAGGCAGGTCGTCACCGAGGAAAGAATCCTTTACTCCTGCTGCCCCGACACAGCACGCCCGCGATCAAAGCCGTGATACTACAGTCTCCGACTCATCATCCATGTCGAGCAATGCCATGCAAAATATCCCCGTCATTGCTCCATATCCCCAAGAAGACACGATGCCTGCTCAGCCACCAGCACAGTATGGAAACGAACCTGCTCCTGTAGCCCACCAGCAGGAGTCTCCGCGACCGCCCTACACCGAACACAATCTACCTCTGCCGCCTCCTCCCCCGCCACCGAAACAACAAGATGCACTGGCTGCTTTGCAACGTGGTGGAGAGCTCGAGAGGAGAGCCTCGAGACGTTTTTCCGCCTATCAAATTTCGAAACATTTGGGATCTAGCAATGGAGTGCCAATGATACCGTCTGCTCAGAACAGCCCAGTTCCAAATCGGGGTCAGGACACGCGCGAATCCATGAAAGCTGTTCGCACGCGAAGCTATCTCCACAACAGGCAGAAATCCTCTCAAAAGGCTGCACAAGACTCGCCCAGCAGGAGAGATCGACCAGAAGAGCAAAGGAGCACAGAGTCAGTAGACACAGATGTGGCAGAGTTGCCAACAACCGCGGGTCTGGACAGTGCTAGTCCCATGCCCAAGACACCCGATGATAAACTTGGAGGAGCCTACCCATTCCCTACGCAACCAACACCGGAGGAGATTGCTATGAGTGCAACGGTCAATGGTCCGGTTCCCGAGACTATCGTTGAACCGACCCTTGACGACACAGCAGGGGGAGAGTTGCAGCGCCGCAAGTCTAGGATACAGCGGCAAACCACTCCTCCTCCTTCCTTTAACGAAAAGGTTTCTTCTCAGCAGCAATTTGTACCCGAATCTTCGCCACAACCTGGCAAGGAATTGACTCTCTTCCTTCAGTACAAGAGCAAGATCAAGAAATTTGTTCTGCCTGATGGTGGTGATTTGTCTATAGCCAGGCTTCAACTTGCGTTCATCGAGAAGTTTGCTTGGAATACACACAACAACGGCAATGACCTTCCTGAGATCTATTTGCAAGATCCCGTTTCAGGAATACGTCACGAATTGGAAGATTTGGCTGACATCAAGGATCGTTCTGTACTTGTTCTGAACGTTGAACAACTCGACGAAGTCAAGAAACACTTTGACGACAGTATTGGAGGTATCAAGAGCATGATCGAAAGTCTAAAAACCGCTGTGGATGATCAGCAGACTGCGATTCATCGAGTCTCCGAGAGACAACAAGAAGCTGCAAAGGAGATGGCTACTATGGTAGCAGCACCTGCACGCGCTCAAACACCTAACGCAACGCCGCCACCGCTCCAAACTGCATCATCCAAAGGCACACCTGCTCAGCTTACTGAAGTTCAGTCTCTCCGCCGCGAGCTTGCTGTTGTCCGTCAAACTTACACATCGTTTGTCGACGACATCAACTCATCCATGGCCTCTATTCGAACCAAGGCTGCCTCAGTCAAGACTGCTGCGAACAAGGCGCGTGTTCCTTCCATGTCCGCTGGCTCTGGTCGATCCTACGTCAATGGCGGCAAGAAATCGCTTTCAGATGATAGCGAGAAGCTTGTCACCCAAGTGGATGATCTGCAAGATACCGTGGAGGATCTTCGCAAGGACGTCGTGCAACGCGGAGTTCGACCCCTACCTCGCCAACTTGATGCCGTCAGCAAAGACATTTCCACTGCAACATCAGGCCTCAAGAAGTTGCAAGAGTTCCTCAAACGTGAGAAACCCATTTGGACCAAGATCTGGGAGAAAGAATTGCAAGTCGTCTGTGAAGACAGAGATTTGCTCACCATGCAGGAAGAACTCTGCATTGACTTGGAGGATGACCTCGAGAAGGCGGCTGAAACATTTGCACTCGTCGAGCAAGCTACAAGACAACAGAATCTGCAAAACACGCCTCGCTCTTCTTCTCGTACACTCAACCCTGTTGCCCTCGACCGTGGTGGCGACCCCGAGAAAGCTCGCACAGGTGTTCTAGGCGAAGTACGCGCCCTCCAACCGAACCACGAGTCTCGCCTCGAAGCCATCGAACGTGCCGAGAAAGCGCGACAAAAAGAACTGGAGGAACGTCGCGACGGCGAATTTCAGAAAGAACTCAGCAGTTTTGTTGAGGAAGGAAAGCTCAAGAAGAGTGGTGGCGTAGAAGAGGCAGAGCGCTTGCGTAAACTCAAAGACGAAAGGAGCAGAAAGGAGAATTATGAGCTGCTCCAGCAGAGGGAGAGAGACAGAGCTGCCAAGAGAGCTGCTGATGCTGCTGCGAAGGCCGCTGCCGCCGCTGCTGAGGCTGCCGAACCAGAAGCTACTGGCGAGGCCGTGGAGGCTCCTACAGAGCCCAGTGCAGGAACCAAGGAGACACCAGCAGAAGAAACTGCAGAGAAGAGCACTGAGGAGACACCCGCAGTTGTTGAGGATACCAAAACAGACCCAACCCCGCCTGTTGCTGCAGATGAGAGCACGAAATCAGATGCTCCAGCCTCTCTAGAACCACCCACTGCGGATGGAGCGGTAGACTTTGACGAACCAAGCCCAGCCGTCGAATTTGTTGATGCTCGGGAGATACCGCCCACGCCTGCGGCAGAATAGAAATCATGGTTGGCGTTTTGAATAGCATATAGCCTTTTGTTTGCGCGGTCGAACAAAAGATAATGAACACATTTTACTCGGCTGACAAGCCTTCTCAATATGTTCTTCTCCGGATAACACTTGCTCCAATAAGTTTGTGCATTTTTATAGCTGTTCTTTGTGAATCGATGGTGCGGCAGAAATGTGGGTGCAGAGAGATGGTGTGAACGTGCCTGATTTGACCTTCCTCCTATATTTCAAGCCTGTTAATCAGTCGGGTGTATGCTATAAAAATGCATGAGATTAACGACAATCGTGAGAGCACCGAAGAAGCTGCTCGAATGCCATGCTCTCTCTGGTCATTTCTTCCATCCCAAGTATGTCGTGCATCACTGCAAGCCTATCAAATCACCATATTGTCATGTGAAGAGGAGTCACATTCACTAGTCAACACACAGGCACACATCAAGACAACAAGAGGGTTTCAGAGCGAGTTTTGATTGCACTCTATATAATGACCTAGTGGCCAAACAGGGCCCCCCACGAAGGAGAAGAGATGAGGACACCCGCGAGGGAGGTGCCTCGGGGCCAGAGGAGAAGGGGGAGGCATTGACCAACCATCCCTGTCTATACACACAAGAATCAGTCAGTATCAACACTGTAGACGAGAGCAGAGATCTTCGACACTTACCCGATACCCGGCCTTTTTAAGGGCGCTCGGGCTGGACGTAGGGAGGTGGCGTGCTCACAAAGGCACGCAGCGGGATGTTGGGGTTCCCGGTCTTCTTGTGCGTGAAGCACCGGGGGCCGCTCTGGCGATGTGTGTCAGTTTTGTATCAAAGCCAACACGAGGGAACGAGAACTCACGATCTTGACGGGGCTGGCCAGGCCCTTGTTGCTGCTGTTGTTGTTGCTGCTGCCGAAGCAGGAGAAGAGGGTGCGGAAACCAGAGCAAAACGACATGTTTGATGGTTGTCAAAAAAAGAGAAGAAAGAAAGAGGAAGCGAGAGGAGATAACTGAAAAGCTCATATACCAGGCAACTGCGCGCAGCCGCGATTAGTCGTCAAGGGGCTAGTCTACGTTCGGGCGCGATCAACGAGATCCCAGTGAAGCTGCAGCTCTTTCTTCTATATCAGTAAAAAGGCACAGGATAATCACTAAGCATTGATTGTTCCATTGAGAGCCTGTCTATTGGCTCTTGATTGCCTTGTCTGATCTGGACATAGAGATGACTCGACTCAAGCGGTAGAACATATCAAGACCCATAAAGATAGCCAGTGCCAGGTAGGGTACATAGAGCTTCCCAAGTTCAATCTTCTCATTGTGTGAGTAGCCACTCCAGCTGAGGAAGTCGGCAATGCAAGTCAAGGTGGTAAGCCCAGCCTCAAGAGCGAAGATAAGAAGATGTAGTGGCACTTTGGGATCATCTCGAAGAAGAGCCGGTACAGCCCAAAGACTCAGCGGAACGTGGTAGAGAGCTTCGAGCCAGATATAGGTGTCGAACCAGGCACTGATGAAAAATCAATTGATTGTGCCGCAAAGCGGTTTGGTACACTCACGGCGGAGAAGAGAAGAATTGATCTCTGTAAGTGGTGATGTACCATGTTCGTAGATCGGTCATGAACGCAGGCTTCAAAGCTGCTGGATACAGCGGCGTGAGATCAACGCCTAGTACCTAGATTAGCTTTGCACATCACAAGTACAAATTGCTGGTCAAAGTTTGCTATGCCATCAACAAAGGAGTTTATCTTACAAAACATGATTGGAACGTGTGTAAGGAAGAAGATCAAGTAGATCAGATCACACTTGCGGTTCCAGATTGAGACGGCCATTGTGCTTGAGCTGTCGAGCACTGTCACTCGAGGTGGATAAATCTCAGACAAGGCTTGCGGTTGGTCAAAGGAAGGAGGCAGGCTGGAATACGAGATACGAGGTGTTCTCATGTGCAAGAATCTTGAGAAAGACGGCGCATTGACCAGCCGTTCGTACAAGACTCTTCCAACATCAGCTCCTCCTCAGCAGAGGCAATCTGATCAGGAATGACGATGCTCTTTGAGATAGTCCAACAGAGGGACTTGGGTGGTCTCCAATGCTCCGACTATAGGTATATAGAGGCTGGCATGACTCATCCACCCATTCATCAATTACGATTCAGAACGTCACAGCAGCAGCTACAGAGCAAGTCTGGATAACAGGAATCCGTTCACGACCTTTCTGGACTTGGAGAGGCCCGAAACAGAAGAAACCATCTTAGATGCGAGTGTCTGGTGTCGATGTAAAGCCACACTGATCACACTCAACGTCTCTACCTACAGCTGGACCTCGGCTACCTCTCTACTGGGACAATGTGCGGTCTAGAACGTCTGGCAAAGAATTGGCACAGAAACCCGAGGCACTTTCGTGGAAGAACCTCAATCCTGGCTCTTGCTGCTTCTACTCTCGAGTATGTTTCTGACATCTATCGGTCCTCGACTTGCTTGAAGGACCTCCTGACAAACAACATTTGCGGCACAGGCTCGCATATGCAAAGTCTCCATGATATTGCTAGCTGTTGTCGCATCTCAGTACGGCCGGTTCGTGTGAGGCATCAGGAGCGCTTCGCCATGGAGGGATCGAGAGTGTTACGCAATGTCGAGTCATAGAGGGGGTCGCGACAACAAGGGAAATATTCCTGTCATGGTTCTCAGTACAGGCAAAGTCATGCATTCTGACGGCCGTCAAATAGCATACCTTGTGTCTGCTGTGGTAGCACCGCTGCTCGCGCGACGAGCACATGCCAAACATGCTGTGTGGAACTGTCTTCTCTAAACCTGGACTGGTTGGACCGCCAAACTACGACTCGTTCCCAGGTGACTGCGAGCCGAATGTGAGGAAGGAAAGAGCGATGCTTTTGCCTTTTGATACTTTTTTGCCGGGATCTTGCCGGACTTTGGAAAGCTCGATCGGCCCCGAGTGGCGGCGCACGAAGAGACCGATGCCACACGCTCGAGGAGAATACTGATGACTATTCCATGAAGTGGTATCTCCTGATGGTTCAGAGATTCGGTATCTTTATATCTCTATTCACGAAGTATGTGTCTAGTTGCCATAGAATGTTTTGGAGCTGTCGTGTCTTCAAGCTATATGTTAGAGGTAAGCTAGGGGTATTCAAAGTCCGGTTTGGCTCGGTAGTGTAGTGGTTATCACACCCATTTGTAATTCCCCGCCCAGTTCGCTGGAAGGAGGGTAGCTTGGGAAAGGCCGGCGTTCGATTCCTGCCCGTGCTACGACGACTTACTCACTTTCCTCCTTGGGGCCCCTACCCCTTGATAGGAGACTTTTTTGTTCTAATTCCTTCAGCTATATAATCTCCTTGCTTATGCATGCCCATCGCCTCTTTCTTTTGTCGCATATCCTGATTCGATTTTTGCAATTATGGTCTCGATACGGCCTCTCTTGACCTGCTTCCGCCGACGACGTACAGCCGCTGTTCTCACGTCTTCCATGCCTTTTGCATACGTTTCAACTCTGACTGTCTTTGAAGTCATGTTTCTACCGAGTCCGTACTCCCCATTCTCCGTACGCGGCCTATCTGTGCGCTATCTCCTACTCTTCTTACAGATCATGTGTGTCCACGAGAGGAAACAGAGGCTTGCTCGTCGCTTCCTTCTTCAGTGTGCTCTCGTCTCTCTGGAAAATCGAGCTTCAGAGCTCTGTTCCTCCCAGGCATGATTTCCCCTGACGAGGCTGCGCAGACCTTGCTGTTTGATCAGTTTCGAGGTACCGTAAATTTTCAGGTACAGACCTGCTATAGAGGTCCACCAACTTGCTGCCTCGTGAGGGAATCGCTGGTCTCCAGATTCAGAAGAAGCTTCGACCAGAAGGCTCGGCCGAGCATCCCCATAACCCGATCGTTCGCACCTGCCATCAACATGGCTAAAGACCAGAGCCTGTCTCACCAGACGAAACTCCTTCCAAAGCTCTGTTTAATCAGCTTATGCCCTGCAATCAGCTGACAATCCATTTCGATATGACTATTCGTGATAGCATATACAAAATCTGATATGCAGCGACACACCCCGTCAAATATCACAAGTCAGATTGACAGAGGCCTTGATATGCGTACATCAGCGCTAGAGCAGCCCTGTTCGAGGGCGTCTGAGTACGTGAAATCAGCATATACCTAGCCAAGTCACTGACCGGTCACCGAGATCCTCCGACGGAGATAACGCTTCCCTAATTAGGACAAGCAACTTCTTTGCATCCTTCCGACGGACATAAACATCACCGACAATGTTAAGGTATATAACATGCCCTCTCCATGAAAGAAAAATTAACACAAACAAGTCAGATTCGAAAAAATATTCCAACAACATCGACATGCCTTCCAACACCGCAGCTTGGCAGCCTAAGCCAGGGGTTCCATATGAGGTCAAGGACGCTCCCTATATTTCTCCTCCAGCCGACTGTGTTGTCATCAAAAACCATGTTGTTGCTCTAAACCCTATTGATTTCTTGCTACAAGACAAAGCCTGTTTTCCTACCCTCTCCTATCCAACAATCCTAGGTTTGGATGTCGCTGGTGAGGTGGTTGAAGTCGGCAGTGAAGTCGCCTCGAGGCTCAAGCTGGGCGACAGAGTTTTGGCTCTGGCTGGAGGTGTATCTTCTAATAACCCTTCTCGTGCGGCCTTCCAAGAGTACACTGTTGTCGTTGCAAGATTGGTCACCAAGATTCCGGACAGCCTCTTGTACAACGACGCTGCTGTCTTGCCCTTGGGCCTTGCCACAGCCGCTTGTGGTCTCTTCCAGGCTGATCAACTCGCTCTACAGTCTCCCTCGCTCTCTCCTAAGCCTACTGGACAAACTATCCTGGTCTGGAGTGGCGCTTCCAGTGTTGGTGTCAACGCCATCCAACTAGGCGTTGCTGCTGGCTACGAAGTCATTACTACTGCCTCGCCCAAGAACTTTGAACTCGTTCGTGGTCTCGGTGCCAGCGAAGCGTTTGACTATAACGCTGATCCCGCTACTCTGCTCGAGCAGCTCACAAATGCATTCAGGGGAAAGACTGTTGCTGGTGTCTTGCATGCTGCTGGAGACGCCAGTGCTGCCATCTCTGTCTGTGCAGACCTCTTCGCCAAAGTCGAGGGCAACAAGTTTTTCACGACTACCGTGCTTCTTCCTGAAGACGTGCCAGCCGACTTCAAACACAATCGTGTTTTTGCAACCACAATTACGGACAATGGCATTGGAGAAGCGATCTTCGTCGATTTCCTGACTCAAGCGCTCGCAGAAGGCAACTTTAAACCAGCTCCTCAAGCTGAGGTCGTTGGAAATGGGCTTGAATCGTTACAGAAAGGTGTGGATATCTTGAGAGGAGGTGTTTCTGCTAAGAAGCTCATTGTTACTCTCAACTAAAATGTTCTCCATCTCGAGGTATATGAGAAATTATTAGCTATCAAAATGCACAATTGCGAATCGAATACAAGTTTGTCCATTGAGATGACCTCTAGTAGAACTGTGACTATCTTTGGCACCGAGAGAAAGTACAGGGGTAGTAGACTGTCTAGAGACCTGTCTCACGTGAGTGAGGAGTATTTGTCTCGTGCTCAGTCGAGTAGGCGAACGCCATCTGATGCGAGTCTCGAAGAGAATGAGAATCGGCCAATAGAACGCGAGACATGAGAGTGAAAAAAAAGTAAATAAAGGGAGAATATTCAAGTGAGGTCCGGGTGACCGTCGCGGCTCCAGTGAGCATCGCACGTGACCGTGATATAGATAAATTGTTACACCTTCACCACCGCCTTTGCACTGTATACCGCTCATTGTTGTCTTCAATCAGTGTGAAAAGAGCTCTTCGATTCACAGCGCTAACAAAGCGCGGTCTGAGCTTTGGTTACTCTTCTTGTTGCGCCTCCTTCTCGCTCCTCTTTCTCCCTTCCACCATCGCAAACCACATTCTCGAACAAGTCTGCCCACGCTGCTTTGCGTCAGCAGCACTTGTTCTTCTTGCTCTCCCCTTTTCTTCTTGTGCGTCGCCTTCTGCGCGGCCTTTACTTCGCCTCTTTCTCGACGCTCCTTCAACGACTACTTACACTTCAACGCTTATCAAGATCTTTCATCATGACTTACACCAGAAGTATGTACGATATGCCTCCCCCCAAGCTGGGCGAACGCAACGAGTATTGGCAGCTTCCTAGAGACTGCAAGCCTGCTGGCGCTCTTGCTGCTGCCTGTATTATCAACAAGACCTTTCCTGATGTCTATGGCTTCCTCGAGGAGAAGTTCTGGGAGATTGTGCGCTGGCAGGAGCTGGAAATGAAGAGAGTAAGTTTACTGCTTCATTGTTCTTGTTTGGAAAAGTTGCAGTTGAAGAAAGTCTACTAACCTTTTCTCTCAACCACAGAACCCTGTCAAGAAGACTCCCCCGTGGGCTCGCTTCATCTTGCGTACCTTTGGCTTGAGCTTTCTGTACGAGGATGAGGATTTGACCGCTAAGGAACGCGCTCATCTCATCTTCCCCATGTTTGAGGAGATCAGCGATGAGGAGTGGCTGCGTCGTGCTGCTCCCCTCCACTACCCTTACCACACTCCTGAGTCTCAGAAGAGATATGACGAAGAAATGGCCTTCCGCCGCGAGAGAAGAGTCAGGGAGTGGTACGAAAGGGTTGCTGCATACAAGAAGGGATTGAGAGCCGACAGAGCCGAGAAGAGAGCCAAGATGAGAGCTCAGGACCCCGAAGACTTCTCTGACCATGACAGCTTTGTCAGCGAGGCCTCCTTCCACAGCGACTCTGAGTTTGGCGACGACGTTACTGCCGAAGAGATTCTTGACAAGCTCTGCGCCACTCTTCGTGGCATGTACAAGCGTGGTGTCAAGCCATCTGACCCTGACTTCAAGGAGGCGCTCAGCAAGGCCCAAGACGTCAAGAGAGTAATTGAGCGCAACAACGAGCCTGACGCTGTCATTCCCGAGATGCCTGAGCCCAAGTGGAACATCAAGCTCGATGAAAACATGAACCTGACTCTTCTCGACTTCGACAACGACCCTTTCTTGTCTCCTGCGGACGAGGTTCTTCTCGACGATGTCCAGGGCTGCTTCAACACCAGAGACATGCGTATTATGGAGGAAATCTTTGCCAGATGGGCTAAGCTCGCCGATTATCGTGGCAAGGATAAGGATCAAATCCACAAGAACAAGAAGGAGCACAACCGCCTCTTGATCTTGTTCAACAGACTTTCGGAGAGAGTCAACGCCAGCAAGGATGATGGCCAGGCCAACGGAGACGAAGATGCCAATGACGATGACAGCAAGTCTGGTGGTGACGAAGACGACAGTTTCGACCCCGAGTCCCAGCCTGATTGGATGCGTATCGTTTCCAAGAAGACTCGCCTCATTGTTGAGGCCTCCGACATGGACGTGAACCCCAAGCATGTCGTCATTTCCTCAATGACAGAGGAGGAAGAGCTGGAGTACTTCGCCAGACTCCACCAGCTTGATCGAATCGAGTGCGCCCAGTTCAGAATCGAAGATGAGCGCAAGGCCAGAATGGCTCAGGAGATCAAGGACAAGGGCAACGACATCCAGTGGCTGCATACCCGTGACAGAGAGGACTTTCCCACCTCACCTCGCATCTCGGCTTCCAGTCAGACAGACTCTCCTCCTGCCCCTATCGAGGAAGCCTATTGCCAGCATCGCTCGATGGGACAGAAGCTCACTCTTAGCCTCTTCGATGGCTCGACTTTGAAGTGCTTCTCTGCTGGTCCCCACCACACCCGCGAGGAGGAGTTTGCCTCGTCGTCTTCTGCTTCTTCCACCAACAAGAAATCGCTCATTGATCGTGGTGCCAAGAAGATCGCTCGTGGCATTAGGAAGTTCAAGAAGCTGCGCCGCAAGGTGCTCTACGATGATGAGTCCAGTGGCTATTCCGATGACAGCGATGACACTGTTACTTGTCCTTGAAGTCGATACTTCGGTTTGTTTCGTTCCCATATCTCGTGTGTGATGCTTGACTGATGCGGCATGCAGACAACAGCATCGGTTCGCTTGAGGCCTCTGCCGAATCTGGCTGATTGAAGTCGACCAAAGTCGAACGAATGACTTTTTCGTTTGGTTTTCCTTCGTCTTCCCCAGTCCCACCGACAAAGCAGGCAATGATAATGGTAAAAACGACTTTATGGTTCCATGGCGCGAAGAGAGAAGACGAAAAAGCACGGGGTCTTTGATCGAACAAAAGGAGGGATGGATTTCAAGGTTTGGGTCTTATGAAAGAAAAGCAAAGAAAGTAGCGTAGACAGAAAGGAATTGAGGGAACCCGACCTCTGAACCCACTGCATGAATCCGTCCCAATGCCTCTCTTCTGTGAAGAGAAAAAGAAAAATCAAAACTCCTTGAAATGCTCGACGAACTTTGAACCCCCAGTGTCATATATTTCGTGATACGGCTCTGCTTTTCTAACCTTGGAACAAAAGACCTGCAGCATATTCGACGTTGCCATCGGTGGCGTCCAAAGCGGCAATAGCTTCTTGTCTAGAGAAGCCAAGACCGATCAACTGCTCAATGGCTGCTTCAGAATGCTTGCTGCCTGAGGCAGCTTGTGTAGGCGCAGCTCTGGCGGGAGCGGAAGCTGCAGGTGTAGGATGTACTGCAGGTCCGCTCGTGGACGCCTCGCCGAGAGAACGGCCTTGGCCTTGGAAGTTACCTTTGGGTTGTTGCGACGAAGATCCAGCTTGGGTGACAGTTCCAGTTTTGGTGCCAATCTCAGTACCATTGGGGCCCTTGATGTGCTCCTCATTTTGCAAAGCTTCTTCGAAGGATCTAGGGATCTCAGACTCGGGCAGGAAATCTACTTCGTTGTCCTCGAAAACCAGCTTGTTGCGGCGAAGGTCTATGCATCCTTGATAGCGCTTGAGCATATCCAAACCAAGCAGAAGATCGACATCCTTGCCCTCCATGACAGTAAAGGAACATGGCATGACAGCCTTGCCAATCTTGATGTCGGCTGAATGCACGCGACCAAGAATCTGAGCGGTACCAACACCACGAGCAATACCAGAGTATCGCTTGTCGATCAAGCGCATGATACCGCAGTTCTCGGCGCAGCTAGGAGACATGATGGTAGTCTGAGCACCCGAGTCCACGAAGGCCTTGAGCTTGTGACCATTGACTTCGCAGTTGATGTATAGCATCGTCACACGACCAAACACTGGAAAGAGTTAGCAGCTGTGATTTTTTAGGACTGGACGAGTATATCAAATTACCTTCGGGATTGTGTTCATAAGCATACTCCAAGTTCTCCATGACACGATCTTGACGGATGATCTCTTCAATCTTCTGCTGAGCCTCAATGTTGAAGGGGTCATCGTTGAGCAATTGCATCTGCTCGCGTCTTTCACGCTCTCTAGCCTCGGCCTGTTGGACAGAAGTGACGTATAACTCTCGAAAACGGACAGGATCTGAGGCAGCGGCGGCGAGCTCAGGTCTTTCCTGGCTGACCTGTTGCATGGCTTGAGGGTTGCCCAATAGCTGCAGACGCAGGGTTTCGATCTGATCATTGCTGAAACGGCCTTGTTGTGGCGGCTGAGACTGCTGTGGACGGGTCTGCTGACGGGGCATGTTGTTCTGTTCGCGGACTAGCATATAGAGCATCTCTCCATTCTTTATTCCTGCCTGGTCGAGGGTCTTGTCGTCGCCGACTACGGGAGCACCGTTGAGGAAGAATTGGATCGAGGTAATAGGAAAGCCGGTGCCGTCGTGAACTTGAGTTTTGAGATTGGCGAGAGTGGACGAGTTGTCGGCGTCGAGCGGTAGGAATTCCTCGTCGAGAGCATGGCCGGGAGCGTTTATTTGTATCGTGACTTGCACCCTGTTCGGACGGGCATCAGCATGAGTGATCGAAAAGAGAAGTCAGAACGAGTGTCACGGCACTTACATGGTTGCTGAGATGGGGGAGGCTGCCTTGCGTGGAGATTAGAGATGAGTGGGATGGGGTTATGCACGTCGCTGAAAGAGGTCGAGCAAGCGCGAAAGAGGTTGCTCTTGTGTCTTGGACGTGTTGCACCTGGACGGGCGATGAGTAATGACTGTGAGAGAAGGAAGGCACGAGCACCTTGATACGCCTCACTGATGGTTTGTAACGGACAGAAGGCCGTCGAAGCGCCTTGAAAGCTTGCGGAGGCAAAGACGACCGGACCCGTGAGTTTCGAGTACCTACACGTGGGATAGACCGCACAAGCATTTATATTCTCTAATTACTTCCAACTCCCCTGCTGTTCCTGCTCTACCTGCTGCTGCCAACTGCCAAATGTGCGCCATGCGCCATGCAGCCATGCACGACAAGTCACTGGCAGATTGGCGGTCTGCCACTGCCACCTGTCGCCTGTCATGGATTAATGCCCCTCATCTGCCTTTGGTCGTGCCGCCACGAATCCTGCATTGTGTTGAGGCTTCTCCTTGATTGTCCTGTAGTCCAACGGCGTACTTTTCAGACAAAGACCTGTCAACTCGTTCTGCGACAACGACGTCTGTTTGCCAACTCTGATGCCATCGCCGCCGTGGCCGTTCATGTCCAACCCCACCAGGGTGTGGTCCATGCACTTGCCCCTTCACACGTCACTTCCACACGAGTTGCCTTTCAACAAAGCACTTTGAGTAACCTGTTTTTGCCTGTCCTACCAACGCTTCATCTTCGTTCTGTGTTCTGAGACTCTTACAACGCCAGGGGCTCGACTTATTTTCCCACTTGCTTCCTTGCCTATAAATTCCACCACGAACAACCACGTGCAATCGAACAATATGCCCCGCGATCTAGCCGCCTTGATGAGAGGTGACGAGGAGCCGAAGGACAAAATCTCCCGCGACATGGAAAAGCAGGACCACCTAGCTGAGATCAAGCCTTACGTCCAAACTTTCACCACCTCCGACATCGACAGTGCCGTCAAACTGGAGGATGCCACGTTTCCCCCAGAGGAACGCGCAACCAGAGAAAAGGTATTTGTACCACCATCGATGCATTCTGTACCTCTCTCGTCAAGCCCCCAACACGTGATCTTGTTCTCCTTTCACCACATTTAGTATTGCTGTGCTCTCTCTGAGGCGCTATCTGCGCCTCTGTCCGTTTCTTGTGGGATCATACTCGGTGTCTTTCAGGCCAACTCAAGGTTACATGGGAGACGGCCTTCCTACACGCTGAGTCTATCAGATTCGAATTTCGCCAAAGTTCAAGCCAGGCACACAGGACCCGTAGATAAGGGCATGAATCTTGTGCAGCAAACAGAGTTGGTCATTAGTGGTTGCTGAGAAGCTTTCACCGAATGTGACCCCACTGGCTCGAGATTTACTCGAGTATTTGCATTGCCGGGTGCTATACAGACTATAGCCTACAGAAGGAAACCGGCATCACGCGAACTCGCCACTAAGAGACAATGTCCGATGGTCAAAGGTCATCTTCTGGTATCAGCTTTTGAGCTCCTGCCAAAAGCCGCTGATCAGCGTCTACCTCTTTTTGTTCGCTGCACGATTCGGTATTTTTTCTCGTACCACCGCTCGATCACGATGAAACCAAGTATACTTGTCTGGTTCTGTGGCTAACACACATCGCACAGTTTGAGTATCGCTTCACCAAATGCGGTGGACTATGTCTTGGCCTTTTTACCTCGGTCGACACAAGCGATTCATCAGCACCTCTTGCATCGGTTGAGACGGCCTCCAGTGCCCATTTCGTGTACAGTGGCGTACCAACGCGCAAGTCAGTTCTCCTAGCTCATTGTGTGGTCACCAAAACAACCAATCCCACTGTCATGGACGAGGATATGGAAGTACCTAGCGATTGGAAGACTTCTGGTACTGCCTCGGGCAACGTTGGCCACAGAGAGGAAGGCCGTACCATCGCTGTGCACAGTCTAGCTGTCTTGCCTTCTCTACAAAACCAAGGACTTGGTTCGACTCTGCTGAAGGCCTTCATCCAGCGAATGGAATATGTCCAAGCTGCTGACAGAATCGCTTTGCTTGCTCATGGTGAGCTTGTGAAATTCTACGAGAAGTTGGGCTTCGAGAACAAGGGCCCTAGCAAGGCAACATTCGGCGGAGGAAACTGGGTTGACATGGTCTGTCGATACTTTGAGAGTGTGATCCCGGAATACTGACAAGGCAAATAGGTTCTCGAGTTGAAGAACAACCAAAAATGATAAATTCATGGCTCAACGATTCACGACTTTCCACACAGTTTTTGGAGGCATCTAAGTGTGAACTGGTCGGCTGCGACTAATCAGTGGTCTATCTAGGCTACGTAAGAGCTCGTCCAGAGGGGGGTGCATTGCGCGGGCAGCACCACGACTTTCCAGACACAGACTGGGGACAAAGGTACCGACCAAACATTGGCCTGCATGAGATTCAAGTGGTGCAAGCTCCAAAGCTGTCGTTGTACACTATCAGATGATAATAACCAAAAGCTTCCCGTTTTGTTGAACCGTATCTCTTGACAGTTTTGTCAAACTCCACTTTTAATGGGTATTGGTGTCTTTCCTCTGAGCCACTTCATCCTGGTTCAGCACGCCATGACTAGATGCAGAGAGGATTTAACACGCTCTGCTTCTCGACTAACTGAATAAGAAGTTTCAACCAGGTTTGCCTGATGCATGCATGTCGATCACACGGCTATGCATGCTCACCGCCCCGCATGAGCACGAAAATCTACGACTGGTCGCGAGAGGCTGGTAGCTTGTTGTAGCTTATACAAATAAGGCTAGATTCTTACTGCAGCGCTACATGGTCTTTGTCTTCCTTACATATCTGCCTGCTGGAACATATCGGACAGGGCTGTCATTAACTAATGTTCTCCAGGACAATGATTGTGTCCTTCCATGAAGACCAACTGCTCGAGGCTGCGCGATCTATATCGAGTCTAGACAACCATTTTCAATCTCATCGCGTTATGAAAATAATAGTTGCACAGATGAGTTGTCTGGAAATAGCACAGCCTCCTGTCAATACGAGGTGTAAAGCTACCTATCCGCATTCTGGGGTCATGTGCTACGTAGCTCGACTGGCAAAGAAGGCAGGTACTACAGCGGATGGCTGGGGCTCCTTCCCAAGCACATACAAAGGCAAGTGCAATACAAGTAACTCCTTCCATGGCACTGCGACTGAGGTTCTTTGCTTCTTCAATCAACACCTCTTTGTCTTCCTTTCTTCTTCAACATTCACAACAACATCCACAACATCAATTATCACAAACACAATCAAAGTCGCAGCAATGAAATCAACAGTCTGCTCCCTGACCATCCTCGCCGGCTTGTTGGCCTCCACAAAGGCAACGCCTATCCCTGTCGACACCAGTCTCAAGGAGTGCGGTGATCAATGGTACAGCCCACACAGCTATACCTGCCGAGCCGGGGCCGATAGTAACGCCCTCTGCCCGGTCGTTAACGGCGAAGCCATGGATGACTGCAATGGCGCCTGCTACACACCTCTACGCTACAAGTGGTTATCTTCCCTGTCAATACTCGGCGCAGTTACTGACCATGACCAGCTGCAATGGAACAGTCCTGGCTGAGGATCCAAGAAAGACTAGCGGAACTTTCACCCTCACTGCGAGCAATCCAGACCAGGCCTTCGACGGCCAGCCCATCCAAGCTGCTGGTAACCACTTCTGGGTCGGATCACATGCTGCCACCTACTGCCCAACAAGCGTCGGCAGTTTCTGCAATTCATTCCCCAATGACACTACCCTCATCGGCAACGGCTATATGGTGAGCAAGAGTTAGTTCTGTTCTTTGTGCGCACACTGATCAGAAATGAGGCCACTGCAGTTCCCGGCGGACAAGCCATCTATTGGCAGACGGACGGAGCAATGACCTTCACTCAAGCACACTCGGCCTCCCAGTACAACCTGAGTTACTACGGCGGCGGGATTGCTTACGAAGGCGGCGGCTACTTCGGACCCAACGGCGAGGACATGGTCACTTGTCCAGTCGCGCCAGAAGGCAGTAACACAACAGCGTGGAAGCTCTTCGCACGCCTGTCTGGAGTTCAATTCCCCAGCTCGTGCGTCGGACTTTACGTTGTCGTCCACGATCAGAACATGACAGCAGGTGCCTGGCAGTACACTTGAGAGAGCCCAGTGCAGGTCGATGGAGAGCATGAGAGGTGGAAGGATGAATGGGCTTAGAAGCAGGTAACGGGTCTGGAGCTGCTCTCATGGAATGCATGACTAGGAGTTACAAGCATGGTGTAGGCTTTCAAGAAGCAGGAGGATAAAGCAGATGCAAAGGTCACTGCTGTGTAGCATAGTTTTCGCACTGCTAGAGCTTTGATAGTGTCAACATGTATTATTGTTCTTGATCAACGTTCTTGTTTCGAATCGATTAAGGATAGGAGGAGTCGTGTTTCGGGAATGGAGAAAATGGAGATTGGCGGCGGGTCCGGCAGGTGGGGCACGGACGCGATGACGCGCCATGGGGCAGCAGCGGGAGTCTTGGACTTGAATGTCGGAGCTGATAGCGAGGTAGTTGATCATCTGTTACTTGTACTGAGCAACGAGTAATCTTTCTTTTCGTAATCTGATCCTCTGAGAATCTCCATCGGCACATAGCAGCAGCCGTCGGCTTCCTCAGGCAAACAAATCAGCGAGGACTCTGCCCAGACAGACCAAGGACTAAGGCCGAGCTCGTCCCCAGACAGGGCAGAAGCTCCCTGAATACATACGTTTCTCTACAAGACCATCAGGAGCGCGGGTCGTGTCCATACCAGACCACATGGTTGTCAGACGATGAGCTCGCGTACCAGCTCGACGACAGCACAGTCGTCGACCCTACGGCCTCGAGCGCCCCGACTCATCTCCGGTCTCGATGATGAAGCCCCGGCTGCTCTGAACCCAATCCCACGCCATGCCTCGCCCTTACCTTCGCCCTTTGACTCTCGCGAGCCCTCGCCTATGCCCTCCACGCGCTTGCCGCGGACTGCTTCATCCCAGACCGTTCGCCCGGCAAAGAGCATGAGCCGCTTGAATCCCCATCGTGCTCAGTCCCCCGCAACCTTGTCGGCCTTCTTTGGAGAATCATGGTCTGCTATACAAGGCATGGCCTCGGACCTGCTTACTCCTTCTCCAGTCTCTTCCAAAGCTGCTCTCTCGCCGCGACGTCGTAAACCCTCTATCACCTCGACCTCGACACGAAACACAAGTGCCCCTCCGAAGCAATGGGGCGTACCCACATCCACCCCTTCTTCTGGTGTCGGCCTTGGCTCGTATGAAGAGAGAGAGTCCTTGATACGTGCTGAGAAGCGCAAGCAACTCATGAACGCTACTCCAGAACACAACACAATCGGCCATTTCAAGCGTCGTTCTTCCGAAGATGGCGCATCCGCTTCTGCTCCTCCTGAAAATGGTCATGACAGAGACGCCTTGGTATATGTTCATCATGTTAAGCCTGAAGATACGCTTGCCGGAATTACCATCAAGTACAACATTCATCCTTCAGCCTTACGACGCGCAAATCGCATGTGGCCCAACGATCGTATACAAGCTCGCAAGACTATCCTGCTCCCTGTAGACCAGTGCGCCGTCAAAGGTACTCGTCTAAATGGCAGTGAGGATCTTTATCAGCTAACTCAGGAGAACAACCCTTTTCCTACATCTATAGAAGAGGTCAAGACACCCATACCAACAGGCAGGAGGAGGAATGAGTCTATATCTACAAACGGTGATCGACCTTCGTCTTCGTCATGTCGTTCTTCACACGATCCAGAAGCAGATTGGGAACACGATTCATGGGTGCTCTTGCCAAACAGCAAGCAGCCTACAGAGATCGCCCGATCGTCTCGACGTAATCTGGCCTTTTTCCCACCTGCTAGACGAAAATCTCAGTCTTATTCTGACCTTGACACACCTACCGCCTCTCTCGACCTCAACAGATCTGTGATACATGAAAACCCTCTGGACTCTCCTAAGCAAGAGATACCTCAACGACCACGCGGCATCAGAAGGTCATCTAATGCAAACAATGCTTACTTCCCCAGCTATCTGGCCGGGCCAGGGGGTGTCGGAACCATGGCTAAGAATGTTAAGTCGCCTGGTCCTGCTCAAGATGGTTTGAACAAGATGTTTGCCAGTCACCTTCCTAATGTCGCTCCCCCACCGAATCAGTCGAACCTCTATCTCCCTGACATTCCAACATACTCGGATAATCCTACGCCCTTTACACCTGGCCTCACGCATGCACAATCGCCTTCCATCAATATCGAGAATGTAGGAGCAGCTGTCGAGGGATGGATGCGTAAAATGGCAGCTAAAGCCAGCACGGCTATTCCACCACCACAAGATCGAGGAGCCGCGAATAGAGGTGGACCAAGTGGAATCGGCGATCTGATCGAGATGGCTGAGTCTTTCGAGATAGGGGAAGACGAAGAGGACGAAGAAAAGCACAGAGGTCGTCAAGGCTCAGAGAGCACTGGCCGACCCGGTATGAGCAGTAGTGCTTCTTTCGCGTATGCTTCAACACTCAAGGATAGAGCGAGGAGTGGGACCAGTGCTGGCGCTGGCAAAAGGCAAAAAGACGATTAATTCTGATTCAGAGGGGCGGATCTTGTTGTATTCTGGATGGCATGAATCTGAGTAGCGTGATAGAGCAATCTTCCACCAAAACTATTGTTGTCAACAGTGTCTAGTCCGAGTAGTCTGAAGTGATCTGAATCTGTGTTCGTCCTTCCATTCTATGTATTGTGTTGGGCTTTCACGTCCACCACCGTCGACTCGATAGTGAACCCCTGAGTATTAACAAATCCATGTATCACTCAAGGCCGATCCTCGTGTATCTTTAAGGCTCTGAATTGAGCAGCATTTCAAAAGAGGAGTCGAGAGAAAACATATTGCAAAAAGTGCATAGCTATACAGGCAACCCTGGCCCGTGCGGACCCCAAGCATGATTATTATTATTATTATTTTTTTTTTTTCCTTTTCTTTTTACATTTTTTGTCGCCGAAAGCGCCTTTCCCTTCTCAGAGATCTTTCCTTGTGTTTGGCCAAAAATCCATACTCTTTTCTCTTTGACAAATTGACACCCACCTTGTTCTGCACACCTTCTTTGGACTGTGAATTAGCAATTCTAAGAGAAGCACAAGACTGAGAGGGAACCATGGGTTTGACGAAATTTGAAAAGCTTCCTGAGGACGCGGTTCCGTTGACGCGGCATTCTGATATAAAGTTGGTGTTGGATACACCAAAAGGTGTGTTGTTTTTTTCTCTCTATCATATTTGAAATAATAAAGAAGAGGAGGAAGTATCGTGACGATACAGAAAATCTAGATGGTGGAAGTTCCTTCCGGATTGAGCCCCCAATTATATACCTTCTTGGCCATTGGTATTTTGCTTCTCTCGCTCTTTCCATGAGTCAATATACTAAGTTGACTTGACACTGTCTTGACATTATCATTTTCAAACCTCGCAAAATGTCTTCCTCCGCCTTTGTTGGAATATGTATAACCATAACCATGGACTGACAGGAACTTAAATCAAGGCAGAGGCGTCTTCGCAGCAGCACGCATACCCGCACATACCGTACTAGAAACCTGTCCAGTACTAGTCCTCGATCCAACAGAAAACAAAGAGCACATTGAGAAGACAGAGTTGTTCCACTACACATAGTAAGGCGCCTTTTTTCCATTTCATCCTTCAAATCCACTTCTGCCCTGAACTGCCATTCTTTCATTCCTCCCAAACAGAAGACACTGATACCTTTACAGCAACTGGCCCTACACCTGCCCCAAAACACAAAAACAACTCACAACCCAAGCTGTAATCCTCGGTCTAGGCAGCATGTTCAACCACTCAACACAACACCAAAACGTGGGTTGGGAAAGAAATGTCGCCAATAAAGTCATCGTCTACAAGACTTTGAGGGAAATAGAGGAAGGAGAAGAGTTGTGTATTTCGTATGGAAGTCGGTTGTGGTTTAAGGATGCTGATGTCGGGGAGGAGGAAGATGAGGGGGACGGCTTGGGCGTGCTTGGGGGTATTGAGGTGTGAGTTTTCATTGGTAGGGAAGGTGCTGTTGAGGAATTTCATGTGTGAATGGAAGGAGGTTACTCGAATGCTCTCTCCCACGACAATGCATGGTGGATTTCAAGCTATCAAGAGGCATAGTATTATTCCAGTTGAGGAAAGATCCAGAGAAACATCTTATGAATATCGTCTCTCTGTGGACACAACTCTCCTAAGTCGTGGACATAGTTGTTGGTGCTGTACCATTGGTGCATGGATCATGACATACTGTTGGTCTTGCCAGTGCTAGCAAATATCGCATGTAATTTTGGGGCAGTCAGTACTCATGTAAAGGACAGAACTGGTTCCTTGGAACTTGTAAGATTCTCGTATTCGTGTTTCGCAGATATGCCTCCTACCATCCTATCGTTCCATCGTTCCTGTCCACCTACAGCTATGATTCTCCCAAGTAAGTGACAAAGACCCAGACTCCCAAGCCCCTGACGCCTTGCAAGAAAACAAAAAGTGCGAGACGGAAATACATCTCTTCAAGAATTCTGCCAAGTCGGCGTCCAACTACCACCCGCAATTGATGTTGTACACGAAGGAGATGTAGTGATCTTGCCACACGGACTTTCTACTCCTTTTCGGTGCCTTCGGCCAGCTCGGCGGCGTCTTGACGCTCTTCCGCTTCGTTCCTGAGGTCGTAGGCGATGTCGAAACATTCAGCGAGTAACGATGTGACACTTCCCTGACCTTCGGGAATATCATCTCCAACCATGAACTTGCCATCTTTCTTCATGTTGTCGATTGAGTTGAGCTGCACCACAGTCAGCATGAGTATGAAAGGAGATGGCAGAGTGAAATAGACGAACCTTCATGCTGTACGGGTACAGCTCGCGAGGAGAATCAACACCACCCGCGCGCTTGACTTCGAGCAGGCAGCGTTTGAGAGTGAGCAGTTGGTTGTAGATGGGCAACAGAGCTTCTGAAACAGGCTCCGACGAGATGATGTAGTGGTAGATGTATGAGTAGCTCTTGCGAAGAAGGTAGAGCAGTGTCTGTAGGAGCAAATGTCAGTTGGGAGTAACAACGATGGGGGAAGGTAACATTACCCTCTGCGCGTGTAGATCGGCAGGCTTCCCGTCGGCGTCGAGGAAGTTGCCATCGACGCGAGATTCGTCGATGCGGTCAAGCTGTCGTTGGTAGCTGTACAAGTCTGTCTCGCGCAGAGACCAGGCCTGGGTGAGGTTCATGTTGTCGAGAGTGTTGCGCAGCTTTACCAGTTTGTCGTAGGTCTCGCGGAAACGATCTTCGATCTTGCCTTGCCTGTAATATTGTTGGTCAGACATTCGGATTGCCAGGTAGCTTGTTTTGACTTACTTCTCCTGGACGATTTCGAGCCAGAGTAGACAACGGCTCAGCAGGAAGGAAACGACCTTGTCACCCTCCTCAATATGGTTCTCATCAATATGAACTTGTTGCAGGCGTTCGGCGTATGCTTCCTCGGCTGTCCTGCCCTTGTGTGAGACGCCAGCATCTTTCAACTCTGCCTGAATCTGCCTGAGCTGGTCCCCTAGTTCTTCAACTTCCTTGACGGGGAACTTTGATCGTGTGTTGCAAGCAGAGAGTGAGCGCAGGATTGAGACGAGCTTTTCGTAGTAGCCCATGAGTTCGGGTTCGAGGCGAGATAGCGAAGCCTGGAGGTCTTTGAGGGTCTGGTAGCAGACGTCGATACGTGCTTCAAGTAGCGTCATCAAAGAGTCACTGTGGACGTCTCGGCCGCGTTCGACAGATGAACGCCATTTTCGGAGATTGTGTTCGATGGATTCGAGGTCTTGGGGTAGGTAGAAGCCGGCTTCCTTGAGATGGTCCAGGAGACGCTGTGCAAAGACGATCAGTACAAACAAGGCCATATGCGGGATTCAAAGGCACTTACTTTGACGGTAGAGACGGCAGAATAGACAGCGGGAGCTTCCTGGTTACGACCGATGGTAAGGAAGAATAGGGAGACGAGCTGGAAGCAGTCGTCGAGCACCGTGTCGACCCTGTTCTGTTCGCTACGCTTGTCTGCACGAAGATCGTTGAGCTTCTCGACCTCCCCGATCAACTTTGTGTAAAGGTCCAAGACATCTTGGGTGCGAATGTATGATGAACGGTCGCTCTTGAGCACGGAGAGCTGGTCACGCAAGCCGAGCAGACGGTCGAGGATGGGCTGTTCCTTGGGATCGAGCGGAGAGCGCACAAATGGCGAGTCGGTCATGCTGTACTATGAAAGTGGACTGGCGGTGTTTCTGCAAGGATACGGCGTCGAGACGTGGTATGCGGATGCGTGGATATGGTTATGTCGGTTGCGAGGCGGTAGATGCTTCGGTGACTGCGCTGACGTATTGGCAGCGGGCAGCGGGCGGCGGGCAGCAAGAGGTCCGAGGCCGTTTGCACATCTTGCTCATCCTGCACATCTTTGTTCCTCGGCATAGCGCGCTGCCTGCTTTGTGCAACCTGAACGAGCTCAAGTCACCTGACAAGCCCAAGGAGACACCGCCGCCAAGAGTGCAGACGGCCCGTGCGCCCACTCGCCAAATTCCATCGCACACTTTTCTGCAGCCGTGGCCGACTCTTGAATCCGTCGTCAACCACGAGAAGAAGTCCGTCTGTTACCCTCGCAGAAAACAGAAAGGCATCTCTTTACCCATCCATCAAAATGTCCACCGCCGAGCTCGCTTCCTCCTACGCTGCCCTCATCCTGGCCGATGACGGTATTGAGATCACCGTATGCGACGCCCTCAGAATCTTCGACAATTTCGCGACTCCCCGCTGACTTGCTATACCAGGCCGACAAGCTCCAGACCCTCATCGCTGCCGCCAAGATCGAGGTTGAGCCCATCTGGACTCAGCTCTTCGCCAAGGTACGATTTCACTGCTCGCGAACTATTGCAATACAAGCGCACACGCTGCCCTGAAGAAGCAATCGCAACAACCGCAAAAAATGAAACTTTGTCTGACTCGTCGCGTGTCTACAGGCTCTTGAGGGCAAGGATGTCAAGGAGCTCCTCCTGAACGTCGGCTCTGGCTCTGGTGCCGCCGCCGCCCCCGCTGCTGGTGGTGCTGCCGCCGGTGGTGCCGCCGACGAGGCCGCCCCCGCCGAGGAGAAGGCTGAGGAGAAGGAGGAGTCTGACGACGACATGGGCTTCGGTCTCTTCGACTAAGCGTCTCGTCCCCCTCTATTCGCTTCACCTTCAACAAAAAAATCCTCCCCCGTTCTGGTGTATCTTCAAGCGTGGTGGAATCGCTCAGGCTATTGGGAACAGTTTACGGCTCCGGAGGAACATGCACCTCTCTGCTGCTTCTCGTCGGTTCGCCCGCGCGGCTTTTTTCTGCTCGCCTTTTCTATAGTCCGAAGGTTCGCCATTCAAAAATGGACCGGCTCAAGCAAAAAAATCTCCACGAAGTCATGCGTGCTTCCTGTGTCTGCGCAAACAAGTGATGTGCCTTTACTGTGGTTGAAAGTCATTCATCTTTTCGTCTGTCTGTCTTGCTCTACTTGTCTGGCTCCAACGAGCTACTGTGAATGCGCATGTCTTGAGGTCCCATCTTTCATATTCCCTTGATCTTAGCCATGCAATGCTCCTCTTCTCAGTATATCTCAAACAACAATGTCAAAAAGAATGCATGTCCCCGTCTTCGCCATATTCGCCTTGAGATGCACCTCTAATCCGTTCTCCCGTGGTATCATTCGCCCATTTGTTTCGACTTTTGCGCCTCCATATACATTTTCTTGTTGAATCGTTAAACTCCTCTTCCACGAGGATAGCTGCGTAGACTGGGAGCATCTGACTGCCTCTCAGCTGCACTCTGCAGGCCCGAAGCAATGTACTCGGAAGGAACCACCACAGAGCTTGGCGTCGAAGGGACAGTCGCAAGTGCCGCTGGTCCAAGTGCTGCGCTCAAAGGGGTCGCAGGCACCGGTGTCACATATCCAGACACCGAGTTTGATCGAAGTGCTGCCTGGTACAGCTGGGATCCGTTGACAGCAATACTGACTTCCTTGACTGCCTTTTGAACTGGTCGCATGACTACTTTGACAGAATCCGTGTCGTAGCCTTGGTTTCCAATGTTTCTGATCTCAAGAGCGAGATCCAACCAGGTCTATTAATCTCGTCAGTCAGTTGTTCAAGAATCATCTGACAAAGCAAAAAAAAAAAGAAAAAAAAGAAAAAAAGAACTTACTCGCACGAATTTGTCGCACAACAGCCAGAAGTCTCGTTGAGTGCGCAAGTTAGGATCCTTGAGTTTGACCTTGGAAAGTCGATTTCTCATCGACTCCAAAGCATTGATGGCAACATCACACTTTTGGAGAGCCATCGACCAGAGACGTGACATTGATCCTTGCATTGATCGTTTGGCTGACTCGTTTCGGCTGTAAAAGTCGACTCTGCAACTTGGGAGAGTCTGCGCGGCAAGTTCGCACGCATGTTGAAGCTTCAAGAAGATAGACTCGAATTGACGTTGTTCTTCGCTTTCTTCGGGCGGCTGCTGCAGTACGACGGACCGTGGGATGCCAGAGGCTGATGAAAATGACTCGCCAGATCGTGGTGTCACGGCACTCATGCTTGTCATGGTATTGCTTCTACTCGTGCTGAGAGGTACTGGAGGAGGAGCGGTTCCAGGAGTCGTCAGTCGTGAAGGTTGTAAAATAGTAGCGCCTCGTAATCTCTTCTTTGGTGCGATCGGTTTGGCCTGGGTGGGTGTGCTGGCCCGACTGATGGTCGCTAATGATCCGCGAGCACTTCTCGATGATGTCTTGACTTCTGTAGCCTGGAACGCCAAAGTGTTACGGATCTCGATCAGAGTGCCGTAAATATGAAGCATGAGGCTCCTAACATACATGCCTTCGCCACGCAATGCAATCTTGCGGGCATGAAGACGGAGCTCTGCAGCAAGAGCAGAATAGCTCTGCAGGACATGAGCACACTTTCTGCGGATTGCTTGAATCCAGGGGTCGTTCTCTGATGCTCTGCTCTCGCCAGTGCCAGTGGAGATCTGGCTCAGCCGTCTGTCAAGTTCTTCGAGACTTGCGCTTGATTCGAAGAAAATTCGCTCCATTGTAGTCTTTCTGGGCGTACCGCTCTTCATAATACGCACGGCATCGCCAATGGGACCGTTGAGTTGAAACAAAGCAAAGACAATTCTACTGGCAAGCTTAACAGTCATGCTCGTTGGTCTTGATACACGCCGGTCTTCCGGTAGACTGGACAATCGGCGACGAGCTACTGGCATGCGACTGGAAGGCTCCATGGGACTGACCGCTCCAGAAGAAGACTCGTTGCCGCTGTGGGCAGCCAGACTTAAGCTTGAAGCCCCTCTATAGTGGTGTGGTTTGAGCGTGCCAGTGTCAGTCACCGATGTATGAGAGCTTCCAGAGATCTTGCGAGGGACATAGCCAAGTCGTTTGGAACGCGCACCAGTAGAGGTGACGGTTTCGCTTCGAGTTCTGCCATTCTCGCCTTCAGCAGCGAGCACTCCAATGCCCGGACGTTCGAATCGACGGCCTATCGGAGGGTTCACGAGAGAGTCTCTAGCACGAGACCTCTGCGGAATTGGTGGTGGTGGCTTGAGACCTAGTCCATCGCCTGATCTCAGGTTGTCAAGCCCTTCAATGCCGCTCATGCTCGGTCTGACAGGAAATCTGCCTGATATTGACCTCTTTGGGGGACGTGGGGTTTCTAGACTGGTCTCGCTATACCACTTGTCAGTCTGATTGCTTGAAGCTTGTGATGTGGGAGCCCATTACCTAAGATCTGGTGTTGCTCTTCCCAAAATTTCCCGTTGTTTGTATTCACGGAGAAACAATTTGACCTGCGAGCAAACCTGACGAGCCTCTTCCACTGGAGGTCCGCCTGGAGAAGCGCCGAGAGGATTGGGAACAAAGACTTCCGGTGGTGGAAACTCCATTGATTTGGATCCAACTTTCAGCTTCTGCAAACGGGACATCTCGCCCATGCAAATTGGCAAACGCTTGATCTGATTTGACTCGATGGCCAAGAACATGAGCGAGTACATGAGGCCGACATCGTCCGGGACTGAAGTAATGTTGTTGTGACTGAGATCCAGGATCTGAAGTTTTCTGAGATGAAAGACCTTGGCATTGTTAGCCCGATGCAATGACTTTGCTGTGAGTTTCTTCGTACCGGTTCTGGAAAGGCATTCAGTTTGTTGTGACGAAGATTGAGGTACAGCAGATTTGAACAAAAGATGAGATCGGCAGGTATCTCAGTAAGTCGATTGTGTCCGAGCGAAAGTCTCGCATAAAGTTAGCATGGTAATCTCAGTTATACGAAAGGGGTCCAATTGTTACCGTTCCACCCGATCTCTTATCAAATTGATCAACTCGATAGGCAATGTGCGCACACCCTTGTCACTCAAATCGAGTGTATCGCCAGGCTGCGTGCCATAGCCAAAAGGTAGTTGCGCACCACCATCTAGGGCGGCGAGTTGCTTCTCCTCCGTCTCCGCAAGCGCTGACTTGGCAAGTGCAATTAGATCTTCAGTGTTTGCTGCCTGCTTCGTGGACGAAGCCTCGCCGTGATTAGATGCCATTTGGGGTATCAGATCGTGTGCCTGATTTCATGCTGGTGTTAATGAGTTGGCGATATCGTGAGTGCACTTGACCTGCAGGCAGGGAGTTAAACCTACGGCGTTGTGTATGCAGGAACACGGCCGTGCACGGTCGTCAGTGCTCATAGGGCTAGAGATTGACGGCAGTTTCCGGTGACCAGGGTTACATTGGAACTCGGTCATATCAGATTTATTTTCCTTGTAGTCAACTCTTTGTGATGGGTCGCTGGTGCCAGTTGCTCATGAAAGACGTTCTCATTCAAATTCATAAATCAAGCTTTTGCTACATGTGCTCAATCTCCAATCTAGCTTCTCAATGTTGTACTGTAAACCACAATCGTTATCTCGTAGGCATAGAGCTTAATTCTTGACTGGTGAAATCTTCTCGCTCTCATCTTCTCTTCTGATGTGTCGCCATTCCTCCTCATCTGCGGGTGCATCAATGGTGTTGGCGGTCAACTCAGGAATCTCCTCGTCCTCCATCTCTTCAGGCAAGATCAAATTCAGGATCAGGGCGACAAAGGCCGCAACGGCGAAGCCTTGCTCCATGACCAGTACAATGGCGTTGAAGAAACCCTCCAGGGCTTGGTTGCTACCGTGGTATGTGAAGACATAGCTGAACCAACTGTATATTTGTAAGACACTGAAAACATAGGAGGCAACAATACTGTACATACGTAGGAACAAGAGTAGCACCAAAGCCAGGGGCGAATGCTGCGGCCAGGATGAATCTGTTGCGGCGGCTGAATGGGACTGTTGAAATGATACGCAGACCGCTAGTGGCGACAGACGCGAACAGGAATGTCGTCATGCCACCTAGTACAGCGGAAGGGATTGCTACTAGTGCAGCTGCGAACTTGCTGAAGATTCCCATGATAAGTAGCCAGAAGCAGGCTGCATACCCGGCTTTTCGGTTGGCGCATCGGGTCAAAGCCTATTTCTTGTCAGCTTTTTGTCTTTCCTTCGAGGATTGTAGAGAGCACGACAATAACCCCATTATTCTGGGCAAACACAGACATAGGACTAGTGACATAGTTAGTATCAAGGTGTTTTAGGAGGAATAAAAAGGAGGGAAAACGTTTTGGAAGGGGGGGGGGGGGGGGGGGGTTCAAAAATCCTGAAATCACCGCTCTTGAGAAGTGGCCCATGATATACATCACTATAGAAACACAAGATAGTTTTCATATCAGACTTGGATCCAGTGAGGGTGCATTGATGAGCCACTCTCGTTGGACCAAGGCACTGTTTTAGAAAATATCGTGTATTTTTATAAGCACGTAGGTACGACAGAGACAGCAGGAGATGTGTTCACTTACGTCAATGTGCAGAGACCTGCAATGAGTCCGTTCAATCCGTCAGCAAGGACACCACCTTGAATGCGGCTGTTGAATGTCGCTCCGTCGACCTGAAGGCGAGAAACATCACAAGACGCAGTAATGTCGCCCATGGCTTCCATAGCCAGGACAATGTATACCGTCAGTAACGGCAAGACCAGTGGACCGTAAACCTTCAACTTGAAGGTGCGAACCCAGATGAAGTTGGCGACAGGTGCAGCATCAATACCGCTGCGATCGAAGTATCCGCATGCGGCAGCTACAATACATCCAACGAGCAGACCAATGATAACAGCACAAGACTTCATGATTGGGCTGCCGAAGCGCTCGGTCAAGATGATGCTGACGAAGACAAGGAATCCAAGTCCGACAAACTCTGCACTTCCCCAAGGAAGTGCGTGAGGCGCATCGATGGTCGGACACAACCTATAGATACCAGATTCAGGGCGAGATGAGCAGCTACCACTGCCTCCAGCCCAATCCTGGAAGCCGGAGCTGATCAACGATATACCAATCAGCATAACAGTAGGTCCGGTAACGATGGGCGGAAAAATCTTCTTCAAAGTCTTTGGTGGGGTGAAGCTCATCAGTATTTCTAGAAGGGCGCAAACACACGAAGTGGCGATCAGTGCGCCGTATCCATCAGGGCAAGGGAGGTGGTTACCATCTGCATCCGATGGACAGAAACCGGTGGCATACATTTGCGAAAAAGCACCTGTTGCGACGGGGATGGTTGCGAAAGATGTTCCCACGACTGAGATCAATCCAGTGCCGACGTAGTAAGGAGACTTCCAGATATGGAATCGGGAAATCTGTATCATGCTCAAGATACCGCTCATAATGAGACATGCCGAAACCAGATACTGTTGATCTGCCTGGATAAGGTTGGCACTGCCCGAGAGGATGATAGGAGGTGTGATGATGCCTGCAAGCATAGCAAGGGCATGCTGGAGCCCCAATAGCAAGGCAAGAAACACTGGCATCCTGTCGTTAAGGCCAAAGAAAGGGCCTGCCCTTCGTGCCCTTTTCATGAAGGGGAGTTGAGGCTTAAAAAGAAAGCCATAGTCGTAGTCGCCTACAAGTCCTTCTTTGGTAGTAAAGGCTTTAATCAGGCGACGGCCTTTTTCGGAAAAGGACCTCTTAGGTGTGATCTCGGGACCAATTGTATCTGGACTATCGTCCTTAAAGTTGTTGGTCATTATGTCAATGATGGTGTTTCCGCGAGTTCGATTGAGAACGGCACTTTCTGGGAGATCAAGGGCTTAGAGGTGTAGTCTGTTAACACTTCTGCTGGTCGTTTCTCCAGTCGTGTGCGATATTGAAATGGAATCTCATAAGGTACAAGCAAACAGTTATCTGAAAGAACAGGAGGGATGGAAATACAATGTCTTTTGCTCTGAATTATATTGAAAGTGGATTTACAAAAGTTGGGAGTATTGAAAAGATATATGCGATCGACAAAAGATAAGCTATGTGACGAAGGTCAAAGAAGATTTCACTGTACCGTGTGGATGTACAAGGAGGGCAGAACCAACCGTTCGGTCGTCGGCGATGGCCATTTACGTCAAGCTGTTACACGATCTATTGGCGCGGGCAAAGTCGAAGAACATGCTATGTCGCCAGAACAGTCATTAGGAGATAGGCTGTTGATGGCTATTAGAAAGGCCGGAGCCGTGCGACAAGATGGATCCTTCCAACAGATATCGAATGCGTCCTGTTGCTCGATGTGATTTCGTTAGAGGTTCGCGGCGCTGATAAGAAAATGAGAAGGGAAAAATCAGGCCGCGTTCTCCACCTCCGCCTCCACCTGCTTCTCTCCACCTTCGGCCAACCTTGCCGGCATCTGACACCTTGGACACACGTCGACCACAGCGTCTGTCCTCCTCGTGTGCCAAAGTCCCTAACATCTGTTGTACACCAATCCTAGCAAAGAGCAAAATGTACACTACCTATTTCTGCAGAGAGTGATCAAATTGTTGCTTCTCGGTGGGCACTGTCCTGTGTCCTGGTACTCTTGTGCATTTATAGCTACACGATTTACATACTCTGGCACGCGGGGGTGGGGTATGTCTGGACAGAGTCATCTGGAAGGTTTGAGTTTGGATTAGATTCCAGCTTCAAAGATTGACGTATACAAATACTCGGTGTAGTATGCAAATTGACAAAAGAAATCCCAAATGTGTCTATCTAGGTGCTTTTCCTTTATAAGAGACAACGCCTTTTCGCCATGCTGCTGATGTAGCTGAGCTCTCTTTTGGTCCGGACCCCGATGCGCGCCTTTTATGAAAACATGACCCGATAGCAAGAAACACTATTCATGATAAGCCCCTTCCTGACTCCTCAAAGCAATACCCAGGTGTGGTGATCAAAACTGAAAGAGATGGCGAGGAACGTCGAGACGAACCACGTCTGTTGTGGGGAGTGTGTCTCTTACACGCTGATGGAGCCAAGGAGACGGGCATGAGGGCCGCGAGGTACAGGAACCACACCCATGCGCTGAAGAGCGACTTCTGCAGCGTCCTCGCGAGCGTTGTTGACCCAGTCTCCGTCGTACCAGTAGCGAGCCTGGTGCTTGCATCCGTTGACCTCGACCACACTGGACCAAGCAGTACGGCCACCTGAAAGATGTCAGTTTCTGCTTCTCTCGATTCGTTCCGCTCAAAAGCATACCACGTCTGTCAGAACATTCTTGGAAGTTGGGAGCACGGAGGCCACGGCTTCTGCATTCATCTGCATGTCCAATCAGTGTTGGTCACCGTCACACGATGGAACGAACTTACTTATGAGCTTGTTCTGCCAGACAGTGGAGTGTACTGGAGTTGTGGCGGTGTGAACCCTCGAAGCAGTCATAGAAGCCATCTTAGATGTGGGCGAGAGTAGGATCGGCAAAGGCGAGATAGACTTGGGTAGGGTAGATTTTGGCGGTAGGGACTTGCAGAGTAGATTGGAGGGTGACTTGACGAACTACAGCTTCGATGCATGAGTTCTTATACCGTGCTCCCGTCCTTCAGCTACAGTCTTGACCTTCGACATGTCACTTTGCAATCGCCAACATCCTGGACAGCAAACCGGACAGTTGCTTCGTGTCCTACTTGGCAGGCTTCAGCCCTGGTGAATTGATAGGTACGATGTGTACTGTGTGCTGTCAAACAAGGCAAGTAGCAGCAGAGATGTCAAAAAGGGTCTTCGAAACAATTCTGTCTATCGGCTAGGCTCTTTGCAGGGCCGTCCCGCCCGGCTGTAATACCCAGGTTTGTTTGCGTATGATCTGCTTCCAACAGCAAGATGGTGGGTTCTCATAATACCGGCTCCCGAGCCGCTTTGTTGGATAAGAAGGCCCGATGAACTAGCAGTCATATAAACTCCACAATATATCAATCATTTATAACAGAATCCGAATTGGCTTGCATTCGGCATCAATGCCGCGATTAGTCAACGCCAGCTGGTCGGGCAGCGACCCGCTGGAGCTGGTACTGCACCGTGTGCGGTAGTTGCATGCTGGCAAAATTGGATAGAGTGATGTTCTCCTTCATTGAGCCACGTCATTCCGCCATCAGGACACATCAAAGATCATAGGAACATTGTCTGTCCGCAAGTTCAAATCCCAACTTCAAACTTCTCAGAAGAGGAACACTCACTTTAACGACATCATCGCCCAGCAAGGATGCCGGGTGCCCTCGGGTACCTGCGTGATCAGATACAGGGGCAGTCGGACGGTGTCGCCTCCCCGAGCACTCTAAATCTTCAAGAGATTGAGCGGTGAGGAGCACATATTTGTACGACCATGAGTAGCAGAGTAATGATCGTTCAAGGATTACTTGAATTTTTTGATGTATATATTTATGTGTATCATGGATGACAGGACGTTATATGATCCGAGCGTGTGAAAAGTCAGGTGTTCGTGCCATTATAGCGACCAAGAAAACACATATCAACGCGATGCAAACATTCTGAGAAAATCCGGAATTATTTGTGCGATACAGACTAGATTCGTATGCAAGCGTATCGGGCAACTGACAGGTTTCAGTATGCGTGCTTTGACTTGGAGGAACCAGAAAAGGAAACATCGGACAGGCTCGAGATGCAGAAGACGAGTCAATCTCAGATGCGCAATACTTCTGCACATCATCTCATCGAAGCGTCGTGTTATACGTCGCAACTTCCTTTTCGAAGCGGTGTAGGCCGGCGGCTTGCAGTATCACCTGGACGTTTGGCGCCTGTACCCATGTACTCCATGTCTAATCGAAATTTTGGGACAGCAGTGGCAATCCCAGCACGAACTGGTCTGGTATGGAACCGGCGCTTGATGCAATCGTCGACCAACGCTATTAGACCAGCAGCAACCACAACACTGAAGATGGTTAGTTAGTAAGGCGGTGAGTTTGAGATTAGCAGAAACAAAACCTACTCTGAGATTTCGTTGTGGTTTTCGATGATCTCTGCATCGGTTATACCCATAGTGCAAGGTGGAATCCAGCCTCCTTTCGAGAGCTCTTCACGCTGTTGCACACCGCTCAAGAAAGTAGGCTGTATCCGGGCCAGAGGGCAGTCCTCATTATTGCGAAACAAACAGAAGGATACTTCCTTCGAGGATCCAATCCGATCTGTGATACGTTTCCAGACATAATGGACTCCCCAGTACTCAAACTCATACCTTTTACTACTCTTAGCACCACGACGTTTCACCTCCACCTGAGCATAGTTCGAGAATTCGAGTTTGATCGTCTTGGTGGGGACGGGTACACGTCCCCTGCTGGAGAAACCGATTGGTGCGACGACTTGCTGGTTGAGCTCGATACTCTTGTGCGACTGAAGTGACTCGTATCCAGAATCCGATCTCTTGAGTCCTGCGGCTGGACCAGAAGCCTTGTGTTCTGCTATCGTACGAAGAGATGCAAATGCGTTGCTGAGAGATCTCTGAATGTCCATCCTTCGTGCAGCGGCACTCTTTTGACATTTACGCGAAGAGTGGCAGACTTCGCGGCCAGATTCTCTGCAATATCTTCTCAACGAGAATTGCCTAGATTTCAAGTCGTGCATGCGGAGGTGAAACAGAGTGACATCGATGGGGCTGTACCGCGAGTTCTCATATACTGTGTCAATCCGGAGGTTCATGTTGCCGTCAGGTGTGGAGTCATCATGTCTAATCGACAGAAGGCGTTCTGATGGAAACAGTTCGGCAAAATCTGATGGAGTTGATGGAATTGCCCGGCTTTGATATATATCAGGTCGGGGCAAAGGGCGAGGTCCGTCAGACAAAGATTGCTCATCGTCATCATCATCAACTTCTGAAGGCACAGTCGAAGCATATGTTTCTGCAGACGACCTGGGATCCTCTACTTGGCGATAGTGTTCGAGCCTGGAACCCTCGAGCCTTCCCTCACATGTTTCGTAGTGCACAAACGGGGGTCTTGATGAAGGTCCGGTATACTGGGTGCCTTGTGTACTGTGAGACTGACGAGAATGGTTGCTGCTTCCAAAATCACTATTCGAAAAGCTGGAGTTGCGACTCGGCAGGCTCTCAGAATCGGCGTGGCGGCGATGCATGGTACAAGGAAGGCGGTGTGATAGATCAGGGAGAGGAAGCACTGCAGCGAAGGAGCAGGTAACCTTTATTATCACGGGAAGAAATGCTAGGTAACGTGGTGGCAGTGGGGACGGCAAAGACTAGGTGGGTGATGCCAGGCCGATGGCAACAGCACATATCTAGCGAACGAATGGCGATCGCAGCCATCTAAACGACAATCAAATCAGCAGGCACGAAATAGGTGTCGACCTAGCGAAACGAGAAAGGACGGTGGCTCTTCTAAGCACATGGGCTCCTGTGGTGACACGATTCATCGAGCCCATCACGCATCGATCACACCTTGACCGCTGCGCCCAACCTCGTCTCGACCTGTCGGGCTCACCACAATCCAATCACCTTCCTCCCACACCGCCACTAATAGGATTCCTGCAGCTGCACTTTCTGCCTCCGCACACGCTCCGGTTCACGGGCGTGCTGGATGGCGTCGAAGTTTCTGCGGCCACGAGAAGCCGTCGCTTTGGATTGAAATGGCGCGTTGCCGTCGCGCCATCTTCCGCGACTGCTGCATTTCTTGATGCTAGCAACACGTCATGTGCCTCTGTCACGCCCTACACAGCGGAATGCCTGTTGCAAGAACCTTCAAACTCGTTCATGCGCCAGCTCATAACCTGTGTCACGCTCGAGACTGCTGGATATCGTCTCATCTTCCGTGTATCTTCAAGCTTGTTGCAGCATCATCGTTGTTGCGCACAACAGATCAGTGGATAACCTCATGTTGGGAATCTCATGCAGGGTATCCAACGGCCACGGGTCTTTCCCCGTCGACTCCACACGACCCTTATCGACTCACATGCGCCTTCCTCGCTATTGCTCTAGAAACTGGCAGTTCACCGACTTTGATGCTCGGGTAAAGTATGCACCGTTTTGAGACACATTCGATAGTAATTCATCCCGAGGACTACGATTTAAGTCGGCGGTTCCGACAATATTCTCATGAGGGGTATGCATATGCATGTGCTACTGAACCCAGCACCAATTCGCTATTTTCGAGCAGGGTCGATGCTCATGGCAGGCTTTTGCAACCAATCGATCTTTTCTGGGAGGACTGGTCAGATTCATCAGCGGAAGAGGCTGCAGGCGTATGGGCGAGGCTGTCCGACACAGAGCACGATCTCAGGCCAAGCTCGAATCTCGACCGAGAATTCAATGGGTCCTTCCATTGCGCAGAACACTGTCGTATGTGCAGTTGTCAAGTTGCACAATACTCTCAAGAGAAGAGGTAACGAATGGGAGACTGTTCCTGAGTAGTTGCCTGCTGATATAGCGAAGTTGTGCGCTCGATCCTACAGTTGATAATGCTGTGGATCAATGTGAGTGAATGCTTGTAACACCACAGATTGACCCATCGGGAGCCTCGTTTTGGTACCAGAGTCGACACTGTGATTGATGCCTCTTGGCGATTATCAAACTCTCAGTGTGGCTTGGTTTCTCTGAGACGATGTCTGGCTTGAGCTCTGCGCCTGGCTCACGAACAGCGAATCAGCACTTCTGGCTAAAAGCTGTTCAAAGTACCTTTTGCAAGTAAATCACCAATCTGAGCTGATGATATGGGCAACTATTGGTGGATCGCACGGCAGGATCTCTTCAAAAACATGTTTGTTTTGCTATGATCTACTCTGGAAAGACTCTTTGACGTGAACATTTCTGTTTTGGTGAGTGGTAGCGTCTTAAATATGCACTCTTCACCGAGCTGTTTGCTTATCAGGGTAAGCGGAGGCACTAGTTCGAAATCTCAGAGAGGCGTTGCTTCGCCCGAGTCGTCGAGCAAGGCCTCTGGATGTCCTCTGGACAACACATCACGTTTCTTCATGTCGCGCACCAACACAAATCGACCAGGCTCTGACCATACAAGTCGTTTAGAGATACCGCCGGAGTATCACCCGCATAAGATCAAGATACTTGTCCTGTCCTATGTACAGATCTTACGTGGTGCCAGCTGATGGATGAGTTCAGAAACATCCAGTTTCCACCAATCCGAACTCCTTATAGAGAATTGTCGTCTCCTGTCGACACGCGATTATACCACAGAGGTGTATGCGACATATTGCGATCATTGAGCCAGTCTTTTTCACCTTGTTCACAGCTTGGTACTTTAACAGTATAACAAGATGCTGCACTCCTGTTGAGCGCACAATGGCTCACTCTTGCGGATTGTCCAGCATCTCTCTACTACCGAAACAGACATCAATCGATACATGACGATATGCGGAACTCTGTCGACATCTCACCAGTATGCCAAAGGCTATGCTTCGAGTTACCCTCTTCGCACGCTCAAAAATGGTGATGTTGGAAGCCATGAAAACACATTTTTATTTTCATTTTCGTGGGAATCACTTCTTTCGCCAAATGGAGTACACAATGTGACAGTCTTTGGTCAAGATGAGGAAGAGAGTGCTAGTGTGGACTGGATCTGAACCTTTCAAGAAGTGAGAATGCTCGTTGACGTTTTGAGAAAGTGACAGATTTCGTAAGTGAGTCGACGAGGGAGATGTTGCATTCTACTCACTACACTTTCCTTCCCATACGCCTCCTATCTACATCTCCTTTCTACGCTTTCACCTGACTGTCTCATACCACTTAATTCAGTTCCGTACACACCACCATCAGAGCAACAACTTGTCCTTGCCTTATCAACAATGCCACTCGCCGACAAGGAAGCAGAGTTTGAAGATCTTTGGGAGCAGATGGAGGAGCTCACAGAGTCTGGTGACAAGGCAGACAAGAAACTGGCTCGCGCCATTGCAAAACATCTTGTAAGCTACGCCGGATTGCCACGTTCTTACGGCATCCGCGCTCACATGGCGCTGGCCTCGCTTGTGTATGCTCGAGACGTTCTTCGCGATGCTGAGCAGAACAACGCAAAAATCCATGTCATGATCCCATCTAAGCTGCAGGCAGAGCTCCAAATCATCAGAGAAGCGTACAAGAGCAAGGAAACAGAAGCGATGATTGTCATCGACGAAGACGAAGCCGCCGAGGATACCTCAGAATCTCCACGTACAACAACGGCTCAGCTCGGGCTCGGAACCCAGGAAGAGCCTATTGATCTGACCCTCGAGTACGACTCTACACCTTTCGAAAACACTTGCGGCAGATCTCTTGGCGATCCCGCTTGTGATCAAGTCGAAACGAAAGCCCGCTCGGGACTCTCCCTCTGGCCAAGATCTAAGGTGATTACCCTCATACATTAGGGAATCGGACTTTACTGACCATATCTTCAGTATTCATACGCCCGCCCAGAGTACATATCGTCTAAATAACGAAAACAAAGTCATGATGGTCAACAAAACCGACTTGTGTGATGGACATCAGGATCGAAGATGGTACAACATGCTACGACACCAAGTCCAGGAAGTGTCAATCATACACTCAAGCAGAACAACCATATCATCAGACACAGGTGCAAGATGTTCGAATGTCTCTGCTCTGCCCATCTTCGCTAGCTATGACCAGCGAATTTTCAGGTTCAAGGACGGGAAATGCCTGCAGGAGTTTATAGATGCTGGGATTGCACCAACTTCGTGGCGCGAGATGATTGTCAGTATACATAGCTTCGAAGTCAACAAAGTCTCGTCATGAACAATTCTTCATTTCCATGGTTCTAAAAATACAACTAACTTCGAATGTAGCTGTACCTCCATGTTTTGATGTAAATATTTATCACGATACGTCTCTGTTGGGTGACCATTCGAAGGTCTGGCCCGTGTGCGGAAGATCTGGCCAACAGGGTAGAATAAGTTGTGGATGGCGAGCGAATTTGTAACAAGACACCGAGACAATGTTCGCCCTCGAGGAGAATGGTGTCGAAGTTGGCGGGAAAGTGGGATGAGTTGACTGCTCTTATCGTTGCAAGTCCACGGCCTAAGCTTCGTGTCGAAGAAATTCGCAGAACAACGCGACTTCCCACATTTCAACGAACGAAACAAAATCATTTGAGAGTCAAAAGCATCTCTCGATCCTGACATACCATGATGAGACCACCAAAGGTCTCGAGTGGTGCAGGACGTCGTCTCTGCCTGGATAGATGGTTGTTAAACTGGCGACCCTGGCGTGATTGCGATTCAATTGGCGAGTGGACGATCCACAACCCGATCAACAAGAACACTCTTGAAGAACCATAACACCTTGAAAGACTGTTTGGAAATCATCATCTATGCCGCTATCATACTAACACCAAATCCAAGTAGTGCTAGGAAGAGGAAGCTACCCACACAAGCTCCAATGACGATTTTGCGACGTAAGACTTGATCGGTTCGTAGCCTGTTTTGCATAGTACGTCGGTCTTCTCGTCTATCTTTTGTATGGTGCACGCGAGAGATATACCGTTGAAGGACGCGTTCGTCGTCGTCATGTCCCTCCTCGATGACGCTTGTTGTCTCCCAGCGGTCGTCAGTGAACATGGAGTTTATTGGCGGTGTTGGTGCCATCTTGTCGAGCTCGATCTGAAGGCAGCCGGGCGAGCGTGAAAGGAAAAAGGTGTGAGAGATTCATAGAGCTGCAGAAGATGAATACACGAGATGGTTGTCATGAGAATTTGATCAAAACGGTATTATGAGAGAATTATGCCCGGTGTAGTCGCTTACTGGTTCTTCGAGTTTACTTACAGCTCCATGTTGCAACGAGATTCTCAGTATAATGTGCGCAAACCAGGCCAGCTGATGATGTGATGGATCTTAGTGAAACTTACTCCGTTTTTGGGTGGTGTGATGCTTCTGCACGGCGTCCTGCTACTTTTTGCATGTCAAAGATGAAGTCGAAACAAAACAATAAAGACTCGAGCAGATGAGAAGAGTCTATGTGGTAGGCTCTCTGTAGACAGTGTTGACACTGACTATGATCCACTAGCTCTCTACCTGCACGAAAGTGCTCGGTTATGACTACGCTGTGATAGAGAACCCAAACATGTCGATGAACCTTTCAGGCTCTGACGATCGGAGAATTGCGGAATTCCGACTCCTCCTGCGTGTATGGATCTTGTGAACAAAAGAAAGCGGATTGCGCCGAACCCCCTTCTTATCTGTGGAGCTGTATGTCAGGAGAAAGGGTCCAGTCAGGGCATAACCATGTTGAACAGTGATCATAAGCGGAGTCATGAAATCCAGACATGTATAGATTTGATGCGACGCCTGTGACAAGAGACTGACGGATGATCCTACCAGGAAAGCCAACAGAGATAGTTGCCTGAGATGCAATACTGGAGTAGGAGGTTGCTCATGGGTCCGTGTGGATCGAATGTACGGATCACAAGTTCAGCTGGCGAGATAACGCGCAACTTCCTGTTTCAGCGCGATAACCTGTAGCTGTCAATCTCCACCACCGGAAGTGTCGTTCCTCTGAGATACGTTGCTTTCGTTCTTACGGAGTACTAGACTGTGCTTAGTGACAGTGGGTACTGTTATCCAGCAGTTCTCCCGACGCACGTGCTGTTCAAGTGACAGCGATTTGCCAGAATCGGCAGTACCGTAACGAGATGTGGCGCTCAGCTACAGACACGCGTTTTGTTTGGAGGTTGTCACCGCCCTTGTTGTGGATGCTTGAGTGCAATTTAGTGGTCCTTGCGAGCTCCACAGGGTCGCATAAGAAGGAAACATATTGCATGCCGGTCGTCTGATCCGCTAGAATCCCAATATGTTCCGTTATCAGCCTGCAAGTAACGACTTTTAGCCCCCAGATGGGGGATATTAGGGGAACGCCATGAATGATGGATTTTGTCCTCGGCTAGAGTACGGTATTCGGCGAGTGTAAGAGTGTTGTTACAAGCCGAGTTGCCGACTCACGGAAGACATTTCTCTTCGTGATGCCGAGTACCTTTATTCCGCAGTAACCGAGGACAATGGGAAGAAAAGGTCAACCGGCGGATGTGTCCTCTAGCATACCTCCTTTGCTCCAAATTGCTTCCTAAGACCACCTCCTTCTGTGGGGTTGTGCATATACGGAAAGCCGTATCTGGAACCAGTCTATGCATCTTATGGCGTGTTCATGTGATTTGTGGGTGCTTTGAATGGAAGCTATCGCGAATAGTCCGAATCACGCAATCATGGTTCACAGAAAAAAAAAATCATCAAGGCATCAGCATAGATCCCCAACACTATCTGAGCTGCAAGACCACGAATCGTGGAGAGGCTGTGAGAATTCGTTGGGCAGGAGCCCAAACTGTTGCGATGTATCTCGGCGAAACCTGTCGGCGCTCCTATCTTGATTGAGCACGAAGCGATAATCACATGAAAGCAGACTGTCAGCTTCTTGAGCTTGTGGACAAACACAAGGAAGATGGTGCCACTTGTACTTATTAGTGCGCAGCTGGGCATGGGCCCAGAAGTCCACATGGCTTGCAATGTCAAGTGCAGGCCATTGTCACGATGATTGGAGTGCTCCTTTTCCTCTTTCTCTACAGCTGCGTAAGGTTTCGTCCACTAACCGCCTCCATGTCAAGTTGTGGTGGCTTTGCAAGTGTGGGTGAGGCTTGATTTTGGTCTTGGAAACACATGGCAATGCTCGTCGTGGGGTCGGTTCTCCCCACAACATCGACGTGACCTGCAGGAACGCAGGAACATCAAAGAAGTGAGTGAGTGATGCATGGCATGGCAGTCTACTTGCATCTTTATCATTACATAAAGACGTTTTACCTCTCGTCACTGGACACGTCAAATGCCACTTTGTTGAGTCGAACTCGAAGCGAATCGCGTCTGAGATTGCCTAACAACATATTGGTGGGATCTTGAGGCCTGCGTTCAGACCTGTATCTCACTCATAGTCGGGCCGGTGATTGTGTTACGAGCGAGTGTCACAGAGAAAACTCCGGACATAGGGCTGTCCATGTTGAGCCAAGACGAGTAAAAGCCAGTGCTCACAGCTCACAGTGCTCAACCCACCGAGCAAGCGTCTCGAAACATAGGCTCCCACGTCACTGAATCATGGATGTGTCGATGGGGAACCGGGGATTCGAAACCTCTTTGAGAGATGACGACGACGACGAAACCATGGCGTGACGCCGTGAATCCGCCGCGAAAAGAAAATGCAGAAAATGTTTTGCTGAACGCTTCTCTCTCGTTCAAATGTGTTGGGGATGGTTGTACGGCAATGTTTCGGACGCCATGCTATATTCGGTGCGAGAGAGCAAATTTCACTGCCAAGAAGATAACAGAAGACTTTTTCTTTGCGCCCTGCGAACGTTGAGGTGCGCATTGAAGCTGCTGACCAGGAGAAAAAAAACATACCAGAGACAAAGTGGTCCTTGAAAACTCCTAATATCTGTTGGTGGCGCCTTGTGTTTGTGGAGTGGTACAAGTACAATGTTTGGGACCTGCATCAATCCTCTGGCGTTCGGCTCTGGGGCGGCCTTACGGCCACGTGTGTGCAAAGTCTTGTTGGCTGCGAACCAACGCCCAAGGAGCGGAACTCGCTTGAACCGCTCCCCCGATGGCAGCGGCGGATCTAGGCGTTGCAACTGATAATCTCATATCACTGTGTGGAGCCTCGCACCACTGTCATCTGCCGTGCACTGAGCCGGTTGAACCCGATGACAATTTTCCTCCTCTGTGGGCCGAGATACAGTTCGCCATGGAGACTGTGTAATCGAGTCAACTGCCGTCGGAGTAGTTGCTCTTAGCATCTCGAATTTGAAGAGCGTGTGGGGATCGCAATCACACCAAGAGACCAACAATGACTCGATCGAACAGTGGACCTGTAAGTCTGGCCCACCCCCACTCTGGGGCAAGCAAAACCGCATTGATAGACGCTGTGCAAAGCGACTCTACAGCTAACAAGCCATCATGCAGTATCAACAAAACGTTTGAAGCCTCTGAAATTGTGTGATATTCTAGAACCTGAAGTCCTCGAGTGCCGCGAGAACCATGGCCACGGACCCACGGGAAGGCCGCATTGACCCATGGCAATGGTAGAGAAGTGGAGGATGCGCAAATGTGGCTTGCGAGCTCCAGGTTATGGCTCCCTTGGCGTGGAGAACAGGTCGATTTGCCCCGGATCTATGATATGCTATGGAAAGTCAGTTTTGAATGAGGGGTGTGTGCTGTGTTGATCTCGATGGGCGAAAGGAGACGAGCTCTGCGAAGTACGTGCGCGAGCAGTCAGCGATACAGGAGGAGGTAATGGCGTGATGGACGCTTGCGCATCGCTACAGCGATTAGGGATCGAATTACATTTTGTTTTTGCCAAGGTGATTGTACAGCACTGTATCTCTGCAACATCGACCTTCGCAGGGTCCTTGGTGACCAAGTCTAACGAGTGTACACGATGCCCCAGGTTCTGGTGAAGGTCGCATACTCCGGCCCCCACGCCACCCCAGGCTTTAATGAATCACGAAGGGATGTTTTTATCAAGAGAAAGCGACAGGCAGCCATGTGAGTGTACGAGCAATTGAAACGTTCCAACAGTGGAGCGTAATTACCCGTCTGATATGAGGAGGCATGTCGGTTGACTCCTCCACTTGATCCGTGTCTGATTTGGAACGGAATAGGAACAGTTAACGCGCAATGACTTAGGTTTGATGACAATGGGAGTGTGGAAGCATGAGTAACGTCGAAAGGGTCTCGTTCCGTTGTACGAGTTGCGCGTATCGAAGAGACTGATAAGTTGTATTCAAGTCACGCGCAGCATGGAGCAATGTAATTCGCTGTTCCCCGGATGCATCTCCAGGTTGGACTGTTTCACATGCCAGTATCTGGAGATCATACAACAATCTATGCACGCTTTGCGTAGTGCGGCAAAGCAGATGGCTGCAGCCACGAGCGGGTAAATGCTCGGTTGAAGACCAATTAGGATGTAGGTGAGGTATGAGTGGTCGCCATTCCAAGCGTGGAAGGGAGATAGGGCACAGAGATAAGCAGGAACACCTTGCCCAACGTAAGCCTCGTCATGCGACCGTGGGAAGCGCAAATGGAACATTACGATCCATGTGCAAACAGAGGATAAAGCGGATACTTTGTAAACGAGACCTTGAGGTTGGAGTGAGCTCTCCGCTCCACACGTTTCATCTTCCCAGCTTCAGACGAGACGACGATGAGTTCGGGCAGAATGCGGCCAAATTGAGAGAGCTCGGGTTTTGATGAGGCCGGCCTTTCTCTCGCGGGCGCTTGGCGCTGTTGTTAAGCACAAACACAACACGGCCAGGGGCGTAGTGCTATTTCGGGCCTACTGTACCTCTGGGGGGGCGCTTCTATGAGAATTCGAAAAATCTTGTATGTGGGTCCCCACAAAGTCATTTCCGGAGCAGGCCCGTGTCAAGTGCAAAAGATACAAAGAATGCAAGGCGAGGCAGCGCAACGAGAGAGCTTCTCGGCTGCAAAAAGGCCAACGCTTGGAGAGATAACCGTGCAGCATCGTCATAATTGCAGCACAGAAGAGGATGTGAAGGCGCGATCGAAGACGTGCACAAAAGGCATCCCCAACACATGCCACGGGTCGTCACGGGAAAGGTTAAAAAGTCTTGTTTTGTGATAACCGGGCGGGCGCTCCGCAAAACAGACGAGGGTTCGGAACCTACTCGAAAACGACGACAGAGCAGCGATCTCTGGGGGGGGGATGCAGGAGGCATGGTGTGTGGTTGGCTGGCGCCTTGTCCACGGCGGGCTGGTGCTGAGTGTGCGGGTGCAGTGCACAAAAAGGGACAGATGGCACAAGCGGGTGAGGTGGTTTTGGAATAGACAATCGGGGACGGTCGACCGAAGAGCGACCAGCGCTATCTAAAGCCGTGTCGTTCCGACGGCGAGTCTTGTCGGCCCTGGGCCAGCAGCACAGTGCGCTAGTGACTAACGTCGGGCGCGACGAAGGCTGTTGCTTGGCGCCGGTGGATCTTTTCTCAGTCAAAGTTGGAGCGCACCCCACGCCTTTTCCCTTCGTCTGCGTCACGCTCTCGCTATTTAACCAGTTCTCCCGCCCTCTCCCCTCCCGCCTATTCTCCAGATTTTTCACCTTCACGTCGTCAATGCAGCGCACTTCGTCCGGTGTGGATTTCTCCAGCCTCTTGAATCCAGACAACTCTTCCTCGGCCACCCCCCCTTCTCACCCCAGCACTCCCTCGACTTACGTAGACGCCGGTGTCCAGTCTCACCCTTCTATGGCTGCTGCTGCCACTGTGCCCGCCATGGCTGCCAACATGCCCACTCAGGAGCAGACTACTCAGACCCCTCCTCAGCAGGATGTGCGCCCTGACCTGCCGCGTCCTTACAAGTGCCCTCTGTGTGACAAGGCCTTCCACCGCCTCGAGCACCAGACTCGTCACATCCGCACTCACACCGGCGAGAAGCCGCACGCCTGCCAGTTCCCGGGCTGCACAAAGCGCTTCAGCCGTTCCGATGAGCTGACTCGTCATTCGCGCATCCACAACAACCCCAACTCGAGACGTGGCAACAAGCAACATGCCGCCGCCGCTGCTGCAGCTGCCGCTGCCGCCGCCGCCGCTCAAGCCGGAATTATGGATCAGGCCCAGCACCAGGTTATGCAGCAGATGAACCACATGATGCCTCCTCCACCCAAGATGAATACCTTGGCTCACTCGGCGCCCTCGTCTCAGCTCTCATCGCCCAACGTCTCTCCCCCTCATTCTTACGCCAGTGCATACACAAGCAACCCTGGCTCTTACTTGACGCGCAATGTGAGCGGCGATCTCAGCCCCGCTGGCCTTAATCACCCCATGGACATCAACCTCTTGGCCACCGCTGCCTCGCAAGTCGAGCGCGAAAACTCGCTTCCCTCGCATCATCTGGGTCTTGCCAGCAGACACACATATGGCACCCACCCTTACAGCCACCACCCTTACTCGACTGGCCGCCTTCCTTCCCTCTCGGCTTATCACTACGGTTCCAACCCCACTTCTCAGCCCATGTCGCGCTCGCACTCGCACGAGGATGATGACCCTTACTCTCACCGCATGACCAAGAAGTCGCGTCCTGGCTCTCCTCAGTCAACTGCGCCACCATCTCCATCGTTCTCTCACGAGTCTACCTCGCCAACTCCCGACCACACTCCTTTGGCTACTCCTTCTCATTCTCCTCGGCTTCGTCCGCAGTATTTCCATAACGGTGTGCAACTCCCCACACTCCACCACCTCTCCCTCCAGCACCAACCGCCTCCGGCCCTTGCCCCTGTTGAGCCGTCCGCTGACGGTCAACAGCCGTACATTCCGACGCACCACAGCGGCCTACGCATCAGTGAGATCATGGAACGCGAAGACGGAGCTCAACGAAAGCTGCCCATCCCCATGGTGCCGTCAGCCGTCAAAGTCAACGATCTGCTCAATAACACCAACGGCTTTAGCAGCGGCCAGTCCAGTACTACCGGCAGTATAGCTGGCGACAACTCGAATTAAGCACGCCTCGAAATCGTTTGTTTGAAGTCATTGTCAAGGCGTTGGTCTTTTTGGCTATGGCACGATATCACGGCCTGGGTGTTTCGGTCAATTATTCTCGGAGTCTCTGTTATTCTACGTTTTCGGCACGGCGTTTTCACTACCCTATAGACTGGACTGGAGTCGGTTTGATAGTACTATTGAGCGGGAAGAGCGAGGGAGATTCACGAAAAGGGTTCTTGTTGTGGCTACGAGGATACCTGCAATCGGAAAGATTGCATATTGTTTTGTTATTGCTTTCGACAACCCCCAATGACTTCGTTTCTGTTCTGCAATTTTAGCGGCTTTGCTTCTCTACAACTAATGCGGCTGATGATTCGAGCCCAATGGCTCCTTCCTCTAGATAGACGCTTTCTTGCTCTCCCCTTAACACAAGCTTTCGAAATAGACTCATTCTCTGTTTCGCTAAATACACAGGCCATTCAAAACTACGTGCATATCCAAACATTACACTCCGGTTGTCGCCCATTTAGATCATTGCTCTCTCTCCACAGCATTAGCTCCACAAAATCTCCGCACATTCAATCGTCTTGCGCGTCCATGCGGATTCGTATGAGTTGGCTCTCCAGAGTTTCTTATCCACAATCAGTCCACATGCTTGCCCCAGCGTCCTCTAAGCCTCACCACGGGCCCCCTTGCAGAAACGCACCACCGTCCAGAATGAGCGTCTCATCTATTTGTTGGCAGTCGGAGCAATGGATTTGCGTACGAAAGGGCGACTGGGCGCTTAGTGGGCTTACGGGATCGTCGCCTCTCATTTCACTGTCTTGCCTTCTCTGCCAACGGATTGATCCCCCTTCGTGCTGAGTCATTCCTAGCACACAAACGTTCTTGTTGCTGTGCAGCCTTGCTGCTGATTACCCCGACAAGATCGTCACTACACCGAAGTCACGCCATGAAGATCTGCCTGCTGGAGCATTTGCATGAGTGCGCCCTCCTGATCGACGCAGGCAGAGGTCGCTCTGGACACTGACTCTCTCCTCTATCAAACAGAAAGAATGCTGGTCTCACATGTCTACCCCACCCTTTATCGGATGTTGGTGTGTCATGGCATTTTGCAACGACATCAATACGGAAGAGCTATCTTTTCCTTGTGATCAACTACGCCTAGGTCATCTGGTGCTCGCAAGTACTGCCCAAAGCGCACTGTTTTCGGCCAAACTCGGGATCACCTTCAAAATGCATGCACAAAACAGCCTGGCTGGGTGGTGATCGTCGCACATATTTCTTGCTGGCTTATCTTCTGCAGCAAAGCGACAAGAAGGGAATCGTCATTTCCGTGCCAACTATTCCGACCAGAGCTTCCGATCATGCCATTTTCTCAGGTGGTCGGATGGCTTGCAGGTACAAAGTACCTTTGTGCCGAGTTCGAGGTAATCGGAATTGCCAAATCCAGCAAGACCGTCTCCATCTCCAGCTTCCCTTCCTGCGGGGATTCCGGGGAAACAAAGACAATCACAACCTCTTGTCTTGCGCACGACAGGATGATTAGACAGAAAGCTTCGTTACAAGGTCAAGAGACTAGCAATCCGATCTTCCGGCTTTGCTTGACTGCTCTGCCGTAGTCTCATAGTGCTGCTGTACTTCACAGCCGTACTCGTCCGTTCACTTGCAATCGTTGCTTATATACGCGACAAGGACATACTTTCTCGCCCACAGTCGTAGCAACGCCAAACTACTGCATGGCTACCGCCATGAGCGCAACACTACTTTCACCTCCACCGCAACGACACCCTCTGGGCATTCTCAACGAAACTGCCTGCCCACTTGGACTTGCTTGGCATTGTGAAGATAGACGAACCTTAACCCACCAACGTGGTGGACCACCGGGAGATAATTTCACTCCTAGTTTTGCCGTCGTAAAGCGCAGCCAGAACGGCTACGTCATCAGGGACGGTGAGTCGATGCACCTCGATCGATAAACCTATCTGTGATATCAAGTATGGAGAAATGCAATGGCTTAAACCATAAACCTTGTCGGGAAAGTGGACAAGATCAGGAATCTGAATCGTGACAGACGACGTGGGGGTTTCGTTGCCGACCAACAGGATACAGGCAAGCCGTGTACCCGCCACCACTACGTGATCTATTGGCACTATCAGCTCAACGATAGGCTCGAAACCGACGGCTGAATCGATGACTGCGACATCGAGAACACTCTGTCTTGTCCTTAATGGCGGAGCAGCAAGCAAAGACAAGGACTAAACGACCAGAAAAAGAGAACATTATGACATGTTCGCAGAAACAGAGACGTGTCAGCGACTGCGGTACGAGAATGGTACATCCTTCCGAGTACCTGAATTTTTTGATCGCTGCTCCGCACCCTTCTATCTGGGGCCGCTTCTATCCGCGCAAGCCACCTGTCTCTGCCCCTCGATTTCCCCAGGATCAAGGCGTTGAATCAAAGGCAAAACAGACCTCCACCAACCCACAGAGACACGGGTACTTGTTTGAAGTACTTCCTTTTCCCCACCCAAAACCCAGCCTTATGCGCCGCGATGGAACAAAGGAGAAGCTTAGGAGTGCCACACCGGATCCTGGTCTCTTCTAAGTTCTTGCCCTCTGTTTGAGCACATGCTCCCCGCAAGTCTAAGTAGGCGCAAGCTCCGAAAAAGAGCTTCACAAAGTTCTTTGGTCTCGGTGCAATTATCGGTCTTCGGGGACTTGCACCTTTGTTTCGGCTGAACGTCGTGTTCTCGATCAAGAGGATTGAAGGAACGGTTTTAGTTGGACTACACCGCTTCATCTGCCACCTTCCTCTTTGCTTTACCTGTTACCTAAAAGGAACGTGTTTGGATGGGTGCCTGACGAAACCACCAAATGCAGCCGTGCAAGCTCCGATTCGATGGCCAAGCTGGGGCTATGCACGTCTCCATGAAATGCAGGTATGTTAGGCCTGTTGGTTGCCTCGGTTTTGACCGCCTCTTGTCGTCTGTGCCAACAACGACGTATTGAAGACACCCTTCAATGTGACCGTGTGAGTTTGATGTTTCATATGCATTGGATATGAGCAGAAGACACGCGTTCTACGGGGCTGTTCGGGCCTGATGGGCCTAACAGCTCTTGGGACTGGTCCAATTCGATGTATTCTGTAGACCACACTGAGAGTCAGGTGGATGATTGGATACTAGCAAATCTCACATAGAGAGATCACATATATTGGGGACTTTAGGCAGCTGGTTTCCACTCCCTTAGCCTGACCTTTGCACATTTTCCAGCGCGGCATGATGAATTTGTGATTGGGCACTTGCAGTTGCGATAGCGAGATACACACAATACTGGTGTAAGAAGACGTGGATGGTGTGGATGCGCAATCTATGCAAGGTATGCAAGTCATCTGGCCCAATACTACACAGCACGTGGTATTGTGGTTTAGAGACTTGGCTTTCTTATCTCTGTCGACATGTCCAATGTATCTGTATGTCTCAAAAGCGTGTGTGAGCAGCTGAGCTATCATGCCAACCCGCCATAACAGCAGCTGCTTCGAGATTCTGCATCTCACTCTTCCAATCAATATGCACAGTTCTGATGATTGATCATCTGTGGCTTGCACCGCGGGCCGCTGCTGCTTGCATATTGCATGACGAGGTTCTTTGTTGTACACAGTACACGAACTCGTGCTCCCTCCTATCACATGTCAACGATACACGAGCCAACCAACAGTTCTCTCCTTTCTTTCTTCACGTGCCAAACCGGGTGACTCTCTTGTTTGTTTTCCAAACAAGGATTCTCATTTTTGCCTGATTATCCTGAATATGCACTGCGCAACGGGAATAGAAATAAATGCTTAGTCGAAGAATGTTGGATGCATAATGCGGAGAGCGTCGACGTGGGGGCCTGTTGTTGATTTGCCGGAGACTCTTCCTGACCCCTGTGGGGCAAAGTGGTTCGTGAATTTATCCGGTCAATAAGAACTGTTTTGACAGGCTGTGAGCTGGGCGGCTGATAATTGTAGGCAAGAGGCCAGGGGTCGATCTGCCGCAAGGTCGGCTGTGGGGTAAACTGTTGTAAACCAGTTCAATCATCGATGATGATGGTGGCAGGTGTGTCGTCTTCGGGTGCAGCAGTAGCAGCAGCCTCATCGTCTTCGAGCAGCGCAGCTTCATCAATCAGTCCTTCTGCGTCTGCCTCATCTCCATTCAGCCAACCGTACTCATCGCGACCTTCGGCAGTACCATCAGCGATCTCGGCATATGGACGCTTGCGAATCTTGGATGGAGATGACGCGGCAAGTGTGACGACGGGAGCGTCAGCAGTGGAATCTTGATTGACAATGTCCTTGAGGCCGTCCTTGTCGATGGTGTAGGCAACCAATTGGCCCGTCTCTCCCTCATCGGAAAAGGCTACGCCATTGTTCTTCTGCAATCCAATGTACCTCGCGCTCTCGGGATGCTGCTGTTGCTGAGCCCAGCTTCCTAGCTTGAAGTCCCTGAACATGACCAGTCTGTTGGATATGCCAGCTTCCCATTCAGCGCCTCCCATGCCAGGCACCAAGACAGCGCCTAAACCGCTACCAGGACGCACGCGCGTGGCACATCCAGTCGTGACTACAATGGCCATGTCATTAAGCGCAGCCAACCTTTTCAAGGCAGAAATGAGAGTGCCCATGATGCCGTAGCGACGACCGGCAGCCCATCGAGCCGCTTCGGATTTGTGACTCGAAAAGGTGTTTGCGCGGTTGCGAGGGTAGGACACCTCGAAGATGGCATGCAGGTCGTCTATGACCATCAAGGCGGTCCCTGGCGAAGGGAAGGATTGCGGGGGATGCAGAGTAAGAGCTAGCAAATGAGCAACGGTGGGTGTCGATAAATTGTGGAAACGCTGCAGTCTGGTATCCTGGTCGGGCTCGGAGCCATGGGCGAATGGGTTTGCAGCGAGGAAATCATTCAGTCTAGACTTTGCAAAAGCTGTTGTCGCATCTGATCTTGTGTCAGGCGGCGGCTCAACAAGTTGTGCGGCGAAGAGTTAAGGAAGACACACCTACCCAGACGACGGAGCTGCCATTATTCAAGGCGTGGGTTGCGGTTTGCAAGCTGCAAGTCAATCAGCGTCGGGCGGCAGTGGCAGCAGCCGTCAGACTCACGCAAGAGAAGTCTTGCCCGAGCCGGAGGGACCCCAGATCTCGGTGATGGTACCACGGCCGAGTCCGCCGGTTTTGGTGGCGCCGAGGATGGCATTGAGTTGGTCAAGGCCGGTGGATATAGTTCGAGGACCGCGGGACTGTAGACTGAGGAGAGCTTCTGAGGCTGAGACGGTGGGAAGGCGATCTGACAGAGAGTCAGACTCGGTATGCGGGCAGTTGGTAGATACGCGACCTACGGGAAGATGGCGGCAGGCCTCGCGCAGTGCTACAAGGAGCGGATGGCGGTGGGAGCGACACGGCAGGTTCAGACATGTTGATGGCGCGTCCGACAGCCACAGGCCATGGGGAGATGAAGCTGTTAGGATATAAAAAAGCTACCCGAGTATGTTCTGGCCATATCCAATTATTGTAGCAGGAAGACAGACAGCGTCAAGGAGCGCGACTGCTAACGACCGTCCCTATCGATTACGGCTCGGACTCGCCGGTTCGGTAAGAAGACTCCCGCGTCTTCACATGACTCTTATATCCATCAATCGCTCCTCCCTGCTCCGGAGATACCAAAACCACTTTGCAAAGCCAAGTAATATTTTATGCGCATCTGACACACCATTGCGCTTCGAATTGTCGCAATTGTGTCGTCGTCTGTACAGATCTGCCCAACTCTCTACTGCTTTTGTATAATGCTATACGCCATGGGTGGCCAAACCGCCCTCGGCCTCGCCGAAACTCTTCGCGGCCCGCTCCACATGATTTGCTTCAGCTTTGCCCTGAGGTCTACACTCAAAAATACCACCACTCCTTTTCGTACTTGAATATCTCGAGGTAGTTCGCGTTGCTTCCTTTGCTCGTCTGAAACTGTACGATACGATGCTGTGTTTTCTCGTCTCTGTTTCGCCTCTTCGTCTTTCTCGTTTCACTTCTTGAGCCCTCTCTACTCCTTCTACACTTCTTCGACGTTACTTACCATTGCATACGCTCAAAGCCAACCAAATAATGGAAGCCCTCTTGCATAGTGGCGCATCTGCCCTAATCATTCTTCTGCTCGCTATCTTTGTTGCTTCTCTCTTCATCTTCAGCTCCTACTTTCAGAGAGAACTCGAGGCTGAGTCAACGGTGCCAGGATGTCGTCGCTTTGGTCTTACCGGAAAGAGCAACATGGCCGATCAGTATTCACCTGAACACAATGGAGAAACCCTGACATCTGCGGCTGCGTGCAAGATCAAGGCGCTCTTCATATACCCAATCAAGTCCTGCAAGCCTGTGGAAATCGAACACGACGACGTCATTCTAACTGGACTGCGCTATGATCGCCAATTCTGTTTCGCCCAGCTCAAGACAGAAGAGGCGGAGAAGGATGAGGGAGATCTCAGCGTCAGCACCAAATGGATCCACAACTGGAAGTTCATCACACAGCGCAACGTTCCTCGATTGAGCCAGGTAGACGTCAAAGTCTGGATACCAGATCCGTCATCTCCTTCATACTCCCCAGACGCGGAATGGGTCAAATCGAATGGTTGTGTCATTTGTTCGTTTGCTTTCACCCCGGAATGGTCTTGGAATCTGGACGGCCTGAAGACCGCATGGTCACTTCTCAAGACCAAGATTGCTCAACGCGATATCAGAGCGGAGCCTCGCCTCACCTTCAAGCTCCCCATTGCCCCTGACGAGAAGAGGTCACAAAGGTACAGTCGAGAGGTCATGAAGATTTGGAAGTGCTCACCTACGGCCATCAACATCACGTCCGAGATACCACCAGATACACTGGCGAAGTTGAAATACTTCCTCGGTGTCTCCAATCCTCTTGCTTTGTTCATGGCAGACCCTCTCAACCATCGTCAAGTGTTTAGGAATGCACCTACGGCTGAAGAGGCTGGCTATCAACCTGGCGTGGGCTTTGCTGATGCTGTAAGTTGCCTCAATCCCTGGCGTCGAGTAACCAGTGCTGATATTGTCCATAGTATCCACTGTCGATAATGGGTGTTGCCTCTGTTCAAAAGGTCTCAAAGACGATCAAAAACTTACCAACCCCTCACCTCGACGCCCTCCGCTTCCGCGCGAACATTTACTGTATGTACTTTTCCTAGTCCCCAATCAGCATCGAACCCCATTTGACAAACCATTAGTGACCGGCATCCCACCCTTCGCCGAAGACGACTGGAAAGTTATTCGATCAGGAAACCTGGACTACCACGTCAGCTGCCGCACAACACGTTGCGATCTCCCCAACGTCGATCCTGACACTGGCATCAAAGACCGCGCAGAGCCTTACAAGACCCTCAAGCAGACAAGAGGAAACATCGACAAGGGCGCTGGCGCTCATCCAGTGTTGGGTATGCAGATGGTACCTTTGCTCAAGGACGCCAAAGGTAGTGAGGAGATTCGAGTGGGAGCAGAGATGAAAGTCGTCAAGACTGGCGAGCACTTCTACATCAGGTTGTTCCAAGATTAAAATTAATAAAAGTTGTTGATTTCCCAAGATTCATGTTCTATGTGCACTCCCGCATACACATCTTTTCCCTCTGATCACATATTTCCCGGTAGCAGAACATAACACAGCTTGCTGGTTGGGGCTGGGTTCGCGATACGGAGTGGGAATGGGAAAGGAGTCAGGATCAGGATAGATAACAAGTCGTGATGGGGTTCGGGAAGGGCCAACACAACCTCGTGAGCATGTATACAATGGTCGCCCATAGTGCCCACAGACAGGACACTTATAACAAGCCCTGCTAGACTTGATTCCAGACGCACGAGAATCAACAGGGCGTGATCTATTGGAGTGTGGGTAAGCAAGCTCATAGATGTGATTTTGGTCGGATATTCTTTGATCGGGTGGACTTTGGTCGGAAGTAGTTGATGATTTGCGACAAGAGGTTTCTCAACGGAGAGTACAGCACGAAATGGAGGATCATGCCAGGCCAGCCCTCGAAACCAAACCATTCTGTTGCAAGAAGTTTTGATCTGTTCGTCAGGTCTTCTGAGTTGCTCGATGACTTGCAATCACTTGTTTCACTCTCCGAGTCCACAGCAAAGTCTTGTTCGGAAAATTCTGAAGCTGGCTCTAGTGTTTGTGCTCTTGATTGTGTATCGTCCGTATCGTCCGTATTGAAAACAGCTTCCTCCTGGATGGTCTGCCGCAGTCAGTCTAGATCTTCAACCAGACGAGACACCAGCCTGTGCCAGATCACTGTCCAAATTCTCTAGCTCTGTGTCAAAGTCTTCGCCAACGAGCATTCAAGTCGACTTGCTCATGTCGCTGTTGATCGAATCGTCTTTGTGGCCAATCAAATCGTTGTTCTGTTGGGTACGAGACGAAGCAAGAGGTGAGTTAGAAGCAGCAATCTAACCTTCCATCGTATGATCCAAGGTCTCGATCGATCAAGTCTATAGTAGACTCGATGGCCGTTAGCAGGCAGGTCATTAGATCGGGTATAAAAAGAAAGCCGATTTCACAAGATGGAACATGAATTCATACAGTTCGGTTCTAAGAAGCGTGCGAAGAACCGCAATAATGACCGAAAATTGATTCGTTTTAGGAAAAGCCAGCGAAAGAGCTGATGCAGCACGTAATTGGAAATCTGATCAGAGAGACTGGAGGCAAATTGCACGTGCTCAGTCTGATAGGGGTGTAAGCTGAAGGACAATGGAGGAAAGAGACTGGTCTTTCGAAAGAAGCCTAGAAGGTTGTATTCAAAAGCAAACCAGATGTTTGTTGTATAGCAAATAAAGATGTGATAGTGATAGAGTTCAAGTGGGGGTGGGGGTGGGCGATTAATCGTCCAGGAACAAGGGTCATCGACGGCAGGCTGTGCCGCAATCAAGACCCAGAAGGTCTTACCGAATGCGGAGGGCAGAGCCGCAGAGACAGGAACGACATGTCCATCAAGATATACAAGATGGTTGAGAGCCAGGTTCATTTTCCATCAAGCAGAACAAGCGCATAGAAATCAGGAAGTATACGACCTTTCGGGAAAAGGTCCCGTCGAGGATTGATGCATGAACGAGGTTTTTCCTTGTTCGAGACCGTTTGAGGGATACGCTATGGTCCTCGCCATTGATAACGACATCTTTGTCAGATTATCTATTGGAATGTAGGGTCTCGATTTAGCGTTGCTTGATCAATGAGAAATGTCGGTCAAGACGATTGGCTTTCTCGTCGTCGAGAGGGTCCAAACATTAGCTCGAGGGATATCCGTAAATCGATTTGTCGCATGGCACAGCCTGAACGTCCACGCAAGTCAGAGCGACGCTGATGATGAATTGAACGTTCGGGCACTAAAAGAGGAAGGAACATTCAGAACCTTGTTGAATTCTGTCGAGCATTTATCAACAACAATTCTCTCTTTGTTCCTAGATCACCTATGCTCTCTGATCACCTCTGTCCCACGTTTGTAACAGACCAACCTGCAGCCATCCTTTCGAAATCGACATCCCTTGCATGTGCCGGAGTCTGAAAGACAACTCCGCATCAGCCGTATCTCTTTCTTGTCACGCGACTTATAACGTCGATATCTGCTTGTGTCACAACTTTCACCTACCTTTGCGACATACAACTCGGTCATGTCTACTATGGACACCACGACCGCAAATCTGACGATGACGACTGAGCCTCCATGGAGTAGCACTCCAGCATGGAAGTTGCCTGGCTGGGCTGAGCCGTTGGTACGGATGGACGCACTGATAGACAAACAGCAAGCTAACACTGAACTTTGCAGATGGTTGTAGCAATCCTCTTCAGCGCCATGATCATGACAAGAAAGAAGAGATTCCGAGTATTTGGACGAAAGCCTAGGATTTACAAGTCAGTTCTGGACGGCGAGGACGCTGCTCGCTCAACAGACGAGCTTCTGGTTCACGAGGAACGCAATGAGATCGACACACAAAATCCCATGGCTGCAACCAAGTACTCGCCCAAGACGCGCAGATTGCTCGGTCTCACTTTCAGAACACCCAACACCTCGAGGTTCAAGAACAACGTCCACAGTCGAGTGCTACAGCGCTTTCCCTTCCTGTTGGAGATGTTCTACTGGGTCATCAATTACGCCTTCTACCGTATGACAGCCATTCTGTCACAGAGAATCTTCGCTGGCAAAGGCATTTGGACAGTAGCTGAGAACCATGGGCTTGCTATCTTGAAGTTTGAGCAACATGGATTTCTCAGCTTTCTGTTTCCTTATGAGCTGAATGTGCAACAGTGGTTCATGCAGAACCACCAGGATGCATTAAGTTTGTTGAACAAGGTGTACGCATTGATACACATACCTGGTACGGTTGGCTTCATCGCATGGTATTACTACGTTGCGCCGTCGCATTCCGTCTTCGCGACAGTGCGCCGGACCATGAATCTGACCAACTTCATGGCTTTCACAACGTACATCTTCTATCCCTGCATGCCCCCGAGGCTGTTACCAAAGGAGTATGGCTTCTTGGATACAGTCAGACATGATGATGCGCAGTCAGTGTGGATGAGCGGCAAATATGTGAACAGCCTCGCAGCCATGCCGAGTATGCACTTTGGATATGCATTCTGCGTCGGGTGCACCATGATATACCATTCAGGGGTGTTCCGCAGAAAGCTAGAGCATGGCGAGATGAGCAAGGGTTGGGCATGGGAGTTGTTCTACCTCATTCTTGGAGTTGGATACCCGATGTTGATCTTGACGGCCGTCATAGCGACAGCTAATCACTACTTCCTGGATGCTTTGGTGGCGACGGGGTACGTGTTGGCTGCCTTCATGAGCAACAGAGTGTTTTGCGTGTTCGTCCCTCTGGAGGATTGGTTGTTCTGGACCATTCGCGCGGAGAGGCCTGTTCCCAGTACGGGTGAGAGGTTCAAAGAAGTAGATTATCGCTTGTAAATTCGTCTTTGATGGTTGTCGAATCTATGTTGTCGTGTTGTGTTTTGTAATAGGCATGTAATAGGCAGCCTTTGAACTGGAGACTGAGATGCTTCGAGCTCGGCCCAAATGGAAGGACGAGCCGGCGCAAGTCTGTCGGTTGCTGGCGCGCGCGACACCTTCACAACTTCACTTAGCATCAGCTCATCGTCCACTCAATCGCTTTTCGACGTATCTTTTCGCATCCGCTCTCTCAATTACAGCTCTTTCAGCAATTCACATACTAGATCCTTACAATGGCCGAACCTGAAGTCGTCATTGACGCCAGCGAGAACAACACTCCTGCACCCACTCAGAGCCAGGACGTCGACATGGGTGGCCAGGACGAGAGCACTCAACCCGACAACAGTGCCGAGCCGACCACTGAGCAGCAGGACGTCGAGCCTAGCGGTCTCGAGAACATTGAGCCAGATTTCCCTGCCCGCGTCACTTTCTTAGAGTGAGGATCGCGAACACCACGCGTCGAGCTCCGAGTACTGATTCGACGCGACAGCTACCTCAAATCACCAATCATTGAGCTCTCGGTGGGCAAGGACGATGATGTTACTGTTCTGCATGCGCACCAGCGTCTACTGGAGCAAAGTCCCCTCTTGGAGGAGAAGATCGCTGCTTTTGGCGATGCTAAGAACGTAAGACCATTTGCGACTCAACTACCCTTTCTGTCGCAATGCTAACCATACATCTAGCGTCGTATTGAGCTCCCCGAGGAGGACCTGACCGCAACTGCCTGTTTCCTCGAATTCCTCTACAAGAACGACTACTTCCCCACCCTCAGCGGTTCCTCCCTCGAAACAGACCCCGAGATCCCTGTCCCGGATATTGAAGGCATGGCCCTTCTACGACACGCCCGCGTCTACACACTAGCCCAGCGCTTCGGCGTACCCGCCCTGGCAACCCTCGCCCACAAAAAGATCCACCTCACACAAAGTACCGCCCGCGGCGAAATCGAATACGCACGCTACGTCTACGGCCACACCGAGACCACAGACGAGAGCATCCGTAAGCCTGTCGCTGCCTTCTGGGCAACACGGTCACATGTCTTGCGCCACGAGGCCGAAAAAGAGTTCCGCAGCATGTGTCTCGAGTTCCCGCAATTCGGTTTCGATGTTCTTAGTCTGGTGCTGGATAACCAGGAGAAGAGAACTGCGAGATCAGAAACTACTATTGGTGGTGGTCGCAAGAGACCGCGTGTCAGCGCTGTGTAGAACGCGGCTGCTGCTTCTGATGATACTGCGTCTCCGGCTCCTGAGAAGCGCTTGAGGATTCAAGGATTCCATTGAAAGGGTTATTCCTTACCTCTACTCGCGCTGTCTCCCAGAGCCTTACCTTCGATCTTTCTCCGCCCTCGATCGATCTGGAATTTGGATGATGGCTCCATTCGCCTGGCATGATGAGGCAGAGATGGATTGAAATCGATTATCCTTTGCTTGCTTTGCTGATCATAAAAGCGCATACCTTCTTGTAGCTTACCCTTTTCATTTCCGCATTGAATACCCTTTCCTCACATACCAAGACACCACGGACGAAACAGACAGGACATGATCTTGGATCGTCCAATATATAATAACTCTTCAGACGTTCAAACTTCTCTCAGATGGTGAGGGCTGCTATGAGAACAAATGTCTCTTATGTGTTTGTCCAAAAAGTGGTCTAATGTTACAAAATTATATGTATATTCTACAAGAAGTGAAAAAGGAGAAATCCTTCTGAAATACTTTTACTCTTCCTATTCGATTCATGAGATGAGAGTTTTCAGATGTGCTTTAAGCACCACCGCCCATCATGCGTCTTAGACGAACACTCAAGGGTTCTTCTTCAGGGGCTTTTGACTCTTCGGCCTTGACCTCTTGTGTCGCAGACTCGGATGACGCTTGTGTGTCTTTCTGTGCAGACATGTCTTGCTCTATCGTGTTCGTGCTCGAGGTCGGCGGCTGTTCGCTGGCAGGTGTAACACCATGCTCCACATCAGCATCAAAAATCCTGGTTTGTGATTCCGGCCTTTCAATTGCGATGGTCTCTGGCGCGGATCCTTCAACCGCTGCAACTTCTTGCACTCGAGGGTCTTGGTCATTGTCCATCTCGACACCCTGTTCTTGCTTCGCGACCTTTTCCATTGTTGATGGCTCCCTGTCATTGGCGACCTCTGCTTGCATTGCCTCTTCCTCGGCAGCACTTTGTGTATCGTCTATCGAGAAAGCATTATTGCGGTCTTGCTTGAATTCGTCTGTTGTCGGGCGATACGTAGCACGATCGTGTTCCTTGCCCAAACTCGTAGGCTTGGTGGTGTCCAACTGCCGTCGGCGAGACTTGGTACTTGTGTCACGGATAAGACTCATATCGCGGTGAACATCTGGCTCTTTCACGGAATGCTTTGCAAGAACGTTGATCGCCTTTACTGAAGCATGCGCGAGGTTTTCCACAACCGTATCATCTCCACCATCGTCCAGGCGCTTGCCGCTGTAACGCAAGCTGAGTTCAAGGCGACGCCCACCCGTCACGCCCGCCTCAGTGCTTTGGAGGGTCGCAACGCAGCCTGGCCCGAGCACTTTGAGATCGTACCGCCGTAGCTCATTATGCTCGAAGCCAGCGAAAAGGTATTTGGCGACAACTGTCTGGCCTCGAATGACTTTTCTGGAGTCGTCAGGAATCTCGACGCTGTCAGGATCATGTTGCGGGCTGTCTAAAAGTGATTCACTTCTGGCACCAATAGACATTTGCGGAACAGGTATTTGCAGAGCTGGGGGAGCACGTAGTGAGGTGTCGTTCGCCATACTTTCAAATATTGCTTCAACGAATGACCTGATTCTTGGATCCTTGGCGGGCCATTTTGAGACCAGTGACTGTTCACGCTCGAAGCGCAAATCAGCAGGATGAGAGGGCAAATTCAGCTGTACAGCTTCAGTGGTCATGACGGCGCGCATATCTCTAAGGACGATACGCTTGCCATCAGGAAGTAAAGCAGACATGCGCATATCGTCTTCTAGTGGTTGGGTAGAATCTTTGATGTAGAACCGTAACTGCACAGCAGGCAAAGTAGCAGAAGCCAAGATGCCTGTCTGCTCAAGAGGAGAAGGAATGAGGTGAGCTGTGAGCTCAGTACGTTCGGGAGGAGTTTTAGTCCACGAGCCTTTGCGGGTACCAGTGGACAAAAGTCCGATAAGACCGGGAACTTGGAAAGAAAAAATCTGCTTGGGATGTGTTGCCGGTTCCTCGAGACTCGAAGATAGACGACCAAGACCAGGATAGATATCTTTGTTTTGTAGATCATGCAATGACAGGCCGACACGTGCCCTCCAGAGGTTCCAGCCAGGATTCTGCGGCCAGATTGAAGACTCTATTTCAGGTGCATCTTCCTTTGAAGCATTTTGACAAGATTTCATGAGGGCAACGGCTTCCTCAATGATGGGACTGTGACTTTGCAGACCTGGGATTGGTGCGTGCTTGTAAGTCTTTTCCGCAGAGTGCTCATGATCCAGGAGAGTCGGTTCGGTACCAGACTGCTTGACCCAGGGTGACGCAGTAACCCAACGACCAAGTTGCCGGTGCTTGGCATGAGAAGGCAAATTCTTCGTGCTTATGAGGGCTTCGAGTCGACAGTCGTCGGCCTCGTGCGAATCGTAGAGGTGCGTGACTCTGGACTGCGAATTTGAGGGCAAGAGAGCGATAAGTAGACGATGAGCATCGTTGATGGCGACATCGACGAAACTAGCAATGCGGAGGCGCTTGCCATCGACATCGTAGTGGATGTAGGTCCTCGTCAGAGCCATGATGTTGGTTAGTTGAGCAGGGGTCAATATGTCCCGTAGCGTGAAGCCTGAAGGATTTCCTTGTAGGACGGCATGAAATGTTTCGAGGTCGATATCAGCGCTCCTGGCAGGAGCATAAGCTTCGGTCAAGACGTGGGCGATGGCCTCAGCCTCAGCTCTTGGGCCTACGATTCGAATGACGCGTTCGGCTTGATGCAATTGAAATCGCGAGTTTCTGTAGAATTTGGAGCTCTCGAGCAGAGGTTTCAAGGTCTGAGAGTTCTTTGTGAGCAGCAGACCAAACTGCATAGGTGATAGCAGAAACTCCATCTCGCCGATGCCAGCTTGCTCCTCTTCGATACCAAGAGCCCAAGCATTGCGCAGGATAGATTCTATCACATCGTCTTTGTTGTTCATCTTACGGCCGATTGACATAGAGAAGTCGACCATGGGCAGGCGTTTGGTCATAGAAGTGGTACCGGCATGCCAGGCGGTGCGTTTGAGGTTCTGTAATTCATTGATTGTGCTGCTGATTTCGGTAGACGCAGACTCGTTTGACTCAGTCAGGACACGACGAAACTTATTTGGCTTGGACGAAGCAGGCTTAGCAGGGGCAGTCTTTTGCACCAAGTAGCCTCTCAATTGGCTCATGGTATAGCCTTTGTTCAGAGCGGCAAAGTTTTGACGAAACTCATCCTCGGTGAGGACATGAATGCCCTCATCAGGTCTCAAGGCGTCGATGGACTCGAATACTTCGGCTAGCCTAGGGCGAAGAGCTCTTCTGCCCGACATGTTCTCAATGTCGCGGCCGGTCAGAGCAGGCGGCTTGGGCTTAGTACTTTCGGCATGATGAGTGGGTTTATTATCAGACTCCAGAGACTTCTTTTGTGGACGAGGCTCGTGTAAGTCACGCAGGACAATGACTTCGGAAGATTGACCTAGACTAGCAATGGACAAGGATTCGGACGACTCGACACGCCTCTGGCCGCCCTTTTTGCCTCGAATCTTGCCATGGCTACCGTGAGTACGGATGACTCTCAGACGCGAAGGTTGTGGGGTTTGTTGCTGCTCAGGGGAAGGCGCAGATGTCGAGGCAGGAAAATCCTGAGTTGGAAGGGGCGATTCATCGGTGGACTGGTAACGACGGTGGTGGATCCTTTGGAGCACAAGGCGCAGATTGCATCGCAGACATGTCGATGCGTCCCTGGCTGACGACGGACGTAACATCAAGACAGACAGTCTACACGCGACCAAGGCAGCATCGCCGTCTACAATTTCCAGAAGCACGATGCTCGGAATCTGTAATCTTGGCGCTACGATTGATGGAAGCCTATCTTATCGCCGAGTCTCGGGCCGACCGCCCCGTCGTCATCTTCACATGCGCCTGCTGCCGCTGCTACTGCTGAACTGCCGCTGCCGCTGCTTCCGTACAAGCAGCAACAGGTACCCACCCCGTCAGCACAAATTCACAAATCATCGGATAACCCGCTCCCTGTCGTATCTGATCGCTCTTACTTAAGCCGTCCCTGCCGCCCGTGCCAGAGATGCAGACCTTTGGTGAGGCCGGACAAGTTCAATGGCGGCCGCCCTGAGGGCCCAAACGCTGACCCTGACAGTCCCAAAGGCCCGTCGTGTATGTCCACCATCCCGAGTCCAAGGTACATGTTCTTGTATTGATCGCATCCTCGACTTAGCCACGCTTCGACCTCAAACTAAAGATATTCGACCTGAACAACGTCCCCCTGGTATCCGGCACCTGCTTCGTCAAATGGCACCTCCCCTCTTCGAGCGCTGCCGAACATCGCGGTCGCACCACCAAGTGTAACATTAAAGATCACAAGGTCGTCTTCGACTACGAGAAACAGACTCCCGTGCGCCTTGTTATTGGCAAGGACCAGATGTTGCAAGAGCTATGGATTCATCTCGAGATCATACAAGAATATTCTAGTAGCGGAAAAGGAGAGCGCATAACTCTGGGAAACATCAAGCTCAACCTCGCCGAATATGTCGACACCAATGACCACAATCACGACTCGGAAGAAGGCGTCACCCGACGCTACCTCATGCAGGACAGCAAGATCAACAGCACTCTGAAGATTTCACTACAGCTCAAGCATCTCGAGGGTGATCGAAATTACTATGCGTACGTTCGACCCCTTCGAACTTCTGCCGTCCTACTAAACAACAACACAGTCCTCCACTGCGCACTGCTCCTGTCTTTGGTGGAATTGCTGGCATAATGTCTTCCGAGGTCACAGAAACTACCGAAGAGGGCAGTACCATGCCTTCGCTATTGAGTAAGAGCCGCGAGCACGGCGAGTTACAAGACATGTACCGTCGGACACTAGCCGCATCTTGGGTGGCTCAGCCAGGGGTAATCCAACTCTTCTATACACTCTTTAGAAACAACGAAGTACTGATTCATGTCTGCAGGAACTAAGAGCCGACGACTGCATCAAGGACATCTTCGCTGGTGGTGATGGCTGGGGCTCACATCTGGACCACGTCCAACACAACCACCACCTCAACCCCAACAGCGATGAAGACAAATCCAATTCAGCCAATCTCACCCCAAAGGAACACTCTTCCAAATCTCCGCGGTCTAAAAGCCCTCTGCATGGCCATCATCGCAACGTCAGCAAGGAAAGCGTGCAATCCGACAGGCGCAAAGGCTTTGATGGCTGGTCCAAAGACAACTCTGCCAATGGCAATGTAGGCAAACACGGCACTTTTGGAGGCCGAAGTAGTCTTCATCAGCAAGCCATGAAACTCGAGCAAGAGTCTGCCAAACGCAAACAGAAACTTGGCCATAACGAGGTTGACGAGTTTGATAATCCATGGCGAGAAGATATGATATCGTGGAAAGTCGGCAGATCGACCATGATTTAGCAATGTTGTTTGATTTGATACCCATTGGAGCTTGTTTGTTGTATTGTTTTATTTAGTCAACGAGTAATGTTAGATGTATGAATATGGAACGCAAGAATTGTATTACTTGATTCGACATGACCATACTGTGAAATCTAAACCGAATGAATCAAAGCCTCAACCTCATCCCAAGACCTGGGCGCTGTAGTCAAGTTCTCACACCCATCCTCCTTGACCAAGACGTCATCTTCAATACGCACGCCACCAACATCCCAATATCTCTCCAAGACAGCCTTGTCAATGTACTTGGCATACTTTTCCTCCTTGAGTGCCGGCTCAATGATGAAGCGACAGAAGTAAAGACCAGGCTCAACCGTCACGACAGAGTTTGCAGGAACAGAACCTCTGATGCGCAAGTAGCGGAACATGGGATCCGGGTCTTCGTAGTTTGCGTTGCCGCCGCAGTCGTGTGTGTCCATACCAAGATAATGTCCCAGACCGTGAGGCAAAAACAGAGTAGAGACTCTGCTATCGAAAAGCTCTTTCTTGTTTCCACCAGTCAGGATACCCAGACGACGCAACCCGTCAATAGCGATTTCGTGGGCCAGAGCGTGTAGGTCTTCCCAAGTGACATTGGCTTTGAGTGCTTTCATACACTCTGCCTGCATTTCATCAACGATATCGTAGATTTCTCTGCTTTCCTTTGTGAATTTTCCTTGCAGGGGGTAGGTGCGGGTGATATCTGAGCAATAGCAGTTATACTCGCATCCAGCATCGATGAGCAAATTCAACTTTTCGGAAAGAGGCAAGTCGTTGTGGACGTAATGCAGAGTAGCAGCGCTGGGGCCGGAAGCACAGATACAGCCGTATGCTTGTTCGCGACCACCATTGCTGATGCAGGCGCCTACAAAAGTTCCCATGAGTTCTCGCTCGTTGCGTGCGTTTTTGACCATGCGCATGACTTCGGTGTGGGCGTGTGAGGAGATGGCGTTGGCATGGCGGATAAGACCGATTTCGTGTTCGTCTTTGACGACACGGCATCTTTCGATGGCGTTCTTGAGGAGGTCCCAGTTGGTCTCTTGGAAGGAGAGGAAGGTGATGTGGTCTGCTACTTGCTTGGGGATAGCCAAAATAGTGCCATGAGGAGTTTCAGGAGAGGTCAGGTATGAGTTGACCTCAGTTGAAGGTTTGCATGCATCAATATCGAACCTAGATAATATGAGTTGTAATTCTTAAGCAAAATACAAATCACTTACTTCTCCATTGCTTCTTTCTCTAGAAGTGGCAGGCCCGACCAGATGACATCTTCGGGATCGATAGGAGGAATGAACAGAGTCAAATAGTCATTCTTGATGTCGTAGGCAAGATACGAGTCGGGAATAGCGCATCCAGAGAGGTAGAAGAAGAATCTACGTTGACTAGAAAAGCGTCAATCTCTCCGACTGATTGATAGAACAAATCTTCTCCTTACCGGAAGTGTGCAGCTTGGTCATCATCCTATATCCATACAATCAGCAAAGAGCTTCCCATAAAAGCCATATCCTCTCTCTGCTCTCAATCACAACAGGAACATCACGACGAACGTCATTTTCACATTGTTGCTTGTGGACTGGATTAAGACGATAAAAGTGACCAAATACATACCTCAACCATAGCAGTCTTCTGCGCTTCCAAGTAGATAATACCCTCCTTGGGACCACCGTTTTCAGCAATGAACTGAGCCACACGTCTGGCATGTGCCTTGGCGGGGTATTTGCCCGCTGGTGGGGGTGGAAGGTCGTGGTTTGCAAGTCCCATTTTCTTGTCTTTGCTGATTACGAGTCAAATGTTGAAGGAAGCTCAGGGGAAAAAGCTGTCGACTTTTTGTTGAAGATGTTCTGATAACAAAGTCAGAGATTGTGGTGTTGCAAGATTGAGGATACGGGAAATGCCAAGGCATGGAGCTGCCTCGGTGATCGCCTGCCTAATCTGGCTATACAGCATGAAGAGGTGTTACAAATCTGAGTTCAGTACTATTGAATAGGAAATGTACGTGAGTAAAGATTTGATAAATATTCATGCATATACAGAATTTCGCCAACTCAATGCTAGACCACTTCCTTGCAAGAGCATCAGACCAGATATAAGACTAAAGACCAAAAAGAACGCCATCCCGAGGGGTAATGCCATTTATTTGTAAGAAGAAGCCAGAAAGTACACAGAACGCCCGTGGTAACATCATATCTAATGAATCCAGAAAGGCTAGTCCTTCCAGCGGTTGAGGTACTTCTTCATGTCGGCAGCTGTAGGTTGAGTAGCAGCGGCGGCCTGTTGCGAACTTGTCAGCACGATACAGAACACGAGGTGAAGGACTGGAGACTTACCGGGTTCTCTCTACTCGAGACACTCACAGTGTTAGACTCGGTCACAGTCAAGGTGATGGAGGCGGGCGGCGCATATGTGCTGAAAATGGTGAAAGCCGAGGTAGGGTTCAACATGGAGGGGGTCTTTGCGGTAATTTTTGTTCCAGGCATGGGTTGCATGGGAGCATACTTGATGAGACCGGTCTGGAGGCGGTAGGGAACGGTATACACACCGGCTTCGGGAACGACAGAAGTGGCAGTAGCAGCATCACCACCAGTAACAAGCTCGTGGGAAGCTTCTGGGGTAAAGGTCGTGTCGGAGCCGGCGGCAGTGACACCTTGTTGCACAGCAGCGGAGAAAGTGCCAGTCATGCCTGTCAGACCGAAGCGCGAACTGTAAACAATGTCGGTTCCTCCATCGACGCCGACCGAGATCATCTGGAGAAAGCTATACAAAGTTAGAAAGCAGTAGCTTGGTTCTAGTGCGAAGAAACTTACTATCCATTGGCCGCAGTCTTACCGAGAGTAAGGGGGATGGTGTAGGTAACGGAGCCAGTTGTACCTGAGTAAGCGGCACCCGCTTTGATGGTGACGGCGGACTGCGGCACTTGTCAGCGCTCGAAGGAAAGACCGGAGAGAGATATCATACAGTAGTAGCTTCTGTGTTTCCACCAGCGATAATGTTCAGTGTGTAGGTAGCGAATTGGTCGATGGTGGGGGCGGTCCCATCGTCAGTCCAGGTGAAAGTGACGGCCGTGCCACCAGCGATTTGTTGACCAGCAACAGGCGATGTGAACTTGACGTCGGCGACGGCAGTAGCTGCCAAAGCGGCCAGCGCCGTCAGAATATGGCAGCGCATTGTTTATGTGTCGTGTGTTGTGTATTCTTCGACGCGCGGTCTTGATGTCCGACTGGGGAAATGTTTGGCCTTTACGGCTGGCGTTCGAGAGGAAGTGACGAGTGTCGAAGCGATGCGGTGTACCAGCGAAGGTATCGGCGGCGACGATGAGAGGTGGAACAGGTGATAGGTCGAGCAGAAGTTTGCGAGATCAAGGTTGAAGATGCAAACACGAATGTCGACATGGGACGAATGCGACGAGGCAGGCCTTGGCCATCTCGCAGCGCCTCTGCCGATCGCCGCAAAGCCGCCCCTGACAAGATTTCAAACACTGCACTTTAATTAGCTACATCTCTCCTTTGCCATTATTTTTCTTATCCTCCTTTTCAACTTTGGTCTCCTAATTGCAAAGTTATAGTGACAATATATGAGAAAATTATCTTGTTCGAGCCTTGTCGCTCGCAAAGTCGCTATCCTGACCGCTCTATCTGCGGAGTAGCAAGGACTACAGAAAATCAATCCTTCAAGGTAGGATTTCAAAATAACACGACGTTCACAGAATAATGATCGTAAAATGGTTTTTGGAGTAGAGATTGATCGTTCATATACTTTTTTGTTACAACAAGAGTCGAATGGGCAATCGTGTCTTCCCGCATATACCCTAATGACCTCTCTTTCGTGACGGTCCTCGCTGGAGGAAAAGATGCAAGAAGAATGATGATGTGAAGAAGAAACAACAAGACGCTCAGATAAAACAAAATCTAAAAGTACAAACATGACATAAGGCCGTAACCTCGAAACATCCCACCACATCAAACTCCAGTTTTTGGTGAATCCCACGTGCCTTCCCTTTTTCTCGAGAGCAATTTTACCGAAGTACAGCGATGATAAAGACAAGGCGCGAGACTCTTCCGGAGAGAGGAGACATCGCGAAGAGAACTGGTCGTGTAAATGACGGACCAGGTGGGCGAGAGAGGAAATATGTATACAGAGAAGTCGGGGGTATCAGGAGGTCGAAGCAATTACTTCGGATCCAAAGTTGCGTGAGAAGAGGAAGGAGAGATCAGTAGCCTCAAATTTAAGGCTTCTGCTCACCCTCACCACCCTGCTTCTGCTCACCCTCACCAGACTCCTGCTTCTGCTCGGAGCGGGCGCGGTGCATCTTGTCGAAGAGGGTAAGAGAGGCGGACTGGAGCTCATCGGTCTTGGCCTTAAGGTCCTCAGCAGTAGCGGTACCCTCACCGGTCTGGTTCTGGGCAACGAACTCGCGGAGGCTGGCAATCTTCTCCTTGATCTGGTCAGCCTCAGCCTTGTCGAGGCGGTCCTCGAACTCCTTGAGGGCCTTCTCAGTGTCGTTAAGAACACTGTCGGCCTTGTTGGCAGCCTCAATGGCAGCCTTGCGCTCCTTGTCAGCGGCACCGTACTTCTCAGCGTCGTTGACCATAGACTCGATCTCAGAGTCGCTCAAACCAGAGCCGGAGGCAATGGTGATGGACTGGTCCTTTCCGGTGGACTTGTCGGAAGCGTGAACGTGGACAATCGAATCGGCGTCAATGTCGAAGGTGACCTCAATCTGGGGGACACCACGGTGGGCAGGAGGGATACCAACAAGCTGGAAGTTTCCGAGGAGCTTGTTGTCGCGGACAAGCTCACGCTCACCCTGGTAAACCTTGATCTCGACGGCAGACTGGAAGTCAGCAGCGGTGGAGAAGACCTGGGACTTCTTGGTGGGGATGGTGGTGTTGCGGTTGATCAGACGGGTGAAAACACCGCCGAGGGTCTCAATACCGAGGGAAAGAGGAGTGACATCGAGAAGGAGGACATCAGTAACCTCACCAGAGAGAACGGCACCCTGGATGGCGGCACCAATGGCGACAGCCTCATCGGGGTTGACAGACTTGGCGGGCTCACGGCCGAAGATGCTCTTGACCGAGGTGGTGACCTTGGGCATACGGGTCATACCACCAACGAGAATGACCTCCTGAATGTCCTTGGCCTGCATGTTGGCGTCCTTGAGGGCCTTACGGACAGGCTCAACAGTGCGGTCGATCAGAGGACCGACGAGCTTCTCGAGCTCGGCACGGGTCATCTTGCTGTTGATGTGCTTGGGGCCAGAGGCGTCGGCAGTGATGAAGGGAAGGTTGATGTCGGTCTGGGGAGCAGACGAAAGCTCAATCTTGGCCTTCTCGGCAGCCTCACGGATACGCTGGATGGCCATGCGGTCGTTGGAAAGGTCGATGCCCTGCTCGTTCTTGAACTGCTGGACGAGGTGGCGGACGAGGGTGATATCGAAGTCCTCACCACCAAGGTGGGTGTCACCGTTGGTCGACTTGACCTCGAAGACACCGCTCTGGATCTCGAGGATGGAAACATCGAAGGTACCACCACCAAGATCGTAGACGGCAATGACACGGTCGCTCTCCTTCTCAAGACCGTAGGCGAGGGCGGCAGCAGTGGGCTCGTTGACGACACGGAGGACGTTAAGACCGGAGATCTGACCGGCATCCTTGGTGGCCTGTCTCTGCTGGTCGTTGAAGTAGGCGGGGACGGTAACGACGGCGTTCTTGCAAGTCTTGCCAAGGAAAGACTCAGCGGTCTCCTTCATCTTTCCGAGGACGAAACCACCGATTTGCGAAGGCGAGTACTTCTGGCCGTGGGCCTCGAGCCAGGCATCGCCGTTGGTGTGCTGAACAATCTTGTAAGGGACCTGGTTCAAGTCACGCTGGACCTCAGCATCCTTGAACTTGCGACCGATCAGACGCTTGGTGGCGAAGAGAGTGTTCTCGGGGTTGACGACGGCCTGACGCTTGGCGGCAATACCGACCAGACGCTCGCCCTCCTTGGTGAAACCGACAACTGAGGGAGTCGTTCTGGCACCCTCACTGTTCTCAATGATTCTGGGAGCGGCGCCCTCCATGACGGCGACAGCCGAGTTGGTGGTACCAAGATCGATACCAATGACCTGGCCCTTGACCTTCTCCTCACCGCCCTCGGCATAGCCTCTTCTGAATGAGGAGACCATGGGGGATCTGAGAGCCGACGAGCGGACTGAAGGGGTGGCGCGAAGCTGCAGAGAGGTCAGTAACGAGCTCTGTGAGCTTTGAGAGCTGTCGCATGTTCACTTACGCCTCTGGCAAGTCTTTGTGACAGCATTGTGATGTGATTAGAGCAGAAAACCAGAACGCGACAAGAGAAAATGGGGTATCCTGAGCAACAAACGAAACTTGCTCTAGGGTGGGTATGGAGATGGGGATGGCGAGGTTAATAAGTGACGGAGCAGCAAGAGGAAGTCATGGCGTCGTTGCTCGAGGAATTTTGTCCTTTAGCGTCGAATCCCCGGTCCCGGCACTCTCCGCCACGCCCATCGAACATGCTGGAATCTTGTCCGAGCATCGTGCGCCACGCCCGACGACCGCTTGTCTTTGCCATCACTGTGACTGTGTTTGCTCCGACACATGCCCGTTTGCCTCTGCCAGTGCTTCTTGTTCGCCTCGCGCTCGAGTCACATCGCTCGCCTCTACTCGCTGGACTCACCTTCACTGCACCTGACATTTCTAGTGAGCTTCAAGCAGATAGCTAGCTCTATTTGCCTCGGCTTTAAACGGTCAAGTAGGTCCTTGCTCAGGTCGAACGGATTTATCAAGCGAATAGCTTCTAGTGAATAGCATCTATCACTGTCAAAACATGCACTAATGTCCGAAGAGATCTGAGTTTTATTATGTACACATAATTAATGAATCAAGGTGAGAGAGAAAAGGAGAAAGAGAGTGAATGCCATCAAGTGTAGCACTCCATGCGCCAGCAATGCCAGATATTCCCAATGCTATCAGCGCTCCATTGCGCCATGTGCCTGATCCATTCTTGATGCGCCGTAAAATCACAGTCTGTTCATATATGTTCGTTATTTCATTTCCACTGCTGGAAACATCATTCTCAGCTTGACCTGCAAGTCAATCTCGAAGATGCCCTCCTCACATGCCGCCCACAGCTTGCGTCCATCATGACTGATGGCTAGACCTGCTGTTCTGACTCCTATGGTAGCCTCGCGTCCAGCTCTGCGCATCAGCATCTCATAGCCATCATGAAACGCGGTAGGTCGTGCTGATGTGTAGCCTCGTAGTGAGGTAAGCGTATCGTACAGGCTCTGCGCTGTATCTGTTCCGCGTTCAAATTCCTGTCGTAGTCCACGGAGCCGCTCACGCTGAGCAGTCATTCGGCGAAGCTGTTCCGTACGCACCATAGCCTCCCGCTCACGAGACTGTCGCGTGCTAGCGTCTATTGATCGAGGTGATTCAAATAGCGGTCCCCGGGCCAAGGTCATTGCATTGGATATCGTGCGCCATGGGTTGTCTTCCTCTGTTTCAGTCCTGGTGGTCGCCGTTGCCCGCGTTGCATGTGGAGGTATGGTCGGGGCAGTGCTTGTTGATGTAGGGGTTCCTCCTGCTCCAGAACCGCGGGTGCCAGTGTCACGATTCGTGTTCGATGTCGACAAAGCTTCACGCTCTCTATCACGAAGCAACAAATACTCTTGTATTGAATGAAGGGGTGGCAGCGTGTTGTCACTTGTATTCCGTTCTCTTTCGCGAGATTCTGTCGTTTCCCGCTGTGATGTCCGAGATAATTCCGGGAAAGCTGCGTAGGGGTCATTGTGGTTGACCAAGACGTCGCTGAATGGGCGAGGGGTTTCAGTGGATCGCGCAGCCGCCGAAGTGCGACTATTAGTATGGCCGCTAAAGAGACCAGCGCTGGTATAGTTGATCGAGCGGGGAGCACTTCCTTGAGTACGCGCTTCTTCGCGTTGTCTAGTTGTTCGAAGTGCTTCAAGGATCTGTTGTTCATGTGCTGTGAGACCTCGAGGATCATCTCCTGGCACGGATGTTGTGTCGCGTAAGGTCGGGAACATTGCACGGGCGCGGTCAAGATTTTGAGAGCGTTCACGCTCTCGAGCTTGTAGAAATTCTGTAGCAAAGTTACCCTGCTCGGCAGGATCTCGTGTTTCCCGGTAGCGGTCCAGAATCTCTTGCTGTAGGTCATCGAGGCCATCATTTTCTGTCAAATACTCTGCTGCAATGTCTTCAAGTTCAATCTGTTTCAGACCTTCTTCATCCGGTTTGAGTTCTATGACCTGTTTGGTCCTAAGTCCAGTGCGCAGATCGCCGATGCATATACGGCCTTGGTCTTCAGCCCAGATCAGCAAGTCCCAGGGTTCTGGAGAAAAGAGCATGGTTCTGACAGCGCCAGGATGTAGAGCAGCGACAATGTTAGGTCTCGTTGATGGAATCGTAGCAACGATGGCAGCTTCTGCCTCATCGGAAGCACATTGAGAAAATACGTCCATATCAAACAGAGTGATGTAACCGCCTTCAGAACCCAGAGCTGCCAAGCTGCCGTTGGGCGACCAGGCAGTAGTGAAATAGCCCGGTTGTGCAGTAGGATCGCCAGCACGAAGGTGGACATTGTTTGCTAGCTCCCAGGTGACATTGCCTGTGTTCAGACGGTTGTGAGGCTTTGGGATCTGTGGGGGAGGCTGCGATAGTGTACGTGTGTAGAAGAAGGCCTGATTGGAGTCGCCGACAGCAACAAGAGTTGTGCCATCGGGCGATATGGAGGCGTGGTTCATGGGGAAGGGCAGATCCAAAACGGCAGTTTCCAGGGCTTGGGTCAGTGAGTAGACGCGAACAGTCTTGTCATTGTTGGTTAGGACGGCGACAACATCGTATAGGTGATTTTCCTCATCGTGAATTTGGTGGATGGAGATGGAGTTGACAATCTCTTCGCCTATATGTTCGAGCTTGACGTTGGCGGCTCTCGGAGTGCCCCTCTGTGGTTGCCAGTAGTCCAGTGGCAGTGGAGCATCTACGTCTGCAGGGCGAACTGGAGACGAGCCCTCCAGCTTGATTGCGGCAAAGTAACCATCCTCCTCACCTCCAACACAGACCCAGCCAAAGCCAGCAGCTGTACATCGAGCGACAAATGGTAGTGTGGCGAGGTATTTGCGTTTCCGCGATTGCGTGTCGAGATAGTAGACTTCATTGACGCTGGCGTAATAGATGGCGTCCTTGTCGGGCGACGAGATGTAGTGTCGCAATTGCCAGTGTCTATCGCATTGACATCAGTCCAGCTCTTGTATGTCTCTCTCACTATCAACTCACGAGACGGGGATCTTGACTGGGTAGAAGGTCTTGTCGGGATATGCGAGGCGATCGGTATCAGGATATCTACATTCTGATTAGCACGCACTGGTTCGACACTCACTATCTGAATGTGATGCCAGGGTACTCACGGTATACTGTCGATGGCCATGCTGTTACTCTGTCGACTTCAGGAAGAGAGGCGGGTAATTAGGAATCAAAGGTAGAGCAGGCACGGCACCATTCGACTTGATCGATTCCGCTGCGATGATAATGAAAGGCGACTCTCACTGCGGTTGCGCTTGCGGGGGAATGACGCACGCACGCTTGTCTTTGACAACTACAGCACCTTTCACCTCCTGTTTCACCTCCGCGTAACCTGTTTACTACTGCAAAAGACTTGCTCAAAGACCATCTACGAGCACCGACTTCTGTGGACCCTGACATTGGGGATGTCCTTGCTGCCTCACCTGAAACCACATCTCAGTCACAAACAATCCACATTATGGAGATGCAACCTTCATTCACGAATCATGATGGTTCTGGCAGGTAGGTTTGATCTTCACAATCAGTCGCTTTCAACAAGCATCAGGTGAGAAAGTAAATTGTCTTGATAAAAGTAAGCTCAACTGTTCCCAGGAGCTGCGTCAATTTCGTGAATCCATGCTACCTGCTACTAACGCCCGTTGCCTATCAGGTAACATGCTAAACCAGTGCTAATCCTCCCATATCCCAATTCCTGAACACCAATGCCAAATATCAATGCTGCGTATCTCGTGGTTGTGGTTGCATCACTCCATGTCTGGATTCAAACGATCAAAGACGTTGCAATCCCCTGCGACTACGGGTGGGGCGTTGCTCAGGTAGTCAGGCCTGAACCTTCTTGACGACCTCCTCGACTGCTGGGAAGAGAGTGTGGTTGCGCTCAAGACCAGTGATCTTCTCAGTAGCGTCACTTGACGAGTTCTCCTTGAGGATCTTGGCCAGCTCGAATGACTCCTCGTCACCCTCAACGTTCTGGAAGCGAAGACACATCTCGATACCACCAAGAAGGGCATCATACTTGGCTCCCATCTCAGCAAGATGAGCAGCAGGTCCAATGAAGCGCTCGTTGCGCGACAGCTTGCGGAGAGGAGCACGACCAACACGCTCGACATTGTCCTTGAGGACTGGGTTTGAGATGCGCTTGATGATCTTCTCGACGTACTCGTTCTGATCCTCCTCAGTAATTTCGTGCTTGTTCACGATCAGGTGAGCAGTCTCCTTGAGAGTGTTTCGTACAATCTCGTGCAACTCCTTGTCTTGCAGGACATCGTGGATGCATTCCTTGCCGCGGTTGTAGCCGTAGTAGGCAGCAGTGGCGTGGCCAGTGTTGACGGTGAAGAGCTTACGCTCGATGAAGGGGGTAAGGTCCTCAACAAAGTGAACACCCTCGATCTTTGGTGGTTGCGAGGGAAGGAAAGGCTTGCTCTCAACACACCACTCGTAGAACTTCTCGATTTTGACGTTCAAACCAGCGTCCTCATCCTGCATGGGAACAATGCGGTCGATGGCACTGTTAGCGAAGCGAGCCTTCTCTTGAATGTTCGACTTGGTCGAGTCTGAAAGCTTCTCCTCGATGAACTTGCGAAGGGTGTCCGTGGCTCCAATGGCATTCTCACAGGCAATAACAGCGAGAGGCGAGTCCTTCTTGCGGTTCTCGATACCCTTGGCGATGACAGGAGCAATGAACTTGAGGATGTTGGGGCCAACTGCGCAGGTGACAATGTCGGCAGTGGCAATCTCCTCGACGACCTTGTCCTCATCGGTCTTGCTGTTGATGGCGCGGTAGTTGTCGATCGTCTTTGACTTGGTGTCTGATGTGCCGACTTCTGTCACAGTGTATGACTTGTTTTGTTGCAGGGCGTTGATAATGGCGTCCATGACATCGACAAAGACGACTTCATATCCGGATTTGTGCAGGAACTCGGCGACGAAGCCTATCAGAAAAGTCAGCGCTGAGATATCAATCTGTGAGGATATCTACTTACCACGACCGATGTTACCACCACCAAAGTGAATTGCCTTCATGTCGGACATTTTGTTTCCTGATATGCAGAGAAGAGAGGATGCTAAGGCCAACTGTTAGCCGTGTTCGAGATTTGACGTCTGTTTCTTGTGTCTCAAGGACAAAGGAGCGCAACAAAGGCATAACACCATTTGCGACAATGATAACATTGACCCTCGAGCGCATCAGAGCCAGATATTATCTACTAACCTTTTGATAGAGACTGGTGATTGATGGCGGTGTACTTTTGTCCTGTAGACAAGAGGTCAGCAATGCGGCGGGGTATTGCGGAACGAGGGGCAGATAGCACGAACCTAACTGATAGCAGGCTCTAGACGAATCAAAGTATTAGAGGGGGGAACGAGAAAGTTCGTGGATTGGAAGAAGGAGGTATGAGATGGGAATGACAAAACCAAAGAGGTCGAGGGATACCAAGTCTATTTAACACGTCCGGGGGTTGCAACTGGTTAATGCCTCGTTGCTCCCTAACACATAGCCAAACCCGCACTATCCCAACCTACTCTCCCCGCACCATTACCGTATGACGACGTTCGCTGCCCGCACGTCACCTTCCCTGACGGCAGAGGCTTTGAGGCTGGCAAGCACGGTCCCTTGGACGCTTATCACAAGGTTTGCAACTTGTAGCCATCGAGTCACCATCGACGTTAATATCCTCGGGCTTGCTAGCGGGCACTTGCGGGCAATCATGTGCTAACCAGATCGGGCGCTCTTGTCACGCTATGGCTTGCTGTGCGGATCGTGGATGAGTGACCACCGCATTGTTGTGCGGCATGTGTTGCGGTAGGATCTCATGTCTCTCTCTTGCACTTGTTGCACGGCATGCGACAATGAAGCCTTGCAAAAAAAAAAAACGAGTGTGTGTTCTGTTATTACGTATTACTTTACTACTGCAAAGGAAAAAGCGATTAAGCTGTGTTATCAAGAATTGCGTGGTTTGGGTATCATCGTTGTTCGTCGTTCATCCTCCGATTCGCGTTTATCCGTAGACCCGAGGCCCTAATACTTGAACCCTTATCTGACGCAACAATACGCGAATCGACAGGGGAGCGCCCGGTTTTCCCCAACAGGAACAAACCGATGTCTGTAACTTGTAGTCAAAATATCCCGCGGCCGAAACTGCTAGAACCAGCGAATCGTTGCAATCATCTGCCTCTAGGCATGGATGGCCTGTTGAACATGAGGATATGTCGACACCATCTTGGCGTACAGGTCCGGGTGCTCTGTGATCATGACTTGCGGGTCGAAAGCTGCAGCAACGAATATAGTGTCGATGCCACTGCTTAGCGGGGTTGTGAAGATGTTAGCGATTTGCAAACCAATCAAGAATGCGAATGCAACAACAACGGGTGTGTACTCGCCGTTGCTGTTGTACGCAGGCGAGGTGAAGATCAGGTACAGGTAGGCCAAAAGAGCGCACAGGTAAGCGATGGCCGTAGCGCCTTGGGTCAGGACGGGGCCAATCAAGCACTCGTTGACTAACGCATCGATGCCTCGGTCTTTGATCAAACTAGTTGTTTTTAATGTCAGCGGAGCCCACTCGGTCGTATAGATGAGGTACTTACGTCCAAGTGTCCTTGGCGGCGGGGATGTAGGCCTTGCCGTAAAGCGCGATATAGCTGAAAGCGTATCTCTGTTCTTTCGTGAGCTGTCTGGAAATTTCGAAATATTGCGTCTCCACTTACGTTGACGAACTGGACAACCCAGTCCAGAATTCCAATAAGACACTGGAGAATGCAAAGCGCGATGTCGGCAGCAATGTTTCCAGAATTTGCTTCCTGCTGTCGTGCAATACTGCATGCTTGTCTGAGCATGTTGATGAGTGCGACAACCAAGCTTCCAAGACTGATACTTCCGAAGCTGTAGGTCAAAGAGCGGCGGGCGGCTCCTCGGGTAATGTTCTTGGGAGGGTTGTGCGAACAGAAGTACCATGAGCCGTAAACTCCAGAGATGATCACATGGATCGTGTTCTTGAGGAATTCGGAGATCCAATACATCGCAAACGTGATGAAGACAAGCAGACCGATAACCTTGGCGCTTGAACAGCCACCAGCGCCGGTGGAACAGGCTGGATTTGCGCCTGGTTCATATTTCACATACACCGCAACGAAAGTGACCGAGAACCAGGCACCAAGTGCAGTTGCGAGAACACCGCCAACAAGCGAAACGAGATAGACATGTCCAAACTTTTTGGAAACGTCAATGCTGACAGGTCATCAGTATCTCGAAGACTCGAACACTTCCTCCACGTCATCAAACATACCTTGTTTGTAGCATAACTACACTAAAAGGAATTCTAGGAATCCAAGAGATGAAGCAGACCACGGTGAAGATAGCGAAGATGAGGAAGACAATTCCGCCTGACCAGTATTTTCTCGACAGCATGTAAATGGCGGTCGCAAAACCAGCAATGATGTGAACAATACCGGTAATCCAGATGAATTGCTGCTACATGTCAGTACGCAGCTTCAACTGCCATGGTGGGTTTCAAGAATGTACCTTCGTGAATGCGCGTGCTAACCAGACATAGATATAACTAAGTACCATAGCCATGGCAAGACAGAAGACGAAGAGGACGATGGTGTTGGTGTCAAGGCCGAAGTCATTGTTGCTGTCGTAGATACCACCACCATTGAATCCCTTGGTCGCAGCTACACACTAATGATCAGCGCTGTGTTCATGGGAATTTTGGCAGTCCATCCACAGTCCAGGATTTGCGTGCGCGAAAACTCTTCACGTACCGTAGCCCTGAAGTGCGATACCAGAGACAGCGACATATCCAGCAAAGACGGCGAGGAAAAGAAGACCAGCCCACCAGTCATTCCACTTTGGCTTGTCAATCTTGAAAGCCTGCTCGAAGGTAGGCTTGTTGTCGTAACCATTCATGTCAGGACGAGGGTTGAAGTTCTGGCCGTAATTGGGAGGAGGTTGCGAATAGCCCTGGCCATTCTGGTAGGGCTGCTGGTATTGGCCATTCTGGTTGTAGGCTTGCTGAGGTTGCATAGGATAGTCCTTTTGGCCATCGCCATCCGGCATCTGATAGTAGCTGTTTGCTTCACCGCCGGCCATGGTGATAGCAGGATTGTCAGAGAAATACGTTTGCGCAAAGCAAGGAATGCGCCCGACGAGTTTTGCGACAGTGAATGTTTTTGTATTCCTTCACGGGTCAAAGCTTGGTTTGGTGACGTTCCTTTGCAGCCACAAGACCACCAAGACCTCAACACAGCGACAGGGATCGTCGCAGCAAGGAACGGCTCACGACCGCTGACTGTTCATTTGGCGTCTACAGCTGTGCACAGCTAAAATTGCCGACGTCTTTGCCTTGGCCTTGGCCATCGTTGGTCCTGGCACCAGGTCTATGGCTGAAATCTGGAAGCTCAGAGACGCACCCCATCATATAAGAATAAGATTAGAGATTAGCTTATATTGGCGAGGAGATCTTCATCATGCGGACCAACAACCAAACTCCTCTCGGACGGTGCACGAGCACGCCAAGTATTCAAAGAAAACATGCGCGTATCATGGTGCTAGCTGATACATATTCATGCACGAATGGTCTTGTCTTCGAGTATTAGCAAACAGTAGATGTGGTCGCGAGCATTAGCTTTTCGGTTGCGTTAGGCGAGAAAGCATATCAACATTGACGTCCAGCTCATGATTCGTGATTTGTACTGCAGCACCATTGAGATGGCACCACATGATTGCATACTCAAGGCTACACATTTGGCAGATTGGTACGATATTTTCAAGATACATAAACATTCAAGCCAGGGCGAAGATGCCCACGAGCCTGAGTATTGCTAGTGTAGAAGTATGTACAGGGTCACATGCCCAGCGAGATGAGTTTGGCAAATTCATCTGCGATAGTTCCTAATTTATACCTACCAGACTACGAATGATGTGAACGAGTGGCGGTACACTGGTAAGAGCGACAGTAATTGTGCCCAGAAGCCCCATGCTAAGACTTGAGAAAGCAGCCGCTCGAGGATCGGTAGTCAGAAGTAGTGCAGTCGCTACAGCAGATGAATTGGCGCCTAATGTGATACCACGCGTGATATAATCATCTGCAAGCAGAGTCAGCTGGTTGTACAGATGTACTCAAGTGAGTTAGACCAGAAAGAAAATACCTTTGGGGATTCTGAGTAGGTCCAGACCAATCGGACCCACGATGACACCCGCAATGCCACTGAAAATGCACAATGGCGCAATGGTAAATGGGTCACCGCCCAGATTCTTGGTAGCCGGCGTCGCCAAAGCAAGTGTCAAGCTTCGAGATGCGAATGCAAGACTACGTGGTGCAGAGATGCCAATGTGGTAACAAAATGTCGGATACGCGAACAGCGATCCGATAGAGACGATTACATTGGGAACAATGATGGTCATGAATCGCGCCTTGAGCTCGTTTCGGTATCGGTACATGGGTAGGCTTAATGCTACGATGCTGACATCGAGAACGCTGCCGAACATGTCTCCCGCCCCTGGAGGCTTCAGTCCTTGGTCGTTATCCCAAAGCTGTGTATACTTTGTGTTCGTCGTGTATGCATGCAATCCATCGTCGAGGCTGTCATGTCGAATCAATGCAAGTACCCAGATGCCAAGGATAGTGAAAGCTGAGGAGACCAAGACAGGGTGCAAATATGTCTTGTACTTAGGTGGCAGACGTAGAGCAGCGAAGTAGAAGATGACATTGAGGGAAAGTTGTACAGGCATTGCATAGCCAACTCCGTAGTAGATTGGCAGGCCTATAAAAAGGAACAAGGCACCATATGTCAGCATGTCAAAGTTCAGAGTGACAAAGGCAGCCCAGCGTTGAGGACGGGTCAAAGGTGCAGCATCGTGGCGAAGAGGAGTGGCAACCATTGAGGAGGTCGTAGCGTTCACAGCTACAGGCGGTCCACCAGTGCCGATCACAGCATCGGGATTCATGGCTTTGGAGGGTGCTTGGATATCGGCAATTTCGTTTGGCGAAGAGGGCGTCGACGACTCTCCCAAGTCAGCCTGAGCCGAAAGCGTTGGCACAGTAGGCACCTCACTGGCAGTCGAGGCTTGTCTCGTCTGTGTGAGTGGGATATTATCATCTTGACGTCCGAGTTCTTCAGCTCTCTCTGTCATTGCACGCTTGGATGTGCCGAGAACGAGCTGGAGGCCTCGGACCATATATGCCGTGAAAGCAAAAACCGCAACATAGCCGATGACTGTACGAAGTTAGGCAAGTCAATTGGAAAAAAGCTGTAGAGTACTGACTGAAGACAGCTATGATCTTTGCAACCTCGACGCCGCTAATAGAAGGACTTAGAGGCAAGGTCACGAACGCTGGACAGAAGAAGATATTGATATATCGTAGAGCAAAGCCACACTAGAAACGATAAGAATTACGTATGGGGCGCATTTTGCAAAATTATAGAAACTCACTGGAATCTCAATCAAGTTGACTATTCGCTTGGTCTGGCGGTCACCAAGTATACCCTGGAGCAAGACCAATATAACGAACAGACCAATCATACATGCTACAGAAGCTGGGAATGAGACAGAACTGAGCGATATCAGAGAATGTACGCCGAAGCAGACCGCGAGGATACAGGTCAAGCCTAAAGGTACATATAGCCATGCAGTCACAGCGCGTTCCCAAGACGACTTCGCTACCTCAAACAATAGTCAGTAAACGAGGGTCCGATTGGTAGAACACAGTGACTTACAAGCGCAGCGGCCTGTCCAGCATCATTAGCGAACGCAATAAGCCGCTTGGTATTCATGGCTGGATACTGTCAAACTACAAACAGGTGCAATTGTGCATGCCGAGAATATAAGAGGGTTACTGAGGGACGTTGATGACTCTAAAGACGGCTTTTGCGGCTACGACGGAGAACATCACCAGCTGATTTTGAGCGTCAAGGATTGCGAGAAATACCTGTAATACAAGTAGCTAATAAGAACTGTTAGATTATAGTCATTAAACGAATAGAATGCAGGTCAGCCGGACACAGTCCATGCCCGATGATGAATAATAAAAAATAGGTGGAATATGTAGAGCAGCTGAACTGGCCAGATTGACGGCGTTGGGCTTGTTGGTGTTGGACCCTTTCGCAGGGGCCCAGTACGCTGTGCCTACTCCTAAGCGCAGCGCTGTCTTTAGCACTCGCCCTCGCACAACGCAGCCCCTTGTCTGTTTGTACAAGAATCGCGCGTCAACATGTCGCTTGCTACCAAGACTCAATCGCAGAAGATCTTTGAGAAGCTGAAGCAGAAGCAGGCTAACAAGGTAGGTGGCCTGTTGTACCAAGACTCGACGTGTGCCACAATGTTGATGCCATCCAGATCTGCTTCGACTGCGGCGCCAAAAACCCCACCTGGTCTTCGGTTCCCTTTGGCATCTATCTCTGCCTGGACTGCTCGGCTCACCACAGAAACCTTGGTGTTCACATCTCCTTCGTTCGCTCCACCAACCTCGACAGTGCGTAATCCGACTCTCCACATACCCCACCCCACTCATACTGACATCGCATGTCCAGTCTGGCAATGGGAGCAGCTCCGTACCTTCAAGGTTGGCGGCAACGAGTCGGCAACCAAGTATTTCCAGAGCCATGGTGGCTCTGCCGCTCTCGCTAGCAAGGACCCCAAGACAAAATACACATCCAACGCCGCCAACAAATACAAGGAGGAGCTGACACGGAGGTGCCAGGCTGATGCCAAACTGTAAGAATACCATGTACTACAACCTGCGACAAAAATTGACCTGGCCTAGATACCCTGAGGAGGTTGTTATCACCGACCTTGCCGATGAGGCCGGCGCAAGTGGCACAAGCACCCCTGCAGGCGACGACGACGACTTCTTCTCTTCTTGGGATAAACCAACCATCAAGCGTCCTAGCAACCCTCCATCTCGTACTGGCACACCAGGCATCAACCGTACCAACTCACCATTTCTCAACACCCCAGCCAATGGCGCTGCACGACCGAAGTCACCATTGACCGCCGACGCACCCGCCCCTGCACCCACCACTGCTCGTGCAATCCCTGCAGCAGCTGCTCGCAAGACCGCCGTGGGTGGTGCAGCTCCCCGCAAGACCAACATCCTGGGCGCAAAGAAAAAGCTTGGTGCAAAGAAGGTGGACCCTGCAGCCCTTGACTTCGACGCAGCAGAGCGCAAGGCTCGTGAGGAGGCAGAGAGAATCGCAAAGTTGGGCTACGACCCGGAGGCCGAAGCAACTCCTGCAGAAGCTCAGATCAGCTCAGCACAACCAGATTCCACCTCAAGTATCGTGAGCCCACAACCTGTTAGTCCCAGACCGGGCGTTGGTTTCGGCGCAACTGGAAAGGGCAAGGAAAAGGATCAGGGCGACATGGAGAGACTGGGTATGGGTGTCCGCAAGCTTGGGTTTGGTCAAGTTGGTGGTGGCGCTCCTGCCGCCGCGGCGCCCAAGAAGATGGGCTTCGGTTCGACTGCCAGGGCGACAGAAGGTAAGAAAACACATGATCAGCTGTGCCCGACAAAGCTTACAATGTCATCTGCAGATGATTCAGAAAAGTATGCTCGCCAGAAGTTTGGAGCCCAGAAGGGTATCTCATCAGACGAGTTCTTTGGCAGAGGTACATTCGACTCGAACGCTCAGCAAGAAGCCAAGTCTCGTCTGCAAGGCTTCGAGGGTGCACAATCTATTTCGTCTAACGCATACTTTGGAAGACCCGAGGACGAGATGCCCGAGGGTGAGTATGGAGACATTGAGACGGCAGCCAAGGACTTTGTTCGCAAGCTTGGTATTACCGCAGGAGACGATCTTGAGAACCTCACCAGTCTATTGGGCGAGGGCACCAACAAATTGCAAGGTACGGCAGACACAATCAATAGGTTGCTGGATCAGCGGCTAATAGAAGTGACAGGTGCTATCAGAAACTACCTCAACGGATAGATTGGATGCCAAATTGAGAAGAACATGACACAGACAGAGCAGTACGTGTGCGATCAGTCATAAGATTAGCACTAGTCAGCCAAAGGTAGAATGAAATCAAAGACCCTTCAAATCTCAATTGTTTTGTCGTGCTGCACGTAAATGTTGGCAGTCGGTGGAGTGAGAGCCGAGGCGGATGGAGAAGGGTCCATGCACACGGCCCCGGTTGCGTCATGCTCAGAAAAGTGCAATGATCTGTTCTGGTCTTCGCGGCGCAACCACAGAGTGGGTATGGTGATCACGACGACCGACCAGCCATGCACTTGACCTCGCCGACGACGTTTATACATTTCTCGACTTTCTAAGCAACAACCTACATCATGCCTCCCAAAGGATCGCGCGTCGTCCACCACGACAATGACTCGAGATCGGACGGCTCGAGTTCGAAGACCAATCACAACACAGCGAAGAACAAGCGCCCGAACGGCACGAGCAACCTTCGTGATGCGAAGAGCGTGAACGACACAACTGCGGCACAAAATGCCTCGTCTAGCAATGGCGTAAGTCATCGCGTTGGCTCCAGGTACCGCGTCGCAAGACCAAGGCTGACCTCCAGGCACAGTTCACGTGGGCTCAGGAAGACCTGTCCCTCTTACAGCAATACCGCGCCGCACATCGCATGGAAACGCCTTCAGCATTCAATTCGATACGCAATCAGTTTTTGCTTAGCAACCCGGGTATCGGTAGACAGTCACCGACCATGGCAAGGCGCAAAGCAAAGAGGAAGGTACCCAAGGAACAACTCGCCATGGCAGTCAGGAAAAACTTCAACGATGCAGCTGTCAATGAGATTGACGTTATGGTCGATCTGCTGTACAAAGTGCGCAACCAGGGTATGTCGTCCTGCAACGTGCTGCTTCCTGCTGTTCTCGAGTGCTGACACAAGTGCTCCTCAGACAAGGCGTTCCGTCTTCGATCGGCACCTAGCAGAAGTAACAAGTGAACAAGGGCCTAGCAGGTCAGACAGCATATGGGAGAATTTGGCGTCCTTTGGGTATACCACGAATGACAGATTGAACGAACATGGCCAGGCGGTCTCGTCATCATCACCATCCGGAGTTCAGGCGTTTCTGTTTTAATGGTCGAGGAATATGCGGAGGACGGGATAGACGAAGAATAGTAGGCATTGGTAGCATTTCTCTGGCCTCTCATACATAGTACGAATACCCAATCATCGGATATCAGATTAAATACATGTTTGCAAAAGAAAACACAGGCCATCAGGGTCTCTTGGTGTCCGGCAGGTCATAGCGGTGAATTTTGTCAAACATCTCGAAGATTCGGTGGCATGCGCGGCATCGCTGACCGCATGCCAAGCCGACTTGACATGTTTCCCGCCGCAGTGCCAAAAGTTTCCCAGTCCCCGGCATCTCGACAAGAAGACTAGCAAGACCACTGCTGCTGTTGGAGCCTTCCATCGCCGTCAAATCCTTCACCCCTCTGTCACAGCATCGACGCTTTTTATCGACACAAGCCAGCGCAATCGCCATGAGTTTGGCCGCTCCCGGCTTGCTCCCAAAGGCGGCCACTCCGCTCCGTATCCTCGCCGCATCGAGGCCGACCTGCCAAACCTACTCCGAACGTCCTCAATCGACCCTTCAGTCCAGACATCTCTACACTGCTCCGTCAACCAGATCTGCCCGTCATGCGCCCCGTCAACCTGCACAAATTAGGGTGAGTGAGAACTCGTAATTATCCTACTGACCTTCTCGTTGCTAACATGTTCTGACTTGCAGACATTCCACGCTACCGCGCCGACATTGGCCAAGGATCCATATGCAACCCTCGGCGTGAGCAAGTCTGCTTCCACTGGTGAAATCAAGAAAGCATACTACGGACTGGCCAAAAAATACCACCCCGACACCAACAAGGATGCTGGTGCTAAGGAGAAGTTCGCTGAAGCTCAGGCTGCATACGAGACACTTTCAGACCCTAAAAAGAAGGAAGCATACGACACCTACGGCTCTGCCGCTTTCGATCAAAATGGAGGCTTCAACCCCGGTGCCGGCGCTGGAGGTAACCCCTTCGCTGGTGGCGGTTTCGGTGGGTTCGGAGGCTTTGGTGGTGGTGGTGCTGGCGGTGCTCAGGGCTTCGGCGATATCAACTTCGAAGATCTGTTCAGCGCATTTGGTGGAGGAAGCGCAAGAAGAGGCCGCGGAAGAGCTTCGCCGTTCCAGGAAGAGATCTTGGTTGGAGAGAACATTGAGGTTCAGACCAACATCTCCTTCCTCGATGCAGCCAAGGGCATCACCAAGGATATTCACATCAACCCGTTGGTCAAGTGCAAGACTTGCGAAGGCAACGGTTTGAAGAAGGGCCAATCGAGAACCACATGCAAGAGTTGTGATGGCTCTGGTACCAGGGTGCACTTCATGCAGGGTGGTTTCCAGATGGCAAGCACTTGTGGTGCATGTGGAGGTCAAGGCCAGACCATTCCAAAGAACGGTGCTTGTGGAACATGCAAGGGAGAGGGTGCAGTTCGCGAGAAGAGAACTGTGTCGGTTGATATCCCTGGTGGTATCGAGGATGGCATGAGAATGCGCGTATCACAAGAAGGAGACTTCCCGCCTACAGGCCAGGCCGCAAACCCCAAGGCACGAACAGCGAACGGCGATCTATACGTCTTTGTGCGAGTTGCACCCGATCCAAAGTTCAGTCGCAATGGATCAGACGTGCTCTACACGGCATCGATACCGCTCACGACAGCCATTCTTGGAGGCGAGATCCCCATTCCCACTTTGGATGGCGAAGTCAAGGTCAAGGTCGCGACAGGAACCGCAACTGGCGACCGCATCACATTGTCAGGAATGGGTATGAGAAAACTCAACAGCAGACGTGGCAACAATGGTGACCTGCGGGTCGAGTACAAGGTACAAATGCCCAAGTATCTCAGTGTCAACCAGAGGACGATTGTCGAGATGCTCGCAGATGAGATGGGAGACAAGACAGCAAAGCGAGTGATGAACCTCGGAAAGATGGCCGAAGACGCCAAGAAGGACGCAACAACGAGCGATGCAGACTCACACAAGAACGAAGGGTTCCTCAAGTCTGCATGGCATAGACTCACGCATCAGCACGATCACCTGAAAGAGAACGAGGAAGCCAGCAAGCAAGAAGAGGATGACAAGAAGAAGTCAGGATCGAACTAAAGAAGATGAGGTGAGATGTGTAAGAGGATTGTACATTTATGTATATTATAGCGATTTGTGTTTGAGCATTTGGGCAGGGGACACCAGATAGCTGATACATTGTCTTTGGGTTAAAAGCATGTAACAACAGGGAGGTTGGTTGGAGAAACAATGATAGACTCTTCTCTCGATACCAAGGAGTATGCGTGACATGCAGCGATTGGGTAGCTATGGAATGTAGTGGCCCTGGCGAGCGTGTCAGATTGATGTTTCAAGCGGGAAGCCTCAATGCGGGACAATGACGATTGGGCATCGGAGGTGATTGACATGGTGGCCGTGATTGATTAGCCATCTAGCTGCATCTCTTGCACACACTCGAGTATCTGGACAATTGCACACTCTGACCCCTATCGACTGTACACTTAAAAGGTCCGAGGTTTAGGAGGCTTGAAAACAAGATCAAACAGCAGCCAACAACATTAGCATCAGCGGCAGCAAGCGCGATTGACCCCACCCGCGTGGCCATGCTATAGCGGCTACCTAAAGCTACTTCCCTCCCCAACCACCACGACAAGATGATGCAGACACCGATGCTGTCGTGCCCGCTCAAGGCAACAAACGAGATAGACTGGATTGCCCCGCTCAAGCAATACATCCGCACCACGTACGGTGACGATCCAGAACGCTATGCCGATGAATGCGCCGCCCTCAACCGTCTGCGCCAGGACATGCGCGGCGCTGGCAAGGACTCGGCCGCTGGAAGAGACTTGCTATACCGCTACTATGGCCAGCTAGAGCTATTGGACTTGCGCTTTCCCGTTGACGAGAACCACATCAAGATCTCCTTCACCTGGTCTGTTTCTGTTCATCTCTGCCTCTACCTCCAGCCCCACTGACCGCTTGACTTCAATAGGTTCGATGCCTTTACCCACAAACCTACCTCACAGTACTCGCTAGCCTACGAGAAGGCTTCTATCATCTTCAACATCTCGGCCGTTCTCTCCTGCCATGCCGCCCATCAAGATCGCAACCAGGAGACAATGCTCAAGGTTGCTTACCACTCGTTCCAGGCTTCGGCCGGCATGTTCACCTATATCAACGAGAACTTTCTACATGCTCCCTCGACAGATTTGAGCAGAGATACAGTCAAGACCCTCATTGCGATCATGTTGGCTCAGGGACAGGAGGTCTTCCTCGAGAAGCAAATAGCTGATGGCAAAAAGGTTGGCCTCATGGCCAAACTTGCCAGTCAGGCTGCATATCTGTACACCCAGGCTCTTGAAGGTGTTCAAGACAACGTCGCCAAGGCCATCTTTGAGCGTGTCTGGCTACTCCTTGTCCAGTTCAAGACACATTACATGACCTCTCTGGCCCACTACTACCAGGCTCTTGCAGATGACGACGCCAACTCTCATGGTGTTGCCATCTCGCGCCTCGAAATCGCCATGACGCTCGCTCGAGAAGCCGCAAAGGTCGCAAACTCATTCCCTTCGTCTATCCCTGTCACCTCAAACTTGGCTGGAGACACTGCTTCCATTCTTGCAAATATGGCGAAGACTCATTTGACTGCGTGCGACGAGAAGCTGCAGCAGTTTAACAAGGACAACGACTTCATCTACCACCAGTCCACTCCCCCCGAGGCCGCCCTTCCTGCCATTCCCAAGCTTCCCGCCGCCAAACCTATTCCTGTAAGCGAGCTGTACCAAGGTCAGGATATTCACCGTATAGTTGGTCCCGACATTTTCCAAAAGATCGTTCCAATGGCTGTTACAGAGTCTGCCAGTATGTACGACGAGGAGAAAGCCAAGCTCGTCCGCGCAGAGAGCGAGCGTGTAGAGATTGCCAACGATGAGATGGCTGCTTCTCTCGATTACCTCAAGCTACCGAACAGTCTGAATATTCTCAAAGGAGGTCTAGATCAAGACATGACGGTTGATTCTGACTTCCGCAAATGGTGCGAAGACTTCGTTGGTCATGCTCCATTCGCTCAAGACTTTGAGCAGCTCAACTCTAGCAAATCCAGTATCCATGGTATACTCGACCAATGCCAGAAGAGCTTGGACATGGAAGAGAGTGTCTGTGAGAAGATGAGAAACAAATATGGCGGCGAATGGACCCAACAACCTAGCTCACGACTCACTTCGACACTCCGCAGCGATATTCGAAACTACCGTGGTGCTGTCGAGGAAGCGAGCATGAGTGATGTGCAACTCTATAGCACTTTCAGGCAGCATGAATCCGACATGGAGGAAATGCGATCTGCAGGCGAGACCGATGAGGCCGATGTACTTTACCAGCGAGCCATGATCAAGGTTGGTGCCGCGAGGAAGACAGGCGCAAAGAGTCCTTCAGCAGAAGGTAGCTTGATCGATGATATTGACGACGAAGACAAAGCGAGTGTGTCTGAACAGATTGCTGCTGTTGAAGATCTGCTGAAAAAGTTGACCTTGATCAAGAGAGAGCGTGAGAAGGTGCTGAAGGATTTGAAAGAAAAGGTTTGTCTAGTGGGAGATTGCTTGTCTTGAGCTTCTGCTGATTTTGCTACAGGTTCACAATGATGACATTTCAAGTGTCTTGATCTTGAACAAGAAGGCCATGTCACAGGAGAACCAACTTTTCAAAACCGAGCTCGAGAAATTCCGACCGCATCAACAGCGTTTACTACAAGCGCAACACAAACAGCACAGCTTAATGAAGGAGCTCACTCGTACTTACAGCGATCTTTTGTCGGACAAACGCGTCCGCCAAGAGCAGAACAAGTACGAAGCTTTCTCACGTCAACGTAGTACCGTAATGTCCAAGTACAAGAAAGTGCATCAAGCACTTCTGGACTTGCAAGCAGGCCTTGAGCGTGCCAAGAACTTCTATTCTGAGATGAAAGATACCGTCGACAGTCTGTATAAAAACGTCGAAGGATTTGTCGGCAATCGCAAAGCAGAAGGAAGTCAGCTGCTTAATCAGATCGAAAGCGGCAAGGCTTCTTCGGGCGCTAATGGTGCAGACCGTGAGCAGCAGCGTCTCAAGGAGATGATGGATCGCATGTCCATGAACCCTACTTCTTCGCCAAATCAGCAACAACAACCGCAACCCCCTCCAAGACCCATGCAACTGCAACAACAGCACTCTTACAACAACAACTACAACCCTGCATCCTCACCACCTGTCACACCAGGATACGGCATGCAACCCACACCATCGCCTTACACGCAGCAACAAAATTACGCTCAACAATCCCAACAGCCAAACTACCAACAACACCAGCAACCTCAACAACCTCAAGGCTACAGCTACAATCCAAATTCTTACGGCATGCCCACTTCTCCACCCGCCGTCCAGAGCCAGTACTTCTCTCCTCCGCCGAACCAAAACCAAGGCCAAAGCCTGTATGGTCAAATAGGTCAACAACAGCAGAACATGCTGCCCCATGGTTATGTGCCCCCACCCCCACCCCCTGGTCCACCGCCACAACAGCAGCAGCAACACCAACAGCAAGGATACGGACAACAGCCTCAACAGGGCTACAGTCAGCAGCAGTATGGGCAACAGCAGCAGGGCCAAGCTGATCCATGGGCTGGACTCGGTGCTTGGAAATAGGAGATTTCAACAGCACTCGGAAGTAGGATATCTGTCATCACGGCCTTGAGCAGTGAGACAGGATGCAAGAGCTGGAGAAATCGACAGCGTTCGAGTTTTGTACATTCCTGAAAATGATCAATTACAAAAGTATACTTTTTGTCCACCACATATTACTTCATCCGTGTACACTTGTGAAAACGTCCCCCTGAATGTTTTGTAGCGAAACAGCTTGGTGAATCGTTGCTCACACAAGCTCAAACATCGTTTCCGTCTGCTGCAACATCGGTTTAGGCATGGTCTTCCGATAGTTGTTGAGTTCACCATCCATCATGCCATGAACATAGCACTCGCCCAACATACGATACAACTTTGCATCACCCCTGTCTTGCCTCTGATGGCTATGCAGCACAACAGGGACATTACAGCCATACAACAACGCTATCGCGTCTCCTGGTTGTGTGTTCTTGGGCACCAGACACAACGTCACCACTCCAGTATGCTTCAAGGTGATCCGTGCCAACCGTCTATTCCACACCACCTCTTGCACTCTATGCAGGAATTCTCGAACCGAAGACGCAGGGTTACCACTAAGCACGAGAGAAGTCTCCAAATCGTCGTCTTTGGGCGCTTCTTGAAACGCTTCGGAACATGCTCGTCGCCAGTACAAGGGAGGCTTTCTGCCGTGCGTGTTTCTGTTTGCGACCAGAGTGCGCCAGAAAGAATCTGGAGGGGGATTTTGCTCTGGTGGAAGGGTCTCGAGCCATTGAGCTGCTTCGCGCCAGTCGGCTGGTATTGTGCCCGAGGTGGCGTTTGATTTTAGCTCGGAAGATTGAATGGTATGTAGGATTAGACCGTTGATGAGCAAGCTCTTTTCTCGAAGGGGGTCGCCACGAGGGAATTGGTACTTCATGAAGACGGTGAGGTTGTGTGAGGCTCTGTACGGCGGACCGCTGAAGTCAAATTTGCCTAACAGGGGGTTCGCGTTTACACGTTGATATTTCCCTCTTCGATTTGGTTTGAAAGCGACTCCCTTGCTCAGCCTTGGTATCCAGGAGGGAAATGCGCTGTCGTTTGGGTCATCTGGTGCCCAAGGCCGACACAAAATGTCGAGGGTGGCTTCAGGCCTAGACATTACGAATTCGAGCACTTCGCGGCAGACCTCGAAGATGGATTTGCTATAGTCGAGGAAGATTCTGCGTTGTTGGAAGCCGTTTGAGAGTCGGTCGACTATGATCTCCTTCTTTTCTCCTGGACTCCTGGCGTCCGAGAGAGTTCTGCTGCGTCCGAAACGCCCTACAACAGATGCTGCGCTGATGGGGTGCAAGCCATTGCTACCATCCTGGGCTAGGGTCTGAGGCGAGATATGCTGCAATGATGTGAGGTTTGGTGACTGATCTCGTTGCATCCGATTGATCTGCACTACTTGGTCGAACGGCAAGCTTGAAAGATGAGGAAAGGGCGACGCGGCAGAGTTTGTGTCCGCTGGCGGCGAAGAACAGTAAATGGCATCCGCGATCATTGTCGTTGTTTGTGCGTTGCCGTTCTGCAGGAGCTGCTGGTTTGCACCTTCTGCTTTCGCACCATCTCCGCTTATGTGAATAGAGGGGATGTCTTCACCCCTTCTCCTCTTGGAGATGTTATCACTATTAACGCCATTTTGATTACCGTCTGTAAGCGATCTCTTGAGCTGAGCGTCTACCGATGGTTGATCAGATACAACAGGAGGCAGCATAGGCGAAGGAGGTGAACTCTGATCGCGCCGAAACGCCACACCAAATGCATCATTTGACAGCCACAAGATCGCGTAGACTATATCATGAGGAACTGACGCTTCGAAAGCAGACATTGTCGACATCAGAGCTTCGAGCGAGAAGTTCTTGTCTCGAATCTTGTTGTCTTCGGTCTTGTGGAATAAGTCATCTGTCAATTCGACCAAGCGGATTGCTCCCAGTTCGGAGATTTCACCCAGGTAATCTGCATGGTTGTTGAACTCTGGGGATTTCTTGAACAGAGCTTTCATCTCGAACAGTCTGGCTGACAGTTGTGAGATGACATCGGCAAACTCATGCCACGGCAGCTTCTGATCACCGCAATGGAGAACCGCTTCTCGGGCAACAGCAATCTCTTGTACAATCCATCGTCGACTGAACCAAGAGCGTTTCATGAGAGACACTAAAGCTTTGATGTCCTTGGATACGTGCGGATCACGCATAGCTCTGTCAAACACATCGCTGTCCAGACACTTGCGCACGAACTCAAAGGCAAGTGCAGAATCACTGTCGTCGGGTCCCAGCCACACACGCACCGTGGTTGCGGAATTGAATATGATGGACATGTGAGAGATCTGCAAGCTCTTCTCCTCTTGGTTCCTCTGATCAATACACAAAGCATCGATCCATAGTCTTCGTTTCTTTAATCTTGGATACCGCAATGCCCGTAATGCGGAAGCTAGATTATTGGTGATGGTAATTATTGTGTCGTGTATGTTGACCACGGGATCATCGTTGGTGACTGGTCCCCAATTGTAAGACAAAGCCTCGTACTCGCCTGAGTCGGGAGCATTGATGACCACAGTGCTATTGTTAGGTTTTCTCAGGCGACACGTCAAAATCTCGCCTTCAAGTTCACTGTTAGGTGAGCCCGGGTGAAGAATGAACAACCGGAAGGCGCGTTCTCTAAGAGGTTCTTGTAAGAGATTGTCGAAGCGATATGCTGGTTGAGAAACAGGAATAAGAGCCATGATGGATGGGTGGGAACAATTGTTCTGGTCAATTGATCAAGACAATAACATTTTGCTGTGGTATGCTGAAGACTTCAAAGTCTTTGTCGAGACAGGGACAGACTTTGTAAGGGGTTCACATCAGGCGTCCTGATCCTTTCACTTTCTCATTTGGGCAAAAGATGGTTCTCAAAGTTACAAGGGCGAAGTGTCAGCCAATATCAATGGAGAAGGCTGAGCGGTATGCCGCAGGCTTGAATTGACCCCCACACTATACAAGGTGCCTCGACACGCACACCGAGGCTGATATGCTTCTTACTAGGAACGATTGCTCTGCAGAAAGTGGTTACTGTAGGGGCTATATTGGGCATGTCTTTTACTTTTTGAGTGGATTTGCGCTTCATTGTCTTTCTGTGAGGATTGGTTCTTGTGAGACCTCCATCTTCGTCTCTGCGATAGATGGTTTACTCTAATTGGCTGATGCATGCTGATATTAAATTACATGCATGTAAGGCGGGGATCCTCACTTCGCCACTCCAATAAATGCACAGATTCGTGCATCCAGGCAGACGGAGTGCCCGAACCGCTCGGATATGTATTCGAGCCATGTCTTCCTCAGGTGGGCAGTCTGATTGTGACTGCGCCATCTGTCAGTCGCTCTCCGCCACCACCTAAGTCAGGGCTGTGTAGAATGTTTCAGGAGCTCATAAGAAAGATGTATATCCCACAAAAGGTCGGTCAATTGGTCTTCGCATTTAAAGCAAATCATTGAAAGCTTGCCTCAGCGAGAAATCTCGATTGTCACAGAGCATTGGAATATGCCGCATGTTAGCCTTGACGCCGCCGGACTTGTCGCGCTCGCTGACTTGGACATTATCGCTCGGCGTACTGCCCTCTCGGGCACCTCTCGGTTTGCCGACGTCCTTGTGCTCTGTCCAGGCCTTCACACTCAACAATCAGCCAGCGAGCTGAACCGTGGGGAGTTTCCAGCATGTGCGGCCATGACGACTGGTTACGCCTTCCGAATCGAGAACCCTGCAACTGTAGCTTTCCTCCAAAGCATCGGAAGGACCGGACAGCTGAGCTGTGTCAAGGTTGAATACGCAAAAAGCCATAGCGAAGAATGGACGACCATCAAGCTCTTCTGCAGGACGGTTCCTTATGCCTTCTGTTGTTTGCTCACAATCTCTACCCTCATCGTGTTCGCATTGATCCGAGACTGGTGGGCCGTCACCTCAGTCAGCATCTTGGTATTTGCACGACTGTGTAATGTCTTTGTCGTCAAGAAACGGGTCGAAAGAGCTGGTGAATGGAAGGGTGCTAGTGAGCCGGGCGTTCAGGGCGATCTGCTTGTGCTTTTAAGCCAAGATCGTTGGATCAGGATCCAGGGTGCTGTTGATGATCTCAAAGCAGTGACATCTGGACAATGGCTAGCCGAGATGACCCCTCTAGAGAGTGCAGTATCTGCCTTGGCGACAGTGTTGGTGTATCTGGATGCCGCACTAACGAGCAATGCATCTCAGCTGGGGAAGATCATACTTCTCGTTCTTCTGATAGGCTCGGCTGGCTTCTTGGCCATAGCAAATGAGCAGACTGAAGCTCTACACATGCATGGTCGCGTGCTGCAAGTTCAGAAAGGGCGCAAGGCTTACGACCGAAGGCTGTCCATGGCAAAGGAGCTCATACATTCTTCGGGTAGATCCGACTGGGCCTTGAAGCTTGGCTTGGTGAATGAAAAGGATTGCGACGAGAAGTGCGCCAGCGCGAACTCCTCTGTCATAATGTAAAGATGACAGTCATATCAGACCATGATCTTATGACAGTATGACAGACCTCTGAATGAGAACTTCGCAGATGACCCTTTACATAAAGAATTGCCTCAGGATATCAGTTCGCAGGATGATGTCTGAGCCCAGGAATCCTGCTTTGAGATCTGAATCCGGCGCCCATGCCCAGTGCAAGAGTTGTGTGGTCCGTTGAATGGTACCAGGGCCCGATCTTGGGGCACAAGATACGATGGCATTAGTGAATGCTGTTTGATCAGCAGGCGTTACTGCTCCTGTACCAAGCAAGAAAATCGGCCACAGAAGAAGCGCAGATGCACCTTGCAGAAGATCCATCTGTTGAAAGACTTTGTGACTTTGCCGGGATATGGCAATAAGATCCGGATCGAAAGGACCATTCGATGGGTTTAGCAACTTGTGAGAGAGAAAGAGGCAGCCATAATACCAAGCCTTAGCCGAAAGCAGGTTTTTCATCATGAAGGTGTCCGCGGTCCCTGAGTCGACATCGAACAAATCTTCTGGAGCCTCTACAGGTGCTCGCCAATTCATGATCCTCGTCGAGAGAGAAATCGCGTCGATCAGGTCTTTTCCTTGCAGGGGCAATCTGTCTCTCAGCCAACACAGCTTGAAGGCCATGTCGAACAAAGGAGCGCACATGCCCACCCAGGGACACTTCCGCCATTGTGTGGTCATATCTTGACGAGGACTTCCAGGAAGACACATCGTCTCGAACAAGCGCTCGATATAGTCGTAAGGCAGTGAGGGAGAGGGTTGGAATAAGCGGTTGTGCACTGTTCGAAATGAATATGCCTCAAGCAGTAGAACTTGGTGCATTGACGACGGTGCTTTGCCCATCATGCTTGTTCGAACAAGATTATGAGCACCACTAAGATGCGCTACTCGCATGCTAGCAGGTTCATCAGTCCTTGGACTCATCGACTAGTTTAACTCAGGTCAGCTTGAAGAAGCAATACTGTTTCCGAATCAGTTCTTACCTCGAAAGTATGCAACAGAAGTGTCGCTGCGACCTTCCATTCCGGAGAAGTTAGACCAGTCTCGGTCAGAGCAGTAGCTAGGCCCTTGACGGCTTGCTGGTAATGTACAAGAGCCTTCTGAACGCCTCCCGGTTCTGCCTTTGTTACGAAAGCAGTGCCACATGATAGCCAAGCATGCATGAGCGATGAGTTTTGTAGACACAATGGCAGACAAAGCTGTGAGGCCGGTTGCTCGAGACTGCCATTATCTGGAGAAATGATGGCCTTGTCGAATGCCGTGGTGATCTGAATCAATTGGCTGGATGTTAATTTCCTGGTTGTTGATTAGGTAATTTGCAAGCCAGAAACTTTGGTAAAGAGCACATACGGTGATACTGTCTTGACTCCAGCGGGGAGGTCAACGGTGATGCAATTCTCGATGCTGTTCTGTGGTGAAGGGGTTTCCCATACACGTCTCATGATGTTCGAAGTGGTCGTGCCGCGGGTACCTTTTTGTCCCTTGTCACGAATTACCATGACACTTTGTGACGGAGATCCGGGATTTATCGATATCTGGATAGGGTCTCGTCTAGCATCAAGATCAAGACGCGGTTGATATCTGCCGCCATCTTCGGAGGCTAGCGATGCTGCATGTGCAGGCCATTCGCAGACAACTGATCCGATGCTCTTCCGGCAGCGCACGCAGACAGGCTTCGCAAGATCACACTTCTTCTTCTTCCGTCGACCTGTTATAAAGTCTGTCAATTAAAGAGTTCATTGCCGGCACGTCTATACGAAAGCCCCACAATCTGGAAACTGATCCGGGCAAGCCCGCAGATTGTGTAATGGATGAGGAGCACATACATGGTAGACAGCCCAGATCTGTACGAGTTCGCTTGGGCTTGACATCCGCTGCGACCAGTCCGCCGGTAGACAGTTCGAAATTAGCAAACATGACACGCCTATCGAGCAGTTCAGAGCGGGCGCATCGCGGAGTGAAGTTCGCCCCTGCCAAAGCTGTGGGAGCGGCTGGCTCGATGTGGACAAGTGCCAAGTCCCTTATACATATAAGGAAAGCAGGCCCGAGGGAAGTATTGGCTATCGCTACTGCTCGCTTACGACTTTAAGCTGTGGAACGATAGAGGTCTGATGGACGTTTCTTGGTATATGACAAAAGACCAGATTTCTGATTAGAGATTACGAATAAGAAGAGTAAGGTTAAATAACGAAGGTGTAGATGGGACCAAAGTTAAATGTTCCGCTAACCGTGCTTATCTGACCAGGGACATCTGCTGTCCATTATTCATGTGTTTGCTTGCCTATGTTTCGCTGCCGAGATCTGTCCAGCATGTCTCTTGCATGTATACCCAGCAGAGATAGAGAATGAAGAGAAGTGCAATGTCTATCTTACCAGTAAACTGCTGCACATCACATATAAGGACACAAGGGGCTTATCAATCTATGAGGCCAAGAGTAGTGCTCTTCTGAGCGAATTTGTAAAGGAAACCAGCGAACATAGATTATCCCTTTACAACAGGTCATCGATACCACGCTCCGAGTCCTTCTTGATAAGATCAATCATGCCCTAAAGTCAATCAGCATCAGATCGAGGCCATAGAAAAGAAGGATACACGTACATCTGGGAAGATGGGCTTGCCATCCTTGTCAAGCACGTAGCGAAAAGGCATCTCGGTGCTCTCGTGCTCGTCAACCTTGATCTCGGGGTGGTCAACATATTTGATGTTCTCCAGCTCGATGCGATCCTGGACCACGATTCTAGTGGTACGCACTGCTGTGTCGGTGGTCATCTGGACTGGTCCAAGACGGCGTCCTTGGTAGCCCTTCTTGCGAAGTTCCGAAGTACGATCTATCAATGCATCAGCCAGAAAACCAGGTCAGACATCGGATGACGTGGCATACCTCTAGGTGGGTCGTCTCCGAGGATACCGCCAAAGAGAAAGATGTCGAAGTTGTCGCCGTCGGCGGGGCTGAGTTCTTGTTTGGCTGCGGGATCAAGCAGGCAGACACGGTCCTTCTTGTCTGCATAGATCTCCTCGATGCCGCGATGTTCAACGTTCAGTTCAGAGACATTCTTCAGAGATTCGGGCAATTGAAGCTCATGCGGGACAGATGTGAGGTAGAAAGAGGATCCTGAGGCTGCAGTCTCTCTGGCAATGCACTTGTATTCAAGAGCTGACCATTGCTCAAGCTCAGGGTCGAGATGCTCGACAATGAAGGTTTTACCGGACATGCTCTATGATTTATTAGGACATCCATTGATATTAATTTTCCACGCTCAACTCACTGCGGACTTACGAATCAGTGACCAGAGATCTGTCTCCTCAATTTTGCTATATAATAGAGGTTTGATACAACAAGCGTCAGAGTCTGTTTAATGTATAGAACGATGGGTTCTGGTTGTCGCAATGAAGAATGAATATGGTGGTTGCTTTCATCGAATTTTCCAAAACTTTTGACCCGAAGCCGAGACTGACGTGAGTTTCGCGGGATGAACAAGCATCGTGGGGAAGTGCAATAACGACACCAAGGGTCTGCTATCCGACACAGCATGTGGGTATCAGCCAATGATATAGATGATCGACCAGATGTACGTCAGACAGTACATATCTTGTGCCCGGTAACAAGTGCTTAGTGTTGCAGCATGCAGCTACTCGATACAATAAAGCTACATATAGGTTTTGGTGAAGGAGCGATAAGACCATTGAGAAAGCTCAGAGCACAGTCAATTACTCTGCGAGCAGAGATGTGGCCATTGACCTCGCCAACAGATAGTGAAAGGCAGATGATGAAACAAGCTGTATGATTAATAGCCTGAGATCGAGTCTGCGTGACCTCCAACGAAGATGGAAACGATCAGAGCTGGAGGAGGCTAAAACCTCAGTGAAAGCTAGGCAAACGTTGTCGAAAGGGACAAAAGACGGTGCTACAAGCTTGGAAGCTCTTCGTACCGACCCCTCTTTCAACCACATTGCTTTCATCTGAAATACCAAACCTCTTTACTTCCACTCTCCAAACACAACAAAGCGACAGGTCAATTGCGTGCCAAGCACGAGCTACAAGCTTCTAGCACAGTCAACGCGAAACGCACGCAAGCAAGGGCAAGAGCATCAGAAGGTGCGTCAGAGTGTCTCGTCATACGTTTCACAGGGCCGCCTTTAGACCGAGCAATTGACATAATAATTGGGCAGCAGCAAGCAACCGAGATTCCACGACAGCACTGCGGACAGCGAACAGCCAAAGCAGACTTCACTCGTATCAGATCTCTTTGTTCCCAGACCCGCTTAGGTACCCCAGCTTTCGTAAGAGCCGGCCGGCTGAGTCAAGCGACGACATCACCCTGGTGAACAAAGCCCAAAGCTATCCATCCACCCACGCCCTGGCCTAAGGTGTCGATTGCTTTTGCGTCCACGTCGACACCACTTTTTTGCTTGCGAACACAGCTTGCGCACAGCAAGAACCACAACCTCAATTCTTCCTGGCGAAGACTCGCACCCCTCTTCCTCGTCCACTACTGCAAAGCAAAAAAGGCCGACCACATTGCGACAAGCCCGCCGCCATGAACCCCCACCAGAAGAACAAGGTCGACATCAACGTGAGATCTTCGTCCGCTGCCATATGCACCTCCCGACTCATCATATCCACACAGGCCATGTCACCCGATGAGCAGCGTCTGTTCCGCATGTACGGCAAGCTGCCCGACAAGAAGAACCTGTTGCAGAACAAGCTCAAGGTACGCATCTCTGCAACCTCGACTGCGCTTTGTGCACCTTTCTAATCACTTATGCGCAATTTCACAGGGCCAAGAGCGCAAATACTTCGACAGCGGTGACTACGCCCTCAGCAAGGCTGGAAAGGCAGGTGACGTTGGCGTCACCAGCATCGGCGTCGAGCACCCTTCACCAGACACCATCCCCCACCTTTCCTCGTCACCGAGCACGCAAGCCCCTGGCAACCCCAACGGCAATCCCGGTCTCAACCTCCAGCCCACCCAGAGCCACCAGTCATACGCTTCAGGCAGCCCAGTCAAGGAGAGCAGTATTCTGCAGAGGGGCATGAGTGTCGACGACCAAGACGGCGAGATCAAGAGTGCCATGGAGAAGCGTGCTGAGGCCGCTTCATCTGGCCTTTCTCCTTCGTCTGAGAGCGACGCTGTGCCGATCCGCCAATAGGAGACGTCCGCCTTTGCTTTGGAATCAGGCAAATTTGATGGAACGGAAATTCTGACTGCGAGAATTGGCCAAATGGTGTTGACAGATCGACAAGACAGCAGAGCTAGATCAAGGTGGAAGGTCAAGGTCAGGAACAGGCGTTGGACCGGCAGGAGTGCAGGAGTTGAATCTTTGTCGTTGTGTTTTTCTATACCTCGCCCCTTTTGATTGTCTTTTTGACAAGAGCAACTGGACACTTGAGGAGGTGCTCAATCCCATCCACACACAACATGTTTGTTGTTTTTTTTGTCTGTACGCTTATGCCGTAGTTCGTTTCTTTTTGTTCACTCGTTCCCTCTTCTTCGGTGTAGCTACTTTTGAACATGGACACTTGATTGTCTTTCTTCCTGACAAAAGACCTGCTACTTCTTTCTATAAGATCCAAGAATGTTTTGAACAATGATGATACAGGTTTGAATATTTCCTAGAAATGAAGACAATGATATAACTACATGAAAACCTCCTTATCCCTTTTTGAACATTCAGGAATTCTTACACTTCTCATGCGTGGACAAAAGCACCGCCTTGAGCGTTCTGACCTCTCTTGCTACCAGGTACACTGGGTTCCACCTCGTCCAAAGCAGACACGACATCCTGGTCAGCCTCGAAATCCAAAGGAGTATCCTGGTCACGAGCATTGCCCGACGAGCCTGAGAGCTGCTTGATGGCAGTGATTTCCTTGGCAGCCCACTCACGCCACTCCTCGTACTTTTGGTCTTCGAGCTGCATACCGATGTCCAGAGGTGAAGGACCGAACTCGGCGCCAGTCCAGAGAGCTTCTTCGCGGGCGACGCGGCGCTCAATGTCCTGTGTATGACGGACGTCGTAGAATTCTTTGCGGGCCTTGTCGTAGGCGCCGGCCTTTGTGTAGGCTTGATATGTGTCTGGCTCTGCGGTAGGAAGGGTAGGGCTGAGGATGTCTGTGGTCTTGATGTTGAGGGCGGTCGCGAGATGGTTGAGCAACGCGGAGACATTTGCGGAAGCGTTGCGATAGTATGAGAAGGAGATGGGGAGAACGTTGAAGGGGTTTTCGGCGAAGGGCTTGATGGTGGATTCGGGCTCGAGGGTCATGGTGATGTTGTATTGCTTGCCGATGGCTGCGAGGTCCATGTTTCGTAGCGTTTGGGCAAGAGAGTCGGAATGTAGCAGAGCGACACTGAAGGAACGCTTGTTGATCGAAGAAGTGTTGAGACCTTGCTCGGTGAGGATCTGGTTCAGGTGCTTCAGGGCGTCCTTGAATTGATGGGGATATTTGGGGTGGTATGTCAAGTAGAGGTTGACAGGAACACTGGCATCGGCATCGGTGTATTCAGTCCTTGATGGCAATTGACTGGATTGCAGATCGACGGCGTATTCTTCCTTGAACAATGGCAGCAGTTCTTCCTGGAAGGCTTCGGACCGTAGGTAGTCGAGCAATTGTGGAGTAGCAGAGAAGTCGAGTTCATGTCGGAGCAGGCCCATGAGCCATGCTTGTCTTTGGACGACACTGTAGAGGATCAGCGAATGCGTGGCTATGCGGCTTGACCAGATATACACACCTCTCTCCGTCGACCTGCTTGGTGGGCTGATCCAGCTGGCTCCAGTCGAACTTCTGGTAGTCCTTGCCGTCATCCTCGAGAACCTGTCTAGGTCTTGCCAGTTCCCATGGGTGGTCGCCGAAAAAGTCGAGTCTGAGCTGATCCTCGGGATACTGGAGTTTGACGGGCTGGAAGAGCTTGCTGGCCTTTCTACCCTTGCGCTGGGCGGGTTGCAATGGCGGACGCACGAGACGTTCTGATGGCGGTAGGTTGCCGATGACCGTGTACCAGGGCGGAGGAGGTTGAGAGGTGGTCGTGCCTCTGGAACCGCGGACCTGGAGGAGGCGCGTGGCGGCCTGGTGTACGCGCTGAGGCGCAAAGTTGTATCGACCCATGGCGGCGGTCCTGTCTGGGTGGTCGATCAAGATTCGGTCTTCTGGTCAATAATTCGAGATTCCAGCAGCGGAGCGGGAGACGGCTGGCTTGGCGCGGCGGAGAAGGAGCGGCAGCCAATCAGCGGGCGCTGGAACCGGTGGGTAATGCTGAAAGTCGCGGACTTTTTGGAGCAGCAGCAGCACTTGACCACGACGACAGCGGCCACGACAAGGCGTAATGTTCTGAGTGATATGCCCAGGGAATGTCGATTGCTCGTCTGACACAATGCTCGCCGCTTCATGTCCCTCCTTGGCTCCTTCTCCCGCACCCAGAGCGGCTCCTCTCTGCACAAGAAGCCCACGACCACGACTGCCTCGATCATGACAGCCCTGTGTCCTCGCCGCAACCACTCCAATGCCTTCGACCACGACTATCCTCGCCATCGCCGCGACCTCCACATCCTCTCTAGGCGGCCCACTCCCACTTCTCGCTGCCTGACCCCCGAGTCTGCCGAATCTCTCTTCCTCGAAGCTCTCGCACGCGCGAGCTTGTGTCGGAAACATGCTCGCCAATCATCCACCATCACACGCCCTTCTCACTCGACCACCACCACTTCCTCATCTCCTCGCTCTGCTCGTTTCACCACATCCTCTACCGCGAACAAGCCACCTTTATCTTCTGCCGTCGAGCTCTCGACTGACGAATCTTCCCATCCCGCTCCCGTCCATATCTCACGTCAAGAGCTGCGTTCCATAGTCGATCAATACGACTATGCAGGCTACCAGGAAGATCCTCCTCCAGACAGGGACTCAAACCACGAATCCCCTTCGAGCACTCATTTCTACTCCTCTAGTCAGATACCCGACAGGAAACCCCTGACTGCCAATTCATTTTCCGACCAGCAAGCCATTGATTACTTCAACCTCATTATACAAGACAAAGCCACGCCGAACCTCCCGCTCTACAAAGCATACAGGGCCATACCACAACCACGACCGAAATATCTCGAGAATCAACCCATTCGCGAACTAATGCACCGCTTGAGTATTGTCGAATACAAAGATGAGCGGACAATGCAGCGCTATCTCAGCCTCGTCGATGATATGTTGGCTGCAGACATACCCATGACGAGATCAGAATGGAACAGTGCCATGAGTTTCGCCGGTCGCTATCTTCGCAAAATTGGTGACGTACAAGTCGAAACTGCCACTCAGATTTGGTTGCGCATGGAGAAAGAAGCTGGTCTGTCGAGCAGCGCCGCCACTTTCAGTATTCTGTTTGATGTCGCCACCAAAGCTGGTAAATTCGCCCTTGCCGACATTGTGGTCAAGGAAATGATGCAGCGAGGCATTGAACCCAACCGCCATTTCCGTACAAACATAATCTACTGCCATGGCCTCAAGCGCGATGGTGCTGCTGTTCGAAAAGCCTACCAGGACTTTGTTGACGCTGGCGAGATCATTGACACCCTGGTTCTGAACTGTGTTATTGCTAGTTTGATCAATGCTGGCGAGCCATCTGCTGCTGAGTACATTTTTGAGAAAATGAAGACTCTCGGCACAGAGAACACCACTGCTGCCAAGATCAAAGGATGGAAAGCCCAGCGCCACCTCGGAAGGGTTCTGGACCAAGCAGGAAGAAAGCTTCGCAAAGAGCCAGAGAGACGTGTTGTTGTGCAGAACGTCACTCCAATCACACCGAACCTACACACGTATCGCTTGTTGATCAAGTACCACGCTCATGAGTCTGGTAACATAGACCGCATTAGCGAACTGCTCGACGAGATGCAACAATATGGCATTCATATTCACGGATCCATTTTTTACCAGATTATACGTGGTTTTAGCATTCACGGAGGCATTCGCTATTCTTCATGGAATAAGAAGAGACTCGACAGCTTCTGGGAAATATTTTGTCAGTTCGTTGAGAGAGACAAAGAGACGGAACAGAAGCACGGCGATTGGATATCCGAAGAAGATAGGGGTTGCTATCTTAGTGCCTCCATGGTCAAAACCGTCCTCAATGCGTACCTCAAGGTCACAGGCCCAGAGAATACCAGAAAGATGTGGCAAGAAATAAAGGAAATCTGGAAACCGAACGAGCAGGACGAAGAAGCTGTAAACACAGGGCTAGAATATGCGCTTGGCTAGAAGGAAGGCCTCAGAAATGACTGTAACACCAAATGTATCTCTTCATGTACAGACGAATTTTATCAAGAATCAAAAAAGTTTCTCAAAGACGATTGATCAAGACTATGCCCCACTGCCTTTTGAAGCAAGAGTTCGGCTTCATTTTAGCAATCAATCTAATGCTGTGTTCCTCACATCTACTGACCTTGACATGTGAACTCTGCCTATATAGAAAACCGTCCGTGCGCAAACGCGAATTGCAGGTTGCTCTTGCCTGTCTTCTCAACTTTGCTTGTATTGCTTCCGCTCTCGCCTCCTCGGGGAACCGATGTCCCAGAAAGCTCTGTGACGCGTCCAAATCACGTAACATCAGTTTGTTGAGGATGTTGCGATCACCTGTCATCAGTTCAGTGTTGCCTGTTTTGCCATCCGGTTGAAGCCTTGAGGAAGCCATCTATCGCCTCTCACAATCTTTTTCGTGCGGAACATACGATCGGTTGATCAGCCATCAGACATGCCTATACAAAGGCAACGGAGTAAACCTGATCTCGAGTTTACTCTACGTCAGGTTTTTGGAAAGCCATCGTTCAGGTAAGTCGTCATTCTCTATCTCTCCTCAAAGGTGCAACTAGACTGACCATCTCTCATATAGACCCATACAACGCGAAGTCATCGAAGCCGCTTTGGAAGGCAATGATGTTTTTCTTCAAGCCGCCACCTCATTTGGCAAGAGTTTATGTTTTCAGTTGCCAGCATGTATTGACATCGGCAGTGAGTGGCATTGCGGATTTGACCAATATCATGTGATACTAACATATCTCAGTCACTATTGTTGTGTCACCTCTGCTTGCGCTTATGGTAGGTCACACGGTCGCTTTCCCTGATATCTTGTCACTGACTGTCTTACAGAACAATCAAGTTGCTGCTCTGCGAGCTGCTAGTATCCAGGTCGCTACTATCAATAGCACTGTCTCCAAGCATGTCCGCGATGCCATCATGGCCGACCTCAAGACTGGTCATCCCCTAACCAGGCTTCTCTATGTCACTCCGGAGTTCTGCGCCATGGACCACTTTCGCCGCGTTCTACGCGTAGTCCACGCACAGAGAGAGCTTTCTCGGATCGCCATCGATGAAGCACACTGTATCTCTGAATGGGGTCACGACTTTCGTCCGAGTTTCAAAGAGCTCAATTTCTTCAAAAAGGAGTTTCCAGATGTACCGATGATCTGCTGTACTGCTACAGCAACCCAGCGAGTGCGAGATGATATCATTGCGACTCTGCATCTCGACAATCGTAATCTCAAACACTTCACCATGACAACCAGCCGACCAAACTTGCACTACGAAGTCCGGTACAAGTCAGATGAGGAAGATCACTACGACGATTTCCTCGCATGGATCAAAGCCGCTCATGCTCGACGCGAAAGACCAGAGCGAGCAGCAGAGTTGGCAGCCAGAAACGAACGACCGACGAATGTACCGGGCATCGTCTACACTCTGTATCGGCGAGACTGCGAGATTCTGGCTGAGCGCTTGACTAACGATGGCATTGGCGCAAAGCCTTACCACGCCGGTCTGAGCAACGAGCAGAAAGACGATCATCTCTCCGGCTGGGTAGCAAATCGCGAAGGCTACGATGTCATTGTCGCAACCACAGCTTTCGGAATGGGCATTGACAAAGAGAACGTTCGTTTTGTCGTGCACTGGCAGATTGCAAAATCCTTCGAAGGATACTATCAAGAAGCAGGACGTGCAGGCAGAGACGGGAAAGCCTCAGTCTGCATCGTCTACTACTCCCGCGAAGATCGAGACCGTGGCGCAAACATGCTGGCCAGGGCTCAAGAGCAGAAGATGCGACAAGAGATGGGCAGAGGCCGCAGCAACCACGAGTACGACAACATGAACACGCATCCTGACAGCAATGGACGTGCCAACTCTTTGCTGTACTTGACGAAATACTGCGAGGCAACAAGTACATGCCGGCACAAGATGATAGCCGAGTACTTTGGAGACAAGACTGTGGTACCGTGCAATTATGCTTGCGACCATTGCAAAGATCAGAAAGGGCTGGAAACGAGAAAGAACAATGGACTGGCAAGTGAGGAATGGTGCTTGACACAAAGACAATCATATTCCTACGATGAGTACGACTAGGAGCGTGCTTTCTGATGGAAGGTAGACCACGCTCAAACAGACTAGCTTCAATGAATTAATGGCAAAAACTTTTTGAAGACAACTCTTCTATCGTCTGGATCCATCAGATCTTAGTTGGTTGGAACGGAGGGCGCTCCGGCTCCCAAGAATTTTGCAAGCGAGAGCAAGCGATGCCCATCAAAGTGAGAAGCCGCGGTCCAGACAAAATATTTATCGCAGCAACCACCGGACAACAACAACCCCATCAACCACCAAGTCGCAATCATGCCCAAGCCCAGACGCAACCTCCAGGCCACGGCCGAGGAAACCATGACACCTCCGGCATCCCTCACCGAGACACAGTCCGTCGCTCGCGTCCAACAAGCCGCTGGAAACAACCTCTACCGTGTCGAACTGCCAGACGCAAAAGTGCTCTTGGTCGAACTGCCTGCTCGTTTCCGCTCTACCATCTGGATCAAGAGAGGTGGATTTGTGCTTGTTGACATGGGTGCTATGAATGAGCGCGAGAACAAGTTGGATGGCGAGATCATCAATATTGTCAGAAACGAGAAGGAATGGCGCAAGGAGAAATACTGGTACGTCTCTGGGTTTCTAGTTGGTGCGGCACGACTGCTAATAAGGTCACAGGCCCAAGGAGTTTGTGCAGAGAATCTCGTATGCCGATGAAGACGACTCGGACGAGGAAGAGTCCAATGTGGGCAAGATGCCTCCTTCCGACTCCGAGGACGAGTGAGCTACACTATCTATCTTCGTCCGACACTACTCTATATGCTGGTGCTTCTCCGCCGCAATGTCGATGGCTTCCTTTCTTGTTCCATACCACACACCTACTACCGTCGCCGCGAGAACCTGTACTACAACCATCGAGCTGAAGTTAGTGCTGGGGAAGACATTCCAAGCGTACTCTTGCGCTCCCCACAGGGCATACTGGAGGATTGGGTGATAACCCGCACGCCAGAGAAGAGCAGGAGTCGCCCACACAATCCAAGAATAGAACTGGTAGTGCAGCGATCTTGCGCACAGCATGCCAATCGCATTTGCCGAGAGAATAGTCGTCAGGATAAATCTTGGTGTCACTCTTGCTGAGATTTGTGCTTGCTGCGCTTTCGATGGAGGGTTGAAAATCGAGCCGATGACTTCTGGGAGGGATTGCCTCGAAGGCTTCAGCCAGCGGGTCGTAGCAAACAGAACAAGTAAAGAAACATGAACAGCCATCAATGTCAATGCAAATTGCTTCGAGAGGAACGTTTCCTCTCCGACAAAACGCCAGTTTACTGTCCACTTGAAGAAGAACTGTCGTGTGAACTCGAATGCTCGTGAGAGGTAGCCTTGTGGGTTGTGTAGCGTGAATGGCAATGACAGTAGAACCTGTATCTGGTCAATACACAGCTTTTCGATGCTATGTTAAGCACATACCTGTATCAAGACAATCAGTGATGCATGACCAATTGCATCACCGGCGCCAAGTGCTTGCAGAAGCACAATGCCGACAGAAGGCAATGCAAGCAATAGACTCATCTTGACTCCCAGCCCAATCGAGTAGATCACCGATCCAGTGACCCACCATCGCTTCTGGTAGCAGTAGACGGCCAAAAAGAAAAAGAAGATGGCAAAGCAATCATTGAACAAACGCAGCGTAAAGATTGAGTGCATGCGCTTGGACAAGATGAGCATTGGAAACACGTAGGGTGGTATCTGTCTTCTGTATTAGTGATCATTTCCAAAGCTTGCTGGAACTCTGACGGACCTTTGCATTGCGGTAGCATGCCATAACAACAGCAAGCGTCAAAAGGTAAAGGACGCCAAAGATGATCTGTGCAAACGGAATATTGGTTCCTTGATCGGTGAACCGATATAGCATCTGGTAGATGTAGACATGAGCCGCGGGATAGACCAAAGGCCCAGTACCTCCTTGGATCTTGGTATAGTCACGCTCTCCAGCAAGATATTGTGCGACCTGTTCGACATATGCTGTCCAATCGATCTCGGTGTCTATTTCAGAGCATCAGAATTTGAGTTAAAGGTATGTTTGCTGCTTGCAGAGTTTGCATACATGGTACTTTCCACACGATCAAGGCAGTGAGGCCTGCATCGGCTAGCAGTAGCAATGGACATATCCATCTGGCATGCCACGGGTCCTTGGCAATAGCCAAACACTTCTGGAAGACGTCCATGACTAGTGACGTTTTGGGTCACTGGTGTTTGTCTCGACGGCACCCCACCGTTAATATTAGAGCTGGGATGTTCAGCTGAAGGATCGTATAAATCGTATTGGCGTCTCAGCTGGAAGAGAGGTACGTATCAACAACACCACGTGCTGGATGTCGTGCCGGTCCAAAGAAAGGAGATGATTGATGAGAATAGAGTTGCGGCAAGGACCCGCGGGGCTGATCATCTCCGGCTTTTCTTTCCACGCAAACTCTCGCTCACCCACGCAGCTTCCTCGCGTCCTTCTTTAATCAACCACATCTGTTGCCAGCGACACGTCCCTTGTGGTGGCGGTCAGCCAGCTCTTTCCGAGCTCGGCCAGCCACTACACCCTTCTTCGCCATGTAAGGGATGATGTTATAAAGCAATACAGTAGATCAAAATATGATACATGGCTGTTCCAGCTACCAGGTCACTCTAACTTGTTGCAGAGTGGCTGGCTGACAGCAAACAAGATCGAACACTCTGTACTGCCCTGTCGATCGCCAAGATGCGCCATCATGTACCTCTCGCAGCACACTTCATATGCAACTATACCCCAAATAGTCTTTGGTCCCAAAAACAACTGTCATCAGCCCTACCCATGCGTAGGTTCTGGTCTAACTACAATCGACGACGGTTTGCGAATTGAAGCATCGTTGTGCAAACGTAGACACAGCCTGCGGCCCATGGCTGTATAGCGGTCTCGTCTTGGAGCCGCCATGCAGCTGTAGTAGGTTCCGGATGGTAAGCAGTTATGTAACCAAGGTTGTTATTAGACTGTTTGTTGTAACTGCTAAGAGCAACCTGGGCGCAAGGTTTCTCCTTGATGCTAACCATTGTCTCATTTTGGACCTCATCTTGCGATTGTCTCTCGAGGGGATTAGCTCCGAAGGCAGTCGTGCTATTTTTTGCCAAAGTCAATTCCTAACAACCATCTCCAGCACCAGTCAGAATCAAAGGCATGTCCTTAAATTCTGCTATTTGAGGCCTTTTCCCGTGGCAAGAGATAGCTTTAACAAGAGTCATTTTCAAGAGTCTTTCATGAGTCTGTCTTATCAAAGCGTTCTTCTTTCATGTTCTCCTTCCTCGCATCTCAAGAGGTAGCAATATGATCTCAGACAACCCACAACATACATTCGACATGGACACTACAAACGACACACCTAACATCGACGTACCTCTTACACCACCTGCATCTCCCAGACTGTCTCCGAGACGGCCATCCGTCAACAGATCTCCTCCACTATGGCGACTGTCAAGCCTGGAAAGTATCCTCGAGTACAAAGCAGCAAGCAAACAAGAGAAGGAGGTCTCAGTGACCACATCAGAAATCAACTCGTCCGAATATGCTCCTAGTATCACGATTGACCGAAGGTTCCGATCAACTGCGGCCGAAGTGGCATTCTGTTTTAGCATGGGCTTGACACAACTCTTAGCAGTAAGCATCTCCACCAATTCCATATCTTGACCAGTACTGACATGAAACATGGAATAGGAATACATGATTTCGGGATTCGCAGTAGTGCTTCCAGAGCTACTTTCACGCTTCACAGACGGTGAAACTTCAGACTTTTGGCCAGCAACAGTGCTTTCACTTGTGCTTTGCTCGACTTTGTGCTTTACAGCACGTCTATCCGACATGTATGGAGGCTATCCGGTCTTCATGATCGCCGTGCTTTGGTTATGCATCTGGTCGGTCATCGCTGGATTCAGTAGCAGTCTGATAGTCGTAGACGTCTGTCGAGCTATGCAAGGCTTGGCCATCGCCGCCTATACACCTAGCAGCTTTGCCTTGTTCGGCGCCATCTACCCCAACGGTCCTCGAAAGAACCTCGTCCTGGGTATATATGCAGCTTGCTCGCCTCTTGGGTTCTTTATGGGTATTCTGGTCGCTGCTGCACTTCCGACTGAGAAATGGAACTGGTGGTTCTGGATTGCGGCAATGATGGCCTTTGTGGCGTTAGTATCCGCTTATATTTCTGTGCCATCGGATCGTGCAGACAGACAGCAGCTTAACCTCACCATGGATTGGAGTGGCGCCGTCACTATCACTGCTGGTCTGATCTTGGTCGCATACGCACTGGCTGCCAGTTCTGGCTCGCTCAGCGCATGGAAAACTCCAGGCATTCTGGTTCCGTTCATCATCGGCCTTATATGCCTTGCACTTGCGCTCTACGTTGAGTTTTGGTGGGCAAGTTGTCCCTTGCTGCCGAAGGGGTTCTTCGAACCAACATGCTTTTCACCGCTCATAATTGCGTGTGTGTTCTTCTACGGCAGCTTTGGCACATGGCTTTTCACGACCACCAGCCATCTCACACTGGCATACGGCGTTACTGGTATCAGAATGGCATGGTGGTGCGCACCTTTGGCTGTTGGTGGCGTTCTCTGCGGCCTTGTCAGCGGCCGTCTGATTCATCATGGCTCGCCAACATGGACCCTGGTCGTCTCGGGAGTTGCTTGGGTAGCAGCTCCACTCTTGCTGGCTCTCGGTAGCACTTCAATGGGTTACTGGCCATTTGTATTCCCAGCCATGGTCTGCGCTACTGTGGGCATCGACATTACGTACAATATCGCCAATCTTGTCTTGTCGAGCCTGTCTCCATTGAAATGGCAGGGTCTGGCTGGAGCTGTCAACAGCACGACTGTCAATCTTGGCATTGCTTTTTCTCTTGCCATCACACAGGTCATCCAAACTGGAACAGAGGGCCAAGATCCCAGTATCGATGACAGACTGCGTGGACACCGTAATTGCTACCTGTTTGCTGCTTCTAGTGCTGCAATTGGACTTGCAGTCACAGCTGTCTGTGTTAGAATACCAAGAGAGTGTGTTCAGTCAAAGAAAGACGATGACGAACAGGGTAAAGATCAGATCGAGATGGTGTAAACGAGGTGTAAGACAAAAAAATCAGGACAAAAGCAAATTGTTTTTGGAAGATCACAGTATATTGTATAGCATAAAAGTATGATAACAACTACAATGAGTAACATATTTTGATACATTAGGTCTGGCTACCAAAGTTGATTGCCACGCGTCACAGTACAGAGACTAGTCGTCGAGCTTTGGAGGTAGGAGCGACCAACACGGTGCGCCTGCTGGTTGCAAACTTGAACTGCCTGAGTTGCTCTTTCCTTCTTTGCACACAACAACCCTTTTCAAGAACAATCCTGGAGTCTTTACCTGTGATTGCCTCAATACGCTCGAACATACAAGCAGACTTGCAATGCACAGTTCTTCAGTTGGAAGAAAACCTAATATATAAGTATAAAGAGAGAGAGAAGTGAGTTGAGATTGTAGCGTTGCTATCGAAGCAGTAGAGGACAAAAGACAAGAGTGATGCAAAAAGCACTTAGCTATAAGACCCAGTCTTGAGAGACCTTCGTGCAATGGTTCAAGGAGGAAAACCAGATATGACACGGTTACTAGCTCCTATCTTTCGGGAGGGCGCCTCTGTTGTGTATTCGTGTATGTGAGGGCCTTAGAGGAACTTAGTCAGATCGTTGTGATAATCGTGTTGCTACTCTTGACAGATTTGGGGATTGGAGACGATTGCGTTGTCTACCTACAGGAGGCTCATGAAAGTCAGAGGCCTAGTTCTCGTATGGCGATGCACTTGGACCTGGCTTTACAGATGTTAAGAGTGTCCATGTTGAGAAGACTCTTTCCGTACCACTTTGCCTAGCACAATGCTTTGCTGCCGAGTGGTGAGGTAGAAATTCGTCTTGAAGGAGGCCACCAGACACATGCGATGCGTTTCGACATACGACTCTGAGGTCTTCCGTAATGTCAAGCCAGCTCAGCACTGTATCGTAGGATTCATGTCACAATAATGGTTGGAAATTTGTTGCAATCTGCTTCATGTCTGTGCTGGGTCGAAGCTTCCGAAGGTTCTCTGCTTGGCGACGCAGCCGAAAGAGCCTCAACGACAACAACGTGGGCCGACAGTCACTTCCAAACTTAAACCTTTTCGAACCCTGCCATGGTTCGTATCCTTGGTGGACTCAACCTCTTTCTCTCTCTCTCCCTCTCTCCCGAATCTAGGTCTACGAATACCCTGAGGTCTCTCTTCAAATCACCGGCCGGCGTTGTCCCTAAATTCTGGATGCTGGATTCTCTCCTTGACGTCATGCAGTGTGGTTTCTGGAGCCTTTCTTTTCGAAGATGATTCGCGTTGGCCACATACATACAGTCTTTCGAGCCCGGTGGGCGGTATCATTCCTGTTGTTCACGCTGCTGTGTGTGACCTCGGCTTGTGCAAATCCGCCGAGCGGCTTACACGACAGACTTGGCGAACACGATGAAGTGTCACGTCACGATACGAGAAATGGAAGTGACCACGAACGAGAACGGACAACCGACACGAAAATTGCGATTGAGAATGCGGCAACTCCCCAACCCACGGTAAATCACCTCTATCACAGGCATGGGACCGGACCGGACATGTTAAGGGCCCGTGGTGTCACGGCGAATAGCTCGACAACTACTATTTCTAATCCGGCGGCTTTATCTTGCTACTCGACGTACTCCCAATGGCGGGCGGAATCGATGAGCTGGGCGATGACCGCTATCGGCACTAAAACATGGCCCACGACGATTTCGACCAGTACCATCACACAAACGGTTGACACAGTAGCGACGATCTATCCGTCTGTGAGCCTATCGACATACAAGCTCTGCGATGGCTCTCCGCGTGTGGATTTTGAGCCATTGACTCTGACCTCACAGGTCACCTCTGTCTCTGAATTTGACGTTCATGTTACTGTAGGACTTCCCACCTATTCTGCAACCAAGCCATGCAAGCCATCACCCGAAGAGTGTGAATATCTCTACTATCACAGCGGATTATCCTGGGACGATATCACATTGATGGCACTCTGTGGCTCACCCACACATCTCGGTCTGGTAAGAAGCTATGTCTCCTCACAGAGGCTCTCCTGTCCGCTAACTATTCCTCAGCCATGCTTAATTATGGGTGGTCCTGTCCAGCTCGCCTACTTCCCGGTCACCATAGTTGGAAGTGATAAATGTCAAAATAATGGATCTACCATCACGAATACTGAAGGTCCGACAGCTGTTGAGGCGCTGGGTACCACACTTACTTCTGGTTCCGTCTACCTATCCTTCAAGAGTCTATACGCCTTCCAAGAAGGCTTTGGCGAAAGAATTGGCCCTGCATTCACCGACTTTATCCTGCCCCTACCATCCAGCGCCATCTCGACGCAGTGTGGTGGATGGTTCTCTGCTCAAGGTTCAGGAACAGCCTTGAATTACGCAGACTTGAATTTTCCTTGGCCAGCCAGTGCTTACAACTGTATGAACCGGTGTCGTACTGATCTCTCCTTCACCATAAGTAATGGCACGGGGGTGCGATGGACCCCTCCCCCTCAATGCTCTACTATCTGGTCGGATCTAAATCCTATACTGGCAATGCCGACAGAAGTACGCAACTTGGTTCCAGCATGGTCTACGTGTAGCATGTGGGATGCAGCGCTTCCCAACTTCGTCTTCGATCCACCTCGTGCTCTAGTCGCAGGCACAACGGTCGCCACACCGACACCTGCTTGGATGTACCAGGATTCTACTGCTTCTGCATCTCCAGCAGCTACTTCATACACTGCCTTACCAGAAACCCTAGCGTCTACATCAACAAGTCCTTCTTCTTCTACTACTACATCTTCTGCCGGTCAATCCGCTGATCAATCCAGCACAGCGTCCAGCCCAATAGCATCTGTTGTAGCAACGCCAACCAGAGGTATCGGTGCCACAGGCATTAGCATAGAGTTCGATGTCGACGGTCATACGTTTACAGCATCAGCAGGCGACAATGCCTTTTCCATCTCAGGCCAGACTATCTCAGTCGGTGGACCTGCTCGCGTGGTGGGAAGCGAGACTATCAGTTTGGCACTGTCAGGCTTTGTCGTTAACGCGACCACAACCATACCATTCACGTCCACACGTCCATCGACAACCAGCAGCGGTACGGCCATCCCATTGCGGCAATCGCAGACCGCTGGTAAGGGGACTACTTCGTCTGGAGGCTCCTCGCTTGCGATGTCTTGGGCAGGAATCTCCTTGATGTCTTTGCTCGCTATGGTGTTTTTGTAGACCAGTGTATACTCATTTCACTTAATTTCTTGTTCTTGGGCAGCTTGGTGTTATTTTAGCCGAAGGCGTTTTGGAGATTGGTCCTCGGTAAAAGTTCAGAGCGGTCTTCATAGAGTTCCTCAGAATTTCTGCAATACCACAACAATCCTCTTACTGGCTTGAAAGCTAGAACTTGATGACCTCGAGATGTTTATCTCTATTCATGGCAGTTTTGTACATTAACGCCGGGTGCGTATCTCCAGGTCTAAATCAGTCACCAGCAAGACTTGCGATACAATGACCATCCTGTGATCCATGAATAGTTTGTGTCATGCCCTGAAACAGAGGAAACTCATTGTAACTTGCAGATTGGTGTGAGAATATCATGCATGTGATACCTCGTGACGGGATGGGCTCAAGATCTCTGGAAGCGGTGCCGAACGCCTGGCCCGTGCTCACCCCACAGATGCAGCGTCATCGATATTGACATTTCATGCTCGAGTTCAATGCGATTTCCCTCTTCGTTAAACTTATGCCATATTTTGATTCCCTTCTCTGAATCCTTCGAATTCGTTCTTCCCTCAAACGCCGTTCAGAAGTGCTCTTCAATCGCTCTTTCTGTCAACCATTCTACGCTCCACTCTTTTTGCCACTGTGACTCTCTGTCGCAACTGGCAATTGAAACCATCTGTACTTGCCTGTCTACAGAAGCCTACCAGAGTCTTCCTAGTCATGGCTCCCAGAAGAACACGCGCAAGTGCTGCTGCCGAACTTCAAGTCGAGAGTACCCAACAAACTTCGAGTCCTTCGCCTGAGCCTGCTGCTAAACGTGAGACTCGCAAGAGAGCTTCTGCAAAATCCATCCAGGTCAAGGATGAAAATAATGCTGAAGCTTCAGAGAAGAAGTTGCCCTCGCGCAAGCGTAAAGCCTCTGCTCCCAAAGAAGAACCTGAAGAACCTCCAGTTTTCGGTGATGAGCTCCCGCACAACCTTGGCTCTCTACCAACTCCTGATACTGATGATGTTGATGGAAACAAACAAACATCGCCTGCTCCCAAGAAGAAGGCCAAGCGTGCAGCAAAAGCCAAGCAGGTGAAGGCTGATCCGGAAGAAGTCGATCAACTTGCTCAAAAAGCAGCCGAGATTGCCTCGCCTGAGGCAGACGTCAAGTCTGAGGTCAAGACTGAAACCACTTCTCCGGAGGTCAAGGCTGGTGGAAAGACCAAGAAGAAGGCTACCAAGGCAAAGAGCCACAAGCTCACTCCTGGCGAAACTCCTTATCCCGATTACGCTCATCCAACCTCAGAGGAGTGTTATGAAGTCGAACGTATCCTCGCTAAGAAGCACGGCAAGGTCACGGCGCCAAAGTCAATCCCATTGCCCTCACTGGAAGTTACTGGCTGCGGTGAGGTTCCTTCGGTATTGGACGCCTTGATCAGAACCAGACTGTCAGCTGCGACGACTGGTAAGAATTCGTCAAATGCTTTCAAAGGTCTCGTCAAAACTTTCGGTATTCTCCAGGAGGGCGTCGGCAAAGGTAGTGTCGACTGGAACAAGGTGCGTCTCGCATCTCAGCCAGAAGTCTATGAAGCCATCAAGAGCGGAGGTCTTGCCAATGCCAAAAGCAAAGACATCAAAGAAATCTTGGACATGGTGTACGAGGAAAATCAAGCTCGATGCGCAGCGCTGAAGGAGGAGAGAGAGGCTAAAGCCGAAGGCCCAGCTGGCTCTGAAAACGAACCTGCTCAGGAAAAGAACACTGAGATTCAGCGCGCTGAATCTGGTGTGCTCTCGCTCGACCATCTGCATCTGCTCTCTAGCGAAGATGCGTTCGCCCGACTGGTCAAATTCCCTGGTATCGGTCCTAAGACAGCCTCATGTGTCTTGCTCTTCTGTCTGCAACGCCCTTCGTTTGCTGTCGACACTCACGTCTTTCGCCTCTGCCAGTACCTCGGTTGGGTACCGAAAGAAGTCCAGAAGGGCCAGCCTCCCGTCAACCGCGAGACCACTTTTGCACACTGCGAAGCACGTGTCCCTGATGATCTCAAATACCCACTGCATCAGCTTCTCATCAAGCACGGCAAAGAATGTCCCAGATGTCGCGCTGCCACGAGCACAAACAGTGAACGTTGGGAGGAAGGTTGCCCAATTGAGCACCTGGTCTCAAGACATGGCGCCAAGAAGGGAGAAGTGTCACCTGCAGGCAAGGCAGCTCCAAAGACCAAGAGAGCTGCTGCCGCCAAGAAAGGCAAAGGCAAGAAGAAGGTCGACGGCGACAGCGAAGAGGCTGAGAGCAGCGATCTCAGCGATGTCGAAAGCGATGATGACTACGACGAGTGAACATGAGGAATGAAACATTCTCTTGATGGAGGAACAAACACTTTTGATACTTTATTGCTTGCTGGACGGGTTTTTTTTTTCTGTACGAAATGCCATGCAACGGCTTGAGGAGGGGCATTTGAGTTTTGCTATTCTGACCGAGGGGGAAAGGGGGGGCGTCTCTTGCTATCTACCTGAGTTGACGAATGTTTCTTGGACGGATGCGAACTTTGATGGATGATTATAACTAGCTATCATGGTTCTACGAGGGTATACTGCTTAGCTTGTAACATATGTATCAAGATGTTATTGCTTTTTTCCGGATATCTCCCTCTGACTTCTTAATTAACAAGTGAATTCGGTTGCAGCGCTCGATGATGACCAGAGGGAAGTGACGAAGGTCAAAGGCGAATGTTGATTCCCGAACTCGTCTCGTCCCTCAAGAACTACATGTGTCAGGAAGGCACTCTCTTTCACTCCTTCCTGAGACTTGCTGGTCCAATATATTCCAACCTTTCGCCTCCTTCACCACAACTCAACAGACCACACTCATCATTCTCGTCGTCATGTAGGACTGAAGTGCCTCAAAACCAGATTCGCATCAGCTAATCCATCATCAGCATGGAGAAAGCCTTCGCCGAAGCAATCGAAACGGCTGTCACCACGGCTGTCGAAAAAGCCATTCCTGCCGCCATCAGCAAAGCTTTCAAAGAAGAAGTGAAGAAACAAGTCGAAGCAGAGATCGAAGAAGCCATGAACAAGAAAATTACCAGAGCCTCCAAGAAAGCAGAACTCAAGACCGAAATCCACGCGGTAGGTTTTGTCACTTCCAAGTGCAGTTCCGTGTGACATGCACTAATTCACGAAATTCAAGACATGGGCTTTAATTTCAGATCGTAACTGCGTCATCGAATACATGCCCAATTCAATCCTCGTTGGTTGGCTTCGGGGAAAGAACGAGATGGATCTTGCCAGTGTTAGATGCTATGAATCACAACTTCGTGCGATGGTCAAGGAGGATCAAAAGGAAGAAGCAAAGAAGAAGACAAACGAGGAACAACAGGACCGTATCTAGGCAGCGCAAGGAGTGGCCGAACACGGTTGAAAAGGCGTGAAGTACTGTTCGAGGAAAGGATTGATGTTGCTAGCGGATGACTGTCTATTATCCAGGACAATAGCTTTCTACGGATCAAAACTAGCTGTACTGTATCAGACGCAATGATTTTCTGCTTCCGTCTCTTGAAACATGAATAAAAACTCAATGCTTCTGCAAAAGAGAAAGACGATGCATCCAAAATTCGCAAAGGTAAAGAGCGATAGACGCGACTGCAAGAAACCAGATAAAAGCAAGAAACTTCGGTCCAAAAGAGAGAAAGAGCCGAGTCCAAGCAGGCAAGAACGCAACCAAAAGAGACGAAGAAGAAGGGCCGTCAAGAGTTGATCCAAGAACCCCAGCCACAGCTTTCCAGTAATCCAGCGTAACGATCGTGTGACCAAAAACTTCGCAGAGGCGAGTAGTAGCGATGTCAAACATCTCACTCCTCCTTCAAAGCCAACACGGAGCGGTTGACAAAGCGATACCAACCAGCCTGTCTGAGACGGAACTTGCGCACATCACACTCAGCACAGAACAAATCCTCTCTGACAGCCTCCTTGATCTTTGCCACAAGCTCAAAAATGCACTTAGGAGTCTTTGCATCAACATCAGGGATATTGAGAGCATGCATGGCATTCTCGACCGATGCGTCCAGGGGAGGATAAGTTTCATCCAACACAGAGACAAGTTGTTTCTGCAGAGCCATGCGGGCGGAGTTGAGTTTGCCGTTGACATCCGGATAGAAGGCTTTGTTGGCGTTCATGAGATTGTTGAAGGATGGGCTCTCAGGAGCGGGGGTGGTGGGTGAGTTGGGCGAGCCAGGGATGGGCACAGAGTCATTACGGTCGGTACTCTGGCTGCTGCTGTCGGTAGTATTAGTTGAAGATGACGATGCAGAAGAGGTGCTGTCGTTGCGAGAGGGAGGGTGCAGAGCCGTGGCTATGGCGGCAACTTCGGCGGTGGTGAGGGCGTCTCCTCCCTTTAACGCTTTGATGCGTTTCTTCGCCTTCTTGCGCTCACGCTTCCTGAGCTTTGAAGGAGTCTCTGGATCAGTGTCGGCAGGCCAGGAGCTGGAGAATCTTTTGCTGGTGGGCGAGAATGGCGAACCAGAGGAGCCGCTGGGCTCAATGCCTTGTTCTTGCTGAAGCTGAACAAGCTGGCGGAGAAGCAAGGCGAGCTGTCTGTGGCGCTCATTGTGAGCGCTATTGTTGCGACGGCAAGTGTCGCAGTTGTGAGCCTGGCCTGTGTTTCCTAGTGTCAGTCTTGGAATCTTCCACTCCTCTGTTTCTTTGAAGATCATGAACAAGGGGCAACAAACACCACGCTGGGCGAGATCGTGGATAGAGAAGGTTGACTTACCGATCATGAAGAAGTGCTGGTGAAATAGCGGACATATCTCCACATGCTTGAGGTAGCAGGTGTGTTTGGCTCTCGGGTTGTTCAAGGGAGTCTGGCACTTGGGACAGTGGTGCTCTGCAAGAGGTCAGCAATCGCAGTACACAAAGATCGTGACAAGAGCTCAACTCACCAAGACCAGGACTGTCTTCCCAACGGAGCAGTTCTTTGGTCATCTTTCCAAGTCTATGGGGTACGCTGGGTCAGTTATGGAAACGAGAATGTTTGGTGACGATCTCGCTGTGCGCACTGAGCGAAGTCAGGTATCAAGGAGCAACAATCTTCTATCCAAAGGGCGGATAACAGCAAAAGCGAAAGCAAAGGTCCAGAATAGAATGCTTTGGTAGACAGCTGCCTTCCAAGAAGGACTGATATGGAAGCTGGACGTGGTGTTCAGAAGCGCAGTAGACGAAGCGGTCAAACAGAAACTGGAGGGCTGATTGAGGATAACGGAAAATCTCTTCAGGATCGGGATTTCCGTCACAAACTCAGCATTTTTGTCGTTGGTCAAGTGGGTTGGATTGTTGATGCATCGGAAGCGAGCAAACGCTTGGAACAAACAGGCAGTGGAAAAGGATTCGGAAACCGACATTGCAATTGATGACTTTAGGCAGCAAGAAGATCATACACATTGGTCATAAGAGTACTGAACGATAGACACTTTCACACAGACATAAGAGAATACCTTGTTACCTTACCTACATATTTCCCTGGACAGGCACAGTCCCGCTCATGCATCCTTCACCATGCGGGCACCCGCCCAGACGAAGGGGTAATTCCTCTGGTACCAATTGACACTGCAAATCGTCAGTGAAATGCCAGGCTTACGATTGGACGAATCAACTTACAAGGTCTTGCGTCCTGCAATGCGTGGGTGTGTTGCCCAGGATCCACCAAGAACGATGTTGTGCTTGCCATCAAAGAAGTCGGCTGCGTGACACGTCAGAACGGATTTAGCATGGATATAACAAGATCCCTACCTGTGTAACCTGGATAGAGGGGCATGGCTTCAAAGCCCTCGTGTTTGTTCAGCACCGTGCTGGTCCATTCCCAAACACCGCCCATCTCCGATTGACCGGCAAGCTTGTTTCCGTACTGCGAAACGGGCATGGGATGCCAGTGTCGGAAACCAACGTTAGCTCCTAGCAGGTCCACGAACAGATCCTTCGGGTTTGGACCTGCGGAGCTGGAAGATGAGGTTTTAGATGGTGGTGACTCTTCGACGCCGTCATTGACAAGATGCCTGTACCCGAATTAGTTAAGTTTCAAAAGCATGCCCGGAGTTGTACTGACGCATTGACAGCGGGGATTCTAGCTCCAAGCGATTTATGTGCTTTGGTTTTCGCTTCCTCAACATAGTGATAGATGCTTCGAGCTTCTTCCATGGTCGGGATGCGGCCGCCCATCCAGCGAGCGCAACCTGCTACTTCATCGTATGATGCGCAGACAGGCCAATCCAGTGCTAGCTTCAGGGACACAGGACCGTACACAGTACGTACTGCTTTACCGTTGAGGAAAGCTGATGATGGATCAGTCGCAGCCTCTGCACCATTGGCACGAGACAGAGTCTGCCAAGATGCAGGGAGAGTGTCAATGTGGTTCTCCTCAAGGTATTTGGCGTATTCGCCGTTGGTGATAGGCCTTCCTTGAGCCTTGAAGGCAGGCACCTGCACAGTGCGCTTGGGCTTTTCGTTGTCCCATCCAAAGAAGTGCTCGGGACCAGAGTTGTCATCAGGATCCTCGAGACCGATCTCAATCTCTTGTGCTGGGATGTCGAACCATTGGTTTTCGACAGCGCCTTGTCTTGCTTGAACGGCCAGAGCTTCGAAGTCTGGCATCACTGTTGTAGGTGGGGCCATGGTCTTCTCACTTTGTATAAGCATGTATAAAAGCGTCTCGAGATGCATGATCTCATGCTCGTATGACAGCCACAGTGCTCTTGATACAGCGCGATCATTAGTTGCCTGTCCAGAAGCATACAACTTCTTCACTCTGATTCGCACTTTCGATTGGAAGTCAAGAATCTCGGTCGCTGGTGGCCACGAATCTGGGATCTCGCTGTGGGCATGGCATTGCTCGGGATCATCCACATCAGGATCGATTCCTCTCTCAAAGATACTAGGGTAAGAGCTTGGTTCCGTAGGCTTGCCGTGAGTTGCACGTGTGAGGTGAATGTCCATGAACGTAGGGATGTGCCCAAGGTAGAAGATGCAAGCATTACGAAGCTTGATAGGTTTCTCCAATAGCTCTTCCTCTGGGATCATCTCCAAGGTGACGGCATCCCAAGCAGCCCAGAGTTGGTTCCATTCTTCGAGTGAAGGGACAGGTTGGGCGGCATATTTCTCAGCGACCAAAGGATATTGTACCTTGGGCTTGTTGAGCAAGTGCAAGGCTACGATCTGTCAGCCCAAGGTTCTGATCATATACACCTTGCAGAAGGACTCACCATAGTCACCATCAGAGTTGGCCCATCTGGCACCCTCTGTCAAGCCAGCGTCAGACCAGAGTCTCTCACTCTGGGCTGAATTGTACTTGTAGCTCTCTTCGATTCTGACCTGCTCTCCAGCACGGATCAGAGCGCCCTCTATCGTTACATCCTCTTTTGGTGAGACAAAGGCTTCATGGCGATCGGTCTCCTTGTTGTATTGACCAATGACTTTCCATTTGCTAATGTCAAAGGCTTCGTAGCCAAGTAGTCTGTTTGCTTGTTTCAGACCACAAAGAATGAACTCATGTGTCAGACCTTCCCGATCGTTGTAAGCGTGGTACACCTTGTCTGCATCTGTGCAAGCGTCGACGCCCAACAACAAGGTGTCATTGGGGTCCAACGTCTCCGAGAACTGGGCGAGGAACTTTGCAGCCTCGGCCCTAGAGAAGTTTCCTATACTTGAGCCTAGAGATAGGACTGTTTTTGAGCGATGAGCGTTCTCAGGCTTCTTCAACCATTCAAGGCCTTCATCATATGTTCCAAGCAGTCCATGACATTGAACGTGCTTGAAAGTACCCTGGGGTACTTCGGCCAGAGTGCGTTGAAGTTCTACCTCGGAGACATCCAAAGCATAGTATGACACGTTCTTGCCTTTGCGATCCAGGGCGTCGAGGAGGATACGGACTTTACGGAGGTTACTGCTAATGTCAGCAACCGATTGCCAGTTGCATACGGTACGGTGGCTGTACATACCCACTACCTAATTCTACTAGCATAGAGTCGGATTCGAGAGCAATTCGATCGGCAATGCGATCAGCGTAGGCTTCCAGGACTTGTATCTCCTGTCCTGTAGGATAATACTCGTCTAGATATGTGATCTTCTCGAAAAGTTTCAGGCCATCTTCGCTGTATAGCAATAGTGTTGGCAGCCTCTTCTCTTGTCCTTCTCTTGCATTGAGGCCCTCTCGGATCTGAGGTACCAGTGGGGTCAGACCTCCACCGTCTTGGCGGATGTCTATGATCTGGGGAGCTGTGTTGGTAGCCATTGTGTGCGAGCAAGCGTTGCTATGGTTGAATGGCGCAATTTTGCGTGCTCAGAGGGAGGGGTACACCGAGGGTATATAAGAGGAAAGGTCTCGCTTTCCCCTCGTTCCTGGTAAACACTGACCCCACATTCATGTTCAACTGTGTCATCGATGATCAAGAGGCTCAGTCATCCCATTCGGAACCGTTTCCGTGCCGTGGTCAAGCCAATCAGCTGATGTCAGCCTCGAGTCGATCGAGGAACAATCGCCTCTGTACCTGGGTTTTGCGGAGCAGCGCGCCGAGTTTCCTCAGCATCCATCTGCTTGTAAACACCGATGCGGCATTTGTTCCTGGCACTGCCTGCACGACGACCTCGTGTATGCACTTTGACCATCTTAATGGTGGCTGCCTCATCAATATTCCACTATCTCCGATCGATCTTGCACACAACATGTCCACATGACGTAACATCCGGGCTTGATTCGGAAGGTCCGAAGCTTCGGCAGTCGTGACCTGTCAAGTGCTTGTTGCTAGTATCACCTTGCCATCATTTTCTCACATGCTGTTCCAATCAGAGACGGGCGTACGAAAGGCACAATTTAATTTTCTTGAGAAATAACTAACTGATCGCACTGATAAAAAAGGGTTTCCACTTTGAGGTGGCTACCGCGAGCTTGCAAGTGTACTTGAAGGCACTACCTGACAGGAAAGCGAAACGCAGTACAAAACAGAATAGCAATGTCAGTAGCTCTGTTCCTTCTCTTCTCTGCTTTGATAGGCCCTGCCCTCTGCCACACTCCTGATCTTTCCCGTCAGCTTATTGAGTCTTTCCCTCAATCCTTCGTTCTCGCCTTGCAGGACCGCGACATCTTGGGCCAGACTGTTGTTCTTGGACTCGAGTTTGCTCACCAGGGAGCGGCGCTCGCGCCTTTCCCTCTCCAACATAGATTCCAGGCGTTTGATCCCCTCTTCGTAGCTACTGACATCCAGGCCGGATCTCGCCCTTTCGAGCTTGAGTACGCGTGAATCGAGCTCCTTCATGGTGGCAGGCCAAGGCCCTTCCTGCACACGCTGTAAAGTCGACATGTCTTGTTCCAGGACCACCAGCCTGGATTGTATATTTTGCCAGTGGCTATGTGAGATTTCTCGTTGATCAATTTGGTCCCTGTCTCTTGGAACAGAGCGTTCTCTGATACTCATCATCTGCTGGCCTTCGGGATCGCTTTTTCTCGAACTAGAACGGCGTGCAGAGTCACCTGCAATTGCCTTTGGCTCTTCCCACAGCATTTGGTAGTCCTCAGCTTGTCTCAGATCTGGAAGATCCCTGTAGCTGTCTTCACTTCCCTGGTTGCTGAATTCCAGTGTGTAGATTGATCCTCTCTTGGACTCTACGGGCGGTGTGTGGTACTCGTCTTTATCGTCGTCGTCGTGAGTGGTCAATTGGAGAAACTCGAATGACTTTCCAGTCAGGGATGCTCTGGTGCGCTTTGCAGGAGGCTCTGTTCCTTCCCTGTTGCCTACTTTTTCGAAGGCCCGTTTGTGTGCGTGGCCACTTGGTCGGAACTGACATTTCTTTAGCAACCTTGCCATCGATCTTCAACACACGAGATGTGTACATACCGGAGGATCCTTGTTCTTTCGGACATTTGTGGCGTTTTTTTGGACACTCGGGGCGCTCTTCTGAATACTGTTGGCCTGCGAACACTGGAAGTGCCTGCGAATGCAGAAAGCACAGCCAGTGGTTTGGTACTTCTTCCCGAGGAGAGACATGCAGGCCCTGTCCTCTCTCTCGCACAAGTCGCAGCGCGGGTTGCGCTCCTTACCGTAATGAAGACCCAGACGAAGCCTCTCGTCTTCAGGATTGTTACGATCGAGACCTTCCCAGTAATAGGCGCCTTTCAACTTGCGATTATCGAAATCTCCAGCGTACAGGGGAGGGTGTGGACGAATTACATCCGCATCGCGAGGTACCGCCCCTTTCCCAGGACGATAGAGTCTCACTGGAGGAAGGAGACTGCGCGGATCTTGGTCACCGAGCTCAGGAGAGGGGTCCATCGTTGTATGAGTCGGGGATATTCGACAAGAGAAAGGGCCAAAGGGTTGTATAACAAGGTGAGATGGTAGACAGGCTATTTAGCAGAACAAGAAGGAGGGCCAAAGGGATCTTGTATAGGCAAAGGGTTATAAGAAGGAAGAAAGAGCCTGGGATCATCAGGCTTTTTTACTAAGGAGGGGATCCTGCCAGAGTCATATTGCCATCCGGTGGGCCCGCATAACAGCACAAATATGCGCCCATTTGAGGATCCATGAATGGGAAGGGCCCATTCCCTTCTGTGTCCCCTCTCGTGGCCTGTCAACTAAAGGATCATTGAGTAAGTTTGCGGGTGACTACGACGACAAACTTTGCATGGTGAGTTAGTATCAAGACTGACGACAATATGCCTCCGAAGCTTGGACACCGTCAGACTCGCTCCTTTGAGTAGAGTCGAAGAGGAACTCCGAGCGGCCTGTAGGCGCATAAACTCTTCCATATAGCATACTAAAGTCACGGAACAGAGAGAATAGCACAATTACATCTGTAAGATCTACACACAAGTACCTTGATTCTCAAAGCATTACATTGTTCTTATGTCGCTCTGGCATGTCTAGCACTACTGAAACCTCCGAACTGCTACAGCTTCTCGCATCTCCTTACTGCCTAACTCCAGCTTTCCTTAGTTGATGCAACATAAGCTGATTGACGGCATAGTTCACCCTCTGATTGACTTCGCGGATTCTCTCTTCAAGCTTTCGCTCTTGCTGTCCTGCAAGGACAGCGATTTGCTCTTGGAGCTTAAGGATCTGTTCTTGATCCTGACGTCTTTCTGCCTGGTGCTGAAAGTTCTGGGCTTCCAAGACACGAAGACGCTCTTGAATCTGAGCGTAATCAGCGGCGCCAGTGACTGTGGAGAAGTCATTCTGCTGGATGTTTGCTTCAAGAGAGCGTATTTGATTAGGCTCCAAGGGCTCAGATGTTGGGCAGAAGAGGGGAGACGATGGCGGCGAATCTAGTATCTCGATCACTGTTCGTCGGTGATCTTTGCTTTGCGAACCGGCCACTTGTACGGTGTCATGAGGACTAGGACTTCTCGACCGTGGCTGTATGGTATTGGCACCATGCACGGCCTTACGCTGACCAAAGATAGTCTTAATGGGAAGCTCATCATCTGAATCCTCTTGGACAATAGACCTGGATTTCGAGCTGGAGATCTTATGACGCTTCGCAAGTGGTTGATGGTCTGGTTCTTCGATGTCTTTATCGTCTCCGCCATGAATTGTAGTACTTCTGTGGTGCCTCACAGGTGGTTGATGGTCTGATCTTTCCCCATCTTCGTCGTTCTGGATTCGCGATGGTTCTTTGGTTGTGTCCTGATCATATCTAATTAGTATCTTGACAGATGCTTAGGCTGATTTCTTACATACCATGGCACTTGAGGTTCGCTTTCCACCATTAGCGAAGCAGCAACCTGTATCTTGACCTAGTCTGCATCTCGCACATTTTGTGAGACCAAGAAGATCATCGACAACCTTTGTGCAGAATCGATCCGATTTCTCACAGCGTCTGCAGCGGGGATTGTTTTCGACACCATAATAGATGCCTTGTAGCGCCCGTTTAGACCCCTTGACATAAGCCGGATCGTTGCCTGTAAACCTTTCGTTTTGCCAGGTATATAGGCCTGTCGAGGTGTTGTAATCACCCCATTTAAGGATGGGGTACTCTCTTCTCACGGCGGAACTGTCGCCATCAGGAAACTGTGGTTTCCAGAAAGTCCTAGAGAGGTCGGGCAAGGGTGGTTGGGAGTTTCTGTGTGGTCTACGCATCTTGGTTGCAGAGAGAAGGAAGTGGTACCCCTGTCGGGAAGGAAAGAGACAGGGAAGAGGAAGGAGAAGAGAGTTTGATTGAAGGAAGGCAAAGAGAGTAAAGGTTCTTACCTTTTATATGCTGCTAAATGAACGCAGTGAGTCAATTTGAAGGCAGTGGTGCGAGGTATGAGCCATAACCCGACCGGACTTTCCTCGTCCCTGTTCCCTGCTTCCTTTGAGTTTTTGTCCTGCCCTTCGATTCGTCAAGATTGAATTGACGGAAGGGAAAATTGAGTAAGAAAGAGCATCTGTAAGAGGGATTAATCATTGTCCAGCATCTCAACGTGTGAAAGGCTGTCACTTTCTAAATGAGTTTGGTACTTCCACCTTACTTTGGCTACCGATGTTTGGAGCCGTGAAAGGTGTGTTCGAATCAAGATTTGATTTGGTTAGGTTATAATTTGGTGTCTAAGCTTCATTCCCTCTCTTTCTCAATCGCCTGATTCCTTTGCTGCCTACTGCCCACCTTCGAGTCGGCTGATCCTAGCCTTCAGACGGATAATTTCATCTTCCAGCCATCGCCTATTAGATCTCTCTGTCTCAATCTGCGTTTCCAGCCTTCCTATCTGGGTTTCATCAACTGCTTCATCATTCTGGCCTCTCTTCGTGCAATTAGCACGAAAAGCCACCATCTGAGTTTGATGGTCGGCAGCTTGTTTCTTGATCATTATTTTCAGGTTGTCAATCTCGGCCTTGTATCTCTCGTCGATGATGGCGTAAAGTCCCTTCTCTATTTGACTGAAGCCAGGCATTATGTTGTCTTGTGATTCTCGGCGAGGTACGCGAAGTTCCTGGCCCTGCGTCTCTTGCGGATAACGTACATCTGCACCCAACGTGATGCTTGAGAGACGACCATCTATACGTTCAGCAGCAGTAGTCGATTGGTGAGTCTCATCATTGAGGATTGGACGAGAGCCCACCCTGCTTGAGCCACTTCGCAAAGGCGTCTCGAAGCGGTTTTGGGGAGTCGATTCGAGTTTTCTAGCATACTGGTTCTCTTGAGATCTCACAAAGATAACCTCCGTCTGGTCTTCTGTCAATTCACTTGCTTTGCGTTTTCGCAAAGAGGTGCGTTGCTGCTGGTTAGGTTCAGTGCGAACCTCAATACTCGGTCGAGTGTCGTCAACGTCAGTTTCCAAGTTTCTGCTCCTGCTAGGCTTGCATGTAGCATGAACACGACGACACTTGACACAACTTTTGTGGGTCTGTTTTTCCTCTCCAAGAAACCACATGCAAGCACGATTTTGCTTTTCGCATACAGTACACCGGGGCCTGCGTTCCTCGCCGTAATACATGGCAAGAAGGACTCTTTTCTCCTCGGAATCGTTGACATCCAGCTTTTCCCACCAGTACATGTCCTTTGATAGGTTGTTGTTGAAATCTCCAGCGTAGAGTGGAGGATGTTCTCGGTGCGTAACAGCGTTTCGAGGTGGTGCTGGTCGCTTTATGCGTGTTGCAGGGCCAGGGCTGGGAAGGGGCGAGTTCTGTGCTGACACCTCGCTTGGTATATAGTCTGGAGAATTGCAAGCCATGTTTGGATATTTTGATAGACCAGAAGTAAGAATAAGTTTTGGAGGGCGGATTTTTGGGGTACAGGAAAGAGGAAAAGGACCGGGAGAAGGAGAATCTCAAACCACGTTGATGTAGGGGAGAAGCAAATTTTTGGAATGGACGATGCCAGTCCTTTGACTCATGCCTGCCGAATCTGAGAATGTCCTGATGAATCTGAGATAGTTTGCGCAAGCTCGGCAAGCAAAAAGTAGTTCTCTCCTTAGACGAGGCACGTGGCCGCTCAGACTCACCCACTGCCCTCTGCCGACAGAGCCCAATCCCTGCTAGAAGATTTGATAATGGGAAAGAACTGTTTGTGACGGTAAGCAATATCATTATGAAGGACCACGACAAAGGAAGCAGACTCCAGAAGCTTGGTCATCGTAAAAAGGGTATCATTCGTATGTACGTACAATTTCGAACAGTGAGTTGTAACTCAAGAAATCAAGTCTATGTTGCAAAGAGGAAAAAAGTATTGCTGGAGATCGATGATGCTAGATCCCAAGAGCTTTTGAGAAATTGATGTGCAAATGAGAAGAGGCAGAACCACACATCCAAACTGAACAACCCAAATCCGCTATGCAAAAAAATCAACAAGGAGAAATGAAAGACATTAATGACCAGAGGATCTGCGGCAAGTGTGCAGAATAGATCTAGCGGCAGGAAAGGGTGACGGAATCAGAACATCTCGTCCTCACTGAATCGGTAAGCGCCTCTTTCTTCGGCAGGCGTGCGGTACAGTTCATACGGAGTTGGTGGCTGGGCGTACTCGTAGTTCGGCGGCGTCTGGCGTATCGAGCTGCGAGGAATACTCCTACGCCCACTGTCGACGCCAGCGCTACGATGGCGAGAACCATATTCGCTATCTTCGCCAGAGTCACCGGAAAAGCGGCTCTGAATTCGACCATCAGGTCTATCGAAAGCACGCAAAAAGGAAGCTGGCGGAACAACAGTGGCAGGCGAGGAGAGAGCATTGTATGCCTCCAACCGCGAGGCGCTGCGGCCACCATCTGACTCTGCAGGGGTGCGTGGTCGTTGTGCTTGCGGGAGGGATTGTGCTGTGTAGCTACCCCAACTACCACGCGAAAGCTGCAGGCGAGTAACTTCATGCTGAAGGTTGCGGACCTGATTCTCGAGGATGCGGCGAGCAGAACGCTCTTCAGACAACATGTTGTAAAGGGCAGTAAACGTGCCATTGGATGTGGCAGCAGTACTGCGCAGGGTCGGAGGAGCGAGGTTGGGGCGATCACCATTCATGCTACTTTGACTGCTTGGACCCCACTCGCGCTCCATGATATCGCCAGCGTCTTCATAACCTCGTGTGGGCGCTTGTAGTGACTCGACAAAGATGCTAGGCGTTTGCTGACGGTGTGATGAGCCTGGTGGCTCGGTTGGAGCTACGGCTGAAGGGCTAGATAGGGCGAGGTTTGACAGCGACCGCTGGAAGTCAACAAGGTGAGCCTCAAGTTTGGCAACACGCGACTCTAGATCGGCAGAATTCTCCATCGCAGGTGTAGTAAGCGGACGGCTGAAAGAGCGAACAGTCAACTGCGGAGATGGGTTTTTTGCAGGCACTGATTGTCCACGCGTAGAGGGGAGCGAAACAGCATCAGCGCGTGGCAGAGGAGGATGTGCCGACAGAGGCGTTGGGACTGAGACGAAGTCCGGTTCCCTAATGAAGTGTTCAGGCACTTCGGGCACTTCAGGTACATCAGGAACCTCAGGCACATCCGCTGTGTCGACCTCGGTATCAGCGTGAGGATAATCGTAGACTGGGGCTCTCCCAGTTGGGCTGAGGAGGACGCTGGCATAGCTCCGGCGCCAATACTCAATCTCACCGGTACGATCCCGGAAGGGCTCAGCGGCTACCATTGCTTGCTTGAGATCGTTCGCACTACGTGACCTCCTCTTGTCCATCCTCGACCTGGCTCCAGCTGTCGCGACTGGCCTAGTGAGGTTCTTCCCTGTGCCTGGTGTCCGGTGTCCAGCATCTGAACTTGCGTCTACAGCTCTTACGTCTTGATCCTGTCGTACTGTGTTCGAGATGTCGGCGGCTTCGTTAGCAGTCATGATCAGACTGGGCAGGGTAGCCCTCCGCTTCGGACCATGGTCGCGGGTGTAGAATGGATTAGCCAGATCTAGGGGCTTCAAACGGGCGCTCTTGGGGAATTCAACGGCAAAGCTAGGCGACGCGCGTGCCGGATTGGTATTGTAGTCATGAAGAGGTTGTTGCGACTGAAAAGGAGCGGAAAGTGGACCGGCGAGATGAGTCGACAGTGGTGCAGAGATGATACGTTGGTGGATGGCATCGGATGGGTGCGTGTGGATTGTTTGTGGTCGCTTGAAGTTACCGGGGTCCTGTATTGCTGTCAGTACTGTACGTAGTCAGAGCTGTAATATGCTGTGACTGACGCTTTTATGATAGCCATGTCGCGACGCTTCTACCCGTGGCAAGGCGGGTACTTCTGGAATGTCGCCCTTGGACTTTCTTCCAAATAAGCGCCGCACCGCGTTGCGTATTGAGCCCTTTCTCTCCGCGCCCTCTACTCCTGCGCCATTGCCTACCGAATATCGCGCTGATTTGCGTTTGCGGGGCTTTGCGGTTGTGTCGGTGCTGCGTCTTCCGTCGTCAATCTGACTTTGTTGTGCCCCGGCCGTGACAGATGTGAAGTATTCGGCTGAAGGACGACCGTAGGAGACATTGTCAACTCCTACTTCGGGTCGCGCTGGCCGTATCGGCGGCGAGCGAGTTCGTTGAGTCGTTACTGATCCGTCCATGGATCCATGCAGCGGTAAGATGATATGCTCTGGTCCTCTGTTGGGCTGGTGCCGTAATCCCCAGCAGGTCAAGGGCAGTCAAAGAGGTCAATGATGACAAGGAAGAGACAGGCGTAGCTGGGATGAAAGAGTGACGAGGGTTACTGAAGGAATGGATAGCTGGAGCAGCCACGAGTAAGATCGGTCTGAGGGAATAAACACTCAGGTTAGTTCTCTCGGTGGAGCAAGCGCACGCTGGCTAAGAGATGCAGGTGCAAATGATTGTAAAAGTACGACAAACAAAGACGGAAGCCACGGCCGCTCAGGGAATGGCGAAGGAAGTGCTGCGTCCGACTGAGGAACAGCAAGCAGTTCGCATACCAAAGACGGGCGCTCCTCGCTCGCAGAACGGGCATGCACAAGAGGATATAGCCGGGAAGAGTCCGTTGCTCCAACCGTCAGCAGTGACTATCTGGCAGGAACCGTGTCCCGATTGCTATCATTCGTTGCGGGGATCGCGCAGACGTGGCGTTTGCTTCCTCTTAGCCCAATAGCATTTGCATTAGTCGTCGTTGTAGTACTGTTTCAGCATCTTCCACATGGCAACGTTTTGCTGCTTAGGGTTGGCAGTTATCCAACTTTGATTCGTTGCCCTTCCTTTACTTGACCACCACGCCGTGCTTCTGGTGGCTGTCTGTGACTTTCAACTCTGTCCAGCTCGCCCAGGTCATCCTCATAGTACAGATACTCACTCATCCCATGATCAGACTTGCATCGGCTTCATTAGCAAGGATGAAGGCTTCATCTCTACGTCTACGCTAGCCGAAAGCCTATTTATAAAGCGATGGCTGGCAAAGCCCTCGGATCTTCATAAGGCCTTTGGTCAAGCACCATCTGTCAATGATGGCGCAACTCCTATTATAACCATTGTCGCTTCCACGATAAAATCAAATCCTATCTGCCCGATCAGCCTGACCGTTGCGCTTTCGGAAGTCGTTGGCACCGAAGAATTCTTTGCTAAGTTGCTATAACAGGGTGCAGTCTTTCTCTTTCGGCACTGTTAATCTCCCGTCGCACCTTTTTGCTGCTGCCAAGTCCATTGTCACTGCGACCATTCGGGTAGATCTCACCTCCCCGTCTGGCTGATTTGGAGCAGTGGAGACACCGGCCCACGGTCCGTGTTCTCGCATCTTCTTGCCCTGCTTTGCAATTACATATCAACTGCATCAGCAGACTACAGAAATACTTCTATCTCGTACCATGCATCAACTGTTGAGTGTGTCGAGTATGATCAGCCCATTTCTATCGCCTCTTGAAACCAGCACCGCCATCCATCAGCTGGACCCATGCGTCCAGCGTGACACTTTCTGTCAGAAGAGACAAGCCGGACTTCTTTGCCGGACCAAACTGTCTATCTGTCACACGTTTACTCGCTACGCAGTACGTCGTCCAGATCCGGATAGCGCAGGTCTGCATTCTCTTCAAGAAACTCCATCCAGCTCTTGAGAAATTTGCTTCCACTGCAAGTACCGCCAAAGCGGTAATGGGTTAGCTCCAAACTTTTGCTTTCTTTGGAAATTTACGGGTGCACGCATGTACAGTACATGCAGGTACAGCTTTCTGCAAGAGCGGGATGACTTACCGGCCTACCGTCTCGGAATCACCAACAACACAGAGGTGTCGCTTTGGTCGAGTCATGGCCACTAAGGGAAGATTGTGGTTAGCAAAGCTTGTCAAAACTGTACATGCCGTCTCATACCGTTGAGCCTTCGCTTTTCAGCGAGAAAACCGACTTCGTGCTCTGAGTTGCTGCGCACAAGACTGACTACTACAGCTTCCTTCTCTCTGCCTTGGAACCCATCGATACTTCCGAGTTCAATACCAACAAACCTCTCTTTGAGCAGTTGTGACAAGACAGCAAGCTGGCCATTGTACGGTGTGACGACAGCGATGTCTTCTGCTTTGACGCCAGCATCGACTAAGCTCTGTACATGCTTCTTGACAATGGCTGCTTCGAGTTCGTTGCTCTTACTTTCTCCGAGGAGACTGCTCTTCGACTTTGGTTCGTCATCGTCATCAGTCTTCTCATGAAACTCGCCTCCCTGTGTGTCCCAGAAGACTACAGGCTCAGTGGTGTCCTCAGTCTCCTCAACATCGTAGGGCAAGTCTTTCAACAATCTTGCCTTGACAGTTTCCGCCGCTATGAGTTTTGACTCGTATAGTGCTGCTGATGGAAAAGCGTTGATTTTCTCGTGCATGCGATACTGGATGGTCAGCATGCGCTTGATACTTTCTCCGTAGAGGTCAAGCATGCGATCGAAGAGCGTTGTCTCTAGATCCACGCCACCCTGCCCTGTCTTCGTGTTCTGTTTGGTTGACTTGGAATTAGAGCTTTTGATGGTAGGTGGTAGTTGGAGATGATCTCCAGCGAGGATCAGCTTGCTTGCACCACTACTCAGCAGAGGCACCCAGCACTGTGCCTCCAAAGCTTGACTGGCTTCATCGACAATGACAACGTCAAATTCTTGAGATTTCAAGTGAAATCCACCAGCCCCGTGCAGTGTAGCAAGGACGACCTTGCTTTCTCGGACCAGACTGCTTACGCAAGCAGCTTCACGCTGTCGATAATCTTTGCGTAGCTCTTTGATCTCTCCGTAGATGGCCTTGCGTTCTCTACCTTTTCTTGTTTTGCGTATACTTGCTTGTTTTGCGTCCATCTCGTTGCGAATATCCTTTACCAGAGCGGCGGCATCGCTCGTACGTGTCAAGATGTCGAGACTGTGGTTCAGCACTCCTGGCAACAAGCGAGCTGGGTGGCCAAGTCTGACCATAGGCACTTTATGTGGTGATAGCCTCTCGACAATGTTGTCGACCGAGATGTTGCTAGGTCCGCAGACCAAGAGTCGGAGACCTTTCTTCAGACACTGGCGTATCAACTCGATTAATGTGTGAGTCTTTCCTGTTCCTGGTGGTCCGTGTATCAAGGCAACTTCGGGAGAGGCTAGAGCGAACTTGATGGCTTCCTTCTGTGAGTCGTTGAGAGAAGGATCTAGCCACTCAAGCTCCTCTGCCATATCTCTAGGCTGGACCGATACTGCAGAGGATTGACCAAACAGGACGCGCGTAAGAGTGGAGTGTTCGCTTTCGGGCATCTTCAGCAACTTTGTCATGGTCTGGTTCATCCTGGCCATGTGTTAGTCATGGAAGAGAAGGTTATAGGACACACTTTGATACCTCTTGTATGTAACATCGTTTGCAAGTTTAACACTACAGAGACACAACGCCTATCAGCCAACAACATTCTTTTCCAAAATACAGATGCAGAGTTCACCAACAGCCAGAGTTTTCCACCAGGAATGTCAACCTCGTCCTTGTCCAAAGCGACAACAATGATTTCTCTCAAGACTTTAACGACAACACCTTGTATCTGTTTCTTCTCCATGTCCTGACGCTCTTTCTTCTTCTCTGCACCCTTTGGCTGTTCCGAAACACCAACAATGTCTCCCACGCGTAATCCATGTTCGGGAAGCTGCGTTTCAGTACCAGCAATGGCAGGGTCCAGAGAAAGCTCGATGAGAGATTTACCACCTAGACCTGTGCGCTGGGCGCTGACAGAGAGGTTTAGAACAGCTAGGCCGGCGCGTGCGAGAGTGGACGGAGCATGAGTGGCGGTGAGCAGGGCGGTTTCTTCGAGCTCGGCATTCAGTTCTGCCGCCAATAACTTGAGCTGCTTGTCAGCAAAGCTCGGGATGTCGATGGGAGCCATTGCTGAATGTGTTCAAAGTCTTGCAGTGCGACAAGAATGTAACAAAGACGGCGCTTTCACATGAAGAAGGTGACGTCGGGCTTGGCACGCGATAAGATAAGGGCCGCCGAAAGTTGCTCTCTCTCCACACGACGGCAATGGTCAGCATGTCATCGTCATACATCACAGAAATACAATGCGGACGTCGAGAGTATCTCGAGAGACTGCTCAGGTAGTGAATGCTCTGTCGTCACGAGGTTCGAATGGCAATGCGCCCAGACGCTCCCTGCGTAACTTCGCACATAACGCAGATGTGAAATACGCCCAAGATGAAGATGAAGGGAGCTCGGATTTGTCTTCGCTCCCCTCGAGTGCTTCTCTGTCAAGTGCATCCCCATCGCCTCCCCCTTCAGGTCGCAAACGCAAGCGTACAGTCAAGACCGAAGTCCTCTCTCCTAATCCCTCGGCCGCGAACCGCAACACCAATCTGCTAAAAACGACGAAGCGACAGCCTGCTAAGCGCATCAAAGGCGAGAATGGCCGTGTCGAACCTCCGCCCAATTGGGAGCAAATGTATAGCATGACGGCTGAAATGCGCAAGAAAGTCCTCGCTCCAGTCGATACCATGGGCTGCGAGTCGCTGGCCGAGCGTGACCGCTCTCCAATCGACCGACGACTGCAAACACTGATTGCGCTGATGCTGAGTTCGCAAACGAAAGATACAGTCACTGCTGTTGCTATGAAGACTTTACAAGAGAATCTCGAAGGAGGCTTCAATCTTGCTGCACTGCTCACAGTCGAGCCAGCACGTCTCAATGAGCTGATTGCAAAGGTCGGCTTTCACAACAACAAGACCAAATACATCAAGGCGACTGCGGAAATTCTTCGTGACAAATTCAATGGCGACATCCCAGACACGATAGAAGGTCTGGTTTCACTACCTGGAGTTGGTCCAAAGATGGCCTATTTGACCATGTCTGCTGCATGGGGTCGCGACGAGGGCATTGGCGTCGATGTGCATGTCCACCGCATCACCAACCTTTGGGGCTGGCACAAAACTCGCAACCCTGAGGAAACTCGAGCAGAACTTGAGAGCTGGCTTCCAAAAGATAAGTGGCACGAAATAAACCATCTCCTTGTCGGATTTGGACAGACTATATGTTTACCTGTTGGTCGAAAGTGTAATGAGTGCACTTTGGCAACCGAGGGACTGTGCCCGAGTGCTGTTATCAAGAAAGAGGTTACGAAGAGGGTGAAGAAGATGGAGGACGAGGACGGAGTCAAGACCGAGATCGAACCAGTTGTCAAGGAAGAGAAGGCTGATGAAGATGCGCCTCCGCTGGACATCCCGCTTGCTGGTGCTGGTATTGTGCCAGATATCGAGGGCATGGGTGCAGGGATCAAGAGTGAGGAAGTGTGATACCCCTTCGATCAGCTTACTATCTGCTGTTTGCATGGTGCTAATGCCAATAATCTATGCACAATGTATAAGTCGATCTCCGCCAACGTTACTATCACTATCGAAGACGTTGCTTCAACGGACGGTGCACCGTCATTACATCGTATGAGCAATCAATACTCCCTGTACTTTTCAATTCCCGATCGCAAAAGCAGTCCACACCTTTGTTGTTCGCCATGAAGCGAGCATAACCGAAGGTGCAGAAATAAAATACAAAAAGGAAATGATCCTGGCAATGGGCGGAATCGAACCGCCGTCGGGTCGGCGTTGCTGGAATTTAACCTCCACAACGACACATGCTACCACTACACCACATCACCTTAGCTTGTAAGGGTTGAATCCGGTTGGCCAGATTCAGGATCTTGGTGATAGGATCGGGTCTTTGGTATATATCCTCTAGACTGGAGTACCAGCCACGCAATAGTAATATTCGACCTTTCACTTCGTCAATGCGAATTTTTGCTTCCTGATTTCTATTTAAATCGTTTTCTAGATGCAGCTGACACTTCATCGTACACCCATCTATTTTTGCAGTTGATCTATCATATCACGGCGCAATAGAAGTTGGTGAACCATTCTCTAGTAATAGCTCGAAGAACTGTACTCACGATAATATCACTCACATGAGTCGAGCATGACTTCAGTTCATATTCCGCTATACAAGAAGCCTAATCGACGTCCTGAGTCACTCGAGCAGTGTGTTTCCTGTAGGGAATCATCTGGTAAATCATGTTTGGAAATCAAGGCCAGGGTGCTACACTCGACAATCTGATCAGATCATCAACAACAGTTCATCTTCAGACTCGAACTATGTTCTGTGAGAATCAACGATGTTCGGAGGCTGACCTAGTCTGAAATATCATACTTGTGAGACAGGATCATCATGTAGCAAGCCAGACCTTTCCCACTCGGACGAGATTGTGTGAATTATGTATGTATGGTTTATTTTACAAGCTCCTGCTTTAGCTATCCATATGGCCAACCAAAACACTTTTTGCATGGCCTCTGGCCCACTGTTGTTTCGTACAATGTCGTGAAGTCGTGATCGCATGATGTGCCGAATGTACTCAGAGAGAAGGATACGGACTTCTGTAGACGTCCAGAGCAGAGGCATTCATAGCCATGACGTGAGGGTCAGGGTCTGCATATAGATCGTGATAAACGCCCACGTTGTGGTAAGACGGAGCAAGGGAAGGGTCGAGGACGTGCATGTGGTGTGGCTGCAACTGTGGATGGTGATGCTGGTGCTGAGATGGAGGGACAGTCAAGTCCTGCCATGGATCAAGGAGGTGGGCATCGGGAGGAAGTTCGCCGAGATGGTCGATGGGAACATGCTGAGAGATATGGAGAGCAAGAGGAGGCTGCTGTGTCAGAGGTTGAGCAGGTGCTTCTTTCTGGGCAACGGCCTTGTTGGCAGCGCGGCGACGAGGAGCAGCGGCAGAGGTAGATGCAGAGGCGCGCGTACGGACAGGTCTCTGGCCTGTGGCGATGCCAGCGCGGGCAATGGCGCGTGAGATGGTCGACATGGACACGGTCAATTGCAGTTCCTTCTGCAGATGGCGGCGCATCTCGTCGAGCTCCATGTCCGGTTTGGCGGCGAGCAGGCCTTGTAAGAACTTGTCGACTCCCTCGCTCATGGCTCGCGGCCTGCCCAGCGTCTTCGTCTGCACGCGACCAACGGTGCCATGCTTCTTGAACTTTGCGATCTTGAGATAGACATTGGTGCGCGACACATTAGGCACGGCGGCGCGAATGGCCATGGCCGATTTGCCCTCGCTCACCATGCGCTCTATCGTCGCATTGTCCTCGTCCGTCACCATCGTCTACATGGTCACTGTCAGTCACACGTTACTCGCAGAGCACAGTCATGCAAGATGGCCATGTGCATGGCGCAGGAAGATGATCTTACCGACGTCGTTTGTTTGTCAAATTATGGGAATATGGCAGTGTGTCCCATCAATTTTGCTTTGACGCATGCCCGCTTCGCCCGGCAATGGGGAGCGAGTACGAGTATTGAAGCTTCAAGTCGCCAATACTCCCAAACTTGTTCCCACTATTGCAAAAAATATACTCCTCCAACTGTGCTTCGTACCTGTTCTGTAATACTGCATTTAATTTTCATATTGTAGCTCGTACGCTTGTCTCTCATCTGCGTTGGCTCTGTTTCTCCTGCGCTGCTCACAATCCTGCGTCTGGCGTCTGGCCTTACCGTCATATCTCCTGTCACTTGGCCCAATTCCAGTTTCGAGAATCCAGGGCACCCATTTCTCCCTTCCCACACACTTCGCACTGAGCTCAGTGTGGACCTTCGTATCTGTTGCGAGTGAGAACAGTATGGATACTAAGCTCTCGCAGCACTACACCGTCTCCTTCGCGCCATGTACTCCTTCAATATGAATGCACAGCCGGTGCACTCGGCCAACGGTTTCAGGGACGTCGCTTTCCTTACCGTACTGCGGGACGACGGCTGATTGCCTGATTACGGTTTCGCAGTCAGTGCAAGGTGCTCTCCTTGCCCCCTCAGACGTCATATGCGAAGGTGAAGGAGGAGAACAAGACTCCGCCAAGGTAGTATGGCTTGATGCCCGGTCGCTGCGCCCTCGGCTCCTGCCCAAGACATGCTCTCCGTCTAGAGGCTCAAGGCCCTCGCTGTACACGCGAGCCAGTACCCGGATGTCTTACTAATGGCAAGACAGAGACATGATGACTTGAAACCTCTTCTGAACACACGTCAGAGGTGTCGAGGTCGACAAATTCAGGTTCTAGCTGACATTCCCATGCTAGCGAATGCAGAGTTTCACAAACGTTTTGCCAATACATACGTCTCCTTCAGACCCGCAGGCAATGGTCCGAATCATGAAGCCGACGGCCTAACGAAAACAGTAGAGGAAGGTCATAAGAGATCTGCTTTGGTGGTCGCAACGATCCTGGCTGGTGGATCTGTCGTGGGCTTGCGAGCCAAAAAGGGCGGACACCTAGCGGATATAAAGATCATCGCTTATTGTTTGGCGACAGGATACATCCAAAGTAGGCGCGCATCTCGCTCACGGACACCTTTCTAGAAGCAAAACCGAAGAAAAGGGAGCCAGCTTGGCGGGGTTTCTCCTTCCGAAATTGGGTGCGGCCGTTGAACCTTGCGACCACATCCACACAACCCAGCCCTCCCAATTTTAACGTATGCGTGACAGTTCGATAATCGAGAACGATGTACACGATACCAGGTACCTTGCGGATGACGGATAACAATCTGTCCATGAGACAGCAGATGCAAACGTCTCGTGCCACGCCGAAAGCGTGCATCCATGATGAAAAAAATGCACCCAATCCTTTTTCCAGCGTCTGAGCATCCCGCAATCGAACATGCACGGTTGGCGTTCACCGATGGTCCCGGCTTTTGGGTTAATTATTGCCATGCTCCTCATGACTCCTTAGCACGTTGTGTCTGTGTCAGATCAAAGGGTATTTTGCATCTAGTCGCTAGGCTCTATTTCCTGCATAGACGTTTCGTCCCTGGTCTCTTTAATCGAAGGGGCCGCAAACATTAACATTCCACTCCCCCTCTTGCCTTGCTTGATCGCTTTTCCTTATACCACCCATCCCACCTTCCTCATCCCTCGACCACCCCGCGAATAGGCTTGTTTTCGACTCTCCTTTTGCTCGACCCAGCCGTCCGGTTCCGACTGTGCCTTGGTAGTCGCATCCATCATCACCACCACCACGACATCGTCCGCGAGCGGCATTTGCAACAGGATCAATACCACTACTGGCGCTCTGTCTCTTTCGTTGAACAATTCAATCGTACCCGTACATAATATCCGACTCTTGGCTGGTCCTGAACGCTGCAAAAATAACGTCAACAACAATACCTGGCAGAAACGTCACCGCCTTTAAGTGAGTATACCACAATTCAGTCCTCCCACCAGACGCCTTTCTTAAAACGGTTAAGCGTAGTTCTTTGCGCAGCCAGAAGCTGATTTCACTGTCAAAAGATCTATACGTTCACCGCGGCTCGTCTGATCTCGTCACAAAGCTGCAACATCCCTTCTCTTGCGACTTCTCTTCCTCAACTTCTTTTCTTACAACTTCTCTTACTGTTCTTCAAAGATCTTTAGTCTTTCTAAAGATCCTTGGTCCCTCTACTCATCTTCCTTCATACACCACATCACACTTCTTCAACAATGGAAGGCAACAGTGGTAGAGGTAGAAGAAACGACTCGATCAGCAGTGTCATGTCTGTGGGCGCTGACAACACCTCGCCTTCTTGGACTGATGACAACAACAACAAGGCACGTGCTGATCAGAGATCTTCACGTGCAGAGCAGCAGCTTGACCATGAGGCATCTGTCCACATGCTTTCACAATATGCTCCTGAGGACTCTTCGTATATGGATGCCTCCACCAGCTCTGACACCGATCAATCCGACATGATGAGTCCTCTTGAGATACGCCACGCTATCTTCGAGTTGCTCGAAGAACTCCCCGAGACTGCCGCAGTTGACCTCATCACCCCTTACCAGAGAGCCGCCATGCTGCCTCCTGTCACCCAAGAATCACTCTGCGAGTTGGACGTCGGTCGCATCATCAACAACCCCAAGCTGCGTCACGATGTCAACTTCGACCGGGAACTCCACTTCAGACCCAACCTTGATGGCACCAGAGGCAAGCAGAAGCTCAAGTCAGCCGACGAGTACTGGAAGGCCTTGCTGGCCGAGCTGGAGATCTACAGAGCAGTTGGCTTCCGTCTCATGACTAGCAGAAGCGCAGAGGAACTCGAGTACTGGACCTGTATGATCAAGGCCAATCAGATCAGACTTCCTGGAGTCTTCAGCACTATCCACGAGATCCTCAAGACTCTCGTGCCCGAGCGTGACCAAGCCATTGTCGCCGAAAGACTCGATGTCGACATGATCATGCAGCAGATTTGCAAGGGCGTCTTCGATCTTCTGGATCTCGCCCAGTGGTTGGCCACAATCCTGAAGGCACACTGTGCTCCCATGAGAGATGAGTGGATCGACCAGATGGTTGAGCAGACCACCAAGGGTGTGCAAGAGGGTGACCAGAAGGCTGTTGTCGTCGGACTCAGACAGACTCTGGCTATCCTCGAGGCCATGAAGCTGGACGTTGCCAACCACCAAATCAGACACCTTCGCAGCCTGCTGATCGATGATACTGTCAACTTCCAGCAGAAATACCACATTCACAAGATCGCCGCAAACCGCTTCAAGCTCGATGGTGCACGCAACTGGTTCAAGGAGGAGCAGACTCTCCTCAACGGCTGTAACCTCGCCCCAACCCCTCTAGAGACCTTCTCCTCGGCCGTTCTCCGCTCCTTGCTCGCTCAAAGCAACCTGACCCACTTCCCCGACACATTCCACCTCGACTACGAACGTCTCCGCCTTATTCGCAGCGATGTCCACAACATGATCCAGATGAACATGTGCTGCAATGCCTTCGATATTCTCATCAAGAACAAGGCCGATGAGCAGAGTCGTGCTGCTGCCAAGAAATCTCTCCAGGCCAACATCGCTGCTATTGTTGGCGATGCACGCCTCTACCTCGAGAACCTTGAAAACATCTCTGCCGAGATTGTCCGCCTTGTCCTGCAGCTGGAAGGTGCCGATGCTACCTTCGACTCTGACATGATGAGCATTGTCGAACACCACCTTCGCGCCGAACTGCCCCTTGGTTCTTCTGCTTTCGGTATCCAGCTTCAGACAATTCTCGACACTCAGCTTCCTAGATTGTGCAACGCTGTCAACTCCAGCTCGAGACTTCCTATTCTGGCTCTTCACGATCTCATGCTGCCTCCTATCCAGCCTGCTGGCAAGCGTGCCCCACCCAAAGCCGTTGCTGAACCACTACTCGACGAGATTTTGAAGCGTATTACTCACCTCACTGTGATTCACTGGCACGTTTGGTCGCCTATTGTCTACGACGTTCAGATCGAAGCCGAGTTGGCCCCTCTCGGCTCACCTGGCAACAAGCCAGACGCCTCTCACATGAACACCAACACCGCCTCGCCCAGCTCGGGCGCTTCGACCCCCGAGATGCAGAGCCAGAACGGTGGCTTCACTCAACCCACTGGCCCTTCTATCACCAACGGACGCTCTCCAAAGTAGATTGGCCACCATCCATCAGCTCTTCGATGGGTATTTCGCCTTGTACAATCAAATTCGATTAATTCTCGGTCCGTTATTGTTTTCAGCCACCACTCAAGCTACCTCGGCGCAGCGACCTTCCTAGCCTCATCATCGAAGCAGGACAATTAGCAGCTCGTTGGACATGCTGGGCGTGCGCGGCTTTTCTGCAGATACCCCTTGTGTTTTCGGTCTCGTTTCTTTTCTTTTTCTTTTGTTGTTTTTACATTATCATCAAGCAGTTCAGCAAGGCGCTGGCGGAGTTATCAAGTCAATCGTTTACTTACTTCCGGAATGGCGGGATTGTGTTTCTAGCAAAGCAGTCACTCATTGTACATACCTTATCCAAGCATCCCTATCGAGTATCCTATCTCAGAACGTTTCCAAAACCGTATCTGCCAACATAGCTAAATATCTTGAGCCCACGAATGACTTAAACATATAGCCGTGATGAAGCATCGACCTTTAGAAGGTCCATGTCATGCTCTATCATTGGTCGTCTTCAGAGTTTAGCCTCAGGCGAGAAGGTGTCAGAATAGATTGACCCCACAGCCGGAAGAAGCTTGATTTTGCTTCGAGTCGCACACGCCCGAAAGCGGGCCGAGCGTGCGGCTTACAGAAGATGATATCACTTTTCGAATGCCTCATCGTTACGTAGGAGCGGCAGTGAGATAGATAGCACTGATCATGATGTTACGCGCAATATGGTGGGCGGCAGATGGGATCAGAAACATGCAAGACTCCGCAGCTTCCGCTACATCCAATTTATATCTTTCTGTGAGGTCCAACGTCTCTCTCTGCTTACTGTTCAAATCTCAAATCATCACATCTTGAAAGTTCAAACATGGATGTAAAGAACCCCAACAAGGAGTACAGAACTACTCCCGAGTACGCAGAGTACCAGAGAGACAACTTCTGGGCAGACAATGAGGGAAAGGTGCCTCCTTTTAACACTCGTAAGCAGTGCAATATAATCCAAATCCACGAGCAGGAAAGGTATTGAGATTGAATTCAGACCCCGACAAGCTCGAGCAAAGAGCAAAGGAGAAGCTGTCCGAGGGTGGCTGGTACTACGCCTCCTCCAATGCTGGCTACTCGACAACACATCTCGCCAACCGTCAAGCCTTCTATCGCCACCGCATTATCCCTCGCATGCTAGTCGACACCAACAAGCGCGACACTTCTTGGGAGATCTGGGGCCACAAGACTAGCGCACCTATTGGCTTCTCACCCATCGGTATCAACAAGATCTACAACCCTCTTGGAGAGCTCCCTGTAGCAAAGGTTGCCAAAGAACTTAACCTGCCGTATTGTTTGAGTACTGCTGGCTCGCAGCCCATCGAGGATGTTGGTGCTGCCAACGGAGAGGGTCCTCGCTTTTTCCAGCTGTACATGCCGCATGATGATGAGTTGACGGTTTCGCTGTTGCGCAGAGCCATTGACTCTGGTTTCACAGCCTGTATCCTGACTGTTGAGTATGTAACTTTCCTGATCCTTCTATTGAAAGCAGCAATTGACAAGGTCTTCACAGCACATGGCAACTGGGATGGAGACACGATGATGTAGCACACAGCAACTACGCTTTCTACCACGGTATTGGTGCTGATCTGGGTCTGTCTGATCCAGTCTTCCAGAAGAGGCTCGCCGAAGACGGCATTGACCCCCAGAAGGAACCTAATAAAGCAGGTGCCAAGTGGATTGACAATGTCTGGCATGGTAGAGCTCACAGCTGGGAGAAGATGCCCTGGCTTATCAAGACCTGGAAGGAGATGAGCGGCGGCAAGCCATTCGCCATCAAGGGCATTCAGAGTGTAGCCGATGCCAAGAAGTGCGTTGAGATTGGCTGTGATGGCATTGTCGTCAGTAACCATGCTGGAAGACAAGTCGACGGAGCCACTGCAAGTCTTGATGCTCTGGAGCAGATTGTCGATGGTAAGTCTATACTGCAAACCATTGGTGAAATAGTTGCTAACTGTGGTCGCTGTAGCTGTTGGTGACAAGATCTACATCATGTTCGACTCTGGAGTACGTGGTGCCTCGGACGTCTTCAAGGCTCTTGCACTGGGAGCCAAGTTTGTCTTCGTCGGCAGACTGTGGGTCTGGGGCCTGAGCATCATGGGCGAACACGGTGTGAGACACGTCATGAAGTCTCTTCTGGCGGACTTTGATATTCTCCTGAATGTTGCTGGCTTCCAGAATGTCGAGCAGATTGTGGGCAATCGCGACGCACTGGAGTCTCTGCCCAAAGCATACACGCTTATTCAGGAGAGAGCAAAGCTTTGAGGAGTTACGAGAATGATATAATGATGGCTTTGATGCAGTGTGGAACTGTTGACTAGGAGTTGAAAATGTATATGACTTTAATGAATATCGAAATCGATTCTGACATACACGACTGAGTTCCCACGATACCTGCAAATATGTTGTCGAAGAAGAGAAAGGTTCTTGTTGAAGTCGTCGTTTTGTTTGGCAAGTTGTTGTTGAGTCCGTGCGCAACAGGCTTGATGTTCAGCTCATACAGCGAGCATCAATCATTCTTGTCAACCAATCAACACATCTTCAAGGCAATTGGAAATCAAGATGGACCAAAAATACGACTATGAGACAATCACGCACAAGACATTCTCAGAGCTACTTGACTCATACAAGGAACTTGTTCCGAGCAAGCTGGACGAACTGGAAGAGCAGCGACTCGTAATCATTCCGAAATCACTATCGGAAAGGACGGAGGACGCACACTTGAAGAAGCCCGAGGTGCAAAAACTGGTAGATTGGAAGCTGTACGTTGAAAGCGTTGAGTTAAGCTCATCACGCAATACAAAACTGACCACTCCATCCAATCCTCCAGCGGACACGGCACTTTCAGGCCTTCATTGCGCAAGCTCGTCGAATCGAACTCAGACGAGGCGGTGGAGCAATGCACGCGAGAAGCGTTCGAGACTTATGAAAAGGACAACGAGCAATGGGACAAGGCGGTGGGGATGATGGCCAAGGGGCTTCGTGGCGTAGGGCCTGCCACAGCCTCGCTCCTGCTCAACACTTACGACGGCGAGAAAGTGCCATTCTTCTCGGATGAACTGTACCGTTGGGTCGCGTTCTCCGAGGGCAGGGGCAACGGATGGGACCGTAAGATCAAGTATTCAGCGAAGGAATATCAAGAGTTGTACAGGCGAGTGGAGATGTTACGAGAAAGATTAGGCAAAGAGAGCGACGAGACGATCACGTCAGTTCGGGTCGAAATGGTAGCGTACGTACTAGGACGAAGACAGATCGGGGGAGCGAAGAGAAAGGAGATTGATGCGGAAGACAAAGAGGGAGCTGAGCAAGAAGCAGAAGAAACTGCGACTAAAAGGAAAAGAAGAAGGACATAGATGCTTAAGTAACATACGTATGGATACCTACCATTGACTTCTTACAGCTTTTCGTCCATATCTCAAGGGTTCTCGAGGTGAGATGAGTTATCGATGCACGACAGACATTGAGTGCCGTAGGGCTGAGCACGCCATACAGACATTATTGCAGGAATTTGGCTGCTTCAAGCCACGGTTCTGACCGACACAAGCACCTCGAATAGAACACCTTAAAAGTTCAGAAGGAGCGGATCTATGCACCTACAGTCGATATGATGGAGATGTAGTCAGATTACCCGAAGTGGTGGTGGCTTCGGTACAGAGTCCGTTGGTATGTGCAAAGGAGACGGCGGAAAAAATTGCCCGCTTGGTCAAAAATATTATTAAGCACGATCGTCTGCTTTCAAAGCAAGAGTAAGCCGAGGAAAGGCGGGGGGTTCACACGAGGGATCCACAACCTAATCTGGACTAGAAGGAGTGGAGGAGAACAATACGAAGCGTACAAGTGAGATGAGAAGAAGAGCAACAAAGCAGCGTGAACAAGAGCGTGGTCGAGAAACAAGAGATAGAGACGAGCACAAGTTGCGAGTGGACTGACGACAGGCGGGACGGAGTGGAAGGACAAAAGGGATTGACACAACGATGATGAGTCCAAGGGCACAAAGCGGACAAAGGCGGAGGAACGGCAGAGAGCGAATCGAGGGCTGTTTCGACGCACGTGCCACAAGTGGAAAGGGCTCCCAACGATTGCAACTGCAGGACGTCGCACTCGAATTCGGCCGGCTGTTTCCCTCCTGCTTCACTCGACAAAAGCACGCAACCACCCCCACGACCTCTAGCCCTCTAGCCCTCTACTACGCCCAGCGACTCTTTCATACCACCTGTACATCGCCAACCCCGCCGCTTCTGACTCTTGCAACAAAACCCAGCGCCGCCGCGCGCCTGCCGCACGTCTCCGCCCGTCATGTCGACCTACAGCGCCCGTCGCGCCCCCAATGTGTCGCAATACATTGCCAACCTGAACACGGTGCCCTCTGCCGCCGACCTGGCCGCCCAGCAGGAGCTCGGTGCCTTCGACGATGACCTCGCCATGTTCACCAACACTCAATTCTTCGACTTTGATGGTGACATGGCCGCCTTCCCCGACATGCCTCAGCAGCAGTCCCCCGCCAACATGCAGCCCGACATGCACAAGCCCCTCGATTTTGGAAACGGTACGCATCCCCCCACCACGTCACCATACCTTCACAACTAACATGCCATAGCCAACAACTTCCAATTTCCCGACTTCTCCTTCCAGCAGTCGCGACCTCACGCCTTGCCAACCTCACCACCCAATGGTGTCGCTATTGCTCCCTCACCCTCGACCCGCCTGGACTTCCCTGCCCAGCATGCACCTCGCATGGCTCAGCCTCAGCCCCAGGCCGCTTTCTCGCAACCATCTCCTCAAGTAGGAGACAAGCGCAAGTCGACTGTCGCCGCCATGTCGTCGCCTGCCGATCTCGAGGACGAATCCCGCCTGGCTGCCGAGGAGGACAAGCGCCGCCGCAACACTGCTGCTAGTGCCCGTTTCCGTGTCAAGAAGAAGCAGCGTGAGCAGGCTCTCGAGAAGACTGCCAAGGAGATGTCCGACAAAGTCCAGATTCTCGAGGCTCGCGTCAACCAGCTCGAGATGGAGAACAAGTGGCTCAAGGGTCTCATCACTGAGAAGAACCTCAAGGGTCCTACCGCCGACTCAGAAACCACAGACGTCAAGGAGTCTGAGTCAATAACCGAATCGTCCAAGAAGGGTGTTGGGACCGACAAGGAGGCGGACAAGGCTGTCGAAGCTTGATTGCGATCATATCGACATGTCTCCGCGGACACCAAACTCAAAATGCCTTTCTGTTTTCTTGACGTTCTACCATGATGTTTGATTCTTGAACTCTTATCATAGTCGAGTGGATTATTTTGGTTGGATTATATACATGCCAAGTGCTAAATGCATCTACTCATTGACTTTTACAAGCGTGCTGACCGCTTTGGTCTCCTCGTTGGGCTCCACTTAGCATAGGGGTGATCCGCTGCGGTAGGCACTAAATGGTCGACATCCAAGCTGTTGATCAGACCAGGATGCACCTCTGAGAGATTGTTGATGCCGACCAACTTCATGCTTGTCTCTAGCTCGTCTTTCAGGACTGTTGATTCGTGTCAGCTTTGTCTTTCCACAGGCATATTTGACTCGGACTCACTGTCAACCATGTGGTCCACTCCTTCGGCTCCGTAGTTCACTGAGTACAGGAAAGGTCGTCCGAGACCGACTGCCTTCGCTCCCAGGCAAAGGCACTTCAGGATATCAGCACCTCGGCGGATTCCACCATCGACATAAACCTCAAGACGTTCGAAGATCTCTGGACAACGTCGCTGGCACTCGAGCAAGATCATGATCGAAGGTGGCGAAGTGTCTAAACTCCTGCCGCCATGGTTGCTCAGCACAATACCGTCGACACCAGCGTCAGCAGCCATTTTGGCATCCTCTGCGCTCATAATACCCTTGAGTACAATCTTGCCATCCCAGCAACGACGCAGCCACTGCATGTCGTCCCAGCTCAGACTGCTGTCGATATAACTGCCCATGATTCTGCCCAGACCACCACCTTTCTTGTCGTTGACGGCTTTCGCGCCTGAATTGGGCGCGTTCGTACTGGGATCTGCAGAAACTCTCTCGTCGGCCTCGCGCTTGCCTGGTACAGGCGCGTCGACTGTGACGAAGACGGCTGTGCAGCCAGCAGCACGCACTTTCTTGAGAAGCTCTTCTGACTGCTTGCGGTCCTTGTTTACGTAGAGTTGGAAGAAGAAAGGTTGGCCTTTTGGTACAGAGGAAACGACTTCGTCGATGGGATATGACGCATTGCTGGAAACCTGTACCTTGTAATCAGTACATTTTGCTTTCTTCTCGAATATCCTGTAATGTATAGATCAGACTTACGCAGTATGGCACGTTTTCCTTGCTCAGACCTCTCGCAATGCCCTTTTCACCGTCTGGATGCACCAACTTAACCAATGCGGCCGGGTGCACCATAAACGGCACGCCAACATCATGACCAAGGATAGTCGTTGTGGTATCGATCTTGCTGACGTTTCTAAGGATGCGAGGTCTGAACCAGATACGGCTGAAGAAGCTACGATTCCTTTCATACGTGTAGCAATCCGTTGCTGCCGAACTGTAGAAAGCCCATGTCTTTTTTGCCAAAGTGTTTTTTGCCACTTCCTCAAAGTCGTCGCAGTTGATGATTGCACTCAATGGTGGCTTTTCGTAGGATGAGAATGTCGAAGGTGGGGGCTTCTCGAAGGTGTCGCCTCTGTTGACGCCGCCCTTGACATTGGCGTTGGTTTTTGCAGACATGACGAGAATTCTTATATTATTGAAGTAACCAGAGATACAAAGATGTGTAGAGGCCGATGACTACGTATATATTCAAGTTACATATTTTTGGAGAGTTTGCCGATATCGTCGGGTATTGACCTTTCGCAGAGAAAGCCGACAGCCCCTCCTTGATGTTCTCGGGTGAATTCCTCCGAGAATATCAAGGTCATCGGTGCATACTTCCGAATTCGGGCTCGATGATGTGTGTATGTGGATTCATCGATCTGTGTGATGATTCTAGTATCAGGTCTATCTAAGGTCTATCTCTCACCAAGGCCAAACATCTTGATCGAGTTGTTCCATGCGGCTTCGCATACCTCCTCGACCGAAATGCCCTTGATGTTGGCAATAGCATAAGCCACATTGGGGATGGTACAGGGTTCATTTCTGCCCTTGACCATGTTTTCGGCCGTCCACTTCTCTTTCTTGACAGCCTTTGGCAACTGAGGTGCGTCCTTGAGGTACTTTGCTGAAGCATGCGACGGTCGCATCTCACACCAAGGACCATCAGTCTCGATCTGTAGTCGCTCCAGTGGAACTTCTTTGACCACCTCGACGTTCTCTTCTGTCTTCAGACTGCATCCGTTGATGCCGACGTCAAAGCCCATGTTTACGATGTTCTTCATCTCTTGCAGTGTTCCTGTGAAACTGTGTACGCATCCTCTTTTGGGCAGCTCATCGAGTCTCTCTTTGAGAATTGCCTCAAAGTCTTCTGCTGCTGCACGCGAGTGCAGGAACAAGGGCAGCTGTACCTCGACAGCGATGTCGAGTTGCTTGCGGAAATACTTGATCTGAGTGTCCTTGTCGGCGTAATGCAGTCGGTCGTAGTCGAGACCAAATTCGCCGTACGCTGCTGCAGTGCCAGCAGCTTTAGTCTTAAGAGCGAGATTGCGGAGAGCAGATAGTAACGCGTCGGGGCCTTGTTCGTACTTGTCAAACGTCATGGCGGAACACGGGTGAACTCCTACTGTAGCGTAACAGAGACCAGCTGTCAATGTGTAAGCATCTGTTCACTATCATTGTGGTATTGACGCACGGTATTGCTCAGCCAACTCAATGGCCTTCTGAGACTCTTCGAGGTCAGAGCCTGTGACCATGAGCTTCCTACAGCCAGCTCCCAGAGCGCGTTGGACGATTTGTGGTAGGTCATCGTCGTGTGCCTTCTTGCCGTGGTAGACGCCTCGGAAAATGGGATCACTCAGGTTGATGCCAATCTGCAAGCACTCAGCATTGGTCGGACAAAGTCGAATGCTTGCGCCTGCGAACCAACATCGGCAAATTTCAGAGATGGTGTGCTCTTGTCTTCGGGCTGTACGGGCACGGCGCTGAGGCCTGCTGTGAGCGGATCGTTTCCTGCTGTCGTCGACATGGCGGCCAGTTTGTATTTGTGGAGCCTTGGAATAGCACGAGCTCTGCCTAGGATTACGGGTATTCTCGTCGTTCTCAAGCACTGCATGCGAACGAGTTGTCTTGTTGGTCGAGAAATCGTCTTGGAACAAAAAATGTCAATAGGCGACAAGTGATGACGTCGGCTAAACTCACCGTTTATCACTCTTCGGAGGGTTTAACTATTCTCGAACATCACAATTAACATAAATTTAGACAGGTAGGTTAGAATATAAGTCAAGTACAAATTCCATACCAAGGCTCGGTAATAGCTTTATCATTCTTGATCATCGAGGCCAGTGCATATATGATTTCTATGTATGCGACGTGAAGTCGAATTACAACTTCGTGTCCACATGGCCGAGACGCGCCAACGTGCAACTCCTCCTCGAGTCCATTCCAGATAAATACGATTTCCTGATATGTTGTGAAGTTGATATCCGCGGCCTCTCTGGAACGAGATAAGAATCAGAACACCTATAGCACGATATTCTGTGCAGGAGGTCATCGCATTGCAGCTTCCCCTATCTCCGAACCTTGCAAATATCAACATAGAAATGCCACCAGTTCGGAAGCAACAAGCGGAGTCAGTTTGGTCAGGAGCCAATGTTCTGTACCTCTTGATTGCTTTCCGCGTCTGCAATGCTCTTCTCATCCGCACCTTCTTTCAACCAGACGAATACTTTCAATCTCTGGAGCCAGCTTGGGACATAGCTTTTGGCCCATCTAGTGGCGCGTGGATAACTTGGGTAAGATCCAATTAGATATAAACACTGCGAAGATAACTGATCAAGTCATCTAGGAATGGCGACAGCGACTCAGGTCTTCGCTACATCCTTTTCTCTTTGCAGCAGTCTATCGCGTGACAGCATTGATTGCTGATGCTCTACATCTGGAGGCAGTGACTCGAGCGGAACTGTTACTAGCGGCTCCAAAACTTCTTCAAGCGGGTTTTGCAGCTACTACCGACTACTTCAGTTGGAAGCTGGCGACAAAGGCGTATGGTAAAGATTCGAGGGCTTCTTCTGCTGCGGTATGTCTTGCTTGTTCTTGTAGAATGATCGAGGACTGAACAGCTGTTGCTTAGCTCTTCTTGACTGTCTTCAGTCCATGGCAATGGTTTTGCTCGACAAGGACGCTTTCTAACTCTCTGGAGACTACGCTGACTACCATTGCTCTATGGCTTTGGCCACTGCGTAATGACCCCAAGCAACCTGGTTCCAATGCTACGAGGTATGTATTCGAGTACCATTTGAGACGTGATGGCTAATGCAAATCTAGTCTCCGGATGGCTCTGGCATTGGCTGCTGTTGCTACAGTACTAAGACCAACTAATGCGATCATCTGGATTGTCATGGTTGTATATACAGCAGCACCAGGCAAGGACATCAATACGACAAGAGCCCTGTGGACTTTGGCTGTAGAATTCCGCGAGGCGGTGATCTCAGGGTTCGTCTACCTGAATATCTTCGATGTAACGTACTAACAAAAGCCCACAGTGTCTCGATAGTCGCTACCTCGCTCGTCGCGGATCGTCTATACTATGGCGACTGGACTTTTCCGCCACTTCGCTTCATCCATTTCAATGTCGTGCAATCTCTTGCTGTCTTCTATGGCAGAAACAGACCCGACTACTACTTGACCGAGGGACTTCCCTTGCTCCTGACCACGACACTACCATTTGCCATATGGGGCTGCTGGTCTGCTTTCTCAAACAAAGGATACAGTTCTGATTGCCAGAAAGTCACTCGACCTTTGGCGATTTCCGTGTTCGTTTTCGTCACGATCATGAGCTTGATCGGCCACAAGGAAGTCAGATTTATCTACCCACTCCTACCAGGACTACTGGTGCTGGCATCAGGCCCTCTTTCGCAGTTCTTCTCGCCGCTGCTGTTACCCAGACGTGCAATGAAGAAGATTCTCTTGCTCATCTTCGTTGCTATCAACGTGACCCTGGCCTTGTACATCAGCCAGGTCCACCAGCGAGGTGTCATCGACGTAGTGCATCATCTCCGGCACGAACACGAGCTCAAACAGTCCTCAAATACTACAGTCATGTTCATGATGCCCTGTCACAGTACACCTTGGAGAAGCCACCTGGTTTACCCTAGCATCGATGCACGAGCACTGACATGCGAACCACCGCTTGATATTCCGATAGAGGCAAGATCTTCTTATCTTGATGAAGCCGACCAATTCTACGAAGATCCAATCATTTGGATGCGTAAGCACATGGAAGATCTGGACTCTCTCAGTAAGAGACAGTCGACCACCGCAATCGACATCCATCAGGACAAGGCACAGTGGCCAGAGTATCTGGTCTTCTTTGAGCAACTAGAGCCTATTATGATGGAGTACCTGGCCAAGACGGAATACAGACAATGCTGGCGAGGCTTTAACACGCACTGGCACGATGACTGGAGACGCCAGGGGGACGTAATGGTGTGGCGTCTGGGTGAATGTGTATAGAGAAAAGCAACATATAGACCTCTCACAGAAAACAAAAGTTGACAGGATACGATGGGAAAATGCTTTTAATTATTCATGTCGTCTTGAGTTAGGACATTAACCTTACGAGAGATTAATGTCGTCTACGCGATAATGGTCCGCGACGATCCTGTAAAGATAGCTGGGTGCGTGACCTCCACTGCAAAGTAGTCAGTATTCAAGATTCGCTCGTAAGAACAAGACGAAGTGCACTTACAGGTTGGTGATATACAAATCCACAAGGTCGGCACCAACGTAGTCGTAGATGGGGTTGTTGACATCAACATTCTCAACCAGGTCGCCTTGCTGGAAATCAATGACCTTGCCCGGGTCACCGTACTCAACAAGCTCCTCCATGTCAAAGGGATACACAGGACTGAGCTTGTACACACCGCTAACCACGACAACAGGGGTTTGATGCACCTTTGCTGCTTGCGCAATGGTAAGAGCACCGGTAGCTGCGATCAAGCCACCATTAGCAAGAACAGTATGCGGGGCGAGGATGACCTTGTTGACGCGCGACATGAGGGCAAAGACAGCCGAGTCTGGGATCATGATGACTTGGATGCCCATAGAGATGAGCGGCTTCCATCGCTCGTCTACCTCCTCATCGTCATCGTTGCCCTTCTTGCCACCAGTCAAGACAGTAGCGTGTGTATCGACGTGATCATTGGGATAAGCCTCAGCGTGGATAACAGTAAACTTTCGCTTGCGAGCTGCAGCGATGAGGAACTTTTGGACGGTCTGCGAGGAAGTGTGTGTGAGGATAATCTCATTGGCGTGGATGTGCTCGAGGGCGGATGCGGCGATTTGGTCGTCGACGATTTCCAGTTCATCGACGAGCTCCTTAATTCCATCGATGACTTCAGCCTTGACGTCCATTTTGGCTTGCGATGTCTCGGTGATGCTTCCTGAGCGGAGACCCGTCTTTGAAACGGGTGACTGAGCGCCTGCCGGAGGAGTTGCTAACGGAGAAGGCTCATCTGGATGTGAAAGAAGACCAAATAGCGAAGTAACCTGGGGGCCCGTAGCGTAAGATGTGTGCGAAGTAAGAAGCGGAGGTCTGTGAGCCCCTGTAGCATCCTGGAAATCGGCCAAAGCAGGGCTTCCTTGCCTCAAATCCACATTGGTAGGACCAGCAGCACTGTGATGTAGAGGGCTAAAGTCCGAGATGTGAGAGTTCATAACTGGTCGATGCAGTGAGTTGTTGTGAGTTTGCTGGGGTTCATCGCTGTGATCGGCCTCGCTGAAAGCAGCAGCATCCAGACCAGTTTCCTCGACTTCTCTGATCAGACCAAGGACACGGCGCACAATGTTACCGACTGCCATCTCGCGAGGCTGGGCAGCAATCAAGCGCTGACCAACTTTGCGCACACGCTCAATCAAAGAGGCAGCATCTCTGGTCCTTGAAGCAGCAACAATACGGAGCAGTAGTTGAGTAGTTGCAATAGCACATGGCCTGGAATTTCTGATCTGACGTCTCTTCAAAAGCCTTTTCTATCATCAATGAAATGTCTTTGATTGATATCAGTGACGGAAAACCTACGAGACGAAATGTTCGATCGAAGTCTCAACATCGGCATGTTTGAGTGACTTCAGAAAAGAGGACAAGCCAGGAGTAGCGGCCACGGCGGTTGCCATGTTGGTTGTTCACCAGGTCGTCGTCGCAAGAGAATTTGCTTGATTGAGATTGAGTCGATGACTCAGATGTTCGAAAAATCTCTCGGGCTCAAATTGACAGGCGATACACTTGATATGTGAGTTGGTGCAGATGTGTTTTGTCGTAGTGACGGGCGAACGTCCCAAGGCTTTCCAAAGTTTGATATCCAGTCTGAATCATAAAAAGCGTCGAGTGGGAGATGGCAGAGAGTGCCAAGAGGTGTAATTGGAGACGCTCGGACCATTGCGCGAGGAAACGCGTCAGAACGCGGACGTCTAGTGGGGATGGGTGTTAAGAATTGTTTGGAGGGGTAAGAGGACGTGGTATACATGCATTACATGCATTGGACATGGCGTTACCGCTGAAGCCAGGCCTGACGCCGGCCGAGGTGGCCTTTCTGTGTGAGATGGAGATGGTCACAGTCATACCACGCCAGCGCCTCGACTCACTCGAACTGCTTGGGGTAAAGAGTCGTCTGCCACAAGACGTCAGACACATCAACTAACTCCTACGACAGGGCCCTACCAAAGCCCTGACACCTCCGTTTCCCACGCCACTGCCTCTATGGCTTGCCTTGCTACTCAAACGTCAGCGCCGTGCAAACATTCTGCCTCCCCCCTGGCTCAACCCTGAAGCTCTTTCCGCAATCCTCGACATTGAGGTCGACAATGAAGACCTCTTCTCTCCACCACCTCCTCTTCCTGCAGCCAAAACTATGCCATCAGACCAATATCTCGATCAATCCAGTCTGGAAGTCTCGGCTCCTTTCTTACCATCAAGCACCTCAAACGCCGCACCAGACGCTTTACCTTACCACTGGCTGGAACTGAGCCACATGCTCTTGGCACATGCATCCGACGACTTTGAGGAAGCCGATACTGTCAGAGGTTTACTGCGCGACCTCAAGGAGGTGCGTATGGCCAAGCTCAGGAAAGGTATAAGGGTTCTGGATGCTGGCGCTGGCGTGCAAATGAACGGTGTGGGTGCTCTCGAAATCGCAGAATCAAGGTCCTTCTTTGCCGGTGTTGTTGACGGCCTGAGGTATCCAATCTTCTACAACAGTCACTCTGCAAGCCTGCTAACATATATGTCAGAAGAATTGGTGCTTCGAGAGAACAGACGCGGAAGGAGAGAGACGCAGAAGATGCCGAGAATGGCTACGCTGCGAGCTCAATCGATGACCAAGACGATGACATGTTATGATAAGATACCACATATTGCACTTTTCTCCTTTTTCCTCTCGCTTTGTCTTTCATTGTTCGTAATTCTGGCTCTTTTCGAGCTTGCATATTGTCCGGTCTATGGTTGCTCTATCTGTTCGCCGAAATCATGTCAGAGTATCAGCGACAAGAAAGCCGCTTCTCTTTTTGTTATGCCTCATCCACTGCAACCTATGGCTCCAGCCGCCAGGCGCATAACTATACCATCATGATGGAAGATCCTCTCTCATCCAACGCCGTCGTTGTAAACATGAAATTGCTAATCGCAGGTCCAGCCCTCAATTCAAAAACTCCTCTATCGACGCCATCGCTTGCAAAGGAAATAGATAATATCAAAGCTTCTCGTTTCGAGAAATCAAATCTAATGTCACAACAAAGCTTACTCGCTCTCGTCATGACTGCGTATCTTCTTCATAGTATTGTTGCTGCCACTTCTCGACGATTTCTTGGAGAAGGCTGAAGATCCAGTGCCTCGTCGTGGATGCCGTGAACTGTATGATGTGCTGCTGACCCCAAGCCCTCGACCGCCGCTGGGCGTCAGCGGGGCAGATCGTCGCCGAACCATTTGCAGGCCACCGTCGTCATCAGACGAGTCTTCATACTCGGACTCATCGCTTTCGATGGCATTGTCACCCGAGTATCCGTCATCTTCGAGTACAGGAGCACAAGGCGTGAAAGACTCCTCGTTGAAGCCAAGAGGCTCACCTTGCTCGTCTGGCGCCTTCTCTTGTGGAACCTCCGAGTCGATGGTTGTTAGAGAAGGAATTGAAGGGTTCGAACATGACATTGGTGTGTTCGGGGGAAAGCGATCTTCTGAAGAGCTCGGCGTCATGAGTGGTTGTGTGTTTGACACATAGCTCGTCGGACTGGTAGGATGTGACTCGTGCATATATGCAGTGCGTCGGCGCGCATCAGATCTAGAGCCGCCGATTACCAACTCATCATCATCATCATCATCATCGTCGTCGTCGTGGTCAACATCATCTCCACCGTCGTTGTCCCTAATGTAACCAACGTCTAGCTCATCATCGGGACTAGGCGGACAAGTCTCGGGGATCACAATTGTGGCTTGATGAGGGTATGTACTCGTTTCGTCTCTGGATTCTTGCGTACGCCGTCGAAGCCATTCGTCTTCAGCTCTGCGGAAATCGCCTTCTGTTGATTCATTGGGAAGTCGATCTGGATCGCTAGGATCCCATGTCGAATCGAGCTCCAGACGCCGCCGTGCCTCGAAAGATGATGTAGATACTTGTCGAGAAAGTGTTGTGCTTGGACGAATCGCCGTGTCTCGACGTTCTGGAGCCGCTCTTGAATGTGACCTTGAGACGATGGGACTTGAAGAACTGCTCACAATGTTTTTGAGCACGTCCGGGAGATCCAAGTGCCCCGACGCCTGCGTAGTACTGACAGCGACGCTTGGGTCAGCGTGAGCATCACTTGATTCGGATGGTGCTCTGCTGACTGATCTCTCTAGTCCATCTGTGCTCCGTCCTGCAGTACTACGATCTCTGACGCTCTTCAATATGCGTCGACCGGCACCACTTAGAAGACCACCAATGTTAGTGACGGTAGTGTCGAAGGACGAAGCACCTAGTCCAGGAGACGCAGGTGGTGATTCGGGGGTGATCTGCGGGTGAAGTGTGTCAGAAGGCTTAATGGTTCGCACAGAGGTGGTCGTGGACATGATAGATCGAGATCTATCGCCTTGACTAGGATAATCAGTCGCCCCAGTTGGTGTGCTGAGACTGGAAAAGTAAGCATCACGATCATGGCCCTGCTCCGGACTGACGGTGACGCTCTGCGCCAGAGGATGTTCGGTCTCACGAGAAGCTTTCAGGGCAGAGAATATAGTCTCGTCCCCTCGTAAGCTATTCCTTCGACCCTCTTGGCTGATTGCACTGCTTGAGGAGCTTGCCGATAGAGGGTTAGCGCCCGACACGGAGGGTGTTCTCGTCCGAGTTGAACTTGCACGACCTAGACCACTCATCAGACCTCCTATAGTCTTCTTCACACCTGATCGAATCCTTTCAACCAGCTTAACAGGAACAACAGCGTCCTGTAGTTCTTCCTTGGAAACCTGGATCTTCTTGCCATGTGCCTGCCTAGAAGGATCGGTCTCATCGAGCCAAAGAGCCTTGTTCGAGATGTCCTGTATTACCCATGGGTGGTGTCGAACTTCTTCCAGGGTAATGCGCTTCGTAGGATCTTTCTGCAGTAATCTACGGAACAAATCGAGAAGTAGGTCATCCAGTTCTTCATATGCCAGCTCGTATTCCGATCTTTTTCCTGAGGCGGCAGGTGGGAAGTAGCGACCGTGAGAAGAAGGGCGAGACTTGGGTCGTGGGTCAACGGGTCGCAAGCGCCTTTTGGGTACGTAGATTTCCTCGTCAGCAATGCGCCGCATGACAACATACTCGTTGTCGACGAATGGCGTGCGGCCAAAGAGCATACAAAACAGAGTGATGCCGAGGGCCCATACATCGATAGCAGGTCCCACTGGAGGGGTTTCGCCACCCCCATCAGTGTAGCACAGCTCGGGAGCGTAGAAAGCAGCCGTACCCACCGTCTTCGCCAGCTCTTTAGCCTCGTCAAAGTCCTGCATATCAGATTCTGAAAGATTCTCAGGGACTTGGTCATCGTTGATTGGACGGCCGAGATACGAAACGCCGAAATCCGAGATCTTTGTCCGGTGGTCAGCTGTCTGCAAGAGGTTGGGAGGCTTGATGTCTCTGTGGATGATGCCTTGGTAATGAAGATACTGTAAGCCCAAGACAGTGTCCCTGAATGCCACTCGAGCGGCGTTCACGGACATGCAAGGGACATATTGCAGATCGGGGTGAAGGTCGGCATCCAGATTCTGTGCTCCTGCAGCATCCCAAAACTTGCGTTCCTCCGGATGACGGAGGTCCTGAGCACCAAAAGAACGCACGCTACTGGCCAAGCTCGGCGCACGTGTTTCTTCATCTTCGTTAGTCTCTTCTTCTTCATAAGAACCATACATAGTTCCTTCTAGGAGTTTGGCGGGACTGGTTTCTTGCCAGAGTGCTTGCGAGTTGACGGGGTTGACGGGGTTGACGGGCGTACCGGGATCAGCTGCTGCTTCACTATCCCCAATAGAGTACTGTGCTAGTACAGCCGAGAGTTGACGACTGTCAACTCCAACTTGATCCACGCTTTTCTCGGTCGTCGATGTTGAGATCCGTGACGCATGATCTGCATCTGAATCATCTTCATCGGTGTCACCACCGAACTCGAAACTCCATACTCCTGGTCCCGTGCTTCCAGTCATTCTTTGTCGACGCAGCTTTCTCAAAGTTTTTCTCTGCTGTTTGAGGCGCCGCGTTTTGGCCTCGTCAAGGATGGCACGATCCTCAGCCTCAGCTTCCTCGTCATCGAGAACGCCACGCGACTCCCTGATATAGCGACGGCACTCGACCAAAGCAATCTCTTTGGGGGCGCTCGCACGCCATACAATCTCGCCAAGGTCGACACGTTCCAAAACAATATACACCTTCTTGCGAGCGGGATCGTCGATGACCTCCAGTAGGGCGACGATGTTTGGATGACGAGCCTTCTTCAGAATGGCAACTTCCTTCTTGACTTTGTCTTCGGCGTTGCCTAGTTTGCCGAGTCGACGCTTCTTGGAGTAGCGCTCCACAATCTTGATCGCAACATATTCGTTTGTGGCAAGATTGCGACCAAGCTTAACTTTGCCGTGTGTACCTCTGCCGAGTTCGTCAATGATTTCATAGTTGTTGATAAGTTTCCTTCCAGATATCGGGTCAATATCAACATCAGCAATGTGGGTCTCTTTGGGTGCTTGGCGATGGGTGAAGTGAAGAAACGGACTCGCATAGAAGCCGTGTTCATCAGGACCCAGATCTGACTGCTCTGGAGGCACACTAGGTGTGAACAAGCCAGGTGTAACGGCTGGAGTGTTGTCGGCAGTTCTAGCGCCGGTTTTGTGCAAGGCATTTATCGCTTGACGAAAGTCTCCAGGCTGGGCAGGATGATGAGTCTTGGTACGTAAAGTCGGGGGTAGATGCGGTGGTGGGTATCGCTGTGTTTGCAGAGCAGAGAAAGCTTGGTTAGGGTATTTGGGTCGAGTATAGAGAGGGGATGTTGCCGTGCTGGATGACTCGTGGCCCGAGTCGGAAGCCTTGACCGTGACGGTGCTCAAGTTACTCTCAACGCTAGCAACCGAGGCATTAGAGAGATCTCTCTGGACAGCAGGCCTGTTGGGAGTATCTGGATAGGTGGTCGTGCGGCGGAGAGTAGGTGGGGCGGCAGCATCTGCGGGAGATAGAAGCGAGTTTCGCTTCGAAGTGGGCTTCAGAGCGAAGTAGTCGTCTTCAGCGACGCGCTGAGGATCTTCACGAGCGGGCGTCGGAGTGACTGCGAGCGAGGGCAGAAGTTCAGATCGGGGGGTATTGTCCGAGTCATCCTGATTGTTCGGGCTCGGGGTGTTCTGGTCCATGACCTTGTATCGCACGCGCTTAGCCAGCGACTGGATGTCTACAGCCGACGTGGCAGACGGTGTGCGACGAGCAAGCCAATATTGCGCGCGTGCTGGGCCAAAGTTGTCTGATGAGTCGCCAAAGACAGGAAATGCTACGACTGGCGAGGGCGGATCATGTCGAAGTCAGTCGTGAGAGCCAGGAAGGTGCTCGAGCGAGCTTTTGCTGCGGAGAAGCATATAGCGACAGGATGCTCGCGCGGACTGGTCGATGGGACAGAAGCTCTCAAGTGATCGCGTGCGTGCGGGATCAGGCCATGGTAACAAAAGTTCGCAGAATTCAAGAAGGCATGCGGGAGGGCAGTTGGTGGTGGGCGCGCCTGCCCAAAATGACGATTGAAGTGGTCCGAACGCCCGTCGCTTTTGGCCGTTGAGCTCCGGCCTCCTCTAACACCAGCCCAATGATCCAATCGTCAACTCACCTTCGACAAGCCTCAGAGAGTCCATGCGCCCCAATCTGATCACCGTTTCACCCCAAGCATCTTCTCTGGCGTTCCTTATCACTCTTGGGAACCTTTCGGGAACAGCTATCTTGTCCTCGTCTCAGACATTGTTCCTTCCTCTCGATCCTCAACCCTGTTTTGCACACAACTATCGCTCTCTGCTTGCCCTTGCCAAGCAAGCACGCGGTTGCTCTTTCCGAATCTGCAGGGTTCGTCCTTCGTATTGCTCTTTCAAGTACACAATCTCGCATTGCATTTGGCGCTCGGTACCGTCTCCAAGGTACCGTTGAATTCAGGCCATGTGTTGCTTCAAGTCTGCCATCTAATCCTCGGCCCAATTTCGCGCTAGGTCTGTCATGCTGTTCTCTTCAGAGGGGAGGTTTGGGCAGATGTCAATTCCGGTGTTTGGCTTTGACGGCAGCCCAACATCCACACGACCTCTTGCGTTCATTGGCTTCCCGCTTGTGGCTGTGGACGAGGGCCGACCCTAAACGCGGATCAGTGCAACAACGTCGTAAGGTACCGCTGCTGCATGTGCAGGCTGCGGTTGAACTTTTGGTTGGCCTTTTCTCTTCTCTCTCTTTCTCTCCCATCTGTCGATCATTGCTGACCCTACGTCTTCATCGCGAGACCTCACCCCTGGCGAGCGGTAGAACTTCCGCAAGAAACCATGTCGTTGGGAAATTGCTGTTGTATGGCTTGCAGAAAGCCTTGATGCTCTGCTTGCTGACAGTAAATCTGTTGCCCTCAAGAGCATGTGTGGCTTTGAAGTCTACCCTGCCAAGTCAGTGTACCTTTGCATTCGATCATCATGCAATCTCGTGGGTGCGAATAGACTAGGTACTGTACGAGACGAGGACCTCTTTACATTAGCGAGGTTAGTTCCACCCATGACATAGACAAAAGTCGACCACTATACTGGTGACTTCCCACCTCTCACGACCTCGAAAGTAGCCCCGCTCTGTTCAGTCGCCCCAACTTGACGAGAGCAACGATCTGAGATGCCCCCCTCACTCTCTCCAGGCCGATCATCTCCGCACCATCAGAAGGGTGTGCACCCCAACATCCCTCATAGAAGAGCGCACGGACTCTATAACTATAATAGTAGTTTGGTGGCGGCTGGATATGCAGGAAATGCAATATATTAACCCACCCTCGATTCCCACACAGCGCGGGGTAGTTATCCACAACAGAACAAGTGCGGAGAAATATCTAGAACCTACCTCGCTTTGTGCTAGAGGCTCTCCTCAACGCGCGTGGTATGTACGCAGAGGACGCGATGTCAGGGCAGATTCATAGCTGCACTTTAGCTTGTTTGGTAAGAATTCATTTTTAGCCTACAATTTTTGTATGTCACTATAGAAGGGGGGCTGATCGTAAGATTTTGACAGTGCTCAGCACTCAAGGAGGCGGCGGGAACACTTTTTTCAATATCACGTAATTAGAAGTACACCACTGTTGTTTTTCGCAACAGTCTTCGAGCCGCATGTTGGCTTGATACTTAGCGGTACGGTCAGCTCAGTGCTCGGCCAACTCATCTCCTGTACTCAATGTGGCTGACGAATATGGCAGACCGGCAGACCGTAAAGGTCTTGAACGGTCTTTTCGAAAGATTCAATATCCAAGCTATCACATTCCTGGAGGTGGTGGCATCTGTTCAAAAGTCAGCCTAGTGTTTCTGAAACAGTGAGAAAGCGAGTCTTACAGAGTTGTAACCACTGGGTGGTGGCGGAGGAGGAGCCTCATTGTCTGCTGGTGGCGGAGGAGCCTCAGAGGGAGGTGGGGGAGGAGCTGCGCTGTTGTCGTAGGCAGATGTCTGTTCGGCGCCTGGGACACCGCCCTGTTGTTGCTGGTAATACTGCCAGTACATTCTTGTGTAGGCTTCATATCCTCCGTACGCAGCGTATGGGTCCTGTCCACCATTCTGTTGGTAGTACTGGGCATAGGCTTGAGCGTAGTCAGGTGTGGCAGCGGCGCCGGGACTCATTGCTGCAGCTCCGGTGTGAGCGGCTGTGGGCGAGGCAGCGCCTCCATAACCACCTCCATATCCTCCGCCATAGCCGCCATCTCGACCGCCGTCTCTGCCGCCTCCATATCCGCCTCCATAGCTGCTGTTGCGATCACGGTCGCCATAGCCACCACGGTGTCCACGGTCGCCATAATCGTCGCCGCCACCGCCTCCACCTCTGCCGCCACGAGGACCGCGCTCCTTGAACTGCTCGTATTGGGTACGAACATTGGCCAAGAGATCGAGACAGAGCTCTTTGGCACGCTGAACCTCGTTGGGGTCAGGGCCACTGTGACAAGTCAGTTTTCTGTATCGACTCAATTAGCGCACAAAGACTTACGCGACATGCAGATACATGGACTCATCACTCTCGTGTCCGGTATCGTGTTCCATGAAACCAGATCCACGGCCTTTGATTTGGACACGGCATCGAGTCTCCTGCTGAATGTGTTTGACATAGGAGCCGCCTTGGCCTACGACTTGGGCACGAAGGTTGAAACCAGGAATTGGCTCGAGATCCACAGGGATCTTCTCCTCTGGCCATTTGCGCTGTGCGTAGTATTAGAGACGAGCAGAGAGTGTTGGGCTCAGACAAATACTTACACGACCCATGGAATCTCTCTCGACCTGTTCTGGCTCTCTGCGACGGAAACGTCTCTCGTCTACGAGATTGGGTAGGTCCTGCTTCATTAGCTCTTCAATCTCAGCCACAGCCTTCTCGAGACCGTCTCTAGTGGTGCTGGTAACGTGAAGGTAAAGCGGAGGGTTCTAAGCCCGGTCAGCCAGACGAAGCAGATCTCATACAATCGAGAAAACTTACGGCAGCGGTTGCCATGGCCTTGTCAGGGTAGTAGCTTCCTCTAGTGGTAACATCTTTGGACAAATAAGCCTTGTGAACAAATCGTCAGTGAGTGGGAATGGTGCATACCGGCGCCAGTCTTTTCTTTAATCTAGATGTCACACACTCGAGGTCAGCATTTGCAAAACGGGGGTGCCGAGAGGCTGTTGGGCTAGAAGTGAGCAATCTGAAGTATCAAATGGTCTTAACCAGAACGAGCAGCCTTCGGAAAAGGGGAGAAGTGAGGGAACAGCTACAAGATCAGTGGGGCGCGACGGTGGAGATTTACCATTTTCTGAGTAGAGCCCTTGGTCAGGGTGTAGCGGTTGCGCAGATCGTTGACCTCGATGTCGCGAATGAAATCACCATCTTGGGTGTAAATGTCAGCGTTCAAGCCGCCAGCGGCAGGAGACTGGGTTCCAGCGGCGGAAGGGCTTTCGGTCTGCGCACGACGGGTCAGCGCAGGAACAGAGCAGATGTGTAAGATGGAGTTGTTTTGGCGTACAGAACGGATCGGGGGAACGTCGACATGCTGGATGCCCTTGCGAGCTTGGATCTGAGCATTGATTTTTGCGGCGGCGGCGGCAGCAGCAGCAGCAGGATCTCTTGAAGCAGGACTGTTCGTGCCAGAGACGGGACTGCGACTGCGTTGACGGGGCTCTGAGGTTCTGTTTCTGGGCGAGCGCGAACGACGGTCGAAGCGAGAAGGGCGCGCATCCGACTCGGTCTGGTCGAAGCGAGATCGTTTGCGAGGCTCGTCCGACATGGCGAAGAGGGAAGCACGGGATGGGGTTGCGACAAGGTAGGGATGTCTGGACGACGAGGCAGCGACAATGACGGCGTGAGTCTCTTTCCAGAATATAAAAACGACCTTACTTCACGCGCGTAACAAGAATTACTAGAATTAACTCCGAGTTTCTGGCTGCGCGCACGGTCCAGCTGCCTGTTCGAGCGGACGCCGAAGTCGCTAGACCAGCACGACGAGCTTCTCGATTTTATTGTCTGCGTAACACCATCTCACTTTCTTGACTCACACATTTGTATCACGCCTGTCAAGTCTGTCGTTTACACAATGGCGTCCAAACGCATCTGGACTGCCGTGTCGATCGACTCGCTGGCTCCCCGCTGCCGTGCTCCCACCCAGCGCTGCTTCTCCCAGTCAGCATCTCGCTCCTCGACCTCATCGACCTCTGCCATCGCATACAAGGCCCTGCACCGCCGCACATCGCCTCTGCCTCAAGCTCCTACTGCTGCCAACGTCTCGCCTGCCGCCGCCGTCTCTAGCATTCTCTACGAGACCCCGCTACCCTCCCAAGCTCCTCCCAAGCGTCATGTCCTCAACTGTCTTGTCCAGAACGAGCCTGGTGTGCTCTCGCGCGTTTCTGGTATTCTAGCCGCCCGCGGCTTCAACATCGACTCGCTGGTTGTCTGCAACACTGAAGTCCCTGACCTCTCGCGCATGACTATCGTGCTTCAAGGCCAGGACGGAGTCATTGAGCAGGCCCGTCGTCAGCTCGAGGATCTGGTGCCAGTCTGGGCCGTCCTCGACTACACGAGTGCACCTCTTGTTCAGCGTGAACTCCTTCTGGCCAAGGTCAGCATCCTCGGTCCCGAGTACTTTGAGGAGCTCCTTGCCCACCACAGAGAGATGACCGATGCTGAGGCCCAGGCCCAGGCTGCTGGTCTCACTCCCGAAGAACTCGAGAACAATGCTCGCGCTCATGAAGAAGCGCTCAGACGAGACTTCCACCCTAGCCGCCTCGCTGCTAGTGAAGCCCTGAGACACAAGCACAAGCATCTCGAGACCATCACCTATCTCACCCACCAATTCGGCGGCAAGGTCCTCGACATTTCAACTAACAACTGCATTGTCGAAGTCTCAGCCAAGCCTCACAGAATTGATTCGTTCATGAAGCTTATTGCACCTTTCGGTATTCTCGAAAGTGCCAGAACAGGTAAATCAATATCCTTCTTCAGACTTGACATTATGCTCACAACCAATCAGGTCTCATGGCTCTACCCAGATCGCCTCTTCATGGTCCCAGCGAGGAAATGGAGAAGGAAGCTGAAGACGTTGTCGATGCCAGCACCCTTCCCCCTGGATAGATGTACACATTTCTTACAGCTCGCGCAACCATCTTTGCTTTTGACCCATGTATGACTATACGAGATCTGCTTTCTATCAATCCTCCAGACTTGCCTTATTTACAGCCAGTTTCGTGTTCTACACAATTTTGCCCTTGTTCACAACAAAACTTTCCAATGCAGCTGTTCGCAGTCAGTATTGTGTCAATTACTCCAGAAGTGCTGTGACTTACAGATAGCGGCCCAGAGACGGTTCTCTGCTTCTTGGAAGACCAAGCTCTTGGGACTGTAGAAAACCTCATCGCTGACCTCCTCAGGGTGGCGGGGCAGGCAGTGCATGAATTGCCAGCCCTCTTTAGCACCTCCACGCTTGGCCAGCTCTGGCGTGATCTGGAAACCTTCGAAAGCCTTCAAACGAGCAATCTTTTCTGCTTCTTGGCCCATGGAGATCCAGGTATCCGTAACAAGGATGTCTGCGTCCTTAACGGCCTCCTCGGGTACAGTTGTCGCAACGAGCGAGCCAGCCTTGGGAGAAGTCTTTGCAGCATCTTGAATGACTTGACGCATAGAAGCAGGAATTTCATAGCCCTTGGGGGTAGCAACGGAAATGTCGACACCCAACTTCATAGCACCAATGGCCAGATCGAAAAGCACGTTATTTGCGTCACCAACCCATGCAATCTTCAAGCCTTCAAGGCCCAATCCTTGCACGTTGGCAGATTGAGAGGAAGGGAAGGCTTCGTGAATGGTCAAGAAGTCGGCAATAGTTTGCAAAGGGTGATACAAGTCACTCAGAGCATTGATAACGGGAACGGAAGAGTGCTTAGCCAAGTTGGCAACATCGTCGTGACCATTGACACGAGCGACAATGCAAGAAACCATGGACGAGATGACGACGGAAGTGTCGTACAAAGACTCATTGACACCAAGTTGAATGTCTTCCTTGCCCAGGAACATGGGATGACCGCCCATGAGTGCAACTGCGCCTTCAGTAGAAACACGGGTGCGGGTCGAACGCTTGCTGAAGGTCATGGCAACACATTTGCCAAATAGAGAACCCTGAAGTGATGCAGGAATCTGGCCAGATTTGACAGCGGCCTTGTGGGAAGCAGCATTGCGGACAAGAGTGCTCAGTTCAGCCGAAGTCAAGTCAGCGATGGACATAAGATGGCGAGGAGCAAAAGGAGAGGTTGCAGGTTGTGCTGGTGAAGTAGCATAGCCGCGGACAGAGGTTGTCAGAGGCTTGCGCAGGCTACAAGCCCGGTGGGCAGCTCGTAGAACAGTCATTGTTGTTTTGTGATAACGATTTGGAGATTTTGGTTTGGAGTCATCGCCGAACGCGGCCAACAAGAAGTTAGGGCGGCTAGATATCGATAAAGGAAGCTACGACCACCGTGGAGACGGCGGATCGGCGCCTCGGCTCGCCTGCTTTGACGTTTCGATGAACTCCACGAATCCGTCCCTCTCCACTTCGTCCGCCTCTTGACACACTCTCTCGCCTGCCTATTGTACACGAAGGCGATGTGCACCTAGCTAGATCGTCCTATACATCGGCGCATAGCGCTAATTCAACAATACTCAACCATCGAATCCACCGTTCTACTTAGCCATGCCAGACACAAACTCGCAACCGTCTTCCAGGCCACAATCGGCTCACTCAGTCCGTTCATCACGGTCGCAACAATTCACATCCCGCAATGCCAACGATGAGACCACTCCTTTGTTGGCCACAAACAACGATCAGAATGTCGAAGCACAAGACCAATCCGAATCTTCACCCGAATCAACATCTCAGTCGCGTTCGCCTGCCGTAACCCGCCTGCTACGCCTCTTTCAACCTCAATCTAAGAGCCAGCCAAGATGGTCCAGTCTGTTGGCTCTCTTGCTTCTTTGCATCATCGTCGTACTCATTATGGTGTTGGGCTTCCTAGCTCCATCAAAGGTTCAAGAATATGCTGTTGAAGCCGCCACATTCGAGCCTACAAGCTTGTCCATACACTCCTTCACTACTACAGGCGTCACTGCCAGAATACAGGGTGATTTCTCTATGCATGCTGAAAACGTCAAGGATAAGTCTGTTCGCCGCTTTGGTCGCTTTGGTACTTGGATTGCCAAAAAGGTTGAGACTGGCCAGTCATCTGTTCATGTCACCTTACCCGACTACAGGGACGCACTTTTGGGAACCGCCGAGATACCATCCATCATAGCTGATATTCGCAATGGTCACACCACTCATATCGACTTTTTGACTGAGTTGTCTCCCGGAAATACCAATGTCATAAGACGTCTTGCGAAAGACTTCATTGATGGAAAGTTGCACGAGCTGCGCGTATCTGCCGAGGCTTCGGTCCCTGTTAAGTCTGGCCTCATAAATCTCGGGAGACAGACCGTATCTCGGGCTATGGCTTTCGGAAACGATAAGATACCCTCCTTGCCAGAGTACAAGATTCACAAGCTCAACTTCCGTGAAATTGAACTCCCTGACCTCCAGCGTGCTATGGTAGCTGACGTCGCCGTTGAGCTCGACAATGATTATCCATTGGATTTCACGATTCCCCCTCTTGGTTTCGCCATTCTCGTCGATAACTGCCAGCCCTCACAACCTCTGATTCAGCTGGCAGATGCCACAACACCAAGCCTCTCTGTCAGACCGGAGGAGAATCTGAATGTCAGTGTCTCTGGCTTCGTAAGAAGACTGCCTCAGGTTTTTACCCAAGCTTGCCCCGGTTCACACGAATCACCCCTTGACAACCTGCTTGGCGGATATATACATGGAAACGACACTACAGTATATGTTAGAGGCTCGGACTCTCCATCTCTGGACACACCTCGATGGATCACTGACATCATGTCGGATATAACCGTGCCAGTCCCTTTCCCTGGACACACCTTCGGACATCTCATTAAGAACTTTACTATGGCCGATGTACACTTCGGATTGCCCGATCCTTTTGCGGACCCTGATACCCCAGAAGCAAATCCCAAGATCTCTGCCGTCATCAAGGCGCTGGTCGCTCTTCCGGAGGAAATGAACTTCAATATCAGTGTTGGCCGCGTCAGAGCAAATGCGGATGTGTTTTACCATGGCGACAAGCTGGGGTACCTGGATCTGAGTAAATGGCAAAAGGCAAACTCAACCCGAATCCCTTCGGCCAAGGACCAAGGACCCCTTCTGGCAGTACAATCAGCGATCGAAAAGGCTCCTTTGATGGTGACGGACGACGATGTTTTCACTGATGTTTTGAACGCACTGCTCTTTGGCGGCAAGGGAGTCGAGTTGGGCATCAAAGCGGATGTTGATGTCGAGATGGAAACAGCGCTCGGTCAATTGGCTGTCAGGAAAATTCCTGCCGAAGGCTCTGTGCCTGTCAAACGTTCGTGATCGATTCCTACATCGTTCGAGCAGTCAAGAGAGTCATATAGCTAATATGCGGCCCCTTGTAGCCATCAAACGAGGCGGTGTCGGCTCCTTCACACCGAAGATCGGCAATCTGCAAATTCTGGACACTAGCAAGACCTCTTTAACCCTCACCGCGTTGGTCAATTTCACAAATCCTACCGAATACAGCGCGACTGTTCCTTTCGTTGACATCAATATCCTGACCAACGATACGTTGCTTGGACATGCCACAGCCAAAGATGTACACGTCGTGCCCGGAAACAACACCAACATCCTCGTCACAGCAGTATGGGATCCCCGAACCTTGGGTGGCGAAGAAGGTCATCGGGTTGGTGTAGAGTTTTTGTCTCAATATATTTCTGGTTTGTGCATATGATTCTGAAGGCAATTACACCTGAGTCATCTAACATGTTACAGGCTTTAACACGACACTAAGTCTGCGCGCCCATGAGGGTACGATACCATCACAGCCATCTCTCGGTCGTGCGTTGTCCAAGTTTCAAGTTGACCTCCCAACTCCAAATCTGAGAGGTGGTGGTGGTCGAGGCGGTGGTGACAAGTCTGAGAAGCATTTCATCCAAGATGCGACGGTTGGTCTCGAATTGACGGCATCAGGCGAACACAGTTGACCAGAATTCAGATGCATCTTATCACACGTACCGCAGAATTTGTACTGCTCTCGCCGTTAAAGACGTCGACGCTTTATGTTACATATATAAACGCGACAGCTTTCTATCATGAGGACGCAGTCGGACATATTGTCTATGATTTGCCATTCGCTGTACCCCCAGGAGCATCAACATCACCGCGTTTGCCAGTCGACTTTGGGTCTATTGGTTACGATGTGGTCAAGGGAGCATTAGGCGGGTCGCTAAAAATGGCAGCGAAGGCGACAGTGGGGGTACGGTTAGGCAAGTGGGAAGAGCGAATATGGTACCAAGGAGAAGGCATAGGTGCCAAGATTAGATTGTAATTTCTTAGAGTAATAACAGTAGCTATCATTTAGATACGATATGCGATGACCAGAAGAGTGTTTCATGATCGACATGGTATCCCCAGATTTGACATGTGATGCGGGGAAGCGGGAGACTTCGTCCAGGGTGCTCAGACTTATCAATGCAACTTCATGTGAAGTTTGCGAACAGCGAATGGCTACAGGAAGATAGGCCAGAGAGTTGAACGAGTTTCTCGACGTATCATGGAGGTAGGTAGGCCGTGGACCAAGGCTGAGCCGTCTTCTGACATGGCTTTACAGTCGCAAGCAGGCAATCGCAAGCGCACGTCGCGCCGGTCGCACACCAACCTTGCCAACCTCAGACTGGCCCCTCTTTCACGAGACATGAGCCCTGAAGATGACCGCATCTCGTCTTCGCCATGGCCACACACATCCTACATTGAAGGCAAATCGGCACCCACGACACCGAGCATCCTCGGTCGCAGCTCGAGTAGACGACAGCTCGGCGGTGCCGGTTTGACTCGCAAGCTGTCTATTCATGATGCCGAGTATGATCCTGTTCTAGTGACATCCCACGGTGTCCCTCGGAGTGCTCTACGTCCAGACGCAGAAGACAACCTTTTGCCCAAGGCGAAGAGCGAGGCTGCCCTGAATCAGCGGCCCACTCGTGCCGGTCTACCCAAGCTACGCACGCCTCTACTCCATCCGCTCTCTGCCTCACTTGCCGTACAGCCACATGATAAACAAAATGACAATGACTGGTTTACTCGGGCAGGCTTAGCCACTACATCTATGCTGCGTGAATCTAAGGGACAATCATGGCTAGCCTCGCGACATTCGTCAACATCATTGCAGCTCGTGCAATCCTCCGACGACGAAGAAGACGCCTTGACTAGCAAGAGTGCTATCTCGTTACAACGCCTCCATTTTGCCGACGATGAGTTCAGTCCCGAGACACCGCGTGCAACTAGCCGGTGGGGAAGCAGATTTGGCAGTCGCGCTGCAAGTGCTCGCAACAGTCGTCGCGGCAGCAGAGTTGGCCTGGATTCACCCCAACTCCATCGTGATCCTTCCGACTACTTTGGAAGTGCTGCCGTGGTGCCCGAGATCTCTGTGAAACCCGACTTTGTCGACCCACGAGACAACTCTGATGATGAAGATCCCGAGCAAGAAGTTGCTAGACTGGCTAGAGAAGCTTCGTTTGGTTTCGGCCCGCTCATTGATCGTCTTGTAGGCTGGACATTGTTCGATGTCACAGAAGATAGAGAGGCTACCGATGTCGAGACTGAGACCGAAGACGAAACCCCTACCTTGCACGAGAGAGTCGTGCATATACCTGTGCGACCGTCTCCTCCAAGACCCAGACAAGCCGTTGCCGGAGCAGATCGGCAGGACGATCCTGAAGAAGGTGGTTGGAAAGATGCAGCATGGTTGCTTGGTGTTGCTTCGAAAGTCTTACTTTGAACAATTGGACACATCATGATTCTGATTCAATGACTGACGAAATGTACCAATCATGTCTTCTCTACTGTACCATTTCGCCTAAGTCGGTCTCTCCTGAACTTCCGCTCCTCCTTCGATCTCAACCCCTTCGATTCGACCTTCGAGGAACTCTCTTGCCATGTCGCCAAAAGGCATCCATTCGACCCCTTCATACTTGTTGATATATTCGATGATGCTGAGAGAGTCAGTACTCTTGCTTCTCAATCAATCTCAGGAGAACAAACCGTTCATGCATCTTGATGACCTGAGGCTTGCCACTGACTTGTGGATGAATCGACATGGGAAAGATGAAGCTGTCATAGGTCTCGTACGCGTAGTCAAATTGCTCGAGCCATAACCTCTCGACTTCGTGGGTACTGACAAAGCCGTGCTGCGGTTGGTTTCTGTCAATCTGCTTGCCACAACAATCAAAGATGAAGGAAGTTCGACTTACTGTGCCAGCTCTTCCCGGCATTGGCTGCAGTGGTGGCCCTTTGAGATTCATGTCAGTCTGGATGTCCTGCACCTTATCGATACTTGAGGACAACCAAGGCGACACTTACAGTCATCCAAATGCCAATTCGCAGGAATTTCGACGATTTTACTGGGTCGAATCTTGGTCATTGGCTTCATCCATGTCTCTGCCTCCTTTTTGTTATCGGTTTCAATCCATTCATGACTTGCGTCTGGCGCGAAATATGGTTGCAAATCGTGGTGCATGAATGAATGGTCATATATGACGCCGAACTCTTCCAGCAGAGGAACCAGTTCTTTGCTTGTAGCCCAGGCTGGCGCTGTATAGCCTTGGGGCTTTTTGCCGGTGAAATTGGTTATGACCTCGATGGACTTGGCGAGGACGTCTCTTTGCTGGGAGGCCGAGAGGTTGCAGATGTGTTCGTGAGTGTAGCCGTGTAGACCACTGTATTGTGGTCAGTCACTCCATCCGTAATGCCTTTTGCTTCCTCATTCTTGCTTAGTACGCACATTTCATGTCCTGCATCTTTGACTTTGGTCATTTGCTTTGGAAAGGACTCGATTGTGTGAGCCGGTGTACTGTGCGAGTCAGCCCAGGCCATTCCCTCAGTACAACTCTCAGACTTACAAGAATGTTGCTTTTATGTTGTGTTTGTCGAATAGCTTGAGCAGTCTGTCCACCCCAACGGTTGCTCCGAATATGCCTCGAGAGACATTGGTGCTGTTTTGGGCACTGCCGTCTTGAGTGTTTATCCTGATCCCTTGTGAGCAAATGCTGAAACTATAAGGGAAAGAGCGAAGTGATCACCTACCAGCCTGACACGGCATCCACATCGACTGGTATATGTTTAGTACTTCGTTGGACTTCAAGTGACAATACGCCCACCACTCACCACCATAACCGACCAACACTCGTTTCTTGCCCATTATAAGCTTGTGGGTTAGATATGAGACCAGTTTGTTTAAGGTTTACTGGGAACGATTATACGGAAATACACTTTGCTGTAGTACTAGTAACAAGAATTCTTGAGAGCTAGATTCATTCATACACTCAAAGCTATCAGTCGTTGCAATGATAATGAGATGAGGGGTTGATAGGCTGCGAGGGACTATCGAGGCTACAAGACTTCCCAATTGGGTAGGCGGCCAACCGTGCCCCGCCCTATCCTTGCCCGAGGCCTTACACTTCCATCTAACAGAACAAGACAGCATATCTATTCCTTGTACTCAAACCTTTTCGAAACCAAGACCGAAGAAACTCACAATGCTAGAAATTACGTGCAAAGGTTCGCCCTACGAGGTCAGTTTCCATATCCCAATACCCTCTCATAGATACCACGATAGCTAAAGCACAAGATATACAGATAGGCTACCAACACGGCACCCAAGCGTCCTCTCAAATCAGCGGCAGCATATCTTTTTACAGCAACCTCTTCCAACAAACCGCAAAACTCTCATGGCCTCAAGTGCAACAAACAGCTCTAGAATTCGAAGAAGTAATACAGCAAAACTGGCCACAATATCTAGAAGAAATGAAAGGAATAGCAGAAGGAGCTCAAAAGACTCTTGCTGATATCATTGCCTTGAATGTACGCACAGAGATCAACTTTGGATTGTTTAGTGATGGGTGTACTGCGTTATCTTGGTTGCATGATGAGTCTAGTATTTTGGCGCAGAATTGGGATGTAAGGAAACAATCACCCTCTTTTGATCATCCAACTTTCGAGAATCGCAAAACTGATAAGGAAACAGTGGATGACCGAACAGAAACAAAATCTTGTTCTCATGACTATTCACCAGCCAAACAAACCCACCATAAAAATGGTCACAGAAGCAGGTCTCATCGGTAAAATCGGTTTGAACTCTGCAGGTGTGGGTGTATGTCTCAATGCCATCAGAGCAAAAGGCATGGATAAGACGCGAATGCCATGTCATCTTGGCCTGCGTGCAGTGCTAGAGAGCAACTCCTGCAAAGAAGCACTTGACACTCTCGAGAAATATGGTATAGCGTCTTCATGCCATATGTTGGTGGCAGACTCGAACGGTAGTATGGGACTGGAGTGGAGTTACAAGGATCTGCAAGTCCTGAAGGAGAATGAGAAGAAACAGGTCTTCCACTCGAACCACTATCTTGTACCGCATCCGGGGGTATACGACACAGTGTGGCTGGAGGACAGCAAGTTCAGAATCAAAAGAATCCAGGAGATATGTGATGAGCTGGGTCGCTCGCCGACACTGGAAGAGGTGCAAGGGCTGTTCAAGGATGAGAAAAACTACCCATTTGCCATATGTCGGGCCCAAGAGCAAGGCAACCATTCTGGAACTCTGTTCAACATCGTCATGGACTTGAAGGCGAGAAAGGCTTCGGTGATACTCGGAAGGCCAGTCACACCGGAAGGGATTTATGAGATAAGCTTTTGATATGTAGAGCTACTTACAGAAGATGCATCAACAAGATAAACATACAGAGCAATGAACAACATCGATCATCTGTACGAAGCTAGTTGAAAGCCAGGAGACAGAACAAGGGATAGGAAGAACGTGGACACATAGCCATAGTGCAAACATGAAATGGGCACTCAGTTGCACTCGTCATCCAACCACTTGGCCCACATTCTTGTGTACTCTTTGTGCTTTTTGACATCATCCATGGCTTCCTGGTCAAGTTCCTTGTGAGCCATGTCGGTTTCCTTCTTGATTGCTTTGCGAAGATTCTCGACCTCAGGGTTTGTGCGAGACGGCGCGCTAAAGCGATTATCCAGGGCTTCGAGACCGAATTGAGCTGGGAACTTTGGGTCATGAAGGATTTTGGCACCAGTTGCTGCAACCTTTTGGCGAACGTCCTCCCATTTCTCCCAGAGAGATTCAAGCTCATCTTTCTGCTTATGGAGCAGCCGTTCGAATGTTTTCACAGTTTCACCGATGGTGGTTGTTCTTTCGCGGGTAATGTTTCCATCATCATCCTTGACTTGTACCCTGAAAGCCTGATTGGCGAACGGAGTGCACATGCCTTGGGCGGCTTTGATAGACTGGGCGATCCGAGTACTCAATGCATCGGGTCCGAGAGTGGTTTGATCAAGCTTTTGAACGAGGTCCTTGTAGGCAGAAGCGATCATCTGATCAGCATCATCGACTACATGGCTCCTGTAGCTATTGAGAACCTCTGAGAATATATCAGCATGCAGCGACGGATAGGACGTGAGTGTTGGACCGCTATACATACCATTTGATTCGTCGGCGAGGGTGTAACTTTTTCTTGGTGGTGGAGACGAAGAGAGTTCGCGACGAAGACGGCTCTTGGCTAGACCACTCTTCTTGTTTTTGGGCGATGATTTTGCGCGCTTGTGAATTCGATTGGATTTGTCCTTGAAGATGGCATTGGTTGTAACGTATTTCTTTTCCTTCTTGCTCTTGTCCGCTTCCGAGCGGCGATCGTGCTTTTTGTGGGTAGTAGAAGTGTGACTGCGACGATTCGTAGAAGCAGCCATGATTGCAATTGTTTAGAAGGTTGTGATGTGCAGAGAGACAACCGATGCAGATTGGACGTAGGTCAGGCAAAAGTCACATGTGGAAGTCGCTCCTTCCCTTTCGAAACTACAATCAGTCACACGGTCCAACGCAGATGCAATGTCCAGGGTAGGGGCAATTTGCAGATTAGTGTACATTGATGATACAGACCCTCAAAAAAGTTGACTTGTTTACATTTCCTCAAGCACTCTACTCTGCTGGGACCAAAACGTCCTTCTCCTCGAGCAGCTTAGCCAACGAGCCATCCTGGTGCATCGACATGAGAATATCGGTTCCACCAATGAACTCCTTGTCAACGTAGAGCTGAGGAATGGTGGGCCACTCTGAGTACTCCTTGATTCCTGTATTTTCATATCAGCATATGCCTGGCGCCTGGCTCAAAAAGAGAGACCGACCTGATCTAAGCTCCTCATCCTCAAGAACGTTGAAAGCAGTGAACTTGGCCGGGTTGACGCCCTGAAGGCCGAGGATCTGGATGCTTGCTCTTGAGAAACCGCACTGGGGCATCTCGGGGGTACCCTTCATGAACAGGACAACGGGGGCCGACTCAACAGCCTTGTCGATGGCCTGTCTGGTCTCTTGCGACAGCAGGCGAGTTTGGAGGGAAGCGAAGCGAGAGGAAAGCAGAGGGTTGTGGCGAGGGCGGAAAGCGGTGCGGAAGACCTGTGGGATCGCGCGTGAGTATGTGATCCAAGATTGCGAGCGGGCGACATACCGCTGATGCTGCTGATCTGGCTGCCATTGTTTCTCGTGGTTGATGTGAGATGAATGTTCAGTGAGATCAACTTCTTTGCGATAGACCTCACTTTGACGTCTTGCCCGCGCCCGCCAATGACGCTGAACCATTTCAAAGCAGCATGACTCGTGAAACATTTCCGATCGACAACCATCAGCTTTGAAACACTCTCCTCTTCTCCGTACTGTTGCAACATCAACATGTCAAAAACACAAACCTTACGTGCATCTGACTACCAAAACGATGGCCGTCCGCACGTCTTACTAGCATGCACAGGATCAGTCGCAACTATCAAGATACCTCTAATCATTGAAGCTCTTTCGCATCATGATATTTCCATGCGCCTAATACTATCCTCTTCAGCCAGCCAATTTCTCCAAGGACAATCTGCTGAACAGCCTTCTGTATCGTCACTTCTCGGGATTCCAAATCTTGAGGCTGTATATACGGACGAAGATGAATGGTCTCAGCCTTGGACTCGGGGTGCAGACATTCTACACATCGAGCTAAGGCGTTGGGCCGATATAATGATAATTGCTCCTCTTTCCGCAAATTCCATGGCCAAAATGGTTGCTGGTATGGCGGATAGTCTGGTCATGTCTGTGGTACGTGCATGGGATACGACTGCTGTCATCGATGCTCAACGACCAAATCTACATCCATCGCTTCGTACATCGACAGGGAAGAAGCCGTTGTTGGTTGCTCCTGCTATGAACACTGCCATGTGGGCGCATCCTATTACACATAAGCAAGCTGCTGTTTTGGGGCAGGAATGGGGTGTCGATGCTGGAGGTTGGATCAGACTCATCAGGCCTGTTGAGAAAGAACTGGCATGTGGCGACACTGGGGGAGGGGCCATGCGTGAGTGGAAAGATATCGTTACCATCGTCCGGCAATATCTGGGTGTTGAAGCTCCTAGTGCTACAATAAGTGCTAAATCATGATCTAAATCACAAGTCAAAGTCAAAACACGAGAACAAAGATGAAGTTTTTACTTTTTGTATTGGATCATTTCTTCTAGCCTTCGCCTCTACGGAATGTAATGCCGGTCTCGATGCCGCTAACCCTCACCATCATTGCCGTGACTCTGATTTCCAGTAAGAAGAAAAAGACAGCCATCATCATAACAACTCAACTCCAGCTTTTAGTAGATTGAGAGGCCCCTTTTGCGCTAGTATTGAACAAAAAAGAGTTAAAGTAAACATGAAAGGGTGTACGGGTTTTGAGAATAAACTAAGACGTCTCGGGTATAAACGTTTAGGCCTCGGTGGTGGTGCGGTTCTGTTGGCGGCGGTCCTGGTTGTTGCCGCGTTTTTGGTTCTGGTTGCCCTTTTTGTCGGACTCCTGAGTGGTGCTGGCCTCGGTGCCCATGGTGAGAGCAGCGGTTGCGAGGCGGTTTGAGAGATCGATTTGGGTGCGGATGGTGTTGGCGAGGTAAGAGACGAGGAGAACATCTTGGATGTGGTTGTTGCTGTGACAAGATTAGCAAAGTACAGACAAGATGAGAACGAAGTGTTACGTACAAGTCGCGCTCAATGTCTTGAGGATCGACCTTGGGAGCCAGAGACAGAGTGTTCATGAGGAATTGACCCAGAGCAGAGCTGGGCTCGGCCTCCTCGTCCAGAACGTTGCTCACGTAGTTGGAGACACGCTCAATCATCTCAAGAACCTGCTCGATGGCGCGCTCCAGCGACTCAATGTCGGTCTGCAGCATCTGCGAACGGTCCTCTCTGTCCTTGGCTCCCGAAACCAGCTCGAGACCGTTGCGCTCAGCCTCGCCATACTTGATCTCGTGAGGAACGGGAATGAACAGGCAGCTGTCGGCAGCGCGCTCAGCGGTGACACCGACAGGGGCGGAAATGTATGTCTTGGCCTCAATGTCCTTTCCAGGCACGGTGGAGACGGTCAAGTGAATGGCGGGGTGGGGCCAGGTGCCGTCGCCTTGCTGGCCGTAGAAGTTCTGGATGAGAGCGGAGAAGGTGTTGAGGTCGGAGGAGGTGGCGTACCAGCCGAGAAGGACCTCCTTGGGGTTTGCGCGGAGGTGTAGCTGCAGCATCTGCTTCTGGTAGTCCATGTCGACCTCGACCTGTTCCTGGGTCTCGGTGTGGGGAACGGCGTAGCAGTTGCGGATCTCGACTTCTGTTCCATCTTCAGAGCGGACACCGAGGAGGGTACCGATAACGCGCTCCTGGTCCTGGGGTCTGCGAAGCGAGTGGTCGAGGATTGCGAAAATGGCCTGGGGCTGGATGCTGACGTTCAGAGGAGCGGTCGAGGGCTGGGTGCCGATTTGAACGGGGCCCAGAGGGCGGGCAAGATGAAGGAACGAGTCTTGAGCCATGATTGCGTTGGCGATATGAGCTTGCCGTCGTCTAACTCGAGCACCCTGTCGTTGTGGGAAAATGGCAAAGCCTGAACTTTTCGGCGTCGGATTCTGCCGCGCGCGCTGCGTCGACCAAACACGGCGATCGATCGGACTTAAGAAATAATAGACCCTCGACTTTTTTTGTTCTTCACCGAAACTAACTTTATTCACAACTCACAATGGCGCCTTTTGCAGGAAGAGGTGGTTCACGAGGTGGCCCGCGAGGCGGTTCAAGAGGAGGAAGTAGAGGCGGTAGTAATTTTGGTGGTCGTGGTGGCAGCAGTTTTGGTGGCCGTGGTGGATCAAGAGGAGGAAGAGGAGGATTTGATCGTGGAAATAGTCGAGGCGGCAGTCGGGGAGGAAGGGGCAGAGGTGGAAGAGGAGGAAACAGATTCGGCAGGTCCGAGTTCCGCACAAGCAGAGTCGACGAGCCAGAGGATCAACCTTTCATTGAAGACGACAGCGAGTCCGACGACGAATCCATCGACGACCAAGACGATCAATTAGAAGGAAGTGACGACGAAGACGCTCCTGCCTCAAAAGTTCGCGCATACAACGCCCTCCTTCAATCTTTCCAACAAGAGTCAGACGAACCTCGTCGCAAGCGCAGAAAGATCGAAGAGACTCCCAAGGACGACGACAGCGAGGGGGAGGAGGATGCTGCTTTGGATGATGCCTCAGACGTATCAGGAAGTCAAGATGGTGTTGAAGATGAGGAAGAAGTAGATGGGGAAAGCGATGCCGAAATCGAGCAGGACGAGGCCGACGACGACGAAGACGAGGATCCAACAGATCCCTTTGATCAACACTTCGCTAATCCGGAAGCCAACGACCTGACTCAACGTCTCAAATCAGTCACAGATAACCAATGGCGATCAGAGAAGCTCAAGGTCTTGAAGGACGGCAGTTTGACCATCTCTCTGCCTGAATCTGCTCCTGCCTCGTCACGAAAGCCCCTTAAATCTGTCTCACAACTCAAACTCAAGCAACGCATTGCAGAGCCTGCGACAAAACATCTTGGTACTCTCAGTGAGCTTGGACAGGCAATTGCACCTTCAATCTACGCATACCAGGACGTGCTTTGCGGTGCCAGAACTGTCGAGAATGCTTCTGAGCTTAGACACATGGCTGCTCTACACGCTCTCAATCACGTCTACAAGGGCCGCGATCGGGTACTGAAGAACAACTCTCGTCTAGCTACCGCAGAAGCAGATGCAGACCTCGAGCTACGAGACCAAGGCTTCACACGACCAAAGGTTCTCGTATTGCTTGAGACTCGCAGTGCCGCAGCCAAATATGTTGACGCTCTGATCGCCCTGTGCGAACCTGAGCAACAAGAAAATAAGAAGCGTTTCGAAGACGCTTTTGTATTGGACGAGTTGAAATTTGGTGGTGAAGGAGACTCACATCCTGCAGACTTCCTCGAGCTGTTCGAAGGCAACGACGACAATGATTTCCGCTTGGGCATCAAATTCACCCGTAAGACTATGAAGTTCTTCTCACAGTTCTACGCTTCGGATATTATCCTTGCATCACCTCTTGGTCTACGCCGTATCATCGAACACACTGATCCTAAGAAAGCCGACAGCGATTACCTGTCCTCCATCGAAATTTGCATTGTAGACCAGGCAGATGCTATGCTGATGCAGAACTGGGATCACGTAGACTTTGTCTTCCAACACCTCAACCTCCAACCCAAAGATGCACACGGTTGCGACTTCAGCCGTGTACGAAACTACTATCTCGACGGCCAAGCCAAACATTTGCGCCAGACCATCATTTTCTCGGCCTATGTAGCCCCTGAGCTCAACCGCCTATACAACGCCCACATGCTCAATATTGCTGGCAAGGCGAAACTTGCACCATTCTATCCTGGCGTAATCGGCGATATCGACCTCGAAGGCATGAAACAGACCTTCTCCCGTTACGATTCAGCCTCGCCACCCACCGACCCAGACGCCCGCTTCAAATACTTCAACACAGCTGTTCTACCATCACTTCTTCGTGTGCCAAAACCCGCAGACGGTGGTGCTGGCATCCTTCTCTTCATCCCATCATATCTCGACTTTGTGAGAGTGAGAAATTACTTTGCCAATTCAAACGAGACACAACACATTTCCTTCGGCGCCATCAGCGAATATACGCCTGTACCCGATCAGCGACGTGCACGCAGTCACTTCCTCACCGGTCGCCACAGTGTTCTTCTGTATACGGGCCGTGCGCACCACTTCCACAGACTGAGACTGAAGGGTGTGCGAAGAGTTATTTTCTACGCTCTACCTGAGAACCCTGTATTCTATACAGAAGTTGCAAGAGGATTCTTGGGTACCATGGTCGCAGAAGGCAAATTAGATCCTACTGAGGGCGCCGTCAGGTCAATCTTCTCGAAATGGGATGGCTTGAGGCTGGAGCGTATCGTTGGAACAAAACGTGTTGGTGCTATGTTGAGGGACAAAGGTGGCGATACCTTTGATTTCGTCTAATGGGCATGATCAGAACATAGTGCTTTACCATCATATAGCAAAACCAGGCCCACACCTGCCATGCATTGTGTTTGTCCATCTCTCTTCTGTTCCTTTACTGCACGATCCTTCTATAGGACTGGTACAAGAATGCTATGCTGCTGCTGCATACAGTCGGTCAAAGATACATGATGCTGCGAAGTTTTTGCCCGATACAGCAACGAGCAAAATATGTACCATAAAAAGGGCACAACATTATCAGATAATAGGATGGTGTGCGCAGAGAGCCGATGGTTTTCTTTACTCTCAGCGGCCACTGTCCGACTTTTCATCACTATTGTGCCTGTTTTATAGCAGCACGGTTTACGCTTTAGTATATGAGGAGGTACACAGTATGTGAGAGAAGTTTTGTTTTGATATGTACAAGAGATTAGTCTTACTTATCTACAAGTCGATCGATCATACACTCGTTGCGCGCACGCCCTCAACAAGCTCACTCGTGCTGTCATCCCCGGTTCTATCGTTTCCCTCATGTGGCGTCGTCGCTGCTTCTTGTGTCTGAGGTCCCTTCTGCTGTTGCAGTTCATCCACCCGCACTTCTTGCATATTCTTAGATGCACTTTCCCAAATACTGCGATCCACAGCACTAAGATTGACCTTGCCGAGATGTCGTTTCGTCACCTCGTCAGCTTCGAACTTTTCATCGCGCATGCGGATGAATGTCTCAACTGCCTCATTAGCCTTGCCAAGTTTTGCATACCCACCCAGCAATGAGTTCCAAGTGACCTCGTTGGGTGTTTGTTTCCGCTCGCGCATATAGGTAAGCACCTGTTCTGCTAGCTCCATCTTGCCGTGTTTGGCAAAGGCGTGCAAGAAGATAGACCATGAGCGTACAGTAGGCTTGCTCTGGGAACGGGCATGTGAAAAGGGTGTTTGCATGTCTCGAATGACTTCGGCGGCGTGAGCGAGACCAGAAGGGTCTTGAGCAAAGGCCAGCAAGAATGCATTGGAAACGTGGTCTTTTTGAGCCAAAAAGACGTAGGGACTAACGTTGTGCTCGGCGAGTTTGCGCCATCGTCGATATAGATCGTGTATATGGCTCATGTTTCTACTCTGTGATTGAACAGTATGCCGAAGGTATGCTCCGATCATGATGCCCATAGCCGGCAAAGTGGGTTTCTTTCTGTTCGAGGACTTGTTTGCGTATTTCTGCGATAAGATACCGAGATTGATCAGATCAGATGTGTCAAACAGCTGGCTGTAAGCCTCAGATACTATTGAGAAAGCATTTTCGGGATCGATCTGGAAGTGGTGTAGGTAGAGACAATGTATGATCTCAGTAGCCACAACATAGAGATTTCGTACTTCGACGTCTGCGATGGCTTGACGGATAGTGGTGTTGAGAGTTTCCGAATCCTCGATTGCAGTTTTGCAACCTTTGAGCAGAATAGCATGAGTATACTCGTCGGCCTTGAGATCGTTATCGACAAGAGAGTGGTAGATACTGAAAGCTGTCTTAAGGTCGCCGGCTTCGACAGCGTTGAGCATGACGATGTTGCACAGCTGAACGTTAAGCTTGACACCGATATCAGACAGGTTCTGGACCAAGCGAAGACTAACGCGGAGGCCGTCAGGCTGGTCAGCTGCCTTTCGGAGAATGGTAGCACAACAACTCTCAAATTGATTGGAGCTAACATCAGCTCCATCAGAGACGGCGTCCAAAAGTGTATCTAGAGCCTGGTCGAATCGTCCATGGTGAGCAAGATAGCTGGTAAAGTGTAAACGAGTATTCCAATGCAAGAGTGTTCCGCTAATGCTGATGTGTTCGAAGAGTTTCAAGACCTGATCCTGGGAGCAGAACTGCAAAAACTTGCGGAATGTATGGCCACCGATCTGGAGTGGAGAGGTGCCCGGGCGCTCCATGATGGTACAAGCGCCTTGGACTAGATGATTGCGGGTATCGTCGGAGAGAGAATTCTTGTGGTAGTGACCAACAATGAAACTCAAAGCATCGGCAACGTACGCAGCAGGCATATACGGAGAGACATGGGTAACTTCCAGCAGGCGAAGAGCGTCGTCGACAGAATTAGCCAATGTCCAGAGCAAAGCATGCATCCACTTCCTCCGCCATTGATCACCAAGCAGCCGAGCCAGCTCTTCCTGATCCTTGAATTCTTTGGCGTTCAGTATCTGTGTGGCCCACTTCTGTGAGCGGAAATTGAGGTTCGGCGTTGTCCTTGGTGTAAAGTTGTGCTTCAGACGAGTATCATGGCGGGCATTCAGTTTGGCAAAATGATGGCTCCAGTATAGTGAGTGACCATCGGCAGAGAAGACCAGCTCCTCTGTCTTATCATCGGCAGGTTTATCTCGGGGCTTCCGCCGTACAGGTCTGCCTAGAGGGACGTATTTCATCCTCAAGGTAGAAGGCCGCTTGGCGGCAGTCCAGCGAGACTTGACAAGGGCCTGAGAGGTAGACCAGCGCTGGAAGAAAGCCTTCTGGACATCGGCACGGCGTAGTCTGTGCTTTTCTTGTACAGCGTTTGCTGCTGGCTTCTCATGCTTCTCATGCTTCAGGTGGTCTTGGTGGTCATGGTTGAGATCTTCGTGCAGCGGAGCGATGGCGCTTTCGTACCATTGCTGGACGAGGAGACTACGAGCACTCTCATGCTTGGGGCGGGTCGCACGGGACTGCCTTGCATGTTCGCAAGAGGTAGTCGAGAAAGACTTCTTGTGAGAGCGGGAGGTCGACTCGGACTGCGGCAGCGAGTTCGGCCAGGGCTGGAAGACTCTCGGGGCGAGGAAGGGCAGGACGAGTTGTTCAGCTTCGGCCACAAGCTTGACGTGTCGGGCGGCGCATCGTGGCATAGGCGGGCATCGACAGGGCGAAAGAGAGTTGTGGATACAAGAAAGTTGGACCGACATGTCGATGACTTTCGGGCACATCCCCAACTTTCTCACTGTGTTTGATCTGTTTGCTTCTCCATCACCGACCAGCTACCAACTTTGCGACGACTCGAGTTACAACATCACTACAACCAGCACTTGTCCCTTTACCACAGGAATCGCTCTCCAGACCAAGTCATCATGTCTGGCAATCTCTCAAGCGCTGCCGAGGACCGTAAAGCTCGTCTGGCCGCCCTCAAATCTCTCAAGCGCAAACAACCCTCGGAACCTACAGAAACAGACGACAACACCCCCACAGATCAAGATACTTCCTCAGAACACCTTCAAGACGTCTCTTCCGTACTCCTCTCAGGCCGCAACTACGATGCCGCAACGCGCGCCCCAAAACTCGGTTTCGAGAATGACCCTTCGGCCCAGGAAAACACCCTAGAGAAAAAAGCACAAGAGCTGGCAGAAGCAACAAAGAAGCAAGCAGAACAGGAGGACCAACAAGATAAACCTTTGGATCTGTTCAAGCTGCAGCCCAAAAAGCCAAATTGGGATTTGAAGCGCGATCTGGACCGCAAGTTGGACATCTTGAACGTGCGCACCGACAACGCCATTGCAAAATTGGTCAGGCAGAGGATAGCTGCTACCCAGGCTGAGAAGAGGAAAGCTACTGGTGTGGCAAACGATGAGGGCGAAGCTGTTGGCATGGAAGGCGCAGAGCTGCTCGAAGCTACCAATCTGAGAGAAAAGGAGGATGAAGAAGAGGCTAGACGGGAGGACGAAGCTCAAGCTGATCTTTTGGATGGCAGCTGAGCTCTTGCCATTTCATACGACCCCTTTACATGGCTCTGCCCTCTCTCCAATGGCCTTTCATTTGACGCCAAATCTGTCGCAGTCACCACCTCATATATCCCATTCCAGTTGCAGAGATACACTTTCTTGCGACAAGACACTTGCGACAAAGACGTCCGGCTAGCGCACTGCCATTCCGTTTGGCAGTGGCCTATTTGATACACGATTGTCTAATCCTTTAGAAATATACAGAACAATCAAGTCATCCCTCCTTCGTCGTGCGCCTGGAATCTCCTGAAACCCAAAAGCAAAACTCCTGTGAAAGAGGTGGTGGTATCCTGAACGCTAAAGAGAGCAATCCGCCCATAGCAATAAGAAAGAAAGCAGTCTACAGAGTGAGAGAAGGAAATGGAAAAAGGGAAAGGAAAAGGAAACATAAGGAAAGAGTCATCTGGGAGCAGAATGGGTGGGGTCATGGGAAGCAGTAAGTAGAGCCTACACTTAGCCAAAGGCCCAGACAAGCAGAATGCTTGCTGCTGCAACGTCTACGACTAAAACACCAATGACCAATGTAGCAAGAGGCCAGCGAGGTTTCTGTCTGCCAAACACTGCTCCCACACCCGAAACGGCGAACGCCAGACTTGAAGCAACTGCCAATACAACTCCAGCGTCCACTTCGGACGCTAGCTTTCTTTTGCCAGTAGCCACTAGTATGTAGCCAATGCAGAGCAAGAGCATGGATGCGACCAAGCATGTCGCTGCCAGCTGTGGAACCCAGTCAGATTGCTGTTGGTATGCTTCAGGATTGTATCCGGCAACCTGGTCGGTCGATTGGCTCAATGTTCCATATGAGCGCTGTTGAATACGTCTCGGAACATGTGATTCTTCGTCTGAAGAACTGACCGATTCCTCTGTCATGCCATGCTCATGTGTGCCATCTTGACCAAGCAGAGTCTCTTGGTCTGAAGGCTTCTTCTTGGACCAGAGACCTCGGATACGACGCCATGTCTTGGTGGCTGACGAGACTTCGTTGGGGTCAATGTACAAGACATAAGCGCCCTCATCCTCCGAGCCAGAGGGATCATCATATTCGCTCCAATACATTTGCTTTGGTAGAGCGCTGCCAGCCCTGTCGTAAGCCGATTTTCTCTTCTTGCGGAAAGCGCTAAGGGGAGGCGTCTCTAGCTGGTCGGGGATCTTGACCCGTGGAGGTGATTGTTCTTCCACGGCGGTCAGATCACCACTAGGATCACCTACAGATCCAGTCGAAGTGGACATCTGAGGTGTAGTAGATTGAGAGCCAAAACTGGAGTCGGGGTTGTACACCCTGCGTCTGCTTGCTGCTGTAGGCACCTTGCGAATATCTCTTTGCATCAGTGGTACCCAGAATGGAGGAACAACGTTCTCAGGTTGACAACAGTACCACACTGAGTGGTACTCAAGCGAGAAACCACGAACGCGCTCGACAAGATGACTCTGATCCAGAACCTTGATAAGAGTGCTGTCGCGGAACCCTTCCTGTCTTACGCGAAGTACTGCAAAGGGGAACTCTGCACTCATAGATTGAGAAAATGTATCTTCGAGAGAGTTTGTAAAAGACTCTGTTTTCGTCATACGAATGCCTTTGTCTAACGTGGCCAGAATGAATCCGCTTGAATCAGCAGCCGTCTCAGCAAAGCGAGCCCGGTTGGATGCAATGGTAGTAAGGGGTTTGATGGTTCCCTGCTGAGCTATCCAGGCACGCATATTCTTAACAGCTTCGCAGCTTGGGTCTTGGGTGACGGAAGACTTCCGCAATGATGTAGTCGAAGGCTCAAGGATGGCGGGAACGTTCTTGCGCTTGACCGAGACCTTTTGAATGTCTCGGTCGCTCACCTGGGCGGTAACAATAGCGTCTTCTGATTTTGTCCATCTCGCGTGAACAGCTGCTTCCTGCAAACGACTTCCGACAGTCTCCTCGCGCTTCTCAAATGTAGAAGAGCTTTGATGTGCAATGAAGCTTTCGAGATCATCAGCGACAAGCACGGTGGTGTCGGCTTCGATAGCATTACTATTTCTTCTACCCATTGAAGATGTGATACTGTTTTGGCGAGATAGCATAGGTGAAACTGTTGCCGAGGGCAGCGCGCGGGTAGGGAATGATCGGGCGTGTTGTAGGATTAGAATCTGAAGTTCAACAATGTTGTCCGGGTGTACCCAGTAGACAGCATTCCTGCCGCTGCGACCAAGAGGCGATGTGGAGAAGTAAGTGTCAAATTCGACAGATGAGCTCGACTCGATGATGGATCGAATTTGTGCAGAGTTATCCTGGGTGCCGTCGATTGAAAATCTGTCTGGGGCTCCGTTGATGCGCTCATGGTATAATGTCCTCAAAGCCGAGAGCGTGTCTTCATATTCAGTATACAAAGGGTCCATGTCAATCTTGGTAAAGCTGGAGGGATCGCCGAGGACATGTCGGTTGAATTCGGTCTCGAGATCGGTAGAGCCGGTCCACTTCTTATGTTTCTTTAGAAGCTTGCGAAAAGCAGTCTGCTGGGTCTTTGAGAAGCGCGACAGAGATTGTAGTTCGTCACCAGCTCTGTGATGTGCGTCAGTTTTGCTCGGGCCGGCGGATGCGGTCAGATAAGCTCACTTGAGGATGTCGGCCTCGAGGCGACCATATTTTTCGAGACGTTTTGCAGGTATGCGACCATTGACGGCGGGCTTTGAAGCGAGTAATGCGATCTGCTTGCGAAGGTGGTCTGCTGGTGTCAATGAACGTTGTCGTGGTCGGCGCTGATTGTGTTGAGGATAAGCACTCACCCAGCCGCCTCTCGATCTCGCCCGTCTTGCTCCTCACGAACAAAGTGATTCTCTGGTGTTGTTGTTGCAGGATATCGTGAAGGTTGTCCTCGAGCTCTTTGCCTCTCACATCGCCGGCGCCGGGGATAGAAATGCTGTTGCCGTTCCCCGCGGTTGTGTTCTCCTTGATGTAGTGCTTCACGTCATCGTAGTCAATGTTGTCTGGCTGGTCAGTGTGGTCGAGACGGAGTGGACGGGAGATGCTCACGATGCGCCCATGCAGGAATGGAATTCTGGCGAAGAGTTGCGCCATACTTCATGATGTTGATGATGGTACTATGATGTGGTTGGTGATACCGACGGGGTAAAAGTCCGGGAAATTGTCAATCTTTTGAAGGATGCGGAGTAGAAGCAGGCAGTCAAAGGACAAAGTAACTCGAGTAATGTTGACGCTCCAATTGATCACGAAAGGCAACTGTTGGAGAGAAAGGCGCAACGGCGGGACAATGGATGGTTTTTGAACACGGATGAATGCGAGCAGAGGCTCGGAAGCTTGGATATGTTTGAGAGAGAGGGATTGCTTTTGGCAGGGTCTGCCAACGATGATGCGAGCGACACTTCGCAACGAGTCCATTGGTTCGCAAGCCATCAAACCGCTGCACTCGAACCTTCGCGCTTCGTGATCCGCAGAACGGGCCGCCACAATGCTCCACAGCGTCCCTGAGTGGTAACCAGGCACACGACCATGTCGTTGCCAGGTCCCCAATATTAAGACCTTAGCACCATCCTGCACCACCATCGGTCAGACATTTCGACTGCTGTAACCACCCGTTGCTCCACTGCCCGTCGCCCATCTCGTCCTTTGCAAAACAAGGCCCGTGCTTAAGGTTTAGGGCGTCGCCGAACCGACCGAGTTGCGTCGTCTGCTGAACAGCAGCCTGTTCAAGCTATGCAAAAACCTGCTGCTCACAAGTGAACCGGACTCCAATAACAAAGGCCAGAATATTCGAGGTTGACCAGGGTGCCTTGTCCGTTGCACTGTGCCATGAACATAAACGTCACCTCAAGCTTGGTAGCAGGTTATCCCCCGGCATGCACCCACGGCATGCTCTTGTAGTACGGGTAGACGCATGGTGTTCTTCTGCATAGATGGCTAACCGGGATGCTCACTAAGCGTGCCAGCATTGTCTCGTCCCAATATACTCGAGTGCTTTGATCGCATGCAAAGGTGACATTCTCGATATTGCATGTCGGCTTTTTGCGCTCGAAATGCTCGGAGTCAGAAAATCGAGCGAATGGTTCATGCCATGACTATGCTAGAGACAAGCTCAACAACCTAGTCAAAGTTTTCCCTACACGAACCAAATCCTCGGAATCGGGGCGAGTCTCATCGATGCCCTCGAGGGAACGTGGCTTGCCGCGCGCATGTGAAAGGTCGGCCACGATCGCGCGAGCAGCATGACTGCAGAAAGCCCTGGACCAGTGACGAACAAAATCGCTGCATCTTATCATGCAGAGAGTCTGGCTTCATATCAAAAGAGGCGCAGACTGTGTGTCGCAGCAATACAAAAAGGTCGTTGTATCCCCCATTCTCAAGTCTCCCCGCATGGTTCAAACCTCTCAAAAACCACAGACCCTTGCTTGTCCTTGCTTGTCGCCCTCGGTTCGTTCGGCTAATCTGCTGTCGTGGAGCAAGTTGGGTGCGCTCCGACACATCCCCCATACCATACGAGCAAAAGATGTGTCAGCTCAATTGATCGGTCGGGCCTGGAGTCACTGGACACGAAATGGCCAATTCTTGATGCGACATTGTTCTACGATGCTCGGCAGAACCCCCTACATCATACTGGCTGGCATCTCGATCAGACTTGAGATCGGTTGCGTCTCAGAACAAGGAACAGCGACAGCACTATGCACAGTACAGCAAAACCCGTTCTCATCCGATCTCCTAAGCAGCGTGCAGATACTTACGCACCGTATCCATCACATATGACAAACTTCTATGACAGCTTACAGCAGCCGTGTTCTCGGGCCAGTTTACGGATGTATCTTCGGGGCTGATCATGGACAAAAAATTGGCAGCAACCAAGCAGAAGACGTTTTGGACGCACGTGCAAGCATCTAGATGTCGTGTGCCCACTTACCACAAAACCAAGGGTCTTTTATCAGCGGCCCCACTGTAGGTCGTTGGTGACCTCGTGTGTCTGTTTGATCTACTAAAAAGTAGGCGGGTAAATTGCGTAGTTCTTCATGCATCCATTTTTTCATTGGTCTCGTTGCAATTAATATGCTATGTAGCCGGGAGAGGTCACCGAGAAGGTCGCTAAACAATAAAGGGCCCCACTGGCTAGATCTCCTAAAAGTGGAGGAGGCATTTGTACGATTCAGGCGACGATGATGCCAGTGAGACGTGATTCGACATGGCTTCGTATATGCGCTAGGGCGTGCGTGGAGAACGAACAGATGCTGCTCGTGCATTACATCTCGAGCCCTTCCCCTGCGGGTCGCTGCTTCTGCCAGTTGCATGGTCGTTTGGCTGAGTCAAGGACGTGCTGCTTCAGAGCAAGCCCTCCAAATTTACCCTCATCGAGGATGATTGTCCGGTCTTGCCGTTGCGTTCGGTTGCTGGATGAAGATGGCTCTTCATCTGTTCATCTGCGTTAGGGCCTTTCTCTTACTGAAAGGACTGAGAGACCTAGGGCGATCTCCACCAGGCACATCCTTCATCTCACGGTCTTGATCTCGGTGGGTTTTGTAATCGGCCCGCTCCAGACCAGTATGCTGCCCCAACATTGCGTTGTTGCCGGCATCGTCGGGTCGTCGATTGGGTGTAAGACCACGGCCATCTTTGAGAATATTCCTTTCGGAAGCGGACCGCATCCGTCTTTCTGAATTTGCTGACCTGCCTCTTCTTCTTCCACGTTCAGAAGGACTTCTTGAGTTTCTGCGCATGCGGGTGTTGCGGCTATGAGCTTCGTACGATTGCGTGTGATTTGGTGATGAAGCAGAACTTGGTGGGCCTACACGCTTGTCGCCAGCACCTCCAGTGGCTGAGACGTCTCTTTCTTGCGTTGCGCCATGTCTGTATCTTGGTCTTTCAGGAGAAGGAGAGCGAGTGGAGATGGTTGAGACTGAAACCGAAGAGAAGGATGCGGCAGAGCGTGAGCGCTTGCGTGACGGTCTGTGATCGTCCATGTTGTCTAGTGAGCGTTTGCGCGACCTTTCCTGGGCGGGCTTGTGGGTTGCGCTTGACTTTCTACAACAAGTCAGATAGGCATGATGGTGTCAAGGCGGCGGTTGGCATACTCTTGCTCGGTCAAGGTAGGGGTTGGCGCAATGTTGGCGAGTTTCGGCTTGAGTTTGGGGTTAAGAAACTGTTGACTGCGACTAGGACGAGAGATGTATGGTCGTTCTTGAGCTTGCGCTTTACATTCGTAGCTGTAATGGCCTGCGCGTGTGTTAGACGTGGCAGTGGTAGTTATGCGCCAAACGCAGAGCATGCGCGTACCCTTCTGGAGACATTTCTGGCATGTTGTATTTGCAGATGCTCTGTTGTTTGACGATGCGCCTCCGACAAATGCTGATTTGCCGTAGCGATTCATACTCCGAAAATGGATGGATGTCTATCGATGCTAGCGTAGCAGGGTACCAGAAGTGATGCGACAAACGCGAGAGATGTGGTGTTGGTGAGGCAGCAGTGAGAGAACAAACGCAGTCACAATCCAACTGAGCGCATGGAAGAAGCCAAGACAGGGTTGTGGTCAGGGTCGTACTTGCCAACTTGGTCCAGGCTGCCAGGGCTTCCTTTTCTTGATTATTGTCCACACCGGATTTTGAGTATTGGAACAACGCGAGAATCCTATTTTGTCTTGACATACGAGTGTGGGTGACGTACCCGAGAAGAGCCTCAGTAAACATCTACTAGATGCAAACAACTCTGTGTCGATCAACCGCTTTCTGATTGCACTGGCAGGAGCATGAGAGTGCTTGGCATATGCAGCATCTCCAAACTAAACGGGGCTTCCGGCGCAGTCTTGGCTTGCGAGCGATTTGGTCTGTCGGGACTTGACGACAGCGCCCTTTCAAGCGCTCCCTCTTCACCGCACCACCTTCACAACGAGCGACGACATCTCGATACTGCGCTCGCCGGCGCTGCTTTCGAACCGCCGCACTCGCTGTGCCATCTGCGCAACCTTGACTGTTTGGACCCAGATTCAAGGCCTTCATCTTTGTCGTGTCCAGAAAAAAAGCCGTGTCAAATAACCTTCCAACTCCATGTCGACCTACCACCATGCCAACATCCTTGCCTATTCTCTTGACTATTTTCCTTGAGCCTCCGGTTTCCTGAGATTTACTGCACAGAACAACGCCTTCTTTCTAAAAATCTTTCTGTCCTCGGCACAAACGAAAGACAACCATCCACGACCACTTCGCGTCGATCCAATACTTCGACAGAGCTCGCACTATTTGGACAAACATGGCTTCTCTTTCCAGCGACCAATCTTCAGCCAGGCGAACCTTTGCCAACGCACATCTTCCTGCCTCAGGCCACGACCTTCTCTCTACTGCCCATCAACAGCTGGCTGCAACTGCTAGCTCTCAACCTTCCGACCATGATCATACTAGCAATCACATCAGCGAGTTTGCTCATGACGATCCCACGTCTTCTGCTCAATCAAGGAAACATATTCCCTCTCCCTCCAACGAGCCTCCCAAGGCACCTTCGATAGATGGCCTCGAAACGACGCCCGTGTTGACCACTCAAATCCTATCTGGTACATCTGACGAAAGCGCTACTCAGTTGTCATCATCAGACGGTTCGGCCAAACCCCCTAGCCTCGATGGAAAAAGCGTGGCTTCTATCACAACGTTCGCCATGGACGAGAAAGAGTCGCTGAGACCAGATGATAGTGCTAGTGTCTTAGCTATCGAGGATGATGACACCTACTCAGCGTCAGGATCCGCTGCCGTCGGTTCGCGATTGGGCTCGGAGACAGGCGCTCGTGCATTCCGCGATCAACTTCTAGAAATCACTTCCAGAGGACCTGCGCTGCGTCAGTCTGGACCTACGTCGAGACCCGACTCGGCCACCAACGGTCCCATTGGAACACTGTATGTTCCTCCGCCAGTTGGCAGCTCTACAGCAATTCCCGGTTATGTACAACCACCTACGAACACTGGCAGACCTGAAGATGTCTTGCCAGATGCAAAGCTCTTGGAAGCCCTCAACAATCCGAGAGACAGGATCTGGGTGCTCAAGTTGGAGCAGGACATTATCGACTTTGTGAAGGATTCTTCGTAAGATTTTTTTGGACTTTGAAAAGGTGCATTCGGCTAACCTCGCTATAGGGAACACTCTCTGGACTTGCCTCAATGCAATTCGTTCTACAGAATGCTGGCTCACAAACTGGCTGACTACTATATCCTGGGGCATGCTGTTGACGGCTCAATCTCAGCCGTTCGTCTGTACAAGACCCCTAACTGTCGGATCGCTCCACCTTTGACTGCCATTGCAACACCGCCGACAAGCACTAGCACACCTCCACCCACTGCACCTCAGATGAAGATCTTGCGCCGTGGTGGTGATGCGCCGCTGAACGGCCTCTCCAAGTCGAACTCTGATGGCGGGGACAGCGCTGACTCAGACAAGAACAAACCTTTGACCCGTGAGCAACGCGAGCAGAGATATGAGTTGGCTAGACTCAGAATTTTGGGCTCTGCAAAGCCTACAGAGGATACACCCCTTGTCAAGGAGAAGGATGAATCCCGTTCCAGCTCTGCTGCCGGAAAGAAGAAACCAAAGAAGCAGCGTAGCAACAGTGATGATGATTTCGAGGCGAGATCTGCTTACAGCACCTTTGTGACGCCACAGAATGGTGCCTCCGATGGTGGAAACATGGTCTACTACCCCGCATTCCCTGGAAGTGCCCAAGGTGTCCCTGGCATGTACAATGGTGCCCCCTCGGCTTCGGCTTCGCAGAACTCATATAATGCTGTCTACGGTCCTATGACGCCTTCGCAGGTCGCTCCTTACCCATGGTTGCAACAAGGTTACTCTGGTTACAACGAATCAAGTAACCAAGCACAGCACAACGTCAATGATCTCTCCGCCGACTTCCAAGCCATGTCTTTCCAGACACAGTCCGGACCTACCTCTCCCCCTCCCCCAGCTGGTCACTACGGTTATGGCGGCTCTCAACAGCAACAACAGCAGTATTCTCCATGGCAGCAGATGATGCCTAATCAGTCAGGCTACCCAGGCAGTCCGAATTACGGTAGTCAATTTGCAAGCAGACCGCCGTCCTCAGCAAGTCATGGATCTGCCACACACGGCTACCCGTATGGAGTTCCGATGAATCAGATGCAGATGCCTGACACTTATATGGGCTACCCAAACCAAGCCATGGCTGGTGCATACAATCGTGGAAACTTTAATCCTCAGAGTCAGGCATTTATTCCCGGCTATCAACCTCATTATGGCGCACCCATGGTGCCTTCCAATAACAACATGGGCTTCAATTCGGCTTACCCTGGATCACACGCACTGCAGCGTCAGAACTCAAGCCAGTCGCAAGCGTCGTCGTATGGTGGACAGAGTGGCGGCCAGAATAGTAGCAGACCACCTCACCCCCTGCCACAGCCTGTTTTCTCGCCCCATGTTCCGATGCCTTTCCAGAACTCACAAAGACAAGCTGGGACACCTTCTCGCCCTGGCAATACAGCGACAGCAGACAACAATAGCAGTGCACCAAGCTCTATCGCAAAATGGGGAACGCCAGCCTCTTTGCCTGCCAAGCCTCCTCCTCCAGCAGCAACCAATTCGTTTGATTTGTCCAGAATGCCACATGCGCAGCAGAATGGTGCAGCCTATTCTCCTGGAGCTTCAGGACGACTTCCTGGTGTTGGGGGACAGGGTTTCCATGCTCTGCCATCGATGGTAGCCTTGCGCAATGGACAGACACCCCGGGGCGGACAGTGATTCGATTTTGAAGAATGGGCATGAAGAGGAAGATTCTTGCGGAAAGAACAAACGAGAGATTTGGCAAGTAAAAAAAAAAAAAAGGGGTCTCGGAAAAGGAGTTTCTTCATTGTCAAGCATTACTAGGAGTTTGGCTTTGTTTTGATCTTCGGTCGAAGGTGTCGATTGCGAGGTGCTTTCTCGGTGTTCTGTCGTAATGACGACTATGGTATACAGTAGCAAGGAGAAGAGGGTTATCGAGTCATTGCTTCCTCAGGTAGTGAATCGGAAAATAGCGAATTGTTTCTTTCCATCATCATCATCAAAGTACATGCATGATTCAGGTGGTGTAATGTCGTGTATCGCATGTCTTGATAAAAGGGGTATCTATTCGTCTCTTTGCTGGGCTCACTGGGGTCCAGCGTGTGTGGCTCTGTCGGCCATGGTCGTTATTACTCAAACTCACTTCTTTACGTCTCTTAGCTCTCAAATGTCTGTCTCTTCAGAATGATCTCTCTCATAAGACATGTTGTTCAGGTTGTCTTCTTCTCAGCCTCATCGACAGCACTTCCGAGACCTTTGCTGAAGACAGTAGAAACCTTGTCCTCAGCCTCCCTCCTCCATTGGTCCCAGTCGAAATGTTGCATCTTTCTCACGGCAGCTTCCAGCTCGGTGTTCCAGCGATACTTGAGACGATCAGCAAGGCCAGGAACCAGATGACGAGCAGTTTGTGAAGGCTCCTTTGGCTGGGGGTCTGTGATGTTGCGCAAAAGATTTGATTGTTGGCGCAGGAGACTTGATTGATACAGACGGTTGCGCTCGTGGAGATTCAGAGAGATGTAGAAGAGGGAAGATGTAAGGGCAATGCCGCCAATCTGTATTGCTGTTAGATAACAGGAGCTGTTGGTTGCAAGGGAAAAAGGTGCTTACGAAGCCAGTAGTGAAGCCCATGGCTATCTTAGAGTCGAAGAAAACAGAGAGTGTTTGGGAAAGAGCGAATGGTGATACGAGAAGCAGCGATTGTTGACTGCCAACAAAGTTGCGGCCAAAGACGGAGGAGGATTCGAGTTTCATGCGCGAGCTTGGCGCAGTTCCATCCATCTTCGATCCTATACCACAACCACCTTGCGCCACAAGCCATTGCGCATTGCTTCATATCGACTCTTGACTCTGCTGTTTCCTTCTTCAGCAGCTATAGGACTCACTCGAGCGACACACACTCCCAACTCCGCACGACACCGCCACTTGGGCAGGAAACCATCGTAGAGAAAAAATCATGGCCGGCGGACTTCAGAAATACAGACACTTGTCGCGCAGCAGCTCGCACCGTCAGGCTCTGCTCAGAAACCTCGTCACATCACTTTTCAAGAACGAAACGATATCCACAACATGGCCCAAGGCTCAGGAAGCCCAGCGTCTGGCCGAGAAGTTGATCACTTTGGGCAAGAAGAACACCGATGCCAGCAAGAGAAAGGCTCTCTCCATCTTCTACGTATGCTCTCTTTCCCTTACCGCTCCTTTGATTTTCTTCAAGAAATTACCTGCTAACAAAACTTGCTTACAGGAACCCCACGCTCTTATTCCCAAACTCTTCGGCCCTCTTCGTGAACGCTTCGCAGACCGTCCTGGTGGTTACACTCGTGTACTCCGTATCGAGCCCATCAAAGAAGACCAAGCACCCTCTGCCATCCTCGAACTCGTCGACGGCCCCAAGGACATGCGATTCGCCATGACTGCCCGCACCGTCTCCCGCCTACGCCGCGAGGGCAAGCCTATCAATGACATGACCGCCGGTAACATTGCAAAGGTCACCCGCTTCCGTCCCGATGGCGAGAAGGACCTGGAAGACATGGTCGCCAAGTTTGACAAGCTCGAGGCCCAAGGTGAACACGGCTTCGACAAGGTTTACAAGCAGAGAGTATACCACACTCCCAAGGCCTCGAGATAGGTGCTCTCAGCCTCTATCTTGCTACAGACTTTTGTACATTACTTTCACTGGCATGGCGTTATACTGGGATCAACGAAATGGGATTTGCGAAAGAATTTGTACATGTTGTATCAAAAGAATATTATCTACACATGTCACTGACTCCGATACACTTCTGTTGCTGATTTGTCCAACATCATACGGTCGACAAAACTCTCCTCGGATTCATGGCAATGAAGAAAAGTGTAGAGTGGTTGCGTTGGGGTTGATTTTGATGAAAGGAACAGGGTTGTCCCTTCAACAGTCTGTCCCAAGATCTCGACAAGGCATCTAGCTCTCCATGTAAACTTGACGACGTGATTTCGATTCAGACTAGATACCTATCGATACATCTGATCGATAAGTATGATTTCGTCCCTCGTAGGCGGGTGACAGCCGCAGTCTACAATACCACGCTTCAAATTTCAACCTTAGCTAAATCCTTCGTCACAAAACTACCCAGACTTCTCCCTTGTTTGACCTCGAACCCATACCTCCCTCCTTCATGACCCAGTCATCAAAGACCAGCGTCATCACGATGGAAGAAAAAGAAAAAGAAAAAGAAAAAGAAAAGTTCGCATCAGCCCGAGGTAGTGCAATGCGAGAATCTTAAAAGTGCGAGAAAGATGTCAGATGGATAGTTGTTCTAGTCCACACCTATTCAATCCTCAGGCTCATCCTTGATGATAACAACATTTTCCTCTTCACCATCTTCAGTCTTGATAAGAATATCTCCAAATCTCTTGCCTCGTGCTGGCGCGACTTCATTCGCAAAGACAACAGTCTCAATACCTGCAGGCGTTTTCTCGTCCTCAGGACCCCATGGCAGCGCATCGACATCAATCTCCCTGTTCAGTAACGACTTGAGAATGACTTCAGCGCCTGCTTTGCTCATGACTGAATTCGCCTCTTTGCATTGCTCCGAGCAACAGCATTCAAGACAACCTTCGTCGCAGTGACATGCGCCTACTCGCTCGCAAGCCTGTACAAGCAAGCGATCGACAAACTCAAAAGCCTTTGTGCTGATACCAGAGCCAGCGGCACCGCCTTTTGCATCGTAGAAAGTCAGACGTGCGGGTCGCTTGCGATTGGTTTCCTTCTGTTGAAACTCTTTAAGTGCGTTTTTGCATTCGGTCTTGACATCGCCGGGCATGCTGATGACGAAGTTTGGCATGAGCGAGAGTAAAGCGTGTTCGGCTGCGTGGATGGCTCCTGCCATGTTCAGTCGCCTCGACTCAAGGATCTGCAGTGCGCTGCGTGGCACATCGAGCCACATGCCTTTGCTGAAAATGGTGATGGGTGGGTTGTCGACTTCCACTGCATCTAAGATGCGACGCTTTGCATCAACTTTGAAGAACCCAAAGACCACTTGTGTAATTCTGATGGTCCCATAGTATGCCCTCGACAACGATTTTGAGATCTTGCGAATAGCTTCGGTCTCGATGGGGTCAATATCAGTAAAATCGCGCTGTTGAGTTGTCCATTCTACCCTCACAAACTCGACTCGAGCCATCATTCTATCTGTCGACATTTCCTTGACCAGATATTTGTTACCTTGATGCAAGTAGATACCTCCTTCATAGATCGTGAAGAACGCACGAGAGGCTTCGAGCTCTTCAAGCACAACATTGCGTCCATGCGTGATATCGACGATTGCAAAGTGATCTTCCTCGGTATCGCGAATTGCCACGAAAGTGGAAGGTCGAGGAAGGAAGCGATCAGCCGTGTGGAAGAAGCCAAGCTCGTCCTTTCTCATTCTGTTCTCTGCAATATCGGTCAAGAGCTTGCCAAAGTATACTTCATCCTCTTTGGGCTGAATGGGCATTTCATTAGCCGCACATTGCACATGTCCCTCAAGGACAAGCATGTTCTCTAGATCGACCTGTAACTGACAGTTTGGCTTTGTGAAAATCTCGTCTGGGTTTTGCATATAGTGCTGATCTGTTGGGAAGGCGTCTCCGACAAGTATAGATATCGAGTCCTTGTTCCTGCGACCAGCTCGACCACTTTGCTGGCGAAGGTTGGCGATTGTGTAGGGGAACCCGCAAGTCATGACCGCATCGAGAGACCCGATATCAATGCCCAGCTCCAGTGCACTTGTTGCCACGATGCCGACAAGTTTGCCCTCGAACATCTCCTTTTCGATCTTTCGACGATCTTGAGGAGCGTAGCCGCCTCGATAAGACATGACTCTTGCCATGACCTCTGCTTTATCAAGGTATGCCAGTTCGTTCTTGACGGCGCCAACCAATGCTTCACACTGTTTTCGCACCCTGCAGAACGCAATCACACGAACACCTCGCAGAATGAGTTGACAGAAGAGCTTCGCAGCTTCCGCCAAAGCGTCACCTCTACCAGAAGTCGGATCTGCTGGATCCTTGAAAGGAGTGTTCCAGCAGAGAAATTCTTTTCTACCAGAAGGCGAGCCATCGAAATCTGTAAGCTTGACCTGCTCCACACCGAAAATGGTCTTCATGTGCTCTTCGGGATTTGCGACAGTGGCAGAACAAGAGATGAACTTTATATGGCGGTTGCCCACAGCAGCACATATTCTGCGCAAGCGTCTCATGATCAGAGCTACATGTGCTCCAAAAAGCCCATTGTAGACGTGCAACTCATCCACAACTACGAAGCGTAGATTCTGGAGAAAAGTCCTCCAAGCTTCTTCTTGTGGAAGGATCGTGATGTGCAACATATCAGGGTTGGTAAAGATGATGCTGCCCTCGTCTCGAATCAAATTTCGATCACACATTTGTGTGTCTCCATCAAAAGTCTCGACAACAAGATCTTGCAGTCCGTCCATGTACTGTAATAAGTCTTTCAGACTGCGCCGCTGGTCTTGAGCAAGAGCCTTTGTAGGAAAGATATACATAGCTCTCGCCTGGTTGTTTTTCTCCAGTTCATGCAGAACAGGTATCTGGTAGATCAAAGACTTTCCCGAACTCGTTGATGTTGATACGATGACATTGTGACCGTCATACAGATTGTTGATGGCCTCCGCTTGGTGCGCGTACAACTGAGTAATACCACGAGTATTGTACAGTGCGTTGACAAGAGTCTGCGATAATTCAAAGTTGAGATCGCCATAGATAGCTGGTTGCGGGTCGAAGACACGATGACCATCCGGCACTATTTGACCAGTGTACCATTCCAGAGTCTTGATCTCGGACACGATCTCAGGGATGGTCTTGCGTTCTTCGGGAATCGATCTTGGCAACAGCGCTCTTCGTTTCTCGGGGGTTGGTGTATTTCCTCTACTTTCCGAAGGCGCGGGAATGTTCAAGTTGTGCTCGATGTCCAGTTTTTCTACCGGATCCACACCCTCTGCGTCGCATTCGTTTAGCCAGGCATTGACTGCAGAGGTAAACTTGTTGTTTCTCTTCTCGATCAGGTTCATCATCTGCTTCTGACTGTAGACGGGCATCTTGAGGTCCTCATCTTTCAGCTTCCGCGTTGCTTTTGTAGGTTCTCCAGTCTTGGTATGTTGTACTTGACGCTTCAGATCTCCATCGATGTACTCGAACAACAGTACCTCCTTGTTTCCTTTTTCTTGCTTGTCTTCTGTTGGTTCTGAGGCCATATAACCTTCGTATCTCTTGTTCTTGGAGTTCTCCTGCTCGCCCATAAGATTCACTTGCAATAGATCTTCGTCGATGTATGCGAAGTTGATGGACCGCGGTATGAGGGCCTTGATCTTGGCGACATCTTGGATGGACAGTTCGCGACCAATGTGTGACTCGACCGTGGTCTTGATAGTCTCAAAAGTGGTAGCCAGATGTTTTCGCGTACAGCAGAAAGTGTAGACCAGATTTAAGGCTCGATGGACTTGAGACAGTTTTGTAAACTCTTCAGGCCAGGGTATGGTCGTCTCTACCATGGAAGATCCTTTCCTGGACAGACTTGGTGCTGCACCTTTGGCCTTGGGCGTTCGCCTCGGTTTCTTGCCTCCATCTTGTGTTTTGGTCGGGACTGTTGTGGTACTTGTGGTCGAATCTTGGATACTCTCGGGCTCGGGTCCTACTTGATCTTGCTCATCCTGGCTCTTTCTTTTTCTCTTACGCACCACTCTGTTAGATACGGTTGCAGCTTGCAGCCTGACCATTGTTGTAGTTGCGACTTGACGCGAAACCCCGATGACGTAGCCAAGGTCAACAATGTATGTTCTGAGAGTAGGATGTCAATTTCAATGGTCGTGAGTCTGGCTATCTGTATCAGCTGTTCTCTGTCGTATGCATATTGTTCATGGCACAAGACAGCAGCGTTTGTGTTGTGTGTATGTGAGAAAGTTGAATTGTGGACGCCGACGCCTTTGCCACTGTTTACTTACCACCACACAAAGAACAAATATATACGCGAGCCACTAAGGTGTTTTTCAAAACAAATAAATATTTGAGAGACAGCTGGAAATCCAAGGACTTTTCTTTCAAAAATTCTTATTTTGGTATTGGTCACGGATTTTATCTTGTATGCTCAGGTCAATGTAGTCGCCGAAAACAGAGGACCACCCATCCAACTCATGTGCCCATGCTGCTAACCTTCGCATCAATGCTAAGAATGCGCCAGCCTCAACGCAGTATCAAGTAATTACTGTCGTTGTATATGATCCTCTACATCTGTTCCTGCAAACTTGTGATATGATCCCAAAGTTCCATGGCGAATTGCGGTCTCAGCTGTTATCCATGTCAGTATACTGCTTGTTCCGTGGAAAGAGGTGGTGAATTCAAACCTTCAGTTGAAGAATCTCGAGCAGTGGCTTGCCATCGAGAGAACCCATCAGACTCATGAAATGTCCAGTGGGCCTGTTGCCCTGCACATCACCATACTTCAGATCCTTCTGAACAGGGGTGTTGAGGATAACGCGGTGTGAGCCATCTGCACGCATGACAAGTCTAGCCTTAATTGTCGAGTCCTTATCATCAGGCTTTGGTTCAGTCACGTTCAAACGGATGACACCAATGCCACGTTCTTTCCATTCCTTCTTGTCCACGAAATTGTACAGCTTGGCGCGACATGTGTACTCTGTGGTTTCGCCTTCTTCGCCAGTTTCGACTGTATTATTGTTAGCAATCATAAGACACAGCTATTATGGAGAATGGGGCTCTTACTGTCTTGTTCGAAGAAACGTTCGTCCTTCTTGTCCTCATCGACGATAAGCTTTGGGCTCTTAGCTCCAGAATCTTCCTCGCCGTCATCTCCAGACTGCTCATCCTCGTCCTCGGCAGGTGCGCCAAACGCTGTGATGCCTGTTTTTGTGCTTGAACCAATGACTCCGGGAGTACCGCTGCTTGCGAAGCTGGTCAATTTCTGGCCGCTGCCCAGGCCGCCGAAACCTCCACCGAAACCATTACCAAGTTTTCCAAAGCCAGAAGCGCCTGAGCCGAAAGCAGAAGAGCCAGCAGATGCGAAGGGTGAAGCTGTAGATGCAAGACCGCCAAAAGCACTTGGCGTGGGTGCTGGCTTAGCACCATCCTCGCCAGGTGCAGGGGTGCTCCCAGGACTTGCGAAGCTAGAAAGAGTCTTATTCTGGCCGAGCGTGCCAAAGGCCGATGTGGAAGAGCCAGCAAGTGCACCAAAGGCAGATGAAGCAAAGGCGCTAGTAGTAGATGAGGGTGTTTCTGAGGGGGATTTAGTGTTGGCTAGGGAAGCAAAGGGTGAGGATGCAGAGGTGTTCGCGAAACCACTTCCTGCAGGGATCTTGGTAGCAGGTTGGGGTTGTTGTGCCGGCTCTTCAGCAGTCTTTCCTTCAGATTCGACGGCTGCCTTTGCATCTGATGTCGTCTGCGAGATCGTGTCGGTACCAGTCGTGTCGTCGACCTTGCTACGCTTCGTCTTTGGACTCTCGTCAGACTTGTTTAAGCCGTCTGATTCGGTTGCATTGGTAGTCGATGTAGATGGCGCAGAAGGCTGAGGTAGTTCCACCGCTACAGGCTGGTCATCTCTTTCGAGTTCACTAGACTTGCGCTTGCTGGGTTGTTCAACAACCTTGTCTTCGGGCGAGTTTTCCCTAGATCTCTTGTTCTTGCGAGCCTGTCTACTCTTATGCGCGGGCTCTTCCTCTGGGTTCTCAACATCTTCGTGACTTCGCTTTCGCTGCAATTTGGAGCGGGGTTTCTCGGCCTCAGGTTCGGGCTGCGAGGTCGCGGTCGCGGTCGTGTCGGCAGGCTGCGGTACGCTTTTGATGGTGGCGTTCCTCAATCTCTCTCTGAGAGGCCTCTCACCTCCCTCGGTGTCAGAAGCGTGTGATTCCTTAGGTGAGGTGGGCATTTTGGTTGCGGCAATGCTGGCGGGGAAAGCTGCTGTGTGATGATAGTGAAGATTTGGAGTCGCGAGAAGCGACGGCGCAGGGAAAGGTCGAGAAGATAGATGCTTGTTCGCTGGTGGTGGGATTGATGCTGAAAAGGACAAGGCAGAGCTGAGCAGGTTCAGAAGTTGGTCGAGGCGGCTCGTTCAGATGAAGCTGCTCAGTCTGTGTCGGTCGGTGGGTCTGGTGTCTTGTCCGAACATCCAATTGAGCGACCCTTCAAGACACGGCTATGCGCACTGGATGGTTGAAGAAAATTGTGACTAGTTTATTCCAAACACAATATCAACGTAAAATAGCAGTTGAGAAATTACACAATGCTTGTGCTGCAGTAACCGCCTTGTGTCTTGATGCCGTCGGCGCTCGCTCTCCGGACTAGGCCCAAATTGGCCATCATTGTCTTTGTCTCGTTATCTCGTCTCGACCCCTTCGTCTGCGCCTGCAAGACAGCTTTTCGAGATAGTAAAGTTAGATTTGCTAGAGCTCGCATCATAAAGCACGAGCCTAATTCTTGTGAAACTGAGTCTCAATGAGGAATTCCGTTGAACAGTTAGGGAATTGAATACGATTGCTTTTGCTCTCTATCTTGGCTAGATAGCCCACTAGCTGATGAAACACAAGCATCCTAGGCCAATGTAGAAGACCAGCAGAGGAAAGACTGCAATGCCGACCCGATTCTTGACGACACCAGAGCCTCCAAGGATGCTGACACCTGCAGCCAGTGACCATGCGACCAGCACAATGTACACGGGGATTCTGGCAATCATGGGCAGACCGATCGCGCTCAGCATTGATGCAATGACAAGTGGGAACAAAGTATACCCTATGATGCACACTGACTGGAAGAACGAACTGCGGCACGTATTAGCATTCGAACAGCAATCGCGGACAAGATTGTCAACTTACATGCTGCCGCCTAGAAGCTTGATTTGAAGTGTGACAACAGCCTCTCCAATCCAGACGGTAGCGAAGACTCCAGAAAAAACTATCGACTTCTGCTCGTCTTGTGCACCGCGTGAGAGAAGGAAACTCAGGAGCAAGCAGAAGACGAGAGGACCCCTGGACAATTGTTAGTTTTTCGGAAGTACGACAGCCACTGGTATGCATACCAAAGATCCCAGTCCCTCAAGCCCTCACTCATGCCGCTCTGCAGAACCGTATCTGCATCTGGCCATCTGCCTACCAGCCCATGCAAACCACCGCCGCTGAGACTGTCTCCCTCAGCTCTTTCTGCACCTCCCATACCTCCGCCGCGTTGGAGCAGACCACCTAGGAGATATTTGGGATAAAGCACTTGGCGCATCTTCTCCCAAATGGCGAGCAAGTCTCGTGACAGGGTTTCCCAAACGCTCTCATCGATAGTGTTTTGAGGTGCTCTACGGTCCTCGCCGCCAATGGTATCGTTCAGGTAAGATTGGGTGTTTTGCGCGCGAGCTGATGGTTGTTGGATGTTGCCTGTCAGGGGTGCTCGGTCGGAGGACGATGCGAGAGGGTCTTCGAGGTCCAAAGCAGCTTCTTACTATTAGCAACTGCTTACTCCAGGTCGCTACGATATTGGATACCATCATCTGGGTCGATAAGATCATCTTCGAGCGGATCATGATCGTAGTGTTCGTAGGGGTTCGCGGAAGATGTTCCGCTAGGCATCATGGCGGCCATGTTATTCGGAAGTATCGTGCGATTTCTAGATTCGGCGACACAAGTTGGGCAGAATGCAACGCTTGTTGTAAAACTTGTTGCGCAATTGTTCTGTCTCCTGGATTGAAAGCTGCCAGCTCAGCTACATGTGCTACGCCAGCGAAGCTCAACACGAGACGCGTACAGCGGGAACTGCCGAAGTTCAACCATCGCCATCAATCTTCACATGCAAACCTCTCCGATGGCAACCCAAGGTACCTACAAATACTTTATGCCGCTGCTCGTCTTTGTCTTCAACACCTCTATGAGCTTGAGGGGTCGGTTAGCTATTCCTCTGAGTTCGCATCTGCGATGGGATTCAAGCTCACTCGACTGGTGATCGATTATCGGCGTTAGCTCCGGACCGAAAGGCTAATCCCAGCTGTATACAATAGGCTGAATTCACCCAAGCCAGCACTCTTCTTTTGCTTGATAAGTACAGCTTCCCCAGCCGTAGTCTTCTACTCTATCATGTTGCTGGTCCTTTCTCCAGCTGCCCGAGCTATCCGCCGTGATTTCGACTTACAGCTCGATGGCTGGGGAGAAATTGGGCCCCGCATCCATCGCTTTGCGGAGGATTTCAGATGACGGAGTAGACGGATAAATACAGGTGGGCTGCCAGGCTTCAAGGCGTGGTTAGGGTTGTTCACGACAGTGATCTCCAATACCAATTTTTCGTCGACCTCTTTTCTTCCTCGCTCCTTCATTCTTGTCTTCCAACTGCACTCGAACCTGTCCAGCTCACGATGCCTGACGCGATCCTGGACGACATTTCTCACCGACGCTTCAACCCATTGAGGGGAAGCTGGATTCTGGTCTCCCCCCACCGTACCAAGCGACCATGGCAGTAAGAGACAAGCTCGCACCGCAAGAGGCGGTCCAGAATACTTATGCAATCTCAGAGGACAGCAAGAGGGTGCTTCGAAGACGACACTTCCAGACTATGACCCATCTGTACGCACCACCGCATCATCTACAAAAAGTTCTGCGACTGAATAGAGCGACAGTGTTACCTCTGTCCTGGCAACAAGCGCGCTGCTGGCGACTCCAACCCCAAATACGAAAGCACCTACGTCTTCGTCAACGATTACAGCGCTGTCAAAGAGGAGCAAGCCGAGTATGAGCAGCCAGCCAATGATGGCAGTAGGTTACGAACATCACCATCACGGACAACAGACATTGATTCAGACCAGGTCTCGCCAACACTCTACTACGCGCCGAGCCGGTGACTGGCAAATGCTATGTCATTACCTTCTCTCCTACACACAACTTGACCCTCGCAGACCTCCAGCCCTCTGAAATCCTCCCTGTCATCAACACCTGGACTCAGATCTACACTACTCACTTGTCTCCCAAGTCCATTCTCGCCGAAGTCGCAAAACCTACCACGATTGCTCCTCATGGTCAGGACCTCGCCGCACCGAATGCGCAATATCGTTACATGCAAATTTTCGAGAATAAGGGTGCTGCAATGGGCTGTTCCAACCCTCACCCTCATGGTCAGGTCTGGTGCACGACCGGTACGCCAGAGGAGCCTTCCCTTGAGTTAGAAAGCCTGCAAAAATATCGTAAGGAGCATGGCGGATCACATATGCTGGTTGACTATGCCAATCTCGAGTCTGAGAAGAAGGAAAGAATCGTATTCGAGAACGAGTCGTTCCTTGCTGTATGTCCCTGGTGGGCCACCTGGCCCTTTGAGGTCATGATTATCGCTCGCACCCACAAGCGTGCCTTGGTCGATTTCGACGACAAGGACAGACAGGATTTGGCCGAGGCTATCGCTGAAGTTACCAGACGCTACGACAACCTCTTTGAGACTCAGTTCCCCTACAGTATGTCACTAAGAACATGTGATTTGAGACACAGACACTAACCATAGAGCAGGCATGGGTCTTCACCAAGCACCCCTCGAAGGAACCCCCGACGAGATCAATGCTAGTCACTTCCACATCCATTTCTATCCTCCCCTTCTTCGCAGCGCTACTGTGCGCAAGTTCCTGGTTGGTTACGAGATGATGGCAGAGCCTCAACGCGACATTACCCCTGAGCAAGCTGCTGCCAGACTTAGAAACTGCGGTGGAGAACTCTACCGCAAGAAGCTGAACTGATCTTGACTTGGATGACCATTGGACGATGTTGGACTCTATAGAAAGTGAATCGCTCTAATCATTATTATGCTCATTACGGATCATGTGCTGTGCCTTGTGGCTTATTCTTCAAAATGGCGAAGTCTCAACTTGATGCCGCCTCTTCCTTTTGTGTTCTCCTATGCCTTGACATAGTGATCCCACTGGGTGTACATCCAGATCAAAGAGGTGGTAGCAACAATGGCAGGCCCAGCGAGACCCTTGCCCCATCGAGTAGAGCCAAAGACCAACCACTCGGACATGAAGTGGGCAAAGGCAACGATATATGTCCAGAAAGCCAACTCATACATGGGCTTACTGTTGATGTTGTAGGCGGCATAGAGACGAACAATGGCAGTAATTGCGGTCCAGGTGCCAAAGGTACGAGCTGAAAGAGGCGTGACGGGCGATGTGCTGGGAACGGTGCTGGCCGGGACACCAGCTGGGACGGTCTTCGAGCCGCAATAGACTTTCTGTGTCGGACCAAGAGAGAGGTAGGCTTGTATGCTGTTACCGAGCGATACAATCGAGATCTACATAGGCAAGGTCAGAAAAGTTGCCAGCCATTGAGGCATTGCAGACGTACGAAGAAGATCCATTTGGGCAAGAGACCCTCGGCTGGAGGCAGATACTCGAGCAGCGAATTCATCTTGTGCCAATTGATGCAGAGATACAGGTGACTGTTGCGTGCAGAAGGTAAACATCAGACGACTGCTTGGAGCATGAAATTGGACCCTCGGACCCTGACTCGCCGAAACCCCCGAACCGGCACCCCCTCGAAAGCGCCAACTGGATTTCTTTGAAACATCTTTTTATCTATCGACAACATCAAATCGGATTTAACATGACTGCACTCATCGAAGACCCCTGGAAGGAGCCAGTCACTGCCCTGTTTGCCGGCATTGGCATCCTCTACATCACTCTGAAAATCTTCAGCTTCTGGAGATTGATTGCTAGTCTGTTCATCCTACCTGGTACCTCCGTGAGTAATCTTCCTTGCTCTTGCTCTAGCACAGTTCTGACAACCAAAAGCTCTCTAAGTTCGGTCGTAAGGGAAGTTGGGCTGTCGTGACTGGTGCTTCTGATGGTATCGGCAAGGAGTATGCCTTGCAGCTTGCAGCAAAGGGCTTCAACATTGTTCTGGTCTCCCGTACCCAGTCGAAGCTCGAGACTCTTGCCTCCGAGATCCAGTCCAAGTACGCTGGTGTTCAGACCAAGACTCTTGCTATGGATTTCTCTCAGAGCTTGGATTCCGATTTCCAAGCTTTGAAGGCCCTGGTCTCTGATCTGGAAGTCTCCATCCTTATCAACAATGTTGGTCTGAGCCACGAAATGCCCGTTCCTTTCGTTCAGACTCCTGAGAAGGAGCTCAAGGACATCATCACCATCAACTGCATGGGCACCCTTCGTGTTACTCAAATCGTTGCACCTGGTATGGTACAGCGCCGTCGCGGTCTGATTCTCACTATGGCTTCCTTTGGTGGCATTCTTCCTACTCCTCTCCTGGCTACCTACTCCGGCAGTAAAGCTTTCCTTCAGCAATGGAGCAGTGCTCTAGGCTCCGAATTGAAGCCTCACGGCGTTCACGTGCAGCTTGTTCAGTCCTACCTCGTCACTTCGGCAATGTCCAAGATCAAGCGTGCCAGCGCTACCATCCCCAACCCCAAGCAATTTGTTAGAGCTGCTTTGGGTAAGATTGGCCGCTCTGGCGGTGCCCAGGGTATTGCATACACCAGCACTCCTTACTGGAGCCATGGTATCATGCACTGGGCACTCGGCACCTTCACTGGCACCATGAACTCGATTGTCCTGGACCAGAACAAGAGTATGCACGAAAGCATCCGCAAGCGTGCTCTGAGAAAGCTCGAGAGAGATGGCAAGAAGGGACAGTAAGTCCTCGGGTCTGTCAATACGTCAATGAACACCTGCACTGCCCTGACCAGGGCCATAAGCTTGAAAGGCATACCAGCCTCAGCAGTTGCTATCTGACCAAAAGTTCTGCTGTGCAGATGTTGTACACTATTTCGAGGTGGTGCACAGCTTGTTCGAGCTCGCAGCTCGAAAAGGAACAGCCAATGGGAATATGGTGGAAACAGTCAGCACACGTCGCCAGCAGCAACGCACATATTGCAATATCTGCACGACTTTGTATTGAGTTAGGACAGAATCCTAATAAGAAAGCAAAAAAAATCATACGATTTTCCGCCATGCTGCGCTTCCCTGCATAAACTATCAAATGCCTCAGGTACCGCAACTTAGAAGCGGCTCGGAGAAGATGCCGCGGACTGCAAACAAGCTGATGAGGCCTAACTTGGAGCTTCGGCGGCGTCGACCTGAGCAATGTCACTGCTTGTCCTTTGTAAGCCTGCTGCTTAATAGTATGACACAGTCTGCTACTTGTTGTAATCGCAGCATGTGCCGAGTCAGCTTGGACTGACCGTTTCCTGTAATCAGCACTATCGGCTGCAGTTTCTCAAAGTAAAATCGACGTCACTCGGAGTTTGATCTTTCCTGGCACCGTGCAGCAGCTTTCCCCACTCGTCGGCGATCTTCGCGTGGTGCGCAACGGGCAGCAGCCTCGTCACCTCCTTCATCGTCCTGCTTTGTGTCCTCGTCCTGGAAGAACAACAGACAATCAGACACTTTCATTGAAGCCTTCCATACAACTTCTGCAACATGCCTGAGAACAACTCGTCCGAGGGAGTCGCCCAGACTATCCAGACAGTACACGAGCGCGTCCATTCGGGTACGTCTTGAGATTGGTTATCGCACAGCAGCAGAACCCTGACAGTTGCAGTGAACCCTTTCATGGACCGCGAGTCTTATCCCACCGGAAGCCTCAGAAGCTACAAAATCCTGACAGCTGCTTCATGGCTTCTCCTGGTCGTCACCAGCATCTATTACACCTTCAATGCACCCACCGAGGGCAAGCACCACCGAGGCACCATCTGGCACCAGAACTCGCACCGCCACACCCCCTTTGCTCTCAACTCCATCATCACCTCGGTCTACATGATCGTCCTGTACATCCTTCAGATCGGCTACTGCTGGCACCTGTACTCGGAGAACCCTGTCTACGTCAAGGCCGCTGCTGATGTTGGCTCACACTTCATCTTCAACAACCTGCTCTGGTTCGGTTTCATTCACCTGTGGTGTCGTAGCCACTTCTGGCTCGCCGAGATGCTGGTCATCATCAACTTCTTCAACCTCTCGGCCCTCTACTTCAAGCACTCGAGAACTCCAAGATTCATTCACATCCCCGTTGTCTCCGGTCCTCTGGCCCTCAACTACGTTCTCCTTTTCACCGTTGGTGCTGCTGCCGTCAATGCACACTCTCTGCCTGCCAGAATCTTGGCCAATGTCATGATCTGGTCCATCATGGGCTACGGCTTCTTCTTCCTCGTCGCCTACAAGGACTACACCATGGGTTTCAACCTGAGCGTTCTCTGCGCTGGTAAGTCGGATTCGAGCGAGCATTTGAGTCAATCTAATGGTTTCTGTAGCCCTCGGCGTCTCCCAGTTCCTCACTCACGTCATCGCATTCCAGTGGATCTTCGCCTTTGTTATCATGGGCGTTTTGTTCATTCTCTCTGTCTTGGTCAGCTTCCCTGGCATCATCGGCCAAGACCCATTCAAGCGCGGCGCTGTTGTCGACGAAGACAGAGAGAGGCAGCCTCTGCTCCAAGAAGAGTAAGTCTTTCCTGCAAGGATTTGACATCTGTGCATGTTGGGAGCCAGTACACTGGATGGCAACTGCCGCACATCTTAGCTGCTGCATTCGAGCCCTTGGTTTCTTTGATCGACGAGTAAATGCACCATATTGGTCTATAGCCTGTCTTGAAACCTAGTGGTTGTGTGGCTCCTCGATCATTCGGGATGCTCGTTTCAGAACAACACTCTATTACCGCCGCTCACAGAGTCTGAGTGTCACTGCGATCTAGTGTAACTATATTTTCTCATGACCGAAACCAGACAATGAATTGATTCTAGTCAACAAAACATCGTACCCAATGTTCCCGTACAATCTCCAATTGTCAGAATGTATAATAGCATGAACCTCTCTCACAACAACGGTGTTTCATCGTTGGTGCCATCCCGAAGACCTCATATGCCATCACTTCCAGGCAATCTGAATGTCTTTTACCCCGACAGGCAGTGTGACAGCTCCAATGCAATCACTCTTGCCCTGTTCCCTCAGCATGATCTTCTTTCCGATATCATCGTCCTCGGAGGTATCCGAACCTCGACGCAGGTCGATCTCGCGTGATCGATGGCTAATCATCTGAGCCTGTAGTTTCGCTTGAAATGATTTGACGGTCCCAACAGATTGCTCCGAATCGTCAGACTTTGGAAATGTGCCCTGCTGTTCCAGTAATTTTTGACATCTAGAGCAGATGCTTGAGAGCATAGGAACAGTTCTCTCATATCCTCGCTGGCAGGCACCATGTTCGTTGGGTAGGAGGCGCGATGGGTTTCTGGGACAGAACTCATGGATTGGCATGCTCGCGTGCCCGCATTTGTGAATTGATGTTTCGATGCGACACATGACTTTGGAAGGTTTGAGCTTTATTCTCGTTCTGAGACTGTAACTACAGTCCGTAGATATGATTCGTCAAAATGAGAGGTGGGTAGAAATGAAATTGCGTTGCTTTTTCTTTCTTCTCTCTGACAGTCAGCTACCTCAGGCAGGGTTAAATATCTCTCTTTTTGCTCAAATACATCATCTTCACGGTTGCTCGGGCCGCAGCCAGCAGCATTGTGCTACAAGAGGTCACATGCATTGGGCGCTATATCGATCTCGCCTCATCTCGTCTCACAATCTGTCTGCCTCTACCATTCGTCCGTGGACAGTCGCATGGGATGTGTGAGCAGTTTCGTAATGTTGACGAACAAGATTCGGAGCGAATACTGCCGATGGTTGGTTTGACATGTGGCACGATATAAGGATTCTCCTCCTATTTGAACATCCAATGGTGATGATGGACGGTTGAGTATGTGCGTTGGGCTTCGTGATGCCAATCCAGATTTTCCATATGGAATGGAAGCCTCGACCGTGAAAATGATAGGTTGAATCTTTGTTTCGAAAGAAGTCACAACCTCGTGAATGTTTTATAATCCGGTACCGAGGCATGAATTACGCTATAGGACAGGTCTGGGTAGCAAGAAACAAGTGCCAACAGGTCCGGAATTGCCGTTCCAAGCTGGCGCCGTCGTTCAGCGACTCCGAGCCTTACTCTCAGCGAATGGTACATGCAGATTTTGTATGTTGTTGCCTTGATTTGCAAGAGACTTGGCTATGTATTTAGATCTACCCCGCCTATCTCATCAAGTCTCTCCAATGACGAGATGAGGTGGTGTTGTGCAAGAGTAAGGACCCGTCAGGTAGCGCTGACTATGAGCACACCATCGGCTTCGGCATACTAGATCGAGAAGATGTAATGAGAAACAGGCAGTATTGGGATCTTGTGCTGAGTGGACGGTGATATAAGACGTGGAATGATGATGCCGTCAAAGAAAGTTGACTGCTCAGTGGTCCATGATACAAACGCCCCTACCTTGCCGATAACGAAGCCCCCTGTTGTTGCGACGTGTTGCGGAATCGAAGTCCGATGGTCGTCCTTGCCATTCCTTTGTGCTTTTGTTCGACCACGACCTTGCTTAATCATCTGGGCTGATCTGTTGATATCAGTTCAGATTCTGTCCCTGTATTCCCCTTGACTCTTTCCACGTGTGACATGAATTGTACCACGGCGATCAACTTAATCATGTTGTGGTGCGCTCTGGGACACGATGTGAAGTCCAACAACTAGCGATCGCAAGCAGTTGGACAGAAGATATGCTCCGACACATGACATGCTCACAAACAGTCGAACTCAACAGGTATCTGGAAGTTCGTATCTGGAAGTTCGTATCTGGAAGTTCGTATCTGGAAGTTCGTATCTGGAAGTTCGTATCTGGAAGTTCGTATCTGGAAGTTCATTACCTAGCCCAAAGCTGTGGTCTCTGACATACTCGCAAGCTTTAGCTGAACGCAACGCTATTCAGCTGATTCATCGCCCAAGCATGTCAACAACGATAGCCACCACATGTGAACCCACGAACCGTGTCAAAGCCGGGTCCGAGCTTCAGTTAAAGAATGACATTATTGAGTTGTTTTCACTGTGGGACAATTCAGAAGCTTACACTGGAATATTTGTTAGACATGATCGACCTATCATCTCATCCTAGTATCAGTCTCGAAGAGGCACTCTGAAGACCAAAACGAGAGTCTGGAGCAAGGATCTTATGCAAACTTTCTAGGGCTTCGGACTACTTTGATACTGGCAAACCCGAAAGAGATATCATGACTGCCAAGAAAGGATGCAAGCCACACCCACTCGTGGCTGACAGTGATACACAATGAGTACGTACCGCAGCTGTGAGAGGGCCAGACTACCTTTCGGAGTTGTCGAAACCTTAAGATGACATCGAACCTATCGTCGTGCATACCACAGCTGAGGTCTCGCTTGGCCAGTCGGCGAAATGGCAGATGTCTCCTCGTCTTGTTCGGAAGGATTGAAGTGAACACGAGTTTGTTACTCAACACATTGTCCAGATCCGCGAGGGCAATTTGCCGTATACCCAGGGAGCTGAGTATGGCTATCACTGCACCAAAGGATCTAGAAGAGATCATACATGCTAGAGAAATGGTCTCAATAGTGGCTGTGGCAAGTCCATGGCGCTCGCGCTTACTGTAAGCTGGCACCTTGGCGAACATATAACAGTGGTTGCGACTTCACTCTGCTGCAGGGACCCGGTATCATCTAATTCTCCTTCAAGCTTTCTTACAGTACTCAGTCATGCGTCTCTCCCTATCAACGACGCCTCTTTTGGCTTTCCTCGCGCTGAATCTCAATCTTCATGCCAAAGCATGGCCAGCAATGGCCCAACAGCTTGCTGAGATCTCTCGTCGTTCGCCTCAAACAGTAGCTCCAGACGTCCCCGTCGACGGTGACCTTCAAAGGGTTGGTCTTGGGGATGTTAAGAATGGTGGTACCACTCCCGTCGGTACAAGTGTCTACAATATCCTCATGGGAACGGAAGCTGGCGATTCCGCTGTGGCTGGTTATACACCGCCTGGCATCGCTGGAACCAAGGCATGCAAAGCAGACACCTGCTGTGTATGGTGGTGGATCGCACAAGCCATGACTGTTGCATTCACAGGTCCAACTGGTCGATGCAATGGTTTCGCCCGCGCAGCCATCCGTCTAGGCTTTCATGATGCTGGATCATGGTCAAGCTCTCTTGCGGCTGCTGGTCAAGACTTTGGTGGCGCTGACGGAAGCATTATTCTGTCAGGAACCGAGATCAGTAGAGCAGGTTCGTTCCCACACTCTTGCCGCATCTTCCACAAATGCTAATACTAAGACACATAGACAACAATGGCTTGGCAGACATCGCCAATCAAGCTCTTCTATGGGCCAAGCTGTTCAATGTTGGTGTTGCCGACATCATCCAATTTGGGGCTGCTCATGCAGTGGTCACTTGTCCGTTAGGGCCTCGCGTCCGCACCTTTGTTGGTCGCAAGGATAGCACAAAGGCCGCTCCCCAGGGTTTGATGCCTTCTGTGACGATGACAGCAGACCAGATCATTAGTCTTTTTGAAGACAAGACTATCCAACCTCATGATCTCGCTGCTCTTCTCGGTGCGCACAGTACAAGCCAACAGTTCAACGTAGACAAGACGAAAGCCGGCTTCAGTCAAGACTCTACACCAGGTGATATAGCACTTTTGAATTAAACTCAGAACACAGCTAACGAGAGTATCAGGTGTCTGGGATGTAAACTTCTACAATGAGACCCTCCAGCCGGGGACAAATAGCAAGGTCTTCAAATTTCAAAGTGACCTTGTTACTGCGAACGACTCGAGGGTCAGCGACGAGTGGCAGAAATTTATAGGAGATCAGAGCCACTGGAACGGGGTAAGTTTTCGACTACAAACAGTTCATCGATCTTGTGCAGGTGCTGACAACAGTTGCAGGACTATGCTTCCGCCTATGTCAGACTGAGCATGCTTGGTGTCAACAACATCAACAATCTGACAGAATGCACAAAAGTCTTGCCGGCTGCAAAAGTCACATTTGCAGGCGCATCCACGCCCGGTCTTCTTGGCTGAGCATGATGTTTGTTTTAGCGTCGCGTTTGTTATGGTATACCCCGAAGGTGCTGGAATCTATAACGCAAGTATTCATAGAAATGTACAATATTTTTCAATATCAGTGTGGTATCTATTGAGAAGCGAGGCTCTTCCTGGTCACGATTCTAGCCTGGAAGTATTTATATCACTCCATGATTCAGAAGTTATTTTATGCCCTTGCAGGAAGACAAGGCACGGCATTTTGGTTTTCTGCACATGAGAAGATATCTTGGAACCAACAGGATACTTCAGCTCATGGACCACGCTCTCATAGGACTACATAGACGTTCTGGAATCCACTCCCCTCAACATCGCCTGTCGCCCGTCAGAGTGGCACCTCGGTTGAGATGACCAAGATGTTGTGTTCAGCGCTGAACTTCCAGCGCTCCGTCAAAGGTTTAATTCTGGACTCTACTATCAAGTGGTGCATAATGACCGCGGAAGTATATGCAGGTCAGCGTCCGGATTAGGTCAATGAGAAGAATTGCAGGTGGCCACTCACGGAAGCTGAGTCTGGTCAGCAAGCAGTACTTTCGTATTATACAAGTGACAGTACGTTTCTAGCCAAGGCTTCGAGCGGCTCGAATAGGTCGTCGCATCGACCATATAAGGGAAGAAGTAGATACCCGAGAGTCTAAAGCCATCAAAGTTCCACCCTCCCCGCACCAAAACGTACACACCAACTTCCCAAGTCCGGCGGCTTGGAAAGAGATGTGCAAGCCACCTTCCTTAGCGGAGAGGACTCCCGGACATCGAATCTCTTGCAGCCCTAGCCGTCGCATCACTCTTCCGAGTATCTAGCATTGAGATCTATGTACATCTTCAGCAGCCAGTCAGCCTACGGACCACGGTCAGCACGCCTCTGCGAGGTACAAGGCCTCAACCTCCCGCCCAGACTTCTGGATTCATGCATGATGAGCATTGTTGCGTTCAAGCTGATCGAAACTTCTCCAGAGATCAAGCCGCATGGCTACCATGAAGTGCCTGCGATATTCGCTTTCTAGAGCCTCTGGCTGAACTCCGAATATGCTCTTACAACACCAGTATCAAAGTTCGCGGGCACCGAGAAGGTTTCCAATCTGACAACTCCGTCAGCACATGGCCCAGAACGCTGCGCTTGCTGGCTTCATATCAGCTATCCCAGCTATACACATCTCCGTGTAAGAGGCATAGACCTACTCGCCACTGGCCATGCACCATTCTCACAGCTCGGTCACTCCGTTCAGTGGCTTGATGGCTACATCCTCTGTAGAGATTCCAGACAGCTTGGTCAGCGGTTGTGCTGCGCTTGGACAACCGAGATATCTCGAAAGTGCAATCACAACATGACCATCTGTGTATATAAGGTTGTCTGTGAAGCGCTCTTGTATCGATCATCAGCATCATCTCATCGGACTCCGATACTCAGTTTCAGACTCTCTTCTTTCTCATCCATTACAGCCAACATGATTGCAAATCTTGCTACTCTGCTGTTGGTTAGCACTCTCGGCGTTGCAGATGCATTCTCCATGCCAGAGGCAGCATCGTCCTTTACCTCTCTGCTGGCATCCTCACTCAACAACGCTATCCCCAATACTCTTATCCGCCGTAGTGGTGGCTCAGGTGGCTGCCCAGCAATCTGGACTACTATCTCTTCTGACCTCACCGCGTCTTTCTTGGGCTCCGATGGCCAGTGTACTGACCTTGCGAGAGCCGCTATTCGCTTCGCGTTCCACGATGCTGGTTGGTGATCTGATTGATGATGCTTCGCCCACAGAAACTAACATGCCATATAGGGCCATACTCGTCAAAGACAACATGGTATGCACCTGCTGCAGGCGGTGCAGATGGTTCTCTTCTCTTGAATTCAGACGAGATCAATCGCCCAGAGAACGGAGGCTTGGCTGACTACCGAACATGGTTGATGGGAAAGTACACTCAGTACAACAGCAAGGCGACTGTCGGTGCCGCCGACTTGATTCAATTTGCTGGTTCCCATGCCGTCATCACATGTCCTGGTGGGCCAAAGATCAAAACTGTCGTTGGCAGAAATGACAGCTCTACGATAGCCCCTGACGGCTTCCTCCCTGCTGGATTCGGTCCTAACTCCTCTCACGATGTCCTGTACCAGCTCTTCCTTGACAAGGGCTTCAGTGCCAGAGATCTGGCAGCACTTATTGGCGCACACTCCACCAGCAAAGCATTCACCCAACAGGCCAACGGCATCCCCAGTGGTGGTCAACAAGATAGCACTCCCGGAAAGTGGGACATTTCTTACTACGCTCAAGTCAATAATCCTCCTGCAGGCGTCTACCGCTTCCAATCCGACATCAACCTCTCAAACGCATCGACAACAGTCGGCAAACAATTCCAGGGCTTCGTTGGCAACCAGGGCAAGTGGACGAGCTCGTTCGCCGATGCTATGGCTCGTCTGAGTGTGTTGGGTATTCCTGCTTCGACGCAGTCCAACTTCATTGACTGCACGAACGCCCTGCCGCAGGGTACGTCCTCGAAGAGAGACATTCGTGCTGCACCTATCAACGATCGTGCACGATAGTACAAGAGGATTCACTCTGGATTTGCATTGGGGCGTTGTTTAGCTTTATTCTCTTCTCGTTGACTTGTATCACCGAAATGAAACAGATTTGCCTGATCTTTGGATGATCGCTGTGAACCCATGGTTGCATAGTTATGATCAAGTTGTGAAAATTAATGCCTCAATTGTGCACTATATCACAATTACACGTCGTGGTTGCTGCCTTCCTTCGCTTCGTACTTGCCAAATTTCAGATCATCTGTCTTCTTCTTGCCATCGTGAGCAGCTCGCATGATATCGAACAGACACAGCTTCCAACCACATTTCCTTACGTCTCGTCTAGGAATCCGTTTATTGTCACAAGTCGACACATATAGCAACAAACAGATCACGCTATAAAAACGTACTGAATGCCAAACATGGAATCTAGAGAACCAAACAAGAGGGCCGAGTTCGGTCTAACACCTCAGCAAGATCAGCTCCTGGCCCTGACAACACTCATCTCCACGATATCGCTCGCGACACTGGACATCAAAGCCGGCGGACAAATGCTAGGTGCTAGCAATTCTGCACTCGCGAACGCACTGCCTCCTCGTGTAGACGTCTCGCTACCCAAGACACCAGCCTTGGTTGAAGGTATCTCACGCTCTTACCTTCGAGGAGCTACGGCATGTGCATTCTTTTACCTTGCATACAAGGACTATCGGACTACACAGCTTCGCCAGCAGAGTTCAGAAGATGAGGATGCCTCGTCTTGGAGATGGAAGGCATGGGCTGCTTGTGGTGCTGCAGGTGTGCTGGCGCAAAGCCTTGGTCCGATGCCTGGCGGTGCATGGGAAAGGCTTCATAAGCCTGATAGCAGTGTCAAAGGGCAAGCTCAGAGACTGGGGATGCTGACTATGGTGAAAGGAGGGATTTTGATGGCTACAGTGCCGTTCTGCTTAAGCGCTTGGAGGTCTCTATGAGGTGAGCACTACATCAAGGGCAAGACCATAAGGCTGAACTCTTATTCGAGAAAGCGAAGAAGCTAACGAATATAAGAATCGCAGGTTCAGAGCTCGACAATACCTCCTATGCGTGTTAAAGAGACCGCACGACCCTTTCGCAAAGAAGGCATTTACCACAGAGACACTTCATGGACGGCCATCTCTACGGCCAGGCCTAAATTTAGAACACAACTGTGCATTTCATCAGCTTGGGATTTCTTAGCCTACTTTATGAACGGATAACCTCTTCCTCGAGTACCTTCGGACGTGCTTCACTTCACCTTCGGTCAAGCGGCAATGAACTGCAATGGACTCATGCCAATCCAAGCGCAACAAACTCTCAGCCATCTTTTGGACTTGCGAGTTCAAATCTCCCAATATCTGCGAGGAATTCTTGATCGAAAGCGAACTGGGTCATCACATGTCGAGAGACTGGTTCATCTCGCAAGCCGACTTCGAAAACCTGGTGGCGGCTAGGGAGATTATACGAGAGTAAAAGCACAGCACTACACTTCAATGGATACTGGAGGTATGGCTCTCCAAGCTGTTCTTTGTATTGTTTACCGGGAGACTTTCATCCAGATCAGATGCAGTGTACCAGAAAATGCGTGTATGGCCCTGGGATGAACCGAGATAAAGTTTGTGTCTCAGTGAAGCAAGCCAATGACAAGTGCGGCTGCAATACTGTTCCATACCATTGCGGGAGAACTACGATGACAGATTCAGACACTCGAAAGATGCTGATGACTTACAACCGTAAAACAGTCTCTAGAACACATAAGGAAACAAGGAGAGAGCAAGCAAGAGTCATCATCGTTTGGTTGGCCTGGCTTTTGGAGATGGCCGTGCCCGCCTCGACACCCTGCTTCCAAATCTCACCAAGACAGCCTGGCTCACTCGGGCTTCATAGTACACAACTTTTCTCAGAGACAGGAGCTTGTTCCTAGGTATGACAGAGAAAAAAGGTGATGAAAATTTCAAAAGTGTGCAAGGTATCCTAAGGAGAAAATGAAACAAAAAGCAATGAAGAAAAGGTCGAATAGGGACGACAGGCGCAGAACCAAGATTCCTGCTCTCGAAGCGCCATGATGCTTTTCCCGGACCCCAAATCTCATGCCTCGCATTATGTACAACTCCTCTTCGTCGTCTTCTTGTTCACCCCACCCAATATGTTGGTATGGGCATCATATCTTAATCGTAACATCTCTTGCTTTTATTTATTTATTTGTTGACTGGCGAATCGGCCTCGATGGTAGGGTTCTGGCCGTGGGCGAACTTCGAGTCGGTTTCGAGGGTCTCTTGGGGCTTGTCTGTATGAAGTGCGTTAGCTGAGGTGCTTATGGGTGACTGTGTGAAGATAGACTTACCGTGACGAGCGTAGAGGTTGTACTCCTCATCAGCGTACTTGCCGACCTTACCAGACTCGACGTCAGAGCGGGTCAGAGAGAGCTTGCCCTTGGGCAGGCCCATGCTGCCAAGGTAGCTGACAGCATCCTTCCACTCCTTGTCCTGTCTGGACTTGCTCCACTTGTACTCCTCGGTCATCATGTCAATGACTCTGGGCAGAGCCTCAAGAGCAGCCTGGGCGTTCAAGAAAGCGAGACGGGTACGGCGGGCAATAACATCGACTGCGGTCTCGGCGTACTCGTGGCGCATAGCGTAGCGAACCTCGCCATCAACGAAGGGGTAGAGCTTGGAGATGCGCTTGCCACGAACAGGGAAACGATGCTCGGTAGGCTCGCAAAGAGCAGCGACTTGCCATGCACGATCACCGTAGGACTCGGCCAGATGCTTGGCAACTTCAGTCTCGATTCCGTAGTGCTGAATCAGGTTGATGAAAAGAGTCTTGCTCCAACCGTGGGCGCCGACAAGTCTGACCTGGTGGGTTTGACAGCTACCGTCAAGAGTGGCGGCGTCGTTGAATCCCTCAGAACCAGAAACAGTAGGAGGGTTGGTCAGAGGACCGGGAGTAAGCTTGAATTCCTTGATGGCTTCGTCGACAGTCTCCTCGGCCATCTGGCGGTAAGTGGTCCACTTGCCACCAGAGCAGGTAATCAGACCGCTGTCACTAGTGGTAACGAGGTGGTTGCGGACGAGACCTTCGGACTTGGCCTTGTTGGGGTCGCGGACAAGAGGACGGATACCAGACCAGGCAGCGAGGACGTCGCCACGGCGGACAGTGATTTCAGGTTGGAGGTAGTTCTTGACTTCGGAGAGAATCCAGTTGATCTCCTCCTCGCCAGCAATGGGGTTCTGGTTGATGTCGCAAGGAGTGTCGGTGGTACCAGCGATAGTGTTGCCCTGCCAGGGAAGGAAGAAGATGACACGACCGTCAGAGGTGTGAGGATCAATCATACCCATGTTGGAGGGAGCGTAGTAACCGGGAAGAATAACGTGGACACCAGAGGAGGGAGCAACGATTTCGGGGACCTTCTGGTCATCCATCTTGCGAATCGAGTCGGTGAAAGGACCAGTAGCGTTGATGACGCCCTTTGCGCGAATGTTGAACTCATCGGAGCTGCCGTTGGCCTGAGCGACCAGATCCTTGACGCGAGCGCCATTGAGTCTGCCGTTCTCGTCCTTGGTAAGAGAGGTAACTTCAATGTGGTTGACGACAGTTGCACCATAAAGAGCAGCGGTCATTCCGAGAGAGACGTTCATGCGAGAGTCGTTGTGAGCACCATCTAGTACTGTCAGTATTGCTACCTTGCAGAAATTGGTACTCTAGGGAGACTCACCGTAGTAAACCAGAGCACCGACCAAGTTGTCCTTCTTCAGCATGGGGAATGCGTCAAGAGCCTTGGACTTGGTCATGAAGTAAGAAGTTTCGATGTTTTCAGAACCGGCGAGGAAGTCGTAGAACTTGGTGCCTGCCCAAAAGTAGGGAGCTTGCCACCACTTGTTGATGGGAATCATAATAGGGAGCCATGACGAGAGATGAGGAGCAGTGTCCAAGAAGAAGCGACGCTCGCGGAGAGCCTCCTTGACGAGCTTGTATCTTTACGAATTATCAGCTTTTGAAGCAATTGCAGAATTGAGGCAGAGTAAACGCACTGGTTGTAATCAAGTTCCCAGACAGCCTTTTCGAGATATCTAACACCACCGTGGACGAGCTTGGTACTCTTGGAACTGGTACCCGAGGCAAAATCGTCTCTCTCGACCATTGCGACCTTCAAGCCACGAGTGGCAGCATCGAGAGCAATACCAGCGCCGGTGGCACCGGCACCAATGACCAAGAGATCGTACTCCTCGCCCTTGCTGCCTTGGTTGTCGGCCTGGACATCACCAGAGGAACCGGTAACAGCCTTGGCAACCTTGCTTCCTGCATCCTTCAGGGCACCTGTGACGGCGCCGGCTGAAGCCTTGAGGTCGGCGATTTGAGCAGCGCGGGACTTGATCTTGGGGAAGTTAGGAGGATTGAAGACACCACCCTCGCCGTAGGTGGGCGGGGGGACAGCAGCGGCTTCTGAGCCAGGGATCTCGCGAGGCCTGTAGATGGCATAAAGACCTCCTGCGCCGACAGCACCGGCGGCCGAGGCGTAGCCCAGAGCGCGGAAGAAACGATTCGATCGAGTCGCCATGCTCTAGAGGATGTGAATGAAGGAGGAAGAAGGAGTGCAGAGGGAGAGCGGCGAGAAAAGGTTTCTAAACAAGCACAAGGATTGCAGTCTTGGTGAGCGACCGGCTATGATGCAACGGATGTCAAAGCTTGTGGGTATTCTCCACGCTGATGGAGGATTGAGTCGACAATCGTGGATGGAGCGGCCCTACCACGGTCGCTTCAGTCGTATTCTCCACGGGCAATGCTCGCATGCTTTGATAACAATTGAGGGGCCGCATCCTCCTGAATGCTGAACTATTGACCACAAGGCCCCAATTTGCGATGCGCGCTCTTCCCTCCGCAGCTCGACGGCAGAATTTCAGCGCCTCAACGTCTGACATGTGAAAGGACAGCTGCTCTCTTGACGGCCGTCTGTCGCGCGTTTCCGCCAATCGGACTCTTTGCAGCACAAATCCCTGTGGCTTGGACACGCAAAGTCAAGATTTGGCTGATCAGCTTTTCATCTCTGCTTGGCGCTCGACGATCCTTTCTATCAACAGTTTGAAAGCACCGATCCAACACGACGCTCTGCCACACCTTCTCCAGTCTTTTTGCTCCAACAATTTTGTTTCCGACAACTTGATTCCAGTGGTCCCCGTCATACCCCGATCATTCTCTCGGCACCTTCCTTGATTCATTGCCAGCTCCTTCGGGTAGCTCGGACTGTCATTGCACGTCTTCTTGACATCTTTCAAGTTACTTCATATCGTGCGCCTACTGACTTCTATGAAACACGCACTGCTACATGCCTAGCACCGATTTCACAGTGCCTTCCGTCCTTTCACGTCTAATCATACTGTCTATTTTTTCTGAGCAGATCACGCTTCTGCTGCCTTGAGCAGACCCTTCAAGTCGATACTCTTTGGTCTCTCGATCGGAAGACCCAACGCGCGGTCCCAAATGAGTTGCGCGAGCGGTCCAAGACCTCTGCTAACACCGAAAATGGCTGTGTAATACAGTGTCTCCTGGAATCCATAGTGGTGGAACAATACTCCTGAACCAGAGTCGACGTTGGGGAATGGGTTCTTGGTCTGTCATGCTGTCAGTTTCCATGTCACCAAAAGGAGTCGGATATTACATACCTTGCCGTGTTCGGTCAGCACGCCAGGTGCGATTTGCGAGTTTGTCCTGACAAGCTGGAACAAGCTGTTGTTCTTGATATCCTCGTGAGCATCACCGAATGCGAGCAGAGCATCGAATCTAGGATCAGGCTTGCGCAAAACTGCGTGTCCGAAGCCAGGAATCACTCTTCCGCTCTTGAGTGTGCTCCACAAGTAATCCTTGACGTCTTTCTCCGTAAAGTTGTCACCGATGTGGTCTCGCATTTGCAGCATCCAACGAAGCACTTCCTGCGCTGCGAGACCGTGCAGGGGACCCGCAAGGCCTTGCAGGCCAGCCGAGTACGACAAGAAGGCATCTGAGAGAGCAGAGCCAACCAAGTGAGTCGAGTGTGCCGAGACATTGCCTCCTTCGTGGTCACCGTGCAACGCGCAGTAGAGTCTGAGCAGATCTTGGAAGCCCTCGTTCTCCTTGCCGCCTTTGCCCAGCATTGCAGCATAGTTGTAACACCAATCTTCCTCGGGGTCCACCTGAGCTGGAAGAGGACCACCACCACGGTAAGAGTTCTGGTAGATCTTGGCTGCAATGGTAGGCAACTTAGCGATCAGCGAGATCGAGTCGTCGAAGGTTGGCTCCCAGTAATCGGCCTTGTTCATTCCCTTCTCGTAAGCCTTTGCGAAGACACTGGTCTTGTTGAGAGCTGACACTGCGCATGCGAACTGAGTCATGGGATGCATGTCGGCAGGGAGGTTGTCCAGCATTGTCTCGACATAGTCTGGCAAGGCAGCCTTCTCGGCCAATTCGCGAGAGAACTGGCGCACTTGGTTGGTGGTTGGCACCTCACCTGTGAGAAGCAGCCAGAACATTGCCTCGGGCAACATTTCGGATCCGGTCTTGCCCTTGGGAAGCTGCTCCTGGCAGTCTTTGATGGTGCGGCCGTGGAAGCGAATTCCCTCGTTTGCATCGAGAACTGATCCTTCCCAGATCATGGCAGTGAGACCTCTAGTCGCGCTTAGCTCAACGTGACAGACAAGTTTGAAGCAAGGCAGCCTACCTCATTCCACCCAGAGTATTCTCAACTTTGACGCTACCAATGCTCTTGGATGCATGGCTCTTGACTTGCTTGAGGAGCTCGCGTTTGGCAGGGATGACTTTTGCGAGGGTGTCTTTGAGAGTGGGTTCTGTAGCAGTTGCAAAGCCTTGTTCTAGCCTATTTGTTAGGGTCCTTGTCCAAGATGCGGAACGTTGAGAAAACATACGAGCTTGAGCAGGGCGGTAGTTGGCGGCCTATTCATAATGCCATCAGCACATTGAGTCTACCAGAGACGTAGCGTTGTCACTGACCTTGACATTTCTAAGAGCCCTGAGGGCAGTGCGGGAGTTGTGAGCCATGATGTGTCTTTGTCGAATACAAAGACTCAGGTACCGTGTAGGCAGTGACGGGGAACTATTTGAGGAAGGAGCAGCGCACCTATATTGAGGCTCCTCCACAAGCTAGGGTGCTGCGGGGAAGTTACCTCGCTGCAACAGTGGGGAGAGCGAACCTCGGTCGGCAGCTTCGGTAACACGTCCGGAATGATGGACCTCTCTGCCCGCAATATCCGCATCCCGACGGCAATAAGGAAAACATATTGCTGGTTTTGGGAGCTTCTTGAAGAGCTTTGGAATCTGCTATACCATCCACAATATGCGCAGAGCTACCATTCAGAGCCTGCAGCGGCGCCCTTTGTCGAGGGTCCATCTCACGGCTCGCCCTGCTTCTCGCTTCATCTCATCAAGCTTGGTCCGCATGTCTGCCTCGATAAAATCAGTTGATCCTCCTTTGCCTTCAGCAGAGCCAACCTCATCTTTCCAGCTTCTGTCAACAGAACAGAAGGTTGGTGAGTCTGAAGATGCTGTCTTCGATGACCAAGTAAAACAGGTCCAAGACTGGTGGGCTTCGCCCAGGTACAAAGGCATCAAAAGGCCTTATTCTGCAGAAGATGTCGTTAGTAAGAGAGGCACTCTGCAGCAAATCTATCCTTCTTCGTTGATGGCTCGAAAACTCTTTAACCTCCTGGAGGAACGAGCTGCCAACGGAGAACCTGTGCACACAATGGGAGCCATCGATCCCGTGCAAATGACCCAGCAGGCACCTCATCAGGAAATTCTCTACGTCTCCGGATGGGCCTGCTCTTCCGTCCTGACCAGCACGAATGAGGTCTCGCCTGATTTTGGCGACTACCCCTACAACACAGTCCCCAACCAAGTACAACGTCTCTTCAAAGCACAGCAGTTACACGATAGAAGACATTACGATGCCCGGAGAAAGATGTCTGCCGAGGAGAGAAACAAGACGCCATACATTGATTACCTTCGTCCAATTGTCGCTGATGGTGATACTGGACATGGTGGTCTTTCGGCAGTCTTGAAGCTGGCCAAACTCTTTGCCGAAAATGGTGCTGCAGCTGTTCACTTCGAGGATCAATTGCACGGAGGCAAGAAGTGCGGCCACTTGGCAGGCAAAGTTTTGGTACCTGTCGGTGAACACATCAATCGCCTTGTTGCTACACGCTTCCAATGGGACATGATGGGCTGCGAAAATTTGATCATCGCGCGCACAGATTCCGAGAGTGGCAAGTTGTTGAGCAGCGCCATTGACGCTCGTGACCATGAATTCATTCTTGGTTCGACCGAGGACATAGAACCTCTGGCAGAGACGCTTCAAGTCATGGAGATGAACGGTGCAACTGGTGCAGAGATTGATGCTTACGAGGCCAAGTGGACCAAGGAGCATAAATTGGTTACTTTCGACGAGGGTCAGTCACAGCGCATCCATGGAATATACATATGCTAACGTTCTTGTCAATAGCTGCTATCGCTCACATAAAGGCTAAGACGTCTGACTCGAACAAGGTCGCCAAATACGAGAGCGAGATATCCGCGAACCGTAACAGACCTTTGAACAGCCGTCGTCAGCTTGCCGCATCCATCGCAGGTTCTCCTGTTCAGTTCAGTTGGGATGTCCCACGAACCAAGGAAGGTTTCTACCACTACCGTGCTGGACTTCCCGCAGCAACGAAGCGAGCCATCGAATTTGCTCCGTTCGCTGATCTGCTGTGGTTGGAAACTGGAGACCCAAGCGTGCAAAAAGCTGCGGGCTTTGCCAAGAAGATCAGAGATATTCATCCTGGAAAGAAGCTCGTTTACAATCTTAGCCCCAGCTTCAACTGGATGGGACACGGTTTCTCCGAGGATCAATTGAAGAGTTTCATCTGGGATTTGGGCAAGGAAGGGTGAGCAACTTATCTATGATTGATGCTGACCAACTTAACTGATACTTGTGCAGATTTGTTCTTCAGCTCATCTCCCTCGCCGGCCTGCACAGTACCGCCACCATCAGCAATGAGCTCGCCAAGGGATTCAAGACTGATGGTATGTTGGCGTATGTCAATTTGGTCCAACGTCGTGAACGCGAACTTGGTTGCGATGTACTTACCCACCAGAAATGGAGTGGTGCAAGTTACCTCGACGGCATTTTGGGCAGTATTCAAAGTGGTAGCAGTAGCAGTAAGAGTATGGGTGAAGGTAACACGGAAGGAACTTTTTAGGCAGACATGTCAATCAAGTCCATGACTGAGGTCGATAAAGCTTGATGCTGACACATTTTCACTTCGAACACTATATAAATACAAGAACAAATGTCTCACATTACGATTATATGATGTTGTTTCCCATGTGTGGCAATGTAGCAGCAGTCGTCCCCGCGATGCAAAGCCCTGGCAAACTGAATGAGGATTCTGGTGGTATGACCCTGATCAAAATCAAAAATCATTACGAAGGAGCGTATAACATGATCAAGACGGATATCATGACATTTTGACTACACTTGTTACTGTATACTTACCGAGTGCCTTTTGTGCCGTCTTGAGCGTGCTCTTGACCAAAAGAGTGTTGAGCGCATTTTCGACTTTGGCTGAGTTAATTATGACTACACATAAGTGAGATGTTCTGTCGCTAGAGACAACACCACGGGGATGGGAAGTTCGATGTTTCGTTTGCTCGCCAAATATAAAACAAGCTTGTTCAGTCTCGAGCTCTTCTCCTTCCTCGAAACACAACATCCCGTGTTTTCTTCTCAAAAACCATATTCAGAACAACTGATATTGCCATTGAGAATCTCATCAAGATATCAAGATAACACGATTCTGCAACGAGTATATCTTCTTCAAGAGCTCTAAAGCTCTAACTCTCGAAACACAAAGTCTGTTTCCAGAAAGTACTTTGAAGTTGAGTGTACTTGCCTACCAATCACCCCCAAAACCACCACCACCACCACCACTCATCACCAACCATCACCACAAATCCACCACCACCCAAAGCCAAAACATCAACAACATCTATCCCTCTCGCCACACACCAAGCACAACAATCAAAATGTGCCACCACTTTGCCCGCTCTTGCATGTCCATCACCCGTACCCGTCGTATTAGAAGGGTAAGCCAGTTCTCTCAAGGCACCGGAAGAATGTGCAAAATTTACTTCGTTAGAGCTATCAGCAAAGGCGTCTACCAAGGCAAGTTGAGCAACGGCAAGCCATTCATCATGACTAAAGCCGACATTCGTGCAGACCCGAAGTCATACCACCTTCGCAAGGAGGCGGGTCATCACAACTGCTATCGACTGGTGTGCCAGGCGGTTGAAAGGTATCGCGAGGTGAGTGCCATCGGCGCAGCCTGCGGCCCCATGCAGAGGGACATGCCCAACAGACCCAAAACAGTCTACCACTTCTGTAATGGTGAGAGGGTTACAGATCTGGAGCTGAAAGAAGACGAGGATATCGCGCACTACGACATCGTCAACATCAAGGACCCTGACGGTGAGACAACAAGGAAGTATCTCAGAGAGACGTGTTGGATCTCATCCGACGATGATACCACGCCTTTCGCTCAAGACGAGGACTGAGCCCTGTCTCAACCGCTGATGGGTACTATAGACTCTGTTGTGGCATAGTCTCACATCCAAGACAAGAACATCAGCAAACGTCAACCGAACACCCAAGAGAGATCTCGAGCATTCCACTAATATACGACAACCTTGATCGGACCTGCAGCAAGTCAAGTTTGTGTGTCTATTTGTGACGGAGTTGACCATACATAGCTTGACTCGGAACAACAATCGAGCACCGACACTGAATTATCGGTGGAAAGAATTTGAAGGGGAAACATATACTCGGCAAATAGCCATACTTTTCTGCTACTCTTTTCCCACTGGGTTTTTAACGAGAGCAGAGAGCTTTGACGGACTCGAACTGACCACCATATGGTTCAAGGTCAAGACTGTTTGACTCGTAGCTCTTCAAAGCATCAACCACACATGATGTACCACGCACCGAGTACGACATCAGAATATCTGGTAATTACAGGATCTCAGATGATCAGAGGTATTCAACAACACAGGGCGAACGCGCCACATGTGTTCCCTGTAGAGAGTTGATAAGGATAGCGCATATGCAAGGATAGATTAGTAACGTTGATTCTGTTCGACAATTTCTCGTCGTGATGTGCTTTAGTGACAACGCAGCCAAGTGAACTTATGGGTTAGTCTTACTTTGACGCAATGAGTGCGTCTTTACGGAGCAGCGACATGCGATAGGGAAGGACAACTTGCGATCAGAGAGCTTTATGGCTAACAACGCGCTCAAGTCAGGCCTTCATAAAGATGCCTCGACGCCGAGATGCACGTTAGTTTGGGTACGTGGGGGTACATTTAAGATCGACAATACTCCGAGGCGTCATGTCTCAAGAATGCTGGTAAGTTGGTCGAGGCTACCGATAAGAGCTCGTTTTATGAACAGTCCAGGGCCGATGTTTCACGATATCCAAGAACCATGCAACAACTTCTCGAAGCGGCCGTGCAACACGAAAGAAGTAGATCCATTGCTCATCAGCTAACAGACAATGGTCTGCCAGATGTGCATCGCGTCATGATGATAGCAATTGATGAAAGTTGATGGCGTTGAGGACGGGATTCCTTTGTTGGCAGGTGCAAGGAGCGGCCAGACCATGGGTTTTTGAATCAGCGTGGGCAGTTTTGGGCAGTATAAACCGATCAGCAAACCAAGCTCCAACCAACGAGGGCAAAACTCGGGAGCCGGATCGCTGGCGCTCGAACCGACAGCCTGGATGGTTCCAAGCCATGGCGTTGAGTAGCTCATCGGAATTCGGAAGCATTTGACAGGCAGAAGACCCAGCGCCAGCCTTGCCCTCTCCAAAGCTCGAATTTCGTTTCAGCAGCGGGTTCACACACGTCGCGCTTCTGTCCGACGCAATTGATAGCGGAACAATCATCCGAGATGTCCGTTCTGCTTCTAGTGCTAGTCGGACAAGTAAATATTCAAGCGATGTATAAGAAGAAAGGCGAAGTTTGGATAATGAAAAGCTTTGGCGCATTTTAGTTGCCGCCTGGCGCGTTTGTTCGGTACGGAGGCGCTCCAGATATATGCAGCTAATAAGAATTGGCTACCAATTACCAAGTATGAGCTGCATAGTCACATAAAAAGCAGAGGCCAGACTGTGCTGCCTTCTTGCGTCAACTTCTATGAAAAGACACGTCCCCCTACCCTTGCCACCCTAGGCCACTCTGCAGTTTCTGCAGTTACCAGTTGCAGTATCAGCAAGGAATGACTCCAAAGACGTCGCCTGAGACGGCGGCGTCTACGACATCCGACACGTTGGCAAGCTATGTCACCGACTATCGTATGGAGAATGGTCGAAGATATCATGCTTACCAAGACGGCAGCTACTGGGTAATTCTTCCCTCGCTCTGTATCGACCATTCTGAGATTGACGTATCCAGGGTCCCAATGATGAACAATCCTGCGAGGGCGAAAGCCTGTCGCATACCTTGTATACCCTAACCCTTGGTGGAGAGCTGCATCTAGCGCCTATTAAAGCTCCGAGGGAAATCCTGGATGTCGGGACTGGCACGGGCGCCTGGGCAATTCAAATGGCCGATAAGTTTCCCGAGGCCCAGGTTACTGGTACGGATTTATCACCCATACAGCCGGATCTTGTTCCAAGTAACTGTGTGTTCGAGATCGACGATGCTTCCTTGGACTGGACGTGGGAGGAGGACCAGCTCGACTACGTTCATGTTCGCGAAATGTTTGGCTCGATCAAAGATTGGGATCTGTTCTGCAGCGAGGCGTTACGATGCATTGCGCCTGGCGGCTACATTGAGATCATGGAACACTCTACATGGCCGGTCGGTATGACACTACAATCGACGCCCATCAATTGACTGACGAATTGGCTTCTAGGTGGCTGATGATGACTCGCTACCTCCTGACCACTTCTTCAACACCTGGGGTCAAACCATAGAAGACCTCTCTGAGATCTGGGGAAAGTCCTTCAACATTTGGAAGGAGAGTAAAGCTCTGTTAGAAAAAGCTGGATTTGTCGATATTGTGGAGAAACGCTTCAAGTGGCCAATGAATGACTGGCCCAATGACCCGGCACTCAAACAACTCGGAGAGCTGAACCAGATGCGCTTGACAGAACATGTACAGGGGTTTACCTTGAGATTGTTGACCGGTGCTGGAGAGGTTAGTATATTCGCGACATCTTCAATCACGCTTGAGCTAGCTGAGTATTCAAAGTGGCCATTACCGCGTGAGTTGACTTGAAATCATCACCGCGACGAACGCTAGCTCTGGGCCTCATCCTCTGCGAACCTTCGGAAGAAAGATCGCAGAAACCCTAGAGGTGAGCCTCACATGTCAAGCCAAGTCGCGGTGGTACCACAGTCTCTTGTCATAGAACCATGCTGACCGTGCCTTCGCTTCAGGTGCTCATGTATTCCTGGCCGAGATGAGAAATGCTCTGAAAGACACTAATTGCCACGCATATCAGGATGTGTAGGTTGCTCGATGCATGTGCTTCATCTGACGTAGGCTGACAGTGTCGCTCACAGGAGCGTCGTATATGGCAGAAAACCATCATGAAACGCTGTACCTGGAGTTCTTCAACCTCTCGCGAAGCCACTTTTCATGGTCAAAAAGCCATAAAGAATCTCCTGTGGATCTTCTACTCACGTACGACTAGTTCGGCCGGTGCCCAATCTACATAATGACCAGTCTAATCCAGATACCCGTCAGCTTTGGGTCACAAAGTCGAACGTGGAAACGTTTGACCAGACAGAGCGATGGGAGTCAGGAAGGCCACTCATCGCACAGGATGCACACACAGACTCTGGCCAAACATTGAGCCAATAAATCGCGAACAAGCTGCTGTCCCTGACCCTGACGATCTTCCGAGAACCTGGTCGATTGTGCTGGAGGATGATAAACCGGACATCAAACCTAGGGGGACCTTGTAGAGAAGACATGGACCTGTGATGATATGTCACAAATTCATAAACTCAGGTAGCATAATTCTTGAAGGCTATAATAGATTGCCTTGATTACCACACTTGCAATGGTGATTGGAAGATTCTCATGTCAGGACTTTCTCCTGCGCAATCTGTCAACCCAGTTGTTGATACCACGTCCCACAATCGTATGCTCAGTGCAGGTCGCCTGTCAACATTGTGGATCGTTTTTCGCCGAATGAGAGTCCGTAAGGCAGTGAATTCCAGGATCATGGGTGCTTGCAACCGAGCTGCAAAGTTGAAGAATGTCTCAGCACTCGTAGATGCGTACAACTCTCCTGAATCATCGCCGTTAGAAACATGGGTCTGTCTGCATCGCGTCCACGGTCCATGAGATAGCTCGCCCACTCGTATCACACCCTAAAACGCGGTGAGCCCACGTATGGAGAGCACCGAGCTGTCAGCTACAATACGGCGCGTCCGGAGGTCCAGCTTGGATAAGAGCCTCAATACATTATCCGCTTGGGGAACACTTCTCCGATACGTGCGTAGGCAAGATGAGGTGAAAGCGCAAGGGATTTGTTGAAAATGGCTAGCAGGTACCACAAGCGTCTTCACGCGGCTACAACTGCCTCCTACCGTACGAAAGCACAGATCAGAAAGCCCAAAGTGGCTGCAGCAGCAGTGTCGTTTGGGAAAAACAGAAACGGCCAGACCATAAGTAAGAGGATTAGGGTGGCACGATGAAAAGAGGTTGGACGAAAGACGTTTCGACGCCGTCCGCCGTACAGTACAAACTTGCGCGGTGGCTGGTGGCTTGATGAGAATGTGCCGAAGAAGAAGGGGCAGCACGGTCTCTCGGAGACGAATCAGCAATCATTGGAGAAGTTGCTTTTGCCATGTTTGATCCGGGTTCTTGGGAAATAGTTTGAAGTCTGGCTACATTTTAACTGCGAAAGCTAGCCGCGACGGAAAAGTGAAGGGCTGATGTACTCGAGTAGACTTGTCTCTCCCTCGGCCACATTACAAGCGCCCAAGAACTTAGAAGACTCGCGCGATATAATACACAATTTCTGACTGACGTCCACCAAAATCGCATGGATATAAATTTGATCAGATAACGTATGCGCTTGGCTGTAATGCAGATTAATCTAAGCATGCTTCGATATCTACGTTTTGTTTCTGATTCAGAGATCAATCACATCTTCAGGCTGAAGACAATGTTGGACGTCCGCTCTCAAGGGAATCTAGACTCACGGATCCATGGGGCCACACCCACACCGGACCGATGTGGCACACTCCTCACAGATGCTCCCCAAAACCCCAGGTCATGAGAAGGAACCTAGCGACCGAAAGTCAATTGCCCAAGACTTGACTTGAGATAGAAGATTGACGTCTATGAGAGCCGAAGCTGACCTTTATGCACGTAAATCACATGTCGAAATATCGAATTTGAACTACCGGTGGACATCGATGGCTCATCAGGTATGCTACATGCGAGGGTTGACGCGGAAAGAGTGCTTGTAATCCTTCGAGAATCGAGATCATTGCGGAATCCGATCTCTCTATTATTGTTATCTTAACACGTTCAACTCAGCTTCCTTTTGACGTGTTGACAAGTGCCCTCTGACATTTCGACCGTCGCGGATTGATACCTGAGGTTTGCATGCCTGAGGCAAACTGAAGCTACTCGAGTAGCATGCTGCATGAGGGATAATGGGCCCACCACGGCTGAGTACGGGTCTGCTCGTTGTTGGCCGAATGTAGAAAATGGTCGATGCTATTCTATTTTCATGGAACCACCTGGTCCCTATGCCATTTAACTATGTTTTATTGGGCACTGAATCCCGAGACAGAGGCATAGCACCATCTGGCCATCAGCTTTTACCACCATTTACCGCCCTTTACCACCCAGTGACTTTGAAAGAAAGTGCTGCTGATCGCCGTTACGATCTGAAGCGCTTGACACAGGTGCCTGGAATCGTGCAATAGCAGGACTTCGCGTGGCAGCCATGAACGTGGGGTACTAATCAAGCCACAGCGTGGAAGGTATGGAATGGAGAGAATGACGGACCGAGCAAGAGTAGAGTTGACGCCAGCAAGATCCACGCAGATGAGGTTGGTGCTATCACGCACCAAAAAAGTCAACAGAGTCATCGGGGCGTACCGAGGCACTACAGCGAACAAGCTTCGGGATAGCACTGTTTGTTCTAAATTAGCCCTGAAGCATTGGATGGAACACTTTCGGCGTCGCCGACTCGCATTCGCAGTAGTGCCGAAGGCCAACAGGGCCAGGGAGAGAACAAAAAGCTCCGGTAGTGGCGTATGGGGAACTACCAGAGGCGTGACTTTGGAGAAACGATTCAGGTGAGAAATTGCGCCTCATCCGAGCAGGCGGAATTGGGCGATCATACAGGTAGTGCTTTGATTCCCTGTAGGCGAATTCATTTATCGCCTGCCTGCAGCAGGATGCCGAAATTGAAGAGGGTTGTTAGCGAAACAAGTCATATGCGTGACAAACCTAGTGAACCACAATTCCACAAGGAAGTTGGAGTAAAAGAGATTTGAGTCGAGCCTAGACTCGGTAACTAAATACTTGCCTAAGTGCAGAAGAGCAGTTTTCGCTTAATCGATGGTTTTATTGGTCGGATTCTTTGTCTCAAACTGTCCATTTTGACATGATCCAGCAGACGACTCGCAAGTCCTTTGAAGCAGGTTTGTAGTCCAAAATCAACACACGATACGAGGCACGCTGTGGAAGCTGCAGTCAATCGTGTGGCCTGGTCGCCGTTGGCAAGAGGCTGCGCGTTCGAGCAACGTAGAAAAAAGAGCTGCACCGAACTTGTGAGCGGCAGAATTCACGAAGGGTTCATGCCCCGTGCACGCATTTAGCGTCGAACTCGGGAAGGATGCAGTCTCCAGACGCCATGCCGCTTATGTCAAGAGTCGCATCAAACTGTGATCATGATGATCATCCAGCCCCCCACCTCATGGTGGCTTCAGGAAGCTTTGCATGCATGAGATTGACAACAGGGTGCTTTTGTTGTTTCCCAAGGCATGCGCATTCCCTGCAAGCAGCAAGAGTGACTGCTGCATCTTTTGACCCAAACGGCCGGTTCTCAAGTCGAAGCTGATGTTGCACTCTCCTTGGCCATCCAGTTGAATGAGGTGTCGGTTCCGAACTGCAAAGATTTGGTCGTGTGGTCGTCACCGCGTTAACCGTTATTGATCCATTATAGGTCGAGCTTCGTCTTAATAGGCAGGATTCATGGTGAACCAATCGTCCAGCGCCAGAATGTCGCGCGAACGGCCGGTAAGACTTGCTGGTAGCCGACTCAGTGTCGATTTCACCAGGATGCACCGTATTGGCGGCCACGTGAGTGCAAGATCACACTTGGCTCTGCTTATCGAATCTTGCAAGGTCATCAAACACGACCGAGGGATCGGTTCGTAAAGATCAATCAGAAGATTTTTGCACGACATGGGGCAGCGTTAATGCTGATCCGGGTGGAGAGACCGACAAGTGGCCCGCTAAAGATACTTCCCTGCAGCTTGAACAGAGTATGGTACATTATTCACGAAGGACAACATGGTTCAGGGTATTATTGTAGAAAGAGATTGGTCTCCTCAAGACGGCATCTGTTCAATGTGCTTCGGTTGAAAATTACTGTCAGGATAATGTCTTTGTGAACGAACAAAAGACGGAAGCATGATTCTTTGCTGACCGAACGGTGCTCCCCGCACGGCGCACATGGTCGTTCATCATTTCCAGAATTCCGGTTATTTTAGCACGCAACCATCTGCATGCAGGCACAGCACATTTTCTCTGATGTGAAAGCCTCGTGTGCACTCGTGCTCGCCGCATGACAAGTAGCCCTCTGTAACAGGCTCGAAGCGATATTCAGGCAGGTCTCATCTTGGGGAAGGATACATTGTTGCTTTGACCAAAGGTGGGAAAGATGGCCTGTTCACTTTGTGCCGCCCGCAAGCTTGGATTGGATCTGCAGGTTGGCGCTTATCACACTGGCGGCCAGGCTAATGAAATGCGAGCATGTGGTTGGTCGTGTCTCTGGTCGGAGAAGTTGGGCGCGCAAGCGATGGTGGTGTCTACCACAAGTTGCAAACCCGTCCCGCAGCAACGGCCCCGAGGGTTCTACTCGGTCTAGTCCCTAGAGCGAGTCACCCTTTTGGTTCACAGACCACATCGTTGCTTTCACTTTCACTTTTTTTGCGAGAAACGCGCTTAGCGGCCGCTTCCAAATACCGTTTCTCGCGCAGTGAGCTGAAGGAAGGAAGCAAGATGGGACGCTGCATGGTTTGATGAGGGTGTGAGATGGGCAGCGACTACGGGGGGGGAATACGATGCAAAATAGGGCCTCGTGCAGACTGCGGCCAGACGCATCTTCCCTGGAGCGGCGTCGTATCGGCAGCTGAAGCGTGAAGGATCGAAGATGGAAGAAGAAAAGACGCTGGGCACGGAAGGATTATTGCCTGCGACTCGGAGTACCTGTCAGGTGCATCGGAGCGGAGATGTAGCAGCGCAGCGCAGGGCAGCGAAGACTGGGCTACCGTAACGAGTGGGCGCGTGGGCGGGAGACCAGAGGCTCTGTCGCTTGCCCTCTCCCCTCCCCTCAGTTACTCGGAGGTAGGGACTCAGTAGCGTTCAGGCTCAGGCTCGCCGACTCTGGCAGAGTCTCTGCCCTAGGCTCGATCCAGACGCCTCGCGCTCGCGCATGGATCTCGTCTACCACTAGCGGCCTCTCAGACAGCGCACTAGTCGTTTAGATTGCCGTGCATGTTCACCTCTCCGCTGGTGTCCAGCCCTCGAGGACCGCCTTCCGTTCTCTAAAAGCGCCAGGGCACCTAAGCTTAACAAAGGATCGCCCTCCTCGCACGTCTTCAAAGACGTCCGTCTGTTTGCCCTGCGCGTGCGCGACTCGTTCCTCGACCTCAAAGCATTCGCTCCAAGCAGAAGCAGCATCAAAGGCTTTCTTTGTTTCTTCGCCCTGCGCTGCACTGCTCTGCTCTGATCTCTGCCTCTCCCTTGCTCGACTCTGCGCTCGTTCTCATTCCATCCACAAGCCCCTGCAAGCCACCCTCTCCACCATCCAAGCAGCTCTCCCAAAACGTACATTTTCTCTCTAGCTTGCGACTGCCCAGCACCAAAGCCACGTTTGTTGTTCATCCTCTGTGAATACCCAATACCGGTGCGACGCGTGCGTGTGACCCTGCCGTCTGCACAACCACATATCCGGGCTCCCAAGATCTCTCTTCTGTCGCCGCTGGCTTGATCTCAATGTAAGCCTCTTTCCCCGATCGTGGCCTTGGGTAGCGCCTCTTGTTGCGCAACACCCGCTGAGACTCTCCTAGCATCCATTTGGTTTGACTTGCAGCTACTCGCATCACCCTCTGCCTCTCTCTTGGCCCATAGTTGCTCCATCTAGCGACCATCAACGTCAGGCTTCGACCTCTTTCCGGGTTTCTGGAATTGTGCTGCTGCGAGGTAATCCGAGTACCCGCGCCTTTGGTATCGAGTCCGCCAATCTCATCATCGCGGCAGAGCCAGCTTTCGTTGTTGCTTCAGATAACATCGCAAAGCCATCTCGCACGCCCACATCTCATCTTCTCGGCTGTTCTTTTCCTCAACCGCCGCAGCCTGCATCAGTGCCGAACCCACCTTCTGACCCTGCCGAATAAAGTCTGCGATCCGCCAACGTGGCTGCCAGTCTTTCTCTCACGTCACATATGATTCCTGGGTCGGATTCAATGGGTGCTCCCACGAGTTTCTCATCTCGCAGACCCAATGCTTCGAACCTTCCTAACTTCGAGCTACCTCCTCCTCAGTTGACCTCGCTGCACCAGAAGTACCACTCATATGCCACCACATCCCAGCCGACTCCCTCCATCCCCTCGAGTTTGACCAGTGTCGGCAACCTATTGACCCCTCCAAGCGGCATTTCGAGCGACGGTCTCAGCCCCAATTCGTCTAACATGCCGACCGGCAGCTCACAAGCCAACCAGGCGGTACCTCCTTTCACCCCCACTGGTTACATGTGGCCTCCTTCGCACACCGGCACCACTCCCTACGGATTTCAATCACACAATAGTCCCAACCAGCGTGGCCTGTTCTCCCCATCCCTGAACTCGATTGTCAAGGGCAACAACTCGCCTCATTCCTCTGAGAGTCTTCCTCCTCCGAACTTCCCAGAGAACCCTTTCCCTACCTCCATGTCAATGTCGGCACCTGTCAACTTGCCAGCTTTGCCTTCTCAATCATCCAGCATTGGCTCAGCAATGATGGGTGGTCACACTCCCGTCACTCAGCCTTCGCCAGCGAGTCACCACGATTCATATGCGAGACCACCCCCTACACCTACCTACTTCAACGGATCTCAGCACAGCCACAGTGGCCAATCAGCATATGCTTATTCTTCTGGACCTTCTCCTGTCCAACAAAGCCCGATGAGTGCAGGTGGTCAAATCCCACGCATGTCTCCTGCAAACGGTCATGGCTCTATACCACCACTCCAGCCACAGAACGCGCAAACATACAACCAGCAGCGTCCTTCATACCAATACCCTCTGCCCGGTCCAGTCTTGTCCAACATCGGAAACCCCAACAGTCAGCTTGCTCTGGTCGGGGGCATGCCTCCTTCGATGATGCCAGCATACAACAGTGGGCATGCAGCTCACATGCAGCACATGTACGGCCACCACCCTCAGGCTCAGCCAAATCCACAGAACGATAGGCCTTTCAAGTGTGATCAGTGCCCTCAGAGCTTCAACCGTAACCACGATCTGAAGAGACACAAGCGCATTCATCTAGCAGTCAAACCATTCCCTTGTGGACACTGTGACAAGAGCTTCTCTAGAAAGGACGCCTTGAAGGTACATTTTATTCATAACAATTCATTGTTGAAATAAAGCTAACACTCGAACAGAGGCACATCCTTGTCAAAGGTTGCGGTAAAGCGCCCACCAGTTCCGCAGATGGTGATAGAAAAGACGGTTCGATATCTCCAGCGATGAAGAGCGAGAACTCGAGCCCTACCGTCTCAGCCTCCGCATAAGATTTTCGAGCGACGCGACTCATCATCAACAAAACATGAACAACAACGATAACCTCACGGTGATACCCTTTTGTTATTGTATTACTTTATCGTATATACTTACGCTGTTACGGATCGGAAAGCATGCATGTGGTTTTTATGCTTTTTATTCTCTTCTTGTCGATTGCGACGGCGCCACAGAGGGCCACGGCACTGTCTTTTGGGCGACATCTTCACAGGGCGTTTGACGAGCTGGCATGTTGCCAGAAATTGCGGCTTTATGGACTTCAGCCCACACTTTTTGCTTTTACGTTTTTGGATACCTCTTTCGATTCTGGTGGTGGGCTTGGGGGGTTGCTACGAATGCACGGAACTGCGTTTACCGACCGTCTGTTTCCTACAATTACACTACACCTTTCTGTTCCTTGAAATTCGTCTTGGTCACCTGTCAGTGAAACTCATAAGATGTATAGTGATCGTCGTCCGTGAATAGATACGATATTTAGAACTAGGCATTTTCGGCAGCGCTGACGACATGTCAATGGTTCGCTTGGCATTTCCCCAGCTTCTTCTTCGTCTAAGGTCTTTCGCTTCCTCCAGATCTTGTCTTCGTGCGCCCACCACCAGGGAGTATCGCCGAATGGCAGATCTATATCAGTCAGAGCAGGAGGTCATCCCCTGTGGCAGCAATTTATCTTTTGTGCCTAACGTCTTGATGCTTTCGATAGCTATCAGGGGTATGTGCAACGTTTCTGCATGTCAGGGGTTAGACGGTTGAAACTTGACATGAAGTTGGAGAAGAAGATGACGATGGCACGCCTTGAGTACCGAAGATACGTCGCTGGCGGTGTTCATGTGCATCCAACGTAAACAGTACAGACATTCGAACAAAGACAACGCTGCCAGTGGTGTCTTGGTGAAGAAGATATGTTCTGGTCAATGTTTCGCTCAGTGTAAGTTGGGATTGTTTGTCGAATTGCAGCGAGCAGGAGGTCAACGTCGTCGCGCACCGTTGCATTCCTAGCTTTGCGCATCAAAACATTTACAGTAATCATCATCTCGGCCAACAACAAACAGCGCTCCTGATTCTGTCATTCCGTTCCCCTCGTCTCGGCACAGTGCTTGCCAACTTGTTAATCGCTGACAAAGGCCACCGTTGATGTCGATTGACGATTTCGCCGTCTCCTCGTGGTGGTTCCTTCCCTCTCCATCACCTTGTACCTTGTCCCTCTTTATCGACCTACGCACGCCTTCGTTCCTTCCTATTGCGCCCGCGTGAACTCGCACGCGCCCGACTATCCTTCATCGACTCTATACTTACATCTCTCATTTGTCTTTATCACGCTGCCAGCACAAACACTCCGCTCATTACCCGACCTGCATCTTAATACTCCAGCCAATGCATAATTAATCACGCTCGTTTTCTTTTGATACGACTTTCAGAGCAGGCCTTGGGTAGTCTATGCCATCACCAACGAGTTTTTGAATCGCGAGACTGTATACAATTCACACACAATTACCGAGGCACTTGGCCAACAGTCAAGACTACACAATTTAACCACAGCACAACTGCGCCACAATGGCCGATTACCACCGCCGACAGACGCGACCATCCACGAGACGAGAAGTGCTTGGACCTGGTGAGTCTCGCGCCAACATCGATACATCTGCACAAAGAAGCGCACGATCCTCGAAAGTACCAGAAGTGTCTTCGCCTACCGCTCTTCCCCACAACCAATCCCTTGTTGCCAATGGCTCCCTAAATGTGCGCACAAGCAGTCCCGGTGCCTCATCAACACACCAGACACACCTTTCATCTGCTGCACCAGAATCCCAGCGAGCCAGCAAACGTTATTCCGAGATATCAAACTGCACCACAGCCTCTGGATCAGGTCGCAAGAGCTTTGTAGGTCGATGGCAGCTCGGAAAGACTATCGGCCAAGGTGGCTGCTCAACTGTACGCCTGGTCAGACACAAAGATACTGGCCAGATTGGTGCAGCAAAGATCATCTCGAGGAAAATGGCAGAGACCGTTCGTGCTCAGAGCTTAGCCAATTTGGCAGAGATGCCCGACAAATCGTTGCAGGACCTTGTTGCCGCTGGCAAGGCCATGCCACCCCCTCCTCCAGGCTTACTTCGTGAGATTGCTATCATGAAGCTACTCGACCACCCCAACATTGTCCGTCTGTATGACGTCTGGGAAAATCACAATGAGCTTTACCTCATCATGGAGTACGTCGAGGGCGGAGAACTCTTCCACTACATCGAAGAATGTCGCGGTCTTGGAGAAGGAGAGAGCGTCTACATTTTCCGACAAATTGTCGCTGCACTGCTTTATTGCCATCGCATGCACATCCACCACAGAGATCTCAAACCCGAGAACATCCTCTTGGACCGCGAGAACATTCAAGTCAAGCTGGTGGATTTCGGTATGGCTGCTTTGCAGCCAGAGGGCAAGAAATTGACGACGGCCTGTGGCAGTCCTCACTATGCTGCACCCGAGGTCATCAAGAGCAGGCCATACGATGGCGCACGAGCCGACGTATGGAGCTGCGGTGTTATTCTGTATGTCATGCTCACTGGAATGACTCCTTTCAACTACGACCAAGACAGGAACCTCGGAGTCATGTACAGAGCTATTGCTGAGGCCGACTACTACATGCCTCCAGAGCTCAGTCGCGATGCTCAGGATCTGCTGCGCAAGATCTTTGTTCCGGAACCTCGTCGCCGTATCACCATGGAGCAGATCTGGGAACATCCTCTGCTTCACAAATTCGACGAAGAATGGGGATACACAGGAGCCCTTGCGTCAAAGGAGGCTTGGGTTGGTCCATCTCCTATCCTTGAAGACTGGACTGTGACTCGTGAAGACGAGGTTGACAAGGAAATACTTCGTAACATGCGTACTCTGTGGCACAGCGTGCCTCAATCTGTCCTGGTCAAAAAGCTTGTCAGCAATGAGCCAAACCAGGAGAAGCTCTTCTATGCCGCTCTCCTCAAGCATCGCGAAGAGAACCTTGAGAATTACCTTGGAGGTGCTGACGCCATCAGCTACTCCGCGAGCGACTACCAACATAACACAAATGAGCTCAAGGATCAACCCCCTCTACCTAGCCAGAAGCAGCATTCGCAGTCTCAATACTCCATCATGAACGATGAACATCTTCGTACTCCACAACCTGCCGATCAGAACCTGCCATCTGATGGTAGTTATGATCCTTATCGATCTTCGCGGTACCAAACCACACCCAATGGGACACCATACACCAAGGTTACTGTTCATCGCAGAGGTGAGAGCAATGGAAGTCGCAAGGCCTACATGCAGCACACTCTACGCCACCCCAACGCACTTCGAGTCGAGATGCTGAAAAAGAATGGTCCCTCGAATTCCAGTTCCAGCTTAGTAAAGCAGGAGTACAGAAAATCAATGACACGCTCGTTGTCGAAGGCTTCAACATCTCGCAACTCGGTTGTGAGTTCTGTTTGGCCTAGCAGTCCACCTGTGATGCCGAGAACAGTCAGCTCGCACAAGCACAAGAGAAAGGTCAGCTTTTCTCACCACCGCAAGAGCTCGCAAGCTGTCGTCAGCACCAGCGCTCGCTTTACCCCAGAACTCCAAGCGAAAGCTAGATTCTCTCAACTCATGCATGGAAGCCCCACTCCCGACGCGAACAGTCCCTCTTGCAGAGTAGACAATGCAATTCGATCTAGGAAGGACAAGTCGGTTACGCCTGCTCCGCGTACGCGACCTCGTAAGAATTCAACCGGAACAACGAGGACCGATATCCGCAAGGCCAGTAGTGAGCTCGAACAGGCTTGCGAAGAGGCGTTCAATCGTTGTTCTTTCAGCTCGAGTGTACTCACAACTGCATCCGCAACCGAGAAGACTGGCTACGAGACTCCTCCGTCATCCGTGTCTAAGAGAGATTCTGGTAGCTCAACCAAGGAACAAGCCGCACCTCGTCCGCTGCCTGCGCTGCCGACCGACACCCCTAACACCTTCATCACTCGTACGCTCGAGGAAACACGCCATAAACTTGCAGCACGAAGCGCATCCGAAGGAAATGATGGCTCTGCTAAGATCGAACAGGTCCTGGCGAACCTTGATAGAATCATGCCTGGTGACAAGCGTGCCGTTTCGGCTCCTGATCACCATCTAATGGACAACAGAGCACCTCTGCCAATCATAAGCGAAGAAGGCAGGCCAGAAGGCTCTCAAGGTCGCCCTAATACAGCCCACAGATACAGATCTGTCACGGCGCCAATGCCGGAAAGAACTGTCCGTATGGTCCAACCTTCATCGCCTGCCACACCAAAGAGCCCACACAATTGGCGCTCTGTCGATGAGCCAGCCTCGGAAGTCTCTCAACAGACTGTCATTGACAAGACCCGCCTCACCGTGCCCACTGTGGACCCCCGCATGGTCCGCAAGAAGAGCAGCGACAGCGACGTACCTTTGAGTCAGATCTCCTCTCAAGGGTCTCATGAGGGCGCGACCAAGAAAAAGTCTTCATGGTTCCGCAAGTGGAAGGAGCCGTCTGCCGCCATTGTTGATGACAACCATGTTCGGCCGCGCTCGCCAATGCAATGGGCCGAACCTGCTGGTCAATCCGGCAAGCCTAGCGTGCTCAATCGGGACAACCGCCCACCTCACTTGGATCTGAGTAGCGCACAGGTACCTGCACCCAAGTCATCTTCGAGCAGTGAATTCCCCATGCGTCGTGAAAGCAAGGGATTCAGCAAGTGGTTCGGCAGAAAGAAGGATTCAGATAAACGTGAGTTTAATTTTCATTGAAGGATCACGATAATTTCTAATTCGATGTATAGTATCCCCTCCCTCTGGCGCCATGGTTACCGGCCCTCTCAGCCCCTTCTCTACAGGCCCGCTATCGCCTCTACCTCCGACCACTCCTACCTCAGCTGCTGGCGATAACGCAACACGTTCTTGGTTCTCCCGATTCCTTCGTCTTCGACCTGAAGTCCGTACTCTAGCATTCAACGTTCCACGTACCCGAGCAAGAACAGAGTTAGTACGCATGCTGCGTGAGTGGCAACGACACGGAATCAAGGATTTGACCTACTTCCCCCAAGACAACGCCATAACCGCCAGTATCGATAAAGTCAACTCCCTGGGCATCAAGCCGGTCACCTTCAGGATCGAGTTGTTTGTTGTGCTCAAGAATGGTAGGAAGGCTGGCCTTTCATTGGCTAGATGTTCGCAGATGCGTGGTGCAGCCAGTTCGTTCCGCAAGGTTGTTGAGGTGCTAGAGCAAGTTGGCAGAGACCGTAGTCTGCTCGTTGAGGACGAAAGCCAATGGAACGAGCTTTGCGGTATTTTGGCCTAGGGCAAGGTCAAATATGTGTCCCAGCATCGACGCGAACTTTGCTACACTCTTCCAGAAGTTCTTCGAAGGGGTGGCAGCTCTTTTGTTTTCAGTGTTCTCTTCATTGTACTTTGGTTCTTGGTATGTCGATCACGACCAGGGACAGATACCCTTCTATCGGAGTGGAGTTTTTGTTCTTGAGGAAGCATTTTCGACGATTCAGCATTCAATCCGGAGTTTCTCGTTTGTCTCACAAGATGGTGTTTTAGGATGCGAAGGGGTTTGTTCCATGAGCAATGGGTGCGACTTTCTATTATGTTTTCTGTTTGTTTTCTTCTTGTTTCTCATTGTCCCTTCAGCTTCTTGACACTTGTAGTATATCGAAAGAGGCAGGAAAAGCAGGAAAGAGCAAGGGCCCGTAGAAAAGGAGGTAAGAGGGATAGGAACAGCGCAGGACACTTTAATGTTAATGAACACACTTTTTATACCTTTGAAACCGTGTGCATACTTCCTCATTCAGCTTGCATCAATCATGCAGAGGAGCAGTGTAGTGATCGGCCCAAAGAAGGAATGACGTTCATGTGATTGTTAAATACGTTATCTGGTTTTGCTCACTAATGAGGTCGCAGTGGTTTAGTGGTAAAATTCGTGCTTGCCATGCACGAGCCCCGTGTTCGATTCACGGCTGCGACAATCTTTTGCTTGGTGGGCATGAGTAAAGATCGTCATCTGGGCTTCCAACAGACCAACCGTGATGGGCTTGCCTGCCCGCACCCTCTGATCAACTTCTTCTCTTTTTGTTTCACTCCTCATCACGTCAATCTGTACGCGATCTGCGCAGTATCTCCAGCTCGATACATTGAATCCTCCGACTAGCGCAATTGAGACGCAGATCATTGATACACAACCATGGCGCAAAACGTGGTGCTTGTGACGACGATGGGAGAAATCACAGTAGAGCTCTACACCGAGCATGCCCCCAAAGTAAAACACGTCTTCAATCGTCACATATAAGCCTTGTAATGCTGACAGTTGGACAACAGACGTGTCACAACTTCTCTACACTGGCGAGCAGAGGCTACTACAACGGCACACCCTTCCACCGCATAATCCCTTCGTTCATGATTCAAGGCGGCGACCCTACAGGCACCGGCCGCGGTGGAGCTTCCATCTACGGCGACAAGTTCGACGACGAGATACACCCTTCCCTTCGTCACACTGGCGCTGGAATCTTGAGCATGGCAAACGCAGGACCGAATACGAATGGCAGTCAATTCTTCATCACGCTAGCACCGACACCATGGCTGGATGGGAAACATGCTATCTTTGGCAGAGTCAAGAGTGGGATGAAGGTTGTGCAGAGGATGGGCTTGGTCAAGGTTGATAAAGAGGATAGGCCTGTCGAGTCTGTGAGGATCTTGAGTACAAGGGTCGAGGACGCTGGTGCATGAGCGATTGGAAAATGAAAGAGCTTTGGAACTAAGTACGGGGTATCCCGTGCTAGAAGAATTGACGGATGGAACGTTTCGCAGGATACACCACACGAGGCGGATTGGGAGGGAAGGCATACGCAGAAGACCAGTAATGCTCTTTCCTGAGCGGGAGGGATTAATGCACGGGCAAGTGAATAACAACTCCTGCTCGAGTTAGAGGACGGAGCCTTCCTACACTCCGCAAGCCGGACGTGTGACTAAGTCGCTGTCGCAACGCATGTTAGCAGAGATGGCTTGTCGAGGCTCACACAACTCTCGTGGCAGAACCGACCGAACGAGTGCATGGACGCTTGATCAGCGTGAATTACAATTATGTCCTCATATTACAACAGCAAAAACCTTACAATCATGTACTCTCAACATCCACAATCTGGCGTATTCACAGCTCTGCACATTAGTATCCATGCTTGGCCAGCTCCTTCTCCGTCCACTCCCAGAACTCCTCGACCTTCTTCATATCCTGGGCCCAGCCAGTGCCTGCATTGTTGTTACCAATAGGTGTAAAGTAATATCCTTGTCTAACCTCTTCCTTGTCCGCCGTGCAGGCCCAGAGCTGGTTCTTAGCTCCCTCAGGTATGGACTGCATGAACAGTCCACCTACAGCGGCGATACCGTATCTGATGATCATATTGTCACGTTTCGTGGTTGCAAACAAATCCGTCTTGATGACACCTGGGTGCACGGCAGCAGCAGTGATGGAGGGGTAATGAGAAGTCAGACCGCGAGAGTGCAGAATGTTAGCCAACTTTGCACTGCCGTAGCGAGACCAGGTGCCATAAGTTTCGGCGGCGGCTTGATCGTAGAGGATGCCACAACCGCGTGCGAATTGGTGTCCCGTACTCGATAGCGACACGACTCTGACATCGGCTTTGGGGTCCTCTGCTGTCTTGAGAAGCACAGGCATGAGCAATTTGGTCAGTAAAGCGTGACCCATGTGGTTGGTTCCGAATTGGATTTCATATCCCTGCTTGGTTGTGCTGTAGGGGACACTCATGATGCCTGCATTGTTGAGAAGAATATCCAGTCTCTTCTCCTTCTGCTTGAAGGAGTCAGCGGCAGCTTTGACAGAGTCAAAGTCAGACAAGTCCAGAGACAAGAATTCGACTTTGGCATCTGGGACTTGGCTTTTGATGTCCTCAATTGCGGATCTGGCTTTGGATTCTGTTCGTGCAGCCAGGTAAATCTGCGAAGGATTGTGCTTGGCAAACTGTAAGACTGATTCTTTGCCCAGACCGGTATTTCCTATAGGATATAAGCATCTGGCTTGTGTTTGTGCGAGAGGACAAGAGAGAATGTATGTACCTCCTGTCACAAGAATGACCTTGCCGGAGAGATCGGGAATGTCCTTTTCGGGGTCGAAGGACTTGCCGCCGAAGAGACCGAACATGATGTCTACTCAAGTTATTGTCGGAGAAGCCAAGGCCTTGAATTCCTGTGAGGGTTTGTGTAAAACTGCGTCAATCGAGGTGTTTAAGCAATGCGTCGAAGCGGTAGTTCGGCAACTGTCGAGGTGGATGGGTGCTCGAGTTTCGTGGGGATAAAGCTTGATATTCTTCCCCTGTACCAAATAAAGTATGTAAGCCATATAGCTATAGAAATGCATGATAGTGATAGGAGATAAGATAGTATCCACTGAGAGGCAACAAGTTTCCGGCTCTCGATGCACATGCCTCTGCTTTGTGAACCAATTGTGCCTTTTTATAGTCTACGTTTTGCTCTCACTTATGTCGGAGTATGGTGGAAATCGAAGGCACTGTAAAGAAACGAAGTGTCAAATCATAGTTGCTATTGAACGAGGTGCATGCAAACGCCTCTATCGTGATCAGAAAAGAATGCATCTTCCAGAAAAGCAAAAGGCGCGAGAGTCCGGCCGTGGTATCTAATAATTCTCAAATCCTTCAACAAACGCCATGTTTCCGAGAAACGCCAACATCAAATTCAAGTCATGATGTGGATCGTAATACATCTCTGGCGGCTCATGAAGAGTCGACTCATCGATCCATGTCGCTCGCCCATCCATTGTTAGCAAGACCCATGTTCATGTTCTGTGTCTGCTGAGCGTAGGTTCCCATTTCGCTCTCGCTAAGGTCCCATTCGTTCCCACTTCCGGCGTCAAAACTACTTCTTCCGCTAAAAACTTCTGATTCTTCTGGGATGGCAGGCGCACTTACAGCTCCCCAGTCGAGGTTTGCCAAGTCCGGGTACATCTGGAGTAGAGCGGCCGGCAGAATAGGATGGAGATGAGGTTGATTGGTCATGGGAGGTGGAGCCACAAAGCCTTGGTCGCTCTGCATTTGTCGCTGGGCGTGCTCTTCTGCCCATTGTTTCTGTCGTTCGGCTGCTTCCTCGTCAAGCAGAGGTTTGATACACACACGGCCAGCTTCTGAGCGGAAATGTCGACCAAGAGCATCGGCACGCGCAAACCGACGGCCGCAACCCCACTGTTCTCCGTTACTGAGTTGACCTTTACAGACAAACTTCTTTTCGCCAGAATGCAAGCTCTCGTGGCGCTTGCGATCATGCTGACGGGCGAAGGCTTTGCCGCAGACAGTACAGACAAAGGGTCTCTCATCCGTATGAGTACGGAGATGGGACCTCAGGTTGTAAGCGCGGGTGAATTTTTTGGGACATAGTGTGCACTGGAAAGTGGCAGGGTGTTTTTGAGTCCGCTTCGGGTCATTGCCTCCACTGGCAGCTCTCTCAGGATTTGCGAGATCCAAAATGTAATGGCGCTGGGGCACAGATGAGGTCGAAGAGCGTCTCGACAGTCCACTTGTAGACGAAATAGAGGAAGGCGAGGGTGAGCGCGAGCCGCTATGCCGTGCGTCGAAAGGTGACAGCGAGTTGGTTCCTGGTTGTAGTGAAGGAGATCTACCTCTTCCTGAAACCGAGGGAGTAACGGGCCGTGAGCCAACAAAAGTGTCCGACTTGGCGCGCATTCGGTTGCGACTGCGATCTAACAAGAAAAAGTCAGCAGGTTGTTTAGATGAGGGAACATACCACCTACTCCTCTCTGGTGGACTGAGCGCATCCTCTGGCCCGGCACCATCTGGCGGTCCAAAACTGGGTACCCTCGAAGGAGGAGCAAAGTCGATATTGATCTCTGGCGGAGACATGGTATCAGCCATGCCTATCTCGTTGGGGGTACCGCTGCTGCTCAGCTGAGGAAAAGGCTCAGCTGCTGTGAGAGACGGGTTCGGATACATGTCAAAATTCTGCTGCGGTGCTTGGTATGTCATATCGGGCTGCAAGGCGAAACCATTCGCCGTGTTGAAGTCTGGAAGTGCTTGCTGCGCTTGGGGTAACAACCGGGGCGACACGGCCGGACTAGGGCCTGGGCTTATGTGAGGCGGAATCTGCGTATCGGACAAGGAAAATTGGCCGAGACCTAGAGCATCAGGGAACATGGAAACGTCGGCTTGAGGGTTCAGCATGGGCGAAGCATCGAAGCTGTCTGCCGTGGGTAGATATGGTGAAGCCTGGTTAGAATGCGACGAAATTTCCGAGTAGGCGTCTGAAGGTGAGCGACGATGCGCTTGAAAGGCTTGACCAGCACCCCAGTCGTTGCCATGATATCCTGGGGGTGGGTATGCAGCGCTTGCGGGGTCAAGCGACTCGGATCTCTGTCGGTTGACCTGGTTGAAGGAGGCCTGATGATACGACGGAGAGGCATGTGGACTGGGGCTTTGTGATGCACGGCGCAACTGGGGCTGCAGCAAGTGAGGAGGAGTCGGATTGTGATGCGTCGCAGCCATGGGGTCTACGGGTGGTGGATTGGAAGTGCCGTAAAGTAAGTTTGGGTCAAGCTGGTGCTGATTGAAGTCAAAGCCCGGAAATGAGTTGGATTCGGTTTGAGGCAGATTGTGAGGCGAGGGTCCGTTGAGCGAAAGGTTGGTCGCGCTGAGAGATGTGGGAGACAAGTTACCGCTCAGGTTGCTGCTGCTACCGTTTGGGCTATAGAGACTGGGAGTGCGAGCGCTGAAGAAGCTACTGTTATCGAAGGATGGCGACTGGAAGTCCAGCAGGGTAGCTTGGGGGTCGAGGAATTGCTGTTGGTTGAGATTGTTGGCCTGGAACTGCTGCTGGGTATCATAAGGATTGGAGAAGGGTTGGAACGAGTCGGCCGAAGCAGGAGGGGACAAGTGCGACGACGAGGCCGAACGATCACGCTGGCCTTGGTTGGTCATGTTGACGAGGGTGATGGGACGGGGCTCTTTAGATGTCTTCCAATATCATGGCCATGTGCGGTCGCGACAAGGGCGTCGAGGCTGTGGGGAGGCTGTATAATGCGCAGATGCACGATGGGTATAGCGCAGGAACGAGAAGAAGAGTGTAATGCTTCCTTCTGCCTGAGGCGGTGCAATGCTACGGGGCGGAGCACAAGATGCAGCTGCGCGTTGATTCTGGTAGGAAGGAACGGAAAGCAAGTTTCAAGAAGGCGCGCGTGTTGGAAACCCAGAACGAGGCAGCTACCAACGACCTACCAAGCCTACCCTACCCTACCTGCAATAAGCAACAGCCCAAGCCGACTTTTGGGTATGTCCTTCAGCCGATTGGATTTGGATGCACCGAACCGAACCAAGTCAAAGCGCCCTGACGGACAGCAGCCCAAAATGCTCCACCCGACTCAGATAGTTTCCTTTTGATTATCAGATCAATCCCCGTCACCTGCTCTGCCTACACACTCGCTATTCGCAATATCAACCCATCTATCGCTCCGCACTGCAATCTCCTGTGGTCGCCGACCAGCGCAGCGCGACAAGAATGCCCGACTCTGCAGAGCGAATGAGTTCACCGGTTGGCGATCCGCCAATAGAAACGTGTGTCGCATGCTAAGCCCCGCTCGAATAAACCTTGCTTGCTGACTCCCGACCTTTTCACGTGCCCTGCCCTTGTTATGCTCTGAACCATTTCCCGCTTCGAGGCTTGCAAGATGCATGTCTTGACATTCTCCATGTCGCATAACACGACACTTCATGTCTGCGCCCAGGGGGCCAGTCGCTCTTGCGTCACCACCAACCATGAAGCACCGAGTAACCCACGCCAGATGATTGAAGGCCTCTTTTGTTGAATAACCGCAAAGTGATGCAATGCAGAACTAGTGACGGTCTATTGCTTGCACTGCCACCTCCATATTTTGCGGCCTTGGTTAGGTATTTCGGCTGTTGCCCACGAAAAATCCTTCCTTGCTCTGATTCATACATTTCTTGTGGGCCAGGAGTCTGTGATGGTCGAAGCTCGTCTCAACGGACGATTTGAATTCGAACATTCTTCTACTTCTACTTGACTGTTGGCGTTCTCGAAACATATCGCTGTGCACAACGCGCATCTTGTTTCCGAGATCTCCTTTCGACCAGTCCACAACGAACACTGGAGATCACACAAGTTGCTTCGGGACCAACTTTGCTGCATAATCAGAGACTAAGTTGACAGGACCAACTGTTATGGACTGTCCAATGTGATGGGTGGACCGAAACATGTCTCTTTGGACAGCAGAGTTCTTGCTCTGAAGTCCCACATGGGGCGAAGGTCAAGTTCTCAATGCGGCTACTCTGGGCCAAGTCTACGACCGATGATGAGGGAATGAGCCTGCTCAGAAGCAGCAGGACGAAAGATCATAAATGCATTCATGGAGTCTCAAGCTAAGCATGTTACAAGCTGCTGAGCCACCACGTGAAAGCCAACTGGATGATGTACGAGTAGACGAAGAGAAAGTAGGTTCTCTTGGTTCTCTGCGAGCGGGCGATGGGGTTGTGGGCGCCTGAGGCAGTGTCCGGGAGGATGACATATTTGAGTGAACGGAGCTGCTCTAGTCAGTATACAAGAAAGGTGAGCTGGGCTTCTCGTTACTCACAAGGAAAAAGGCATTGGCCATGTAAGTGTAAGCAAAGACGGACCAGCCCACATAACCACCAGTGCCTTTACCTCCTGTCATGATGGCGGCCAGGGCGATGGTGAAGATGATACCGACAAACTTGTAGCCAGAATAAGCAACCAAATCCAGCCACTGCGACTCGTTTGAAATATTCAAGAGGTAGGTGCCGAGCTTGAGGAGCAAAAGCTCGATGATGACAACGGCAAAGGCATTGGTGGCAGTCATGCCGAGCAACTCAGGACGGAAAGCGCCCTGTAGACCAGCGAGGAGAGTAGAAAGAAGAATGTAGGTGACAAAGGCCATGACGGGAATATACATGTCGGGGCTGTTGATGTCCTCGCGAGGGGGTAGGAACATGGGACCGGACTGGCCGCTGTTGGCCATGGGCTGTTGCTGGCGGGACCAGGGACGATGACGCCAGGGGAAGAGGACTATAAAGAGCTTGTTGACGACGTATTTGTTCGAGACATTAAAGTAGTGTTTCATGGCCGAGACATTGACATAGCGGTTGAACTGGGAGGGGATCAGTAGATGATCTTGTCAAGATGATGTACAATAGCATGACGAACATTTTGTTCCATGTACTCCTGACCGGCAGCGACAGCAGTCTTGCCCATCTGGAAGCCCATCTGGGCAGTAGGATCATTGATGAAGCCGCCGAAAGGAGGTTGGCCGTAGTTGTTGGGAGCGTAGCCATACTGCTGTTGCTGGGCCTGCTGTTGTTGCTGTTGTTGTGTCATGGGCGGAGGGGGAGAGCGCAACTGCGGGACAGTCGAAACATGCTGAGGGACAGGATGGTGGAGGGGCGGCGATTGAGCCGGGCCCATGTTGGAGTAGGGACCGCGCTGCATGGTCGGGCGAGGTGCGAGGTGCGAGATGCGAGAGGTGGTCAGGAGGGGCGAGGTTGGTTACTTGTCCATTTGGATCGAGTCGCAAGGCAACGCATGCCAGCAACACGGAGCTTCCCCCAACTTGTGTCAATCTTGGCACCCATCACCGCCTGGCAGTCGCAGTCGCAATCGACAGGTCTAGCCAATGCGACACTTCTGGACACTTTGTTGAACAACCACATAGCCAACATGCTGGACGCCTTTGAGATCATCACGACGTCCGGTGTCGTTGTTTGGAGCCGCACATATGCCCCCGTCGCCCAAAAGGTCGTCAACACCCTGATCAACGACGTCTTTATTGAGGAGCGCGCCCAAAGCCTGCAGAGCCAACCGCGGAATGCCTCGTTCAAGACGGACAAATACACGCTCAAATACACCCACGCCAAGGACCTTGGTCTGATCTTTGTCGCCGTCTACCAGTCCATCCTGAACTTGTCATGGGTCGACAACCTGCTCGATGTCGTTCGAGGCTTGTTCGTCAAGCAATACGGAAACGATCTCAAGATCAAGAACACAACCAAGCTTGACTGCTCACATTTCACCCCGACCTTCGATGCCCTCGTCCAGAAGCTCGACAAGACCCAATCTTCAGCCCCGCGACCCGACGACCAAGATCTCGAGACCGACTCGCCCACCGACCTGACCCCACCATCGAGCTCTGCTGGTGATGACCAAGACCATCCGCCGCCTCCAGCTCCTGCTCTCAAGAAACCTGCCCCGAGACAGCTCACCGAAACCATCTCGGCTTCTACAGACGCCACTCCCATCCCGACACCAGACACATCACGACCCGCCTCGCCCGCCGTAAGCCAATTGCTCGAAGGAAAGAGCCCCCGCGGCTCGCGCCGTTCACGAAAGGCTGCCCTTGCTGCCTCCTCGGCCCCTGCCTCTTCTGGTGACGAAAAGTCTCCCTCGCGCAAAGCCGCTCCTGCGAAAAGACCTACTGCTAAATCCAAGCGTACATGGGACGCTCACGGCTTCGGTGCTGAAGAAGACGAGGACACGGTTCTGGACTACTCGACACAAAGCTTGGATGACGCCCCTGCGGCGCAATCGACACTCCAACCCGTCCGTGCCGATGACATGGGTAGCAGGACGGCCAAGGGACAGTTTGTGCTCAAAGATTTGGACGATGAGGTTGATGCCATTCTCGCAGAATCAAAAGCTAAGAAAGAGGAGGTCGATACAGATGCATCAAAGGGGTTAGTGGGTACTGGACTGGGAGCTATCAGTGGTTACTTCCGCAATATGGTCGGAGGCAAGACTTTGACGGCTGCCGACCTGGCCAAGCCCATGAAAGCCATGGAAGACCATCTTTTGAACAAGAACGTAGCCCGCGAGGCCGCTGTTCGCTTATGCGAATCTGTCGAACGCGATCTTATTGGTCTCAAGACCAGCAACTTCACCACTATCGACCAAACCATTCGCGATTCCATGTCCAAGGCTCTCACTCGTATACTGACCCCTACATCCTCCCTTGATCTGCTGCGCTCAATCACATCCACTACTTCTGGCTCGAATGCAAGGCCCTATGTCATCAGTATCGTTGGTGTCAACGGCGTTGGCAAGTCGACATCTCTCTCCAAACTTGCTTTCTTCTTCCTCCAAAACAACTTCCGCGTCTTGGTCTGTGCCGCCGACACCTTCCGTTCTGGAGCTGTTGAACAGCTGCGCGTTCATGTACGCAACCTCTCTGAGTTGACCGCCCGTGAGAATCTAGGTCACGTCGATCTTTACGAGAAAGGTTACGGAAAGGATGCTGCTCAGCTTGCTAAAGAGGCTGTCACATATGCCGCAGAGCACGCCTACGATGTTGTGCTAGTCGATACAGCTGGTCGTAGACACAACGACACTCGTCTCATGTCATCCCTCACAAAATTCGGCCAACTTGCGAACCCAGACAAGATTTTTATGGTCGGCGAGGCTCTTGTAGGCACAGACTCGGTGGCTCAGGCTCGCAACTTCTCTGCGCAATTCGTAGACCGCCAAGGGAAGGGACGTGGACTTGACGGCTTTGTCATCTCAAAATGCGATACAGTCGGTGACATGGTTGGCACGCTCGTCAGCATGGTTCATGCCACGGGTATTCCCGTTGTCTTCTTGGGCGTAGGTCAACATTATGGTGATTTGCGTGGTCTCAACGTTGGATGGGCCGTGGACAAGTTGATGAAATAGTGGTTTCCCAGCGTTTCCTTCTGCATATCCCTCTTCATCAGACATCTGATTAATACGATTACGGCCTTTACGTGTACATAATTCGAAGACCATTCTTCTTTAGTGCTTTGGGCGCGGCCTTTCTCGGCCTTTTTTCGCTCTCAGCGACGCACTTCTTGGACTCTTGTCCACACCATGCTCAAATCAGCGACAGTAACCTGAATACTAACTCGCCTCCGAGGTTCTGGCCCATGCACCCCTCTATCATTCGGCAGTTGTCATCTTGAAGCTGAGAAGGGAGGGGCATGTAGATCCCCGCAAACTGCCCCGCAGCATCATCAATAGTGGGTCGTATGTCGTCCTTCCTTCATGTGTATATAAGCACGCCGAAGACAAGGCATTGCAGATCCCAGTCTCTTCATCCTTCTTTGCATATTCTATACCTATACTCAGCTGTACAAGAAACAAACATTGACCCTGATCATGTCGGACAAGCAAATGAAAGCTGTACATTACGAAGGGCCCTTCAAGGTCTCTGTTAAGGACGTTCCATTGCCAAAACTTGAACACCCGGATGATGCTATCATCAAGGTGACTACTGCTGGTAGGTCGATTTCTGCTCTAATAGACAACTATATAGTCGAGTGCGGGTCTTGTCTATCCATCGACACCTCCCGCACTAATCTCAATCATCAATTGAGCTACCATCTCATGCACATAGCCATGATTCACTGACTTTTTTCCAGCAATTTGCGGCAGTGATCTGCACATGTACCAAGGACGCACAGCTGCCGAGTCAGGTCTTGTCTTTGGCCACGAGGTCAGTCAACATATTCAATGGTGATATAGCTCAGGAAACTAACTCTCTTGAACAGAACATGGGAATCGTTACAGAGGTTGGTTCTGGCGTAACATTGCTCAAGAAAGGCGATCGCATCGTGCTTCCTTTCAACGTGGCAGATGGCAGGTGCCGTAACTGCGAGAATGGAAAGACTGGTGAGTCGATCTGTCCCCGCCGCAGACATTTATTGACAAACTCTACAGCATTCTGTACTGGTGTCAACCCTGGTTTCGCTGGCGGTGCTTACGGGTACGTAGCAATGGGTCCGTATCAGGGAGGACAGGCACAGTATCTTCGTGTGCCCTATGCCGACTTCAATGCTTTGGTTCTACCACCTGGTACCGAGCATGAAGCCGATTTTGCTCTCCTTGCTGATATCTTCCCGACCGGCTGGCACGGTCTCGAATTATCTGGCTTCCAACCTGGCGACAGTGTGGCTGTATTCGGTGCCGGCCCTGTAGGTTTGATGGCTGCTTACTCTGCTGTCTTGCGTGGAGCTAGCAAAGTATTTGTCGTTGATCAAGTCAAGGAGAGATTAGACGCTGCAAGAAAGATTGGTTGCGAAGGTGTCGACTTCACCAAGAGCAACCCTGTGGAACAGATCATCGAGCTTAATGGTGGAGAAATGGTTGATCGTGCAGTCGATGCTGTTGGCTACCAAGCCGTCGACAAGAGTGGTAACAAGGAGCAGCCCAACATTGTCCTTGACCAGCTCATCCAGGTCACTAGACCCACTGGAGGCTTGGGCATCCCAGGTCTCTACGTTCCTTCCGTAAGTTCTTCTCTCACACGCGTTTCGTCTTTCATGCCCGAAAAGCCACTAACTCGTTATAAAAACAGGACCCTGGTGCTCCCGACTCGCAAGCTGCCAAAGGACAGATCCTCATCTCCTTCGGTAAGCTCTTCGAAAAGGGCCTATTCCTCGGAACTGGACAATGCAATGTCAAGGCCTACAACCGTCAACTTCGCGACCTCATCGTCTCTGGCCGCGCCAAGCCTTCATTCGTTGTTTCTCATGAAGTCGATATCGATGAAGCTGTTGATGCTTACGAGAAGTTTGACAAGAGAATTGATGGCTACACCAAGGTGTTGCTCCACCCTAATGGCCCTCTGAACAAATTCTCGATCTAGAGAGGCTTAAGCCTCTATCTTTCGATCGGCTCTATTTTGGTATGATCTTTGGAAAGCAAAATTTGGGACAGCTTTTGGCGAGATTTTGGCTTGTATTCATTATTTGGATCATCGAAATGCAAAGATACTTCGACCGCTTGTGTTTGACTTAAACCTGAATTGCTCGAGCCTAGTAAGGCTTATGTGAGACCTTAGGGGACAGGGGTTGGGGTCCCTCGAACATACACAGTCTTCAGCGACCAATGTGAGAGCTTGATACAGACAGAGAACGGGGTCATATTGCTCTCAAAGTCGTAACGCAGGCAATAGTATACTATACATATGCAGAAAGAAATCGTGAGCCTATCACTTCAGATTGCATAGTTCTCAGCGTGCAGATACACCTCATCTCTATTAGGCATATTCCACACTGTCCTCTGCAATTCAGCGACTGTATTGCTGACATCGACCCGCATGCTAGGTGGCCCGCAGACAAACACACAAGTCCGACGTCCAGTCCACTCTTTGCTCATCTCCCTGAGCATAAACGGAATATCTGGTCTTCCGTACTCGGTGCTCCAGCCTGTCTTCCTCGATTTGACAGCAGCTGGCAAAAAGGCAAATCGCATGAGGTTCTTTTGGAATTCTGTAGGCGTCGACGGGAAACCAAAGTCAAAATCGCCTTGAGGTGGCGTTCCCTCCTTAAGATGGGCTGCTGCAGCCGGGTCGGGTAATGGGATAGACATTTGCTGCGATCTTCGCTTCTCGGCCAAGGTAAGTCGAGGAGAGGCCAAAGGCTCGGATGATGGAGGAGGAGAGACACGTCCATTACGTGACGCACTTCTCAAAGGTAGCAAATGTGCTTGTGGCAGTGGTCTGAGTCGATCTTCATTTTCGCGTCTGAGTGCTTTTTCTCTTTCGGGGTCTCCTGCCGCTTCTTCCATGATCAAAGCAGAGTTCCTATTCGTATTGGCTGAGATTGTGGAGAGTCGATTGTTTGCAATGTTCTGGAATGCTTCATTGACTTTGTTGTGGAACACCATGCTGATCGGCCTCGTAGGCGTCTGAGCAGAAACCAATTCTCCGGTTCTGGCTTGTCTTTTAGCAGCAGTGATGTAGAACTGACATTGGACGGTATCCGGCGGAGCAAACTCTCTGCAGATTCTTAATTCTTCCTTGAACCATTCGAGTGTTTCAGGACGCTTAAGGGCCCAGATGACTTGAACGGACTTGGTCACTGCCTTGCCATCTCTGAGCCGTTTGATCAGATCGAGGAGTTGCGATACCAACGCTGTGATACCACTGCCTCCTGCGAAGAGCACGACGTGGTCGAAAGAGTCTAAACTTCTTCTCATGCCACCGTAGGGTCCATCGATGAAAGCGCGGTAGGTGTGCCACGGTCCATTCTCCAAAGCACTATCCAACACTTTCTTGGTGAAGCCACCGAAAGGCCGGAAGACCAAAACCATATCCCTATACTCTTCGCCATACTGAGAAGGAAAGTCGTCGCTCCACAGAGAGGCAATAGTGAAGGGATGGTTTTCGAACACTGAAATGCCAGGCATTCTGAGATAGACATATTGTCCAGGTTTCCATCTGACTTGCGTTGGGATGGTAACTTTTATGGCATTCTCGGGCATCAGTGTGACAGCTGCCTCTTCGCCAACCAACCATGATAGTCTGAAGTAGTTTGTCCAATTGAGAAAGAATAGACGAACGATGTATGAGATGAACCAGATAGCTGTAGTCGCCCAGAGATAGTGCCATGATGTGAGGAAGTTCTTGCAGTGCCAAAAGAGCATGGCGAGGAAGACGATAGACACAGGCACATGGAACGCTACGAACAACTCGTACATTTTGCGGCGTAGTGGAGGCAAAGAATGCAGACAGAGGAATATGAGGGGCACAAGTGCTGCAATACCAGATCCGTAGACGTATATTCCAGAATTGCCGAAAGCTGATTGAAAAACACCCAGACCGCCATCGGACCAGATTGGTGTGACGTAGAAGGGAATGGTATGTATCAGGCTTAGGAGCAAGCAAAGATATGCAAGCCATCGATGTAGGACATTCAATCGCTCGTGCCCAATCCCGGTGAGGAACGAGATGATATTTGCTTTCATGCTAAGACCAACGATCCAAGGCATCATTGCGACCGCAATCATGCCTGCTCGGATGGCCAGTGGTGGAGAACCAAATTGGATGCTCTGCCAGTACAGAGGCTGAGGGACGAAGCAGTAGAGCACGACAAAGATCGTCGCAAGAGAAACAACGGCAATCGCACCTAACGACGGAAATATGATTGGCCTCCACCCTTTCCTGACTCTGAGGACTGGTATTGGCCGATAGAACGCACATCGAAAGACTGCTATGGCATTGTTCACCAGCCACATTGAGGATACTGATGATTGCATCTTGGGCTGCTCAGGCAATGGTCCTTCGCGCGGGAAGAATTTTTGTGTTGATCTGTCGGTGCTGAGGACTGACAACTCATAGTCTGTTGCAGGCGACTCGATCATCGCAGATGCCGCAGCTTCTTCTTTGTGTAGTGCAATCCGTATCTTATCCGTCCAGACATGGTAGAGATGCAAGAGGCATGCGAAGACCAACAAGATGATGCAGAAGTAGACCCAGCCTAAGGCGTACTTTCCAGACTTTGACCATGGGTCTCGGGTGTTCGCTTCGACCAAGCCAGGCGGGCTGGTGCTGTTCAAAGGTATGTTTATGCGTTTCTCGAGCCCTCGAGAGATAGTTTCGTGGACAATTTGATACGTCTCTTGCAATCGTGAGAGTGTATTGCTGCCAGATCTCCGAGCGACGTTCGACATGATGTGCGAGTGCTTTGTCCTGGCGTAACACCCCTATCTGCTGCTCGAGTTGGCGTCCAGAGTGATCAGTATTGTAAGGTCCGCACTCGAGGTTCTGTTGGATTGTCACATTCGTGAAGTTGAACAGATGGTATCTAGGCAATGTCGTGAGGATTGGCTTCCAGCTGTGGATATGCACAGCAATTGCGCAACAGTGAGATTGCGTATGATCGCCAGCATACGTCCGCCTTGTGACAAACTGCTAACCTGTGTATAGATGATGCAAGATTGGCAAAGTATCGTCTGCTACGGTTGGCCTTGCGGGTAAGAAAGAACAGGATACAGAGGAACGCGTGCGAAGGATGAGGGTAACCTTAAGCATAGTATTCATCTGAACTGCAGGGGTCCACTAGATGTTTGCCTCTTGAGCGCCATATCAGGGACCTGAGCCGTGCCTCCCAATGTGAGTGGGGTTTATCACATCTGAGGGGAAGGTCTCTAGCACAAAGAACCTTGCCAAACGTCCTTAGATAGTGTGGTTACATGCGACAGTGTGCCACACGATTGGAGCAATATTGGCTGGACTCGTGCATGATGGTTGCCGAACCACTGCCAGCGAGTAATCGGGGAATATCTTGCTGGGTTCTGCATGAATGAGCACGCAGCCGCCTCGGTGATGCAACTACTCGACCCGACCTTGGATGGCGCTGGTGGACAGCTATTGCCGATCGTTGTTATTCACGTCCGAGAAGAAGTCAATATGATTTCTCCTTGACCTACATTGTCAGCAGGCTCGAGGTCAGCACCGAGGATGCGGTAGTTCAATCTGATAGCAGCGTGCTTGCGTTGCGCGACAAGACTCGTGGACACACTAGGCTCGGAGCTGCACATGAACACGCCACCAATAGGATCTCAAGAAGACATGTTGTGCGATGTGAATCGCTGACTGCGCTGCATGTTTGACCTGTGAAGTTGTAGGATTACGCGCCCGCACCACTCCGTTTCGGGTGCTGTCTCGGTTCGGTTGTAGTTGCTGCAGTTTTTAGGGACTCGTCGGTAAGAAGACCCTGCTTGTGGATTAATCTAATGTCCATTGTAATCAAGCAATGATAGAGAGTAAAGCTTGAATCAAAGCAATCATAGTCTGGTTTAATGAAAGACTAGAAAGGAACATTTCTGAACAACCATGTCTGGTTAGAGAGTGTATTGGTCCTTCTTTTCTGAGCAAGAAGATATATTTTATTTCTCGCTCGCAGACAAACTTCTATCAACAGATTCATATACATAGTCGCGTGCCTGTTCGTGCGCCAAAGGTTATCACAATCTTGCAATCGACACTCATCTCACCCTGAGCCATTGAGGTGTTAGAAGCTATCGAGATATAAGATTGCGTTCAGAATACGACTCATGCAGATGGCCTTCTTTAGGATTAGGACTATCCGTGGAGATCAACACTCTTTGCAAAACCATCATGCATCTCTATAGCTGCTCTGCAACAGTCCTTCGCACACGGGACGCGGCGAGTTGAAAACCAGATGCCACATGATGATGCCTGACTGGTACAAGATTGAAAAAGAGGGACGGACACGGGTGTGAAATTCAAATCTGTGGCGATTCTTCAAACTATCTATCATTACACTGAAAAACGTCTCAAGCCAAACGCCATTGCCCAAACCAACCGATATGATCCCACCAGAATGCTCAATCGCTTCTTCCCTCATGATCCATAAACAAGTTTCCCATACAACAATCCTCATCTAACCACTGCACATGATGCAAGCCTCAGGGTTCTCGATGCTGCAAGCCAGGACAGCGTCAGCGTAGATGTCACCCTCGCGGTCCTTGCTGTCATCGGCAGCATCCTCGTCTTGCTTCACAGTTCTCTTGATCTCCTCGTCGGGAGTACCGTTAGTGCTGTCAGCGGCGACCAACTTGGGGCTGCTTCCCTCGGGGAGATCAGCGGTGAATGGGGGTGCTCTCATAGGCAACTCCTTCTTGGGCATCGACTTAGCCTCAGCCTCTGGAGGTGGGGTGGTCGAGGGGGTAGGAACACCGTTGGCGACGGCCGAGTTTTGAGGTTGCTTTGACTCGTACATGGGCTGGGGAGTAGGGGACTGAGAGGCGGGCGAACCGGCGCCAGCGATACCGCGCTTCTTAGCCGGGTTGCGGGCAACGTTGGTGTCAGCGACCTTGAGCTTCTCCTGATCGACAGTGAACTGGATAGGAGCGGCAGCGGCCATGGTACGAAGGTAGTACATGCCGGTCTTCAAGCCAAGCTTCCAGCCAGTGAAGTGCATGCTGGTAATCTTGCCCATGGTAGGAGCCTGCATGTGAATGTTGAGCGATTGGGACTGGTCGATGAAAGCACCACGGTCAGCAGCCATTTGAACAATGTGACGCTGACTGAGTTCCCAAACTGTCTTGTATAGAGCCTTGAGATCGTCAGGAATGTTGGGAATGCGCTGAATCGAACCACCGTCGGCAATGATGCGGTTCTTCATATTGTCAGACCAAAGGCCGCGGTCAACGAGATCCTTGAGCAACCAAGGGTTGACAACCTGGAACTCTCCAGCAAGGACACGACGGGAGTAGATGTTTGAGGTGTAGGGCTCGAAGCATTCGTTGAAGCCCATGATCTGAGAAGTACTGGCAGTAGGCATAGGTGCAACAAGCAGAGAGTTGCGGACACCGTCCTTGGCAATCTTCTCCTTCAGAGCCTCCCAGTCCCAGAGGTCAGAGGGTGTGACACCCCACATGTCGTACTGGAGCTCACCCTTCGAGACGGGAGAGCCAGCATAGGTCTCGTAAGGACCAAGCTTCTCAGCGAGATCGCAAGAAGCAGTCAAAGCGGCGTGGTAGATGGTCTCGAAGATTTGGATGTTGAGTTGTCTAGCCTCGGGCGAGTCGAAAGGCATGCGAAGTGCGAGGAAGGCGTCAGCGAGTCCACTAACACCAAGACCAATGGGACGGTGACGGAAGTTGCTCTTGCGAGCCTCAGGGACAGGGTAGTGGTTGATCTCGATGATCTTGTTCAAGTTCTTGGTGACGACCTGGACGACCTCGTGAAGCTTCTTGAAGTCGAACTTCTCCTCGTTCATGTCGACGAAGGTGGGAAGAGCAAGGGAAGCCAAGTTGCAGACGGCCACCTCATCAGGAGCAGTGTACTCGATGATTTCAGTACACAAGTTGGAGCTGCGAATGACACCAAGGTTCTTCTGGTTGCTCTTGCGGTTGCAAGCATCCTTGTAGAGCATGAAGGGGTTACCGGTCTCGGTCTGAGCTTCTAGGATGGCGTACCACAGCTTCTGGGCGCGGATGGTGTCGCGGCCACGGCCCTCGCGCTCGTACTTCTCGTACAGAGCCTCGAACTCCTCGCCGTAAACGTCGGCCAAGCCAGGACATTCAGCGGGGCACATCAAGGTCCAGGTGGAGTTCTGCTCGACACGCTTCATGAAGAGATCGGGGATCCAAAGAGCGTAGAAGAGATCGCGGGCACGGACTTCCTCCTTACCGTGGTTCTTGCGAAGGTCAAGGAAGGCGAAGACGTCGGCGTGCCAGGGCTCGAGGTAGACGGCGAAGGCACCTGGACGCTTGTTGCCACCCTGGTCGACGTATCTGGCAGTGTTGTTGAAGACACGGAGCATGGGAACGAGACCGTTGGATGTACCGTTGGTACCAGCAATGTAAGAGCCGGTGGCACGAATGCAGTGGGCGTTGAGACCAATGCCACCAGCGTTCTTTGAGATCATGGCGCAGGTCTTGAGGGTGTCGTAGATACCATCAATAGAGTCGTCCTTCATGTCGATCAAGAAGCATGAAGCGAGCTGGGGCTGAGGGGTACCGGCACTGAAGAGGGTAGGTGAGGCGTGGGTGAAGTACTTGAGCGACATGAGGTTGTAGGTCTCGATAGCAGCCTCGATATCCTCGCCGTGAATACCAACAGCGACACGCATGATCATCTGCTGGGGTCTCTCGGCAACCTTGCCTTCGAGTCTGAGAAGGTATGAACGTTCCAGAGTCTTGAAACCAAAGTACTGGTAGTTGAAATCTCTGTCGTAGACAATGGCCGAGTTGAGCTCCTCAGCATGATCCATGACTGTCTTGTATGTCTCCTCGGAGATCATGGGGGCGCGTTTCTTGGTCTTGGGGTTGACGTAGTGGTACAGATCTGAGATGACGGCAGAGAATTGCTTCTTGGTCTGCTTGTGAAGGTTTGACACGGCAATACGTGCAGCGAGGACGGCGTAGTCGGGGTGGGTGGTTGTCATGTATGCAGCGGTCTCGGCAGCCAAGTCATCGAGCTGGATGGTGTTGACGCCCTGGTAGACACCAGCAATGACCTTCATGGTGATAGCAGCAGCGTCGACATGGTCAGGATCGAGGCCGTAACACAACCTCGATACACGGGCTGTGATCTTGTCGAATTGGACACGCTCCTTGCGTCCGTCTACGAGACTGTTAGCATGCTTCAGCGGACAGTGGCTAGAAGTGAATACATACCGCGCTTGTACACGAACATGGTGACGCGTTGATGTGATTAAGAGATGAGGACGAGAAGTGGGAGATGTCAGATCTCGAGGGGCGGGCAATGAGGGGTAGATGTGAGAAGTGTCTCCTATGGAGATGATACTAAAGATGTAGAAGCAGGAGGGGTATCAAAGAAGAAGCAGATTAAGTCGTCAAGACTGCGGATATGAGAGTGGGAGAGGAGAAGATCGAGGAGAGGGCTCTTATTGATTTATGGAGTTCGCGCAGCGCGTTTTGGGAAGTCGCGTGCCTCGCGTCGCTTCCATCTCGCGTTTGCAGCTTGAAATTGTTTCCTGACTAAGCAATTTTATGATTTCTTTTCTCGTCTCCTTGTCGACGCTCTCAACCTTCCCAAACAAAAAAGTCTTTTTGCTTCCTGCATTGGCTCCATCATCTCTTGTACGGTCGATCGTGTACGAAGACCTTGACGCCGATTTGCGCAGCTTCATGCACCTTCTGTCCTTTCACAAGACATTCCTTCGGGGTGCAATCTTTTCAGTGTAGACGAGACATACCTAGTGTCGACACGGCGGATTCGAAGACTCGGCGACCACTACCTTCCAAGGTCACGAGTTCAAAATCGACGCCAATATTGAGCCCAACGATCTGCCAAGATCATCTCACTCGTGTTGCAGTTTCTGAGCTTTGCTTTGAAGATCTTGCGTCAAAATGTTGAGAGACATGCCTATGTACAAATACTCTCTGGGTATCACTGCAATCACTGTGTGCTCTGCTTCTGTTTACAATTCCTTGTTCTCCGCTCCGCCGCTCTTGAATGCTTGTGGCTCCTGCTCTTGCTTTTTTGTCTGCACCTCGGGTCGCTTGGTAGCCAGCACGTACATGGCGACAATGGCTTCGCTGCACATGGAGATGACGCTCGCACATGCAATGCCCCAAAGCTGAATGCTGATGCTGCCTTTGGGAGCTCTGGGAAATGCGAGGAGCCATTCGACGTAGCCAGGAACCCAGCCTTGTGGTAGCCAGAACAGTGCTTGACGTGAGAACCAGAACTGCAGAAGGTAGCGCATACCGTTCGTACCCAGCCAGCGAAGGACATTGGCCGTCTTGTCGAATTTGGCTTTGGTGTCTTGAACCGAGCTTGCTGTCATCTGAGTCAGAGGGCGTCCTCGAGCGCAAACACGTAGTGAAGACTTGACGTACAGCTCTTTTCGTAGTCGGCGACAGCTTTGTCGTGCGTTCTGCGCAGCTTGGCCCATCTGGCAAACTCGTCTTGTGCGCTAACAGCATTCATCTCGCGCTTCAAACGCACCACCTCCTTCTTAAGTCGTGCCGAGTTTTGTGCATCTTTTGCCGTCGGTGTAGGGAGCTTGTTGTAGAGAACCCAGAGCTACGCTCGTTCAGCACTTGATCGTTCAGAAAAAAGAAGGGCCAATCATGTCCATACCAGCTCGTTGATAGTCGCGGCTCCGAGCGTGTTGATGAGGTGAATCACTACGTTCAGCAGGAACACGGCGAGCAAGAGAGACACCATGTTGGGCTGTCGATAGTTCTGTGACAGTGGTCTCTAGGTGGTTGTTCGCGGCGCGAGTGGCATGCACGCATGACGTGGAGCTTTGTGACCCGGACCAAAGTTTCCGCCAAGCCTCTACTGGCATCCATCTCTGGTAGCATCTAATCTGATACCGCCTTATCATCTTCTTGAACAACACGAATGCACGAGTAAAATGGACGTGACTCAGAATCCTCTGCAACTTTCATACCGTCTTGAGGCCTAAGAATGATACGTCCGCTCCTTTCCGCCCGTGAAACGACACCTTAGTCCATGTCGATGCCAAAGCTCGCTAAAGGACGAAACTCGAGGCCGCCGCCCTGCTGAGAGCATGCTTTCATTCGAGCATATTAACAGCTCTGTCAGCTCCATCAATCTGGAATCGCACGTGCCCTGTGCTTCTTGTTCGATCCGGAGCCACTTGCACGACCTCTGAATCCTGCACATTCTGCGTATCCACCAGACACTCAGCATCTATCTCCGTGCTTTCAGGATGTTTGTTGTGAATGCTGCGCCAGCGGCGACTGCGTTCGCCGTTGATTTTCAGCAGCATGGCTAAACCTGCAAGAGCAGTGAAACCAGTGCCGCCAACTAAAAGTGCTATCATGTGCTTCATGGGTGCCTTGATTTTCCTGTCACAGTATTTTCGACAATCAAGCTCATCACGGCATACTCGAGGTTGTGAAGAGGCAGAGAGAGATGATGACTTGGGTTTCTTGCTCTTGAACTTCGAAGTATCATAGCTCGATGCCGCAGTTGTTGTGCTCTTTTCGACCGTGCTGACTGGCGCGAGGAAACCCCAGTGCGGTGTGGTGATGGTGGTGCTTTCTGTTATAGAACCGAAGAGCGAGACGCCATCAGGATCCGTGACTGTCACCAGTTTGATTGTTGAAGACTCCCAAGGCTTGATGAAACCCCACATGCACATGTCATTCTTGCACAGTGACTTTTCATCCTTGTCTCTTTGACAATGCGAATCGCTCGGCAAAGGTCCCCATGAATTCGATGATGTTGAGACTGTCGTTGTTGAGACGTGATAAACATCTCTTCCTTCAGCGGTTTGAGCTGCTAAATCCTGCCGCGCTTTAAGGCCAGGTGTGGGATAGTATCGAAGATCTCTCGGGACCCTCGATCCTTGTTGAATAATCTTAGTTGACCGAGGACAATCTGAGCTGTCTGAAGTACAGACAGTGGGTGGGCCTTGAGTAGCAGCTGCGAGCAGAAGGCTCTCTACAACTTGAGCTGGAGGACAGAAGACAGACGTGGTCTCAAGGAGGCTATAGACGCCGTCGATAGCAGTAGAGGTTTGGAGGACATGGTCGTTATGGACAGGAAAACACACGCACTCGTCTCGTCGTTTGGGATGGAGATTGTAAAGGTCGCAAGTCACAGTTTCGCCCAAGCCTGGCGAATGTTCCGAGGAGTTAAGATGGAGAGCGGACGAGCGAGAAATACAGTCCTTCCGTGTGCCAACGTTAGGGTCAAGCTGGAAGAGCCACTCTTTGAAGTTGCGGCCGGATTCGATGCGTCTGGGACGCTGGACATATGGCGGCCAATCAACAGCTCCCTTGTGTCAGCAATGAGACCGCGTACTGGCTGCATCGAACTGACTGGTATATTGAGACGTGGATGAGGGGCCATAATTCTTGCACCGTGCGGCTGAACGACACTCTGACCAGACGGAATAGTTATGGTCCGCAGAGCTGAAGAAGTGGCAGGCTGTCTGCGAATCGACAATCGAACAGAATAAGCCAAACAAGGATAGAAGACGCAACATAATGATAGAAGCGGAGCCGTGTGAATACTCAAGGGGAGGTTCTATCTGTTCGCGAACATGGCTGATATATGGAACCAGCTCAGATTCTTCCATGTCGAGGTACCCGGCTGGTTAGATGGTTTGGCAAGGACGACCGTCCCACCTGTCTTGTTCTACGCAGAGGGCATATGAACTTTTGCTACAATGGGCTTAGATGTTCCATGTCCGCAGCAGGTTAGTAGCTCTGTGAGCATTTGGCAAAGCACGATCATGATTCATGAGAAGCTTCTCTTCTGGTCGTTCTCACGGACAGAGGGTGAGTGACATGACAAAGTGCGCGGCGGCTCATTCTTGTGGAGAGCTGGCGGGGTTCACCTGCCAACAGCCGAGAAGCAAACAGACCAAAAACTACTGACCGACCTTGCATCTCTTCGGGCAGCAACCATTGAGTGATACTCGTACATTCGACAGAACTCGAGGAATACCAAGTCACAAGCAGTCATGCTGTCTCAATCTCGAATCTGGATGCTCTGCAGCCTTCTCTTGCTGTTGAGCTCGCTGGCAAGCGCATCACTCTTTGCGCCGTTTCTGTCTGTGCTCGAATGGTCGCAACAGACAAGCTCCAACGAAACATTCCACGAACTGCCCAAACGCGCCCTGAACCCAACGTCGTGCCCGACTGGCTACAAGAACTGTGCAAACCTCGGCGCTCCCGGTCTTTGTTGTGCGAACTCGGCCATATGTGCTCCTGATCAGGCTGGCCACGTTGCTTGCTGCCCAAGCGGTGCCGTTTGCACTGGTGCCATTTCATCCATCATCACCGCTGGCGTCATTGCGTCCGGTGGCTCTGTCGCATCCACTACAGCTGCCGCGTCCCAGCCCTTGACTGCCTCTGCTTCGTCATCTCAAACAACTTCAGGAGGAGGTCTCATACTTGCTAGTGGTCTTAGCACCACCGGCACATCTTCTGCCACCACCACCGTTGCCTCGAACTCGGCTGCTGCCACATCTGGTGGTGGCTTCATCATTGTTGGAACTAGCACCGCCGCTACTCTCGGAAGCAATGCCGTGAGAAGTCTTCGTAGCGTACGTCTTAATCATTGTCTCCTCGTCCTCACAAAGCGTATTGACATTATCCAGCCATTCATAATTCAGGCCATCGTCAGCCTCTTGGAGCTTCTGCCACTTTAAGAAACATGACTCTCTACATGAGCTTGACGACATGACGAACGACCCCGACTCTGATGAAACACGATTGCAGCATAGCATGGATATATTGCATGAAGGCCAAGGCACCCTACACATGAGGATGAAACTGACTTTTACACAATACGAAGCAGTCCAGAAACGGATCAAGAAGCAAATAAGAATATATATACAAGAAAAGGCATTAACATCGAAATCGGATTTCTCCACGGTTCGCCTTAGGTGATCATAAAAATATGTACAAATTGTAGGACCAGTATATTTACAATAGAGTGTGATGCTCGTGAGAGGATTAGTAAGTGGCATACGCCTTGATGGAGGGCTCCGCAGACACCTTGGGCTCGTAGAGGACGAGCGAAAGTGCGGCAACCAGGATGGAGTTTTCGGTAAGCAGCAAGTCGCTGACATTCAGGCCCTCAGCAAGGTACATGTTGCACAACGTGTTGAGATCAAGACGAGATGTTTGGCCGGTACCACCGTTGATCAGAGCATCCTTGAGGAGGCCAAATGCAATAGGGTTGTAAAGAACACCTTCGTGCGTGTAGAAAGAACCACCGGGAAGGCCAGGACAAATGCCTTGAAGGTAGTTGTTTGTAACGCCCACATTGCGAACATCATTGAGATATGCCGAGGCACCTGTACCTTGCTGGGGCTCAACAATCTCGTCGAAGAGTCCACTGTACACGGTAGTCGTTGGGACGTACGCAGAGTCGCCACCATTGAGTCTCAATTGGTCGATGAAGTTGCTCGTGCCCTTGTACTTCTGTTGCAAGACAGATGGGTCACATGGAAGACCTTCAGGACAGATGAGATCGGCATTGACGGTACCGGCGTAATCGGGACTGATAGCAATGTGGTTTCTGGTCACCTTCTGAGTCGAAGTGAAGTACTTGAAGGCCCACTGGATGTCGATGTTGCCCTGAGACCAGCCGACAATGGATACCTTCTTGCCAGTGATGCTAGCAATGTAGTTGATTGCATAAGCAGCATACTCAGCATTGGTCTGAGCATCGTTCAGAAGGTACCCAGGGATGTTGAGCCAAACGGGGTCGGCGTAGCTTGATCCAGTCAGTAGAGGGATATCTGATAATATGTTAGTGACATTTTTCAAGCTGTCTCGATGAGTTGTTCTTACAATTTCCAATGTAAGTGAAGTAACCAGTTGCTCCCGTACCAGGCATGAGAATCACTGGCTGAACCTTCCCGCCTGTGAATCCAGGTGGAATATAGATAGCAGAGCGAAGTGAGGACTCGGTGACGCTGTACTTGGGGTCATTGCCCTTACGAGGGTAGATGGTGTTCTTTGGTGCCTGGAGGTTGACGTTGCTCATGCTGTTTTCGCCAGTAGCCAAGCCATCGACGAAGCCAAGGAGATCATTGACGGTGTTTGCAGTCAGACCTTCTGCAGCAACAGCAGCAACGAATTCGTAGAGGTTGGCTGAAGGCCTAGCAGCATGGATGCTGGACAGCTGGGAGATAGCAGACGCAGCGTTGTTCTGAGTGGCTGTCGCCGTGACCTGACATAGAGCGGATGAGATAGTGCTCCATGCCTGAGTTCCGACGATATTGCCAGCTCCAACTTCAGACAGAACGTTATTGATATCTCCCACGACATCACCGAGAAGGTCGTTTGTAGCTCCGGTGAGATCTCCAATCAAGTCCCTGTCCTCCAGAGAAGCAATTGCAGTGGTAGTTGGTGAAGGCACAGGCTCCGCAGGGGCCGGTCTAGCAAAGGCAGAACCGGTGAGCGAAAGCAAGGCCAGCACAGTTGAAAGTCCCTGCATGCTGAAAGAAGTGGTCGAATCGTTTTTCGACAAGATAACTGGAAGCAAAAGGATGACTGAAATCAAGCAAACCTTTGGGCGAGGGACTGACGTGGTTTATGTACCAGACACAAGTATACAAGGAGTTTATCACGATGCGACTCAGCTGTCTTCTTCCGTGCACCAACGCAATCTGGCAATTCCGTATCCTGACTCTTCGACATCGTGCTGTGGTTCAGATCGTCATGCTCAAGAAAATCTCCAAGAGAGGCAAGGATATGTAGTAGATTCATCTATCTCCAGGCCGCTCAGACGGTTCCCCATACAAAATACGTCACCCGAAGTAACTGGTTCGCATGTCATCAACGCTTGCTTGTACGAATGTGTCCCGTCCCTAGAAGGAGTCGACCAGGGCTGTCATCGAGTTCCGCTTGATCAGGTCGGCTGTGCTGAAATTTGATGCTGATCATCGCGGATCATTTCATGCCTTGCCCCTTTCGAGGAAATGTGCCTGTGCCCGTGTCAAAGTCATGTAAATCATTAGGACGATCTGACAAATTCCGGGTATTCGGCCGACGAGCTTTCCGGTTAAAGCTCGGGACATCTATCTCATCGTTATGGCGGGTTTCAAATGGCGGGTTTCATATGACGGGTTTCAGAACTTACCGGCCATCAGGAACAGGTACTGTAGTATACTTGGACGACTCCTCTTCAGAAAGCGTCACGTTATGTGTATCTTCTTGAACAGTGTGCCTGTAGCGTTTGAACAGCAATAGGAACGTGCAAGGTAGTGAGCGTAACGAACCTAACAATGGATGAGGTGACGGATGAGGCGTCAAAATGCGGCTCTTTTCCCCGCCCAACAGCACAAACAGCTTACGGGTGACGATGTGCGGGCGATGCCGAGGTCTATCAGAATAGGTTCTTACAGTAGTTATTACCTCCCTTGCATACCATTCATATATCGAGACCATGTCGCCTACTTCGTACCGCATTAACGTCGATGAGTCTCGCCTCGAGGATCTCAAGAAAAGGCTTGATCTCGCATCGTTCCCTGATGAGATAGAGGATGGAGGGTGGTCTTATGGAAGCCCTTTAGCCGACGTCAAGAGACTCACGTCGTATTGGCGAAATCAGTATGATTGGAGAAAGGTAGAGGCCCAGCTGAATGAGCTACCCAACTTCGAGACGACTGTCACTGTTGATGGTTTCGGAGACATCGAACTTCATTTCCTGCACCAGCCAAGTTCTGCACCAGACGCTGTTCCTCTACTCTTCGTTCATGGTTGGCCCGGCAGCTATCTCGAGGTGTCCAAGATGCTTGCAGCTTTGTCGACAAGTGCCAATTCTGTCAGCTTTCACGTCGTCGCACCGTCTCTGCCAAATTTTGGATGGAGCGCAGGTCAGTAACAAGAGCAGTCTTGTAGTTGTTAAGCCCTTTCGTCTCAGTTTCGTACTAGGTGTCAAGAAGAAAGGGTTTGGACTCGGTCAATATGCAGAAGCATGCCATCGCCTCATGCAATCTCTCGGCTATGATAAATATGGTAATCGAAAAGCGGTCTCTTCGTGCTTGTACGAGTATGCTAACGTTGTTCACCATCAGTTACTCAAGGTGGTGGTAAGATACAATACTCACAGTATCAAGCTATGAATTGTGACTGACGCAGTCAGACTGGGGAATGTACATTACGAGGAGCATTGGCCTGCTCTACAGAGACTCTTGCTTGGCTTCCCACATCACTATGGTTCGCGCTGATCCGCCGGAGCTCTCTACTAGCCCACTACTTGCTATCCAACATGCTTTGACTCCGTACACAGAGGACGAACATAAAGGACTCGCTAGAAGTGATTGGTTCAATAAAGAGGGAACTGGATACAGGTTGATCCAAAGTAAGTTGGAAGTGCATGAATTTGGCAGATCATCTTTGCAGTGACACTGATTGAATATCGTCAGGTACAAAGCCTCAGACTGTTGGTTATGCACTTGCCGACAGTCCAGTAGCCCTGCTCGCCTGGATCTATGAGAAGCTCCACGACTGGACAGATGATTATCCGTGGACCGACGACGAGATATTGACCTGGGTTTCGATTTACTGGTTTTCGAGAGCAGGTGTAGCAGCCTCACTCAGGATCTATTACGAAGCCACACACACGTCGACCCAGGTGACGAGAGAACGCATTCACCGCTACATAGACGGTGTGAAATTAGGGCTGTGCTATGCGCCTAAGGTACGTCTGCATTTCTTATGGAAATTAACATGGCCCTGATCTGAGCCTTCCACATGCGGCGCTTTTATCATTTCTTTCAGCGGATTTAGGTCAAACAACAATCGTTAGCCAATGGAGCCCGACTACATCTTCCGGGTTCATGTTGTGCATGGGAGGCTAACAATCATGTCTACAGGAACTCAGTCTCCTTCCCCGAGCTTGGGGAAGAACTCTCGGTCCAGTGGTTTTTGAGAGCGAGAAGAAACATGGAGGCCACTTTCTTGCCCACGAAGAACCAGAAGAGATTGTTGCTGACCTTCGAGCCATGTTCGGGTCTGATGGTCCCTGCCACAACATACTCAAGTCCTAGATCTCTATGGTACTGCAGAGACGTTCTCGGTAGAGTCTCGCAACTGTATAGACCACAGTCTTGCACATCACGAATTTCGGTTGTAGTTGACAGAGGTCTTCTGGAACTTCGACGTGCAATTGATGGGTGAAAGTAGGAATTGGACAGACCAGAAGGTCTTCTCGATCTAGGTCAAGCAATCCCTTTGGATAAAGCTAAGACGAGTGGTCCTGCGATGATGGATCAGAGTGATGGATACTTGACTGGGTGTATGCGCGATGGCAACCTCGTGGGCAAGACGGGCGTAATGTACTCGAGTACGTATGATCCAATGATACCTAACTCCGGAGACGAGCAAGGAGCATGATCGGCATTTCATGAGCGCGTGCTCGTTGAGCGGCACGGCGGCGTTCTACTCTCGCGCGTTACAACGAAGTCTGCCCTGATAGACAGATTAGGAGAGGCACATTGATCTATGTTTTCATCATCTCGCAGTTCTTCTTCGCAAGAGTTGCCCAAAGAAGCGCAAAGAGTCGAGTTTCATAAGAGACCAGGGCAAGCTTTGGTCACATGCAAGCACGCGCATCGGCTGACTACACGCCGTGTCGGTGGCCAAGCTCAAAGCTCCGATGCCTAGTTAATGTTGACACGAGTGATCAGTATTGATATAAGAGAGGTCAAGGCAGGAACTATAGACCTCTCCATCGCTCCCTAACAACATGTCTACTCCTATTCCTGGTCCAGCTGGCTGGCCCCTCCTAGGAAATGTCAACGATATCGACCCTGATGTTCCTATCAAGTCGTTGATGGATATTGCCGACAAATATGGTAATTGTTTCACAATACTAAACAATATTCTCAAGAGCTGACAACGAGCAGGCCCAATCTACAGTCTCTCAATACTTGGGAAACGCCGAGTTGTAGTCTCCTCCGTTGAGTTGATGAATGAGATCTGTGAGGAACGGCGCTTCGGTAAAGTTGTGACTGCCGCTTTAGGAGAAGTCAGGAATCTTACTGGAGATGGTCTCTTCACCGCAGTATGTTCGTTAATTCGGAGCTTTGAGGTCACTCAACTGATGATATAGTAGCACAACGGCGAACAGAACTGGGAGATCGCCCATCGTGTTTTGATACCCGCTTTCGGACCGCTTAATATTCGTGGTATGTTCGATGACATGCGTGACATTGCATCGCAGCTCGTCATGAAGTGGGCACGCCACGGAAACGACTACAAGATTCACGTTACGGATGACTTTACTCGATTGACCTTGGACACGCTTGCTCTCTGCTCCATGGATTATCGGTTCAATTCATTCTATGCTGAGCAGATGCATCCTTTCGTAGATGCAATGGTCAACGTCCTCTCCGAGTCTGGCTCAAGGATTCGAAGACCTGGCTTCCTGGCCGCTCTGTACCGTAAAGAGGAATACCAATACTGGAAAGATATCAAGTACTTGCGAGAACTGAGTGCAGAGCTGGTTCAGAATCGCAAGAAGCATCCTGGAAGTAGAAAAGATCTCCTCCATGCCATGCTTCATGGCAAGGATCCACGTGATGGGAGCTCGTTGTCTGATGACAGTATCATCGACAACATGATCACCTTCCTCATCGCTGGTCACGAAACCACTTCAGGACTTCTCTCGTTCCTCTTCTACTACCTCTTGAAGAATCCTTCAGCATACAAGAAAGCACAAGAAGAGGTTGACCAAGTTATTGGCGACGCGACTATCAAAGTGGAACACTTGAGCAAGCTCCCCTACATCAACGCAGTCCTGCGCGAGACTTTGCGACTACAACCTACTGCTCCAGCTTTCTCGATCCAGCCCAACAACGAGATTGACACCATTGGTGGTCAATATACTGTGTTCAGAGGCGAGCCCATCGTTGCGCTACTACCAAAAATTCATCGCGACGTATCTGTTTATGGAGAGGACGCCAACGATTTCAAGCCTGAGAGAATGCTTGACGAGAACTTCAACAAACTTCCTCCAAATGCCTGGAAACCATTTGGCAATGGCTCTCGTGCTTGCATTGGTCGTCCATTTGCATGGCAAGAGGCCCAACTCGTGGTTGCAATGCTCCTCCAGTATTTCGACTTCACACTAGACGACGCCAAGTACGATTTACAGATCAAGTCAACTCTGACCATCAAGCCAAACCACCTTTACATGCACGCTAAACTCCGCCATGGCAGAACTCCTACTCAACTCGAGCAGATTCTTTCCTCGAATGGAGCTCCCACCCCGGCAAAGCAAACTCACAAATCTGACGTTGAAACAGCAACATCTGCCGCAAGTGACGGCAATGCAAGACCTCTGACTATCCTCTACGGATCAAACACAGGCACCTGCCAGGCTTTTGCTCAAGGCCTCGCAGCTGATGCACCTTCTCATGGATTTAAGGTCACCAAGATCGACACTCTTGATTCGGCCAAAGACAACTTACCTACAGACCAAGCAGTGGCCATCATAACCTGTTCGTACGAAGGCGAGCCAGCAGACAACGCAGCACACTTCTTCCATTGGCTCAAATCACTAGAAGGAAATTCTGTCAAGACCCAGTACGCCGTGTTTGGAGCGGGACATAGTGACTGGAAGAACACTTTCCACAAGATTCCAACAGCCATCGACGACATTCTTCTAGCACGTGGTGGAGAGCGTATCTGTAGTCGAGGCTCAGCCAATGCTGCGAACGGTGACATGTTCAGCGAGTTCGAGAAGTGGGAAGATGAGGTCTTCTGGCCTGCCATGTCGAAAAAGTATGGAGGTGATGGCGGTGCAACCGACTCAGCGGCAACTCAAAGTTTGACAGTCGAGGTGTCGAGCGTCCGCTCTTCACACCTGCGTGCCGATGTGTACGAGGCTCGCGTCGTTGATGCAAAGCTCCTCTCACAGCCTGGATCCTCTGAGAAGAGACACATCGAGATTGAGCTTCCAGCTTCCGTGACTTACAGCAGTGGCGACTATCTGCATGTTCTGCCAATCAACCCACATGAGAGTGTGCAGCGTGTCATGCGTCGCTTCAACTTGGCGTGGGACAGCGTGCTGACCATCAAGGCCGCAGTAGGCACGATTCTGCCTACAAATGTGCCAATTTCCGCCAATGACCTTTTCGGGGCCTATGTTGAACTCGGACAACCTGCAACCAAGCGCAATGTGACGCTACTTCTGGATGCTTGTACAGATGACGAAACCAAGAAAGAACTAACTCGACTTACTGGCGATGCTTTCAGCACCGAGATCAGTGAGAAGAGGGTCTCACTCTTAGATCTACTCAACAGATTCCCATCAGTGCAACTTCCTCTCGGTGCTTTCATCAGCAGCTTACCTCCTATGCGTACCAGGTCTTATTCCATCTCTTCATCAAGCTTGGTCAGCCCTCACCGCGTCACTCTGACCTACGCCGTGTTGCATCAATCACACATGAGTGGTATGGGTGAATATGTTGGTGTAGCTAGCAACTACCTCTCGAAATTGGCTACAGGTGACAAGTTGCATGTCGCTGTACGTCCCTCCAACCAAGCCTTCCACCTGCCTACCGACTATGAGAAGACGCCCGTCATCATGATCTGCGCCGGTACTGGTTTGGCACCTTTCCGTGGCTTTGTGCAAGAGAGAGCAGCTCAGGTAGAGGCCGGTCGCAAGCTTGCACCCGCTCTGCTGGTCATCGGCTGCAGGAGCCCTGACCAGGACGAACTCTACCGAGAAGACTTCGATCTTTGGGAAGCCAAAGGCGCTGTCAAGATCTTGCGTGCTTACAGCAGGAAGCCCGAAGCAAGCGGAGGGTCAAAGTACGCACAGGACGCTCTATGGGAGCACCGCCAAGAAGCTCGCGAGCTGTGGGATGCCGGCAGCAGAGTCTATGTCTGTGGCAGCCGTGCTCTCGAGCGTAGCGTCGAGAAAGTTTGCAAAGCTATATATGTCGAACGGGCAAAAGAGCTAGGCAAGGACAAGACTGAGCAAGAGGCTGAAGAGTGGTTCGAAGGGACAAGGACACTAAGATTCGCAACCGACGTGTTCAACTAGTGTCATAGCTCAGTTTTTCGGCATTTCTAGCATCACCTAAGCGCATATCACATAAAGATTCAATGGTTTCGAGTGATACTTAGCGGAACTTGCATACTATCGTTTTTCACCTATAACTTCGAGTTCCTCGTGCCTTGCAGTATCTTAGCAAACACTGGTATGCCCTCTCTGCCCAGAGCTGTGCCAATGGCTACGACTTTGGCTCCTACAGCTTGCATACGTGATAGTCCGGCAGCATCACTGACCCCGCCAACACCGATAATATCAATATCGCGCAACTCGGCATGCTCATCGAGTAATCGGCGCAGCGTAGCGACGTTTCCGAGAGCTAGTGGATGCAGAGGCTCGCCAGCAAGTCCTCCTATACCCGTGCCTGCCGCCAAGGGAAGCAACGGTCGACCCTGCTGAGACAGCACAAGAGAGGAGCCCAGCGTGTTCGTGGAAGTTATAAAATCGATTGGCGATGTCCCATTCTCACGTAATGTGTCTATCAGCGTGTTGAATTGACCAGCATATGTGTATGGCGGTGTCTTGAGACCCAATGACACTGTCCGTGGGACATTTCTCAACGCATCAAGGTATTCTTTCAGGGCAGAGCCAGAGTATGCTGGTGGTGGTTTGTTCGCGATATTGGGGCAGCTAAGGTTCACTTCGACAGCGAGCGGTGCTGGGATATGGGCAGCGAGTGTGGCGACTCTGCTATAACATTCAGCGACCTCTTTGGGCGAGCCTGTGACAGAGACGATGAAAGGTTTGGGTCTTTTGTTCGAAGAAGCGGTAACGATGTGTTCAATCCAGCTGAGATAGGTGTCTATGGGAGTAGGCGAGTAGCCAAGTGTGTTGAGACTGGCTGGGTACTCTTTCCCGCTAATGGTGTAATCTGGTGCGGTCGTGGCCGTCTGCGATTGCGTCGAGAAGAAAGCATGCTGGTGAACGGACGGATCGTGAGAGAAACCGAGCAGCAGACTGGTTCGTGTCGTCACAGCGCCCGTATGTGGGCATGCGTAGAGAGCTTCGAGATCTTCTCGTGTGCTGCACCACGGATTGGCGCTGTTAAGCAGAGGCGGGTCGATTGTTGGGAGTGGCATGGCAGTACTAGGTCAGCTGTAGCATCCTATATCTGGATCTATGTTCTCAAAGCTTCTGAGTCGTATTTGACCTGCGGCGAGTATCCGTATGCCGAGTGCTCGTGCAGGTGTTTCCGATAAGCACAAGATAGGCCAACATGCAGCAATAGACAAAACAGTCCTCCACTACACAGTAAATAGCACACGATATTCGCAACTACCCAAGACAGTGTTTTGAACCAAAACAGATGTGAAATTTAAATGGTGAAGACAATGACCATCTCGCGACAGGGTCACATACACAGCGAAAGCGGACGAGTCACAAGCTCAGTGCCTTCCTGTTTACACCTTTCTTTCCTCATTCAAATTCCATCGACCCAATGTACGAACATCGCCTCTGGTTCTTCGAAAACAACTCGCAAGAGTACTTCTCATCAACTCAATTGGGTCACTTAAAAATGGACGCTTGATCAAGCGCGTGAGTCGTGTTTCTCGAAAGGTGATCCCTTCGAATTGCTCCTCCCTCCCGTTTGATGTTAATATTGCATCTAGTCGCACCCTTCTCCATCCGAGAAGTCGTTTCTTCCCGACTCGGCAACATTTCGGCCGGGCGCTTTGGCTGAGTGGTTATAGCGATAGACTAGAAATCTATTTCCTTCGGGAGCGCAGGTTCGAGTCCTGCAGGCGTCGTTCTTTTTGCCTTTCTGTGCACATCTGGAGACTTCTCTTTGGTTGTTGCATGCATGGCAAAAAGAATGGGAGGATTTAGGTCAGTTTTGGTGAAGTTATGATGGTATAGAGTGCACGAATGTGATTTTTGCGGCTCCGACGCCCAACGACAACACGACCAAGCGCAAGCTCTGACTGGACTTCTGCAACTTCTTTTTGATCAACAAGGTAATAATTAACAAGGAGAGACCATTTAGCTTAAGCGCTTATGCACTGATCAGATGCGGGATGCGTCTATGCCCATCATGCCCAAACACGGGAAAAGTAAAGCTGTCGATCAGACCATGACAGGTTATCGCATTGTTCATCCACCCGTCATGTACGGCTCCGTACATACAATCAACTTGTTTACTCCGAGCAAGAGCAGGTAGTGACCAGACACTCCAAGGAGATCCCAAATGCAATTCGCTGATCATCCTTGATGCTGACATCACGAACTCGGTGCTCCACGTGTCTCTATGTTACGAATACCTGCTCGTCGGCTCATCACTTTGAATATGCTTCGCCTGCTTGGTCCTCTGAGCAGCACTGAGGTGCGTATACCTGGTTCTGATGGCTGCGACACTTCGTATGCCTCCTACAACATCAAGACGGCAAGCACACATGACGACTGCAAGGACGAACCCATGGTTAGATACAGTGCTATCAAAACCCGAGCCATCCACACCATCAGAGCCAAAGAAATTGCCCGAGAAACATGGTTCATCGGACCACCTCCGACCGAAATCCTCTACACCAAACCAAAAGACAGAAAAGAAACCAGCACAAGACTCCCTCGATGAAGCCTTCCAAGCAGCAATCAAGGCCATAGTACCAGAACGGCTCGAGGCTACCAGAAGAGCGAAAGCCAGAATGGATTCCATCCAAGGAACATCTCACGATAACCCGAAAGTGGCCGATTTTACTCAAGTGACGCCAACAACCTCAGCACCTACTCCGAGTACCACCCAAAAGCTTTCCAAACAAAAGGAGAAGCCACTCTTAAAAGCGGCAATCGAACACCTCACACTCGATCGTCTACATACTGTACTCTACAAAGCCCTTGACGAATCGCCAAAAGCTCGTTCAGTGTTCGAGAGAGAACTCTTGGCCCCACTATCTCCTGATCACAATGACGACAAAGAAGAAGAGATAGTAGCAAAGAAGAAGTCGGGAAGAAAAAGACCACGGTTCGAGTTGTGTAGATGGTGCAAAGAAGAATTCGACGTCACAAGTAATCCTGAAGACGCCTGTACGTTACACCAAGAGTCAAAGCACCAAGACGAGTGCTGGCGTTTTGTCTCAACCTGCACAAGAAGTCTCTGGGATGTGTGTTTTGACGAAGTCATCTAGGAAGCGTCTCGCAGAGTTGAGTACATGCGTTTCGCAAATACGTGGTGTTCTAGCATTCAACCTTTGATATCTTGCTAACTGTATCTTTGCTTTAGGTCACCGTCACACAGGCGAGTTGATACCTGTTAAGCGCTCCCGAAGAGCTCATGACATAACAGAAGATCTCCCAACCGATAGGGTTGAGAATCGAGTGAACAATGCCGAGGGCTTTGTGTGGGACTGCTGTTGGGCATATGGCGACGGTGATGGCTGTAGGACTACTGCCCATGAGATTGACGATGATCATGACCCAAAGAAATCTAAGCGATCTTGAATATGTTGAGATGTTGAAGGTTGACTTTGCTAAGACATGATATGTTACCACCACGCTTTTGTGTTTACGTCTTGAGATCTTGCTGTTCGCGCTCCGAGAAGGAGAAAAGAAAAAGAACAAAAACGAGATCTCAATATCAAGAACAAGACGCCGCCGCTAATACACTGCAATGTTAAAGACAATAACAACAACCCGATGCCATTCTTCAGGTAGGGCACTGCGAACATCCGCGAATACGAGCTTTCCTCAATCAAGGGCAGCTTTCGCCGTTCTTTCCTCTGTTCTCATCCTTCCTCCTTCTCTCCGTCAGTCCAGCTTTCCCTATCACTCATAGTTTTTCATGCCATGCCAAGTCAGGTTTCCTTTCCTTGCTCCTTCCGCCACCACCTTTTCCATCCAAGCCTTCCATTATCCAATCCGCCAACCACCGTATCATCACCCAAGCCCTGGTATCGTTCAATGGATATTCACGACCCAACATGCATCACTCCTTGAGCTGACTTCTCAAGCCCAGAACCTCACGCTTCAATCTAGCGTTCTCTCTTCTCAGTCTTCCAGCCTCATCTTGCGACTCTCGGACTTTGTTCTTCAACTCGTCAAGCCCCTGTCCGCTCCTGACAGCTTTCAACACTCTCGCCAACTCATCGTTGAAGCGTGCATACAATGCTTCGTTCTCAGCATTGGCTTCACGATATAACTCATCCAATTTCTTGGCTTTGGATTCCGAGACGGCAAGGGAGGACAGTGAGTCGGCTTGGATCTTGGCGATACGAGAGGCTACAGCGTCCACGGAAGAAGGAATTGAGGCTTCGAGAGCTGAGAGTCGAGCATGGAAGTCATGATCGGATGATGAGGCTTGAGCGAGTGACTCGTCACCACGCAAGACGTTGTTGTGGCGAGTCAAGCTTAATTCTTCGCCTATACGACTCAACTCATCTTGCAGGGTTGAATGTGCAGCGTCCAAGGCGCGATGCTCGTCTTGAAGACGCTCACGAAGTTTCTGCGGTGATTGCATGCGCAATTTCCTGGTCGGCGTACCACTAGGTGGTGGCGATTTTATCGTCACTTTTGCTGGTGTACCTGGATGACCTGTTTTGATACGCATAGCGTTGCCAGCTGTTGGACGCTCTGACAAGCCTGCTCTCGTGGTTGGTGTAGAGGGTGTTTTGGGTCTGTCAATTTTGGATGATAGTAGAGGGATATTTGAACTGCGTCGCAGTGTTGGATAAGCACTGGAACTTACATCATCCACTTGCTTTGATCCACGACGTGCGAGAACGTTGTGTCCATCTTCAACCTGCTTGGATCCGCGGCGTGCCAGTGGATAAAGTCCTTCATCGATATGCTTTGAGCCCCGCCTACCAATCGAGTAAGGACTGTGCGTCGCATCCCCTACTTGCTTGCTGCCACGTCGTAAAAGTGGAGCCGGACTGGCGTCAAATTCTTCCGGCTGCTTGCTCAGGCTTCTTGGCCTGGTTGAGGATGGTGATGGACTGGGCTGATTGAGAGGCGAGTTTTCTTTGCGGAAAGCAGATGGCAGTCTTGAACGAGGTCGATCACTGATAGGCGAACCCAGAGTTGAAGCAAGAGTGGGAATGCCACTAGCTCTGGTAAGTGTTGGAGAAGGTGATTTTGTCCTCTCCGCCGGTTCCTTTGGTGAAGCCTCGAAAGAGCGCATGGCGGATGGCGAGATGAAAGGTGATTCATTCAAAGTAAGCTCCAAAGATTTGAGGTCGGACAGCGAGCTACGCCGTTTCTTTCTGTGAGGCGAAGGGTTCGGTGGGCTGAGCGTCTCTCCTATACTTCCGAGCGAAGGGCCATTATTATGCCACATAGAGTCGTGTGACATGGGTCGTTCAGGAGGTTGCGGCGATGGGCCTCTACTTGGTCCTTCTTGCGAGAACGGTCTGATCGGTAATCCACTATGGCCATCCGTGGTCTTCGCTCGTTGCATTGTGCCTCTAGACAAGCTTGATGGTTGATCAGGAAGCCTTGTGCTCTTGCTCAGAGTACGCCACACTGAAACTTTGTAGTCTTGCTCGGGTTTGCTGGTACTAGAGCCAAACCCGAACTTCTTTCGGAAGGAGGATGTATTAGAGGTCAAGGATGCCGTGTTGGTGGAGCGTGAGCGACCATGTCCTCCCAATGTAGGCCTTACCTCTCTAGGTTGCACCACCTCGCCAAACAATGATTCGATATCCTCCACGAATCTATCGAGCAGTGACACAAAATCGTATGGGTTGCCATCAGGGACCAAGATCTCGACAAACGCTGCAGTCAAAATACCGCGGTCGCCATCGTTACCAGTGCCATCCAACAGTTCTGCTAACAGCTTGACAATTCCCTTCAATGCTCTTTGGTTTGGAGGAGACATATTGTGAAAACTGTCTTTGAAGTAGCGCTCAAAATCGACAGGGAACAAACTCTCGGCTTTAGTTTGAATGGTCTGAAATTGAGTTGCTGTCATCACTGCCCCAATGCCTTCTTTCCAAGCAACATTGAGAAATTTCTCGAAAGCAGCAAATAGGACGTCAATGGATGACTGTGCTGCTATCACCATCATGTTGGGATCTTCAAGCAATGAGTTGTATAGTTCGTTGACAGAGAGTTCGTTTGCACGCGATCTGCCTTGCACAACTTTTCCAACAATGTTGCCTTTACGAGCAAGCAGCGCTAAGAGATAGGTGTTCAGCGCATCCTCGAGTCTTTTCGAAGGACTTGCCACGCTGTTGTTTCTTTCAGGAGTCAGAGAGAGCTGTAGAGGTTGGTCGCGTGAAGATGGTCGACTTCCATCCCTACTGCTTGGAAGAAGCAGAGGTGCATCTGAGAAGGCATTGGGTTGAGGAAGCTTTCGTGAAGTCGGCGTTTGACGCCCATGCGTCGACTGAGAGAGGAAGTTGGAGATCATCTTAACAGGGGATTTAGGTCGATGATGTTCATGGCTAGAAGATGGCTCCGGTGCGACTGACACCTCAGCCTCTTTCTTTTCAAATTCCAGATGCAAGTCGTCCAAGACTTGCTGGTTGCGAAGGACGAACGAAGAAGTGATTGCAGAATTCTTGGTCGAGAATCGAGACGTTAGTAGCCCACTCAGTCGACGTATGAATAGAGAGAGAAATTCTCCTTCATCGACCTTATCGCGTGTTGCCATGGAGAAGGCGCTCTCGATGGATATACGCCACTGTCCCTTGTCCGACTTCTCCAAGGACACATTTGCCTCAAGTTGGTTGTCTCCGACGGGTGTGAGATGTTCATGCTTGCTGGGGTCAATAATTACACGGATCCGTGCTGATTCGGCTGGATTTTCCTGGTGATGCCTTTGACAACCTTCAAAGATGGCGTTGAATAGATTCAGATCCCCGCCAGAGATTTGAGCACTGCGGACTTCCCACTTCCCACTCTCACGCTCTTCCTCAGTGAATCGGCCTTCGACCTGGGCTTTGGTCCATTCTTCTTGGAACTTGGATGCTTTTCCAGAGTACGATCCTTCAAGCAGATATACACGCTGCTCACATGCAATGCCAGGATCGGGACCAGGCGATAGTGGCATGATGGTGATCGCACGGTTGTCCAGATACTCTGTGACAGTGGTGTCTTGCAAGCTGAAAGAATCAACAAAATGCAGAGATGGTGGAGTGCCTGGACGAGTCGAGTCACGACGGTCCTCGAGCAATGGTTTACCGAGTTCCGACAACAGCGCACGCGCAGACATGGCCATCTGAGTTCGCTTTTCCACAAACACAGTACAGTCGGTGAACAACATAAGGACTCCCGAGCTTCCGCGGCTGTGGCCGTCCTCAAACGGAGGGAACATCTCCACCACATCCACTATGGTAATCAGTCGGCCTACAGACTCGATTTCTTCTGGCCATGACTTGACAATACGTTGCAAACGCTCCCACATGTTCGTTTCTTGGGCACCTGGTGCGTCCTGCGAACAGATCTCCGAGACAATATCTCGAGCTTTGAGCAGTAGTTTAAGTGCAGGATGAGCTACCGGAAGCTGCTTCGCGATGCTGTCGATGTACAAGGTGTAACGTGGCAGACGTTGTACTGGCTCAATGAGCAGAGAATTTAGGCGCTTCTCTCCAAACTCCTGAATCTTGTCAAGAATGCTTGCATCTCCAATGCGCGCCAATCTTCTCATCAAGCGTGGAAACCTTGAGTGGGCTTGCATATAGGAGGGGTAGCACTCGGCAAACTTCGGAAACCATTCAATCAAACACTTTGCGAAGTCGGTTAGACCAATCGTGTCTGCTATTGGCTCATCGTTGGAGGTTTCCTCGGCAGTGTCTGTCAGATCCAAGATGGTCGAGTCTTCAGTTTCGTCCAAGACGCGGCGGATAGCCTCAAGAAAAGCCGAGTTCAGTTCGAGCATCTTGTCAAGAAAGGGAGGAAATAGATCATTGATCGTGCGTTCCATGGGGTTCGAGACTGGTATAGCGTCGTTATGAACTATTTGTCGTAGATCGGAAGCGATGTCAGCCACCAGCGTGGAGAGTTTGTTGATGTAGTTGGACTCGGTGTCGACTAGCTCACTCATCTCCTTCCTGACCACATCGCGCTGGTCTCTTAGGAAAGCTTGACTGCGGCCAATAGCGGTGGGCTTTGAAGGAGCTCTGCGTAGCTTGGAGGTCGGCAGAAAGGCAGGTTCGCCTAGCAACTTGATGAAAGGTGCATAATCTCCATATCGACGAGCACATAGCTCATCTTCGTCTACGTTCTCTTTCTCAGGCTCTTCGTCTTCGATTTTGACAGGCTCAATTGATCCGGGAGGCAAAACAACGTCCAGATCTAGCCAAGATACGGTCTGTTCACTAAGAGAACGTTGGATGTCGTTGATAATCTCGTCAAGGTTATCGACCTTGTTCATACGGGTGGCCAGTATGGCGACGTGAGGGTCGCTGAACAGGGCAAAGGCAGAAGCGGCTTTCTTTGAGAGACATGCTTGTGCGACCCATGCGTCTCTTGAAGCTCGAGGGACTTCGGCGAAATACTTGGACAGACCAAAGGCCAAACCACGACAGACCTCATCGCCCTGCTCCTCTCGTGGGAGCGAATTGACAGCAGCATAGTAGGGAGCACTGGGCGAGATGCTGACACGAGGGTAGGATTCGAAGCCGGCGGGGGTGAAGACGTGGATCTGGATGCGTGAGGTAGCGGCAGAGATGGAGGGCGCAGGACCATAGAAGACGAGGATGGGCGAATTGGAGAGAAGTGGGTCGGTGGTGTGGAAGAGGGTTAGCTCGCCGGTGAGGGCGGCTATGGCCGGAGTAACAACGACCATTGGGAGGATCTCAGACACTTGCGAGGTGGCCGCGGTATAAGCTCATGGCCGGTTGTCGAAAAAGTAAACAAAGCGGACGAGGACCAGCCTTCGCCCCGACTGAGAGTGGGAGAGCGAGCGAGGAAGGCGAACGAGCGGACGACAGACAGGAACTAGCTAGAAACACAACAAGAAGGCGACGCGAGGGGGAGATTGCCGTGTATACTCTTTCAGGACAGCAATTGGGTCGCACACCGTTTGTTGTTGCAACCGTCGGCTTTGATATTGATCTCTCGGCCCGCACTGCCGACGAACTAGTTTAAGAGCTTCCCTGGTCCACGTCTGGCGCCGGCGGGTTTTGTTTGTGGGGGAGGGCAGTCGCGATCCGCGCGCGTGGAAGCTGGTCGGAGAGAGAAAGAGCAAAGTCAGCCCAAGCAGACCAAACATGTCGTCGCAGTCGACCTCGCCCACTCCCTTCTCCATTGCCGCCGACCTGCAACCATGTCGTCTGCTCGAACTCCCTCCAGATCTACTCGAATACATCACTACCTCCGACACCCCCACTCTGAGCTTCAAAGCCAAAGACGCGACAGACCCTGAAGCCTTCTTGACCACAAGAGACAAGACCTACCTCTTACGCCAGGTCCACACCTCCAACACCGTCTACATCACAACCCCTGCCCGTAATGCTCAAGCTACAACCGCTATTTCGCAATGCCGTTCAGCCCTCGAGTGTCTGCCCGCGCCTATTCGTCATGCCGAATCTATCCTTCGCTCTCTCTTGATACCGTTCGCCGAACCGCAGGACCTAGACATCCGCCCTTCCAATCCGCAGACCAAGGATCATGTCTTCGCCCTTACTCCAATGAGCCATGACGAGTGCCAGACCGTCTGGAGAGATCTGATCGCCTTTGAGCATTCTGGTCAAAGCTTCCGTCCCACTGCCATCGCCCTTGCGAAAGTCTGGAAATGGTTGTTGGAGATTGCATATGCGAATGCCGTCAACCTGGCAGAGCCGGTGCAGAAAGAGCTTGTCGACAAGATGCTTGATGGGGAAGACGAATGGCCAAGGAGTTTGGTTGATGCCATCTTCTCGAAACTATCCGATGACAATCAGAGCTTGCTCCAACTTCAGCAGCATGCCACTGTAAAATGGGTGGGCGTCAACACACTGGAATCATGTCGTCAGAACAATAAGCAGTCGATCATGGACACATCGGTATTCATGGACACCTGGAAAGATGCCCTTCCCGAGCTATGGCGAACCGAGGCAAATCTCGATATGCTTAAGGCAAGCCCACATGACTACAGCGAGCGAACATGACTAACCTTTGGATAGGGATCGTACAAACCATCAGCAGGCGGAAAGCGCATTGAGCTCCTCCACAACCAAAGTGCACACGCCGAAGAAGCCACTGCTGGCGCGTCCAAGCCGTCAACTACGACAACTGCTGGGAAGAGAAAATGGCACGAGAAGTTTGCTGCGGCAAGAAAGCAGGGCAAGCCGTCCTGAACGAAAAGAGAAGTCTATGAGATATTCTTCCGGCTATTCTCTATATGGGGATCCTCGCCATTTCGGCTGGCGTCCAATACCGTCTCATGTTCTCCGCTCGAAGCTCATGTACCTCGTCGTCAAGATGTTGCCATAGGACCTTGCCGAATGTGTCCAGGATCGATTTCATCTCATCCATGCGCAGCTCTTTCTCTCCACTTCGGCATTGACCGAGATACTCTTCGAACTTGTCGAGGCCTTCATGAATCTGTTTGTGCTGCGTGAGCAACTCAAGCTCTTTCTTGAAGGCTGGCATCTTGCGGGCAAGGACTGGGAAGATGTGGCGTTCCTCGATGGTGTGGTGGATGGTCAAATGGTGGCAGAAGTCGTCTCCGACACCAATGAACTGACGGATTGACATGCCAGCCGGACGCTTCTTGCTTTCGCATGCTCCGTACAGTAAATTCCACGTTCTACGGAAGTTCTCGTGCTTTGCGACGTCAGTTCAGGCCGAGTAGATATGGAGTGTTTACAGGCGAGATACATACGAACATGTCCATGTGCTCTGCCATTCTGTTGTATATCCTGAACTCTTGTGGCGACAACTTGGGCAACTCCTGTTCCTCTTGCTTGGGCGCAGCAGCGCTTGTGGGCTCGGGAGCCTTGGGAATCTGCTCCTCCATCTTCTCGAATGGCTTCTCCATGTTGCTGCTGGATAGTTTGACGCTTGTTGTGAATGCGCGAGTGTTACGGTAGACAGTACGAGGTGTGCTGTGAAACGAAGACAGCGACTTGGTAAGAGCCTTGCGCATAAGGGTCCAGGAGAGAGAAATATAACGAGAACACTCTCGATACGAAAGATATCGCGACTCGGGTTGAATCTGGTCGAACTGCCGGACCGATCAAGCTTTCTCGACCCCAGGATTACCAATTTTGGAGATCTGATAGGGTTAATGCTTGTTAATTAGCCAGATTTGACGCCGCGCGAAAGCGGCAAAAATGTTGGTTCAAGCATCGCGGCTTGTACGCGCATAACGCGAAAGTGCTTCCTCTTGATGTATTCCGAACAATCATAAGAAAGTTATTTGTGCTGCGATCTACTTGTACTGTAGCCGTAGTTGCTAAGTCACCATTGGAGAGCATTCTGAGCAGCTGAGAATCAGACGATTGCATATCTAGAGTGGTTGCTTTGGCTTTTCGCTAGCCACTCACGCTTGCACTTATTCCAACATCCGATCTTTCAAGCGTCGATGTGTTTTAGAGGGTGAACACGATCTGACTGTTTCTTCAGCTCTGAGAGCCTGTTTGTATATCATTTGTGGCCAAAGAGAAACCCCGTACAATTGGCCAGTTTTCGCATGGTCGCCGCAGCAGTCACGCTTTGTTTTGATGGTTGGTTGTCCTGCTGCAGGCTTTCAACTGCACCAATTCAATCAGCAAAATCATTCCCCATTGCATTACTGATGGCATGAGCTCATAGCAACCTTCTTCTACCTTTGACTCATTATCCTCACCCAAGACTAGTAAGCGCTATCAGTCCTGCTTGAATGAAAGTCTGCATTTCCATGGCATCATAAACAAGTGCGACTTCACTTTCAACTCCAATCCAACCGTCATCTTTTTCACCAGAAAACTGGATCGAGTGAATACAGGACATTGTTCACTAGTTCCAATCGACACAAATCAATTCCAAAGTCATGGCGAACCAGTCGCTTCGGTCACAGAGTCCTTTGGGCTGCAGCACTCAACAACCAGCACCTAAGAGACAACGACTCTCGGCGTCTAGTCTCCTATCGCTATTCAAACCAAGACAAAAACCTCTCTCGGTACCACTGAGCCCTTCTCAGCCTACGAGTCAGGGTTCTCCCTTGAAGAACACAATGACAGAAGATACATTACCTGCTCTGAAAACTTCGAGCTCAACTAACACTCACACGGATGCTCACCCTGAGTTCAAGAACGGCAATGCTGTCAACGACGACGATGAGGAAATGCTCTCTAACATCGATGTCGCGAGCCCTGTCAGGTCGAGTCCCGTCAAAGTGAACCCTATCACTCCGAGCAGAACACTGCCTCCTCGAGCTGCCCGGTCTAAAGTTGATTACAACAATTCACCGCGCCCAAAGACTCCCAAGACCCAATCTCCCAAGACAAAAACTCCCAGATCCAAATCCAAGAGGCAACAAATCGCTGAGAACCGTGTTTTGGATTCTGACATGATCATTGAGGAGCCTGTGTCAAAGGCTAGAGCTACGGCATCGCGCATCGTCAAGGCTGATACTGTGCGTAATCGAGTACGCGAGGAGATTGCCACCACGACCAAAACAAAGCGTGATGCTTTCCTCGTTCACCACAAAGACTACTTCTTGCCATTACTTCCTCCAAACAACTACATCTCCAAACTTCTTCAAGCCGATGACAAGCACCAGGATTACGTGCCGTACTCCCAACTCAGCAAGCAACCCAATGGCGTCGTCGCTACGATGAAGCCGTATCAGCTTACTGGCCTGTCCTTCTTGGCCAACATGTACGAGAACGCAATGCCTGCAATCCTGGGTGATGAGATGGGTCTTGGAAAGACGCTGCAAACATTGTCTTTGATCCAACACATTGAAGAGACATACCCCAGTCCAGCCGGCATCGCTCGACCCTTCTTGGTTGTTTGTCCTCTCAGTGTCCTGGGATCATGGTGCGACGAGGCCCGAAAGTGGACTCCAAAGCTCAAGGTGCTCCGCTTCCACGGCTCAACTGCCGAGCGCAACGAGGTGAAGTTGATGGCTTCTGGAGTGACAGACAGATATGGGAACGCGACCGGACGTAATAAAACCAAGCGGGGTGATGTTACCGTGCCTGAAAATAAGGATGCTGGAACTGTCTTCGATGTCATGGTCACCAATTACGAGACTTTCCAATCAGAAAGCTCGTGGCTAAAGCAGGCTTTCGTATGGCGCTATTGTATCTTGGATGAAGGACACAAGATCAAAAACGACAAGACGAATATCTCCCTCGCTTTGCAAGGTCTACAAGCTGAACACCGTTTGCTCCTGACCGGAACTCCACTACAGAACGACCTACGTGAGATGTGGGCCTTGCTCCACTGGCTGTACCCGAGCGTTTTCGTCGACAAAACTGCAGACCTGTTCAAAGAAGCATTTGACATCGGCCGTGGTCAAGTTGACTCGATCTTTATGGATCATGCACGTCATCTGCTTGAACTTATCATGATTCGAAGAATGAAAAGCAGTCCTGGTGTCGACCTTGGACTCCCTCCCAAAAGCGAGGTTTTATTGTACATTCCTCTAACGCCGCTTCAGCGATTCTGGTACACGAGACTGCTCACGAAAGCTGGTGATACACTCCTGGATGACATCTTCGGCAATGTGAAGGAGAAAGAACATGAAGCACTGATCAGAGAAGTTGAAGAGGATGCTCAGCTCAATCAAGTCAAAGATGTGATGGAGAGCGACTTCAACAGCCAGAGCCGCGCTCTTATCGAGCAAGCTATATCCAATGAGGCGACCGGAGAGAAGGACACGTCTGCGTACAAGAAGCTGATGAACATAGTCATGCAGTTGCGCAAGACTTGTGTGACTCCTTACATGATCAGAGGTGCTGCACCAGATCCATACTACTATGGTGATCATATCATGCACGCCTCTGGAAAATTCATCGTCTTGAACAAGATAATCGACGAGCTCGTCGTGAAACAAGGAAAGAAAATCCTCATTTTCTCTGGCTTCACCTCAGCCCTTGACTACTGTGAGGATCTCCTCGCCACAAAAGGCAGTAACCAGCACAATGCTGCATTTCGTCATGTGCGCTTTGACGGCAGCACCCAGCGAGCAGTCCGTAATCTGCAAATCAGGCTCTTCAACGACGTATCTTCCGAATACAAGATCATGCTCATCTCCACCCGTGCAGGTGGACTGGGTCTCAATCTGACTGCCGCAAGCGACGTAGTCTTCCTCGATGAAGACTGGAACCCTCAAGTCACGCTCCAGGCAGAAGCCCGCTCTCACCGTATCGGACAGACCAAGCCTGTCACTATCTACAAGTTGCTGAGCTCTGGCACTGTGGAAGAACAGATGATGGGCCGAATTCGAAAGAAGCTGTATCTCTCCGCAAAGATAACTGAGTCCATGCAAGACATTCATTCCACCAACCAAGCGCAAAAGAGAAAGAGAGCTGCCAAGCAAGACGACACTTCGGCAGATGATGGTCCAGAGCTTGGTTTCTCACAGTTGAAGAGTTTGATTCGTCGCGGCGCTACTACGTTGAGTCATCCTGAGGTTGATGTGAATGAAATGGTTACTTGGGATCTCGATACGATAATTGAGAAGTGCAAGGACAAGCCTGTCGACCCTCATGTGAACGGCGAGTCCGAGGAAGCTACCGAAAAAGAATGGTTGGCCAAAATGGAGCGTGTTGAGAGTGCTGTGCTCAACGGTGTCAAGTATCAGAAGAGTATCGACAAGACAGCTGTATCTGCTCCTGAACTCTCGCGTGCGGACCGCCGAGTAGACAAGAACACAACAGTCATGGTTAACGGTTTCGCCATCAACAAGGAGAGCATGAACTGTAACGATTGGGAGGCTGTTCCTACATTTGCCGGCAAAGACCCTCGCCTTGCTGATCCTAAGCGTGAGAAGGCAGCCCCGATCAATCATCAGGAGATATGTCAATGTTGCTTCGATGGCGGAGAGATGTATCTCTGCTCAGGATGTCCTCGTTCTTATCACCTGGCTTGCTTGACCGAGAAATACCAGGTCAAGGCCACGTCCAAGATGAACTTCCACTGTCCTCAGCACGACTGCAATGATTGCGAAAGGAGTACTGGCAATGCTGGTGGCTTGATTTATCGCTGTCGCTGGTGCCAAAAGGGCTTCTGCGAAGACTGCCTTGACCCCAACTCCAAACTGCTGGGTGAAACCATTCCGGAGTACGAGGTGTTGGACTTTGTGCCCAAGCGCAATGCCTGGTACATTCATTGCACTGAATGCCAAGAGTCGCAAAAGGATCCAGCGTTTGGCAAGCTCATCGCCAGCATGGCTAAACAGCACGACAAAGAGTATGCCGAGCTCCTCCAAGCTCAGAACGACAACATGGCCCAGAACGCTCAGCTCGGTGCTTCTGAGAATACCATGCCACCCAGCCGTGACGAGTCCATGACTGATGGAACCACACTTGAGTCGTCTGGCCAAGCCACGCCCCTCGAGTTCGTTAGGCAGGGCAAGCGTCCCCTGATCAATCTCGTAGACGACGATGAAACCGACGGTGTTGTTGATCTGACCGGCGAAGGATCTCTCTCTATCGATGATGATCTCAAAACCTCGAGTGGAGCACCCACGTACCAAAACTTCCGATCCATGGCGAAGAAGCGCAGAACTCATTAGATATGGGCCGGACTACCTGCAGAGTGCGATGTTCGCAAAAGTGAAAAATGAGACATGAGAATCGCGACGTCGTGAAGGCTCATTTTTTGTGTTTTCAAAACCTGTACTCGTATTTGCGTTCACAATGTCCAACATTCGATTGAGCAAAGATAGATAGGAATTGAAAAGTCCGAACGTCTCTGTTGTCGTACCATGTGGCGAAGCCAGGAAGGGCATCGGTGGACTGATGAAGAACAGAACGATAAGTTAACAAATAAAAAGCAGTGATGAAGCAGAAAAGGAAAGCGCGCTCGAGGAAGAATCTATGACACCAACAAGGAGAACACAGTCATTGATGATTGTAGACAAGAATTGTATTATGCAAGCGAGTGTGTTTCTGTCCACAGCCAACCTTCCTTTCTATTTCTTTTTTTTTTCTCTCCCAGACGATCGACTAATTGTCCAATGAGACGCCTTCTAACTTCACCTTATTACTTCTTCTCTAATTCCTATACACATTCCACCGATTTTCTATATCAACCCTTCATCTCCGCAGGGGTCGAGCGACCGCGACTGGGCGTCATGCTGTAGGGTGCCTACATCAAAAGGTCAGTCTTATCGTGATGGTCACGGAAAGAAGACTACTCACAAGCACTTTCTTCGCATTGCAAATTCTCCAAGCCAGGTTTTGTACACTGCCGTCCGCCAAGACGGCTTCAGGGGCAAACTCGATGCCAAACCTGTCATATCGTGTCAGCGACTTGTCTTTGGACTATGGCCAGTCAATTTGCGGAATACTCACATCTGATGAATAGCAAAGACGACACGTCTGGCATATCTACCTTCTCTTTCCAATCCATCGCCAAACATATCGTCAGTGGTACGCGGCGCAACCTCAGGGTCGCGATCGAAGCAGTTTTGTACAACAGGAAGTAGGGCTTGTTCAACAGCCGAACGTGCCAGGTTGATGTTATCAAACTGAACATCGTCTTCGTCGAATTTACCAATGCGGATCTCGAAAGGCCGAGAAGTGGCCATCACATTATGCTTTCCATCGTGATGGTAGCGGAATTCAAAAACTCCGTGTGTCCACCACAATTTATCGCCTGAGAACTCCACCTCGCCGGTTGCATAGTGCTTACCGTCTTTGGTAACCTGGTGAGAAGAAACGAGAATACCATTTTCGGCAGTCACAGAGTCGTAGACGCCTTTGGTAGTAGCGATCCAACGACCTTGAGATCCGACACGGGTGACATCGCGTGACGAGTTGTCTGCAACCATATAGAGTCCAATCCAATCGTTTCTGCGATGGTTGGCAGGGGCTTGCCAACGGACCTTGATGGGAGCACCATACTCGAAAGTAAGAGTCTTGTACTGATCAACACGCTGCTGAGGGACCTGGCCAATCTCTCCCTCACGCCCACTATAGCGCTCAGATTCAGAGGTGCCGGACGCAGGAGTGCCTTCGATCTCGAGAGAATAGTCCTTGGGATCGAAGCCAGCGAGATCGGGTGCAAGACGTGTTATACTGATGCGGGCTGGGTAGTTCTTGAAGAGAGTGCGTGTGTCTCTAACGAAGGTGTCCATGCTAGAAGCGAGTTTGGGTCTTGCAGAGTCAATGAAGTCTTCAAGGAAATCCATCGAATCCTCCAGCACCCGATCGACACTGCCCTGCCATTGTTTCAGAGGCGACGGTAATGAACGCTTGAGACTCTTAGAGAGGCCAGAGTCCTGGCGCAAGGTTCGACCGTAGAGCTTCTCCATGTGTGGACGCTCGACGAATTGTATGAAGATCAGAGTGAGAAGATGGCTCAGCAAAGCAAGGAAGAAGATGGTCTTGCTCCAAGTGATCAATGCAACACCCCAAAGACCAGCCAGTCCAAGCACCCGCTCAGGGTTATTGAGGAATCTATAGATGCCGCCATAGGTAAGTTTGGATGCATGGTCGAAGAAGAAATCGCCAAAGAACCATCCGAATTCACCAAGAGATTCGTAGATGCTAAAGCTCGTCCAGATCTGAAGAGCGATCATTGCCATACCGAGTACGTGGCGAAGCAGAGCTAGACCGTACGTCCAGTCAGGAGGCAGGTTGTACATCTTGAGGGCTGCGCAGAGGAAGCTTGCAGTGCACATGCTCATGCTCAAATGATAGAGTCCTTTCCACTGTCTCCACGCTTCTTCGGTGCTCTCGCCATATTTGACAAAGTGGCGAGCCCACTTTTTCTTGTTCGATTGACGGTCAAGAATATAGCCTATACCGAGCGAATACCACAGCCGCCAAGCCACTGCATTGAGGACGAAAGCGGCTTGCCACAGACGAGTCGATGGAGTCAAGAAGGCGACACTAAACAAGTAAGATTGCATAAGCAAGACAGATACGTCGGTAACACGGTGAAGATCCATGTTGTGAAAGCCAAGGATGTTGTGAACTGAAGAAGGCTTCTCGGTTGTCGCGATGGGTGGATAGCCGTTGATATGACCAGACTCGGGGGTGGCGCTTTTGGGAGGTTCTCTGTCGCTCTCGGATTCTCTTCTTTTCTTGGGCGTAGGTGGATTATACGTTTTCTCGATGTGCGGATTCTCAACAATGGTCAAAAATGCAAACTGAGCAGCATGTGCAACAATAGAGATGAAGAGCACCTTGTAGCTGGCAGCCATCAAGGAAATGCCGTAGAAGCCGACATAGCCAACAGAGTACATAGGATGAGGAGCCATCTCAAAAACGCCGTCAAAGGTGAGTTCTTGATCGATGAGGTAGAAGAAGTCACCCCAGTACCAGGCGTAGTCTTTGACGACTCTGTGGGCATCGAGCTTGACCCAAAGATTGAAAGCGACGAGGGCCAAGCCACATAGCCAGCGTGCAAGAGTCATGGCAACATTCTCACCATCAGGACGGCCGCCGCAAGCGATGGCAAAGCAGCAGTAAGCGACAAAGTCGGACATTAGGATAAGGTCAACGACCCTTCTGAAAACCAACCATGTGTTGTACTCGAGTGGAGCTTCTTCGAATTTGTAGTCGCGAGCGATCTTTGTTTCCATTTCACGTTTGAGCTGATAGTAGAGCCACGGACGCGGGTTCTTGGCAGACTTTGGGTCTGTGAAGAGGTTGTACTTGCGAGCCCATGAAGTGAGGCGCTTGTGGTTGGACTGTATGTTAAGTAGCCATCCAATGCCGGCATTGTAGGCGGCACGCCAGAACAGGAAGACGATTGCGAGTGTAGGGATACGAATTGGATCTGGCAGGAGGTAAAGCAAGGCAACATGGCATGCGAGCACAGCCAAGATGACAATGTCGGACACGTTCTTTGGTTGGGTCGGGGAGAGAAGCTGTGAGACCATGTCATGGGTCTGCGGCACCACAAATACTGTGATGCCATTGCATCAGCCAGATGGTGATTGTCATTCTCATGGCAACGTGACGTACCTTTACCATCTGGAGTTCTGCCATAAGTGCGTTTCTGAGACTGGTCTTTGTCGGCCTCGTTCTCGTTGAGCGATTTGACAGTTTTTTGAGCATCCTCGGTTGATGTTGCGTCAGTCGGCTTTTCAGGTCGAGGCATCCTCTCGCGAACATGCCCCTCGCTGGCGGTCAGACCACTCGAACTCATGCTTGATTCCTGTTCTTCCGTTGCGCGCGAACGAGAAGAAAGTTGGAGAGGACTGGACGAACGAAACAATTGAAGAGAACGACGTGGTCAAAGTGGCAGGCATCTCGGGAAATTGGTGGGGCATGAGAAGCTGCGACCCGCCGCGGAGCCACAGCTCCGAAGAGTTGGAAAGACCCTGTTTGTTAGGGCCTCGTCCATTCTTCACCTTCAGCGACGACTTCGAATACAGAGTCCACTGAAAGTGGATTCGACTGGTGTGTTTCAGTGCAGACGTATCTTCTGACTCGGCCAGAAGATAAGTGCTGATATGATAACAACAAAGTGCCGGCAGGCTGTGTAACGTCATTGCGAACGTCCATCTCGGACAGGAACCAGCGGGGTCAATGGCTGCTGCAAGGCACCGCTCTTTCTTCCGAATAACATATGCTGTTCGAGGGAGAAAAGCGGAAGCCCTATATACATACCACTGGCGGACGACTATGTGTTTTTGAATTGTGTGAGAATACACCGTCATGAATACCTATACCAAGTTTTGAGCTGTGTCATCACCCTTGTCTCGATTCGATATCACCAGCCATATTTGGTCAAAATATTTCCGCCAGTATTATTTGAGATCTCGATTGCGGGAGGGCTCCAAACAGGTTGATCCAATAAGCGACTCACTTAATTGCATTGCTTTCAGGTATCCACAAAAGCGTCCGAGTGTTGTGTCAATCAGAAATGGGTTGTCCACAAAAAGGACAGGGTGGTATGGCATACCACGACCCCAGTCTTCGGCCATGCAAAGTCCGACGAGTGACGGCAGAATCAAGGCGGTGAACTCAAAAATATCCCGACGCTTTCTTCGACCAGCGATCGACCTTAGTTAGACACAACCAGATTTTGTGATACAACTACCGTCAAGATGGCTGCAGCGAGTGACAAGGCTCGCTTCTTCATGGAACAGTCGGTTCCCGAACTCCAAGAATACGAACGCAAAAAGATCTTCACGCGCGAGGAAATTACATCGATAGCCCGCAAGCGCTCCGAGTTCGAACACCTTCTCAACACTCCTGGTGCTGCCACAGCTGCCGACTACGCTCGCTATGCCCTGTACGAAATGAATCTGGACTCTTTGAGGAAAAAGCGCTCTAAGCGCATGGGTGTCAAGGCTACCGCCTTTGCTGGTCAGAAGAAGATCTTCTTTGTCTTGGAAAGAGGCGTGAGGAGATTTCAGGGAGACATGGGCTTGTGGATGCAGTACCTCGAGTTCTGCCGTAAAGAGGCGGCAAACAAGAAGTTGGCAAAGGCTTTGACACAGTGCTTGAGAATGCACCCCATCAAGTGGGACGTGTGGACATGGGCTGCCAAATACTATTTTGAGCAGCAGGCCGATATGCAGACCGCCCGCAGCTACATGCAAAGAGGACTGAGATTCTGCAAGAGGGAGAGAAAGCTGTGGTTGGAGTACGCCAAGTTGGAAATGCTCTATGTCGCAAAGATCGCCGCGCGACGAAAGATTCTAGGCCTGGACATTGAGAGAAAAGAAAAACAGATCGATTCGACATTAGACGCAGATGCCGACATGATGGCACTACCTGACGTTACCGCCGACGAGATCAAGCCTGAAGGAGCGCCCGAACCAAAGCAAGCAGTTGACGAGGAAGCACTCAAGAAACTGGCCGCCTCCCCTGCCTTGAACGGTGATATCCCTCGCATCATCTTCGAGACTGCGATGCGCGACTTCAACAACGACCCATTCCTCGCCGAACAATTCTTCGACGTCTTTGCTGCCTTCACAGACGTTCCCTGCACAAGCAGACTGTTACAACACATCATCGAGTACCTCTCCAATCAACAAACTGCCTCGAACAAGATCAGCATGCACATTTGCCTCGCCAAGCTCGAGCTTCTGGACACAAACACTCAGGAAGCAATCGAGTCCGCTGAGTTCCCCCTCAAGCTTGCCAAGGCCCTCGCTGTGCTCAAGAAGGGTTTGGGCGAATCACCCAAGCACAATGCAGATTTGGCCGAGAAGGTTGTCGTGCTGTTGTTGTCCTACTCCAAGTTCGAGCTCGATGAGGATATCGAGATGGTTCTCAGAAGCGCCATTGCGCAGTATGTCCGTACATTGAACCAAGGCAGCTTCGATCGTGTCAAGGCCGTTGTCAAGAAAGAGCTTAAGGGTGGCAATGAGACAGAGGCCAATCTTCTGATCGAAATTGCTGGCAGGGTCAACCCAATCCAGAAGGCTCAGCTCGAGGCTCTGATCAGCTCATGATCCCAATAAGAAGATGCTACACCATGGGGTTAAGCAAAAGTCATCGCTATATTTTCCACTGCTGGAAAGCAGACAAGCCACGATCATTGGCAGAACACAAAGAGCCAAGTATGCTAGCCCTAAACCATTTGGTCGTCTGCAACATTGCCATCTCTCTACTGAGAGCCATTATCTCTACAGAGCCAAGCAACTTCGCAACCAAGTTGCGCTCCATCAATACTGCCAGAAGCACATCGATCGGAAGTTGACGGTACTGGCATGGAGTCCAGAGACGGACGAGGACGATATCAAAAAGAAGCACAATGGCTCATTAGGATCGCTCGATTGGCCAGAAGCGTTCTCGTCTTATCATACACCATCTGACAAGAGCACAGAGACACGTCACCCAACGTGAAATGCTAATTCCATTGATAAAAGCTTGTCGTTTATACAAGCATTGATTTTCTTCTCACTACATTCTCCTTCTCGCATGTGATATTGAAACTCACAATCAATCTCTTCCACACTCCAACAAATAGAAGTAACGTAAGCTGTCAAAACACACAGTCGCGTCCTGAAAGTGAGTGTGGCCATAGAGACAGCTTTTCATGTGCCTGTTCATTGAAAATGAACTCTGATAGCTACAATCGGCAGATCACTTGATGGAGGATACAACAGAGTCAACAGGCACAAGCACATAAAACAAGAAAAGTAAAAGGAGAATGAGCAAATCATAAATTCATAAGGTCCATGGTAGCCACCCTGATCAGACTGTGCCTTTGGCAGCAAAACTCCAGACTCCACGCCTTTTGGAAAAAAAGCAGGTTTATTGTCCGATAAAAATTCTACCCTAGTATTTGTTAGAAACGTATGACAGGTCAAGGTCTAGGTGATGCTTACGGCCATGACGACGCAGCAGACGCTGATGTATGGACTCAGACGCTCGCCAATACGTGCTGCTCTCCAGAATACAGAGGTGAAACTTGATTGAGCATTAGCAAAGATCCATGAATCTGGAACTGTAGAAGCTAAGATACCCGTCCTTGTGCTTGTCCATAATGGCAGGGAAGACGCCATGTGTGTAGGAGCATGTGCAGATGAAGAGGAGGATGACCAGTAGCAGGGACTGGAAGTTGAAGAGCGCAGACTTGTGACATGTCAGCATATGGTTCTTTCCATGATCTTTCGGGAATCATTCGCTCTCGAAAACATACCATCCTGATATATTGTGACTGTGTTTGTCGCGTGTTATTTATCAGACTACTCCAGGAGGTTGCAAGCTGTATGGATGCAAGTGCCCTCGGCAACATCCGACCCTGCTCCTTCCTTCACACCTCGAAGACAGACGTCAGTCGTACATTGTGCTTCTAGCATATCATTCTGCGTCTTGTCCGTTCACATTCTGGTAGAGCGCGAACACACCTCGCGACTAAGTCTTTGTCTAAGGTGGTTCAGATCTTCGACACGCCGACACAACTGATCAAACGAGAGCCTTACCAACCTCTACGACCCACACCTCCACCACGCATACACCATTCGAACTTCTGAGAGCAGTACGCATCAAGGATCATTCACTCTACTACAACTACCAAAACACCATCCTCACACAATGGCCGAACCACGCATGCGTCTGCGACAAAAGGGCCAACAGTTCTCCAACCCAGAACGTGTGTCTCTTCTATGCGCACCCTCACCAATCCACTGCTAACAGCCTCACCACAGTCGCTGGCCTTCTCGAAGCATTCGGCGATACACAACCACTTCCAGCCACCCTCACAACCCTCGACGAGATAATCACAGACTTCATCATCGAAACCTGTCACAGCGCCGCAATCTGCGCCTCCTACTCGCGTCGCCAAAAGATCAAAGTCGACGACTTCAAATGGGTATTGCGCAGGGATGCAAAGAAATTGGGCAGAGTGACGGAAATCTTCTTTGCTGAGAAGATCCTGAAAGACAACAGAAAGGCTTTCGATATTGGTACGGGAGAAGGCTTGGTGCAAGGAAAGAAGGGTGCAGTCAAAGAACTGGGTGTCGATGAGGAAGGCGAGGAAGGTGGCAGGAAGAGAAAGAAGAGAAAGACGGACGCTTGAAAGGCCAGCAGTGAGGCGAGCTCTGTCACGTTGGTCCGCGACACGGCGCGAGGATGAGATGCTTATTGATTTTGGGAATGCTGGGTTTAGCGAGGAGTTCAACGGAGGATACAAGGTCTACCTTGATAATACCAGGACCAGGGTAGCAGAGGATGCTGCGACACAACATCATCACGATTATCACGAAACACTCAAATCATCTTTGCGCAAAGCATACACCTTGAAGAATCTTGAGAAACCAAAACGTAAATTTTGATTCGTTCATAACTGTGGTCTATAATTCGTCTACCAGCATCAATACCCTTTTTTGCCTGTGGTATATTCAAACGCCTTCGAAGTAAATCATCATGAATGCCATTTTTTCAAGCGCTGTCTGTTCTTCATGCTTAAGCGTGCGCATACTTTTGAGCGTGAGCAGCAATAGCACGGCCACTGGGGTCTGTCTGTTTGGACCATGTCGGTGTCCATCTCATGACAGTCGAGGCGCAGTAAGGGGGGAAGTGCTCGTCGAACATGCATCTGTACCAGTATGCCTCCTTGGTGTCGGGAATGTCATCTCCCCACTCGGGCTTGGGGTTCTTCATGTCCTCGTCGCTCACGTGGAGCTCTGCGTTGTCCTTCAGTGCATCGATCCAGCCGTAACCAACACCGTCACTGAACTGCTCTTTCTGTCTCCAGAGGATGTTGTCAGGGAGGTAGGGCTTCTCGCCAGGCTCGTCGGATGTGTCGAATGCCTTGCGGATGATGTACTTCTCGATGTGGTCCTTGTCAATCATCTTGGATTCGGGATCGATGTTCATGGCGTACTCGAGGAACTCCTTGTCCAGGAAGGGCACTCTGGCCTCGAGACCCCAAGCCGAAGTCGACTTGTTGGCTCTCAGGCAGTCGGCCAAGTGCAGGTTGCGCACTCTGCGGACAGTCTCCTCGTGGAAGGACTTCTTGTCGGGAGCGTTGTGGAAGTAGAGGTAGCCACCGAAGATCTCGTCACTGCCCTCTCCACTCAAAACCATCTTGATACCCATAGCCTTGATCTTTCTGCTGAGAAGGAACATAGGAGTCGAAGCACGGATGGTGGTAACGTCGTAAGTCTCAAGGTGGAAGATGACATCCGAAAGAGCATCGAGACCCTCCTGAATGGTGAAAGTAAGGTTGTGGTGCTTGGTACCCAAGAACTTAGCGACCTCGAGGGCAGCCTTGCTGTCGGGGGCGTCAGGCAGACCAATAGAGAACGAGTTGAGCTGAGACAGAACAGGAACAGTGTTGAGCTTGTAGTCCTCGTCAATCCCAGCCAGCTCCTCCTCGGCGTCAGCGAAACCGTTCTGCTCCTGTTGTGCGTTACGTGCAGCTTGCAGTCTCAAAGTTTCTCTCTGTGCAATAGAAGCGACCAAACTGGAGTCCAGACCACCAGAAAGAAGGACACCGTAAGGAACCTCAGCCATCAGACGTTTTCTGACAGCTCTCTCGAACTTTGTTCTAAGGGTCTTGAGGTCGACGGGAGTAGTAGGGATGTTAGAGGGCTCCATCAGCCACTTAGGGGTGAAGTACTGGGTGATCTTGTCGGTCTTGGAGTCGTAGACGTGACCAGGGGGGAAAGCGATGATGTTGTCGCAGACGGGGTGGAGACACTTCAGCTCGGAAGCGAAGTATACAGCACCAGGAGTCTCGCTGGAACGGCCCATGTAGAAGGTGGTGACACCGATGGGATCTCTGGCAGCAAGGACTCTGTCCTGCTTCTTGTCGTGAAGGACCCATGAGAACATGCCATCGAGGAACTTGGGAGTGTCGATGCCGTGCTCCATGTACTGCGAATCTTGTCAATTGACGTCGTAGAGTCGTTGTCAAGGCTTCATACCAGAGGGATGATGACTTCACAATCAGAGTGAGTCTTGAAGTCGTAGGGCTTGCTGAGGTGCTTGCGCAGGACCTTGTGGTTGTAGATTTCACCGTTGACGGCGAGAGCAATGCTGCCATCCTCGTTGAGCAGGGGCTGGGCACCCGAGTCTAGAGACACGTCTCAGCAGATGGTCGAGACAAAGCATGCCATGTTTCCTGGCTCCTTTACATACCAACACCGACAATACTCAGACGCTCGTGAACCAGGATAGTGTTGTTGGAGGTGTGGTTACCACTCCAGTCGGGACCACGGTGGCGGATCTGCTTGCCCATGCGCAGGGCAGTAGGCTTGAACTTTTGCACATCGGGATGGCTGTTGAATTGTTAATCTGGAGAACTGAGGGGCACGCGATCTGAGCTCTCTCGAGGAATTGGAACATACCTGTGGCAGGCAAAGATACCACACATCTTGGGCAGTGAATTGGGGTGTGAAGGAAAAAGAATGAAGGAAACAAAGTATCAAGACCCTAAAGATGTCACCGAAGTCATAGGTAAGCAACACTGCACCCTGTCGACCTTTGACTCACCAATTCTGGGCGCTCTTTGATAAAACCTAGTGCCACCTGTGAGTCCCGCGACGCCAACACGGCCAAACCGTTCTCCGACATCGCGACCATCGCCCGCCGCCGCCTTTTCCCCAGCTTTCTCCTGCCAAATTAAAATCGTTATGTAACAAGGCTGCGCTACAGCCGTAATTCTCTTCACTAATACATATAGATAGGCCGCGTATAGCCCTGTGCTGCTCGAGCTCAGCTATCGCGAAAGGCGGATTTTAAAACAATAAGATCGATCAGCACTCAGCTTTTGACAGGGTCGCCTTCGTCATGTCACATGCGCCTTCACATGTCATAACCATGGAAACATCAAAAGCCAGGGTCGCTCCAAACAGCAACCATCTTCAGCACACCTACAATTCTTGGATTTCTTGGATTTGCGAGTGTCGTTTGTAGTGGCAAATGTTTTTCGATCCTGTGATTATGTTCTGTTGTCTTCTAGGTATCTGGCTGGGCACACCTTTGCCGCACCGTCAAGGCAACCCCCTTCAGTTGCGCAGTTCATGTAAACCAGCGACAGTTTGATCTATCGAGTGTAACAACTCGTCAATTGTGGGTGAAGATAGTGGCATGTAGTTGCGACTCAAATCGCAAACATGTATTATGAGACGTCTCTCTGCAAGCTATGCTGCTATTTGCCAGTTCATATCGACAGCCAGTCCTCTAAGCTAGTTTGTCCCGAATGCTCCTTTTTGAACGCCTCGCCAAATCGTGCTGCATGAATTTTTGTAAAAGCCCAGCTCATCTGACAATGAGGGCAGCGCTTGGTACAAGACCAGCCTCCTTCAGTGTTTGACCAAAGTCTGAACTGTCGTAGACCTTCTTCGGGAAGTTCTGCACAAACTCGCTGACCTGAACACCAGATTCCTGGGCGAGAGTTTGAGCAACCTCGAAGAGTGTCGTCTCAACAGGGAAGGTCTTCTGAACGGTGCCAGCGGATGTCTGAAGTCGTAATCTTGCTTCCGTGTAGTTTGCAGCAGTCTTGGGCACAGTAGGCTTTGCGACTGGCGTAGGGTCGGCGACAACAGCGGACTGGCCAGCGCGAGCGGCCTTTTCTCTTTCAGCCTTGAGGCGGCGCTCTTCCTTGTCTGCAGCAATCTTTGCCTGAATGCGCTTCTTGGCTTCAATATCGGCTTGCTTCTCACGCCTTTTGGCTTCGGCTTCCTTGATCTGTTCCCTCTTGGCCAGATCCTCCTTGATGTCCTGTTGCTCCTTTGTGGCCTTGCGACGGATCTGATCGTTGCGCTTCTTATCTTCCTTGTCTTGCTCGGATTGGACGGCGCGTTTGGCGGCGAGTTTCTCACGTAGTTCTGCGAGTCTTGTGGCTTTCTCTTCCTCGGTCAAAGGGGCGATCTCTTCGGTAGACTCTTCAAAGTTCTGGTGCTCACTTAATGGCAGAGTGTTAGCGTGGACGCAGGTGGCAAGAAAGATGAGAGTACATACGTCTTGTTGGCATGAAACTCCGCTTGGGCGGTTGACCGGAATTTCTTGCCACAATCTTTGCAAAGCAGACTTCTGGCTTGCTCGCCAGGCTGTAACGACAGAGGCGACTCTTCCTCGCCTTCGTTCTCTTTGAGTTCCTCGATGGACTTGTCGGCGTTGTTGCTAAGCCAGTCGACAGCAGCTCCCACTGGAAGATGATAAGCAACTCTGATAAAAGGTAAAGTTGAGTTGTAGAGTGGTACGTACAATTGCCTGTCTTCTTCATGGCGAGGGATGCCTTTTCACGGTCAAAGCCCATGTCGACGAGGTTGTCGATATCTGACATGATGGTTGATGTGTGTAGAAAGTGTCGTTATTGATGGGTTGAAATGATTGTCTGAAGGATGGAGTAAGGTCGAATGAAGACAGCACTACGTTGATGGAGTAGATGCACAAGTGTGGGGGAGAGTGAAAGTTGTCTCAGTGAAGCTCCAAAGCACAAGCTCAGGCAGCAGGTGCGTCACCGTAAAGTGCGGGTCTCGGCCAGACTCCAGTCGCAGTTGCCGGGTCGCGCTCGAACGTCGCTTCCGTCATTAATCCCAGTCCCTTCCTGGCAGTTCCTACGTGTCGCCGTATACCACCACCTGCGATTTGACATCCGTCTTCTTCCACACACAGCCTCGCGTTCTGCTCCCATTTCTCGGCCGCAGCTCTCTCTCCACCTAACTCACATTACGCGCCGCCCTTCTTCAACATGTCTGTCGAGCTGGACCCCGTCGAGCTCGGTTTCAAGCGTGCGTAGCCAAGTCTTATTCAGCACCCAGTCCTCCAGCTGACTCGTCGCTCGACAGGCCCTTTTACCCATGAGGTTGCTCAGGTTCTGCGTCTGTACAACAAGAACTCTGACCCTGTCGCTTTCAAGGTAACGCCCTCCTGACCTGCTGCTCCTGATGCGCGTGCTAATCTCTTCCCTCTCAGGTCAAGACCACTGCTCCCAAACAGTCCGCCTCACCATCCCTGCTACGCTTTCCTCGAAGCTAACTCGTCGTCAGATACTGTGTTAGACCAAACTCTGGCCGCATCGAACCTGGCCAGGATGTCGAAGTTCAAGGTATGCTGCGCACGTGGCCCAGTGCTGAAAAAATAGCTGACTGACCATCACTAGTCTTGTTGCAGGCCATGAAAGAAGACCCTCCCCTTGACGCAAAGTGCAGAGACAAGTTCCTTGTCCAATCTGTCGCCATCTCAGCCGACAAGGAATATCCCAATGTCTCCCAAATCGTATGCTCTATCCTTTTTCGAATAGCAACACGTAGCTGACATCCAGCCAGTGGTCCCACATCGAGCAAACAGCAAAGTCATCAATTCAAGAGAAGAAGATCCGTGTTGTCTTCCTGCCTCCAGAGGGCGTCGCCCATTCCGATGCTGGCGGTCACATGGATGACTCAATCGCTACCTTCAACTCTGTCTCGCCCCAACCCCAGACCCCTCAACGAGGCGCAGATGTAGGAGCCGTGGGCGCTGTCTCTCGTCCAGAAGAACGTCCTGTCGATAACAAGCACCTTGGCGATGCTGTCGAGTCAGCCAGAAACCCAGCCACTGATAGAAACACCACCTACTCCGACTCCACGACCGGTCAAAGCTTTATCCAGTCTCTCCCCACCTCGGCCGACGACGTGAAAGCCAAGCTTGCAGAGGCTCAAGCCACCATTGCAAGAATGAGTCAGGAAAGAGACGAACAAGGATTGCGCCAGAGAAAGACCGATGCAGTCAACCAGGATTCCAAGGAGAGACTCTCTGCTGGCACAACTGGCTTGGGCGTGCAGAAGGCTCCTGCTGGCGGTGTCCCCGTTCAGGTCGTTGCCGGACTTTGCCTTCTGTGTTTCTTGATTGCCTACTTCTTCTTCTAGGTGTGATAAGGGGATCGGCTGTGTCAGGACACTTACAGCATGCAGCCGCAGGTGACGCAGCCTTGGGTCGCATTACTACTAGACGGCCACACCGAGTCCAGAACTGCACGCGCATGGTTTTGGAGGTGGCCTTCCATACTGTCCCAATGGGACCACATTAATGCTTGTAACTGAGTGATGATTCTACTTCTATAGGAGAAAAGCGCAGATTGGAGTGTTTGAAGTTCTTCTTTTGTACTGTTCCCCTTCCGTCCATTGTCTTCACCAGTACTTGTCCCGAAATCATGTCTAGTCCAGAACAGAAGAACGCTCGACAAGAACAGCAGGCAGTCGACCTCAAATACGGCATAGGCATTTCAAGCATGGCTGGAGTTTGACAAGCAAGATGCTGAAAATTGACTGCAGACGTGGTATCTGACCATGGAACGAAAATAACGCCTCAAGCTACCCAAATGACCTATGCTGAAACCTTTGCCTTCTTTGCTCCCTTTTTGCCGTCTGCCTTGCTCTTGACACGTTTGGCGCCTGCCTTCTCCACAGGTGCCGCCTTCTTGGTCTCCTTGACTACCGGTTGCTCTTCTTGCTTGTCCAAGACTGCGGACACGTCGGCGCTTGTAAGCAAAGGTGCACCCTCGGCCTCGCGAGTCTCCTTGGTGGGCACCTCCTTGACGTCACGCACAGAAGGCATCTCGAAGTCGTAGCCCAACTCCTTGAGCTGTGCAGCCTTCTTGTTTCTGGCCTGGTTCTCTCTCTCGATTCTCTTCTCCCAACCCTCTCTTGTAGTACCTCTCTTCAACATACCACGCTCAATCTTGTTGCGCGGCATAACCTTGAATCTTCCACCCTCACCCTTCCACAACTTCTCGTGAACCTGCTCGGCGGGAATACGTCTGACCTGCAGAAGATGACCGAAAAGCAAGTACTTGTCCATGGTCTTGGCAACAATCTCTGCGACTGCGGCGGATCCGAACTCGATGAAAGCGTAGTGCTTTGAGCGTCCAGTAAGCTTGTTGCGTGCCATTCTCAAGTGGGTGATGTCGCCGAATTGGCTGAAGTACTCGCGCATTTGCGCCTCGAAGAAACCATGCGGCAGACGTCTGTATTTCTGTCAGTTATGAAAGGAGAGAATTTGGCAGTACAATCGCGTACCCAATGTAGATGACACCGGGGGTGTTCTCCTCGTCTTGCTGAGCATCCTTCAACTGTTTGCGAACCTCCTTCATGTTGGGCACAGCAGGAATCTTGTCTAGAGCAATGCCATCGTCTTGCGGGTCGTTCTCGTCTTCGCTGCTCTCGAAGCCAGCGAGCAGGGCAGCAGTCTGATCATCCTCTTCGGCCTCGGCCTCGCTGTCTGTCTCGTTGGCGAGAGCGATCTCCTCCTCTTCAACAGCAGCCTTTGGGCTGGCTTTAGCCTTGGCCTTCGAGACCTTTGACGAAGCGCTCTGAGGCTTGGCAGTCTCGGTGACGGTGACTTTCTCAACCTTTCCAGGGGCGGTCTTGACAGTCGTCGTCTTCTTTGCGGGCTTCTCCTCTGGCTCTAGGAAATCCTCGGCGCGCTTCCTTGTTGATCTAGTAGTTTTGACGGGTGCATCCTCCTTGACTTCTTTCTTGGCCTTGGTAGCAGTTGTGGTTGTAGTTTCGATCTTCTTCAGAGCAGACTTTGGTGCGGGCTTTTCGATAGTGGTAGTCTTGACCTTCTTGGTGGTCACGGTGGGCTCAGATGCGCCTGTTGTGTGATGTTAGTCGAGGAACAGCAGAATAGGACCGCAAAGCGTTACGAACCCTTGCGCTTGTTGCTCTTGCTGTCGACCTTGGACATTTTGGCGTAAATTGATCAACAAATAATTGTGGTAGAAAAGCAGAGGGCTTCCCAGAAAAATGGCGGCCAAAAAGTTTCTGAGATCGAGGAATCCGGGGAGACAGACGCTCTCCCGACCCGCCGCTGCTCCAACCACCTCCGACTAAAGTCCGCATCTTCCTTGTGACAACAACAACTTGAGCAGCCATGACAAACAAGCAGCTTTCTGAAAATGAGATCTGGGATGACTCTGCTCTGGTCCATTCTTGGAACGAGGCACTCGAAGAGTACAAGGTAAATCGCACTTTTTACGTCTCGCAATCACGTGCTTACTCTGCATTTAGAAGTACCACAGCATGTCTGCTCGAGGTGAACGAGTCGAGGATGTTCTAGATGCTGTTGAGAAGGAAGAGGAAGCAAAGTGCGTCACTACAAGTTTATGCACCCATCTGACCATAAGACTAAAGTATATGAACAGGTCCAGCATCGACACCAAGACTGAGAATGTTGATACAACGACTGGCCTTCCACCTTGGGAAACTATCCAAGAATCAACAGTGGAAGGAGCCGGAGAAAGTGTTGAAGGACTCAAGGAAGAATCAAATATCGAACCTGTCGACGTGCGTCCGATCCAGAACTCCAACCACAACCAGGCTCCACCAGGTGTTGCACAAGTGCTTCTTGATTCTGGTTGGTTTACGTATAGACTTGTTCATTTGAGCATTGCTGACAATCACAGTACAAGACGAGAGTCTCAAAGCACTCATGACATCCTGGTACTTTGCAGGATACTACACTGGTCTCTACGAAGGACAGCGAAAAGCTCAGGCTGCCCAGGAGCGACCAACTCATTAAAGAGATGTCTGAGCAAGCCCCTAGTATTTCATTCGGAGGCTTGGAGTAGCTAAAGCTGAAGATATTGCTCCTTCTGGCGTCAGAAGTTCATACGGTGCTCAGACGAACCCCTGAGGAACTTCGTGGGTTTCCCACTACCGCTACAGCTCGCCAACATATCAACCAGCAGTTGTGGCCCTCCCTGGAAGTCGCTTGTAATATCTGAGAGTGCCAGCCCAGCAGTCGCGTACCTACCATCCAACTGATCACTGTACGTGTTCGAGCCAAACATGGTCCTACAAGGATACAAGGACATGATTTGGGTCGGAAGAGGGTGCACTGATCAATAGAAGGAGAAACAGTTCAACAAAGATAGGGCAATGTGCAGAGTAAACAGGCGGATTAGTTGAATCAAGAAAAGAAAAACGTGTTTTGGTATCCTCTAGTACTGAGACGATTGGACCTCGTCGAAAAGAACAAATCCATCGCTAAACGCTCTGCAAACGGATTTTGTCATGATGGTCCGAAAAATAGTTGACTTCTGCTCGCCGGCAGCCTCATTTACGCCTTGATCAAGTGTCGTGTGCAATCGAAGTGTTGGTTTACTTCTTGCCCTCAGCAGCCTTCTTGGCGTCGGCTGTAACATGTCAGATAAGAACTCAAAGGCGACAAAGATGCAAGCAAGAAGACGAACCTGCGGCCTGCTTTGCACGCATAATTTCGGCAGCGTTCTCCTTGGCCTTGGCTTGCTCAGAACCAGACATCTAGAGAAGGGTTAGTCTACTGCTTTTCACTGTGTTTGCGAAGGGACATACAGTAGTCTTGTTTTTCTAAGCACAGAGTCAGTAAAGCGGTCACCCCTCAAGCTTGATGATCATTGTCTAGAAAAACTTACGATGTTGCCCTGGGCCTTCAAGTTCTTTTCGCGAGCTCTCTCCTTCTGGTTACCGCGTGCCATTTTGACTGGATATGTGGGGTGCGCTCTGGGAAGTTTGCAAGGAAAGAGAGCAAGAGAGGGATGCTCAAGAAAAGCGTTGGATAGGCCGGCAGAAAGAAAGTTGTCGCTGGCAAATTAGACCCTTTTTACCACTTTAGCACGCTTCCAGACACTGCCAAGACATTCTCATTGCCTACAACATCGCGATTCGCGGCTCGCTGCCCCTCCACTTCCGAACCCCATAGAACAAACAAAACCGCTTCTAGAACACTGTCAGCTCGACCAGGTTACTCAATACCACTTGTGAGTCGTGTCTATGTATATCCACAAAGTTCACCCAGCTTCTCTGGAGCCGATTCGCATCTCTTGCCTGTAAAAGCAAGTCTACGAGGAATTCAAGAAGGCCCTCGGTCATCGGCGCCTCTACACTGGTATCGTTAGGGCTGACATGATACTTATGAAGACGCAATGCTTTTGGGAATGACAAACTTGATCGTAGCGAGTGACTACTCGAGATCATGCGATTTTTAGGTAAGACTGATGAGATTTGACAGCGTGTGTCGCGATAGCTGTGTTGTAATATTCGTTGTTGGCAAACTTCAACCGGTAGGCCACCTCAAACAATCCTATGCATGTCCTCTTTGCGAGTGCTGGGCAACCACTACTGAAAGGACCCACGATTGAAAAGTTGATGGAAAGTCTTTGTTGATTTTACAGTCCTCGAGAACCACAACGAAACAAACCAGGATCCCGGGCGCGAGTTTTGAAACTACATCTGCAGGCGTCAATACAGCGCTTATACCAAGAGCAAGCTCCACCAATGGTTCGTTCTGGGATTCGTCAACCAAAGTCTTCTTGTTGCAGGAAACGTCCATAGCTGCTGTCGAGGTAGTACGGAACGTCTGAGAAGCTGTTTCAGCTGCATTGAGGCAGTCATGAGCTTTGACGGCGTCAAGTGAACAAAAAGAACATGCTGTGGCGCTTATGTTTCTATTGTACCTCTTCTATTCTCTTATTGCCTTCTTGTCACTCATTCATGTTTCCTATTGTCCTTGTTGTGTTCATTGTTCCTACTGCGTTGCCTTGTTTCTCCCCAATTTAATTATTCGAACTTCCTCGATCCTGTCTCTCTTTGATCATTCTCTTCCTTGCTTTTCTTCTGACGACTCTCAATTTCTTGCAATAAATCATCAAGACTCACCAAGCATCTGCTGGACAGATCGCACTATTTCATCTTACGAATGTTTCTCAGACTTTGGCCTTCAAAGTTGTAAGTCTTCATCCTTGATTTATGAGAACTCTTTGATTAACTTGTAGAACAGATCCATCTATCTTCCTTTCCTCAAGACTAACGCAACACACCACAACGAAAAGATGGTATCCTCACCCAAATCACTGGCTGGCTCGGGCTATGTCATCCTCAACGTGCTGAAGGGCATGAACATGATCGGACTGCTGGCTATCATTGCTGCAAGCGTTCTCATGCTCATCAAGACAACAACAGACTCAGGCGTAAGTGATGCTTATTGTACTCTAAGGAATCTGCTAATCATAGCCAACAGTTCTTCTTCTTCGATGCTGTCATCCATGTCGTGGTTGCATCTGTGGCCATATTCCTGATCGTCTCAGAGATTGGTGTATTCAGTGCTTACTTTGCTCGTAACTGGCCCTTGCTCAGTCTGGAACATGGTTTCGTCGGCCTTGCTTCAGCTATGATCATACTTGGTATGCACGTTTTGGCCTGTCTCAACAACTCCAGCAACAGCAAAAAGCATCTCGGCTTAGCATTCTGGCGAGTTGTAATCATGGCAGGTATTCTGAACCTCATTCTCGGCATCCTCAATCTGATCGCAGTAAGTCTAAAGAATAAATCAAATTACAATCAAATAATGTGTACTGACCGCCGACAGAACTACGTGTTCCACGATCACAGTCAGGGAATCACAGCCCGCCAGGTTCGCGCACGAGGAGCTGAAGCTGCAGATGTGGCATATATCCAGCGAAGCAACACTTCAGCAAGTGTTGCCAAATCAGTGTCATCTCGCACTACAACCGACAGCTCGCTTAGGCAGTTCCGCGCCAACTCGAAAGAAGAGTATACTTTGCCTTCGTACCGCAGTCCTTCGCCTGAACCGCAAATACATACACAGGCGCCAATTTCTCCTTCTTTGTACTCTCGCGCTACCTGGTGTAGCAAAAAGAAGTTCTTCAGCCGCAAGAAGGAGAGCATGGGACCTCCACTGCCAGTCAACATTTCAGCACCATACGACTTCGAGGCGCAATTCCCACCAGCCATCACAAGACCTGATTCAACTTTGCATCCTAGCCGTGGCGCTGAGAGTGAGACCCACAGATGGAAGGCAGAGCGCTGATTAGTTCGTGGCATGGATCTGGATTGGCGAAAGGCTGACCGCCAAAATGTTTCGTATCGTCTCATATCACTCATTACTTTCACAATCTTATTCTCTGTGCTTCATATTGTTTCAGTGAAAGGTCATCTGCAATCTTTCGGGATCAGTTAAACGTGCGTGTTTCGTGTGTGCCGTAAGTGGTTGTGTTTGGTCGAACAATGATCGGTATTGCTCTAGTTAGAGTTGTAGGCTCATGAAACCGGACAAATGGAACATGTACTGCTTAATCTGACAGGCTTCAAACAAAAGTTTAGCACTTGTACAAGGCCGAAACAACCAGCATAGACTCGTGGAGACTTGAGTTGGCGTATGGCAAGGAGGCATGTCGCGCGGCTGAGGCACACCACGTGGACGCGCCAATCGGGATGAACAGGAGGGAAGCTGGAAAGGCGGCGCAAGCTCGGGCCAAGGTGGAATCTCCCTCCTCGTCCTGTTGCTGTGGCTTCTCCCATATAGCTTCTTTGATCTCAGAGACCTCTATAAATCTACCTCCCCATCCGACTCCATCTCAAAACCACACAATGGCCGCCCCCGACTTCTCTGACATCAGCAAGCCCCTCGACGGCCGCGTCGGCGCTCCCAGAATCGTCGCCATGCCCCTCCCCGCCTACGGTGACCTGAGCAAGGCCGCCAACGACGTGAGTGTGCCATTGAGTCTGCAACAAGAGCCCCGGAGACTGACAGACATGCGTCCAGCTCATCAACAAGGACTTCTACCACACCCAGGCCGGCATGTTGCACCTTCCAGGTCGACCGCAAGAAAAATCTCACTAACAGCCCGACCCAGCCAACCTTGAGGTCAAGCTCAAGGCTCCCAATGGCGCCAACGTCACCGTCAAGGGCAAGCAGGCCTTCGACGGTGCCACCACTGCCTCTGTACGCTGTCCTCGCCTGTCTATATCCAGCAAATCGGCTAACAAACGTCACAGCTCGAGGGCAAATACACTCTTAAGCCCCAGGGTATGCACTTCTTGAAAATGAGCCGCCTTTTCTTCCCGCTGCCGGTCTCTGCGCGCCAGTCGCTGTACCTCATGATTGTCAGCGTTCCTGTTGCTCAGAAGACTGGCACCCCCGACGAACCGCCCTCGCTCTCACCGCAACATCATGTCTATCTTACTTACCACTACAAACCAGGTATCACCGTTACCCAGGGCTGGACCACCGCTGCCCTCCTCGACACCAAGGTTGAGTTCGCCAGCCTCATGTCTCAGCCCGTCAAGGCCGAGTTCCAGAACCTCTTCAACCCCAACGCCCCCAGCAAGGCCGCCCAGAAGCTCAACTTGACCTTCAAGCAGCCCAACCTCCACGCCCGCGCTTTCCTCGACCACAGCGCTGCTGGTAACATCAACGCCCTCATTGACGCCACTGTCGGCCACGAGGGTTTCGTTGCCGGTGCTGAGGCTGGCTACGACGTCTCCAAGGCCGCCATCACCCGCTACAGCGCTGGTCTCGGCTACCAGGCCCCTACCTTCACCGCCTCCCTCATTGCCATGCAGAACCTGAGCGTTCTTGCTGCTTCCTACTACCAGAAGGTCAACTCCAACGTTGAGGCTGGTGCTAAGGCCACCTACGACCTCCAGGGTGGTAAGAGCGTCGGTCTTGAGGTTGCCTCCAAGTACAAGCTCGACCCCCTGTCCTTCGCCAAGGTAAGCCTATTTTTTCCAAATCACGCGGTTTTTTTGCCATGTACTAATCACGATATGCTCTGCAGGCCAAGATCAACGACCGCGGTATTGCTGCCCTTGCCTACAACACCAAGCTCAACGCTGGCACCACCTTCGGTGTTGGTCTCTCGCTCGACACCAACAAGCTCAACGAGGCTGGCCACAAGATCGGCACCAGCTTCGTCTTCGAGGGTTAAAATTTTTACTCATGTAGACATGCGTCATGTATTCTTTTTTTCGAGGAGAAATGATAGAGAGCGGGCATCAAGCAACAACCGCCATGCACCTTTTCTTTGCCAGATTCTACTCTGATTGTAATAAAGCCCCCAGTATAAAAATGTACACAACCCCTGCTTTCCTGGTGCAACGTGAGTATATGTGTGTGAGAAAGATTGCATCTATCAAGCGGGAGTCTTCTTCTTCTCGTTGTTCTTTCTAAACAAGAAGCCGCTAACGCCAAAAATGACAGCCAGTACGCCACTCAAGAGGACGAAGTTGACCAGCATGCTCGTGCTCCCAAGGATGTCGTCTGTGGTTACACCATCCATTCGCCGCCTAGCCTTGTGTCTATTCTTCATGACATTGTCTTGAGTGCGGAAGTGACCGTCGCGATCAAAGTGCGGCACATCATTGTTGAAGCCAGCCTGGTATCCAGAAGGACCAGTGCCAGGTGCATCATGTGCGCTGGAGCCAGCAGCCTCGTGCTGATGGGAGCCCTGTGAGGCGTACTCTGATCGCTTCTGGCTGAAATTGCCCCAACCACCGCTACGATAGAAGGACGGAGGCGGACCTTTAAACTGTGTGCGTCGTCGACTGAGACCGGTGGCTGGACGGCCTCCTGCCGGACCGGTACTGCTGTAGGAGCCTTGCGGATGGGAGGAGGGTTGTGAGGCGCGGAGGAAGTCACGATCGTAGCTGGCACGTTTCTCAGCACTGCCTAGGACATGGTAGGCTTCGGAGACTTTGACAAAGCGGTCGGCGGCTTTTGGGTCGTCGGGGTTGTGGTCGGGATGGTGTTTCTTGCTCAGCTGGAAAAACTGTCTGTGATCGCATTGTTAGTATTGTAGATTGGTCGAAGGAAGTAAACTGACTTCTTGATATCTCCAGCAGTGGCAGTTGAGTCTAAGCCCAGGGTCGCATAGTGATCAGGGAGGCCAGCATCACGGCGAATGGACGAGGCGTGGAAGGTGCGACGGGAAAGAGGCTGTTGCTTGAGCAGGAATTGCGGCAGAGAAGGTCCTTTCGCAGGACGAAACTGAATTGGGCGGAGGATCATGCCTCATTCCGCGTATCTTTCAGGGTAGATGTGTCTTCCGTCTCGGACAGTGCGAATATGGATGATGGTCATGGATGGGTTCAACCTTGATGACGTCGACTTTTTGCTTGTCTAATCTGATCTGAATCTCAATCTCCGCGTTCAAGCTTGGCTTTAGCGGCACGCCCGAGAGCTTCTTTGGTGCGACTTTTACTCTTTTCGATCTCTGTATTCCGTGTATAAAATGTCTGCCGTTGACAGTACAACCAACGGCGTGGAAGCCCTTAAATGTATGCCTCACATTGCGCCTACTGATTTTGCGCCAGCTCATGGATTACAATACTGACTACATCCAGTGGAGGAGTCCAAGGGCAACCTGCCCGAAGGAGCTGCCGCAGAAGCAGAGAAGCGCGCCGAGGGCAACGCTGACGACTCTGAAGACGAGGGTGACGATGCCGAAGGTGCCAACGACGGAGCCGAGGAAGGTGCTGCAAAGAAAAAGAAGAAGAGAAAGCCAAGAAAGAAGAAGAAGGCCGGCAGCGGAACCGCAAAGGGCCAGACCAACCCTCCACGAGTTCCTATCGCACAACTCTTCCCCAATGGCGCATTCCCCGAAGGAGAGATCTGCGAATATATCGACGACAACTCTTACCGTACCACCGACGAGGAGAAGAGACACCTTGATCGCATGAGCAACGACTACCTGACCGAGTACCGTCACGCCGCCGAAGTTCACAGACAAGTCCGCCAATGGGCTCAGAAGAACATTAAACCCGGACAGACCTTGACCGAGATTGCTGAGGGTATCGAGAATGGCGTGCGCCACTTGACCGGCCATCAAGGTCTTGAAGAGGGCGACAACATCAGAGGAGGCATGGGTTTCCCTACTGGTCTGAGCATCAACCACTGCGCCGCCCACTACACTCCCAATGCTGGTAATAAGACAATCCTCCAACAGGGAGATGTCATGAAGGTCGATTTCGGTGCCCACATCAACGGTCGCATCGTCGACAGTGCCTTTACTATGTCTTTTGACCCCACCTACGACAACCTGCTCGCCGCCGTCAAGGATGCAACAAACACTGGTATCAGGGAAGCCGGTATTGATGTACGCATGTCCGACATTGGCGCCGCCATTCAAGAGGCCATGGAATCATACGAGTGCGAGATTGGAGGCGAGACCTTCCCTATCAAGTGTATCCGCAACTTGAACGGCCACGACATCAGACAATGGTCCATCCACGGAACAAAGAGCGTGCCCATTGTCAAGGGAGGTGACCAGACAAAGATGGAGGAAGGAGAGACATTTGCCATTGAGACTTTCGGTTCCACCGGCAAGGGTTACGTCAGGGAGGATATGGAGTGCAGTCATTACGCAAAGGTTGCAGATGCACCAAGAGTCCCTCTCAGAACGACGAGCGCAAAGACGCTGCTGAAGAGCATCGAGAAGAACTTTGGCACTCTGCCCTTCTGCAGAAGATATCTTGACCGTCTTGGCCACGACAAGTATCTGCTTGGAGTGAGTATTTTCTGTCGAACATACATATCCAGTGAAGCATAACTGACACGTCGTTTTACAGCTCAACAACCTCGTTCAGGCTGGTATCGTGCAAGACTACCCTCCTTTGGTCGACATCAAGGGCTCTTACACTGCACAATATGAGCACGTAAGTAGATTATTTTCTGTCTCTGCGAAATTCCTCTTCGCTAACAACACTCGTCCACAGACAATCTTGTTGAGACCAAACTGCAAGGAGGTCGTGAGCAGAGGTGACGACTACTAAACGCATAATGATATCCCAAAGCTTGATTCGAGTACAATACATTCAAAAAGTTGTTCAAATAAAAACTTCTCGTATTTCAACTTCAACGCTCCTACTAAAGGCCGCGCGCGGTAGGATTGCCCAAGTCGAGGTCAGATATGTGTCCACAAAGAGAGCTCTTAGCGTACTTCGATAATGTTGCGTGCCTGAGTTATGATATACGATGCAATGGCGGTAAAAATGTGCTCATGTGAAATAAAAAGATTATGGAAGAACAAACAATCGTAACATTCGTGGCAAGCTAATCATCTCCTGCTTTTCTCATCGACTGCTTATCAGCTATCTATCAGCACAACAACATGAGTCCATTACTTCCTCTGCTTCAGCAGCTTCTCTTGCTCCTGCATTTCCTGGATCTTACGTCTTGATTGCTCCACCAGTTCGTTGTGCTTAGAAGAGAGGTTCTCTTGTTGCTGGTCAGGGAGATGGGTGCGGTAGCCAATCTTATTCTCGTGAAGCTCAACAATCGAGCCTTCTCTGATGTTCAGGCTCGACAGACGAGTATCGAGTATGTTGGTGTTTTCACGCAAGGTAAACGTCTTGCTCGAAGGAGGAGATCCGACAGGTGTCTCGTTGGCCAGGGTTTCGGTAGAGTCGCCGTCAGGGGCTTGAGTGGTAGTCTTAACCTTCTTCTTCTTCTTGGTCTTCTTTGACTTCTTCTTCTTGGGTGCAGCGGCTGGAACCTCATTTTGCACGGAGGCTGTGGAGCTATCGTCTCCCTTCTTCGACTTGTTTGAGCTCATACTACTCAGTGCGCCACTGAGAAGTGCGGTAACCGACGACAGCGTCGAAAGCATTTGTGGTGTAGCCGAGTCTGTGTGGTGCTTCGATTGGTCGTCGTCTTGCTTTTGGAGACTCCTAGGCTCTGAGCGTCCGGGGTTCTCAACATTCATGTTGTCGTTCTCAGCGTGCTCTGTGCGAATCTCTGTTAAGGAGCTCGCGCTTGCACTGATTGAATTGTCGACATCGACATCCCTCTCATGAGTTTCAATACTCTCTTGACATAGCTCACCGGTATTCACTGGAGTATCGACCATCGATTGCTTCGGCTTCACCGGCTCAGGTTTGGCCTTACTCTTCGACTTTCCTAACTTTTGCTTGGAGTCCTTCTTCATATTTGCTCGGCGTGCGAAAGGGCTGAAAGACTCAGTCTGCTTCGGACCTGGCTTTGAAGCTGTGCTTTGAGATGTATGGATATCTGTAGTCAAATGCTGGCCGCTGGGTACAATATCTGTGGTATCTCCGCTCTCCGTGGTGGTAGTGACATGGGGTGACACAGACTCTGCATTCTGGCATAGCGTTTCCTTCTCGGACGGTGCGACGGAGAGAGGATTGCCTACAGGAGAAATACCATCAGCGACAACATCGTCGTGGGAAATGCCGTCGGAGGAAGCACCATCAGGAGAAGAATCATCAGGGGAGATAGCATCAGGTGCGTCCTCATCGCTCTCAAGGGTGCTATGAGGCGAGTTGGGAACAGACTGTGCATTTTTACACACTAATTTCTCAGTGGGTGTTGCAGTGGGGGTCTCGACGGCAGTCTGGAAACTGTCATCCTCGGTAGTTTTGGGAGAACTATCCTGCTTGTCAAACTCCTTGTCGACAGAATTGTCCTCAGATAACGATGGCAACGCATTGTGATCGTTCTCGATCTCGATAGTTGTGGCATTCTCTTGAGTTTGTACCGAGTAAGAGCGGTGCTCTCTAGTTCTGTAGTTGCGTTCGGTTGAATGGGCATAAGCGCGATGGTCGGAATAAACTCTTCTCTCGAATTGCCTGCCTTGCCATGCATCACCAGAGCGAAGCGACGATCGGCGAGGCCTAGTAGAGTTGAAAGAGGACCGATGGCCATTGCCTCTCTGATTGTATGGAGGCGCATACGAACGCTGTTGAGCGAAACGTTCTTCACCGAATCGTGCAAATGAGTGTGGGTCAACCAATCTCGGACGAGGGCGCTGGCTGAATGAGCCATTGCGTTGATGCACGATGGTATCAGGATAGTAAGCAGATCCAAGGAGATCAGGAGGCATGCGAGGTTCAGGGGCATACGTCGGAGGCGAATAGTAGCCAACAAACGGACCATCGGGTTGCATTGGGAAGCCAACAACTGGTGTGTAAGACTGGGCTGTAGCATCGAACTCAGGGAAGCTGGGAGACATGTGTTGTAGTGGCGTGATCATTGGACTCATCGAAGCACGGCGATTACGACCACGGTATTCTTTCTTATGGAACTGGCGTGGACGACCATTGCCGTGTCTGACATGATCGTCATGAATCGAGACTGCTCTGTGCCTGTGCTGCTGCTCCTGGAAGTGTTGCTCGGCAGTGGTTGGCACAATTTCTACAGCAGACTCAGCTGCGTCAATAGAATGCTGGTCCTGTGGGCCATAGAAACGTCTAAAGCCATCACTGATGAGCAGGACGACGCGCTTCAAGAAGGAATCAGGGAAATTGGCTGCTTGATGCAAGTCAAGAACTTGTCTTATCTGAGCAGCGTCCATACCAGAGCTGGCGCAGAAGTTGTACTCTCTCCACCACTTCTCGGCGTGAGAGAGGACGCTGTCTTCGTTAAACTTGGCGATGGCGTAGAGGACTTGCTTCAGGAATCGACCGCCCTGAAGGTGGAATTCGCGTTCAGAAAAGTATCCAAGCAGGAATGCATCCTCTTCTTCTTTGGTGGCGCCTTTTCCGGCAGTACCACGCGGAAACTCATCGAGGTAGATGTTGCAGCACATGGCGCGACGATCTTCCCATAGTTGCTCAATGAAAGGTCTCAGATCGGCATATGCATTCTGTCGCAGGATTATGGATCCATCATGAGGTGTTACGTACACGGCACGCTCCGACGTCTCTGATTGATCCATTGTAGTGGTGGAGTGTCGAGACGCTGAGTTGCTGACTTGTTGAGATGCTGAGGCGCTGACTTGCTGACTTGTTGAGATGCTGAGATACGGAGGCGCTGAGATACTGGGGCACTGAGATGATGAGGTGCTGAGTAGCTGGAGCGCTGGAGCACGCATATGCCAGTGTCGATGGAGAGGAGTGCGCAAAAACAATGAATGCGTCGTAGAAGCGTGAAGAATTAAAAGTTGAGCGGTGTAAGTGTGGTTCGGAGGAGTGTTACCAAGGCTGAGGGAGTGAGAAGACAGAGTCAAGGTGCGAGGGCGTTTGTCTGAGTGAAGAAGGTGCAATCAAAGTCGCGTCTGTTGTCTGAAAGTGACGACAAACAAGCACCTTCTGTCTTGGAAGCCGAAAGACACAAGACACTTTTTTGGTGCGCACCAAAGATTGTCGGAACACAATTGAGCGGTCTTACTTACGGAGAGATTCGATGCTGTTTTTACAGATAGCTTTGCATTTGAATGCTTTTACCTCAGAATGCTCCGTTTGTTCACCCACTCCCGGCCCTGCAGCTACCCTCTAGTATTCTCATGTTCCGCTTTCTTCACTGAGCATATTCTTTGAGCATTGATCTCAACATCCAAAGAACGACTCATCCACCCAATCTCAGATAAGATTGTTGGTGTCTCGAAAAGTGCCGAGCGCGGCTGCGATCTTGATTCATGGCGACCTCCCGTTGCACACAGGTGATCTACACAGATGATGTTGAGAAACTGCTTGGGGCCAAGGTGGATATTGTGATTAGCCAGTGCAGTGTCCTTAGGCCTTGGGAGGGGTTTGTAGCAGCTTCATAATCTCAGACTCGTTGTCTCCGCTTACTGCGTATGTGTTAGCCGAGGGTTGAATGTAACAATCTTTTGTGGGAAACGAGATTACCAGCACGTCCGTTGCCCCAATCCACCACGAGCGGTCTCTGGAAAAGACTTCCGTTCTCCTTGAGCTTTCTCAAAGCTTCGGTGGGAGTTGAGGCGCCATCGACAACGCTTCCAATCTTGTCTTGGCCAAGGTACTCGAAGATGTTCGTAAGTTGATCGTTTGTTGGGATTCCTTCTTGAACGTCTGTAAAGCGACATAGGTGAGCAGGTGTTTCAGGTTGCTGCCGGAGGTGGTTACAGACCGAGTTCGAAGTCGGTTCTCTCAATCTTGGATTGCTGAGGATGGGAAGAAGCTTGGTCGATAGTGGCGGTAGATTGGGCAGCACCGGCAGTCTGCTTGAGCAGAGTGTGGACGCGGATCGAGGCAGGCGACTTGGGCGAGTGGAACAAGGTGATTACGTCCTTGACGCCAGCCTGGTGGGCGTCAGTCAGCGAACAGAGTGTCGGTCAAGGCGCAGATCAGTAAGGCTTACTTCCTTGAAAAGTCCTTTGAGTGCGCTGAACATGTTGACGGTGTGATGTTTGGTGTGGTTGTTGTAGTTGTGAAGACGGATGATGTTCAGCGCATGGACGAGGTTGCGCATAACCTGGGGAAGCACTCAGCTCTCAGTGACGTATCCCTCAGGAACTATTAGCATCTATTCCACAGTTCCACAGATGCATCACAGCCTATTCATGTATTCAGCAGCATCTCGGATTAATCACTTTCTGTTTGCTACATTCAGATTGATACAACAGAGGATCAAGACATCAATCGAGACAGTGTTGTGTATATCTGGCTGGTTGATTGGGCAAGCTACACACTGCATCGTTGAGATCATCCTCTCTGATGCTAGGACGAAGAGTACATGAAGACGAGAAAGCACTTGAGCAATGAGTGTTCAGAAGACGTAACCGATGTTGTGAAAAAGCTACCAAAGACGCCAGATATAAACCAGTCTTTGCGGCGACATTTGTTCCGATTTACGAACAGCAGCTGATTAGCCATGCATGTCCGCCAGAATTTTGAATCATCATCATGGATGCCAGGGCTAGGAAACGGTCTGGCCGCCCAGTAATGAATCGAGGGTGTCGCCAGACTGTGTGCTATCCATGTGCCCGTCTTTGCCCCATCTCTCAAACTCCAGATCCGGAATTCGTTTACGAGGTAGGGTTGGGGTTCATCTATCGCCTTGTCAGCGCCTGTTGCAACCAGAAGGCGCAGATCGAATGTGGTGCGCACCTTTCTCTTGCCACCGGTCATGGTGACGTTCACGAAACGGCGGGTGTACGTGATTCTCTTCTTTGCGCGGCCCTTGGGGGTCTTCTTCTTCTCCTGGGGCTCAACCTGATAGCGCACTTGTATTAGCACGCTGTTCCGAGGGTCCGGGCTGATGGATGCGATGGGTGGCGGTTGTTGAAATGTGTAGCGGAGCGGCGATGGAGAATTCGTACCTTGGGAGTCTGCGACTTGACCTTACCGGCACGAGCGAGGGAACCGTGGACCTTACCCATGTTGTCGAGTTATGGGGATTGTTGGATGACTTGAAAGGTTGGATGTAGGTTGCCTGTGGGTGGCGAACAAAGGTCAGTCGTTGTCGCTCGCTCAGAGTTGGGTCAAAATTGATGGCGAAAAAGACGGCGATAGTTTCGAGCGTCGAGCAGATGGGCTGAGATGGAAAAAATGGGCGTACTCACGTTGGCGCAAGTTGTCGTCGGTCGTCCTTCGAGAGAAGTGCAGGCAAAAATGAGTTGAGTCTGTGTTAGACCGCCGGCAGGGCTGTTCGCTTAATCCACCAATCATCGCTCGCCAGTCTTGGCAAAGTCGTCCCATCATCTGCATCTTGAAGATAGGTATCATGTCTGTTTGCCGTCTCGATTATTTTTGTAACAACTCTCACATCACTTTGTCTTTTACAGAATGCACTTCAAAAGTTCACTCTTTGTTGGCCTTGCGTTGGTGGGCTCATCGGTGAGCTCACTGCTCCCTGGCAGTCAGTACATCTTCTCAAACCCCTCACCAGAGGCAACCTCGGGCTTCCGCATCCCTACCGTGCACGAGTCTGCTATTCAAGCACGCCGCATACTTCACCTGGAAAATATTGGCACCTTGTCGACAGTTTTCCCATCTGATTCCTCGACGAGTCAAGATGCAGTAACTCTGGAACAGCGACCCAGTGGTCTTGGGGGTGTTCCTATCGGCTTGATGGACTACTATGCCGATTGTGAGCCTGATAGTGGCAATCCTACCATCCTTGCTTTGGACATCGCTACCTCTTTCAAGAACGTTGCAGCCGGCAGTAACATCACTTTGAGCTTGCGTTGGCATCCGCAAGATGGAAATTGGCACAGCGCTGCTAGCTTGCCTAGGTTTTCTCTTGTTGGTCGTCTTGAAGATATCAATGACGACGATGCTTCGAAGGTCGCCCTCTCTGCCTGCTTTGTCAGGAACCACCCAGATGCCGTGGCGTGGCTACCAGGAAATCGAATCCATACAAGCCGCTGGGTCAGGCTCGTCGTAGAAGATATCTACTGGATTGGTGGTTTCGGTGATCGTGCTTACATTGGTTGGATTCCTGTCGAGGCATATCAGAATGTCACGAGACAACAGATTGATGATTGCAGATTGCCTGGAGAGAAGGCCACCCGGAGTTGGTCAGATTGGCTCTGAGTATGCCACTTAGTGTATCACCACCGTCGTTATCATCATCACGTTGATAAATCTTTTGGCGCGAATGCATAATTTTACTCTCAGTCACAGGCGAACGGCATCACAGAGGCAAGAACATGTTATGTTGACAATGTGGAAATCATGTCAATTTGTTGCAGATAACTATCTAGGCAACACCAAATCAAATGGACGCCGTTTCATGAAATTCGATCGTTGAGATCGTAATGGTCCATAACTTTTTGACCCGATTCCCTAGCCTTTTGTTGAACTCCTTCCGTCATGCAATCATTATAGTTGAATAAATGGGGTATCTCTGTTGAATGAACGCTATGATGCAGCTGTTGAGTGCTGTCATCCCAATGGTACTGTCATCTCAAATGGATGCATAGTGATGTTGTTGTGTGTTTAAGTGTGCTTCTGGCGGAAAGCCTTGGCAGCGTTGACCATGTTGACCAGAGCCTCCTTGGTCTCCTTCCACTGGCGAGTCTTGAGACCGCAGTCGGGGTTGATCCAAAGCTGCTCAGGCTTGAGGTACTGGAGCATCTCCTCAACACGGTCCTTGATCTCCTGCTCGCTGGGAACTCTGGGAGAGTGGATGTCATAGACACCAGGACCAATGTGTCTGGGGTAGGCCTCGTCGATGAAGACCTTGAGAAGCTTGGCGTCGCTCTTGCTGTTTTCGATGGAAAGGACATCGGCGTCGAGGGCAGCAATGGCGTGGAAGAAGTCTTGGAACTCAGAGTAGCAGAAGTGACTGTGAATCTGAGTAGAGTCCTTAACACCAGCGGTGGAGAGCTTGAAGCTGTCAACAGCCCAGTCAAGGTAAGCCTCACGCTCCTTGCCGGAACGGAGAGGAAGACCCTCACGGAGGGCAGGCTCGTCAACCTGGATGACGTAGATACCAGCGGCCTCAAGGTCAACGACCTCGTCACGAAGAGCAAGAGCAAGCTGCTGAGCCTGAACCGACTGGTGAACATCGTCACGAGGGAAAGACCAGCGGAGACAGGTGATAGGACCAGTAAGCATACCCTTCATGGGCTTCTTGCTAATGCTGGCAGCGTACTTGCTCTCCTTGACGGTCATGGGGGCAGGACGAGAGATGTCACCGACGATGATCGGGGGACGGACACAGCGAGAGCCGTAAGACTGAACCCAAGCGTGGGTGGTGAAGACGTAACCATCGAGACGCTCACCGAAGTACTGGACCATGTCGTTACGCTCAGGCTCACCGTGAACGTAGACGTCGAGGTCCAGCTCGTCCTGGATCTTGACGACATCCTGAATCTCCTTCTCGATAAACTTCTCGTACTCCTCGGCGGTGATCTCGTTCTTGACAAGCTTGTTACGCTGCAGACGGATCTCCTTGGTCTGAGGGAACGAACCGATAGTGGTGGTAGGGAAGACGGGAAGGCTGAGGTGCTCCTTCTGTTGAGCGTAACGAGTGTCGAAGGGAGACTGGCGGTTGTGCATCTCAGGAGTGACCTTGGACTGTCTCTCCTTGACCTGTGAGTTGTTGGTACGGGCAGAGGAGGCACGAGCCTGCATGGACTTGGCGTTGGCCTCGAGCTGCTCGCGGACGGCGGCGGGGCCCTCGGTAACAGCCTTGGCAATGATGGCAACCTCGACGGCCTTCTCGGAGGCGAACGAGAACCAGTCCTTGACTTCCTCGGGAAGAGTCTTCTCGCTGGCGAGAGTGTGGGGGGTGTGGAGAAGAGAGCTGGAGGAGGCAACGATGACTCTGTCCTTGCCGAGCTTCTGAACGGCGGTCTCAACGACCTCGATAGCCTTCTTGAAGTTGGTCTTCCAGATGTTACGGCCGTCAACAACACCAGCAGACAGGATCTGCTTGGGGCCGAGGTGGTCAATGACTTGCTGGAGCTGCTCGGGGTGACGGACAAGGTCAACGTGGAGAGCGTAGAGGTTCTTGAAGGCGGCGTCGACGACATCGAAGTTGTGGACAATGTCACCGAAGTAGGTAGCAAGGACGATCTCAGGGCCTGAAGCGGCAGAGAGCTTCTCGTAGGCAGGCTTGAAGGCCTCCTTGACCTTAGTGGGCAAGTCGAAGACAAGGACAGGCTCGTCGATCTGAACAGTCTCGGCACCAGCCTTCTTCAGCTCCTGCAGAAGCTGCTCGTAAACGGGCAGAAGCTTCTCGAGGAGGGTGATGGGCTCAACGGACTGGCCGCGGTCGGCCTTACCAAGAGCGAGGAAGGAGACGGGACCGAGGAGGACGGGGCGGGTGGTGATGCCAGCCTCCTTGGCCTCGAGGAAGTCACGGACGGGCTTGGGGTTGGAAGCGAGCTTGAAGGTCTGGTTGTCCTGGAGAGTGGGCTTGACGTAGTGGTAGTTCGAGTCGAACCACTTGACCATCTCGAGCGAGGGAACGTCAATGCCGTCACGCTGGTGACCACGGCCCATGGCAAAGTACTCATCGAGAGGGTCAAGACCGTGCTTGGAGTATCTCTCGGGGATGGCCTGGTATGGGGTCAGTATGCTGGGGTAAAGCGTGGAGCGAAGCCAGGGAGGGTGGGGAACAGGAGACTTACGTTGAACATCTGGATGTGGTCGAGGACGTGGTCGTAGAAAGCAAAGTCGTTGCTGGGGATGATGTCGACACCGGCGTCCTTCTGGATCTTCCAGTGCTCACCACGGAGTCTCTTGCCCTCGGCGAGCAAGTCGTCTCTCGACAGCTTGCCAGCCCAGTATGCCTCGTTGGCCTTCTTCAGGTCTCTCAGACGTCCCATACGGGGGAAACCCAAGATCGAAGACTGAACCATGGCTGCTGATGTGTGAAAAGGAAAATGAACAGGAAAAGAGGAAAGGGGAGATGCGGATGGAGGCACAATGGACAGCAGTGCAGGCACGTTTAAGTACTCAGCAGATTTTCGCTATGGCGCTTAGACCACGTCGACTGCGGAGCAGTTCGCTCACTCTCACTGGAAACGTTGAAGAGACCCCGCGGTGCGCCATCACGCCATTGTTGGTCTTGTCTCTCGACCTGGTATCAAAAACGTTGCATGACTGCTCCTTCCCACTCCTCGAGCAGTTGTCTTTTTATCTGTGTCGATGTCTCTGTATAATTTGACTGCTTGATTTGCAGCATGAGAGCTTGATGTTGTTGTCGACTGGGTGTTGGCTGAATTCCAATGACTCCATCGCAAGCCCACCCTGCGTATGTAGATCTCGACCCAGAACGCGCTAACCTGCCACCTAACTCGCTTTCACCTCTACAATTACTCGTACATTCTCATGGTATTTCGTAACAGGCCCTCTTCTGTGCTCCATGCAACGTAGCCTTTTGACATGCTTCTTCTGCAAGCGGCCGAACACGCAAAGCCATTACTCACCGGATGCCCGCGCATCTCGCAATCAATCTGGACCCAGGACCCTCTGTGCTCTCTCCACAAAATGCTGTGCATTCGGTGAATCATCGCCGCCTGCCCTCATTGGCACGAGCTTCTCGTTTGGCCGATCCCGGAGCTGGGGGAGTTGCTCATTCCGACACAAAGCGTCAGTTGCCCTGAGTCTTCTGATTGGCTGAGCACGGACAGGACAGTCTCGAGACTTCGACCACTTTCCTCGTATACCAACGACGCGACGACGAGGGTGTAATATTCACAACTCTGCACAGGCACACGAGGAGTAAGAAAGACACCCTTCAGAGTGTGGATAGAGAGTGTTCATTCTGTAGTTGTAGAAAGAGGTGTTCGGCACGATGGATCTTTATGATCCTGACCTTGCACCGCACCTTCCTGCGTAGCGTAATATCAAACACCATGAAGTTGGAGCTGCCCTGAGTATTCGAGGTAGGAAAGCAGCATCCGTGGCGCCTGCCTCAAGCGTTGATCTGGCTTGATTGGAAGTCTGCTCACCATCAATCTCTTATCACATTGCTTTCGAAGTCCACATTTTTTATCTTCAATTTGCCTCGTCCAATAGGGTTATATCTGCAATGGCCGCAGCAAAGCTTTGCTGTACTGCGCCTCTGAGATCACAGTCGCCTGACGATACACCTCCGAGGCCTGTCAGGCCCTTCAAGTCTTTGGCCAACATCAAGACACACTTTGCCCATAACAACCATACTACAGACACCGCAGATGACCACACGCAAAGAACCCAACCACTCTATCCAGCAGACGACCTTGAGCTTCGCCGTATCTTTGTTGCTGCCTCCTTGCCAGAGGATCATCCTCATGCCCTCAAAATCCGTCATCGTAAGCCTGAAGTTGACGAGAGTATCATACATTCACCAAGCTTCACCAACAAGCTGCGCAGACAGTTGAGTCGCAAGAGCTTAGTGACAGATAAATTCCACAAGCATTCGGCAAGAAAGTTGGATCTGAGGCCTCATGTGTTGCCGAGGAAACGGCTGGAGCATGGCCTGCCGGAACTTGCTGGTAGTTACGATGATGATGCTCAGTCATTGTGCTTGATCGGGTCTCGGCTCGCTTCTCTTGCGAACGACAGGTGCGCCATGATGGATGCGAATTCAGTGCAACCCATTCGATCCGCTGGACCCCTTGATCGCTCTATCATTGGCCCAGATGAGCCACGCCGGTCAGCCAGTATGCCTCCTGCATCCTGTTCGGCAGACTCTGCATCACAATTGAGACGTTCACTTTCCTCCGACATGCAGCAGGAATTCAAAGGTGCTCTCACCGTCCATCTACCTGGTCCTACCTTCATGAACGCGGACGACATATGGCAATCGTCGCCGGTAGGTATACAAACGAGTACCGTGCAGTTCTTGAAGACACCCAACTCTGCCGGTCCACAATTCACAAGTCCTCAACTATCATCTTCAGACCTGGGTCAGCCGCAACTGGTGAGAGGCAAGTCAAGAAGCACAGACAAGCACAAGACGTTGTCTAGAGACTCGACCGCTTCGCTGCACTTGCACGATATGCAAATCTCGCAGCATCTACGTACACGATCGCAAGTTTCAGTAGCTTCAAGTGCGAGCGAGCCAGACAGACAAAACCGCCATACACATGCAAGCCTAAACAGCATCGTGCTCTCCTCTGTGGGCCCTGAACGCTGCAAGAGCATATCCAGCTCTGGTTTTGCTGCCTCGGTTCGGCCTTCTACCTGGGAAAAGGTTCTCGAAGACGAGTCTTCCTCCATATACAGTCGCAGGCCAAGCACTGCCTTGGAGGCTCCGATCGTGCCAGCCAAGGAGCGCGCTTCTGATCCCTCGCATGAGACTGTCCAATGGAAATCGGTGGCCCCTAACGTATCCAAGCTCACTAAGCAGGGCAAGGAAAATACTGCTTGCCAAGCAGAGAGGGTCATGTCTGTGTCCACTGGCATCAGCTTCATAGCAAGTGTTTCGGCCTCTCACACTGATCCTAGAGAGTCTGTATCGGTGAGTAGCTCAGCATGCATCAGCGCTTGGCCTGACCACAACACGATGTGTTCCCTTCCAAAAAGTGACAGTTCCGGAAGTCTCGGAAAGCTGAGTAAATTCAAGGAGGACCTCAACAATGCCTCGACTGTTCCCAAATCTACCAAGAAGCGCCGCTCGGTCTTGCAACTACTGTTTCCTAGACTCACACGATCAAAGCTTCGAAGTACCAGCACGCCACTGCTTGGTGGTCGGACCCTGTCTTTACTCAATCAGACTTATGACGGTACTAGGGATGCTCAAGACTTTCTCTCAGTGCCATCTTCCTCTAAGCCACGAGGCGCTCAGCGAGCGGCCAGCTTCACTGATAACGCGGAGCTCAGGCCTGCCAGTTCACCTTCGATCAGTTCCTCGGCCGCCACTCCATCTTTGCAGTCACGTCGATCCTTGGTGAACTACGAAAGAAGCCTTTCAGTTGTGGGTGACAACCGTCGCCGTAAATCGACTTTGGGAAAACCAAAGATCGAAGTGGACCCAACTGAAGATCAAGGTGATTATCCGGAGCGAACCATACGCCGTGCAAGCCCTCTTCTGAGTCCTAGCAGAAAGGGAACGGAAGAAGCCTTGATGGAAAAGGCGTTGCTACAACACCAGGCAGAGAAAGCGGCCCTTCTCCGTCCAAGCAACCAGAAGATCGAGACAGCACCAAATCCACGTCATATACCTGTTTTCACGAGCCCTTTCGGTTTCCAATCTACCAGCGAAGCTAGATTGGCTACAGCAACGCTTGAAGAACTTGACCCGTTAGAAGCTGAAGAGTCACCAGCTGTTCGCAGAGGTCAAAGTATGCAAGATTTTAAGTCCTCTGAAGATTTTGCTGCCGAATCTTCCAAGTCTCGTGGCAAAAAACGCAGCACTGTCTGGACCATGGACACCGCTATGACAAAGGACACCAGATCACACCTCCGCGCAATCGCTCCACCACATTCCTGGAGTCAATATCCATCGCATACACGAGAACGACGCTGTAGTTCAGCCGGACGCCATGATAGCATCATCTGTCGAGACTTTGCTCATGGTCAAACTCCATGCAACGTTGACCAAGCAATCTCAGTCGAGGAGATAACGAAATCGCATAAGGGCTGGCCACGTCTGGCCAATACCAAAAGAAGAAACTGGATTGCGAAATCGCGGTCGATGCCATTCGGGACAGTATTCCGCTACTATTCTAATCTTCTTACTTCCTCGGCGGCTCGTAACCGCCGGTCGTCCACGGCAACAGGTGGTAGGCTTGAGCATCCAGAACTCGAAGTCTTGCCTCCAGTGCTACCAGTACATCCAGTTTCGTCCCCGCACTCAGATCTCAAAGATCAATCTTCGGATTGCCCAGATCATCTCGAAGGGAAAGGCCATAACGACAAAAAGGGGCTTGGAGCCCTCCATCGCCGTTGCCAAAAGTCAGCTTTGTGTGAAGACAAGTCCCAATCAGGACACGCCCCAGGTATCTCTTATCCTCGCGATGAATCACAATCTATGCATAGTCAGGCAGCAACTGAGTTGAGACTGGGGAACAGCTCAGAGGATATGTCCATTGTGCCTGATTTGCTCGATGGAAATGTCGAGGACAAGTCCGCAGAACCGGACAGAGCACTGAGTGCACGAAGATTGTCTCGCATGTATCAAGCCTATGTGCAGCTTCCGACGTCTCTGGACAACTCCGAAGTCGAGCGAGTCGATGTCACAGATGGATGCGACCATACATCATGTGGACCCGTCACTACCGGGTCGCCTGAAACTGACTCGAATATGTCTACGGTCGAATTCTTGACCGTCCCGTCTGTCAAACAGCGTCTGTCCTCCGCTCCGATCACTCGCCACTTCCCCTCGGTCACTGTAGTTGATGACAGAAAGGGACACTGGCGAAGTGTCAGTCTGTTGTCGGTGGATTCTAGAAGAAGTATCCGCAAGAGCACTAGAGATCTTTTGGAGGTCGTTAGAGCAACCCAAACACAGGAGCTTGCGAAGTTGTTGAGCACATCTGAGACTTCGATCACGGATGCAGATATCCCTTGAGAGGGATACTGCTTTGTCGCTCTCATCAGAATTATACTTACGCCAGTTGTTTTGTTATCGGGATGGATCGGGTACTGGCATACAGAGCCAGAGTAGATTTCACTGAAGTATTCGCTCGCCTTTGCATTGTATAACCTTCATCACGTCTTTAGCCAGTATCAAGCCTATTTGTCATGACACATCTTTTCCGGGAGATTCTCTCGAGGTACCAAAATAATATTCAAGGTGAAGCAGAGTTTTGAATATAGGTTGTTGCTGAGACTTCTATTGCTGTGTGAGCTTGATGCATGGGCGAATAATTATGCACGCCGCGTTGCCACAGTGTCTCACAGGTTCTAGAATTCGTTAAACTCATCTATACGCTGAACTTGAAACCTCCGTTACAACTGATGACAGAGCCAGTAGTATACGCAGCATCGGGGGTACAGAGCATAGCGATGACTCCCGCGGTTTCGGATTCGTATGCCTGGTTCATAAATAAGTTTCCTAGATTCGCTCCCAAAGTATAGTGTAGCATGACTTACAGGACGGCCTCCGGCAACCTCGGCACCCTTGACCAAGTCGTCGCTGTCAACGCCAGGGCGGACGGCTGCGAGAGGTGTGTTCTTGAGCCAAGGTGCAATACCCTCTTGGAACTCTTTTGTGACTCCGCTCCACATATCTGCGAGGGAATTTAGGGTCAGCATTGGGATAAAAGCAACAAGAGCAGCGACACCTACCAGTCATGACGGGGCCCGGGTTGATGGCGTTGACAGTAGTTCTCTCGGCCAACTCACGAGCCCAGGTGCGTGTCATGGCCTCGACGGCAGCCTTTGAGCCTCCATAGACACTTTGTTGGCTGAAGCCACAGCTAGCACTAACACTGCTAACATTGACAATACGGCCACTGCGGTCAGTAGGCAAGTAGGGCAAAGCAGCCTTCATGAGGAAAAGAGGGCCTCTGACGTTGACTCGGTAGACAAAGTCAAAGTCGTCAGCATCGCAGTCCTCAATTGAACGATTGGATGCAACGCCAGCATTGTTGATGATGATGTCGATTTGAAGCTTGCGTGTCTTGGGGTGGGCAAAGTGGTTCAGTGCTGTGGCGACGAGATGTGCAGGGCCATTTTCAGTGCCCATGTCGGCTTGCACGGGCAAGGCCTTGATTCCATGCTCTTTCTGGAGGCGCTCGGCCAATTGTGTCGTGATAGATTCGGACGAGTCGGAGGTGTAGTTCATGATCAGAGAGCAGCCCTTGGAAGCGAGGTTCTCGCATGTCGCAGCACCGATACCTGAGTGCTTTTCAGCAATCGTTCGACCTGAATCTCCATGGTCGATTTATGTTTACCTCTAGAGGCGCCAGTGACAATGGCAACCTTGCCATCTAGCACTCTGTATCCATTTCCACTGCCAAGGTTGGTTGATGCGGTACGGGTGACTCCTGGACGAGACATGATTTGTTGCGGTGACCGGTATTGAGTTCTGCTGTGTGATTGGATGCAGGGCACTTTATTGTGTACTTTGGCTTGGTATAATTATATTGTCCACGTTATTGTGTCCAGTTCGCCTTGGTGGGGTTAAATAGTGGTGACGAATGACGAATGTGGGGAGCTCAGTCTGCCCATTTAACCGCACCGGATAAATTGCCATCTTTCTACCGCGAGAGAAATATCCCTGAACCACAAACTGCAACAAGTACTACAAAGAAAGCTACTGGACAGCAAAGCAACAGAACCAATACCTCATCGCCGCACGCTGCGTCGAGAGCTGGAGAAGACACCTGCTCTAGAGCTGAACATGTTACTCGACATGGCTCTTGACGCCGTTGAGCCGCCCTTAATACCCCGTATATCGGCTAGTGCTCCGTCATGACTTGGCCCTTTCCTAGCTTGAGGAATGTTAATGCTCGATGCCAAAGACGGGACTTTAGAAGGCAATGGACGAGGTCGGTTAGAATATTGGGACGACTGCATCGTTCCGTGTCTCGAATCAACCATTGGCATTGAACTCTGGTGCATGTCTGGTCTCACGAATAAACCATTGGAATCTCTCAAACTTCGGGTCGCCAACTCCTGTACACAACCATCAAATGGTACGTCGAAGTCATAAGCGGGCTCTCGACCAAGCTGCGGGTATTGGACGAGAGAGAGACCATTCATTGTTTGAGATCGTGATTGAGAGCTGCTTGGTGCAGGTCTCCGAGGGTGAGCCATCTTGAAATTTGGCATCGTCTGGTGAGACGTCCTTTGGGTCATCGGAGATGAAATACTGTGGTGTTTCGGGTTACGCCTCTGGTCTGCTCGGAAGAAAGGACTGGTCACCGAGATGCTATTTGAATGTTGTATAACATTGTGTTGTTGTGGTGATGGAGTATAAGGTCTGTTCGATGGACGATCGGCCGATGGTCGAAAGGCGCCGTATCGAACTTGCGATGCACGATACGGTGACTGATTTGCCCTTGGTAGGATGCTCTGAATAGGCAATTGCTCGAATGATTGGTGTTGTTGATGATAGTCTGGACGCGGTGGGTGCTGGCGAGCTGCTAGGTAGGTACTATACGATTCCTGTGGCTGTCTGAGCGTACTGTGTGGCAAGGACTCAGTATCTCCTCCAGTATCATACTGCTGATGAGACGGTATGCTCGATATGAGTCGCTCAGAAGTGATGAAGTCAGACCTTGAGACATCATCGATGCTGTCGACCGGCTGAATCTTCCTCTTTAGCTGCTTCGGGGGCCTGAATGGTGCTGCTGGTTTCGCGAAGTCCGAGTCATCTGACTGCAAAGCACCACTCATATAGGGCGGACCGTCAGACCTGGTGTTGGGTTCGTGATTGGCCTCTGTACGTTCCCATGGCACCCAAGTCTCATGCTGAGCACTCATTCCCTGAGGACCAGCACATACATCGTCGCTTCGATTGGCAAAAGTGGGTTGCAAATTGTTGGTTTGATACGGAACAGGTGGTGGTTGAAAATGTGTGCTTCTGGAAGTGATCCTCTGTGTGAGGGATGATGCGGGCGGAAGCCTTATCCCAGGCCGCTTCTGAGCTGGTAAATTCCTCGACGGGCTCTGCGTGTGTTGCGGTATGTAGCGGTAGTCGGCTATCTTTTGCCTCTTGTTACCGGTTCTCTGGATGTCGTCTTCGGTGTCTGGCACGATATTAGAAGTTGTTCTTTTGCCATTTACTCTGTCTTCCTTACATGTCCTTGAGGAATCGGCCCGCAGAGTAGTGCTCGAGACACTGGGGATATGATCCTCGATAATCCTCGGATCGGCTCGATCAGCGCGTTCGCTAGGTCCGGTGTGTGAAGTTGTCGCTCGGCCATTTGACGCATCATCCTCAAACAATCGCGAAGGAGGAAAGGTGTAATCGAATCGAGGGGGAGGGTAACCGAGCGCACTCAGGTCTTCATTGCGACGATCTAGCTCTCTATTTGGTGGAGTCAGCAAGTATCGAAGCTAAAGCTGACCAGACTTACTGTTTCACCAGGGCAAACTGCTCAAGATAATGCTTGATCTCAGGCTCTCTGGCTTTGCGTCTTCTTTCTGCTTCCTCTGCCAATGCAATTCGCTCGGTTAATGTTTGGATTTCTGTCTCGGCCTCCGTCTTTTCCAATTTCATTCGGTCTGCTTGGTCTTTGAGATGAGAGTGTGCCGTCTGCAGATTACGATATTTAGTTGCGACTGCGATTCCATATGTGACGAGGCCGAGGAACTGAAACTGAACCACTATTAGTTGCAATTCGCAGAAGACTGCATATTTGGCACCATACCCGTAGCGCGTCCATGCCACCCTCTTTACTATCAAGAGCTACAGGCGGACATTGGAAGAAGTGCTGAGGGATCTCCGAATCGTATTGACCTTTGGAGAAGCCATTGACGGCATACATCTGCTTAAGCGCGCGATTGTTCTGCCTGTTGACACATACCGGACAGACGGCACGGGGTGGTTGTCCAGCGGGATGGAATGGAGGAGCTGTTTTCCACATAAGGTTCATATCATAAGCAGAGAGCGCTCAAGCCTACCTCCACCCTCGAGGTGTTTTGCACATACAAGATGCGCGCATTCGGTCATCCAAAGCTTAGCGATCGGTTTTCGGATACCTTCGAGTTCTTTCTCATCCGGTGAGGGGCTGGGCATGTCACTAATGGAGTCATGGCAGATGTTACAGCTGAAGATAAGGTCAAGTGGCTGAAGATGCTTCGGGGAGTCGGATTCAGTGGCCATGATATTCGATTGTGGTTGCAATTGAACAGGTATGTAGGTTAGCAGAGATCATTGCGAGAGAGACAGATTTCACGCAGGTCGCGACGCTTAGCTTGGGCGTGCCTGCCCGTCTCGACCAAATCGAGGCAAATCTAGGAAGGTGGTGCCTGCCTACGTTGGACACTCTTACAACAGCACGTGCCATGCTTTGTGACAATCAGAACTTTGTCTCTTTCAAGTCAATCGGGAAATTCATAAGAGGCAGTGTTTGAAGGCATGTCGAATTTGGAACGTCTAAGGAAAATAAAATGTACATGTTCGATGCATCTATTCGAAAGTTCTGCAAGGGTAGCTGTAGCGAGTCAGTAAACCTGGCGTGCATGATGAAAGGCACTTGAGGCACGTACTTTGAGGCGTAAGACTGCTCCTTGAGCATCTCATAGCGCTTGGGAGTGGAGGAAGGGTATCTTGAGGTAGGGAATGGAGGCAGTCCGTTGGGGCCCAGCACACTGAGACCAGCCTTGTTGTCCTTTTGGAAGAAGGCCGAAAGACCCTTCTCACCCTCCTCCTTCAGCGAGACCAACTGCTTGGCACCAGCATCGCCAATTTGCAGCACATTCTCCTTGGGATTTTGAGCACTTCCAACAGTCAAGAGGCCGACAACGTCGGGCTGTTTGACAACGCTGAGCTTGGGGTATTGTCTGCGGACGTCGCGCTTCCAGTAAGGGTTCTCGGCAAGGTCGGCGGCAGGAACGGTGGTTGGGTCATCATAGAGCTTGGGGTCCACGGCACCAGGCGAGGGCAGACGGTACTGGGGGTTGAGAGGGACACCCGAGGAGCGCTTGGGGTCGACAGCGAAGAAGTCACCGATGCGCTTCCAGATGCCGGTCGGTTGCACCGTGTATTTCTTGTAGGCGGCGTGTTTGCCGGCAGCCGAAGTGGCCAATTTCTTGAGCTCGGCGACCATGTTGGATGTGAATTGGGTATGCGACGGTCCAAAGGCGACGATGAATTGACGACGACGAGCTTGGCTGATGTTCAAATGCCTTGTCCGGGATTGGATGGGACGTTGTCCGTGCACTCACTTCACTCACATCCACCAATACCAGACTACCACACAAGCTCTATCCAAGAACCCCGGAGCTGTTGTATTGGAGAGGAATTCTCTCTGCTGTGCTTGTGTAGGGAGACCACAAGAATCGAACATATAGTTGCATCATGAGCACCACAACAAGTTCGGTGCGCAGCATCCTGCCACAACTCGAGGCAGCTCTCAAGTCTTTCCAATCTTCTAATTCCAAGTTTCGCATTGTCCGAACTATCAATCCTTCTGCTACAAGTCCGCCCTCTCCAAAGACTCTGTTCATCCTCGATTCATCCTTCAATCCGCCCTCTAAAGCCCACTTGGCTCTTGCCAAATCTGCCTTGCACTCTTCTTCAACAAAGCAGCATCAGGCCCCATACAGGCTGCTTCTTCTTTTCAGCACTCACAATGCCGACAAAGCTCCCTCCGCGGCCTCATTCCCTCAGCGTCTGGCGCTCATGGCCATTTTTGCTGAGGATCTGCTGAAAGATCTTCAAAGCGCCGCCAACCACAAAAACTATGTACTGCCAACCGTCGACATTGGCTTGACCACTGCTCCTTATTACACCGACAAAAGCTTAGCCATCTCAAAAGAAGGCTCCGAGCATTATCCAGACTCTCCCAAACATGTTCATCTTCTGGGCTTTGACACTATTACTCGCTTCTTCGCAGCCAAGTACTATCCTAACTTTAGTCCGCCACTCTCGGCGCTCAATCCTTACTTCGATGCAGGACATCGGCTGCGTGTGACTCTGCGACCTTCAGATGAGTATGGTACGGTTGAATCGCAGCAGGAATTCGTGAACTCATTGGCTAGGGGTGACATGGAATCTGATGGAGGCAAACGGGAATGGGCTTCACAGATCGAAGTGGTACATGCCGAAGAAGGTGTGGGTGTGAGTAGCACGAGGGTCAGAAAAGCAGCTAAGCAACAAGACTGGAACGAGGTTCAGCAGCTGTGCACGCTGGGAGTCGGAAAGGCGGTGATGGAGGACACGATTTACGAAAGCGACGACCGAGGAGCCAAGATGGCCTAAATACTACTCACAAGCATCATGACAATCACTAGGCAATTACAAAGACGCACGCGAGTGTGAACTGGTAAACTTTGGTCTGTCCTTTTGATTTTCGCCCGATATATGCCATAGGCCATCTCGAAATGTCCACGCCATTACCTGGCGTACAGGACGAGTCGAGTAGACTCCCGCGTGATGCTTCGCGTGTGTATGTACCGTAAGAGCCAACGCGGGCGGGAGTCTGACCTTTTGATTCGTATGTTCGTGTCCTAGATACCATGTACAGAGGAGGGCTGAGAAGAGAGCATGCCAGGGCTTGTTATGGAGCCTGGCCGCCGAACGAATCCATTGCTCAGTTGGCAACCCACATGACACAGACGACGACATCCATGCCCTTGGCTTCGCCGCCCTCGTACTTGTAGTTCCAGATGCCGTCCTTCTCGGTGTTCCAGTATGCGCCTGTGGCAGAGTGCATTCCACGGCGACCGACGGTGGCAGTAGAAGCGGTTGCTGATGCGTCGGAGCCAGCGGGACGTGGGTCGGTCAAGTGCTGAATGATGGTGGAGTTCACGGCGAACTTGTACTGGACTTCACCTTTGGATTCGGAGATGAGGGCGGTCAAGATTGATTTCTGTAGAGCGCATCAGATGGCGTCGATTTGGTAGTGGTGGTGTGTAGTGAAGCGTACAATGATTTCAGAGTTCCATTGCTCGGTCTGGGCGTGGTTGTATGTGGTGGCACTGCTGAAGGCATTGTTGCAAGCCTGTTCAGTGTCAGTATGTACAGCGTCAATTGCTTCGTGATCGGGGCGCATACGTCGGCAGCGATCTGGCTGAGGCGGGTTTCGGTAACAGGCTAGATAACAAGGTCAGATGGGAAGCGTCGCGTGCGGGACGGCCATAACGTACGCAGGTGGACATTTTGACGTTGATGGCAAGAGGAGTGATATGCGATTAGTGAAGTGGTACGCGACAGTGAAGTGTATTGGTTGGCTTTGTTTACTATCTGTGATGATGACCCTTAAGTTAATGGCAGCGGAACATTACTCCCGCACGCGTCCGAGCTTCACAGTATAGCTGCTGAAATGCACACTAGTTTTCGTGCTGGAGGTGTAGCCAGTGAAATACTCTAATATTACTTGGTCTCTGTGGAAATCGTTCCTTTACGCAAGGGTTCATGCGTTTTTATAGCTGGAAATAACCATATCACCGTTGGAGAGAAAGCTTACTAGAAGTGTGAGCAGTAAGGAAGCGTGGGCCTGTGGGGTTTTGGTTTGCCTCGTGCAAGACTGAATGTGACAATAGAAACAAATAACAAGCATCTATTGTTCTGATAGGTAGAATCAACTCTCCTGCTACTTGTGTGTATTACAGACAAGGACCATTCATTGACTAGGAGCATTTACATTTACATACTCTGCCCTGCAGTCATGTCTCACTCGTGTAAGCTGCGAGAACGTCTGGGGTTGGACAAGCGTTCGAGCAACGATACACGAAACCACACAGCAAATGAATGTATACAGCAGCTGCCATCTCAACTTAGCCATGGAAGACTGCTGAGCTAGGTCACTACTGAGCGAATGAGCACTTGCAAAAGATCGGTTGACCTTTTAATATCGCGACGAAGAAAATCAGGCATGTCGCTCGTAGAAAGGATCCTGACCAATCACACGGCGCACGTGTCAGATCCTAACCCAGCGTCATGCTCGAGCATTTCACTGCATCAATTGATTGCATCTTTTTTCTTCGCCAGTCCTTCTGAAAGCTCAGCTATCCATTGACGACAGTCTTGTGCACTACCTGCAACTCCTACGGCCAATTCGACCCCTTGCTCACCTCACATCGCCATCATGTCGTCGCAACCACTTCTCCAAACCGCACCTGGTATACAACCCCCATCGAAGCCTGCCGAGACCCAACGAGCTCAAATACTGACTCGATTTGTGAACAGGCAAGCGCATCGCCCTGCCCACCCGCGTTGAGCCCAAGGTCTTCTTCGCCAACGAGCGTACCTTTCTCAGTTGGCTGAACTTCACCGTCATCCTGGGCGGTCTCGCTGTCGGTCTCCTCAACTTTGGCGACAAGGTCGGCCAGATCTCTGCTGGTCTCTTCACTCTGGTCGCCATGGCCACTATGATCTATGCCTTGGTCACTTTCCACTGGAGAGCAAAGAGCATTCGTCTGAGAGGTCAGAGCGGTTTCGATGACCGCTTCGGCCCTACTGTTCTGGCCATTGCCCTGTTGGCCGCTGTCATTGTCAACTTTGTGCTTCGTGTCACCGGAGCTGGTGGCAGCCACAAGTGAGAGCTTCAATGGCCTGCGGAAGCGACCAAGACATAAAAATCGTCACACTCAAGACACAACAACCACAATATAGACTGGCCAACGAGCTGCATTTCAGCCGTTGTCCCACCACCGCGTGGTCATTTTGTATCGTTATGATATCTATACTGAGATTCCCCGAACAATTATCGGCGTTCTGGAGCGGGGTCCTTTGCATGTATATTGAAAGGCAATTCGGAGTATGAATGTACATAATCACAAGAACGAGGCGTTGGATGCCGTCCTCAAAACAGCCGTACTCTATATTTCGTCATTTACTCGTCTCTATTATCTAGCGAATCTGATCTTATCATGGGAAGAACTCGGAGCGAATCAGTTTTGAATCTCGTCTTCCTTCCAAGCACCAACTTTTCTTCCGCCTTCCTTGCGCTTGACTCTGCACCACATGCCGACTTCCTTGTCCATGATGAATTGCCAGATGACACCAACCCAGCTGCGGTGGTAGGGAAGGTCCTGGTAGAATTCCTTGGCAATCTCGTTGACCTTCCAGAGTCTGGTCCAAGGAATAGCAGGGAAGTCGTGGTGCTCGTTGTGCAGTCCAACATTGTAGGTCAAGAGGTTGAGAGGTCCATAGTAAGAGAAAGTCTCGGGGACCGGAATACGTTGCTTGGGATCGCGCGCCTGCTTGTTCTCAAGGGAGGCACGGTCGAAGACGTAGTGCTCGGCAATAAAGTGACCAGCCACAGGGTGCAAAGATCCGGCCAAGAAGCTGCTCAAGATGAAGTATCCAACAGCCTTGCCTCCCCATGACTGGATAAGGATGTAATCGAAGAGAAGCTGGACAGCAATGTTGAGGGCGTGGATCTTTGTCAGAGGGATTTGGTAGACCATCATAGGTCGAAGAGCGTAGAACAGGATCTGGAAAGTGCAAAAGAAGGCCTTGCCAGCAATGGAGTCGAGGAAGAAAGCCTCGAGAGCGGTAGGCAAGTCGGTATCAAGGCCATCGACACCGAGTGATTTGTGATGAGTCAAGTGGTAGGGCTAGTTGAGAAGTTAGTGCTAGTTTGTGGAACAAAGCATTGGAAGCAGACATACTCTGAAAGAGGCCGAGTACGGAATGCCGATGGGCAGGTTGGCGACGATAGCAAACAGGCGGTTCGCCAGACCAGATTTGAATGCAAGGTTATGCGAGATTTCATGGATGGCCAGGAAAAGGTTCTGGTTGGCAGTGGCACCAATGATGTAGGCGGTGAGCCAGAATCGCCAGGACCAGAAAGGAGTGTTGCTGAGAAGGTAGGCACATGTGCATTGGAGGCCTACCACTGCGAGGACAAGGGGAATCGTCAAAGGCTCGGGTCCGCACAATTTGAGCACCTGTAGGCAAGGTCAGCTGGGTTCAAGGAACTGCCAATCAGGAGCAGCGACTACCTCTGGATGTGCCTTGATGATGGCCATGCGGCGGGAACGGTGGGGTTCCTCTGTGTAAGACCAGAAGAATTGGTCATCTTGGTCCTGTTGCTTTGACGGCGCCGGGTCGCTAGAGCTCTTCATGTTGACACGGAGTGTGGGTGACTGCTCGCCCGCGAGCGTCGTGGTAGTAGCGATCGTGCTGGCGGCCATTGCTACTCGAGTTGATTGACAGGAAAGAAAGGACTGGACAATGGCACGACAGATCAAACACGAAGCATCCTGCGACTTTTAACAGACAGTGCTCCGCCTCGCTCACGCTGTGGAGAAGGGTCTCGTACCTTGTACGCGTAAAGTTCCACCTTTTCAAGGGGAACCTCCTGAGATCACCCGGTCGAGGCCTGCCCATTCGCCGCCAGCTCTAATCATTGCTAGCTGGGTGACCCTGCTTGGAATATATCTAGTCCGTAGTACCATCTCCAACCATTGAATCAGACATTGAAAGTTACCGAAATATGAGCATTCTTCCACAGAATCCCAATCAAGAACTCCCGTCACTCTTACGCTCCGTTGAGAGCGATGAATAGAAAGTTCTTGAAAGCTCTTGTGCATATATCACAATCTAGTAGTACCAACATGACACTCGCCCCTGGTCATGACAAAATGATATCTTCATTTCGACAAAGATCGATGTTACTACACGTATGAAGAGTAGTGCGATACTCTAACGTAACCTAGTAGCGCATTGCTGAGTGACAAAAGACAATCAGTATTTGAGGCATTATAAGGTTGAGAATTCGTCCCGAGACGTTGAGAACACAGTATGACTTGGCAGGCGTGCTAATCATTTAACGGACATGACCAAAGACGTGCATCTTGATATCCAAATTCCACACAGCGTGAACTCTGTGGTTCATCTGGTGTATGAGCATTCGGTGACCGTAGAGCAGCGCAGATGATCGAACATTCCACCATGACCCACAACAGAAGGCGCATCTACTCTGTCTGACCGCCACAAAGCCAGCATGCTCAACGACGATATTACGAATGGTATATTAGCCTAGCCTTCATCCCTTCAGACCGTCACCATGGCGAGCATCGTACCAAAGACCATCAATCCCGACGAAGAGATCGAGACATCGGATCTCGAGACCAGTTCAGCCGCAAAAGGCCCACATGGTCACGAGCCGGCGCATGACAGTGAACCATGCCAGAATCATACATCAGAAGCACACGATGACTTGAATATCTCGGGAATCACTGCTATGGATCATGCTGACAAAGATGCAAACGGCCATGCGAAGGACGAATACGCGTCCACACTAGATCTTGATGGTGCTGCATCACAGGAACGCATTGTAGAAGATGCCGAGCCTATGGCATCCGACGTCGAGTCCACACACAAGAGTGTTAATGGCCAAGCAAAGAACGGATCTCAAAACCCCAACCAGCAACAACCAACTCTCCACAGAATGCACAAATTCACTTTGTATGAGACGAATGCTCGATATTGGATCACCGGCTCAGATATCACGGACAAGTATTACAAGCTTTTGAAGATTGACCGCACCGCACCTCCAGGTCAACTATCAGTTTTCGAGGATGAAATTGTGTATAGCAAAAAGGAGGTTACACAACTTCTTACCACAATCGATGATGGCAACAAGGCTACTGGAGGACTACGTGTCAAGTGTAGCTTCTGGGGCATTCTGGGCTTTATCAGATTCACAGACTCCTACTACGTCTTGCTTATCACCAAGCGACAGCAAGTTGCTATGATCGGCGGCCACTACATCTACCAGGTCGATGGTACTGAATTGTTCCCGCTAACTGTCGGGGCTGGCTCTCGATTTGCCCGCGAACGAAACGCTGAAGAAGGTCGTTTCTTGGGAATCTTGAACAACCTCGACCTTACACGGTCATTTTACTTCAGCTATTCCTACGACATCACGCGCACACTGCAGTACAATATCATCCGACAGCGAAATGCGCTCAACCAGGGCATTCAGCAACCCGGTCATGCTTACGACGACATGTTCGTGTGGAACCATCATCTCCTGAGCCCGGCAGTGAAATACCTGAAGAATGCCTTCGACTGGTGTCTACCTATCATACATGGTTTCATCGACCAGTCATCTCTGGACGTTTTTGGACGCACCATTTACATCACGATAATTGGGCGCCGATCACGCTTTTTCGCTGGTGCACGCTTCCTCAAGCGTGGAGCCAATGATCTTGGATATGTGGCCAATGACGTGGAAACCGAACAAATTGTCTCAGAGATGCTTACAACCTCGTTTCATGCTCCCGGGCCTAAGATGTTCTCGAATCCAAACTACACCTCGTATGTTCACCACAGAGGCAGTATTCCCTTATACTGGACGCAGGATAATAGTGGCGTCACTCCCAAGCCAGACATAGACGTCAACATGACAGATCCGTTCTATCAGCCGGCAGCTATGCACTTTGACAATCTGTTTAAACGCTATGGGTGTCCGGTCTATGTTCTGAACCTGATCAAGTCTCGCGAGAGGACACCGCGAGAGTCCAAACTCCTTACAGAATTTCAGAACGCTTTGGCATATCTCAACCAGTTCTTGCCTGACGACAAAAAAATACAGTACAAGGCCTTCGACATGAGTAGGGCTGCGAAGACAAGAGGTGGAGACGTTATTGGTACCCTTGAGGTGATTGCAGAGGAAATTATGCAACAGACCGGCTTCTTTCACAATGGAGAGTCAGAAGACGGGTTATCTCAAGTGCAGAATGGCGTGGCTCGCACGAACTGTATTGACTGTCTGGATCGCACCAACGCAGCTCAGTTCGTCATTGGTAAGCGTGCTCTAGGACACCAACTACGAGCACTAGGCGTGATACCGACTGCAGATATGGAGTACGACTCCGATGCGGTCAACGTCTTCACACATATGTTTCACGATCACGGAGATACCATAGCCATCCAATATGGCGGATCTCACCTGGTCAACACCATGGCCACGTACAGAAAGATCAACCACTGGCATAGTCAATCAAGAGACATGGTGGAAAGCTTCAAGCGCTATTACCACAACTCGTTCCTCGACTCCCAACGGCAAGAGGCATACAACTTATTTCTTGGAAACTACATATGGGCACAGGGTCAACCCATGCTTTGGGATCTCTCTACGGACTACTACCTGCATCATACGGATCCCAAAAAATGGCTGGATCGTCCTCGTAAAAGCTACATACATTGGTTCACGCCAGAGCACCTTGAGCGCCGAGTACTGCCGCCAAAGGCTCAGCGCAGTCAAATTACAAGACAAAGCCAGCATCCGGCAGAATACGACGACTACTGGCTGGAGTACTACAGACCTCTTGCTGTGTCTTCGTTTGTCAAGGTCTATTCTTACAAGATGAACACGAACCATCGATTCCTGCCCGAACGGCCAAGCAAAGACACAAAGTACGATTTCAGCCCTTTCACTCCTCGCATCGACCTGAGTAGAAACTCGCCCGACTCGCCAGAGAAGAAACCTCCGCGTAAGGGTGTGAAGATCGTAGATCCACAGAGCGAAAGCGAGGTGGGAAACCAGCAGCCTGGTAAGAGTGCTGCTGTGACAACCATGCCAGAGGGCATTTTACGAGACACAACAGCGGAACGTACGGCAGCAGATCCGGAGAACCAGAAGTCGGTCAAGATTGCAGATAAGGCTGCGATTACACAAATGACTCTGAACCGTATCTACGAACACTCTCTCAACCCTTCCGTCACGGCCGAAGAGACGAATGAATACGAACGTTACATCACACATCCGACCAAGATTCCACTGGTCGTCTCGACCGAGCTACCACCAGAGACGACTCTCAACCTTGACTTTGTGGACTATGTCAACAGTGGAAAAGCGAGCGTTGACTCTGGTGATGAAGGCAGTAGTGGTGTACTGGAGCCCAGTGAAGAAGACTTGGCTGAGTTTGCCGATTTTCTGACAGTCAGAGAAGATCCATTGACTGTTTGGGAAGAAGATGGAGGGAAGAAGAGATACAAAGCATATCGCCAATGGCTCAAGGGCAAGAGTCTGTTCAAGCAAAGTAAGGTGGATCCGGAGTACCGACCGTAAGATTCAATTGGCTCTCAATCAGTGTATTTCGTGCACTTTATGCTGTGTAGACTAATGATATACCAATATCCTATCTCCAAGACCCACGAAAACTTGTAAAGATATATCTGTCAATCTTGGTGTTTTGTCCTCTGCCTGGTACTGCTAAAAAAGGAGCTCAGATTGCCGCAGCACGTTGATGTCGAGATCTCGAAGTGTCAAAGGGGCCTATTCGAAATTCTGGTTCTGGTAGGATTGACGTGCGAGGGGAGACATGTACTCGTTGTCAAATCGAGTCACAGAGGTGTCATCACTGATCACCGGCGAATCGACAGGAGACTTCTGTCCGGGACTAGCCTCGACTTCAGGAGTAGTTGAGTTTGTCAAAGCTGTGTTGAACATGTCCAGACGGAAAGGAGAATCAAGAGCAGAAGGAGTCATGACATGGTTGTTGCCGTAGGTACTCTCTGGCTTGACCTGTGCGAATGCATTGAAGGCGTCAGGACGAGGGGCTGAGTTGTAGCCGTGGTATGAAACAGGGGGCCGATTGTTGTTGGTGGACTTGTCGGTGTCGCTGCGCTCGTGGACATAGGGGCTTGAGGTGCTTGCGTGGCCGTAGCTACGGAAGTTGAAGGGAACGGCGTTGGTAGGAGGAGCTGGTGTATGCTGGTCGCCTCCATATCCATAGTCTCTGCGCTCCATCTGGACTGGACCAAAGTATGCCGCTCTGTGCTGAGTAGTGAGATGGGAAATGTTTTGAGGCATGGCCACTGTTACCCCTTCGTTCGAGCTAGGATATGAGGAAGGAACAACGCTCAAGCTGACTGCTTCGGATTTGACAGCACCTTCCATGTCGACAGACGTGAGTGATTCCTGCAAATCGCGATGAGAGTCGTCGATCTCGTTCTTGAAGGAGGTGGCACCAACTTCATGAGTTCCAGCGTTTACCATTGCATCAGCCTCCTGCTCATCAGTGCACTCCTCCTTCTTGCCCCAGAAGTCATCATCTTCATTCTTGATCATTGCAGTGTCTTCGTCCTTGATCAAGGTGCCGTCTTCGTTCTTGATCATCAACCCTTCCTCACGCTTGATGCGCATCATGCGGGCGTGGAAACGTTGCATCAATGGCACATCGTCAAGAGATTCGTCATCATCGTCTTCGCCATCGTGAGCGTACATCTTGTCCTTGGCTTTGAACGGGTTCAGTCGACGCTTTCGATCCTTTTCCTTGAAGCCTTCTTTGCTAGACTCTGCCTCGAGTGCTTGACGGAGACGCATCAAGCGCATGCGAGCAGCCGGAGCCTTAATCTGGAAGTAGGAAGCGACCTCATGAAAATCGACCTGGAACAGAGTCAGCAAGATAGTCATTGTTGGCATGACCTGGGTGTGTGATGACATACGGTACTGAAGTTTGAGTGCTTGAAGCAGATGTACAGAAATCGCAGATTGAGCTCAGTATCAATCTTTGCAGGCATCTTGCTGGTTGATGGTGATGGATTATGATTATGTGTGCAGAGTTATCGATGTGAGATGTAGTATTCAATCCTAGAGCTCGTTGCAGCCACCTTAAGTAGACATCAACGTGCTATATCATGCTACAAATGAACGCTGCCAGAATCTTCGTTCCTTGTCAGACAGACAATGGACTGGCAGGCGAATGAGTGGACGTATCTTTTGAGACCACTGTCGACTGCTTGTCATCAAGCCGAGTAAAGTTCGTCTATTCCAGCAATGTACCTTGAAATCTCAAAAGGCAAGGGTAATGCAGGCCAAATTCTCATTCAGCACTAACAAACATGTGCAAACTGAAAACCAGAATGAGATGGCACCATTCAATGGGAAAGATCAGGCCACACATACAAAGGAGTAGCATTCTATACCAACCTTCGTGTTTTGACACAATGATAGTTGTTTGCGGGTTATGAAGACTGGTTGCGAAGGTCTCTGCAGAGCGTAAGCTGATCCAAAAGCAGTACACATGACTGCAAAGCATGGAGGACAGATAGAAGCAGGCCAGCCTGCTTGCATCCTGGAGCCTTTTCAGGTCATTGACTCATCATGTTTGCTGCGTAAGACCTTGTGCAATGAGGCCTGAGAAATCTACACCGGCTTCGCCTAGGACGGCAGCCTGTTCTCGAACGACATCAATGCACTCGTTCCACAAGGGACTTCCTCGTTCCACGCTACTGAGCTGTCGATTCAAGCTCTCGTTGAACTCGTCGATTCGTTCTTTGGCCCACTTGACAACTGCCGATGACGATGTCGGAGGGAATGATGACGAAAAAGTGCGCAAAGTATGTAGAATGATCGCAAACGTGACATAGGAGAGTGCAGTCAGGTGTGGAGGCAGAGATCCGGTGAAAGGAATTTGTCTAGGGGCTGTTAGCGATTGGAAGCAAGTAAGCACAAGTACCACGAACCTAGCTCTTTTCCGAAGAACCTCCTTACGAGATTCTAGGTAGGTGGATCGAGCCGACTCTTCGAATCCGAGCCTCATAAGCCAACCGACATTTTCCTTAGTAGCGGCCGCACCGGAGTTGGTATCTTTCAATCGCCTAGCCAGCATGGTAGCCAACTTAGCGCCACGTTGGTCTAGCTTTGAGAGGATAATATCCTGAACAACATTGTTGCCCTTGATATTCTTTGCCAACTTGCGCAACTTTTCGCTCAAAGCAACAGCATCATCAAAATGCTGCAATGCTATACTAAGATCTAGTGCGTCTACCTGGTTCTCGACCCAACGTAGAGTTTGCTGTTTGCCGTCGACGTCGATGAGCGTTGAGGAAGAATTTAGCGTGGTGCTATCTGTGCTTTGAGCCGAAGCTTTCTTGTAGAATCGAGATTGGCCTGTCAGGAAAGCAAGTTCATCCATGGCGCGATCCCGATGGTCTTGATCTGCAGCCAAGGTCTTGCGAAGATCTTCGACCGATTTACGGAAATGGACGAGCAAGGTATTAACCTCTGTGCCGCCGTCGGACGCACTGGATGAAGCCAATGTCCAAGACTCGCTCCCAATGCGCACGTTGAGGGCAGTGGTTATATTATGTCGATCATCAGAAGCACGTGTGGATATGTCAGTCATTTGAATATCTTGAAGAGGCCAGCATCTCTCGGCGACGAGTTGGGTTTGTGTCTGAGCCTGCTGATAGACCGAAGCACGTTTACTCTGGGGGCTGGAGTTCATTCCAGGAGGATCAAAACGCTTCTTTTCACTAGCCAAGAGCAAGTGGTCGTTGAGGAGGATGACATGAACACGCCGACGGGGCTTCCAAGTGGCAGCGTTCAATTCTAGCCAGCGGCCAGATTCGTATACGATATGACGTCCTGGCACAGCAGGAAGAAACTTTTGAGAGCCCTCGACGCGTTTCCACATGGCCTGCAAGTGGGTGGACCATAAGGCTTCGAGGTTAGCAACACTGCTACGATTCTGACGCTTTCGACTTTGTTGTTGTGCATTCTGGTCCTCGTGGTTGGAGCCAGCAGAGGTAGCATGCGACAATACGCCAGTAAGTTCGGACATTAGAGCTCTAAGTGTATGCATCTCGGACTTGAGCTTGTCGGCTTCATTGGAAATGTGAATGAACTGGGTACGGTTTTGGTAGACATTGTGTTGTAAGTCTGTCGAGGTGCGGTTCTTGAGCTTGCGCAGGTCCTGCTGATAGGCGTGGATATCGGACTCGGAGGCGTCTTGCAGCAGAATGCTCACATATTGGTCGGGCTGGAGGTCGGGATCGCGCAGGGCATTGACGTCGACTCTGATGCGTTCGCCACGGCGGTCGGGCGAGCGATTGGGACGCGATTGGGCGAGGTGGGCAGGGATGTTGGGTACAGAGGGAGCTCGTTCGGCATCTTGGGGATAGTTGGCGAAGCGGGTCGAATAGCGACGCTTGACTAGGTCGGCGGTACGGTCAGGACCACCCAGCGAGGGTCTCGGACGGGGTAGGGCAAGGCTGGTCTGGCTCGTCTGACTGTTGTTGCGAGGGGCAGTATCCGAGGAGTGGGAGTGCTGCAGCGGCGGAGGATGCAATGAGGGCGTCGAGTCGTTCTGCTGTGCAGGGACTATCTGGCGGGGGGCGCTGATCTGAGGACGTTTGGTCGTCTTCTTCTTGCGCAGCGAGACGATGCCCTTGGCCTTTTCCGACATGTTGGACTACTGAGGCCGACAATGAGTTGTGGCTTCCGAAGGGTAGTGCCAGGGTGAGCGGCTGGCCCTTGGTGTTTGGGGAGACGCGACTGGGCTGGAGGCTGAAGCTAGGCAGTGACGCGGGCCGACGCGGGCTTGGTTGGACTTTGATGTGGAGAACCTGGCAAGTGCAAGATTCCATGAAGCTGCTTGAGAAAAGTCCATCATCAGTCGCCCACCACACGTGCATATCCACAACTCACGGCCATCTGTCGCCCGCCCTCGCACAACAACCTGCGCCTGTCCCCTCCCGCTTCGTCTAAGAAACTCACACACATCTCACCATGGCCTCAACAACACCCTCCTCAGGCGTCCAGACGTCGACCATCGTCCTCGCAACCCTCGGTACCGTCACCACTGCTGCCCTCGCATACGCCGTCTACTTCGACTACAAGAGACGATCCGACCCTGCCTTCCGCCGCTCGCTCAAGCGCCAACAGAAGCAGGTCTCCAAGGCCGCCAAGGACGAGGCTGTTGCCGCCGAGAAGGGCCAGAAGGAAAAGATCCGCCAGGTTGTCGACACTGCCAACGACGAAGGCTTCCCCACCGACCCCGAGAAGACCGAGGAGTACTTCATGACAGAGGTCGCCCGTGGTGAGCAGATGTGCCAGGATGGCTCCGACCCCGTCGATGCCGCCCTTTGCTTCTACAAGGCCCTCAAGGTCTACCCTCAGCCCAGAGAGCTCATCAACATCTACGACAAGACTGTCCCCAAGGTACAACCTCCACCACGCCTCCGCCACCTACCACTCGTATACTGACACACCACAGCCTATCCTTGATATTCTCGCCGAGATGATCGCTGTCGACAGCAGCATAAAGGTCTCCTCTGCTGCTGCTCCCGAGTCCGAGCCCGTCGAGTGAATCCCGTTCTCGTCCACATAGATCCTCTCCACGACACCTCCCTTTTCCTCATCCTCCTCTTCATGCCTGTACCATCACCTCATTCTGTACATATACCTCACGTCTTGGGTCTCGAAATCTTGCAAATCAGTCCTTTTTTCCCATTAATTGGTTTAAAGCTTTCTCCGAATGCTACCCTTCGTAAAAATGTTTTTGTCTTCCAATAACGCCACGCTCTTGTCAAATCCATAACCATTTGTCTATGCAACCAGATCGCCCACACCTTCAGGCCAGTTGCCCCAAACCAATGCTCGATCGCCCCACCTGCTGGGATGCGGTGCCAGGAACCGTACCTTTTTCCTCGTTTCATCCACCTCGGCTACGTAAACAAATCCCATGACACAACTGTCGCGCACATTATCCAGTGACGAGTTGCCCGAGCAGAACTTGACTGACAAGATTGCATTGACCATTCCTTGACTTGGTGTCACCTTCTCCAGCGATGTTGTAGGACCTTGACCAGCCGCTGATTCGTCATCGTAGTCCATACCAGGCATGAAGGACGATTGTGCATGTGATACAGAAGGATCGACTGCCTTGTAGACAGTCAAGTCGCCAAAGTCCCACCATTGGCCATGTGGGTTCAGTGATGTCCTGCTGTCGCCAAAAAAGTAGTTCTTAATTTGTTGCTGACGAGCTTGACGCATAAGTGCCTCATCTCTGGCCACGGCGCCGCCTGACTTTGATATGCGAAAGACGTGAACCACATCTTCCGAGCTCTTGGGGCTGGCGAATTTGCGTAATAGGTCGTTGTACAATCTCTCCGAGCCTAGTGTGAGGACGAGGTTTATGCTGAATTCTGATATGATATGCATGAGGAGATCGTAGCCGCCTTTTGGTTGGTTGACACTTCCAGGTGTGTCGATAATGATGCCATTCTGCTTTGCCTCGTCGTCTTCCTCGAGTCTGCTTGTAACAGCCAGAGCAGCGCGTGTGACCAGAGGTTTGAACATGCGCGTGTTATCTTCGGGAGACGCAAAAGGGAAATGGTAGACCAGCGGTGTCTTGACAGGCACTCCAGTAGGACCAGAAACCGGACTGCTGCCCCAGCCATCTTCGACATCCAGCATGCTGCCCATTGTGACTGCACTTAGACTGCCGGGGATGCTGAGTAGGCCTTCACGCGGATCCATATTGACGACCGTCGGTGTCCTTCCCATCTTCAAGCTCCATGCGGTCAAGCACTTGAGCAAACTCGTCTTTCCGCTATCATCAGGGCCCACGATCAGAACGCGAGGGCCGCCATTGCTGTCCCTGCCAACCCCAGCGTCGTCGCGCGCCGTCTCCAGCATGCCGTGAACGTTCAACCATTCCACCATTGCCTCTGTTTCGGATCCGACATATTCGCTGTCGACCTCTCCCTGCAGCTCCAAGGTGCAGCCATGCCATGTGAAGACGGCGCCTTTTGTTCCGCTGAAAGTGTAGGTCGTACTAGGCGCTAGCTCGCTGCCAAATATCTCTGCTGTTCCTCGTACTAGGCGTATGCGGTATAGTTTGGCAAAAGCGACCTCGAAACGTAGTTCTGAGCGTGCGGGCAGCTCTTCGGTTCGTGGAGGCGCATGCGACGCAGCGTCCGGTTGCGGTGTCGCCGTCGATGGCGCCGAGAGGGACAGACCAGGTAAAAGCGACATCGAGAGCGACGTAAGATTGGGTATGGTGTTGTTGCTCGAGCCAGAGTGGTATGTATCGGCGCAGCTTCAGATGGTGGGGGTTTGGTAGAGGCTGAAATTTGCTGCACAATTCAAGCACGACAATAACATTACTCAATTGATTGTTTTGCTTTTATTCCGCATGTTATTGGAGTGAAGCAACTAATCAGAGTTTGCCTTCGGATACTCCGACAAGCAGTTCTACTTAGAAAACAGCCGTCACTCATGCTAGAGTTCAGCTCCCTCGTGGCCGACTTGCTTCATCAACTTCTTCAAGACCTTGCGGACACTACGTATACCAACCAGCATATTCTCGTCTGGGCCTTGTCCGGGTGTCCATTCTGCATGAGCAAAGTCGATCATTTTGATGTCAAATAGCTTTGGGCCAGCTTGCTCATCCTCTTCGTCGTCATCATCTTCATCGACTTCTTCATCTTCTTCTCTCTTTCCTGCTTGGCTCTTGACTAACACGTCGTCCGAGTCTCGATGCTGTGCCATTTGTGCAATGGCAGAATTAAGAGCCTCCTTCCGCGCATGCGGATCTCCTTCATAGACGAACAGCAAGCTCGCTGAATACATCCGACTCTCTTGGTTCGCGATGATCTGTTCTATAGATTCAACAGCCTCCTCGATATTACTGATGATGTCTTCAAGAAGCTCTGAAGATTCTGTCTTCTGGTCAAGACAGAGGAAGGTTGAGAAAGCATCCTTTACGTTGACCGACGTCAAATTTCGACCGTAGAATTTGTCGAACACTTTGTACTCTCCTGAGCCTTCGGGATGCCATACCTTCATGCCCGCTATCCTGAAACCGAGCGAACCACTGGTCGTCTGAGACGCGACATTGTCCAACTTGGTACGTTTGGCGGGTGGTGCATCATCTGCCCACAGTCGTTTACCCAACTTCACATCGACGAAATTGGGCTTTTTGAAGCCAGCCAGTACGTTTTCCAAGACAATGGCAAGTCCTGTGTCCAGTTTCTTCCCTCGTAGGGGATTACTCGGGTCGGCTAGATCTTTTGTGTCCTTGACTTCTGATTCATCTTCTAAAGCGGCGGGTAGAACAATTGCTTCATTGCCAGTAGAATGAGAAGCGGCGGTGGTGAGATGGTTTTGGAGTTCTTGAGACTGACCACGCTGTAGACTACCCATGAAGGTCGGCATCAGTTGGGCGAATTCTGGGTGCTCAGCGTTGGAAACCTCGTAAAATTCCACCTCAGCAGCAACACATGGTTTGATGACCAGACTACCCGATTCGTCTGACATGACGCCGTCGCTAATGTCTGGTCAGTCTTGTGGCCTTTATAGACTTCAACCGGGCGCAGACACTTACTGGCCAGCTGCGACATTGTCGAAGGCGACGAGGGAGTCCCATTTCAGGCCATGATCCGCCATTGTTTATCTGTTGTCGTGAGACTTGGGGAAACCGTGAGCTGTGGATGTACGTCGGGTGGCGCTCTGCGGACAAGTGACACATCAGCCACAATCGTGGCGCACTCCAGCTCTTCGCATATACTCCATGCCTGGCTATAGAACTTATTGGCGCATTCTTTCACTCATTGTCTCGACTGCAGCCTTTCTTGCGGTAGCAGTGAGACACTGAGGTATGGCATAGTGCTGTACACCAGTGCCCCCAAAAGAGCTGTTTGATTTGGTTCTCTCAAGATGTTGAAGAGTTTATACCTTCATTTCAACTTTCTCCTTCTGGGCACCTCTTAACTGAGATGAACAAGTACGATTCCTTCGAGAAATGCCAGGACAGCATAGTGTCTGTAGATTGAATGTCTACCCCTGTGTTCCTTCACCGCAGTTGCCTACCAATAATCTTTGTGACACGTCCAATCCCAGCCTGCGTCTTCCCGCTTTGCGTCGACTGATTACTGCTTCACTTCGGATTGCAAGCTAGTTTGTCATTTCTCGTTTGTCTTCCATCTAATAGCTACACTTTCTCACCTCCAGCCTTTGTTCTTTGCTTTGCGACTTGTTCGAACTCTCTTTTCTTCTCCACATCCCTCTTACCGGTCTTCTGCTGCATCGTTCACCAGATACCGAGTTCACCATGGAACCCACTGAGAACACTCCTCAAGAGAACATTGAGGTCAGCTCTAATGCTCAAGCTACAAGCGATCTTCAAGCACCGCAACATGTAGAGCATCCTCAAGGAGAAGAAATTGTGAAGCAGGCAAGTTCCATTGCTCCTCATCCACACACATCCACTTCCATCTTACTGTTAACAGGTTGAGTACTACTTTTCCGATGAGAACCTCCCCAATGACGCATACCTTCTCGACAAGATCGCAGGCAAGGAGAATAAGCCTATTGAAATCAAGAAGATCTGCCAGTTCCCCAAGATGCGCAAGTACAAGCCCTACAGATCTGTTGTGGAGTCGTTGAAGAAAAGCACCATGCTTGAGGTTATCGACAACAAGTACATCAAGCGTAAAGTTCCACTCACCATCGAACACATGGCCCCTGAAAAGATCAAGGCGGTATTGGAAGAAGAGCAGAAAAAGAAGGGTTTCAACAGACCTCCTCCTGACCAACCATGGATGACAAAGGCAATGGTCAGTGTTTCAGTGTTCCTTATTGCAGGGACGACGTCTGACTATGCGTGCAGATGAAACCCACGGGCTTCGAAGAGTTCTATGCGGATGCGCCTGTCACTCCTGCTGCATTCAAAGAGGAGCAGTCGCTGTACGACCAGTACGCCCTTTCCTTCAGCCCCTCGTATGCTAACAGACTGCTAATCGCTCTCTTAGGGACATTTCGTTCGAAACGTGAGTCACAGGATCAGTGTTCAGGAGCTCCCACACTAACCTTGCCTTAGACGTATCGAGACAGCCATTCAGCGTTACCGCGCTCGACGCAAATTCCATCAACAGACTGCTCAGGTGTTCAATAAGTTCATGACATATGGTGGTATCGAGGCCGGGCCCAAGATGTTCGGTGGGAACGACAACAGAGACTTGTCTGAGATGGACGCCGCAGACATCGCTGCTGCGACCGCTATACATTTTGTCTCAGAGGACGTTCTTTACACAGACAGATGGGAGGTGGACTTTGCTGGGGTGGCAAAGGGATTTCTGTAAGTCATGGCGACCTGTCCACAATCAGCAGCAGCAGCTGACAATGTCGTAGGTCCTGCCATATCATGACCGAGCTCGAGAGCACTTCAGGCCAGGCCGACATCGCAAGAGTCACCAATGTTATGCGCAACTTCTACAACTACTTGCTGCACCACAACGTCTGCCCGGAGTTCGAGAGCCAGATCCAGGCTGCGCGCAAGGTCTGTGACCTCGCAGACGTTGAGCTCTTCAACGTAGTGGTTGCCAAGGAGAGGCTCCCAGGTCCTTTCAACACAGCCGTCTCGGCTACGCATGGCGGAACTGTCGCAGGCGTGTACAACGGCGAGCATGACTGGGAAGACGCTGGCACCATCAAATGTACTCTGCGAGATTGCCAAGATATCGTCAAGTTCGCCATCTCTGCCTACGGATCTGAACAGCAATATGACAAGCTGAGCGACGTGGGCAAGTTCCAGACTGTCTATCAAGAACAAATAAGCCTGGAAGTGACAAAGGTCGAAATGGCCGACGAAGTAACGCGTGCACTCTATGATGCAGCTCGAGAGAGGAAGTCATTCCTCGCTGCCCTCGGTAAGCTTCATTGTCGTCGCTGGACCTATCCACTCGCACCCAACTTCGATCATTCGGACGAAGCGCTCAGACGACAGCAGACCGAACACACAATGACTCTGTGGGTTGAGGAGAACATCTTGCAATACTGTGCTGTCGGCATGAAGATCGAGGGAGAGGTGCGCGAGCTTGACATTGGTATCAAGTGGCTGGACAGTGTCCGTGCCATCAGCCCTTCATTTTTTGAATGGCTTCCAAACGAATTCTATAAGGAGGAGAAGGTTATGAAGGCCGAGAGCGAAGCACAGCAGCATAATAACCAGATCAACCAGACCGACGTGGGAGAGACCGAGGATGTCGTTGAGGAAGTCTCTCAGACTGAGAGCGCTTGAGAAATCTAGCTCCAATGGGACGCAAACAAGATGGCGGGCGAGATCTGACTGATGCGAAGAGTCAAACGAGCAGACTTCTAGGCCAATGAATAGCAGAAAAATGTTTTACAGACTACAGGATACAAAGCAAGAGTCGTGCATGGTGGTTCAAATAGGAATGACGTGAGCGGAAAAGTGCCGCTGCCGACGACAGCTCCCCTCCCGATTGCGGGGCATTGTATTAGCCGCATTACAAATAGGGCGACGCGGATGCCTCAATTACCATCTTCAAATGTCCATCTTTGTGAAGCAAAGTGTTTCTTCTGTTTCAGCTCTAGCTTCACGTAGACTGACAGGCTTTTCTGGCCAAATCGTTCGCAGCATGGCTTCCCAATCACTCCCAAAGACGATGAAGGGTGTCATCATCGAGAAAACAGGCGGCACTGAGGTTCTGCAATACAAGACAGACCTGGCAGTGCCCGAGCCAAAGGACGGTCAAGTTCTGGTCAAGAACGACTATGTCGGTATCAACTACATCGATACGTATGCACAACTTCCAATGCTATCAATAGTTGTCACGAGCTCACAGCGAGCCATAGGTACTTCCGCACCGGTCTGTATCCTGCACCCAGTTACCCGTATATGCTTGGAAGAGAGGCAGAGGGCACCATAGTTGCCACTGGCCCCGACACACCACATGGCTTCAAACCTGGCGACCGCATCGTCTACCTGTCCGAGGCAACCTACGCCGAATATACCGCAGCTCCTGCAGCCAAGGCCATCAAGATCCCCTCGGGCATTGAGCCCACCATAGCTTCTGCCGCCCTTCTCCAAGGCCTCACTGCTTTGACTCTGATCAGAGAGGCTTATCATGTGCAAAAGGGGGATTGGATTCTGGTTCATGCTGCCGCTGGTGGCGTTGGCTTGTGGTTGTGCCAGCTGCTCGCCGCTGTTGGTGCGAAGACCATTGCCACAGCAAGCACACAGGAGAAGCTGGAACTGGCCAAGAAAGCGGGTGCTGAAGTCCTCATCAACTACAGCCACGAGGACGTCAAGGCAAAGGTTGACGAGGTCACCAACAAGCAGGGCGTTGCAGCAGTTTTCGACGGTGTCGGCAAGGCCACCTTTGACCTCAGTCTGGATTGTCTAGCTCGCAAGGGCACTATGGCCAGTTTTGGTAATGCTAGCGGTGCTGTGCCGCCCTTCGCAATCGCGTAAGTCATCTTCCTGAGGCAACGATACTTGAAGTAGAAGCGCACTTACACAGCCGCGTTTCACAGACGACTCTCACCCAAGAATGCCAAGGTCCTTCGCCCGACGCTGTTCAATTACATCGCAACGAGGGAGGAATTTGAGCAGTATACCAATGAACTTTTCGACTTCATTGTCAAGGACAAAATGGATGTGCGAGTCCACAAGGTGTACGACCTCAAGGACGTTGCTACTGCACACGAGGTAAGTGGAAACTGTCGCAACAGAGCTTTGCAGAACGTATCAAGCTAGCAGTGCTGACGAAATACAGGACATCGAAGGCCGCAAGACTACCGGCAAGCTTCTATTGAAGCCCTGATCTTAAATTATAATCTTCAAATATGTCAGAGTCATGAATTGGTCGGATCGTCAGTGGCTTTATTTACTTGAGAATGGCCTTGCATGTCTGCCGAGTACAAAGGTCTTGGCCCTAAGAAAGAACTACGAATACACGATTGACCAAGACTACGTGCATGAGGCGCAGCAGATGCGTTTCGGAAACCGTGGGGTTGGACGTGAATTCTAATCCGCCCGAGTACGATCTCCTTTCCTCATGCCCATGCCTGCTTGGTGAGACGACCGCTGCTTGAAGTTCTTGGCATCTGTACAGCTTACATTTCTTGCGACCTTTGAGACAGTAAGAATTCATCCATCATACAATCTCTAACAAAGCATCTGCCTTGAGCAAGTTGCGAGAGTTCCGACGGGAAGGTATCATGAATACAGACTCCGTTTTCTATCAGTACTTTCTTGAGGCACACTTCTTTGCGAGACGGATGCCAATTTTGCCCAGCAGCCAAGCAAGTGCAAACAATAACACCCAAGACGCCGAGTAGGGGTTTGTCGCGGGAGGTCGAGGATGCAAGGTGAGAGCAGTCGCATAAATTCAGCGGCGCCCCTCATAGATGTCGTGGGTCAACATTGCCATCTTTCGTAGTGTCACTCGTTCAGCCATACATTCTTCTTTCGTTGTTCAACTATTCTTTTCTCTATCACCAGGTTTCATAAATCATGCATTACTCGATCCCAGGCCTTGCCTTGCTGGCCGGCTTGACGGCCGCTGTCGATCCTGTCGAGGTACGGGGTCAAGACTTTGTCAACTCAGTCAGTGGTGACAGATTCGTTGTTATTGGTGTCGACTACCAACCGGGCGGACAAGGAGCCATCTCAGCAGATAATGATAAGGATGTTCTCAGTGATCCCGAAGCTTGTACTCGCGATGCAGCTTTGATGCAGAGTCTCGGGGTCAACACAATCCGAAGTTACAACGTGGATCCGGTATTTCGTTCATTCTAGCCTAGATATGACCTGAGCTGATCCATCTTCAGACACTCAATCACGATGAGTGCATGTCGATCTTCAATGGTGTAGGAATCTATGTCATTCTCGACGTCAACACACCCGTATATGGACAGCACATCGATCGCAGTAATCCTGCAGGCACATACACTCGCGGTTACATGGAACACGTTTTCACGGTTATTGAAGCTTTCAAGGGCTATCCCAATCTATTGGGCTTCTTCGGGGGTAACGAAATCATCAACGACCTGGAGACAGCCGATGAGAACCCTCCATATATGAGAGCAGTTCAGCGAGACATGAAGGATTACATTGCTGCTCATGCAGACAGACCTATCCCCGTTGGTTACTCGGCTGCCGACGTCAGAGAATTCACCGAGGACACATTCAACTACCTCGCCTGTGACAATGGAGACTCGAGTGCTTCTGACTTCTTCGGATTGAACTCTTACTCATGGTGGGCCTCCATTAGGCTGAAACTTGTTCAATCATATGCTAACAAGGAACGACAGGTGTGGCTCAGAGTCCAGCTTCCAGACAGCCGAGTACGATGTTCTCGTTGAAATGTTCTCCAACGCCTCTATCCCAGTCTTCTTCTCCGAGTATGGCTGCAATGATCCTAGTCCCCGTGTGTTCGACGAGGTTGAGGCATTGTACAGCCCTCAAATGACTGTCATGTCTGGAGGGTTGGTATATGAGTAAGTCTTCGAGCTATCTCAATCAAGGAATCGAACTAACTGATACAGATGGTCACAAGAAGACAACAATTATGGTCTCGTCGACATATCTACCGACGGATCTCTCAGACTTCGAGCAGACTATGACAGTCTTCAGAAGCAGTACAGCCGCATCAATGTCACACTTCTCGAAGCCAGCAACGATACTGCAACTGGTATACCAGCTCCTCGTTGTTCTTCCAACTTGATCCAAGCAGACGACTTCAGCGATGAGTTTGATATCCCTTCTCGCCCCAGCGGCGTGGATGCTTTGATCTCGTCCGGCCTCTCCAGTGCACCTACTGGTGCTCTGGTGTCTGTTACCGCAACCGCAGTCGCCCTTCCAGTCTACGATACTAATAGCGCATCTATGAGCGACCTTGCCATCACAGTGACCAGCGAAGCAAACCATCCCGTTGGTACTGCAAGCAGAACCTCAAGCGGATCTGGCTCTGCAACAGCTTCTGGAGCTGCCACTACCGAAACTGGTGGCGCTCACCGTCTATCTGGTGCTGTCGCTCTTGCTCTTGGTGCCGCTGCCTTTGCTGCTTTGTAAAGGTTTTCACTTTGTCCTATTTCCACATGTTTCGTATTCGTAATAATTCTGAGCGACATTTCTCGTTTGTCAATTCTTTTGCATGTAGAGAAAATCAGAAACATAGAGAGCATCTGAACATCATCAGTTACTCCGCTAGTCGTTTACATACAATGGGCATAATGACTTCAAATATGGACTGGACTACAATATCGAACAGAACAATAGCAAGGTCTAAAATCTCGAACTTGATTATTATGGCTATATTAAACTGAAAACACATATTACATACTTTTTTTGTCAATGAATATCGCATGTGTTAGCCTTAAACATTAGTACGATCAGAGTCTGCAAAGCCAAAACAGAAAGACAGATTCACAATGTTTCAAAGAGTGTGCAGGCATAGTGCCAATATCAGTAGTCAACCAAGATCTGGGGCTCAGAGCAGGAGCATAGTAACAGCCATGACCATGGAAGCTGCTACAGTTAACATAGAAGCCTTAGCTTTCTGATCAGAGCCCGAAGATATGTTGGTATCAGTAGCAGATGGCATATTCGGCTCTGTGGTGCTTGTCAGTAAGACGTCATTAGTGCAGAAATACGTAGACTTACTTGTGGCACTACCACTAGATCCATTACCAGTGCGGGAAGGAGGCGAGCTCGACTGTGGAGGATGATATGAAAGCGTAGAGTTGGAGTCCGAGGGAGAGCTGGCCTCGGGGGATGCGAGGGATTGTGGAGGCGAGCTGGGCTGCATAGATTGATCGCTCTGAGCAGGAGCACTGCCTTGCATGGACTTATCGCTCGCTGAAGGAGAATTAGATTGAGCGGGCATGGCTGGCTGCGAAGGCATGCTGTTCTGAGCGGGCGTGCTTTCTTGAGCAGACATGCTACTTTGAGCGGGCATGCTGTTTTGAGCAGGTATGCTCTCTTGGGCAGGCATGTTTGTCGGTGGCTGCTCGGAGGCTATTGCAGCCGAAGGAGAAGACATCTGTGCTGGAGCAGAGCCTGCACCCATGGACTCAGGCGAGGCTGGCGAGGCTGGCGAGGACATGCCTGTTGAAGCAGCCATAGTAGTGGGCGATGATGGGGCATTGGCAGGTGCCGATGGTGACATGTCACCTGAGACAGGAGGCGCAGGCGAGGAAATAGCTTCAGGCGAAGACATTGGGGAGGCTGGAGATGACCCAGCAGGCATCGATGGTTGCGCTGCAGTCAAATCGCACGATGTGCATACTGTAGTATATTTAGTGACAGGGATTGTGACGGTCGATTGTGAATCCATTGGAGCAGAGGGCGAAGCCATGTCTGATGAAGCAGAGGGTGCGACCGCGTTTGTCGTGCCGACGGATGGGAATTCCATGTTTCGAGAAGCTGTTCCTGCCGACTGAACACTAATGGCACTTGTCTGGGCAGATTCTTGTGGCACGGGGATGACAGAAGAGCTCTCGACCACATTTGTTGCGGATGCCACAGTTTGAGTGCTCTCAGAACCAGCGTTCGAGACTGTAATGGTGATTCCAACAGTGGAGGTGCTGGTTTGTGCAGGAGGGATACTGTTTCCTGCAGATGGAACGGCGACTGGTGCCAAAGGAACACTGCCGGGTGACCCACCACTGGCTGACGTCTGGATTGGGCCGGCAGGTGATGTGGGATGCATGACACTAGACAATGGTCCTGAGCTAGTGGAAGTGACATAGAGCAAGGTGCTTGTACTGCCACCAACACAAGAGCTGCAGCCCCTCGTGACTGTGAGCACTCGTGTAGCTACCACACTAGTAAATGTGTAAGTGTACGAGGTTTGGTCGCTTTGCTGACATGTATCAGAAGAGTGAGGAGAAGTTGGACAGCCAACTGTGACCAATGAACTAACAATGGAGGCCACAGTTGTCCAAGGGCCAGTCGGCGGAGTTGGATAAATGGTTGTGATTGGTTTGATTGGTGATACGATCGACTTCATAGAGGAGCATGGGCTCGAGCTTGGCTTCGGCAATGTTGGTGGACATGGGCTCGAAGTGGAGGATGTGGAACATGGAGTGGTCGACGAAGAGGAAGTCGAGCATGGAGTACTTGTCAAAGTTGAACTAGAGCAACTCGTGCTCGATGATGAGGAGGTCGAACATTGAGTGCTTGAAGACGAAGAAGTTGAGCATGAACTGCTTGTCGAAGAGGACTGTGGGCAAGTGGTGGAGGAAGACTTCGAGCATGGAGCGGTTGACGAAGTTGAGTTCAAAGAAAGGACGGTGCAAGAGGTGGAGAACTGAGGCATTGTGGAAGTCGAACAATTGCAAGAAGTGGAGCTCGATGTAGTACGTGTGTAGATGTAATCCGTTTTGGTTGTGCAACTAGACGATTTGGTGTTGATGTAGTAAGTCTGCGTGGTGCAGGATGCGTTGGCTGGAATTGAGGCCATCCCGCTGTAGTTGTACGCAGCCTTGCCATGGCATGTCACATTGGTGACTGCGGTCGAAGGTGGTGACGAGGTCACTGCTGATGTCTGGCGAGGCTTCATTGCCCGGCCATCGACATGGTTAGACAAGGTCAGTGAAACAACGATAAACGAAAGGATAGTCCACATGGTGACTGCTAACACTCAAGGGCCTTGTAAAACGATTGATGGAGGTGAGGAGAGAACAGGAATACTGACCGGAGATGCCATTAAGTACTTTCAGGAGCCCATCTCAAGGAGTGATTTTACGTTGCTCAACTGCTCTACCCATTGAAGCTAGCTGAAATAGAAGGCAGAGGATGGATCAATCATAAAACTTAAAGGTCGATTGGCCTCAGTATTCGTTTAGGTGCCTCCACACCGATCAACATACTTTGACAAGACACTTTACTTCTGATTGATACACGTCATGTTCAGAACTGCAATTCCCGGTGTGGTTTGCACATGCAGTCGAACAGTCTCTCCCACCTCTTGCTTCCGTGACCAAGGCCAACTTTTGTATCATAATTAGCTTCCTGGAGCAGGCCGAGTTGGAATCCGTGAGGTCGTATGTGTGTGAGTATGAACATACATTAAAGTTTGGTGGAGAGGGTAGGGTGTAGAGGGAATTATCGAGCTCTCGTCGCGACTAGCGAATATACTTGCGCAAGACCAAACAGAACATCCAGCAAGACGACTGATAATAGCTTGAGCTAGGTGGATCTCAAGGTATATGTGCACTTGAGAAGGTCCAAAAAGGTTATTGAATAGTCGCAGGAAAAACACTGTTGCAACAACCGCTCAACAGTATCTAAAGATGACGGAGAAGCTGCTGATCAAGCTTGACCTTGAAGCAAGTTACCTGTGTGTGTAGCCAAGGAAAAATAAAAGTGTTGGTGAGCAGGGTATGCTACGGAGCAGTGAACAGCAGTCAAATTCCGGGCATCAAAATTGAGCACAGAGCATGAACTGCAGGTTTGAAAACCCCTGTGTCTATACTGATGACAAGCTCTATAGTTCCAGTAATTCGTAAGAGACTGCAAAGTTTGAAGCAAGTTTCTTGTCGAACTTGATGTCGACCAAGGTGTTGCAACTTGGATGGTACGATCCACATCGAGGGAAGTCGGAGTGAACGGCCCGTGCGTGGCTGGTCAGTTTGCAAAGTTTGCTCTCACGGGCGCAATCTGCGGGGCCATAACGCGACTTGACGACGGACGAGTCGAGCAACACCAGGGATACTATCGCAATCTTAACGTCTGAGAGGAACTTGCGACTACCTCGAGGATTAACTAATCATGGGAGGGCACAGCAATAACAACGGAGAAGAGCAGAAGGTCGAGAAAGGATATGCCACCCTTGCGACCCTCAGGTGTGTCGCGAACCGCCAAGCCTCAATATAGTCCTTACTGATCCGGACAGGGTCGGAGTCAGAGCATGGGTCGACAAGGTAAGGTTACCACATCATCAACTATCAGACAACTTTCTACCGATCTTCTCATGAAGAAAAGAACGAAATTGTAAGATTGAGTACTGACTTGTGTGCAGGACGATGAGAAACGCAAGGCCGAGATTCTCTCTGTCCAAACGCGCAGAGGCAAACCCACCTTTTAGTAAGTCTGCGCAATTCGCTTCAAAGAAGATAAAAAGCTAACTAGGGAGCGTCCATTACCAGGATTTCAACAAGCGATTGGATGGTATGTTTTATAAATGACGACCATGAAGCACGCTGACCATGTGATCAGAATGGGTAGCAGCTGAGCGTATTGATCTGTCGAGAGAGGTGGAATGGCCTCTCCCCGACAAATCGGACACAAAGCAGAAGAAGACTACAAGCAAGACGACAGCGAAAGCCGAACCCTCCAAAGCAAACAAAGCACCAAAACGATCACGAGCGTCAAGTGTCAGGGAGCTTTCTGCAACACCGACCGAAGCATCGCAATCATCCAAAGCAGGCACTCGTCGACCATCGTTGGCAGGTGGAGATCACAGGTCACCGTCTGTGGCCGTACTCGCACCCGAGATTGGCGATGGAACGCCACAGCCAGACGGCGAGGTTGACGACGATACTGTAGATCTTATTGATGTGCAGAATGCTGCCGCGGCCGCAAAGGCGATTCCAGACCATCTGTACTCGCGTGAAGAAGAGATCGAAAAGCTGCGAACCAGTGGTTCAATGACACAGAATCAAACCGAGATCAGTAGAGTCAGAAACCTCGAAAAGATCCAGATGGGCGCTCACGAGATTGAACCTTGGTATTTCTCGCCATACCCTGTTGAATTTTCCGACTGCGAGCTGGTCTACATCTGCGAGATGTGTCTTCTCTATTTTGGCAACGAGAGGCAGTTCAAGCGGCACAGAAGCAAGTGTACTCTCTTGCATCCTCCTGGCAACGAAATCTACCGCGACGACATGGTCAGCTTCTTTGAGATTGACGGCAGGAGGCAGAGAACTTGGTGCAGAAACCTATGTCTTCTGAGCAAGCTTTTCCTGGACCACAAGACGCTCTACTACGATGTGGACCCCTTTTTATTTTATTGCATGACCACGCGCGATCAACACGGTCATCATTTGGTTGGGTATTTCTCCAAGGAAAAAGAAAGCGCCGAGGGATACAACGTGGCATGTATTCTGACTCTACCACAATATCAACGCAAGGGTTATGGTCGACTACTCATTGCCTTCAGCTACGAACTCAGCAAGCGTGAAGGCAAGTTAGGAAGTCCTGAGAAACCGCTCAGTGATCTTGGACTTCTCGGCTACCGTGCATTCTGGCAAGAGATCATTGTCGAATTCTTGGTCGAGAGCAAAGGCGAATTGAGCGTTGAGGATATTGGAGCGCAGACTGCCATGACAACCAACGACGTGCTGCACACGTTACAGAACTTGAACATGTTACGTTATTCCGTAAGTCGAACTTTTTCATGACCTTGAAGTGTATCTTGCTGATTTGACAGAAAAATCATCATGTGATCGTCCTCACAGAAGCCATTCTCAAACAAAGAGAGCGACAGAAAGAAAAGGAAAAGATCAAGGGTAAACACCAAATTGATGCAGAAAAGCTGCAGTGGAAACCACCAGTTTTCACAGCAGCGAGCAGGACTTGGAACTGGTAACACACGGCACCATGTATTATTGGAAGCAGGAAAATGAATTACGAAAAGGATGGATGCGGGATTATATTTTGATCGTTTTTCTTTTTCATGGCATGCTTAGATACCCCCAATGCATTCAAAAGACGACAGTCAACACACGGACCGTTTTCTTTACCAGGAGCTGCCAGAAAGCATAAGTGTACAATCTATCAGCCAAAGAGGCACCCGTCGTCATCTAGAGGAAGTAGTCGGGCGTGCGACGAGACACCATTGGCTCGCCAGCGCGTGGGCAGGGATCGAATTGAAGGCTGAGAGACAAGTTAGCAAGATAGACGTCGAACCAGTCAATAAACAATACTCACAAAGTGTATTTCAGATGTTCGTCAATCTCCATGATCGCGGCTTGGTTGCCGCAGCGGTAACAGTAATTGGGAGCCGAGAATATCGTGACGACATTTCTGTCCTGACTCCAGTTGTAGCCTTCCATAACCAGCTGATGGGCTCGGGCGACCAGCGTCAGACCGTTGTTGTGGTTGAAAGCCTCGCTGATGTCCTGGCCGAAAGTGTAACCAGCACCTCTGGGACTGATTCCCCAACCGCATCTGTCATCGGGGTCACTCCAAAGCAGATCACACATGGGTCCCTCGTGGGGCACCTCTTGGATTCTGTCGAGCGCACGAATGTTGTCCAGTGTGTCGATGCTCGGTGACAGGCCACCGTGGAGACAGAAGATTTGGTTGTCAATCAGGGCGGTAAGGGGTAGGTAGTCAAAGAGATCGGTGAAGTACTTCCAGACATTGGCATTGCCATACTTGCGCAGGCACTCGTCGTAGAAGCCGTAGACTTGGGTGATCTGACGGGACTCGTGGTTACCACGGAGAATGGTGATGCGTTGTGGGTAGCGAATTTTCAAGGCGACGAGCAATGTCACGGTCTCTACAGAGAAATAACCACGGTCGACATAATCGCCTGTATGGGCACGTGTCAGCAAAAAAGCAAAGCGACCATGGACAAAAAGCAAAGAGTCAAGGCGTACCCATGAAGAGGTAGTTGGTGTCAGGGTTGGGGCCTCCAATCTTGAACAGCTCCATCAGATCGTGGAACTGGCCGTGAATATCTCCGCACACGGTGACGGGACATTTCTGTGCAGCAGCAGTGTCAGCTCGAGAGCATGGCCGAGGGGCAACAGCGACAGCAACAGGTTGGACATACGACAGGCTGGACGTTGGACTCGTCCTGGAGAACCTCTCTTGCTTTTTCGCACAGCCTCTGGACGTCGGCCTCGGACAGCTGCTTGCAGGCCATCAAGCTCTCAATCCAGCCGTCGAGAGTAGGGATTGAGGGCGGGTCGGAGGGCGCAGTCATAGGGTGTTCTGGCTTTGCGCCAACATCTTCCATGTTTGTGTCCATTGTGCAGGAGGATTAAGGGCGGGGTTGTTGCGACAGAGTCGTGGGACGTGTCGTCAATACAGGGCCGAGAGCGAGTGCGGGCCTGGTGATGGTAGATGCAAGTTTGGGCGTCGATGTGCGTGGGACGTGTAGTCAGGGCCGGTGGGAAGCTGAAGAGGTCTAGAGCGGAGAGGCAGGGGAGGTTGTTATCAGTCAATCGATGTGCAAACACACACAACAAGACAGGAGATGCGTTAGAGGGTATGTCGATGATGAGTCTGTTGCACCCCACGCAGCTCTTTAGGAGGCCGGCCCTGTGTTGTCGAATTGAAGCGGCCCGTGCCCGCTTCATCAGCCACTGAGTTAATCCCTTGGCGTTTCCTCCTCGACGTCAAACACCACTAATAATTAGAGAATTGCTTGTTCTTTCTATACTTTGTTCTACTTGTCTGTCTTGTCATACCAACTTGATCAACCCATCTTGTTTGCTGGCCAATCAAGATCGCATCCTTCGAAGCACCGTGGGCTTACCTCCTATGTAGAAGAAAGACAGCGTTGCAGTAAGCCCACAGATGATTGCAATGACGATATTCATATTGCCGTACCCAATGACTTGCTTCAATTCACCCGCTATTTCTGGGCCGATGGCAAGTCCAGCGCAAAATGCGACCGAAGACATGGCATACAAACTCGCAAAGGGCCCCTGTTCTCCAAACCAATCGTGATTGACATCGTAGTACTTCTGGACGATGTTACCCGCCTCGACAATCGATGGAGCTCCAATGGCAGCAAGTCCGACTCCGCACAATGCCAGAAGCCCTGCGTATAATATGATCTGGTTCTTTCCTCCAGCATGTGGAAGACGCAGTAAGACGAGACAAGGAACCAGGAACGTATAGCCTCCGACCGCAGCCACTTTGGTACCATATTTATCGACAACCCACCCAAAAACAGGGCCGAGCAGAAAGTCAAAAACTCCCAATGGAAGAAAAAGTGTGCCCGCTTTCAATGAGTCGAACTCAAAGTATTCTTGACCGATAGTAGGTATAGTAGCATCGAAGGCGCCGAGTAACAGTGCTTGAACGAAGGCTACCATCAAAGCTGCGACCAAGCGAGGATTTTTGAGACATGGCAGAATCGGCACTTTGCGAACGATGGCTGGCTGATCTCTCGAGATGGTATAATAGTCATCCTCTGCCTTGGTTCCTAGCAAAGGCTCTTGTTCGTCGCTGACCGCTTCTTCGTCGTTGGCATTAGATGCATTGTTTTCATTGCTGCCTTCCTGCATATTGAAATCATAGCGGCGGGCAACCTTCTTTTCGATGACCAACAAACGCATGATAAAATCGACAGCGAGGACGGCAAAGCCAATTCCAAAGACGCCCGGATATCCGGCTTTCTTGTACAAAACTCCTCCTAAGAGAGGAGCGACCAGGTTGCCGACCGATATGAAACTGAAGATCGAACCAATGGTCTTGCCGAGGTTTTCTGGACCTACAGTCTCGACACATAGCGCCAATCCAATTGTCCAAACAAAGGCGGCCGAACAGCCTTGAAGGAGCCTCGCAACAACTAAGGTTGGGACGTTGTTTCCCAGAAACAGCAATACTGTCGCGAGCAACAGGGCGGTCAGTCCGAAAAGGAATGGTCCTTGCCTTGTGGAGGTTTTGTCTGCTAAGATCCCAGCGACGGGCGAGAAGACGACGGAAGCTCCAGCATAGGCGGCGAGTAGCCCATCCACATGGGATTGTATTTGGTCCTCTGGCATGCCAACTCGGTCCTGTAGCATATAAGGTAAAATGGGCACAACCAGACCATAAAGAAACAAATCAGTGAACAGACCGACAGCGACTGTCGAAACGATGAACAGAGTATTGCTTCTCCATTTGATGCCAGCCGGAGTTACACTGTAATCATGACTGATTTGAAGGGTGGTTTTGAGTTTTTGCCAGGCAGATGGGGCCATTGCAATGTGTATATGAGCGTACTCCGGGTCTTTTTTTTTTTTTTGCTGTTGTTGCACAAAAGGCCCAAGATATTGAAGAATACAGTACCTTTATGGCACCTTCCAAGACGTCATCATTGGTTGGTTCTCAGTCCAAGCAAGTGACGGCTATATCTCGGCGCTTCTCCCTTGCGCATCACAGCGTTGCTCGACCGAGATCTTCGCGACATCCAGTCCATTGACCAAACCATTTGATCGCATATCTTGCTATCGCCTATAAATTCACAAGATGGCAACTGTAGATGAAGGAACTGCGCCAAACGCAACGTTCGTACATTGCACTCCGTACGAACAAGCGTAAGAGCATCTACTAACATGTGAACAGTGTCTATGTATGTGCTGAAGTCGCAGCTCAAAGCTACAAAGGTTGCGAACCGACAAGACTGACTTTAGCGACTCCAAGGCCAGGAATCTGTCTGAGCGCATCAAGATCCCTCAACTCATAGAAGCTCTGCGCGAGATCTTCGAAGAATATGGGACAATCATCGACATCGTCGCCAAGTCAAGCTTGAAGCGTAAGGGACAGGCCTTTATTGTCTTCGACAGCGTCCAGTCAGCAGAAAACGCCATCGACGAAGTCAATGGATTCGAGTTATTCGGCCAGGCCATGTCTCTCGATTTCGCCCGAACAAGGAGTGATGCAACAGTACAAAGAGAAGGGACTTCTGAAGAGTTTGAACAGCACAAGCGTCACCGCAAGGCCGAGAAGGGTGAGTTGGTAATTGGCAGGTTACCATGAGTCCTGATGCTGACAAGCACAAACAGAGCGCAAACAAGCCCTCGAGGCAGCAGAAGCAGCCAAGAACCTCAAACGACCAGCACCAGGTGCTCCCGAGCCAGAAGCCGCTGCTCAGCGCGCTCCTAAGACAGCACGTGGAGCAGGTCTCAAGGGAACATCAGGCGCCGGCGCTGGAGTCGTGCCCGACGAATACCTCCCTCCCAACAAGATCTTGTTTATCAGGCAGGTACCCGAGGATTACGGAGTCGATGCCCTCACAGCCATCTTCTCGCGCTTTGCGGGTTTCAAGGAGGTCCGTACTGTGCCTGGTCGTAAGGGCATTGCTTTCGTCGAGTACGAAGCCGAGGATGGGGCTATCAGTGCCAAAGAAGCCACGGCAGGCATGTCGCTAGGTGACAATACCATCAGAGTCACATTCCAGCGTCAATAGAAGCATACGTTTGTTGTGCATGTACAGTGGCTTGATGATTACAGCAGCGGCAAAAGGATATCTCAAAGTAGCAAAAACAAAATCAGAAAATGACATCCTCATCATCTTCTCCTCCTCCTAGGATGTCTTGGGGCCCGTCGCCGGCCTGCGAGTCGACGCCCTTCTCTTCGGCAGCCTTTTTGGCCTTTTGACGTTCGGCCTCCTCTGCCTGAGCGTCTCTTTCTTTCTTGCCTGAGACCTTCTTCAGCCTGAAGAACTCTTCTCTGTCCAGCTCATCTAGTTCCGAGTTGATATATTTGATGGTGTTTTCTGTACGAGGAATAATGACGTGCTCGCTGCAGGATGGATTAGCTCTTGTGTCTCTGGCGGTAGAAGTGGGCAAGGGGCATGCATACATTGCGTTGACTCTGCGGTTCACGACCTTGATGACATCGTCCAGGATGACAAAGGCTGTTTGCAGACTGGCGAGCTCGACAAGAGTCTCGACAGCTCTAACGTATGTCTCCCTGCAGCGTTGGACTTGCTGACCTCCTTTGCCCAGACCAGTCAGGCCAAAGTCGTTGTTGCCCTCTGTTTGGAAACTCTCGAACTGAGGGAGGAAGACACCACTGACGTTCTCCTGGCGGGTACGGACACGGAACTTTGCTGAGCGAACAGACTCCTGGATCTGGTAGCCGATTCCAGCGCCTCCAATGGCGTAGCTGACCTCTGCGAGGGAGAAGGCAGCAATCTGCATGACTCTGCCCATCTTGCGCTTTGCATCGTCGATACGGCGGGTGATTTCTCGGAAACGTTTGGTGAGAGCTTCACTCTTGCGCTTGAGCAAGTCGTGGCCAGTCTGGGCACCCTTCAGCTTTCCCTTCATCAAGCCCAGCGACTGCCGGGTTGGGAAGACGGCCTCTCTCTGTGCAAAGGGTGTTAGCGAGTGACTAAAGATGGAGCAGACAAGGACGTACTCCTGCAGCAGACATTCTGTCGACTGCTTTATTGGTGTGTGTGTGTGTGTGTAGAGAGAAGCGAGATTGGACTATCAGAGAGCGGGCTGGTATGGTATGGCCGCTGGCTGCATGACGTTGGTCGTTGCTCGGGGAAAGTGCCAAGGCGCGCGCGAGTTTGGGCAGCTGCTCGCTCGCTCTGGAAAGTCCAAAAGTTGAATAGGTACTGAAAGAGCAGCTCGCAGCAACCAGCTGCTGTTTGTCTCGCCAATTCAATCCCGTCTGCGCTGTTGTCGCAATCTCCTCCTCGCCGCCCCTGTCGCTTTTACCGCCGTCGTCAGTAGGCCCGCTACGACGTGTGTGTATTCTCCCTCGACATGTCGACAGCTTCGCATCTGTATCTTGTCACCGACAACGATATCATCTATGAGCAGGACATTCTGCGCAATCCGGCCAACATCCGCGCCTGGCTCGACTATGCTTCTTTCAAACGTCAGACCGGCTCGCTCCTCGACCAGGCCTTTGTCCTCGAGCGCGCCTGTAATGCCCTTCCGCGCAGCTACAAGCTTTGGAAGTTGTATCTGGAACTGCGCGTGAGCCATTTGCGCAACCGCAATCCCGCCCGCCATGCAGACCATTTCCAAAAGGTCAACGCCCTGTTCGAAAGAGCCCTGGTCCTGCTCAATAAAATGCCCCGCATCTGGGAAATGTACCTATCCTTCCTCTGCAAGCAACCCAGGATTACCCAGACTCGTCGCACTTTCGATCGCGCTCTACGAGCCTTACCCATCACGCAGCACAACCGGATATGGGCTCTCTACCGCCCATTTGCCACATCTGCCTCGGGAGAGACCGCCATCAAGGTCTGGCGCCGCTACATGCAGATCCACCCCGAACACGCCGAAGACTTTATCGACATCCTCATTGACCAGAAACAATACACCGATGCTGTCATTAAATACATGGACATCCTCAACGATCCACGCTTCCGCAGCAAAGAAGCTAAAGGCCCTTTCCAGTTCTGGACTGAGATGTTGGAGCTTATCATCGACCACGCTCGCCAGGTACAGACAGGTGAAGATACTGGTATCGATGTGGACCGCATAGTTCGTAGTGGCATACAACGCTTTCCGGATCAGAGAGGTATCTTGTGGGTAGGACTCGCCCGATACTGGATCAACAAGGGCGATTATGAGCGTGCAAGAGACGTTTTTGAAGAAGGCATCACCACCGTCATGACTGTGCGTGACTTCTCCATCGTCTTTGACACCTACGCAGAAGCAGAGGAAGCGCTGATTGGTATCAAAATGGATGAGGCTCAGACCCGCTCAGAAAAGGGCGCGCCTGATGAGAATGCTGATCTTGAACTAGACATCCGTATGATGCGCTTCGAGCAACTCATGGATCGTCGTCCCTTCCTCCTGAACGATGTCCTGCTCCGACAGAACCCCAACAGCGTCAATGAGTGGGAGAAACGGGTCGCGCTCTGGGGCGATAACAAGTCTGAAGTTGTCAACACTTATACTAACGCCATTGCTGCAATTAACCCAAAGAAAGCCATTGGTAGATACCATACTCTTTGGACCAACTATGCAAAATTCTACGAAGAACGTGGCGATCTACGCAATGCCAGAGTCATCATGGAAAAGGCCGTCAAGGTGCCTTTCAAGTCTGTCAACGAACTCGCCGAGATGTGGGTCGAATGGGCAGAGATGGAGCTGCGCAACGAGAACTTCGACCGCGCCGTCGACATCATGGCCAAGGCCACTCAGGCACCCAAACGAAGCACAGTTGATTACTTTGATGAAAGTCTTAGTCCTCAACAACGAGTACATAAAAGCTGGAAGTTGTGGTCTTTCTACGTCGATCTTGTAGAGTCGGTCAGCACCTTGGACGAGACTCGCAAGGTGTACGAGCGCATCTTCGAATTGCGTATTGCCACGCCTCAGACTGTCGTCAACTACGCCAACCTGCTCGAAGAGAACAAATACTTCGAGGAATCATTCAAGGTATACGAACGTGGCTTGGATCTCTTCTCATACCCAGTGGCTTTCGAACTCTGGAACCTCTATCTCCAAAAGGCAGTCGACCGGAAGATCAGCATCGAAAGGCTACGAGATCTATTCGAGCAGGCCGTTGAAGGATGTCCTCCAAAATTCGCAAAGGTGCTATATCTCATGTATGGCCAGCTTGAAGAAGAACGGGGGCTGGCTCGTCATGCTATGCGCATATACGAACGGGCGACGCGTGCTGTTTCGGATGATGATCGTTTGGACATGTTCAACTTTTACATCACCAAATCGGCCTCTAACTTTGGCCTTACTTCAACTCGCTCGATCTACGAGCGAGCTATCGCCGCATTGCCAGACAGCGAGGCGAAAGACATGTGTCTCAAGTTTGCCGAGATGGAAAGACGGTTGGGAGAGATTGATCGTGCCAGGGCGATCTACGGACATGCCAGCCAATTTTGTGATCCGAGAAGAGAGCCGGGCTTCTGGCAAAAGTGGGAGAGTTTCGAGGTGCAGCATGGAAACGAAGACACCTTCAAGGATATGCTCCGCATCAAGCGTAGCGTCCAAGCACAGTACAAGTACGTATCGCAAGTGCTAGAATCTTCGTCAATTACTGACCATCTTCTAGTACCGACGTCAGTTTCATCGCCTCCCAGGCCATTGCACGCAGTCAGCAAGCTCCAACTGAAGATGGGGCTGTTGACGACACAACGCAAAAAACAGACGCTATGGCGGCCTTGGAGCGCCAGGCGCGCGCGCCCACGGGATTCGTTGCTGCAAGCAGTGGTCCAGAAGGCGGCAACAGAGCCCCAGCTGTTGTACAACCAGCGACCAATCCGGATGCCATCGACGTCGACGATGACCTATGAAAGCCGACCCGGATCGGCCTATAACACAGTCAATTTTTGTTCATACTTTTGCTCATTGCTATATCTGTTTCGTTTGTTCAAATATACCAACACTGGCGCCGCTTGTTTTTTTCCTTTTGTATACTGAAAGCAGCTCCGTTTTCATGGAGATGTTCCACAAGGCAGAATACCTCGAATCAAGACAACCACTTTTATTGATGATATATGGGGTCAATCTGCTCAATCGTCCTTTGGTCTCGAAGCTCGTGTGTTTATGGTCTGGGCAGTGAACAGCGAGTGTTCTCCACAGCGCATGACAAAAGCCGGAGTGACCTCAGTGAGATTTGCCCCTCACCAAATACGGACTTGGAACAGAAACCACCTCTCCCAAGCACAACGACAAGATCACAAAGCGTCCACAACTTGCGACCGACTGACCCACGCATTGCTGGCTTGGTCACTCCCTCTCTCACATTCACCCTTACAACAGTTTTATGCACGCACAGTCCCCCACGCCTTCTCAACAGCTACACATCGAGTCTACGAGCCCCGCCGAGCCCACCTTCGAAAGCCAGCATGGAGAGCAACGAGGCGCGAGTCCAGTCGATGGCGGTGGAGGCGTTAGCCTTGTCAACCATGCGCCCGACACTAGTACGCCTAGGCGACTGAGTCTTGCCCACAACACCTTCTCAGCTTCGCGCAATCGCATTGCTGAATACGAAAACGCCTCTTCAACCGCCTCACCATCCAGGAAGAAGTCAGAGGGTCCGGCCTTCGCTGTCATAAAGAAACCGAGAAAGCCTGGCGATAAGCACTCGCCCATTGCTGACTTGCCCAACGAGATCTTGACTCATGCCCTTGCACACCTCTCTCCTCAGGACCTGTCTGCTGTTTCGCTCGTCTCGCGCCGCTTCCACGATCTAGTCACTACTCCTCACGCCTGGAGGACTGCCTTTTCACGCTATTTCCCTGGACCCGACTCCCTCGATCCCAATGCCTATCATGACGAAGACGATTTGGATGACCGTCTTCGCATCGAACGGCGCGCATTCACTCGCGTTACTGCTCTTGCTTCCTGGCGAAGCGAGTACATCCTTCGCACTCGCTTGTTGCGTTCCCTCGCTCGTGGCAAACCAGTCCAACCGCCTGCTTCTCCAGCTCAAGCTCGTCTAGGCCAGCCTCCAGTCGCATCGCCCATCGTTGTCTACCCTTCACAGATGTTCACGACTGTCAACCATCTACACGCTACCTTTGGTGGTACTGCTCTGAACAAGAGACCTCCCCGTTTCATTCATGGCGCTGACGACGTGGGTACTGCCGGAAGCAGTGATCCAACCCTTGAAAAAGCCGATTCGTGGGGGCTAGGCGATCCGAACACCTTCCTTCAGTTTTCTGACCGCTTCCCTGGCGACGCCATGTACGGTCTTGGCCCTGGAAACATCGTAGGCGTACCAAATTCCATGGATGTCAGTCAGCCGTATGGCATGATTCATGGTGAAGGCTCTCCTGGTGGATTTGTTTACTATAGGTATATTGAGGAGATGCGTGGCCACTTCTTAAAACCCTCAAGCGGCATCTCTATTCCGGCTTTAGGCATCCCGCAGTTGTTGCCTATCCAAGAATCCATCTGCAGTGTCTGGATCGCCAAGTCTTCCACTATCCCTTCTCTGACCGACGGTCTGGTGGGACTCATCTCTGGTTCTTCTCTCGGTGTCCTCACAACATATAGTCTTGGCCCTCTTGGAACTCGAGATCAACGCTTTGGTCGAGGTGAGGTCACAGCGCGTTGGGTGGTCAGTCCTGGAGTACCCATAATCGCCATTGCGGTCGACGAACAATACTCAGTCAGGCGTCAAGGAGAGAACAGGATTTGGGCGGTTGTGCTTAACGCTCTGGGCGAGCTCTTCTACTTGACCAAGCTCCCAAAACGTAACAACGACGATAAGCCTGCAGGATCAGACGATGAGGCCAAGGAGCGCCTGGCCTGGTCGACTGGAAGATCTGTATATTGGAATCTCGTGGAGTCAAGCAGACGCACAGCCCGCCCGAATCCTTACAGTGACTCTCATGTAGACGGCAGCTATTCTCCTCGCACCTCGTGGAATGGCATGTACCTGAGCGAGGAGCAGATCAAAGCTGAGACATACGAGATCGAAGACTTCATTAATCGTAAGCCTAAGGACTTCCAAAGAACTTGTCTGGGTTGGAACATGCGAAGGTTACTCGAGGTCGACTTTGCAGGGGATGATGGCAACCAGGCGGGAGAAGCTATTTTCGTGTTCGAAACTGGCCTCGACGAGGAGTCTACTGCTTCAGCCAAACGGTTCGTTCGATTCAACATTGCCAATACAAACAGCTCGGATGCCAGAACGAACGAGCTACGATCCGCATCGCCTTCGACACCTCCTGAGCCGAGGTCTCTCTTTGGCGGCCCAGCGTCCCCTCGATCAGCATCTAAGGGCGAATTGGATTATGGTCTATCGTTGTCAAGCGTGCAAGATCTCGAGCAAGGCAAGAAGAACAGACGCTCGACAGAGGAGTGGAGGCTTTCTGGCCTGTCCTTTGGTGGACTCAAAGCAGTACAGATCTCAGCGCACGCTATCGATGGCTCAACCTTTGCGACTCTCACGGCCTCAGAAGACCCACTCCTGAACTTTTCCGGTCAGTCGACAGTGTCTTCGCCTAGTATGACACCTCTGTACAAATCCGGCACGCCGTCCTCGCCTGCAGATGTTCCTGGGCAGCGAGCTCGTTTCGTTGCTGTAGGTACCTTGATGGGCAGCGTCTTGGTCTGGAATGCAAGAGCGTCGCTGCCTACTTCGGCCGATGCTGTCAACACCCTGCAGCCAATACGCATCATCCATACCGAATCACCTGAAATTTCTTGTATCGCCTTGTCGTCCTTGTCTTTATTCCATGGCGGCAACGATGGTCTTGTGCAAGCTTGGGACATTTTGGCTTCCAGTCTTGGTCCAGTTCGCACTTTGAACTCGCGCTTCACGTCACGGGCAAGGCGCAGGCTGGTGCAAGCTCAAGCATCCGTTCAAGGCGTGGGTATCAACTTGTTCGCAGCAGGAGCCATCTGCCTTGACCCCGACCCTACAGTCCTGCGTGGTATGGTGTCGATCGGAACACACTTACTTTACTGGAGCTTCAGCTCGTCCGCAGCAGATCAATACAAGTCACACAAACGCCGACTAAGGAGAGCAGATCGAGGTATCAACGTAGCCAACGATCGTTTCGCCAATGCCGGCAGGGGCAACATGAGAGGTTTCATCGCGAATGAACAGTTCGAACTCGAAAGAGAGAGTGCACAAGAAGCTAGGCAAGCGGAGCATCTAGCCGGGAGATTCGGCACGGAACTACTAGGAAGTGATGCAAGCGAGGAAGAGCTCCTAGCCTACGCCCAAATGCTCAGTGAAGAAGCTCTCGCAAAGGATCAAGAGAAGCAGATTTCCGAGCCTTCCAACAACCACAAAGCAGCCATAGCCACGCCAACAGAGGACCTCGATATGGATCCAGAGATAGCAGAGGCAATTCGACTCAGTCTCGCCGAGGAAGAAGCCAAATGCTTACAGCAGCAAGAGCAAGCCGAGTATGAAGCGTCTCGACAGCAAGAGGCGGCAGAAGGCAGCAACAGCAGAGAACTAACAGACCTCGAGTTCGCTTTGCAACTCAGTCTTGCCGAGGAGCAGAGTAGACTCGAAGCTGAAGCTGAAGCGCAGGAAGACTTTCCTGCTTTGTCGATACGTACAGACAAGGGCAAGGGCAAGGGTAAGCAACAAAGGTTCGATAGAAATTAGATAGATATAAAATAGTCATGAATCATGCATGGTTCTCGAGAAGCTTCTGCATCCATCAACACCTGTGCGTTCGTTGCAGGAACGGACAACGAACGAGAAGTCACGCACTAGGCTAGCCGCATTGGGTTGGTGTGGCTGGCAAGTCACCTGCCTCGATCTCGAGCGGGAAATCTGCTCAAAGAACAGCATCGCTCCAGAGGTTGACGTTCAGTTCTTCTTGACGTGAGAGCCATGTTGCAATTCTGCGCATCGAGAGTACTTTGTGTTATTGTGCAATCGTGTTGTCGACGTGTTGAAGCGGTGGGCATCAGCACAACATACAGCTGAGTCATTGGAGTGATCAAGGATAAGGTCAGAGAACAAGTGATATGTGTATGTACAAGAGAAGAAGAGAATCTAAGGAACATAGAGCCTGGAGTACGCAACCACTTTAGTCCTGCAACACATGCATTTTGTGAAGTTCCTCGTAGCCACGCCCACTCTGCACTCGTCGCAGACACAGAGACAACCACAGGGCCACGCAACGATGACACGAGGGCTACTCTGACAGACGACACACTGCGGTCCACTCGATCCCATGCCTTCAGCGCCAGAATCCCAGGAACCAGCACCTCCAGCCGCTTCGGGGCGTTTGGCGAGACGACGTTCGAGGAGGAATCTCTCGAGATTTTCCGCTTCGGCCATCGAACCTGAGGCACCTTCTGTACTTTCGCTGAACGCTGAATCGAGGTATGGGACGTCCAGCACTCGTGCTTTTTCACGGTTCATCCGTTGACGGTACTGTGAGCGTGTCACAGGCTTTTCGCTTTGAAGATGGCGTGCGAGCATTTGTGCTTCTTCTTTATCTGCTGCTGTCTTTGGGTCCAGTAGTCGAGCTAGATCTGCCACGTCGAAGCCTGTTGCAGGGGTCGGCTCGCGACTATGGATGTAGTCATCTTGCGTCGGGGTCCTTCTGCCGCTGTCGTCCTCAGAGTCGACTTCGCTGAGAGCGCTTGATGACATGGAGATCATGCTGGTTGTATCATCATCTTGCTCTCGAGATTCGTAAGTACCGCTGGTGTCCAGATCTCCCCACCATCCACCACGTTTCCACCAGTTATACAGATCGGCATCCACTGCATCCTCTTCTGGTGCATGACCTGTAGGAGCCTGCAGTCGCCTGCGCATCTCGACTTCGACATCGATGTTACCATTTTGTGGTAAAGATAAGACACCTTTGTCAGAAACTAGCCAAAAGTCGGGTGTCGAGGCTCGTTGTCCGTTCCGCGTTCTCGAAGATGAAGGAGCAGCGGCTGGCCGCCCATAATCGGCGCCCCTGGTCAGCCATTGGGGCACTCTCTCAATACCCATCCTTGAGAGACAAGTCAGAGCAAGACGACTGTTGATGCGGATAAGCAACCAGAACAGACCCTTCAGGAATTCGAAACTGAGTTGCCATCTACCACGACGTTCTGCGATCCCGAGTCCGTTATCATTGTTCAAGGCTCTACTATTCTTGGGTTCAGTGGAAGACTTCGATCTTCGCTCGACAGCAAAGCCTGATGTCGAGGGCATGGTCTTGTGGTCAGTGAAGCTGAGACCTCTCGCAATACGTTCATCGAGCAAGTCAGAGGGGACCAGACTCGCTCGGCGACGATCTTCCAGCATGGAAGTGAATTCTTGCATTCGCTCTTCTTCGAGCCAGGTCATGGCATGGATTTGAATTTTGCTTCCTTCGTTGAGGAAGACAGACTCACTTGCGGCGGTAAGAACATTGAAGCCAATTTTCAGCAGAACGGTGTAAAAGTCTTCACTCCAACTCAGCCTCATGGATGAGACAGACGAGAATTGAACATTGGCTTGCATGTTGTTGAAAGCAATCGAAAAGCGCTCCTTGAGCGAGGGATTTTGTGGTGCGCTTGGCGGAAGTGATATTGCGTTGAGCAATAGAGCCACGCCGTAAATTGATGAACATACCAGAATGCCTAGAATGATGAGCATATGAGGAATAAAGCCAATGATGCAGACGGTCGGGAAGCGAAGAATGCTAACATCTTGCGAGCCGAGAGGGCTCGAGAGAGCATTGACAAAGCTCCAGCAGAAAGCAGCCATGTAGCATATGGCCCAGATAGCCGTATTGACAAGGCGCAGTTGGTGTCTTCGACCAGTGATGGCGAGGATGGCACTACTGATGTGGCTCATGCAAGAAATCAAAGCGATGAGTAAAACCTCGGAAGGAACGTTGAGGCGTTGAAGAACCATAGACTTGGTCAACAGAATAGTAGACAGGTCTGAAGGGTCGGATGGGTCAGAGATAGGGCGGGAGTGCGAGGTCGAGTCGGCTGGACCAAAGCCGCTCAAGCCAATAGCGTTGGTAAGCATTGCTTCTGATTCAGCAAAAGCCAGAGAATGCTCGAAGGTTGTCATGCCAGTCTCAGGCAAGGGCTGCCTTCCTTGGAGAGCACAGCTCAGTGTTTCGATAAACTGACTGAAGCAAAGGGCCAGAAAAAGGGGCCAGAGAAGCGAGAAAGAGCCCATGACATCGAGGAACTTGTCGTCCTCAAGAGCCATGTTCATTGCGCGACAGCATTCAGCATCTGACTTCCAGAACAACAGCTTGGAGCTGAATTCGTATACAAAACCACCTTCCCCACCAAAGTTGATGGCCAGGTGCTTGTTTGGGTCGCCATATCGTAGCAGAGGGTAGTCGGGAAACGTCTGACATTTGAGTGCTTGAAGGATAGATAAGATGTGGTAGGAGAGGAGTAAGATTGGAGCCGAGTATAGGAGGAGACGGGTGTGCCAACGGGGGTTCAGGTTCTGACGAGACGAAGCGTAGAAGTGGGTGCGGTTGAGGAAGATGGACTGGACGACATAGTCAGTGGTTTGTAGGCGAGCCAGGATGGGAGCAGGAGGCGGAGCGCACAATGGCAAAGGTGGCCAGGGCCCAGCGTGAGCCTATGTATGCAAACATGCCGCCAAAACCCTTTATGGCATCAGCCGAGAAAGGAAGACTGAGGAAGGAGAGGTAGCCAGAGGACGAAGGCGAAGCAGCAGCAGCGGCGGGTGAAGAAGCGGATTGGTGAATGGCAGTAGCGGTGGCGTTGAGCAGATGATGAGTAGCAGGTTCGGTCATGTTGTCTTTTGGTATCCAGCGCATGGCCAGGTCGGCCATGTTGCGCGCCAGGCGGGGCACGAGGAGCAGGAGGTCGGCCGACGACGGCACCAGCGACGAGTTGGTCGACATTATTGGCAGACGCCCATCAAGCTGACGCCAACCCGCAATGTGTCGTGTGGCCTTTGCAAGACATGGGCATGCTTGGCCGTCGAAACACTTGCTAACTCAGCTTCCAGAGGCCTCTTTGTCACGCTGACGGCTCTCGCAGCACGTGCCCTTTCGGATGCCGCCGTTCAAGATAGAGCTATGCGGGGTCATCTAATACATCAACCTTCCACGTCTGCCGTCCACGTCCTCTCCGCTTACACGAACCAGATCTATCTATATTCTGCAGCTACATACTCTACCAGGGCCCTAGGCCAAACTACCTAGAATTCATTCTGCCGTCCCTCAGAACAGACCCATTCGAGGCAGTCGGAACATAGACTACCGACCACGGCCTAGTGCAGCGGGAGCGCCCGCTGCAGATCGTCGTCATTGACCTGGCTGCCTACTGGCTACTCGTAGGTCCATCTGCCATCACTATTTTCTATCCTACATGTTCATCGACAACAAACCCAACCTTTCACCTTGAGCTACCTATCCATCCTTCGTAACAACCACTTTTACCATCTGCAGGTGCTGCATCACACCGCCCGACATGACTGTTGTAGGCAACGTCCTCTCAGCAGACTCGCTGGCCAGCGTCATGGCATCCACGCTGCCTGAAGAGAGCACTCCTCAAGTCCACACTCCATTCGACGCCATCGCTCTGGCAAGCCATGCTTCGATGCTTGCCGTCGGCTTTCGTTTGATAGGTCTCGGTGATGATGACCGTATCACTGCCGACAACCCCCCTCGACTGCCCGCCAGCTGGAATTCAAACGCCCCCAACTACGCCTTCCGATACGCCCACACCCAGTCGTCCATGGAATACCTACTAAAGGTCAACCGTATGGGCAACAAGGCCGTCGTTCTGGCCATGGGTCTCGGCGACGACAAGACGGCTACCCTGGACGTGAAAGCTGCCGATTACACTTCTGAAGGTTCCATGCCCTTCACCTTGTCAGATCCACACGCCAGAAACCTGTTCAATCTCTTCATATCCAATGGACGCCTATCTGACTACGGCTCTCTCATGCGCATCAACATCATCCAAAAACTCATGCCCTCACTCCAGAAAGAAGGCTACCAAGAGTCTACTACACAATCTACCCGACAGCCCATCAGGGATCCCGACACTTCTCGTCCCGATCCTTTACGTGATGATCGTCAGCCTCCCGCTCGCCCTCGCCCCTTCCACGACCCTCTCGCCCAGACTCAACATCCCTTTCCCCACGGAGAACTCGCTCCGCCAGGTTTCGAAGATCCTTATGACCTGAACAGACCGCTTCGTCCCGTCGGCGGTCCCCATCCGGGCTTTGGTAACATTGGTGAAAGAGATCTATATCCTCAAGGCCTCGGTCCGAGAGACCCCTTCGGTAGCTCTGGCCCTGGATTCGGTGGTGGCGGTATGCATCCAACTCTGCCCGACTTTCACGATCCACGAGGTCAAGGTTACAATCCACAAGCACCTCCGGGCAGTCGATTTGACCCAGTCGGTCCTCGCGGTCCATCAGGTTTTGGTGGTCCACCAAATCCATTCAACAACTTCGGTAGCGGGGATTTCATGTGACGCTAGAAAGTCTTGATGGCCAGCTTTTTCTCCTGTACACTTCACTTCTTTGTCGCTTTAAAATACCCCAAACATTTGCCAAGGCCTAACATACTGCGCTTGTATTATAACGTTGCCAGATTTCATCCATGCATGTGGTCCTGCGTTCCCCTTCAACAAGTGCCTCTGGTTCATTTGATCATTCATGTACAAGATAGGAGCACGGCCGTCGGATATCGCGCACATTCATGCGTCTGTACGCACAAGTATCGCACGAACCGTGAATGTCGCCAACTTCGAAATAAGCAGTCTGCAAGCCACGCACTATATAACGGCCCCGGCCACATCCTATAATATTCTGAACACTGACTCGAGGCTCACTGGGATCTAACCAGGCGGCTTGCCTCACGTGCGCAATACGTGGACGCCATTGAATCCTGAAATCATGCAACTGCGACATTGGGAAGGACGCTGGGTGACCATCCCTTGTATATCGTTTGAGCTGCAGCCCACGACTGCGCATTGCTAGTTCTAAACCTGCGTAGCGGTATGATCTATTGGGCGTCTCGGAGATCTAAGGGCCAGTGCCGGCAGGGAGTCGACCTCGATGGGTCTCATCCGTCTTCAAGGAGGAGCTGAGCCATAACTGCCGTTATCATCAGTGGTAACAAGGAGAATGAGGTGATCGCAGCTAACGCGGACCAAATGTGCGCACCTTGATTACCCTATCTACAGCAATCTATGTACGACATCAGCCTGCATTACCAATCCCAGGTTTCTCGGTGTGGACCGGCACGATGCATGATCCACCTCGGCGCAAGCCCAGCCATGATAAGAAGGTCTGAACGGAGCTGTTCCGAGCATTTGCTCGGTCCATCCATTTTGACGCCTAGGTGTTATCAGGAACCCATGACACGATTTCAGGACGGTGGTTCAAATAAAGTAATAGACTTTGAGCCGCTGATAAATCTTCCCCGCCTAATCAAAAAGTCAATCCTTCGGATGCTATCTTTCAACGTGCGGACCCTGACCTGCTCCTTCCGGCTTCAGGGGTTTGCGATCATCTCTTGCATCTCATGAAACTCATCTGTGGTTTACCGAGGGTCCTTTCTCGTCTCAAGCCGGAATCTCTACTTCCCAATCACCTTCCGACCGTCCACGGCTGGCACATGATAAGGAGCCGTTGAGGATAACTGATAATCGGATCGGTTTTCTATGCTATTATGTTACTCCGAGTACGAGTATACGTGTCTTTTGAGTATGTGTTCAGCCCCCATCTCAACAACGCGCCCAGAGTATGCATCTCCACGCAATGCCCCCGCCTGTAGTGTTGAGATCTGATCTATGATTGGCCCAGCAGTATCGGCTCATCTAACAGGCATCCACATCCAATCACCAACACAATGTATGCACGAGTCAGGATCAGTACCTGTTGAGGGCCCCATCACATGTGCATACGACCGCGCTTAGGCGGCTGCAGCTCGTAAGCTAAGCGTGAATCGAACGAGCTAACACGGTCGGACCCATCAAGAGGTACCAGTCACGCTGCCTCGACCTCAAAACTCCTCGAGTGAATCGGCATCAGCATATGTCGGCATATTAGTCCACGAACGCTGGGGCCAACGAATCTTTGAGTCGTTTGCGATCCACGCCCGTTCGTTTTGAGCAGCTACCTTCGATATGCCTGCATTATCGATTCTGGTCAGCACGTTATGCAAAAAGAGGAAATGGCAGATTCGACGCACCTAACAAGCGTATCCTTTCTTGCGAACAAAGACCCACACAATACGCATTTGTGTTCTCGCAAGTGTAAGTGTACACTGCGCTCATGGCGACCAAGGTCGGTCTTTCTGTCAAAACTCTTGCTGCATCCGGCATGAGGGCACTTGATCTTCTCCCTCGTGGTCTCGTGCTTGAGCATGTGACTACGAAGATTGTAGACACGTTGAAACCCTTTGTCGCATTCGTTGCAATAGAACCTGGTGTTCTCTGCTGTGGTCTTGATCCTGCGTGGCCTGTCTAGTAATGCTTGCACTTCAGCATCGGAGTGCTGGATATATCTGGGCCGTTGTTCAATGGAAGCTCGTCTCTGGTGCGAGTCGTACGTCAGGACATCCTCTCCGACTTCAAATTGAGCGTCATACCAACGACGTGAGGGATGATGTCCAGAACCATCAGTTGTGTTGTGTAGCTGGTGAGATGCAAGCCACTGAAGCGGACTCTCTACACCATCTATACGCACAGCACTGTCTGTCATAGACACCGAGTGTGTTGTCGGAAGCGATGGAGTGTTCGAAACCAGACTCGAGTTCGTTAGAGTTGGTGACCATTTGCAGTCCGGAATCGAGTTGTGTTCGTGCTTCACATTCGACGAATCCAAGCTTGTTGATCCAGAACTTGACAACACCGCTCCGGAGAATTCAGGATAGGTGACAGCTCCGAATCCAGGTTGTGGCAATCCTGTCCAGAACTGTTTCTCAGCCTCTATGGAGCTTCGCCAAGGGCCGGAGTCAAAATCTCGATGGTTTTCTAGTTGGTATCCTGGGTGGTAAAAGAGCTCGGAGCCCCAGTGATTGGGATGTTGCATGACGAGAAGAATATATGAAATGATCTATCTGTTTAGAACAATGACAGCCGTTAGTTGTAGTCGCTAGAACTGAGACTACATGCAAAGTGCCTCCACAAGGTTTGACATACTAATTTTGACAGCAGAGAGGCGGTGCAAAGGCAACTCAAAGAACAAGAGCGGTTATGAGCGTGAAGTACAATTCAGGCGCATCCTACAACTAAATGCAAAAAGGGCTCCGGTCTAAGTCCCGCATCGAGACCAGCAGTTGGAAACAACAGACCCGGTGGTAGGGTACCTGCCAAGGTCAAGGCACCAAGGACATGCACCTGACACTTGAATACACAGACGCCTGGAACTCCATAACTTCACATTGATATTGTTGGTTGCTCAGATTGCTGTCATTTCGTTGCTACTTTTTGTATGCCGTTTAGACTTGCGGTTCTCGATCCTCGGCTGCGGATGGCGGCTGCCGAATAGCGTCTCCATCGACCCAGCTGCTTGGGCTAAAGCAATCAACCGCACATTATTTCAGCCGTGTCTCGGCCTCATACCCAGATAAACTGTTGCACAATGCTTTGAGCCCCACGACTCCAACAAAACGAGCTTTCTAGCCTCGACATTGGATCAATCAAACTAGCTCTCAGCTGGCGCTCAGTTCTCCACTCTCCTGCAAGTGCGCTTCTTTTAGCAGTGTCGCATTTGTGGTACCGCGCGGTAGCGTGTACAAAGCTAATCTGTATTGTTCGCTTGGAGCTGGCGCTCTTGCTCTTCGATCACATCTCTGAGCTGTGCTATCTGCAGAGTGAGCTGATCGAGCACGGCCTTCATGTCGTTGACGGGAGCTGCAGAAGCCGAAGGCTGTGAGACTGACGAGCCCTGCGATTGGTCCACGCCCGTGTCCGGTCTCGAGTTTGGCGCCAATAGCGGAAATCGCGTTGAAAGTCTCTTGTTCAAGACAGATCGTCTCCAACCGGGTGGCTTTTCGATACCTCGAGGCGATCCTAGACCAAATCCAGTAGTGTTCTTTCTACGCACAGATTGCATCTTCTCGTACAAATTGATGAGCAGTACATGAGGCAAATGAGTCATCTTGAGAACTACAATGCGACTGTAGCGTAATTGCTCGGCAGACAAGAACAGTCTCAGAGGTCTCAGAGCAAGTGAGAACAGGTTCAAAGGAGGAACAAAATAGGTGAGTCTGTTCGATGTTGAAGCTTCGAGCACAAAGACCGAGTAAACATATAGGTACTCTTCCCTGGCATGTGAGAGAACATTTGAGAGACTGTTAGACAAAATCGAGATGAGCGAAGTGATCAGAAGGATTTGTGTCAACCTAAAATCAGGTTGGAGTCAGTGAAGAGGTCTTTGTTCAAGAGACAGAATTCGGGCGTAGGAACATGAGATACGAACGTTATAAAAATTAGCATCAACGGAAGTCCAAGATAGGGTGAGATCTTATCGCTTATTTCGAAGCCCAGATATGAGCTTCCAAAGAACACCTTCGTTAGAATAAGGGCCATCTGACGGGAGGTAAACTGGCCTCTGCCTAGAAGGCAAAAGGTCGATAAGAAACCACAGTACAATATTGCCACAAGCGAAAGGAACTTGAGAAAGTCCTGAAGCATCGTCAGTCATGAACAGAATATCGGCTAAAAAGTCTGAATAAACCTTTGTCATGGCAGTGAGACATGGAAGCAGGGTGCCAAAATAAGGATTCAAGGAGAGCAGTGGAGAGCAGATTCTAGGAATAAGAAACAGTGCTTCAAGTGCCAGAATGTCGAAGGATGTGTCGATGATTTTGTCGCTTCCTTGATGCAGGCCAATCATACCTAGACTCGTCAGCATATGCTCACATCGATTACACACCGATTGTGTTTTGTGCGAGCCAACCGAGCGTCGCGCGGAGCCGCAAGAGGACACAATGAGCACACAACTTACGAGTGACGAAAAATGCGACTCCAATGCCAATCACGAACAAATCCCAGAGAGACCAAAAGTCCGCGAGATAGAAGGTTGTGGAACCAGCGTCCCAGTACTCTCCAATTTCGTTGTGAGCAAATGACGCGATCCAGATGTAGAGGAAGACCTCAGCTGTGGTTACCGAATAGAACGAGCGCTGCATCAGAACAGCGAAATAAAATGCGAGAAATGCGATAAAGAAGAGGACTTCAAAGGCCTTGAGATAGATGGGGACACGCAAGCGACAGTAAGGATCCATGGACTTGCGCTGGTAGATTTGTGCCTTTTTCTGCGCATCCGCGCTGAGTTTGTTCCAGAACATGATGTCTCCAGTCCAAATTGCATTGATGATTCTTTGGACCTGTTTTTGACAGAGGAACTTCTTGGCTCCTGACACAGCTGCGATTTCTAAGGCATTGAGACCATCGAATTGTTCGGCCAGTTCGGCATCAGAAGCAGCAGTTGACTCTTCGGCTGCTCCGTCATAGGCTTCCGGAATGGTGAGCCTGCTTCTGTAGCTTCCGCGAGAACGTAGACTCGATCGTGGCAGCAGGGGAGATTGTTCAGTGGCCGGTGATAGGAGCTCCGGCTGATTTTCATCCACGATTTGGTTGTCAGTCTCCGAAATATCAGGAATTTGTAACTCGTAAAGAAGCGAATCGATTATCTCCCTGTCAGCCAATCCGATAATAAATCTTGTAGCGACCGCTTCACAAGCGAATCCTCTAGCGGCGTGGATACCCTGCTCCTCGTCGGCCTCAAGGGTGACAAAGTGGCCTTTGAGAACGCTGTTGGATACAATGTCAGCTCAGTCTGGGTTTTAGGGGGTTTTGTCTTACAGCAGTGCTGCAACCAATGCTGGGTGGTGTACGTCATGGAGCAGATGCCGACACAAAGGAGTAAGCAGATGATTCTGAGTGGTTCGGAATTCCTCGAATGTGATGGGTTTCTCGACGAGCTCTGTGAGGTATCTGGCAAGTGCATGAGTGAATAATGTCGGCTTTTATAAGAATACACTAGGCTCATGTACCTTGCAAGCTTTTGGATCAGCGTCTTGAGAGAATCGTTTTTACCGATTCGTGGCAGTTGCGCAGGCAAGTGTGTTTTTAGCCCGGACGATTCCATTGTCAATGATTTCTGGATGATGAGCTTCTGGCCGATGTTGTTCGGACCAAAAGTTGAAGTTTGGAGATCTGAGACGCGCACAAGTTCTGTCGCACCCTGAGTCCCTGACCCCACGAAAGTCTAGAACGATCTTCCCATTTGTTACAGCACAACCCACGAAATATAATACTTGAGTCTCATCACTGATGAACGCAGTTTAAATATTGGCCTCGCCAAAGATTGTCGCACGAGGTGTGTCTCCAAACATTAATTGGCGTAAGTCTATCTGGCGCAATTGGGGTATCTCCTGCTATTCTATACCTCCTTGACATTCACCTCCGCCCTCTAGCCTTTTACATGAATTGTACATTGGAAAGCCTTTCTCTGCTTTGTTTCAATAATGCAATCAGATGGGTACGTCTTCCATCATTTCCACTGCACCCTCCCTTCCGACAGTGAAGATAACATCACCCAGAGTTTTGGTGACGAAACCAGCCTCGCAATAAGCGAAGTAATACTCCCACTTCCTGCGGAAAAGATCAACATCTTTCTCTGTCATGCCTTCATGGTCCTTAAGCAGCGAAGGTTTGATTTTTTGGTCGAAATTTCGCATAAATTCTTCGCGCCACAATCGCAATGTCTTTGCGTAGTGCGGGCCAATGTTTTCCACAGATTCCGGGATCAGCCTGCAGGAAGATCCAGCTCTGACAGAGTCTAGTAATTGAGTAACGGTAGGGAGGTGGCCACCAGGGAAAATGTATCGCCGGATGAAATCGTCCGAGTTGCTGTATGCATCGTAACGCTTGAAATGGTTAGCAGCCAATTTATTGTATGCGGTATAGGCTTGTGCTTACGCTTTCGGGCATTGTAATGCACTGGAACACTCCCACACCACCCTCAGGCTTCAGAAGCTTATCAACGCATTGGAAATACGTGTCGAGGTATTCCTTGCCTACTGCTTCCAGCATCTCAATGCTGACAACTTTGTCGTATAGCTTTCCATCTCTTGGTGTTGGCAGAGCGCGATAATCGCACAGAAGGACCTCAATACGGTCTGTAAATCCGGCTTCCGCGATTCTCTCCTCGGCTAAGGCCTTTTGCTCGATTGACAAGGTCAGACTTGTGACACGACATCCAGTCTCTCGTACAGCCAAAATGGCAAAACTGCCCCAACCAGTGCCAATCTCCAATACATGGTCGTCCTGCTTGATCTTTGCATTTGTGATGAAGCGTCTTAGTTTGCGCATCTGAGCTTGCTCAAGCGTCTCTTCTGAGGATTGGGGATCGGATTTCGGTAGCCAGATTGGGCAAGAGTAGGTCATGTCCGGAGAGAGAAATGCGGCGAACATGTCGTTGGAGATGTCGTAATGCGCGGCGATATTGAGACGAGCGGTTGTGAGCGTGTTTGTCTTGCGGAGCAGGTACGAGAGTTTGCCGGAAAGATTTGACGTGAGCGTAGAACCATTCGAGAGATATGCGCGGTTGACGATGAATAACTGGCCGTGTTAGTATGTGCTTTAAAGGTCGCTGATATTGATTCCAACCCTAAAGAACTCTGTCAGGTCGGAACAAGAGACCTCTCCAAGCATGTAGCTCTCTGCAAAACCCTAGCTTTCAGTCAGCTCCATCGAATCAGTCAACCAGCAGTATCGTGATTGGTACCATGTCTGCGAAGAGCAACATGCGCACCCAGAATACATCTTTGTGCACAGTCAACTCAACATCTGGCAGAGAGTATACATTTTTCTCCGATGATCCATTGACGACTTCTGTATGTCCGTAGGTGGACACTCTCCCATCCACGTCCGCTAATCTGAGATGTCCAACCTGAATGCGCGACAACAGCGAAAGAACAGTACTGCGCGAAATGGACAGTAAAGGCCCCCAGCCATAAGATGCCACATAGCCGCTCAATGCCTGCAAAGGGCCAGAAGTCTGTGTTGAATTGACCATGATTTGCAAGTCATGCACTAGCAAGTAACAATGTAGAATGATCTTGATTAGAGCGTTCTGAGAAAAGGAACAGCGCAGCTACCTACGCCCATTATTTGAGTCGGACACCGGAGTGATTCAAAGACCGCTTGCTACCGGTCGCAATGTGGAATTGGCTTGAATATGTTATGACTTTACCTTTTAGAGCATGTCAATGACGTGACTGAACGCTCTTAGCGTACGAGATGGAACGTCTCTGGATCGTAGCCAGAACAACTCAGGTACCAAGGAGAGTCGATGTGTCTGGTGCACTAGAGATCAGTATGCTTATGAGCAACGACAGCACCCCTTTGGCTTCTCTCTTGACGTGAAGCAAATGGGGATTTCCCATGTTGAAGTCACATCGCGATACGCGCATCTGGAAGCTTCATTGCCCCACCAAAATGGCAAAGCTTGAAGCGTGTTGCTGAGATTGCTGCGATCGAGCTCGGGGCACGACTCCTGATCCGCGGCGATTCGAAAACGAGGACAGAACGCCATTCGGTTGATCAGGCTTGTACCCGACATCCATGGTGAACCAGGGGTTGTCGCGCGCAACATAGAAATGTGGGAAAGGAAAGAAGTGTCCGCTGGCGTCGAAGTTCGATTTAATGAGCAATGAGCTAATTCTGTCAATGTTGTTTCCTCATGATGACCGCGTGAACAGGTCTTGACCGTGCTTTGAGAGCTTTTCGATACCACATATTGTTCACGACCCCATTTTTTGCAACAACTTGGTTGTATAGTGTAGCGGTGAGCACGTGGGATTTTGATTAGTAATCAAGCCTTCCCGAGTCCGTAAGTTATCCTCAATGACTATCCCAGTCTGAGCATCTTCTAACATACCTTAGTGGGTTCGAACCCCAGTACGACCTTATCAGTGTCACAAACTTTTTACTCTTTTGGTACCTGTCATGATTGTTTGTCGGTCAACACATCAATCAGAATGTAGTTTTGCGCAGCTATAGCAACGACCAATGGCTTGTCCGCCCGTTGTGGATGGTCGAGGTACGTTAGGTGACGTGAGCTTCCTTTTGCTGAGCTCGTCATCGACTCAATCACACAACATTCACACAAAACCCATCGTTTACTTTCGACCTATCGATTCACAATGCCGCGCCGAGCACCTGTAGCCACAGCCAGACTGGAACCCCCCACTGTTTCACGGCCTCAGACAACCCATGCCCAACGAATGGAGTACCGCATAGGAAGAGGAGAAATGGGCGTCTTGACGTTTGAGCCTTACAAGTCATACCTGCTTCCCCTATGGCGATTCAGAACACCAGACATTGCACGGCAATCCTCGGCGCTCCTCCGGAAAGAGTTTGAGCATTTTGGCGAAGAGGGAGACTTTGTCGGCATGGACATGACGCGCAAATTCATCCAGATGGGATTCACACGCGCGAAACGATACGCCAATCATAAAGGCGGGAAAAAGTACGACAAAGACCACGAGATCCTTCCCAACAGCGAGGCTCATGCGGACAAGGCGGACAAGGAAGAATCGAGCCGGATATTCAAGGATATATTGGAAGAGATTAAGCAAGACGAGACATACTTGCGGCTCAAGGAGCAGTTCCAGAAAGAGCTTAAGCAATACAAGAAAGAGAGTTCATAAATCGTCATAAAGATCTCTTAGTAGAAGACCATTCTTCCTGCTTGATTGTGTTTCTGTACTGTCTAGCATGGTACAGACCAGGGGATATAGATCTTCCTTGTCCATGATTTCGATCAAACATCTACAGGATTTGGTCAGGGTCGGACCCTCACCCAAATTGTGCTCATGGCACGGGAGTGCTTCTGCGCTAACGGTACATTATTTTGCGATTTGCAAGATGAAATAGTATTCTGTTAGTCTTCTTAGAGTAAAGGCGATGACTTGTGGTTCTCGTGGGGACCTAGTGCCGAAGTACGAAGATACATGATTTTGAACCGTACATTTTGGAAGACTCGAATGTTGATACTTGAGCATCGTCAGTCAATAGACACTGGCACGTTTACTCAACCATAATTGTGGGCATGAAGCATCATAGCAAGTCAAAAATCAGGTGAGCAGGATCTTACTACATTTTTACTGACATGCTCTGATATGCAGATAGTGACCCTGTCTCATCTCGACTTATTGCCGTAATTGCCAAGACCCTGCCCTGGAACGATACTTAGAAGAATTGGTGCAGTGTTCTCTGTTCGCGGCGCAAGCTACAACACGAGATGCAAACGCCTCTATTATCATTCATAAATAGCATTGACTGGTGCGTTCTACTCTACGCAACCTCTTGACTCTTCTCCTCAGCAGTAGGCATAGGCGTATTTGCCTCAACCTGTTCATGTGCTACTTCTGTGCCCTTCTCTTTCTCCGCCTTTGCCTCCGCCTCGGGGAACAGTTCTGGCATCAAGTTTGGTAAGAACTTGTGTAGCCTATTCGATGTGTCGTTCCACAGCTGTTTTTGCTGCTCTGATTGATCATCATCCTCACATGGGCGCTTCAGGTAGCCACCGCTGGACATGACGAGCAGTATGTTCTTGAGTGATTCTGACACAGCTTCGGCCTAGAGTTGACGATATCAGTGAATGATGCGCGCACAATCATGTTTGGAGAACTTACCAGCGTGTCGCCTTGGCCGCTATGCATCAAGCGATCCATGAGGTCCAGAATCTCCATCCATAAGTCGTGCATTCCATCCCACTCGCCAAGCACCACGAGATAATGTAAGAAGATCTTGCACAAAAGTTGTGCAGTTTGTATACGCATCTCACCCATACCAGAAGGATCAATCTGATACACTTCTGGTTTGAGCAATTGCTGAACCAGGGGAAATACGACCTTACTGAAGATGTTTGTCCACTCTTTATGTTCTGGAGATGCAAGATCATTGGACAACAAGCACCTTTGCAGAGACGCGAAAGATTGCTGACGAATCTCCCGAGAAGGACTGACACATTGCACGATGAAGCATCTGAAAATGGGAAGCCAGTATGCCTGCCAAGCCTCGTCAGGTTCCAGATGGGACTTTTCGATGAAGGCAGGTACGCGGCCAGTCATTTGTGATACAATGGCCATCGCTCTAACACCGCGGAGGGTGGCCTCATCAGGTGCTGGTCGCTTCTCAGGCGCTGTTGGTTTGGCTCGTCTTGCAGCTGGCTCTCTCCGTTGTTCACGGACTGCTGAAACCGTGGCAAATGTATTGAGTAGACCAATGGCTGATTCGTAGTTGTCCGCAGTGATCGCTTGAGGGGATCCTGTCGCAATGTCTTCGGTGATATGAAAGGCCAGCGGAGCAGCTTCTGGATTTGGTTGAAGCGCGTGAAGTACGGACCAGAAGTCTGGGGACGTTGCCATCTCTTTCCGCAGACTTGCAGGGCCTTTGATGCACCGGGACATACCCTTCAATATAGTTGGACCGCATCGCTGAAGGAGGTCTTGGTTGAAGGATGAGATAGTATGCAATACAACTGGAGCGCGAACATAATCGTGGTCCTGCTTCTGGTCAGAAAAACATCATGATAGTGATAAAAAGTACTAACATCACTGGCTTTGAGCAAATTCAAAAGATAATAAGACGCTCGACCGACTGTTACCGGATGGAGGCCATCTGCATCATGAATTACAGACTTCAGCGTTTGAGCAACATCTTTGCCAATCGATGACATAGATTCTTGGTCACGCGTTGCCAGGACAGTAGCAAGCTCAAGGACACAGACAAGGGCCGGGTCATAATCTGGAGTATTAGGCTGCAGCTTCTGGCCATTAGGTCGTATAGGGGTCGGGGAAGCAACTGGTGGTTTCACGACGATGACTTTGGGTGAATTCTCGACATCGTCTGGTGGCAGGTACGACAAGAGCGATTGTATGAAAGCCTCGAGAGATTGACGAGGCATGTTGCTGGAGAGACAGATGTCAACTCATGATCATGGATGATTGAATGGTGCTTTGCTTACCCGATGTTGGCAATAACTTCATCCAACCGACATGCACTGACGCAGTCCACAGTGCAAAGTGTCGCCTCAATCTCCTGATCGTTCGGTTCTGGCGGCTCATCATTCATCACGCTTGACACGTAGGATGTGAAAGCTGAGAACAGACCGATATCAGTCGACTTATCATTCCGTTCAATGACTTGAGCAGGACTCTGGAGTGGGATATGCGGAAGATCAAGTTTGGAGGTCAATGTGGATAGGGTGTTGGGGATGAGAGAGTTGATGAAGAGATTGAGGATGATCCGAGTGATCTGTTATCTGGGTTTAGTACAACAACGAAGACTAGTTCTTTAGTATTGAACTTACATGGCTCCAGCCATTTCGGATTGTGGCCTCATGGCCGTTGATGATGCGGAATAGTACAAGAGTAGCAAGCTGAGCTTTGTTCTCTCGACCGAAGTCAACTGCAAATTTGCTCACCATGATACTCTTGCCATTTGCCTGTACTTCAGTGTTGAGAGCAGTGCTGGGTGGCGTCTCTGTGGCTAGGGTGCTGATTTGTGCAAGAGAAGCTATGATGTGATCGAGGCAATCATGAAGCCCATGCTTGGCCGCGATTTGGGCACACTGGTCAAAGCCAGAAATGACTCTCTGAAATACGGTATCATCAGTGGCAGACATGAAGACGTAATTGAGAGTCGCGACAACAGGCTTCCATGTGGCTGCAAACATATCCGCATCGTAGATATTGGTATCACATAGGACGAGATCTTGCGCAGTCTGAGTCTTGATTAGGAGTTCTTTCCACGCATGTTCGAAGGCGTGCTTGTTGTCGTGCTCCTCTGGCAAGATGATTTCCCGGGTTCTGATCGAATCATAAATCCCTTGGAGGTAGTCTGGTTCGAAATCTTTTCCTCCATTCACACCACGCAAATTGCGAGCAAAGTCAGTCACCCCCATTCGCGCTTGTTTCATATTTGGGTTGTGCTGATCGGTATTAAGCATGATGATTGCATATGTCAGAACGTATACAGCGTCCTTGTCCGCAATACCCTCAGGCTCAGTCTTGTCGCAATACTTCTCGGCAAAGACTGTGACGATTCTCTCGATTAGCTGTGACTCGCCGGGGAGACGGAAGGAATTCAGTATTTGGCGCAAGGCCTCGTCAACACGCTGCCCTGTGAAGTCGAAAAGATCCAGGAAGGCATTGAGAATAGCCTCGTTAGACCTTTTCGATATGAACTCTCCCAGAACCTTCTTATCGATACGTGATGTTCCTTTCAGAAAGCGCGTGATGGACATGGAATCGTCTATGTTTTCAATGATCCCTTGAGAAGCCAGATAAGCAAGACCTGCCTTAGGATTTTCGTTAAACTTGGTGGCACCGCGGATGATAATTTGTTTGCGAATCCGCTGCTCACGGAGTGCTTCCAACTGAGGCAAGCCCTCAGTCACAGGTTCATCATCGAGCCTGTCGGCAATGAACTGCACATATCCAAGCAGTGAGTCCAAGCAGAGTGGTGGCACATTGGTGGTACTCCAGGTAGCAGAATCTGGAAATGCGTTGCGCGAGAGGAGGCCAACCATGTCCAAGCATAAATCGCTTCGGTCGATCTCGCAATCGTAGTTCACGAAAAGCTCAGCCATAAAGCTAGGAATCCTAACCAGAGCCCCGACACTTTCCACCATAGCTTCTCTAGCGTCGGGCTTCCGGGAACCACCCTCCAAGCCGAGCTTTTGTCTATCCTTGACCGGTACCGGAGTGGATCGGCCACTTTGCGAAGCAGATGCGGCTGGTTTGACAAGTCGTGGAGCCTGTGGTACACCCTCATAAAGAGCAGGGTTGATGTTTGGTTCATCGGGAATTGGTACGCGAGGATGCAAGCAGGCAACAATGTATGAGAGATAGAGCTCTTGTTGAAGTCGTAGTACACTGCGACAAGTTGCGAGCAGGGTGCCAGCAACGCGTAAGGATTCGTGGAGGAGGGCGATGTTTTCAGAGCGCACAAGCTGGAAGAGGTTGCGACACAGAGTATCCTTTGCCAGCGAGGCTAGAGATGGGTGGTAAGCTATTGAGGGACCGGCAACTTCAAGAGCGACGTTCACAATACGTAAAGCCATGACTCGCATGGTATCAGTGTACTGTCTGTCGTGAGGGTCAAGAAGCTCAGCCAGAGTGCGGAAAAGCTCTCTGATGGATGGCAAGCCATATGGATTAATATCGGGAATGTCGGTGGTTTCGGTTGCTTTGGTTAGATCGACCTGGCTGGCGTTGAATTCTGCAGACGGTCTTTCACTACTGGTCACACGAGGGACATCTAGACTTCCTGAAGTGAGGGTGTCCTGAGCGGGCGTCGAGCCAATCTGGGTAGTGCTGGACTCAATCTTGAAGTCGTCTTGATCGTTCTGATTGTCATCTCCAGGCAAGGACTCGAGATGAGTCAATCTCTGAAAGATGGTCTGACACATGGTAACCATGGTGATCTCAGCCGAACGACGTAATACCTCGCTCATGCGCAGTGCACAGCATATCGAAATACCACACTCCATCATAGCACAGACGCTTTGGTCGCCAAGGACTTCTCCCGAAGGGCCGGTGATGATGATCTCCATCAGCTTGAGGATACGGAGAAAGACGACATCGTCTGATGCAGTGTTGTCTCCCTCGAAGCGACAATTTGTCACGCTTGAAGATAAAAGCATCATGGCGTAGGGGAAGTTGGGCATTCCTGGGCTGACGACATTGTAGGAGAGCATTTTGGTAATTGCAATCAAGGCCAGCGAGGTAATAGGAGCGGTAGTAGAGGAGGAACGGATGACCTGCAAGAAAGGTTGGAGGATGGAGGGAGTGTCGACGGTGCGAATGTCTGTAAGATGAAGTCGTTAATTGCTGGGTAGAGACAATGGGCGAGGCCGAACGACATACCTCTGCAGCCCTTGAGTTGACTGCGCAGACGTGCAAAGGCAGAAAGCAACGGGTTGTCTTGTATGCTCTTTCCCTTCTTGCCACGAAGACCCCATCGTGTAGCCAGTTGTCCACCATCGCTATCGTCGCCCACACTGAGAGAGCCGAGGGACGAGGGTGGGCGTCTAGCAGCGCCGCCGCCCAGAATTGCTGATACCGACGACTGGGCCCAGCGCGCATGCTTGCGCATGGCCGAGGTGACGGTGATACATTCTGTGATGATCAGGGCCACGGGGTCAATGGCTACGCTGACCGGACGCGTCGTTGGTGGACAGTCGGCCGCTGTCTTCAAAGTCGACCTGCTCGTACTGCTGTGGTCCTCGTCTGCACCCGTGCCATTGCTCATTGTGCTCGTCGATTTGCTGCCGTGTACATCAACCACATCTACAATTACTGTACCTAAATGTCGACGTACTCCATCTACGCGGTCAAAGCTTCATGCACCGACTCGCCCCAGATTCTCGCATCAACTCACCCCCGAGCGTCGACAGCTCGCCGCAATCGTATACTCAGGGAGCACCTCACTCGACGAGTCAAGAAATCTCAAGCAGACGGCCAGAGCATAAGTCGTCCTGGTTCTCTTCTAATTCGCTTTTTGCAAAATACATATACCGACATGTTTAGACCTCCGTGTTCGTTTATGATACTCATGCACAACTCCTGAACCATCCCTGAGACATTGCCATCATTCTACTGTGCGGCGCCTTTGTCTTTCACCACTGCTTCAGCTGCCTTCTCAGCCTTATCGGCTAGTCTGCTCAGAAGCGTCAGCCAGCACAATCTTGCAAAGCATTTCATACCGCACTTACCCCTTGGCAGTATCTCTGACACCTTCAGCTGCGCCCTTCGCCGCAGCTTTGGCTTCTCCAGCCACTTCTTTGGCTGCTTCTTTGGCATTGCCAGCAGCATCCTTGACACCACCGGCTACGTCTTTGGCCGCATCTGCTGCTTTTTGTGCATCGACGATTTCCGACTTGTCCTTCTCCCATTCGCTGGCTGTGTCATCGAATTGAGACTGGATTTTGTCCATACGCTCCTTGTTCTTGAGCTCTTCTGCTTCACGCGCTTTCCTTTCCTTCTCCATCTCTTCCATGTGCCTGATGTCGTCCAAGCTGGGCTCGTAAAGATGCCAGATGGTGTAATGAGGAAGGCCCACGACCGAGTACTGCATGCGCTTGGCCATCTAAGTATCACATTAGTCTTCATTGCCATCTTTTCTGCTTGTCATGTCATACCTTGCCGAATCCTTCAGTCTCTGCGTGCTTCTCGAAACTGAAGGCCGGGAAGTGAACACCTGAACGGAAGACCTTGGCCTTAGCCAAGATACTGACACCACCAACGCCGTCAATTTCCATCTCCATATCCGGGTCGCCGTAAGGGTCGCGCAAGTAGGCCAAGTGAGGTCGCCAGGTAGCATATTCTGCATAACCCTCTACAATGACGGCGTCTTCATCGAGTGTGTCGGCCAAGGCCAGGGCAGTCTCGGACTCCTGCCACGAGTTAAGATCGTAAGGTTGCTCACCACCGAGCCAATCAGGCAGAGGTCGCCAAACATCTTTCCACCATGTCAGTTTCGTAAATTGTGTTGTCAAAAGCAGACTTCTTACTGGGCACAATGACGTCCTTGTTATGTCTCATCAAATCCTCCAAAATTGTGAATGGCGCCGTCTCAACGTCGACATCTCTCCAGTAGACCCAGCTGTGTGTGGGACGCAAAGCAGCACTCAGAAGCCAGTTACGTGCTTGGGCCATGCTCTTTCTTCTGCTAGCCTGGGCAGCAAAGCCGTGTCTACTTTCAACATCCTGGTTGACCTTTTGTCCAAAGTCCTTCTCGATGACCGAAACCTCGCCAAAAGGCATGCCATCCTTCTCACTGGCTTGCAGTTGGGCCAAAAGATCAGAGAGTAGGGTAAGAGTGTTGTCTTTGGAGTCACCAACGAGAAAGGCCAGGTCGATGAGGTGGTGAGGATAAGTCAAGTTGCGCAAATGAGAAAAGAACATTGGCAAATGGGGAGAAGCGTCTCTGAGAGGGGCACAGAGGAGAATCCTCTCTTCCCGCTCCCAGCCCCTTGCGGTGCCCTGGACATTGGCGAGATCGTAGTAACGGACAGTCTCGAGTTGGAGCTGCTGGCTCCCGGAAAAGAGGCCGAATGATAGCGTGGGTAATACGGCCTGGCGCGTTGAAGGGAAGAAGAGGAAGATGGCGGCCAACAGAAAAGAGCCGATCAGGGCCAGTCTTAGCATGAGTTGGCGACGTCGTCGCATAGCGGGCTGTGAGCGGGGAGCGAATCTAGAGGACCGGACATGTAAGCGCAACAAACAGAGATGAGACTTGAAAGGGGCATGCGTACTTGTGAGGTTCGATAGAAAAGTGAGAGCGTCCGCCCAGCGGATATGCGCCTGAATTGGAGTAGCCATGTCTGTTCATTGTTGCTCGCTGAGTTGGAGATGCATGCACAGGAAGCATGCAAGACGAGCGATGGCCTACGAACGACGGCCAACGTCTGGAAGAGCCGCAGAAATGTATCGAGAGTCTCCAACAACAAGAGGTTGAGTGACTTGGCTAGATGATGGATGTATCTTGCTACCAACGTCTCACGGAGAAGAAACGGAAGCGTTTAGCTTTGGCCGACTGGCCCCCCTTTCTCGCGTTCAGGGTTACGTGTTGATCTCCGCGCGAACCATCTGTAACGACATGGTGGTACATGGCGATTGGAGAGACTGTTTTCCAAAGAGAGCTAGACTAAGCTATCGAGGAAAATATATGCTTGCATTTCACGCGGGAATATATTGGAAGTATGAAGGGGAGCACGAGTTTGGGTCGGCTCGAGTGCCTAGCTACCCGGCACGCGAGTCCGTTCCTCGAGGTGCTCTGAACACACAAAGCTCGAGAGGCAGAGCGAGATGCAGCACAGTCACCAGAGGCTATCTAAGATATGATGCCGAAGTATAGCTGGCTAAGAGCTCCCATCTCAAGTCCGTTATTGGCAAGGCTAGCAAGAAGCCGGTTGGGTCATGCACGGTATCCAGACCCAACATCGGACATTAAGCAAATCGGGTCGGAGCATGTCGCGACTGAGGCCAAGATTCGGGCCGTGGTTGCGATACAGAACGCTCAGGGTTTTGCTATGCAGCTTGCAGGAAGCTCTAATCAAACATGCGAAATCGATGCTCTAGCCAGATAGATGAGACTCAGCACTCGATTGATCTCGAAGATGGCCATAGATGGGGCTTGGAGCTCCCTTAGGCTTTTTTGAATTTGATTTCATGTCTGCAATGCTTTAGGCAGATGGAAGTTGCAGAAAAGTGGCAGTAAGCAGGAGCTTGGCGGGCCGCTGGCTAAGAAAGCGGGCAGTGGCTGCTATCTTTCAAGATTTCCGAGACGGACTTTGTTGAGCAGACCTGCCTCTGAAAGCACTCTTGCACTCCTCCGACCTCTATACCCCTCGCCCTCACTCCTTCTTCCTCCCGCAAAGAAGAGCATTCGCCATGGCCGCCTCCAGAATGTTCCGTCCCACCTCGCGCCTGGTGTCAGCCTCAATTGCCCGTCCTGCTCTCCGTTTCCGCCCCGTCGCTGTCTCGAGACACTATGCTACCCAGGGCGGCGTCAAGGAGATGACCGTCAGAGAGGCCCTGAACGAGGCCATGGCCGAGGAGATGGAGAGAAACGACAAGGTCTTTGTTCTGGGTGAGGAGGTTGCCCAGTACAACGGAGCGTGAGTCTTGTGCTCCATGACCCTGCATCTTCAAGCACACCAGTTGACCCGCTGCTCGCAGTTACAAGGTCACCAAGGGCCTGCTCGACCGCTTCGGCGAGAAGAGAGTCATCGACTCCCCCATCACCGAGTCTGGTTTCACCGGTCTCACTGTCGGTGCCGCCCTCGCTGGTCTCCACCCTGTTGTAAGCACTGCGCCCATCTTGAAACCGCCCCAGCGCCCTCCGCTTGAATACTGACACGCCTCAAGTGCGAGTTCATGACCTTCAACTTCGCCATGCAAGCCATCGATCAAATCATCAACTCGGCCGCAAAGACCCACTACATGTCCGGTGGTATCCAGCCTTGCAACATCACCTTCCGTGGACCCAACGGTTTCGCTGCTGGTGTCGCCGCTCAGCACTCGCAAGATTACTCGGCCTGGTACGGCTCCATCCCCGGTCTTAAGGTTGTTTCTCCTTACAGCGCCGAGGACGCCAAGGGTCTCATGAAGGCCGCCATCAGAGACCCCAACCCCGTCGTTGTTCTCGAGAACGAGTGAGTCTGCGCTTCGCTTCGCTGCGAGTCACAAATCCTGATTCCTCTTTCTTTAGGCTTCTTTACGGTCTTTCCTTCCCCATGAGCGAGGAGGCCCAGAAGGATGACTTTGTCATTCCTGTAAGTTCCTGTTTGTCCACCCAGCACGCTTGCACTTTGCTCATTCGTTTCTACAGTTCGGCAAGGCCAAGATCGAGCGTCCCGGAAAGGACCTTACCATCGTCACCCTCTCCCGCTGCGTCGGTCAGTCGCTGGTCGCCGCCGAGCAGCTCAAGCAAAAGTACGGCATTGAGGCTGAGGTCATCAACCTCCGTTCCATCAAGCCCCTTGATGTTGAGGCTATCGTCAAGTCGGTCAAGAAGACTGGCCACATGATGGCCGTTGAGTCTGGTTTCCCCAGCTTCGGTGTTGGTGCTGAGCTTTTGGCTCTTACCGCCGAGTACGCCTGGGACTACCTGCAGGCTCCCCCTGTCAGAGTCACTGGTGCCGAGGTCCCTACCCCTTACGCCCAGAAGCTCGAGGAGATGTCCTTCCCTACTGAGCAGCTGATCGTCGACTACGCTGCCAAGCTTATGCGCGTGTAAAGAAGAAAAGCCACACTGGAGTTTAAAGGGTTCTGACTAGGAGACTGGCTGGTGTATTTTTTGATATCAACTCATTTGTTCCTTTTTTTTCTTTCATGAAGCAGCATTTCGAACGGGGCCTTTAGATGCCATACTCTCTTGAGGTTTAATGTATTCCGGGTGCGAGCATTGGCGTCTTGTTTCTGCAAGTCAACCCTGTCCATTCCAGCTCTCCAATGACAGACATAATCATGATGCATTCTGTTCGAGAATGACCGGAACTGCTGTACATAAATTCCCACTCCAAGGTCTAGATCAGCTATGGCTTGAATGATCCACAACCACAACCATCATCATCCACTTCGGGCAGCTCGCCATGAAGGCTTCCGGCATCGTCACAGAATTTTGCCATGAGGACGTCTTTTGATGACAGACCCATAGGTTTGTGCGTCGTCCAGCGGACATGGGTCTTGTTGAAGACATTCGTCCATTCCGGATGATGCTTTTGCACCTTGCACTCTGCTGCTACCGTGTTCATAAATTCCTGGTGACCAAATTAGTGATCAATCCCATGCTGAACGGACAGGGTGAGGGTGATTCAGGTATTGCTCGTGCGTTCAAGACGCTGTAAAGCGTGTCTTTTCATCAAGGAAAGTGTGTTTTTCACATACCCAAGTAGCTTTGAAAGTCTTGAAACGGAAGGTTCGCTCGAGTCCTCTGTTGTCATCCGTGACCTTCCACTTGCCTCCGCCTTCAATGGTGAGAGCATTGGCATTGCGACCCAGTTGTTCTTCATCTTCGTCTGCAGAGAACTGGAAGCGAACAGAAGACGGCTTTTGGGAAGACGACATGGCTCTAATAGACGATCGTGATACCGGACTAGCAAAGACTCGCCGCAAAGAGGTCATAATTATGGTTGGTAGACGGTATGAGAGGTCCAGACAGCAGGGACGAAGGTAGTGATTCTTGGCAGGGGACTGAAGTCTGAACTTTTTTCGATTACATGCGACAGAGGTAAATCGGAACGTGCAACGAGACAACAGAACAAACACAAGCACATGAACAGAGAAACGCCAAAAATGCATAAAAAGTGGTATCATGAGGGGCAACTAAAGACTTTTTTGGTTCGCTTCCTGCTGACAGAAGTTCTATCAAGAAGTAATGCCCATTTTTCGCCCTGGATTCCTGACACAAAGCAGCCGTCATAGCAAATCCATCAACGCCGACCTTCACCTCATGGTGAAATGGCTTATTTCTTAGCGTTGGCAGCCTCCTCAGCCTTGGCCTTGGCACGCTTCTCGCGGATACCAGCAAGGCGGGCCTCGCTGCGGACCTCACGGAGCTTGCGGAAGGCGTTCTCCTCACCGGGGTAGTCGGAGAGCTTGCCCTCGGTGACCTGGGCCTTGTTCTCGATGGGGAAGGTAACGTTGGCCTGCTTGACGAAGTTCTCCTTGGCAGCCTTGACCTCCTCAGCAGAGGCGTCACCCTTCTTGGGGGCCTTGCTGTTGCGGGGGAAGAGGATGACGCGGCTGCGGTAGGCCTTCAGGCGCTCGACGTTGGCGGCAAGAGACTCCTCGGAGAGGTTCTGGCGGCGGGGGTCGACGGAGATACCGATGGTGGGTGCAAGCTTGCGGGGGATGCCAGCAGCCTTGGGATATGTTAGGCATTGAACGGGGTCATGACACGAGGCGAGAGGATACGTACCTTAAGCTCAGCCAAGCTGAAACCACGGCCGGCGCGGACGCGGCGGTTGTACTTGAGGGTAGGGCAGCGGACAATGGGGCGGAGCTTGTCGACGGGGCGGGGAGCGACGGTGGCAGCCTTAGCAGCGCGAGCGTTGCGGCGAGCCTTCTTCTTGCCGGCCTAGGATTGAATTTTGTCAGGAACTCTGTCGCTGACCACAGGCGCCTCTGCTCTCATGACGAGAGGGGAATTACCTGGTCGAAGTGCACGCGGACGCGGCGCTGCCAATCCTTGCGGAAGTGGTTGTGGGGGATCTGCTGGTTGTGCTTGATGGCCTGGTGCAGGTGTTAGTTTATTTGTCTAGCATAACTCTTTCTTCGCTGCAGCGATGGACAGGATCCAGGCTTGTCGCTGATGTCTTGGTCGAGGCTAGAGTGGGAAGATAGCACTTCGAGCACGTTCATCGTGGCATGCGATGCCGCAAGTTGCTGAGAACTGCCTTCGTCCTCTTCGGACTCAAAATCGTCGCGCGGGCCGTCGAAATAGCGAAGTGTGGGCGTAGCGCATCGCGAATCGACCAAGGACAGCGTGACAAGCGTGGTCCAATTCCATCACAAGCAGCGGCGGGTGTCGCAACTAACCATTGTGTCGGTGGGCGATAAATGATCCTGTTGTCGAAGGTCGTCGTCGTCGTCAAAGGAGAAAAGATCGAATCCGCCGTGCAAAACTTCGATTTGTCGCTTAGTCCGTGGTGTGTGCCAAGACCGTGCATTGACCACCTTCAACGTCTCGACTCTCGACTCTCGACACTGCCAACTTCCACCTAACTTTAGTCTTGACACTTATCATGATGAGAAAGTACAATGCTTACGAGAACTGGTCGTATTATGTGAAACGATACAATACTAGGTGATGGTCCAGGACAAGCAGTCGTCTACCAGAACTCGTCTCTCGTCAACCACACTCCAGACACCTCTAATCACTAGTCAATCTACAATGACACAGCTTTATGTACGAGTAGGATGGAACAATAAATAGTGAATACGGAAGGACTATCCGGCAGGCAGTCATGAGAATGGTTTCGTCTCGCATCATACACTTTGTTTGTCTACCTAAAACACTTGACCTTCTGCCAGCAGACAATGTCATCTTGCCCAGAGATAATCCTCCAAGTCTTCTATTTGTCTAGAAAGTTTCGTCGTCCTGCGGAATCTTGTCCTTGAGCCACAGCATCGTAGCTTCAGTACCCTTCTCCAGAATTCGGTGTGAGGGCACGCGGAATGTGTTGCCGCCAATGCTCAGCCCCTTTAGACCTCGGTCCCACAACAATCCTATCTCAGGAGGTAGGTAACCAATGTTGTTGTCTGCAAGATCGACTGACTGTAGTCCTGCTAGGACCTCATACGAGACAGCATCTATCCTGTTGTTTGCGGCGTGCAAAACCTTCAGCTCTGGGAAGGAATCTCTGATCCTTGGTACCGAGCCGATAAGCCTGTTATTGGACACGTCCAGATACGAAAGGCGTGGCGCATGAAGCAGACTCAACAGGGGTTCCCAGTTCGAAATCTTGTTGCTACCCAAAAATAGCTCCTGGAGGGCTGTCAAAGTTATCACTTCGTTCAGGTATATGTCACCCAGAGAACAGCTTGACAAGTCCAAGACTTTGAGGTTCTGAGCCAAAGAGATCTCGAAAGGTATGGTGACAAAATTGTTCCGTGCCAATTTGAGTTCACGGACATCTTCAGTGCTGAAGATGGACCGAAGCACATCGGCATCATCGTCCACAAGGTTTTTGTCTCTTAGATCAAGAGTGCCAGAGACAACTCCCCATTGCGAACCTGAGTCACGTGGTGACTGGATGTCAATCCCCTCGTCTTCAAATTCATCGGCTTTGTCACCCTGATCGGACATTTTCAGCCGTTGAGCTAGGCTACGCTTGAGCTCTTCAGTCGGCATGTTCAGAAGTTTACGTTCGCGAAGAGGATTGGCGGCCACCTTCAAGACATCCAGCGCATCCATGAGACCAATATTGTCATGCAATTTAGTGAGCTCGTTTCCTGTCAGGTCGGCCTGTTTGAGGTACTTAAGGCTTGTGAATCCTTGCGGAAGAACAGATATCTTATTGTCGGCAGCAGCCAAAGAAACCAGTTGCTTCCAACCAGACATATCTGGCAGTGCAACTATCCTGTTACTCGCCAAGTTGATAGATTTGATAGACGGTAATGACAGGTTTTCCGAAAAGGCAAGCGAAGCCAGCGAGTTGTTGGCGACATCTAAATGCTCGAGCTTGGATAACCCAGATACGCTGAAGGGGAATAGCGCACCGACCATGGCGTTGTTAGAGGCATTGAGGTCAGAAATAGGTAAGGTCTCAAGAACATCCATGGGAAGACCGGTGAGCTGATTTCCAGAAACGTTCAAAATCTGCAGATTGACAAGCTCGCGCAGACCATCCGGAAGACTCAGAAGCTTGTTGTTCTGTAGTTCCAAGGTTCTCAAATTATGCAAACGACCTACCGACTGAGGAAGATAGCCGGACAAGTTGTTGTTGCTCAGTTTGAGTTCCCGCAATGTTTCAAGCTGGCCGATCGTGTCGAATACTGTGTTGCCCAGCTTGTTGTGTGACTACAAGGATGTGAGTGACTGTAACGAAGAATTGATTTTCATGAGTCTTACCAAGTTCAGCACCGTCAGTCTCTCCAACCAACGCAGACCAGCAGGAACTGCCTCGAGATTGTTCCCGTGCAGGTCGATCATTTCCACGCTGCGGAATTGTAGGCCCTTGACTTCCTTTTCGTCGTCCATAGCTATTTCAGTAGAAACATCCGGAAACACGGCGTCAGAGATCATGTCAAGATCGTTATCCGCTGCCACAAAGCGAACTAAGTCTGTCATTTGACTCCAATTCATATTGTTACCTTCTTGTTGGTCGTACATGTTCAGAACTTCATCTGGAATAGTCTTGAGGCCCATTCCAGCGATATTGAGACGACCGTCGCCGCGGGCTGCTTCAATCCTCTTGCGCAAAAGACCATGAGAATTTTTGGGTTTCGTGTTGAAAGGATCCGCGAAAGGATCGAATGAGAAGTCTTCGCCCTGACTACTCGATTGCTGCCCTTTGAAGATTCCTGGAGTTTTCTTGGCAGCTCTAGCCTTTGCGATCTGGTCCCTGAGGGCTGCAGAAGAATTCGTTGGTTTTTCAGGAGATGTTTGCGGTTCTTTCTGTGGGGCGCTTTTCATAGCTGTTGCTGGTGTTGGCCTGGTCTTGATGGCCGAAGTTGAGATGCTGGTAGTTAGTTTTGGTCTGGGAGTAGCGGCCACGCCTGCTCCAGGCTGGCGGAGACTACTCGCTCGCTGTAGCGGCTTTGTTGTAGATGCTTTTGGCGTATTAGTCGTTACAGATTTCCCTGCTACAGAGGCTGGACGGCCGAGTTTTGACGGAGCTAGGCCGATGGATGAAGGAGCCCTCGGAATGGAATACTTTGAGGGCATCTTGCTGGTCGGAGGAGCCATAGCAGAGGACCTTTTCGATGGCGAAGGCACCTTTCCGGACACCTTAGGACGTGAAGCCTCCCTCGTCTCATCAACGCTCATAGCAGAAGCCGGACGTGACGGAGGCCCCATAGGACTCTGTGGCGCGAAAAAGCTAGACCTTCGTCTGCCTGTCCCTGGAGTTTCGGGGAGTCTGGAGAGACTTTCGACAGTTCGATCTGACAATGAAAGTCGCGACGTCCTTTTCGTGCCGGGAGTGGTTGGCTCGTCGACATAGTCATTGTTGTCATAATCACTCTGCCTTGAAGTGGCACGTGAAGCACTGCGGAAACCATCAAGCGAGCCTAGTTGATCATTCAAATCCTCTTGTTGAGCAGTGGTAATAATGCCAGAAACAGGCCTTCGTGATTGCGCAATATAAGATACTGGTCGCGAAGCAGGCTTTCTGGTGGCAGTGGTAGGCTTCTCCGAAACCGAATAAGTAGAACGATGCGACGATGTCCTCGGTGGGATAATGCCAGATGAGGGACCAGATACACTCGATCTAAAGCTGGAGCCGGATGAAGGCGGTCTAGGAAGAGCCTTTTTGGCAGGAGATGGTTTCACCAAAGCAGAGGGTTTAGATGGAGATGGCAATGCAGATTTGTGATCATTGTTAGGAGCGGGCAATCGCGAAGCGGCAGGTCTTGCGATCGAAGAGAACTTTGGGATGCCCGAGGACTTCAATGGAGTCGCGGAAGTGGAGGGGTCCATTGTGGTCAGCTATGCCCAAGGCGTGTATGGGCAGCCGGGAAGAAGGGAACGACCAATGATGAAATGTCGGACGAGGAGAAAGTTATGTCTACAGTAGTACATGGGTTCATTCCATGTCGGCACTTTGTTTGGCATCAAAACCCCTGGATTATGGCAGGTGGAGTGCCCGCCTAACGTCCGTTGCGGATGTCCCGCCAACCTGGACCCTGCAAGCCCTGGTCCCAAAGGGGAAGCATCATTGGTTTTTGACACGCCCGTGCGTCGTGCGCGTCCCCTCGAGTACACAAAGACGGCGGGCCACTTTCACATCTCTTGTTCTTTTTTGCATTGCACAGCATAGCAACCGGTATCCATAAACACGCCCGTCTCATCTGCGTCACCAACTCCCACATCCTTCCTCACCATCTCTATCGCCAACGACTTGACTAGGATCATGAATGCGACAGAACCTCCTACACCCAGCTCAGGACATGGCGACACGACTCCTCTGTCTCTGAACCCTCAGACAACGGCTGCTGTCGCAACTTCGTCGTCACCATCCCCCTCGCCTGCTTCCGAGACGTTCGTCTTGTCTGAACACCATGTGCAACACGCCCAGCCCGATGAGCTTCGCGCCATCATAGCTCGCCTCATGCCTCTCCTGCAGGAAGCTCGCTCTGATGCGGCACATCACAAGCTGCAGTATCACATGCTTGCAATTGAGACCAACGAGGCCATGGAGCGCATCCAGGTCGAGATGGATATGGCTCAACGCGAGACAGACCTTCTCAAGGCTAACGACCCTGTCGAGCCACGCATCCCTCGTGCCGACCACCGCGCCGACCCAAATATCCGTCGTGTACACGCTGATATATGGGACTCGATGGTCAAGGAAACTCAGAGTCTCAAATCTCAAAACGCCCAGCTTGAGCAACTCGTCTCACAACACAAACGCATGATCGTTCAACAGGAGAGCGAGATCGCGACCTTGAATGACCGCATCACACTCTATCGCGAACGCCTTCGTGAGAATCGCGCTCACCTCAACCGGTACCGTCGCACTGCTGGATTTCTGGAGTCACCGCGCAAGAGCCAGTCTGCTCAGTCTTCTCCATGGACCACCCGCGAGCAGGACCAGCCACCTTTTGCAGCCCTTCTGCATGCCTCTGACCTCATGAGTGGAAGGAGTCCAACATCTCCACGAACCCCTACACGCAGAAGACGAGCTGCTTCAATAACTCCTATGCCTTATGAGACCCCTCAAACTCTTCAATCCACACGCTATCTGCAGGTACCGCAGACTGCGCCACCATTACGCGGTCCTCAACTCCAGCCCTCAAATTCTGCGCGACTCGCCTCAACCAGACATCAAACGACAGTGCTCAGAGAAGTGTTGGTGGCAGATGAAAGTGAGGCCGAGACTGATGTGCCTGATGATGAGGAACCAGCCAAGGAGATTGGCAGTGTTTTGAGTGTCCCTCAAACCCCTACACGCAATCGCAAAAGCTCTGCCATGAAAGGTACTTCCGACGCTGTTCAAAGGAGATTGTTCGGCCAAGTCAGAAAAGGAAGCATCCAGCGCGACAATCCTGAAGCATCAGCCAAGGCAGCGGAAAAGGCGCGGCTGCCCCATATCTTAAACGTGGAAGAGACCGACTTTTCCCGGAAGTGATCACTGCTAGAGAGCTATTGATATCTGTATAGCACTAGACTTAGATAGGTAGATAGCCAATGAGCAGAACGAGTAATGTCTCATGCACAAGCAAGGATTGACATTACACGAATTCCAACCTCCCTAGTCTGCCCACTGTTTCTCCAGCGTTTCTGACAATGCAAATGTATGGTTCCTTATCAATGGCATTGACAGTCTCAGCGAAAGCTTGGACGAAGATACTACCGATAGCGACACCTCTGCCTTCAGTCAGACTAAACTCACCTTTTGTGACATAGCCGATGAGGTCTTCTTTGCCTGGAAGTGGTGGGCAGCAGTCATGGTGGTCATCGGACTGGGGAGGTTGCAACAAGTCGGCAGCCAATTGTCGTTGCACATCGGCTGAGGAAGTCGGCTTCAACACAGACGACGGCAGGTTTCGCTCGCGCTTCTTTTTCTGGGTGCAAGACCTTGTTCGAGCCGGATCAAGCGCGAGCCACTGATCGCGCAATGAAGGCTTGTCTGTCCCGTCCACGGACGGCAAGCGGTAGATTCGTGCGCAAGGCTCAGGGGTCCCACGACCGAGCAGAGTGATGCGGACGGTAGAGATAGCGTGCAATTGACGTTCGATGGAAGTAGCCTGACCAGCAATTACATTCCGCGCGAGACCTGGAGCGATGTGATGAACCTTTGACTCAGCATCGTTTTTCTCATCTGTCGTGTTTTCAGAGCAGTAGACCCAATCGCATGCCCAGCCGTTACCATCTTCACCTTTTCTGCCAGGACCGAAGGTGACGCTGTCCCATTCGACTCTCTTGCCTTTGGGTTTCGCTTCCCATTGCGCTTTTCTTTTGGCGCTCACTGAAGCCTCCCATAGATCACCCGCCTTGGTGCCTGGGAAATCACCAGGGAACCAAGGCACGCCAGTCTCAAAGGCAATCTGGCGTTGCTCCTCCAGACCTCCCATTTTCACCTGTCCGCCGGTAGATATAGGATAATACATCAGACTTTGCCAAACTGCAGGGACTGTTTTCCATGGCAAAAGAACAACCCACGAACAAGAAGTACGTTCTTTACTTCCCAGCTTCGACCTTGGAAGGGCCGAGGACGGGAATGCCATGATGGGGATGCGAGGGTCTTGAGGCAGAGCCTCAGGATAGGTACCTGGCGTGGCAGCGGATTTGCGGCGGTTGATGTTTTTCTGGCTCTGCAATGCGCGGCAACATGCTTGTCTTCTTGAACGGTCGAAAATGCCTGGCGGTGTTTGTGAAGTGTCAAAAGGCCAGTTTGTTAGCAATTCAAGCAAATGATCTTGGGATTGCTGTGTGTCAGTAGCTGAAGATGTAGTCCGGGGTGGGTGATGTAGGCGCGGATCAGATATATCGAAAGCGAGGAGAGCATTCGCAGGCAAAACCGATGGAGTTTGTACGCCTGCTAACATTGGCCAACTTTTCTCAGCGGATGACTTGTCACCTTGGCTAATGTTCACAGGACAAAGAGCACCCGTTAAGGCTTCGGTCGAAGCAGGACCAGCAATCTCAATGCTTCCGATCTCGAAACGCAAATCTTCAACAGTCAGTTGAGGCTTCTGAATCTTGACCAGTCTGGTGAGCTCATCCCAAAGCTGAGGGAAAGCTGATGGATGAACACGAATCAAGATCTGACGAGACTGCTTTGCAGGAGATTCTGGTTCTGCTCGCCAGACAATTGTGGCAGGAGCTATGGGGTGAGTAGGATACATGTCACGCTCATACAGCCAACCTTGCCATGTACGAGAGCCTTGTCTCCACCTCTGGCCTCGTGGGGTCCAGGCAGCGTCTGACAGGCCGACACCCAAAGCACGACACAGAGACTCTATACTCTGGTGATTACCGTGTATGGAGACTGTAGACATGTAGCTTGTGTCCCAAGCAATAGCACCACGGTCTTTACTCGCACGATGGGTGGGACGATAGCTTTTGACAGTTGATGTCAAGGGCAATGCAAAGCGCCAGAGAGGTTGCGATGGCGGAGTCATGTGGGCTCGTTTCGCATGAAACATGTGTGTGGGCAGCCAGGTCTTGTGGATCTGACGTTTGCGATACTTTGCCTTGGGCACAGGAGGAGAGGCGAGCTTGTTCTTCTTGGGCTGGGGCGACCTGGCAACAACTCCCTGGTCAGGCGACAGCTTGTTCTTGCGGCCGAGGGTTCGTAGACGGGCGACAGTGTCGATGCGAAGACGCATATGGCCACTCGGTTTGCGTCGGCGCGACGTTACGGTCGGTGTGTTGTCTTCGGCCATCTGTTTCGTGTTAGCCTTGCCACGTCAGAATCTTGAGTCGACCAACCTCTCGCACGGCCTGACGGCGCAGTCTCTTAGGTACTCTCTTAGCATTGTGACTGGCCGTCCTGCGTCTCAAGTCTTTGGGCACTTGTTGGAAAGCTCGCTGTGTAAGGCCTTTTCTGGCCCGAGCCATGCCTTCCTCGAGTGCTCGAATCTCATACTCGCGGGCCTTGACGAAGGCTCCTACGTCGAGCTCTCCATTCTTGAAGGCCTTGGAGCTTGTCTGCACCGCCAGCGTACGAGCGTCGCGCTGCGTCTTCTGTCGTTTGTTGCGCCAGCCTCCGCCATCTGTCGAGTTTCCTTTGCGCTTCTGTCCTGATTCTTGTCCTCCCTGTTCCACTTTCGGCGCCATCCTATGTCGTCGTGCTGAGGGCAGACTTGTTGTTCGTTGCACGGGGCGTCGAGCTTGCGACCTTTTCTCACGTCGCGTCTCGAGTCAATTTGCGAAACTCACGACGTCGCGTTCAAACTTCGTCCACATTCACCCTTCAGCTTCTGATTGTTTGAGATACAATGGTTTACGCCGGTAGGCTCAACTACCTAGCTATCTAACATCCAGTGCTTCACCTTTTGGGTACTTGCCCTATTTCATGTACAGACTTGCTGCCCCGAACCATCAACGTCTTGCGTCGCCTTGTTCGTCCTCCACTCCACAGTGTATCACCAATCCATATCCATGTAAGCGCCACCATCCCTTCCCAAAGAAAAAAAAAATCGGCCATGGTATCGAACAGGAAAACGAAGAAGAGAATGCCAAAAGGTTCATGAGAAAAGAAGAACAAAAGAAATCTACGTCCATTCAACAATGCGGCCTCAAGCCATCATATTGGATGATCCTGCGTGGCAACCTCTCTCATGCCGTTTCATGTTGCTCCGAACACTGAATGCCTTTCCACAACCTGGCTGCGTACACTTGAACGGCTTCTCTCCAGTATGGCTGTAGTTGTGAATCTTAAGACTGCTCGGCCGCGAGAATGCTTTGTTGCAAGTCTGACAGACATAGCGATCTTGTGACTGTGGATACGTTGCCTGGCTAGAAGGAGCGATATAATGGTGATGTTCCCACATATTCGGTGCGGGGATACTGGATGCTGCAATCACAGCGCCTGGCATGACGGGAGGAAAATTTGAAGGTAGTGGTCGCTGTTGATAGACACCGTTCATTCCGTATACACCATCGGCTGAATAGTAAGAGCTGGTCGACATCGCGCTGGGTGAGGAGTTGTAGGCAGCAATCGTGTAAGGCGATGTTGTGTACATGCCACCATTAGGCATGGGCACAGAATGACGCTTCACGGGCATCGACCTCTGTTGATGAGGCTCCATGTTGTTCAGAGATGATCCGAGAAAGTAAGATTGACCGGCCACTGAAGTAGGACTGTGAGCAGTTTCGACCACGGAGTCTGAGCGCATAGGTGGTGGCGATGGAGGCAGTGGACCTCTAGTTGTAGTCATCGGTTCTGCCAGGGTTACGTAGCCTTGTCCAAATGCAGGTTCTGCAGGAGCTGACGAGTAATAAGCTTGCGCTTGCGCTTGCTGTGAAGGGCTGCCTACACACATGTTAGTGACTGGCACTCATCAACTTCTGGTTTCAACCTACCAGTCTCTTGGCTAGATTGTGAAGATCTGTCCCCATCCGCGATGCCTAGGAGGTTGGAGATCGATGGAAGTGAAGGCTTGTTCACATCATCCTGCGATGTTGGGACCGTGCTGCTAGCAGAGCTCTGCTGTGGCGCCTCACGGTGACCTGCACGTCTGACGTCCTGATATTGGTTTGCCATGACAGAATGAACTGACACTGGATGAGAGGTCTGACTCCGAGAATCTTGATATTGGCTGTAGTGCGGGTTGAAGTCCGGCTGGAACGTGTGTTGGCGGTAAGGCATGTAGGCTGCGACTTCCATAGTTCTTGTTTGGACAGAATACCTTCCTTTGGAGTGTTTAGACAAGAGGGATCTGCGACAGTCGAGATCTTGAAGATGGTTGCTATGACAAGCCTTGGTGCTCAATAATGACGACAGGCTGGATTGGACAATCAAGCTTTCGTGGTATGAAGAAAAGTCCCGACCAGGAGAGAGTGGTTTGCACACAAGAAGAAGATAGCAGATGGATACAGAGTATGTATGGGAGAGGAAGAAGGATGGCAAGTTGATTAGAGATGTCAAGACACGGATGTGATCCAAGACAATGCACTGACAGGGTACGAAATGATGCTGCCCGCTGCGTATGGGGCTAAGGAGCAGCAAGGTTAGCGCACAGAAGGTGAAGAGAGCATGGTCTTTCTGGGGAGTGGGCAACAGCGACGAGGGCAAGGCAAGATCCGGGCGGAAGCACAGAGGCAACGCAAATCTCGTGCGTGCTGGTCAGTGGTTTTAGGCGGGCAGATGTGCAGGTTGATCCCTGCGATTAGTCTTAATCTATTCTGCCTCGACAGTTCAACAGAGCGCAGGGACTCTACCGAATCTGCAGGGTGAAGAGTGGGAAAAAATGATCTAAAGGGCAATCTGCCCGGGTGATGCGGCGGTGATCAGCAAGCCCCCAAAAAGCGGCGTGCATGAGATAGATTTTGGAGAGAGCAGTGATGATGAAAGCACACGCACGAGGGGTTGCAAGCCTGATGCGTGCATGCTCCAGTTGTCACTTGTTGGCTGCTGCGACTCCGAAGCTTACGTAGCAGGGGCCTCTTTTCCAAAGGTTTCACCTTGCGGAAGAGGGCCTGTGGCGTTTTAGACGTATCAGTGATGGTCGATAGCCGAACCCATCAAGAGAGGATCACTTCGGCATGGCTGGAGTTTAATGATATGCACGGTCAGCTCTTCGTGGTGTTGGAAGCATTGCTTGGTAGGTTTCAGAGACAAAGTGTCGTGAAAGGCACACACGGACAGCGCCTCCAGCAACTACCATCTTGCGCCGGCCGTCAAACCGGCGGAACCAACGACCTTGCAGTGAGTTTGTCTTCTGCCGCCTCGCTTACAAGTCAAAAGAAAGACTCGAGAAGTGCGAGCAGACGTCCAAGTTCTCGGGCTTCGAGCTCCAATCAGAGGCCTGAAATCCTGCCCTTGTGAGCTCCGAACCGCAAATGATTGCGCGCCTCACCAGGGCAGTGCTCCTCGACATTCTGACTGTGGGCGATTGTGTGAATTGTGCCGGCGCTTCATGGTGCCTCTCGCATACAGATAGATCTGCATCGGCAGATTGAACGAACGTATCAAGCGCCTAAGGGCGCAGTGTGATGATGGATACCCTGCCCACACGGCAAAATCACAAGTGGTTCTCGGGGTGTTTGGTTCGTGGGCGATCGGCAGCGATCCATGTCTTCTGGCGTTTTTCATGATCGACCGACCCCCTCTCCGCTTCCAAGTGTCAGTTTCACAATTAAGTTAAAATGATGGCTGTGGAGTTTTGCACAACGATTGCCCTGTGTCCAACGAGTTCGCGCGTTCATTATTGCCGAGATGAGATTGTCCAGCGAGAGAGACTACTCATCCCTCGAGTCTCACGAACGATATCTTGTGCTACATATCCACGTTCCTCTGCTAGACACAACTGCCGCAATGCACCAGCCATGCGATGTGTTGCAGGTACCAGGATTTTCCTCTAGCAGTCGTCATCAACGTCTTGATCGACAGTCGCGTGGTGGGAAAGGCGATCAAGCCGATTTTTAGCAGGAGGAAAGCAACAAGTTTGGTAGACGGCTTTCCCTATGACGACGATCAAATATCGGCTATGATCCCTTCAATCAACTCGATTCTTTGCGCATTTCATGATATGGATCGCATCCCAGTTCAGATTCTGAGGAAACGTAGCAGCCCAAGAATGCCCTCATGCTTGACCAATTTCCTCCTGGTATTGCGCCAAAGTCTAGCTCTTGAGGCTCGTTTCAAACAGCTCTCGCACCAAATGCTCGCGAAGCACCGTTTTCTGTCAATGTCTCGGCTACTGAGTACGACTCGTTGATTAGTTCATTGCGACTTGCGGTATGTCAGCTCACAACAAGATACGATTGAGATTACGGTTGTTTCGGATTGGCCCGTCTATAACCCAGAGAACATTTTGCTTGTTTTGCTCTCTGTGCTTCAAGGGGGAGGTTGGGCGCATCCACAATTCTCACCGCCGCCTCAGCCATGATATGAAAACACGCGTAACAGATTCGCATCACACCTCCAATCACATGTTTCTTTCCTTTTCTTTCGAAGAGCAAAGATGGGACTTTTCCATACTAGACCTCTCGGTGGCTGCTGAAGACCGCTTGCGACTGCCTCTGATTATGGCTGGGGCGGAAATAGACATGAATGTGGACTCTCCATCTTTCCTCGTACTCGGAGCATGCACAATCGCTTAAGTAACGGATAGGTCCGGGCACCGCCAGAAGGATAATAGAGTGCGCCATTTTTGAGTCAGTGTTTCTGTACAACGAGTCGTGACTTTCCAAGACCACGGGCCGTGAGACTACTGGCAGGTACAGGATCCGTCTACAGTACGACATCTCCTTCAAACAGCCCTAAGGAACACCAGCCGAGTTTGATATCTCCGAACCACGATACTTGTTAAAGGATGTTTTGTCTCTCTGTTACTGAAGGGAACCCCCTGCAGCAAGCTCTCACGTCGAAAATTCAACAGTAAAACAACATACTGATGATGCAAAGGCCACTTGCCAATCACAGCCGCTCAGATAGATTAAGTGTCGAAAAACGCGTGTCACGATGGTCTCTATGAGATAGGTCTTGCCCACTCGACGTCACACTCAGCAAAACGACTCAGCCTCCCTATGTTTAGGCTTATATAACTTTGCGAAATCTTCAAACTTAGAGACGTTGGTGATTTCTCTTCGGAACATTACTGGATACAGCAGAACATCAAATGTTCCGTCACAACGTCATATAAGTGCTTTAATATCGATGTCCAACTTCGTCTGGAAGCCAGGTCATCACCTTCCCCATCATTCACGGAAAAGGGCCGTCATCTCAGTAGGAGAACAGTCAAGCTTGACTCATCCAAAGTGTGACTTCCTAGGTAGAAACCGGTGTGAGCCGAGTGGTGTCCATGACCATGACCTCAATGCACCGAAAGGAACAACTTTTGCCTCGGCGATAATCTGCGGCCCCGCTGATGGCTCGGGTCCGGGCCAGCAGGTTAGATGTCATGCATGATGAGTGCAAACGGCTATCCGAGACGGCGCGTAGTTCTGCGCACTTGGCCAAAGACTTTTCCAATAGCAGGTTCTTTTGCAGAGACCAACATGCAGGCCGCATGATAGCAATTGACATCACGATGCAAAGTCAATCAAGATACACCGCTTCTGGTAGTGTAGGTAAGACACAGTTGAACCCCGTGGGTCTACTGGTCCACAAGCACGTTCACAATAGCCCGTGTCTCGGACATAAGCATTCGCAGCATGTTACTAAATGAGCGCGGATGTCTGGAGATTGATCTCGACCCTGAGTTGCATGAGGGCTCGCTCCTGTTTGGACTCTTTACAAATGCTATCCCACAATCACACTGCGAGACTTGAAGCACTGACAGTACCAGCCCAGTCCTACAGACGACAAGCGGAGGACTGTCTGGTCTTGCTTCTCGGCAATGCATGTGTCTCGATCATCACTTGTTAGCCTCCAGGGTTCTGTGTCGATCAGCCGTATCTAGTTCAAATCTCATATGGATGCACAAAGTCCTCAAGCGCCAGACGGCGGCAATTGAGAGCTTGCACACTAAGAAGAGCTACTTGTGGCTATAAGCGCTATTGAACTTGGCTTGGTAATTCATACTAACTCTCTAAAGCATGTACTCGAAATCGCCTGTTGAAACTCCGTGACCCCCAACCAGCGGTACAGCCGCGCCCTCTTCCTTGGCTGAAGTACGACCTTCGCGCAAAGACGCATTAGCTCTAACAAGAAGGAGTCTCAGGATTGTAGCCAACACCGCAACTAAGCCCATAAAGACAGCGCACAAGGCGTGGCCTTTTCTGTAATTGGGAGCATCAGATTCTGGATAGAGTCGCGTCCCAAGAAGAGGTCCCAACTGGCCGATGACATTCAGGAGTGCGACATTACTACCACGCCCTTCTTCGCTTTGCTGGTTGTTGACGGTCCAAACAATGACGGTTGTGACGGCGCTGAAAAAGCCAGAGGTTATCGGAAATATGCACATATATTGTGCTGTAGATGACAAATGTAGTATGGGAGAAAGTGCGAGTAACAGATACCCGATCAGCGCCGAACTGGCGTGAATTATGATGGGGATCGAACGAGATTGTAGTCGGTCAGAGATGACCGAGGTGACAAGCACCACGACGAAGGCGAAAAGGTGTGGAGGTGCAGCCAGGCCTTGAGCCTTTATGGCTGAATATCCCATACTATTGTTCTATTAGCTAGCATATAATAGCGTCGTCTCGTATACTTACTTCTGAATGATGATCGGTGCAAACACAGGCATTGAAGAAAAGGCAACATTCAAGGAGAAGAAGCAGCCAGCGGTCAAGTAGCTCTTTGGATCGCGCAAAGTGTTGCGCACAGCAGACCAGTCAAATCTCTTCGGTTGCTTATTCCCAAAAGTATCATTTTGGGATGTATCCGTTTGTTTGCGCAATCGTAAGGTTGCTATATGTCGCTGTCTAGCTGAGAGCCATGGCGCGGTTGACGGCGAGTCTGGAATCACATACCAGGCCCATACAGCGACAAGTATGCTGGGGAAGCCTTCGATGATAAATAAAATCCTCCAGCTCTCGATGGCCGTGTTTTTCCCAAGCTTGACGATGGCAAAGGCTAGCGTACTTGCAAAGCTGCTGGCTAAAGGTGCAGCTGAGATGAACAATCCAGTCCTAAAGGCAAGTTCGTTTCTCTTGAAGAAGAATGACAGATAAAAAGGCACTCCAGGACCAAATGCTGCCTCACTTATCCCAAGCAGGATCCTGAGTATTAACATCGAACCAAATCCTGTACTGACACTTTGCAGGGACGCAAGACAACCCCAAGCTAGCACACATATTGAGATATATGCATGTGGTGGAAAGATCTTGTATCTGTGATGTTGTGATTAGTCTTTCGAGAAAATCTGTCATCCTATCCATCCTTCAAGGCCTTGAGACCATAAGGTCACAGGGATATCATCCTTCTATATTTTGCTGATAGGGTAACCCTGGTACGTGGTTGAGACACGTCACCATGAAAAGACGACCGTTCAACGGCAACTATATGGAAACAAGACTTACAAAAGAGTCATCCATTCAAAGCAGATGTAAGACATGTAGAAGCCCGTCAACAACCACTCGAACTGCGTTGAACTGAGGTTCAGACTTGTTGACAGGCCTGCCACTTTCGCATTTCCGATATCTTGTAAGATCAGTGTTTGACCTCAAAACCTGAACGACGGAAGGCTATACTTGACCGGTCTAGGAACGATAACATGTATAAGAGTGCTAGGAATAATACAAGACGAGTGTCCAGTTTCCTGAGTAAGGATTTCTCTTCGTCTGGCGTGTAGAGCTCAAAGCTGTGTACACTGGAATTGTCGTCGTCATCATCATCGTCATGATTGTCGAGCGATTGCAAGGAAGCCTGATGGCTTAGGTCGCTCAATGCTATATCCTCTGGATGCTCTGTGTAACTGTGTTGTTGGTGATAGTAGCTTTGGATGGCCAGCCCCTGTGTTGCCATTTTACCCGATGGCGGTCGTGATTCAGTCACGGCTCGTGAGATGGTGCGTAGGTCTTGATGTTCGTAGAGTAGACTCCGGGGTTATGGGGATTTCATGTTCGCAGGTGGTTTCATGTTTTGTCCTTAGAACGAGCCTTCAACCAGGTGCTTGTCAGTGAATCGGGGAAGCCGGAAACCCGGCTCCCTCCTTGGAGGAACTTAGAACACCAGGATCGCTCATGACCATTTTATTATCATCAATTAACATTTCAATCGTTGCATGAATCATAGTGTTTATCTAACCGACAATATATGGCTTTTCCCCTACCCCAAAAAGAATGTGTGGTTTTCTTTCAGCCACGTCGAGTATGGTTTGCGCAAAGACCGAATTGGCCCAAGCGAACCAGCTACCTAGAGAAACGGTTAGTGAGTTCCGCACAGGTTAACGTGAGTCGAATTGCTTACGAGTATAGTCTCTTCCGCGCTCAACGTGTATGCTTTCGTGTATCAAACCTAGATGACTGACGCGTTTGACTGCAGAGAGGGCATCTTCAATCTCTTCATCATCATCCGAAGTCATAGCCTGAACCAGCAGACTCATAGGCCAAGCATTCTGCAGTCCGATATGAGGACCTCCAATACCCTTGAATGCTCTACCAGCAAGATAATAAGGATTGCCGTTCTTTTCTAATATCATTCGACGAGTGTTTTGATACGTCTTGTCGTCCTTGGACACAAAGCCGAGCAGTGGAAGGGCAAGCAGCGACGGCAAGTTGGCATCATCCATTATGATGGAAGAACCATAGCCATCGACCTCAAAAGCAAAAACCGAGCCGTATTTCTTGTGCGCCACGACGCCATGCTCCCAGACGCCTTCTTCAATCAGTGCGCCACGTGTTTTCAAATCCGCGGCAAGCTTAACTTTGCCAGCTTTCGCCAGCATGATGGATGCTCGCTTCAGCTCCACGGCCATCATGGCGTTGGCTGGGATGAAGAAGCCGAGAATCGTGGCATCATCGCTCGGACGGAATGCACTCCGAATGAGACCAGTTCCATTGTTCAAAGGATTGCCATTGCCAGACAAGCTCAGGGTTTCTGTGCCTGCGTCTGTGCGACGTCTGAAAGTGTATTCGTTATGCTGGAAAGCGCCGGTCTGGGGGTCGAAGGTAGGCTTTGCCTGCGCGTCGAGCAACGCAAGCAGTGTGTCCAGAGCAGCATACCATCTTGGAGTCAAGAAAGCAGTGGATCCGGTGTGTTGATAGAACTGATTGGACAAGGACAGGAAATGGGCTACCGAGTCTAGTTCGTATTTGCATTCGAAAACCTTGGATGGCTCGTAAGCTGGATGAACGACATCTTCCTGGCCATTGTTGGAGGGGGCTAGGCGACTGGGTGGGGGTGGTTGGAAAGCGTTGCAGTAGGGAGACTCGATGACATATTCGGCCTGAGTGTTGATGGCGCCCAGTATCAGCATCTCGATGGACTTGTCCTTCTTGGCCAGCTTCTGGTATTGGGCCAATTGGTTGGTCGAATCTCGGAGCCACTCTGCATTGATGTCTCCAGTCACAATGAAACTCTGAGGCCCTTCCCATGCGCCGCTACTGCTCTTGAAGGTCGACTTCTCGGTACCGTCCACGTGCCACCGCACTGTGGTGTCTAGTGTGTTGGGGAAAGCATTCTCGAAGATCCTAGCCAGGTCCTTGTCCGTCATCTTCTCATTCATGTCGTTGATGATTTGTTCCACCAAGTCTGACTCGAAAGTTCGACAGAGCGCAGCCGGTCGCTGGAAAGGAAGTGACATGGGGCCATCGGAGAAAGGTGGACTGCCATATGGTGAGTAATTGCGCGAGACAAGTCATGAAAGAACGTACTGTGGAAACCTTGCATAGTGCTCGTATGCAGGACATGCTGCGAGTATCTTTGCTCGCTCCTGAGCACTTCTGAGAGGTCTTTGAGGGTCCTTTGCATGCGCAATGTCTCCTGTGGCGAGGCAAATGCTTGTGAAAGCCAGAAGAGTAAGAGAGTGCAACATAGTATTGACAAGTCTCGTCCAGAGGGAGAAGGGGGTCGATCGCGTAGAGATGTGTCGGTTTTTGTAAGCACCAGATCCAAGGATCAAATCAGTCGCACATTCTGTAATTTGCTTGACAACTAGTTTGCAAGGAGCGGAGAAATACACGCGCAGTGTGCTCGTTGTTGCTCAGTTTACGAACTACTGCGCTGCTTCCATGTCTGGTCGGAGAAGCATCACAACGTGGCTCGGCAGCCAGCGTCATCTGCCCGCAACCATGAACCCTCGATACGTTTATCTCCCAACATCAATTGTAGTCAGAATCATCATCGTGTATAAGCCGTTATTCATTACTATAATACATATGATCTATATGCCTCACTTATGGCGACATTCTTTATCTATACACAATGCAACTACTCTTCACGCTTCCGCATCCCACCAAGCTCCTGACCATTCTGCATGGATTCTGCTGAGCCTTGTACTCTTTGCGCTTCGTCATTAGTTGCACTTTGGACGTCTGGATTGTCGGCCGCAACCGAGTTCGGAGTCTGGTTCTGGCTGGTAGCAGATTCTTCGTTCGCAATCCACTCGGCATCGTCCATGATTTCGAGATCAGTCTCTCCTGCAAATTGGTCACCTCCCGCAGTGACGCTGGTTTGCTGTTCTAGTTCTGGGGTTGCTCCATCCTCGTCCTCTTCATCAGCCAGTACAGATTCTCGTTGGGCTTCTGCCATCAAGGATTTCTCTCGTGCGGCCTTAATCTTTCTTCTCTTACTTTCTGTAAAGGAGAACTGGTGAAGGACGTGTTCGATCTTTTCTTCCACGAGGCCTTTCACGTGAAATGCCAATGGACGCGTGGTAAAAATCCCAGCAAATCTGTAACTGAGCCATAGGTAGGCAACAATGGCCTTGTGCAGCTGCTCAAGTTGGCGAAGGTAATCTCTGCTCGGCGACATCTGCAATTCTAGGACTTCAAGAGGCATTTCCGCTATGTCGTAAAGGGCACCACCGCCTTGCTGTTCTATACAACGTGCCAGAGCTGGCAGAAGTTTGCCGATCATATCTTTGTCAGACTTTGATGCCGGACAGGCGCACAGGATGTTTCGATCAGTGACTGTCAGACCTTGAACGGGCTCTATCAGATCAGCAATCCAGAGCTGATCTTTCAAGCCACAGAGGTGGAACCTTGAATGCATCTGAGAAAGCTCATGTAATCGCATGAGGATGTATGAAAACGGTGTACCAGGAGGGAAATATGAGGCGAACCGCTCAACAATGGGTGCAGGAGGAAAAATGCCTGCAGAGCGAATAGGCTCGGGCTCTTCCTTCATTGCGTTTGCGATGGTGGGAAAATCGAAGTCCTCAAGTGTTGTCACAAGACCTAGCGTCGAGTCTTGAGACTTGGCAGTTTCCTTCTGAGTGCTAGGGACCTGCAACGTTGGATCAACGTCAGAGACTGGTGGTGAGTCTTGTGAAGATGTTTCGATAGTTGTCGGACTCTCAGCAGGAACTTCGGTTATGGTCTCTTTTCCTGGTTCTGACTCTCCTTTTGCCTCTGCAAGAGCGTGAGCAGCCGCTGCCTCAGAAGCCTTGTTGGCCTGGTAAGCACTCTTGTAGCGGCCAGCTCGGCCGGCAATCTGTTTAATATCCGGAACAGCCAGAGTCCTCTGACGGAATCCATCATACTTGGACGATGACTCGAAAATGACGCGTTTAATGCTCAAGTTAAGCCCCATGCCGATAGCGTCGCTAGCGACGAGAAAATCGTAATCATTGTCGGGATCGTTAAAGAGACGTGCCTGTTGAGCTCTGGTCTCGGGTGGCAAGCTGCCGTATACGGTAGCTACTTTTCTTCCTGTAGACTGTTCAATCGACTTCCGTAGCGCATGAATGCCCATGACGCTGAAACTGACAATACAATCACCCTTTCGCAGCTTCTTGAGACTTCCCTGCAAGCTTTTATCTGCCATCTTTAGGGGACTCAAACGCTCGTACTCGTGAACGACGAGCTTCTCACCAATAGAAGCGCACAACTCACGTATTAAGGGAACGGTTCGGGTCTCACCGCACAAGTGAACTTCGCGAGCTTTTACACCCAAGACAGCCTGCGTCCAGGCCCAACCTCGCTCAGCATTACCTATCATCTGAATCTCGTCTATAACGGCAACGTCAACGTCCTTGTTGAGTGGCATCATCTCGACAGTACAGCTGGTGATATCGGCAGCCAAAGAGTCATCGTCGGGAGCACGCTTTTCTTCACCAGTAATAAGCATGCACTGTTTGCCTTTTGCGTTGAGTCTTGTGTAGACTTCGTGAGCAAGAAGACGTAGGGGACCAGCATAGACACCAGTTTCAGCCTGTTCTAGACGTTGTAAAGCATGGTATGTCTTGCCAGAATTGGTGGGGCCGACGTGAAGATGAATGGTTCGGTGGATGGTACGGGTGGCAGGATACCATTCTGTGGGATAGCGGAGATCGGCTAGAGCCTTTTGGTTGCGAATGTCCGAGGGCGTGAAACTTGCGGAAATGACATGGTTGTAGAAAGCGTACTTGATTCGATCTTGCAGGCCATTAACACCTCTTTCGAACCAGGAGTCACGCAGAGCTTGATGCTGGATCCTTCTAGCAACAAGGGCAGGGTGATTCGAATTTTTGTCGCCAGTATTGATGACGGAGTCAGTAAAGTCGGACCAGGTTTCTCTGAATTTGCTTTCTGCCTCAAGTTTCTGGCCGATGGGAGTGGTGTACAGTTCGAGCTTGACGGTGGCGAGGTGTTCTCTCAAGACATCGAGGAATTTGGGTTTCCTATCGGATAACCGAGATTTCTTGGAATCACCGGCATGCTTGCGTATTAGAGGACGCCTGGCGGTAGAAGCAGTGTTTGGCTTGTTCGAGGAGTGATCCCTAGGAGCGTGGCGGGTGGTGGAGAAGGCGCAACGATAGAGCGGATGGCGAAGGCGCAAGGAGGTCGAGGCAGGAAAAAGCGAGCTGCCTGCTTGGCGAGTCAATGCAAGCATCCCCTCGCGCGGCCACTTGGTTGCGACAATAGAGAAGGCGGAGTCACGGCAGGTGCAAGAGGTACGAGCAGACGCGCAAAAAAAAGATACGGTAATTGAATTATGGACCTGGAGCAGCTGCATGACGCTGGTCGAGAGCTGCTTGGCAACGACTCTCCGCAATCTCGACAAGCAGAGCACCACTCGGTCCAGGTCCACCTTCATCCATTCACACTCGACCACTTAGTTCCCTGAGACTCCCGCTCCCTCCAGCATGGGCGTCTCCATCATAGACGCCCAGCGCGACAGTCAGTCCGAGTCCATCATCTCTCTCTCTTCCCCTTCTGACCCTCTGCTGTAGTCATCTTAAATGTGATCCGTTCCACCACCCAAGGCCAAGTACGCCCTCGTAGCTCCAACAACCCGCCCCTCCATCCCGCTGAACCTCTCTACAGTGGAAAGTCTTGATCCTCGACGACACCAGCAAGAAGCTGCTCGACAATGTCCTTCATTCAGACGACATCTTGAACGAGAGCATCACCAGTATGCCGTCTCCTGAAGCCATTCCAACCAACATAGCCTGACAGACGTCCTCTGCAGACATCGAGAAGATTGAAGATCGTCGCCCAAAGAATCCCGATGTCGACGCCATCTACCTGATCACTCCCCAGACCCACATCGTCGACTGTCTTATGGCCGATCTTGACCGCCGACGCTACAGGAAGACCAACCTGATCTGGACCTCCTTACTGCCTCCACACATGAAAGAGCGTCTTGACAAGTCGTCCGTCGCCCGCGAACAGATCACTGTCTTTCGAGTTCTCAACATTGACTTCTTCCCTCGCGAGTCCCACCTTGTCACCTTTAGAGACCCCTGGAGTTTTCCCATTCTCTTCCATCCTGCCTGCAACAATCTCATTCGCCAGCATATGGAAGATCTTGCCCAGAAAATTGTTGGAGTCTGCGTTGCATTAGGCGAATTTCCTGATATTAGATATTACCGCCCGCGCACCCCCACCCACGAGGCCAGTGTCCTCTGCTCTCACCTTGCTCGTTTCGTACAGGAGGAGCTCAACTTGTATGCCAACTTCCATAAGGATTTCCCTCCCCCGAGTAACCGTCCTCGCGCAACTCTGTACATCACCGATAGATCCATGGACGTACTTGCTCCCTTGCTTCACGAGTTTACCTACCAAGCTATGGCGCACGACCTTCTACCCATCCGCGAAGGAGACAAAATCATATACAAGACAGTTGTCAACCAAGGGACTCCAAAGCAGGAGGAGAAGGATTACGAAATTTCAGAAAAGGACCGCATCTGGGTTGAAACACGTCACCTCCACATGAAAGACACTATCGAGAAGCTCATGGGAGACTTCCAAAAGTTTATCGATGAGAACCCCCATTTTACAAAAGAGAGCGACCCTAGCGGCATGAACGGTCTTAATACGATCAAGGACATGCTCGCTGGTCTTCCACAATTTGAAGAGATGAAAGGGGCGTATTCGCTGCATCTCGGCATGGCCCAAGAATGCATGGATCTGTTTCAGCGTCACAAACTTCCTGACATGGCCTCAGTTGAGCAGGTTTGTGAATGTTGCCCTGATAATCATTTTTCGCTGACCCGATCTCTAGATTTTGGCGACCGGCCTTGATGAGGATTATCGCAAACCCAAACACATAACAGATCAAGTTGTACGGACTCTGGATGACGATGCAATCGTGATGCCCGACAGGCTTCGATTAATTGCACTCTATCTCATATATAAGGATGGTCTGCTTCCTGCAGATCTTGTCAAGCTTTTACTCCATGCTCAACTTCCTCCTCAACACTCAGAAATGCTGCATAACCTTGGTCTTCTTGGTATTCGCACGACGCGAAACCTCAAAGACTCGCGTCCACCACCGGTTCCTCTATTTCCTCAGAAGCCGCCACCGACTCTTGTTCAAGAGGAGTATGCTTTGAGTCGGTTCGAAACATCTCTCCAACGACTTTTGGACAACCACGTCACCAACACTGTCGACGCTACCGTGTTTCCATATGTCAAGCCGCCGACGGATCTAGGTGATAATGATATTGGCCCTGCTCCTACATCTCTACGTTCGGCCAAGCCGACTTGGGCAAAGGCAAAATCATCGACTACGGAACCTCGGCAACGCGTCATTGTGTTTATGGCAGGGGGTGCAACGTACTCAGAGAGTCGAGTGTGCTACGACATGATGCGACAGAGCAATAAGGAGGTGTTCCTATTGACAAGCCATATGCTAACACCAGCCTTCTTCCTACGCCAGGTGGGAGATCTCAGCGCGGACAAACGCAAGCTCGGCATACCGGCCGAGCAACCACCTAAGCAGGCTCCCGCTCATTTGTTCGAGCGAGACGATCCGCCACCAGCACCACGACCAGTGCAAGCGCCATTGAAACCAGTCGTTCCAGCTCAGCCGCCCACTCAAGCTATGAGCAATATGAACTTAAACTCGAAGCAACCAAATGGAGCGGTGCCTGCAGCACCGGCGCAGAGTGCTTCAAAGCTCCAGAAGGAGCCGGAGAAGAAGAAGCGGCACTTCTTTTCGAGCAAGAGAGGGTAGAAAGGGATAGTGTTTGATATGGTTAGCGTAGCATCAGGGGGCGTTTGTCGGGAGAAAATGTCGATATCCCTAGACACATTTCAGATTCTTGTAAATTTCGAAAGATTATGTAGGCAAGAGCGCTGGCGCCGGGAACAAATCTTGCTTGGGGATAGCGCAGCGTCTGGTGTAATGTACTTAATTTGGTCAGGACCTACATACATGTATGTATACTGTTGCACCCGATCAGCACCGTGATTATATGCATCTCGACAGGTCGCATATGTCTTGGCATTTAGGTACGAACGAGTGGGAGATGCACAGACAACGGACAAGGCAACCCTGATGGCGATGCACAATCATGTGATGCAATATGGATTACAGCGGCTCAGAAACGAAGCACACCCGTCTCCTTCTTCCACTTCTTGACCCCTCCAACCACCTTATTTACACTTTGACCAAGTGGCAGGCCTAGCTATGGCATCAACCCAGTTGACCCAGCAAGAAAAGGCAGACCCTCACAATGACGAGGCAACCGCCCCTGCAGCGACCAAGTCTTTCGTTCCGCTAGGTGAGAGAGAAGCTCTACCAACCCTCTACAGACTGACAGGGTAGAGAAGCAGCGGCTGACGCGTGACAGAGAACAATCCAGAAGTCATGAGTTCACTCTTACACAATCTTGGCCTCTCATCACAGCTCGCTTTCCACGACGTCTTCAGCATCGATGAACCCGAACTACTTGCCTTCGTGCCCCGCCCAGCATGCGCTCTCCTCCTAGTATTCCCCATCAGTGACACATACGAGACTTTCCGCCTCAGCGAAGATCACGACAAGCCAGAGTACGAGGGCTGTGGCCCCGACGAAGAGGTCGTTTGGTACAAACAGACCATCAGCAACGCTTGCGGTCTCATCGGTGTACTACACGCAGCGAGCAATGGTCCAGCTCGGGACTTCATCACTCCAGACTCGCATTTGGCAAAGCTTCTCCAAGACGCCATCAACCTCAAGCCCGCTGAGCGTGCCGATTTACTGTACGAGTCGCAGGCTCTTGAAAACGCTCATCAAGCCGCCGCCACTGGTGGTGATACTGCTGCCCCTTCGGCAGACGACAACATCGATCTACACTACGTCTGCTTTGTCAAGTCTGCAAACAACCACTTGTGGGAGATGGATGGTCGTCGCAAGGGCCCCTTGGACAGAGGTGTCTTGTCCGCTGACGACGATGTCTTGAGCGACAAGGCTCTCGACATGGGCGTCCGTAGTTTCCTCCAACGAGAATCCGAAGCAGGAGGTGGTGACTTGCGTTTCAGTCTCGTCGCCCTCTCTCAGTCGCTAGACTGAAGCACGTTCGGGAATGCCGGACACAAAGAGCAGCAAGCCTCACATTCTTGGCTCCACAACCCGAAACGGCCACACGTGTTTGTGGATCTAGGCCCTTTTGCTTTCGTAACCTCTATGTCGTGAGGTATGTACGCTAGTCATGCGGTTGGCACGAATGGGTGACAGACAAGCCCTAACTGAATGAGGACATGAGCACATTCCTTTGCAAGCTGCCACTGCAACGTCCGCGATCAGCACCAGACATGCCGCAAAGTGCGGACAGACGGAACAGGAGAGCAGATGCCGAAAAGCCGTCTGGAACTCCCGGGAGTATGGTATGAAGTTTCTAGATCTAGAGTTGCTTTCAGCGAATCTTCTTTTTCTTTTGCGCTCTCCGCCCATCCTCTGGCTTTGTGTCGCTTGTGCTGTCCTGCAAACGGTGTCTTATGGGACACATTGATCCTAATGGATGCATCCTACAAGACGTGAGCGCTCCGTTACCCTAGCAAGACCAACACATGGCTTAGTTCGTCTCTTGTTTCTTCTTTTGCCATCGTGTCACCAACGCTGGACACCAATGTGTTGACTCGAGTCAGGATATATCGGTCGTCAAGCGTATCTAGAACAGGATCTGATCGTTTATGTATACTTTTTCGGCCATTTTATTATTGAACGTTGATGCCGTTGCGACTGTAGCGGGCAAATTCGACGGCAGCAACTCACGGTCTTGTCGAAACAGTCTTGATCGGCAGAACCATCTAGGAGACAGAGAATGGACTTGGCAACGGCCATTGGAGATGACTTCAGTCAACTCAGACATACGCTCTCTTCGAGCGGTCGCACCCTCTCTTTTCTTGCTTCGTCCCTTATACAGCTTTCCCATGCCCTGCGTGGCGGACCGCTGTTCACCAGAACGCAGCGACGCGCCGACAACATGGGTCTCGGAGGCCACCTCTCGAACCCCTCCGCAATTCTATCTCCAGAATGGAGTCGAGCAATTCGAATCATTGCTGTCGTCTCATCTAGTTTCAGCGTGATTGGTACACTGATCACGATATATTGGTTCTTTATGATGAGGAGAAACTTCAGAAGAAAGTATGTTGTGGTTTATTTTCAACATGGAGAGCATCAAATGCTGATTTTGATCTAGTCTAATCTTGTTTCTTGTTGTGGCCGACTTCTTAAAATCACTATGGTATATAAGTTTCTCAGGCGTGTCTCTGCGTCGTGGCTCTATCGACACAAATTCATCATTCTGTCAAGGGTTCGGCTTCTTGTTACAAGGGTCGACCATGGCTTGCGGTAAGTCTCGCTCTGCGGTTGTCTTTGCAAGATGCAGTACTGACTATACCTGACAGACTATGCCATCTTCATCATGTCGTTACACATGTACCTGCAAATATTTTGCACTGGTAGTAAACTTTTTGGCCACGATGGTCTATATCGCTTTAGGCATACTGTTATGGCAGGATGGTTCTTGTTCCCTTTCCTGTGTGCTGTTCTTGCCTTCGTCAGAGGACGCGAAGGTTACATCGCACAGGGTCCCTTTTGCACCTTGCCGATTCGCCCGTACTGGTACCGACTTGCACTGCAATGGATCCCGCGCTATCTTATCTGGCTTTACATCATGTTTGTGGCCATCCGAATCTATTTACACGTAGGTCAAGGCTTCAAGATTTTTGCCCGCGAGGACGGCAAGGATTCGAGCACCGGAACAAACGGCTACGGGCCAGCAGAGAGTCTTGGGACCATGCCTGGAGAAGGAATGCCAGACCTGCGAGTAGCCAAAAAGAGAGGTGCAAGCGCAGGCGAACTTCAGGATCTATCTGGTTTCACGAACAACAACGTTTCCGATCCGCCAGCTCCCGCCAGTAGCTCTAGTCAGGGCAGCCAGTCGACCTGGCCGACATCTCTCAACTCTTCTTCTGAAGGATTCAAAGTGTCTTCGGATGGTCACTCAAGACGAAGCAGCCACGTCATTATGGTTGCGGACGGAACCATCCAACACGAACTTTTGCAGGTGCCTCCGGAATCAAAGCAGCAAAGACCATCTGTCTCTACCATTGCAACCTGGAGGACTTCCGCCGACATGACTACTGCTGTTGGAACCCCTTCGGCCAATCTCGCACCAATTCAAGAAGGACACCAATCGACAGGCGATGACAAGATCGACATAGAATCAGCCGACACCCCTCTCAAGAAGAGACGAAGAGCGATTCAAAGGCAACTCCGCCTCCTTTTTATCTATCCCGTTACTTATCTCATGATCTGGATCATTCCCTTTGTTTACCATTCTTGCAACTACAGCGACAAATATGCCGCACATCCCATTCCTATCCTGGCGCTGCTCTCAAATTTTTGTGTAACTTTTGCTGGTACAGTCGATTGCATTGTGTTCGGTTGGAGAGAAAAGCCATGGCAACACGTACCAGGAGCTGATGGCACTTTCCTCGGCAGCTTCATGTTCTGGACCTTCAACAACAGTAGAAGGAGAAAATGGGCAACACCCGCACCAAAGCCACTTCCATCATTGGGCAGGGACGACGAAGAGGAAGTAGAAGCCGCTGAACCGACGGCGCAAACACGAAGAAAGTCAAGACGCTTCAGTGGAGCACCCAGAAATTCTTCCATCAATGGAAACAAGCCCATTGTTCCTATGCACAAGAAGACCTTCTCTGGAACTTCTGATCGGGCGACCAGGGCAGCAGAGCAAGCGGCCGAGAGACTCGCTATGGAAAGAGCGGACCGCCAGAGTCGCTTTTCGACGCGCAACTCGTCTGTCAACCCGCCAAACGAATGGTTTGAGCGAAGGCTCAGCGAATGCGTCAGTCCGACGCGCGAGAACTCTCACTTTGAGCTGGCTACACCCAGTCCAACAGAAGAGGTATAATCACAAACAACGATGAGTGGCCGAGAAGCTGGCTTTCTTACACCACATCATTATATTCTTTTTTTTTGCCTTGCAGCACAGCGATGGCGCATTCTCCTTTTCTTTCTTTACTTTTCTTGGCACATCAAAAGAATCCGTAACTTTTATTATTTAGATGGGTGGGCTTTGAGACGGAGGCGATCAAAAAAGTGATCTTCTAGAAGAAACATCAAAAGAAGCCTAAAACAAGCATAATTGAATCTCAGATCTGATTCCCAAATCCAACGTCGGTGTATCAAACTCTATTGTAGACGGTTTTGCTTCAAGGGCAAGAAAACATCTGTCCATAGCTCGCTAGCTTCGCCCAAGGTGAAAGATAGATCAACGTTATCCATGCCGGCTTCCTCGTCACCAGCCATGGTGGCGAGCTGAGAGATGATGTTGTCTAGAGATAGAGCCTTACCCACGGCCTGTGTAGCACCAGCCTCGAGCGAGACATGGACAATGTGGATGTGGAAATGGTAGTAAGTTGGTTGATCTGTGGCATTGTCAGAACAAGCAAAAGCCAAGCAGAAGCAGACAGAGGCGACATACAATGAACATAGCATTTGAGCATGTCAGAGTCTATGCTGTATAGACGGGAAACAGTGTTTGCAATATCTGCAACGATGGACTTGAGCCAAGGAACATGCTTTTTCTTGAGGTCGCGAAGACTCCAAATGTCTCTGCGCTCGACGAGTGCGAGCATGTGTAGGCTTCCCAGCGTCTTACGGTCCCAGTTTAAGTCAGGAAGTAACAGGTATCTTTCGTCTTCCGGGGTCGTGTCATGCGGCGAGCGGAACAGGACGTCTTCTTGCTCGGTGCGTCCATCGAGGATGTTGAATACCCAGTTTAGTCGGCCTTGATCGCGCTTGGTCTGCATGTAGGGACGCACATGGTTACGATAGATTTCAGGAGTCTCGGTCACATAGCGAACGGCTTGTGCGGCGTATTTTTTGAGGTGCTGGTCGGTACATGGATAGATGAGGTTGATCTTCAAGTCGGGCGGATTTCCTTGGCCAGCGCCGCTGTGGGCCATATACCAGCGGTAGATGTCATTGTCGCCGAGGTTCTGGACGTGCGAGAGCGAGCCGGTGAAGGTAGATAGATGTGCTTCGTCCGAGTCAAAGGCGGCGCGCTCGGCGAGGAGCAGTGCGGGTTGACTTGCGATTGTGCCCTGCAAGACGATGCGGCGTCCGGCTTGGTCTAGCATGCGTCGATGTCGTGTTACAATTCATGTTTCTGTCATGCTCGAGTGTCGATACCTTGGTTTAAAAGCTTTTCGAACTTGAATTGAGGGATTAGTGCCTCTGCATTGTTGTTGGATGTGGCCATGTTGTTGCTGGTGTCGATGGTCAAAGTTGCTGCGTCAGAGCAGCCAGAGCTTTCTTGACTGCCCATCTCCACTGGATTTGGCTTCCGAATCCAACACGGCACAACAAAACAGCTCAGATCACTCTTGCACCTCATCACGACCTTGTCAAGTTTGTCTTGTATGCCAATTGTATTATTACTATCTAGCAATGCCCTCGCCATCATAGTCTTGATAAGCCCACAGTTCTGGTATCTTTTGAAGCAGCCCGTTCACGCCATAAACTCCCAGTCATGCATGATCCCATCTCAGTTCGTACCAAATCCGTCCTGTCGTCATCCTTCGCTCATGTCGGTCTCCTATGTCTCGATGAATCTCGAGCTCATCAACTCGTCAACATGAGCGCGCTGCATTCTGCTCTTGTCCTTGTCGTTGGCCTTGAGCAAGACTGCCAGCACTTCGATGGGAGGATTGAGACCCAAAGTGTTGGCTCTCCTCCAGCGCTTGACTCTGGCAATGCCAATGCACGGCTATAATATGATCAGTGAATGATTCGCGCAGAAAGAGAAAGGATGCTTGGAACTTACGCCGTACTGTCCACTCATGTCAAACTCCCTCAGGATCTTTTCCGACATGTCGAGTCCCTGTTGATGAACACGAGGTGCTTTTCTTTCAGCTTCCTTTTGCTCCCAGTACTTTTTGATTTGAGCATTGGTGATCTTGATGGCGCGCTTCTCATAGTCATCAGGCTCGTCGCTAGAGTGGGGCTCGCTTTTCGGAGCTTTGATGTTGACAAGTTCGGCTTCGGCTTGTTCTTCAATGGCAGCATCGGCTGTGGTGGGTCGGCTGATAGCATGAGTTGATACTGCTTCTAGCAGAGCGTCGTTTTTCTTGGTGGGCTTGGAGTCGCGCTGAGCAGTGGTTTTGGTGACGCGGTTGAGACCCTGCTTGCTAAACGAGATGGTCGCTTGTTGATTGCGCTGCGCTGCCGAAGGTGTAGAGATGCGTCTCTTAGGTGCCATGGTGAATTGTGATGATTTGATGTGATTATGGATGCAATTTTGATGATCTCGAATGTATAGCGCAAAGATGTACAGGTGATTGTGAATCAAGTCAAGATCAAGGTACTGCGTGTTGGTTGATGGAAGACACATTCAGTCCATTGACCTAACAACGGCGCGTCATCTGACGTCATAATAGGGAGCGTGACGCGACGAGAACTACTCAATTAGATTTCCGAAAGCGGATCAGATGGATTTCTTCAAAACGAGCTCCTCCGTATTAGTTTTACATACTTTTAGCGATTACTTCTGGGTATAATGTAAATGTGTGAGAGCCAGGATCCCTGCTGGCCTTCACCAGGTTGAAGTAACCTCTTGAAAAGCGTCCGTAACATCGAATCTATCATGCCAAAAAGAATCGTCTGCAAGCATTACCGTCGTCCTTGGTTTCGTCCCGCTTACTTGCGAGCAGCAATCGCCTTGTCCACAAACTCCTTCGGCGCCTGCTGTCTGTAGCCTTGAGGGTTGTTCTCGGTCCATCTCCACAGATCGCTGCACGCATCTTCGAGTGAGAACTTGGTTTCCCACTGAAGTTCCTCATGGGCTCTGCCTGGGTTGGCTGTGAGGTTCAGAACATCGCCGGGTCTACGGTCAACCACCTCGTAGGGCAGGTCGCGTCCAACAGCGTGCGAGAACGCCTTGACCATCTCGAACACGGTAGAGCCTCTGCCAGTACCAAGGTTCCATGCGCGCACACCGGGCTGGTGCTCGCGAAGGTAGTTGAGTGCCTTCAGATGGCCTTGGGCAAGATCAATAACGTGAATGTAGTCGCGGATAGCAGTGCCATCTCTTGAGTCGTAGTCTGTTGCACTCATCAGTCCTGCATGGTCATGTGCACATGAGCTTGATTTTGCTTACCATCACCAAACACAAGCAACTTCTCGCGCTTTCCAACAGCGACTTGAGCCAACAGGGGCAAGAGGTTGAAGGGAATGCCCTGAGGATCCTCTCCCATGATTCCACTGGGGTGTGCGCCTGCAGGGTTGAAGTAGCGCAACAAAGCGCCGTTCCATTTGGCACCCGACTCTCCCTTCTTCTGTGCGTTGTTGCGCTGGGCTTCGACGTGGGTGCCAATCAGCTTTTCAATGGCATACTTGGTGTCTCCGTAAGGGTTTGTAGGACCCAGAGGGCAGTGTTCGGGAATGGGAATCATGTCCTCGAAGCGTGTGGCATCGCCGTAGACTGTAGCGGATGATGAGAAGACGATGTTTGTGACATTGTGACGGGTCATGGCTTGGAGCAGGGCGATTGAGCCGCCGACGTTGACGCGCCAGTACTCAAGGGGGATCTCGCCAGACTCGCCGACAGCCTTGAGGGCAGCAAAGTGGATGACATTGTCGATATCGGGGTGGTCGGCAAAGATCTTCTCCAAGGCCTTCTCGTCGGTGATGTCGGCGTTGTAGAAGATGGGTCGCTTGCCGCAGATGGTTTCAATGCGGTTCAGTACTTCCTCAGACGAGTTGTACAGGTTGTCGATGATGACGACCTTGTAGTCGGCCTCGAGCAGGGCGAGGGCAGTGAAGCCACCGATGTATCCGGTGCCACTGTCGCGTTCGTCAGCGCATGGCGGGGCAGTCCGGCGCAAAGCGTTACTTACCCGGTGACGAGAACTGAACCAACTGGCATTGTTGTGTGTGGGGATGTGATGGGCGAGACAAGAGCAGCAGCAGCTTTGTGTTCGAAACAGAAAAGTCTCGGACAAGTGTTGTGAGAAGGGGGAGGCTCTAGTCTTTAACTAGGTACCATTTCAACCGACGCGACGACGACACATCGGGGATCACACACTGTGACGGTCGTACCCTGGCACAGTGTGGAGCATTCTTGCCCCTTGGAAATGGGGAAACTGATGACATGGCGCACCCAAATTTCTTGCCAATCTCAACATCTCTCTTACTACTAGCTTTATTATTATCCGCGGCCCACCCGGAACATCTCATGCTCTGCTCGTGTTGTGCTGTAGATTTTCCTTTTATCCGCTGCTGCTTGCTATTCTGAGATGTTTGCTGCTCGACCACAGCCTTGAAAGTCGAGTTGCGATCCTCTCAAGATTCTACCCGTCGTCGCGTGCTACAGAGTGTTCGAGATTAGTGTGTTTGAGCGTTCAGCGTCCCGCCGCGGATCATGCATTTGCTTGCGAATCCTTCATGGGCAATGTTCATCCATCGCTTGTGCCTGCTCATCCCAACTGTCACACATTTCGCTGAGAGGCCGTTGTCGCTGCTATGTTTGCCAATGCGCTGCCAACGAGCTACCCTGCGCTTGCTGTCTCCTTTTCTGAGCTACCCCTTGTCGCACCACTCCCACATATCCTCCACAAGTCTAGACTTGTGCTTGTCCTCAAGCATATTTCCAATGAATAATGCAAGCCAGAGTTATGCCGGCGCTTGGACCAGCTTGCCCGAACGCGTTGTTTTGCAGACTTGCATCACGTAGGAATGTTGTCCGCAAACAGCGACTTCCTCTATAGCATGCATAGCAATACCTGAACTGCATTGATGTCTTGGCTAACTGTAGTTGTTTTACTCCCGGGCATCACCTAGTAGTGGTCATCTGCGGTCAACCGGTATCGATACATCGATTCGCGTTAATGCCATAACCTTACGCGTGCGAACCACCTTCACAGCCAATTCCTTTTCACTTGACACATCCGGTAAGTAAAGATTCGAAAAGTTGTAGCCTTCACATATCTCTCGAGCTCAAATGTTGCACACATCTCGATGATATCAAATGTTATTGAAGTTCCACACACATTGTTCCCAGACAAACCAACCACTAACCCTATCCCGACCAGGATCTCTTCTCAGTCACGGTTCTTGTTTGAAGACAGCCGTACGCAAAATGTCAGAAACTCCAGCACGTCGGACGCGTGGTTCGACCAGAATGAGCGCAACACCCGCTGCGCCTTCCGTCGCAGGCAGCCGCAGACCTCGTGCGAAAACACCCAAAGCACTTCCTGCTGTACCTACTGGAAAATCACATGCCTATGGTGCTGTTGGTAAGGTCGAGTTGTCGACACAGCTCGAGGATCCTTCTGGCAGCGCTGGTGGATTTGCTGCCCGCTTCCTTGCAGATAGAGGTGCAGCCGTCAGTCGTGACATTGGCGATGCTGTTGTTCCTGATGCTTTACCCGCACCTTCAGCAAACATTACCAAGGCAACCACCACTACCAGACCAGTCAGCACGAAACCGACAATGTCCAGGTCGCCTGTTGCTACTACCAGCATCCGATCAACACAGAAGATTACAACGCCTTATTATCTACGACCTCAGGCTCATGATAGTACTGATAATGACGAATTCGAAGATGACTATCAGCATGCCGGTTTCGTGCCCACTGGCGGCTCTCTGTTTCGTCGAGCGCCGTCTACGGGTGCTGGTAGTTTCACCGACCTAGATACCCAGTTCTCCTACGAAGCATCTATGCCACCCTCCACTAGATCTCGGAAAGTTGCAGAATTGCGGCCTCCGCCCACGACTCAAGAGAGAGAAGCTGCCCGACCTTGGAGAGTGTCTGTCTTCTTCGAGACACTGCACCGTCGGTGGCAAGATTTCGAAATACCTTGGGACAAGTTCTCGCCACAGGTCAGGAGGATCTGTCTTGCTCTTCTGACAGCGTTCTTACTTCTCTTTCTCCTCGGACCAAGCAGATGGCTTGGTCTTCTGGAAAGAGGCACAAATGCATGTTTTAAAGCTGGCGAGTACGTCATCAGCCCACTCTCGTATGTTCAACGAAGAGCCTTTGGTTCTGGCGAAGACAAATTGTCGAGGCGCCTGCAGACTCTAGAGCTTGATATGCAAGGTGTTAGAAACCAAGTACGAGGCCTGAATGCCGATGAACTTGAGCGCTTGCAGTCAATCCTACCAGAACAGATCATGGTGCGTAAAAATCCGGAGACTGGCGGACTGGAGTTTCCTCCTGGTTTTTGGCAAGCGATAGACGCAAAACTGGATCATCGCGACAATGGAAAGATCTGGGACAGATTCATGGAGACCAATCAAAGAAAACTTGAACAACATGCTCAAGACCTCGTCCAAAGGACACTGCAACACCAAAAAATCATTAGCAAGGAAGACTTAGCTGCTGCTGTTCGTGAGAACCATGCAGCATTCCAGGAACACTTCTCCGGGCAGCTCCGTGCATTCGAGGCATCAGTTCGCAAGTCTACAGAAATGGTTGCAAGGAGAACTGTGTCAGATATCATCAAACAGCTGCCCGATAGCAAAGGATCTACGCAGCTGCACAGCCTGGCTCTCGCAAACATAGCTCGGAACACAGAACTCAGACTTCGTAGCGTGAATTTCTTCTCCCATGCACTGGGAGCCACTGTACACCCCAGATACACTTCTCCGACCCACCCTAGGCAACTCGGAGGTGTGTGGCAGTGGGTCAACAGGAATCTTTATGATTATCAGGGGCGAGGCCATCCTTCGCCATCTCGAGCTCTGACAGCTTGGGACGAGCCTTCGGATTGCTGGTGTGCTGCTGCATCAGATGACAAGGGAAAGGCTCAGATTGGTGTGATCATCCCCCGCGCCATGATTCCAACTAGTATCACCATCGAGCACATGCCCACTACAGGTACACTCGACATTGGAGCAGCACCTAGAGAATTCGAGGTTTGGGTTAGAACTCGAGCTGGTGCCGGAGCACCACAATCATACAACTCTCATTTGGGCTGTGGAGAGGCGCCCGAGCCTGGTCTCGTCTGTATCGGCAAAGCATCATACGACATTCATGCACTCAACCATGTTCAAAATTTTGACCTCGAGGATATCGACGGAGCAACAGGTTTCGTTGACTTTGCCGTCATCAGAGTCATAAACAATTGGGGCCAAGACTGGACATGCATCTACCGCATCCGACTGCATGGTGAGCCGGAGCCTGCCGAACTCAAGAGCGGTGACTCGGGCGAACTCTGAGATCAATTTGAAGTTGCCTGGATTCGTGTTTCAATGATACGTTTATGGCGAAATGGGAAGAATTGCGGTGAGCTTCGTTCTCTCGATCTTCGTGTGCTGTTGTTGTTTTAGATACCCCAGCCTACATGGCTCTGCAAGATTTCATTAACATCCCATAATTCACGTTTGAGCTAGTGCTTATGGCTATTCAGTCACTCGTTGTGAAATTGTGCTCAGATGTATTACGCCAGAGCCTCATTGACCGTAAACGCTAAGCGCTACAATATGGAATCGACGCCTTTGTTCTTGCCTTGTTGACGAATCCGGCGAAATGCCCGAAAGCGGAGAGCAATATGGAACTCTTTGTTGTTGAATGGTGTTCTCGTTAAGATGTGCATCATGGTCGTTAAAGCGCTTGCGTTTGGTTGTCAACAATTACACCTAAAACAATGTCTAAGAGAAAGCTGGAAAGCCAAAGTCCGCCCAACATGTCTCCACACAAGAAGACACGGGTGGTGCCAGGCCCCAAATTGCACCGATGGACCGGTGAAGGCTTCGAGCATATGGTCTACACACCTCCAGTATCACCCCTGCCATCTCCATTCGGAATCGACTTCCACGTGGATCAGAATACGAGGGATGCCGTTGCACGATTCGGACCAGCTCTTCAAGTGGCATATGAAGCAGCCTCCATGGTCGCTGATAAGGCTGGCGCTCGTCAAACACTGCTGAACTTGTGCAACAACGAACAAGTGGCTTGGATCGATCCTTTGCAACCCATTACGTTGAAGTCGGGCGAAGGGCTAAGCTTGTAGGTTCATGTCTATACGTATCATACTGGGTTCGAACTGACACGTATAGATCCCAGGAGAACGACGAAACAAGAATCATCAGACTTCGAAAGGTTTTCAGCGCATATGCTTCCAGATGGTTCGCCTTTGTGCAAAGAGATACACACCTGACTGTCAACGGACAGAATTACCCAAACACCCACGACATCATCATTGGACCTTTACCTCCATTTTCAGTCGTGGAGTATCACGATCGAGTAGTCTTTCTGTACTTGAACCGTGAGAGTGTCGACTACAGACCAGGCAAGCTTGACTCTCAGCCCAGTATTAGTCGCATCCTTGCAAGTTTCAAGGACGACAAAAAGTCCGCGAGCAAAGGAGGGACACCAGTGGCAGCGGCTGCCTCTTCGAGAGGAGAGATAGTGGACATCAAGACAAGTGCAAAGACAGAGCCTGAGGTTCAGCCCAAGGACAGCGACTCAAGCGAATACTTCAAATGGCGAATGCGGGAGTGGAAGCTTCTCAAAGATCGATCCAATGTTGCACTGATTGACCCAGCTAAGCCACCCGATGTCTTCGGCCGTGCAGAATGGCTTGTGGACAGCGTCGTTTACCGAGCGATCGCTTCAGTCACCACAGCAATTGGATTGGAGAATGATATAGATTTCGCCATGATTGACGAGTGGGGTTACAGACTAATAAAACGAGCTCAAGGCCCTGAGAACGAATCGCTTGCGACCGCTGGCCGCAACAGAGACCTTTTCCTACCTTACAACACAAATGACACCCATGGACTTCATTGGTTACTCGTCCATGCCAAATATGTAAACAGCAACCCTGAAATCCATGTTTACGACACTTTGAGCATGGCGAGGGGCCAGGAAGAAAAAATCAAGAGGGCTGTCCTCAACACAAGATTGTACGATGTCAGCGAGGATTTGGACGAGGATTTGATTGACCTCACTCATCATATTGTGGCACGACAGCCGAGTGGTTGGGAATGCGGTTACTTGACCATCCTCAATGCCTGGTGTCTTGCACTCGGTATGAAGCCAGGGGTAGCGAGGCACTATGCCACCTCGGTGAACAGGATCCTCGAGCTCATTGACATGATCAACTATTCAATGGCTGGGTTCATGGACTCTGCCACCATTCAGGCCTATATGCATTGTGTCGGTTTTGTTGATGCTGATCACAACACAATTGCCTCTGATCGCCACTTCACCCGCAGTGTACCTTTCTTGACCAAGGAGTCCTTGAACACATACATCCTTATGCGTCAAGAGCTCGAGAAGAATCCTCACTCAGCCATCAGACGTCTCGATTTGGCTACCGTTCGCTTCCTTCTGCGTCCTCAATTAGGCGATTTCGAGGATCTGGATACCATGAAACCTGAAGTTCTTTTCCAACACTTCGACAGATGGCTGAAAGATCGAGACTTGATCCAGTGGGACCCCAAATCACCACTTAGCCCAACCAGCCCAGCAACCATGCGCTTGGCATTTGGTATCGCAGAGTCGACCCGTACAGAAGGAGCACCGCTGCCAACCATTCCCGACGATACAAAGCTGCTGCGCAAGATCTGGAACATCTACCATAGGATGCTCAAGCAACAAGGATATCTGGGAGTAGCACGTCAAGAAAGAGCCAAAGACATGGCCGACGGTTCCTTCTCTACCCAAGAGATCAGCAACGATGCCAAATACCCTTACGATGATCCTAAGGTCGTTGCTCTTGACAGACTTGGAATGTTGCCGACCGAACACTTTCTCACACCATACGAAAAAGAGAACATAAGAGGGTCATCACGACCTGCACCAAAACTCAGATTGAGGCACAAGTGATTGCTTATCAACAGGACTAGTACTCGGTATGGTCTTTTCTATTCATGTTTCTTTGCTTGGTTTTGTTGTTGTGTTTAGGCCTTGAATGTTTACCCACGCTCTTACTTCCTCGTTGATCATACTCAATTCAAATGAAAATGAAACATTGATCTATTGTCATCTTTTTTAATGACTGGTCACGTAAAGGTGTGGTGTTCAGATGTACAGAAGAGAGGATTGTAGAACGAATGATTCAGGGCGGCAATCATTGTTGCTGGGGTTACCCTGTCTCAACCAGGAGGGAGACATTTTCCATACTGTCTGCGCACTTGAGCCTTACGTGTTATGAATAGCAGGCTCACCGAGATCCAAGTAATCGACAATTGGACAGGTTTCGCTATGTACATCGAAGTAACAAGAACAAAGCTGTCGTGGACGGCCAAGCCTGCCTTCCATTTTGAAGCCATACGGAAATTACTGAGCGGCGTTATGAATGCAGATCAGTCCAGCACAGAAAGACTTTTTACGCACCGGCATGGTTTCAAGTACGAAGAAGACGAAACAGAGACTTAACAGCAGTTGCGGACGGTCTGATGGCTCCTGAAGATTGCATACATAGTGATCAACATAAAGTTATTCTACTACATCAGCCCACGTAATCCTCGAATGCCGTTACTCTTGACCGGCTTTTCGGACTTCTCGGACTTGTCCTTTTTCTTGTTGTTTTGTGCACCACCTGTTTCAAACATCAGTAAGCCAAGGATGGAAAAAATCAGAGAAAAAGTCGAGACTTACCACGTCCATACACGCGAACCTCTGGTTTCGGCTTGCCGCCTTCTTTTACAGGTTCTCCCGATGCGTCCGAGGTAAAACTGAACACGCTCCTGTTGGCTTCTTGTCCCAAAGATGAAGGAGGTGGTGAGCTCTGATCAGATCCAAACGTTGACCGAGCCGCACCATGGGCGACTGAAGGGTGAAGAGCATGCTCGCCGTGATGATTGCCTTGCGCTCGAGACATTGGGTGGGAGTTTTGAATCCTTTGTTGATACGCCTCGGGGCGCAAGGGACGTGCTGGGGGATAGCTTTGGTTCAGTGAAGACACGGGCGAGGCAGTCCGCCCAAAGTCCGTGTGCGGAGCGAACAGCTCGAATTGGTCCACACTACGATCAGTGTAGTATCCCCGACGTGAGCCGGGAATACCGTGACCGCTAACACTGCCTTCTTGGGTCATATAGCTGGCGTCATCAGGATGAACAGGTAGAGAATGAGCTCCGTCCGCGCTACCTCTGGACTCGCGTAGATTTGTGTATTCCTCCAGCAATTGACTGTAAGCTGCTTTAGTTTGGGCAAGCCGCAGGCGACTTTCCGAGAGTTGATCGTGCAGATGCACAGGGAACGCGTGAATGGGTTGTTCTGCAGATGCAGAGTTCTCCGTGGCTTCTTTGAGTCGTAGGTCGAGCTCTTGAACCTTTGCGTCATGAGCAGTTCTCAGTCTTTCGAGCTCTTGCTCACGACGCTGCAATATGAATTTTGTGCTTTCGAGCTCTTGTTGAGCTAGCTCATGCTCTGCACGAAGTGATTCGAGTGCAAGATTTTGATCACGATAAGTCTGAAGCTCCTTTTGCAACTCCGAATATTGCTGATCCGCTGTTTCTTGATCTTTCAGACGCGCCTGGAGAGTTTCGAGTTCCTCCTGCTTATCAGATTCCCGTGATTCGCTTTCAACAAGAAGCAGACGAAGTTGATCGCAGTCTTTAGAGGCTTGAGTGAGGCGCAACTGTAGGTTCTCCTGATCTGCAAGCTCTGACTTGAGAGCACGAATCTTGGCCATGAGTTGCTCTTCACTCTGCTTGGTGTGGGTCCTACGAGCCTGGGTTTCCTTTTGCATCTTTTCATTGAATTTGTTCGAGTCGCTTAGCTTTTTCTGCAAAGCACGATTGGCATTGATGAGGGTGGCTGTTTCGGCCTCGACGGTCACAGCTTTGATGTGGTTGCGTTTAAGCTGGCCAATAGCAGCCACGTGCTGTTGCTTGAGATAACGCTCGAAGGTGAGTTCATTACGTAGTAACATCAGCTCACGCTGCAGATACGAGAGATCCTTCGAAGATGCTGAATCAGCTGCAGGTTCCACGAGACTCTCTGGAGGATGGCGAGGCAAGGTTGGGCTGTCCAGGTGTGGAGGTTCCGAGCTGGAGCCCAAGAAGTTTGGAACTGCTGGAAGCTTTGTAGTTGGAGGAGGAACAGGGTTCTTGAACATGGGGTGCTCGCCGGCGTAAAGCCCATGACACTCTGCGATGACCTCTGATGGTTCCGCCTTGAGCCAACGATTCTCACTAAGCTCCTCTTCAACCGTGGTCAAGAAAAAGCTTGGATGAAGGAAGTGGACACGCTGGAACTGTTCAGTGCGGCTTCTGATTACAGTTTGATCCAGATCAAATTCGTCAGCACCAGGAAAATCAATGTTCTTGAGATATTTTCGGGGCTTTCTGACATAACTCATGAAATTGAGAGGGTACAATCCGTAGAGGTAGGTAAAATAATGCAAGAGCTCGGGAGCCGAAGACTCAGGCATATCTGGCAGAGCGCGCAGAGTTTGCCAAGTGGGGTCAGAGTCGTCCTCATGGTCAGTATCAGCATCAGAATCAGAAGCACGGCGGACGCGATCGTCGGTAACAAGATCGCGCTGAGCTTTCGTACTTGAGGCACTGAACTTTTCCCAGCAGAGACAGCGACTGTAAACCAAGAACAACCTCGGAAGCTGAGAAGCCACGGTAGCGGGGATGTGTGGGAGCAACATAATGAGACATTTGAGAGCAGCCGAGACCACGACGGTAGCCGTGTCGTTCATGAGACATTTTAGAAGATGCTCGACTACAGTCGTGTCGAGGACCAAGTGCAAATGGGCATGTTGTTGTTCGAGAAAGGCAGCAAGGAGGTCGAGAGCTCGTAGACGTGTGTCAGGCTTCAGAAGGAAGTGGTCGACCGAGACGAAGAAGTCGCGTGGATTTTTACGAGCAAAAGCTATCAACATAGATTGGAGCTGACGCGCGGCGTGGTCCTTTGTCTGAACAGAGGAATTGTCGGGATGAGGGGTTGTACGGGCGATTAGGGCACCGAGGAGGATGTGACTAAGATGGACAGCAGTTTGGGCCTTGTCGCGAGCATCTTGGCTGTCGTTGTCGTAGCAAAGCGAATCGAGCACAAAGTCCTGGGCGTCTGACATGGCCCAGCGACTGGTAGCGGGTAGATCGACAAAAGGTATGGCAGCGTTCTGGAACCAGGCAGCAAGGTGGTCCTCGGTGACTATGGCAGGGCGCAGGACTTTGAGGACAGAGACGAAGGCTGGCAGCTTGTTCGGGTGGGCTTCGACATGATGGCGAAAGACGGATCGCAGTTCGTCGTGCAGACCATCTCCTTCCTTCTTCGCTTTGGCAAGGTACTGGGTGAGAATGCGTGTCAAGTCATCGGGGAGAGGTTGTGGCGCATCGCTATGGGCGAAGGTTGCGTTCAGAGCAGCGACGACGTCGGACAAGGATCTGTTTTGCAAGCGTCAGCTCCAGCAAAGCGTCAGGTCAATTGAGGCGGCTTTACATTGAGGCCATGATTGCGCGACCTTGGCCTTGGATTCATAAAGGTCGGCGGGTTCGACGAGTGCTGATCAGGACAGGCGTGCCAGCTCACGGCATATTTGGTCGCTCCAAGTCATTCAGTCCAGGATCGGTTGTGAAAGAATCCTTCTTTGTGCCCGACTGCATCCAGCATTGCCGACCGGCGCGCGTCTTCCTATTGCGTCTGTCACAAGTCCGACAAAGCAGTCTTTGATATTGGTACCGATATCTGCCTCCTCGGACGTCTGCTTTCATTCAACAAAGATAAGCCGTGACATGGTCCAATGCCATAACAACTATCGTCATTGCCCTCGTCTTTGGTCACTCGGCCCGTCCTAGCCCCCGCTTCTAGCCGGCCGCTGCCCGCCGTCATGCTTTGTTCGACTCATGCCCCTATCACATTGCGATAGTCTTGACTTTGACAAAACACCCAACGCTTATCGCAACAATCTCTCGTTTAGTCTTAGACTGCTTTTTCATTCTCATAAACTCTCATGTATTGTACAAATTTTGGTGATCCAAATGCTCGACCGCCCACTCCCAAACGCCAATCTACATGCTGATGAAAGAACTTGACAAGAATTCAAGGGTATATCTCTACTCTTCGTCCGATTCAACCTCGGCCGTCTGTATACGTGTCAGTTTCAGTTCAGCTCAACAGGGGATCGTCATTACTCACGTCGTGGTGGAAGAACTTGCCCTCGGTCGTGGGCTTGATCATGCCAATGCGGATGCAGAAGTCTCCGAATTGCTCGCCATCGTTTCTTTCGGTTGCGTAGCGCTTGAGCAGCGGCTTCATGATGCTGAGGATTTCCTCCTCCATGATGGAGCTGCGGAAGAGCTTGTTGAGACGCTGGCCGTGGTATCCACCACCAAGGTACATGTTGTATGCACCGTAAGCCTTGCCAACGAATGCTACCTCGGCAAGCCAAGGACGGGCACAACCGTTGGGACATCCAGTCATACGCATCACAATGCTGTCCTGACGAAGACCGTTCTCTTCAAGCACACCTTCAAGCTTGGTGACGAGCTCTGGCAGGTAGCGTTCGGACTCTGCCATGGCGAGACCACAAGTAGGGAAGGCCACACAAGCACTACTGCTGAGACGAAGTCCACTAAAGTTGGTGTTGTCCAGCTTGTACTTGGCCAACATCTCCTTCATCTTGGGCAACTCCTCATCAGTAACGTTGGAAAGGATGAGATGCTGGTTACCGGTGAGGCGGAACTCTCCCTTGTGAGCCTTGGCAATCTCCAGCAGACCAGTCTTCATAGGGAAGTCGGCTGTATCCTCGATACGTCCGTTCTCGATGAACATGGTGAAATGGTTCTTGCCGTTCTCATCCTTTTGCCAGCCAAAGGTGTCGATGTTGCTCTTGAAGTGGAATGGACGACCCTCCTCGAACTTCTCACCCCAATACTTCTCAACCTCTGCCTTGAAGACATCAACGCCCATGTCGTCCATGGTGTACTTCAGACGAGCGTGCTTGCGGTTCTTGCGATCACCGTTGTCACGTTGAACGAGCATGACCTTCTCACAAGCAATGTGGACCTTGTCCTTGGAAACGTAGCCAAGAAGACTGCCAGTGCGTGGGTAAGTCTTCTTGTTGTTGTGAGTAGTACCCATACCACCACCAGCAAGCAGGTTGAATCCAGCGAGATGTCCGTCCTCGCCCTTGATAGCGATGAGACCGATATCGTGAGCGTAGACGTCAGTGTCGTTGTGAGGAGGAATAGCGATAGTGATCTTAAACTTGCGGGGCAAGTAGGTAGGCCCATACAAAGGCTCGTGATCCTGAACAGCATCTCCAGCAACCTGAGTCTTGTTGTCGTTTTCGTCCTTGAGCCAGATCTCGTGGTAAGCAGTGGTCGAAGGCAAGAGGTGGTCGCTGATCAGCTTGGAGCAGGCATGAACCTCGGCGTGGTACTCAGAGTGCTCTGGCAAACTGCTGCACATGACGTTACGGTTGACATCACCACAAGCAGCGATGGTGGTCATGAGGGCCTTGTTGATAGCCTGCATGGCGGGCTTCAGCTTGCTCTTGATCACACCATGGAACTGGAAGGTTTGACGAGTAGTCAACTTCATGGTCTCGTTGCCCAAAGTCGAAGCAATAGCGTCCATTTGGACCCACTGGTCTGCCGTAGCAACACCACCGGGCAAACGGCAACGGATCATGAAAGAGTAGGCAGGCTCGAGGCCCTGGGCCTTGCGCTCGTCTCTGATATCACGGTCATCCTGCATGTAAGTACCGTGGAACTTGGTAAGCTGTTGGTCAGCAGCGGAGATAGCTCCAGTGGACTGGTCCAAGAGACCCTCAGCAATGGTTCCACGAAGGAAGTTGGAGGCAATCTTGATATCCTCGTTGGTGACCGGTGGGGGCTCATCAGGAAGACCTTCAACGTTACCAACGCCCAGGGCATCCCAGAGCTTAGGCTCCCACTCATTGTAGGCAGTCTGGTAACCATCTGGATCTTGGTCATCACCAAGACCACAGTCGACAAGAGACTTGCCACCAAGGGTGAGCACTCTGGCGTAAAGGTCCTTTGCGGGCTTGTTGTAGTAAATCTTGTCTTCCTTTCTAGGCCAGTAGTGGCTGTCACCAAGACCAAAGACGGAGAAGTTGACGCTGGCGAGATCCAAGTCGGTAGAGTTCTTGACACCCTCCCAGAAGTTTCTGCCATTCTGAGGGAACTCACCCTGACCAGCAACACTGCTAATCATGACGACGTTCTCTTCAGTGGAAAGATCTTCCAGAGGATAATCGTCCATGGCCATAACCATAGTCTTCAAGCCTCTAGCCTTACCACGGTTGCCCAAACGCTTAGCCAGGTTCTCCGAGTTGCCGTTGTCGGAAGCGAACAAGATAGTCAGTGGGGCGCCCTGCAAGCCTTCAAGGAGACTACTGTAGGCATCCTTGGCCTTGCGCTTCTGAATTTGACGAACCTCAGATCCATAGGACTGCGAAAGGTTTGCGCTGAACTGAGGGTGTCTCTTCATCAACTGAGTAAGGTAGTTGTCCCTCTTAAGGAACTCCTTGAGCTCTTGTCTAATGCGTTCAGAATCCAGCTGGAAGTTCTCCTCGCCGTTCTCCTCGGCACGAGGATTCCATCTGTAAAGAGGCCAGTAACCAATGTCAACGGCCTTCTTAGTCTCCTGGAGAACAGACAATGGCGAGTCGGTTTCCTTGCTGTAAGGGAGGTAAGCAACAACGACCGAGGGGCCGTTGAACTGCTCGGCCTCAAGCATGGATTGCAGCACCTGAGTGTAAGAGCTGTAGACAGCGACAGAGGCGACGTAGGCATTACCAAAGTTCATAGCGTAAAGACCGATATCCTTCTTTCTTCTTGAAGCGTCAGCGGCAGCTCTTTCCGAGTAGGGCTGCGAGTCAATGATGAGCATGTTGACATTCTTGTCGGATGCGAGAACGTGGTGAACACCCGAATTACCCAAGTCGTAAGCCCATGCGTCTGAACCAATAAGCCATTGCGATTCCTTGAAGAACAGTCCCTGGTTGGAAAGAAGCTCGGTAGCCAGGGCAGACTTGTCGCTATCCAGGCTAGAGATGACCTCAGGGGCAAGGCTGTTTGCCTTGGAGGCCTGCTGAGCCTCAAGAAGCCATTGAGAGAGTTGTTGCTTAGGGGCATCAGTTGCAAAGTCACCAGACTTGGCAGCAGTCTGCACCTCGGAAATGAAGCGTTCTCTGTGCTCGGAGCGTGCGACAAGGGAACCAAAACCGTACTCAGGAGTTGCGCTGATCTCATTCGAAACACCTGCATCATCAGCTCCAAGTCTGTTGGCGACGTAGAGACGGTTTCCAAACAGCTGATCAAGGATCTTCATGTAGGCGTTCTCAACCTTAGGTTGCTCCAACTCGAATTGCTGCTCAGCATTCTTGGGGCCCTCGTGGTTTCCAATTTCAAGGTTCTGGATAGGCGAAGGAGAGGACAAGTTCTGGAAAATGCCCTTCAGTGCTTGACGAATTGTGGAAGGCTCAATGTAACCAAGCTGGTGGCCAACAACCAAAGGACCGGCGTTTCCAGCGGATTTGATAGAGACAAGAAGGTCTAGAAGGAGGGGACCCCAACGAGTAGTCTTGCGACGGATCTGCTCTAAAACGGCGATCCTCTTCAAGCTCTTAGGGAGAGTCTGAAGGAGCTTTGCGCCCAACCAAGGTCTGTAGAGGCGAGCAGTGATGATACCAGCACCGTAAAACTCGTCAGAGGAACTGGCCTTGTCGACTTCTTGAGCGAAAAGAGCAGTGTCGGATCCGAACAAGAAGACGGCTGACTCGGCGTCTTCAGGGCCGGAGTACTCGAAAGCCTTGTATCTTCTGCCGGTAGCCTCGAATAACTCGGACCAGATCTGAGTGGTGAAGACGTCGATATCCTCTGAAGTGACAGGTCTGCTCGAAACAGATTCGACCGAAGTCGCATTGGAAGAGATAACAGATGCGCTGTCGCTGCTGCCGTTGCGACCGTCGGAGCTTGAGCCGCTGGACGATTCACGATCGCTTACCGGGGCAGAGGCAGGCTTGTCGGCCGAAGCTGCAATACGCTCAGGGGTAGCTGAGCCATTGACACCGGGGACAGCACCAGCGGTGGTACGGGTGGCGACCTTTCCATCATCTGCGTAAAGACCAGACTCGGTGGAGCTCGCTGCAGTGTATTGTTCAACCTTGAGAATCTTTCTGACTAGCTCTCTGTCTTCCTGGTTGATAGGGTTGTCATTGGCGAGATTGGCGGAGTCGAAGAAGTGGATAACACCCTTTCCAGACTTGATAGCCAGAGCATGTGCAGTCACGGCGAGATCTTGTGCCTCCTGCAATGACTCAGACTGAAGGAAAGTAAAACCAGACTGTCTGATCGAGGTGATGTCCGAGTAATCAGGGTAGCCCGCTGGTTGAAGTGCAACGTGCAAGACTACGGGATATTGTGCGAGCTTGTAGAGGTGAGGAACGGAGCGGACCAGGATCGAAGACGAAGTTGTCACCGAGACGAGCTTGCCCGAGCGAAGCGGTTGGAATGCTGAGAGCAGAGGGTCTGCATTGTGCTTAACAGGAACAACCTGAAAAAAGAGTAGTCAGTTTCATGGAAGAGTGCAATGCATATCGTGGGGGCGAAAGCATACCTCGGGAGATGTTGAGACCAGTCCTGAAGCCTTGTTCTGTTGGTAGGTGATGAAGAAGTTGGAGAACTCAGAGTCGGAGGCGAGAGAAGGCTGGACAGAGACGACGACGTCGCTGGCCAGGTATGCAATGCGTGCGACTGAATACTGTCAGTCAACAAAGAGTTCATGGTTGGTCAGCATTTGAGACTCTGCTTACCAGCCTCTCCAGCAGTCAAGATGGAAGCCATGGCCGCAATGGTGACCTGAGTAACGAACCCGACAAGAGTTCTAGACGAGAATGAGAGTTCTGAAGGAAAAGAAAGGAGAACAATGAGAAGGAACTGGTAGTAGGGGCAATAATGCAGGTTGGAAAAATAACCCGGGGACGGAGGCGGCGCTCTCAATCAAGACGTGACCAGAATTGCCGTTCAATTGCTCATCTCAGACCGACTTGCCAGCAGTCGCCTCTGCTTCATGCCGGCTTCCAGTGACTTTTTCCTCGACTGAGATGGCGACATCTGCGACGTCGGGGCCAGAGTGACCACTGAGCCGCGTTCATTGGCTCCTGCTCACTCCACATCCGTTGCCAAGCCATCTCGATAGATCTCCATCCTTCACGTCGCGGGGCCCGCCGTGTCTGTCTGCCGGGTCAATCCACCAAAGCCCGACCACCTAGAACGATGAATCAATCGACGACGACACGGCTTGTACCATGCGCGCTTCTTGTCTCGAGCTTTGGCTAGCTTTGCCTCGTCTCCAAATCATCTTCGTCACCATTCTGCTCGACGTCTTTCAAATTGATGTTGAACTTCTGCTTGCCACCGCCACCATGCCAGCGGATATTGGAGTCACCAGGAAAAAGACGTGCTCTTGCTCGCGCGACTCCCTCGTATTTGGAAAATGTACATGATTTGTCTTGTATGGAGTTTCCTGTTACTGATAGTATCATCGGTCTCTGCCTAATCGCTCCTCCTCATCTTGCACCAGCTCGTAAGCCGGCCTGTATGAACCGTTCTCGTTCTCCGCTTTCAGTACGGGATTGGGATATGTGTCTGTGGTTCCTCCCAGCGACGTATACCCTTTATCGTAAAGCGAGCAATAGGGTATATTCAAATGTCGTATAAACTACGCTTTAAATCAGCCTGGCATTCTTCATTGGCGCGTAAAACGACAAACTTACAGTCCACACTTCAGCATAATGCCAGTCAATCACCGGATGTATTCTCATGAATGCTGGCCATCCTCGATCTGTAGGATCGAAATACTTCAAAGCAGCTCCATGAGGATCCGTTCGCCGCGTGCCTACGAATATGGCTTTGACGTGGCTGTTGTCGTGAAGATAGTCCTCGAAGGCCTGTCGCATGGATTTGGCATAACGTGCCAAGTTCAGACGGTATGTGTCGATCGATAGTTGTACAAAGTCCTCAACCTCGGGGAAAGGGTGGGGCGACACGATGTAGACGGAATCCAATCTTTCCGGCAGCGGCGTTGAAGTCTTGACCGAGTGTGCGTGTAGAGCGGCGAGATAGAGGATGAGAAGGACCAGACAGTCTTTGCCGCCATTGTACGAAAGGGACAGTTCAGCGAGACTGGAATGCTTATCAGCCAGGGCCGAGGCAACAATTGAACGAGGACAACTGACCTGTATCGCTCGAGTGCTTCTTCAAGAACTTTGAGGCTGAGCCGCGTCTGCTCTTGCACGCCTCGCAAGCGGTCGGTAGATGGTTGTGCAGCCAGGAATGCAGTGACTCGGGCGTGGACCTTTGCGCAGAGGGCGGGTAGGTGGTCCTCCTGACCGGGAGCTATGGTTTCTGTGCGGCCCTGGTCATCGCTGCGAATTCCAAGGAGCGTCTCTGGCATTACGGTGCTTCGGCATACGAGACACAATCTCGAGCATGCATGGGAGTTGCTGACTGAAGACACGTCGAATGCCGTCACGGCTGTTCCGGCGCTGCCATGCGCTTGCGCTTCCGTACAGTGGGGCAATCAATGCCGCGACCCCGCGTCGGCCAAACACTTTACGACGAACCGAGGGGACTTCCCATAACAGCTTTGAAACCTACTCGACCACACATTTTTCGGAACCAATTGTTGTTTGGAAGTGAAGGACGGACATATATGGCGTCAAGCTGTCCAACTATATATCACAAACATACTGTTAGGCATTTCCTTGAGAGTTTCTCTCCTGAGCCTCTTCGACAGCCTTCTCCCAGCTAGTCGTGTATATAAACCAACCTTCAACAGCAGCAACGATTCCGAGCGCAATTGCAGGTCCCTAATAAGAAGAGTCAGAGGGCAGTGTATTAATATGAAGCAGAAGAACGACTTACAGCCCAAAGTCCGTAGAGATCCCAGTGTAGACCGAATCCGGTTCCGAAAGAGATGGGCATAGCAATCTAGATAGCGTGAGAAAACAGTCGACATTCGATAAACATAATTGACTTACGATATAGTAAGCGAATAAATTCACATAACCTCCGATTTCTTGTCGACCGAGACCACGCAAAATGCCATTGCAGAGGGCAGCAATTGAGTCAAAGAGCTGGAAAGCAGCATTCAAAGGAAGCGTTTTCGCCGTGAGCGCAATAACATCGGCGTCATTGGTAAAGAGCCTCGGAATGTACTCTCTGGTGGAACTCAACAAAACCATGTTGAAGATACCGACGATCAAGGCAGCATACAACGAGACCTTGGCATTGACCTTAGCAGCGTCCGAAAGTGTTGCGCCGATAAGATTTGCGATACGGGTACTCGCAGCAATACTGATTGGGAACGGGATCTGGTAAGTGATGCTCGAAATCGTGCTGAGGACGCTTTGTGTCGCAAGATGAGTTGGCGAGATCCAGCTTGCGGAGAGAGTCAAGATTTCGAAAGCCAAATACTCAGCCAGAACCATCACAAGACCAGGGAGAGCAAGCTTGATCATTGGCATCCAGTTCTTGAAGGCGAGACGAGTGAATCCTCCCCAACACTCCGACCCACCAACAAAACGGACGTAAAGGAACAGGCACAGCGGCATAAGGTTCTCAATGGTCACCACGGCTATGGGAGCTCCTATGAATCCCCACTGCAACTTCTGCTATATGTCAGCGATGAAAGAATGGCCTTATATCTTGTTACGTACCCAGACAAAGAGCCAGTGTAAAAATACATTGAGAGGCGCGCATACAAGGAGCACAATGAGCGTTGCGGAAAATCTTCCTTGTGCCTGCACAAATCTCTTTCCTGCTTCAAACGCAGCATAACCTGGAGCACCGCATATAAGGACCTGAAGGTACCGTCCCGCTAAGTTTGCAGTCGCTGGGTCTGGCACGATTGCGCCGATGATTCTCGGGCCGGATGTCCAGATGAGGGCGATCGGAATAGTGATGACCCACAGGAAATAGACCATACGCTGCAGCTGCAATCCAACAAGAGTCCGGTTACCGCTTCCGTAAGCCTGTGCGCAAAGAGTATCCAAACTGGTTGCTAAACCTTGGTACACAGCATAGCCAGTTATATTGGCACTCATGGAAGCCAGAGAGACAGCCCCCAATTCAAGCTTGCCAATGTGACCGACTGTAAAAACAGAAGTAACGGTCAAAGAGTATTGTAACAGGAATGTCAAGATCAGAGAACGGGAGTAGCGTGCTAGTACAACTGCTTCTCTTTGCCATGTTGTCTTGATCTTGCCCGATGCAACCGCCTCTTCCCATCTCTTGTCAATATTCTCAGGAGTATCGACACCTCCATAAGGTTCCGCAGGATTGCCGAGTAGGGAAGTGTTTTCATCTGGTCCCCCATCCTCAATAGCTGTTTCCTCATCGGCACTACCCTTCCTAGGCACAAATCCACCGACAAAGTTCTTTTTCATCAAACCGCTAGGCTTGTTTGACACATTACTCGTGGTCCGAGGGTGTTTGGGAGGTATCAACTGGTTGTCGCGTAGAAGGCTTCGTTCTTCGGCGAGGGCGGCATCTCGGTCTTGTTCGTTTGCTCGCCTTGGATCCGGCGCTGAACCCGAAGGAAAGAATGGTCGTGGCCCCGAAGCGACGTAGGAGGTCCTTCGGTACGAGCCCGACATCGAATAGTGCTGTTCATGGCCGCCCGCATGTTCACTTCCACCCGTCGCGATGGCGACTCCACGGCCGTCAGGCTCTCCCTCCTCTTCAGCATCTGCCAGATCCCTCAAGATTGACTGTTGTGCCAAAGGGGAGGAGGAAAGAAAGCCATTAGACGATCGCACAGACGTGCTGAGTGCCGCAGGTCTGCTCATGGCGTTGTTGCACCGGTTTGTGCTCTGAGTTGACTGTATTGGTCGAAAATGCTAACGATGCTGGAAATGAATAAAATATACTCGAACGGGCAAAGAGACAGTGTTTGAAAGGGTTATCAGGGCATGTCAAGCATTTTGAAAAGGCCTTCGCTTCGATAGATGAGCATTGAAGACATCCTTCGCCGCCTTGCCCGCGACTTGGTCGAGGAACTCTAAATTACGTGACGGGAAAGCTGTTAGCGCGATAAGCAGTGTGGAGGTCGTGGCTCGTGCCATTGAGTTTCCTGTAAGGGTAGGCAGTTCCGACATCAGCTCTAACGTACTCACTCATATCATGCTCCATGCAAAGTCCTATGATTCGATGAAACATGTGTTGTCCAGTAGGCCATGTCCCGCGAGCAGGATGTAGAGCAGGTCAAGGCCAGATGACCGGTCGGCACTGCTCAGCGTGGTGTGTTACACAAGCCTCCGATATTTTCAGACCAGTCTAGAAGATAGGATACCTACACACTTTGTCCCTATTCCTAGCATGTTGGGCAGCCTCAACAATCTTGTCGACTCGCCGCTCGATATTGATCTCAAAGGACAAGACTGACGCCCAAGTTTGTTTGTCTATTTGGCAATGAATGCCCTGTCGCAGACCGTGGAGCGAGGCCGACATCTTCTTCCAGAGATATGGACATCTTCTCACCAAGTACCATAGAGAGACCACTGACATTGGTCTATCATCTACTAAGGTTGGAAGCTTCGAGAGACAAGGAGACGCTCGAAGTGCAAGGGCCTAGAAAAATGCGCCTGTGGATCCCGAGATGAGCATCTTGAAGAGTAAAGGTTTGAAGGAGATACGACTGGATCCGTCACAGTCAGATCGCAAGACTCACTCTCACTTCAGAGCCTTGTCAGCTCTGATGAAGGTGGAACTATCAGGTAGGAAACTTTTGAATGGCGTCAAAGCAGTGGACGTCTTCACCAAGGCAGAAGCCATGAGTGAGACAGTGGGTGCCTGAGGCCATCGCAAGGCTGCAGGGAAGAATGCGGGTATGTGGTCGGAGGAGGTGAACAAAAGCCAAGTGAGATAATCACATGCACTTTCCCGTCCGCACGGGAACTTCACTGCGTCTTGTTTCACGGTTGTTTGCGCATTCACTCCGTTTGTCGTTCACCAAGACGAGACGCCGCTTCACAGAGCTTCTTAACTCTCAACTTCCTTTCCTTTCCTTTCCTTTCCTTTCCTTCCCTCTACCAACTCCTAATCTGCGCAGACCTTAGGCTGCACTTCCTCCACCACTCTTCTCTTTCTTGCTTACTGTCAACACCTCTTCCCGTTGCGGCACCATGGCGGACATCTTCTCTTCGCACCCTTACCCTGGTCGTAAGACCATCAACCCTAGCACCCACCACTGTGCTGTCTGTGACAGAACCTTGGCATACAAGGACAGGGCCGCTCACGAACGCAGCAAGAAGCACCGCGCCGAAGTGGAGAAACAGAAGGCCAAGGAAGCCGCCGCCAACGCCCCCCAAGGCAACGAGAACATTGATCCCAATGCCTGCCACAACTGTGGCCAGCGTAAGTATTTCTCAACTCTCTCTTCTTGTGAATTGCTCACTAACACTACCCCAGCCGGTCACATGTCTAGGGATTGCACCGGACCCAAGAAGATGACTGGTGCTTGCTTCAACTGTGGTGAGGTTGGGTGCGTATGCCAAACGTTTTCATATGTGTCTATCGGCGATTAACCTTTCACATAGCCACAACAAGTCCGAGTGCACTAAGGAGCCTGTCATCACTTGCAACAACTGCAAGGGCGAAGGTCACATCTCCCGCGAGTGCCCCGAGCCTCGTTCCGCCGCTAACGTGACCTGCAACAACTGCTCTGAGCTCGGTCACTTCTCCCGTGACTGCCCCAAGCCCAGAGACTGGACCAAGGTCACCTGCAACCAGTGCGGTCTCAGTATGTACAACCACATGTGCTAACATAGACAAGCCTACTAACACTTTGGCAGAGGGTCACACTGCCCGCCGCTGCACCACCGATCCTTCCGAATATGCTATCCAGAACGATGCTGGCTTTGGAGATGATGGTGCCACTACTCCCTCCGGCAATGATGACTGGATGAACGGCGCCATTGCTTCTTCTGGCAATGATGACTGGATGAACGACGCCACTGATGGTGTTGCTGAGGCCCCCATTGTCGAAGGCAACTGGATGCAGGACGCCGCTGATGGCGCTGCTGAGGGCGCTGCCGGTGATGACTGGGCTGCTGCCCCTGCCGCTGGTGGTTGGTAAAGACGTGAGATCGATCCTGACGAGGTTATGATGACACCTGGCTTGTTCGAAGACTTTTCAAAATGTCATTCGCTATGCAAAGGGGAGGAGCGTCGAACATCGAAGACTCTTCTCAAAGATGTACTTGCTAGTCGTTCCAAGTAGATCAAGCCTTCGTACGAAATGCAAGAAAACCAACTAGGAGTTGAATGCTTTTCACCGAGAGAGAAAACTTGCTGTCTAGGCGTAACGTGAAAGATATTCCAAGGACGAACACTGCTTTCAGGTGCTACAGTATGAAATGTATGGTTGTAAAGATGCAAAAGGATCTTGAGAACAACCAGGGTAGTATCCCACAAGGGCGAGGTTATCAAGCCTGCTCCGAGTGAGGCTCTGGCCCGAGAGTCTCTGTACATTGCTTTGATTGACACATCGCGTCCAGATCTTGGGGAAGCCACATAGTTCTACACGAAGATGGGTTGTTCTTGATTCTAATTCAAATCACTATTGGGTATCTATAAACTCCTGACCTCAACCTCTGTTCAAAGTGTTACCAGCACCCTTGGGATTGTTCTCAACATACTCGTCCCAAGCTCTGGCCTTCATCGTCTCTTCATCTGCCTTGTCCAAGTCATCCTCGTCAATCTCCGGCTGGATACCAGACTGGGCGCCGCCGCCTTCAATCATACCGCCGCGACGTTTCTCTTCCTCGAGGTACTCGTCGATAGTCATGGTAGGCAGACTATGGTCAGGGCGGAAAACGCCAGCCTGCATTGTTTGGCGAGTGCTGAGAAGGGTGAATGGGCGAAGCGGCTTGCCATCTTTGCTGAGCATAGGACCTGAGAGGCCAGCAGACATGGGACCGTCAAGTCTCTCCGAGTAGCCATCGTTGGATTTGTGACGCTCCCTGACATCGGGAGGCGCAGATTGCTGGCCTGGTGGTGGGGGTGGTGGAGCCCTTGAGAGGATGTGAAGCTCTTGGGCTATTGATTCAAGAGATTGGAAAGTTTGATGGACACAGAACTCAATCTGTGTCAACTGGAGACGGCGGTACATGTCGTCGTCATTTTGTATAGCGGCGGGGTTTTGTTGCAGATGTTGTAACTTTTGCTTGAGGTCCTTCTCTTGCTTGAAACGTAGAATTTTTCTCTCGCGACGAGCGGCAGGATCTGAGGTCGAGGCCGTGGAGAACGTGGACGGGTTCTCGTGGTATTCTTCAAGCAGTTTCAAATCTGAAGAGGACAAGATGTCGTACAAGTCGAGCTGGCGTAGAAACTTGTCATACGAGTCTTGAGCGCGATGCAGGACGGCTTTACGGTCCTGGGACGACAGGCGTTGGACCAGATCGGCGAGGCGGTATTGAGCGAGGAGATGGTGCAGATCGTTTGTGGAAATGTCTTCGAGGGATTCATTGGGACTGAAGAGGGCGATTTGATCCTGAATGCGCAGACAGTGTTCGTAGCTGGCGATGGCGGCGTTGACCAGAGCTTGGTAGGCGGGTGAATTTGAATCGTACGAATTTTCAATCTGTCTACGCTTGTCTTCGGCCGTCTGCCATACTGAGCGAAGCGATTGCGGTTCTTCTGACATTTTGTGGTGTTGATGGCGCCAACATTGGTGGTTGGAACTTTTGGTCAAATTGACATCATTTGAAAGCCGCCAGCCCCAGCCACGGCCTCTGTCTCTCTCACTTTGTCCCATCCCAACCACCATCTTCGAATCACATCTGTACTATCCTGCTTGGTTTTGTGACCGTGATTCATGTGACGATTGTTTCTGCAGCGTATTAAGCGTCCACTTGTTTTAGACAAGCATTCTTCCGACAGCGTAGGTAGCGGCCTCCTGCATTCGTCACTTCTTCCAACAAACACCACCTATCTTACTTAGGTATCGCCCCGTCATTCACGACTTGCCCACCCCTCGCTCTTTCTCTCTCACCTGCTCTCTATATTGTCTGCTTCTCACTCCGTCCATTACCTCGTGCACCTTTCTTCTTTATCAAACACTTTTCTTCTTAATCACACATTCAGGCCACTATCAACACATGACTTCCAAAATGGCCACCACAACGCCCGCCGTGGAGTCGCACGACGATAGTGGCAGCGGCAGCGACAGTGATGCTGATATTGATCCGTCGCCTGCTGACCTCACGTCCACACAGAGACGTCATGCTCGCAAATTCCGTTTCCAATCGTGGCTGCAAAGCACAGCCGTCAAAGAAATACGTACTACTGTCCAAGACATTAAACGATCCAACGCCGATGAAGAACTGTCGATTAGCCAGTTACTTGCTAGCCAAGAGACAACCCAAATTATCACTACTCCTAGAGACTATCAGCTTGACCTTTTTCAGCGTGCCACTCAGCAAAACACTATCGCCGTCCTCGACACAGGCTCTGGCAAGACGTTAATTGCTGTCCTTCTCTTGCGTCACACCATCGAGGCAGAGCTCCAAGCTCGTCTGGAAGGCAGACCTCATCGTATTTCCTTCTTCTTGGTGCCTTCGGTCCCGCTGGTCTTCCAACAATTCACTGTGCTCGAGCGCAACCTCGACTACGATGTGGATCGTTTATGTGGCGCCATGATGACCGAAAAATGGAGCAAGCAGGTCTGGGACGAGCGTTTTGCCAAAGCTCATATCATTGTCTGTACTCCTGATGTCCTCAAAAGTTGTTTGAGCTGCTCTTTCATTTCCATGCGCCAGATCAATCTTCTCATATTCGATGAAGCCCATCACGCTAAGAAGGGCCATGCATACGCTCAAATCATCAAAGACTATTATCTCGCTGACGTTGACGAACAATCTCGCCCTAGGATCTTCGGTATGACGGCCTCGCCTGTCGACGCGAGAGTTGACGTTCGACAAGCTGCCAGGTATGTCTCTCTGCTTGTCTGCCCAGTTGGACTTTTCTATTAACAGTTGGAAACAGGGATCTCGAAATTATCTTGCACAGTAAGATTGCTACTGCACGCGACCTTACTCTACTCCAGAACACAGTTGCCAGACCTCAAGAGATGGTTTTGAAGTATACGACATCTCACGCTATTTCCCCACCGAGTCAACTCTTCCAAGACTTCAAGATTCAATTTGGCAGTATCAAGTGTCTCGGCAGCCTGTTTAATAATGCCGTCAAAATACGATCCCATCTTGGTGACTGGTGTGCCGATCGTTACTGGGGCTTTGCACTGGCTGAAGAACGGTCAAAAAAGATGGAGTCTCGAGTTGAAAAAGCCGCTCGATCGAGCAATTCTATGGATGAAGTTGATCTTGAGATTGAACAAATTCGCAAGGCCATGGACATCATTTCTAATCATAACTTCGAAAGACCTCGAACCGACCTCTCAGACCTCAGCGAGAAAGTAAAAAAGTTGCATATCTACCTAGATGCTCATTATGGGCGTTCTACGGAGGATCGCTGCATCGTGTTCGTTCAGCAACGCAGCACTGCGTATCTACTCCACCAAGTCTTCGAAGAAATTGGCGGACCTCACTTGCGCGCAGGTCTGCTTATAGGAGCAAGCAACGGTCGTCTGGACGACGTACAGTCCACCTTTCGCGGTCAAGTGGTAACTCTTATAAAGTTTCGCAAAGGAGAGCTAAATTGTCTCTTCGCAACCTCTGTCGCCGAAGAAGGCCTGGATATTCCTGACTGCAATCTGGTCGTGCGTTTCGACGTTTGCAAGACAATGATCCAATATGTACAGTCTCGTGGACGTGCCCGACACAAAAACTCCAGGTTTCTGCATATGCTGGAGGAACACAACTGGGATCATGACAACGTCTTGAGAGAGATCCGTGGAGCTGAGATGGTCATGCGGACCTTTTGCAAAGACATGCCTGCAGACCGTCAGCTGGACGGCGAAAACGACCTGGTCTTCACTCAAGACATGATCAATCTCTACCCTACTCACACGATACCTGATACCGGCGCAAAGATCACTTTTGGCTCTGCTCTTCAGATCCTGTCACACTTCGTGGACAGTCTACCAAAGGAAGGCGAAGAAGCCTTGCAACCTACTTACATGGTCACACACCAACGTGAACGTTTTACTTGCGAAGTTATCATCCCTGAACCTTCGCCTGTTCGCTCAGTAATTGGTGACCCAATGACTAGAAAGTCACTGGCAAAACGATCAGCTGCTTTCAAGGCTTGCAAAGAGCTTGCGCTATTGAAGCACCTCAATTCTCACCTCGTTCCAATTTACACCAAGAAGCTGCCATCGATGCGTAATGCCGCGTTGGCTTTGAGTTCAAAGCAAACCGGTATGTACAACATGCGCGTCAAGCCTCGTATCTGGGAAGACGAGCGAGGTTCGATTCCTTCTGCGGTGTACCTCACCCACATAGACGTTTCAGAGGGACTAAGTCGCCCACATCAGCCTTTGCTTCTTATCACCAGGACACCGATGCCAAGTTTTCCAACATTCCCTCTGTTCTTGAACGACGGTCGCAGGACTGACGTGAGACTTACTGCGCTAATGGCACCCTGCACGGTTACCGAAGTCGAGCTGGCCAAGTTCAATTCATTCACTCTGAGCGTCTTCAAAGACCTTTACAACAAGACGTACGAGTTCGATCTGCTGAACATGTCTTACTGGCTCGTACCGTTCAACCAGTCAGCTCAGCTCGTAGACACTCAGGATGCTCTTTTCCAACTCATTGATTGGGCTACCTTGAACTACGTTTGCGAAAACGATAGAGGGATCCAGTGGTCACTCAATATCCCTGACACATTTCTGGTGGACAAGTTCTTCATAGATCCTTGGGATGGTGGCCGACGCTTCTTTTCGACGAGGGTGGCTACAGAATATAAGCCGTCGGATCCTGTCCCAGAAGGCTGCATGGCTTCGAGACGACAGGCCGACATCATCAACTACACAGTCAGTCTGTGGCGAAAGACACGTGAAACGAAGAAGACATCCTGGAATCTTGAGCAACCTGTTCTAGAAGCCGAGAAGATATTACACAGGCGTAACATGCTCGCAGAGCCTACTGTCAAGGAAGCACAAGACGCGTCGAAGGTTCGAAGCTTCATATGTCCAGAGCCGCTACGCATCTCTGCTGTAAGTGTAACATGTTTGTGAGTGGAAGTCAGGCTAACAAGCAATAGCTTCCGGTCCCCGTCGTAGCAACTTGTTATGTATTTCCAGCAATCATTCATCGTATCGATGACTATCTTATCGCCAAGGAGACGTGCGAGGAGCTTAAAATAAACGTAGATCTTCCATTGGCCTTGGAAGCAATTACCAAAGACTCTGACAACACGGAAGATCATCAAAGTCACGAACGGATCAACTTTCAGCGTGGCATGGGCAAGAACTACGAGCGCCTTGAATTCTTGGGCGACTGCTTCTTGAAGATGGCGACTTCAATCTCGACATTCACGCAAAATCCAAACGACAACGAGTTCGATTTCCATGTAAAACGCATGCTCCTTCTCTGCAACCAAAATCTCTTCAATACTGCGCTGAAGCTTAAGCTCTATGAAAGCATCCGTAGTGCTTCCTTTTCTCGGTAAGCTCAACCGTGGAAGAACTTCCTTCAGCAACATACACGAGCTCACACATAACAGTCGTACATGGTACCCAGAAGGAGTCAAGCTTTTGGAGGGTAAAGGTGCCAACAAGAACGGAGGAGAAGCGATAAAGCATGCATTGGGCGACAAGACCATCGCAGACGTCTCCGAAGCACTCATGGGTGCAGCCTTTCTCACGCATGACAAGCCTGGTAAGTGGCAGCCAGAGCACTGCCGTGACGCTGTCAGAGCTGTTACCAAGCTTGTCAACAATTCTGATCATGCAATGAACGATTGGCTGGACTATTCTCGCTCATACGTGAAGCCACCATATCAAACAGCTGACGTTAGGGCTGCAACGCTTGAACTAGCCAAGAGGGTGGAAAAGGAGCATGCGTATCACTTTCGTTATCCACGTTTACTCCAGGCTGCTTTCCACCATCCCTCCTATCCAAACCTCTGGTCTGATGGAATTCCATCTTATCAGCGGCTCGAGTTCCTGGGCGATTCATTGCTCGACATGACCAGCATCACTCATCTCTTCTACAAGTACCCCAACAAGGATCCTCAGTGGCTGACTGAACACAAAATGGCCATGGTATCCAATCAGTTCCTTGGAGCTGTTTGTGTTCGACTTGGATTCCATAAGCATCTTCTTTTCAATCATGACTCTTTGCGTCAGCAGATCGCAGATTATGTTATAGAGATCAAAGAAGCAGAAACTGCCTCTCATGGAGCTATGGACTACTGGACGACAGTAAAAGAAGGCCCGAAGGTAAAGCTGACCACTCGTTTCTTCCGTAATAACATGCTGACGTTTGTCAGTGCTTACCCGACATAGTCGAAGCATACGTTGGTGCAATGTTTATTGGCGCAGATTTTGATTATAGCGTAGTGCAACATTTCTTCGATGAGCACATGAAGCCATTCTTCGATGATATGACAATCTACGACAATTATGCGAACAATCATCCTGTAGTAAGTGGCGCCAAAGAAACCCCAACTTCTGCTCAGCGACTAATCCACGATGTCAGACCCGTCTTCACAACAGAATGCAGAAGAGTTTCGGTTGCCACGAATACAACTTATTCAGCAGTGAGGAGACTGTTGATGGCATGCAACCCCTCTTCTGGTCCGGCGTGATGATCCATGACTCTGGACCTATCGGTGTGTGGAAGGCCAAATCAAGCAGATATGCAAACCTTAATGCAGCGATCAAGGCAGTGGAGGAGCTGGAAGGAATGCCTCATTACGAGTTCCGAGCAAAATTTGGTTGTGATTGCCGCGAGCAACCGGCTGGCGAGGCTAATCACGACGGCACAGGCTAGATCTGATGACATGCAAATTTAGATGGACTGAGCAGCAAGCATGCTGCGAAGAGACGTGTGGCCAAGAAAGGTTTCAAAGACGATGATTAAAGGTTCATCTACCATTTGGTTTTGCTTAGATCAGGTACATTAACGATGGACGTCTTCCCAAAGTATTTGCAACGGTATTCTTGCGTCCAACATGCTGACGATTGTTCGTTTCTCCCACAACGCCACAGAAATACAGACTGCCATGCCGAGAAGATGGTGTCCTTTGAGGTTGAGAACGACGATGTCGTCATGAATAGATCGAGAGCGTGACTCCTGCTTGATTTGAAGCGGGACATGAGCAGGCGATGTTTAGACACGAGGTCTATGGCGTGCTTGTCAGGTACACTGGAACATAAGGTGCCTTGTAACCTTCTCCCAACTACTCTGCATCCCGATGAAATTCTCCCATACCATCGACCAAAGCTTTCTCCAACCCAGAAGCTGCTCTTCCAATCTCACCGCCTTCCTTCTTGGCCGCTTGGATACCACGGGCAACAGCTCGCACAGCAGCATCATCGAAAGCTCTTTTCCGAGCCTCGGCGTCGTCGTACATGGCATTTTCGGCATCCTTTGGTGCGCCAAAGAGGTTGAGTCCGCGGAAGGGGTTTGAACGGGCATAGAGAACTTGATGCTCAGTGCTACAAAGAGGGAAACAGGAGGCATTCGCTAGTGCTTGTTCAGAACCTGCTGCATCGGTAAAACCAGCACGCAAGAACATGGTCAAGATGTTCAGTTGCTTGATAAGCAGTTTCGAGGCAGCAGAACCAGGCTTGCCGAAGGAGACTGTGCGTTCGGAGGACCAGTTACCAGGCTGTGTCGTTGAGTGCCAGCCCAAGAGAGTCAGGAAGCAGTGGAGAGTCTTGAGCCAGCCGCCGGCGCAGCTGACGAGTTCTTGGCCGGCGGTTTGTAGCAGCCATTCGAGCACATCGAGGGAGGAGTTGCGGATTTCGGCGGCCAGGTGGGTCATACCAGCGCGCACGTAGAGCAGCATGTGGTCGACATGTGTGGCAACATGAGCAGGTGGTAGAGCACGCAGCAGTTTTGTGAGAGCGGCGCGGACAGAATTTGAAGCGTCCAGAATCAAAGGCTGAATCTTTGGTAGGATGGTCGCAACGGGCAAAGGAAGGTTGTCCGGGCGTTCAGTGATGGTGTTGGTCAGGTAGTTGATGGCATCGCGGCGCTGAGAATCGGTCTTGGAGCTGACGAGCGACAGCTGGTGGGCAAACTGCTGGTCGAGGGAAGGCGCCGCTGTCGAGAGCGACTGCTGGTTAAGGACAATCGACTTTGCCTTGAAACTCGTGTCGGTGAAGTTTGCCGCCTTTGCCTTTGTCTTGCCGACTTTGAGCTTGGTCTTTTGGAAGTCTTGCTTCTTTTCTCTCTTCTTTTTGGCGCTCGATCCCATCCTTGCTTGCTGCCCTTTCAACCACTGTCAAGCAGATCCATGCCACCAAGGTGCAGCCGCCGACCAAGAAAATTCCCCCAGCTTCAACTTTGTCTTCGCTTTTGTGGGGTCACAGAACATCTCATCAATCTGATCCATCTTATCAATCTAACACATCTTATCAATCTAATCAACCCCATCTCTGTCCTGTTTTCCATTACACTTCTCGACACAAGTTTAGCATATACAACGGACTTTGCTCAGTACTGTGACTACTAGTTCAGCTACTCCGTATATATACGTGGCAATTTCTGCTGGCCAGAAAACAGGCTAATCGCATGCTTCAAAGGCTCATGTCAAGCTCAAGGTCTCGTAGAAGCCACTGTCTCAGAAATCCATGACTTCGTGGGCGATATTCCTCCACGTGCTGTTGCTCGCTTGTCGTAGGCTTCTCGAGATTGCACAATTTGGTCATGTGATAATAGCATTTGAGGAGACCGATATGAATCTGTCGCTGTGTCACGCTGCTAGCGGACTGTGCTTGCCCTCATCCCTTCCTGCTCTGCGTCACTCGTTCCGTGCTCCGAGACTTCTTCGTCTGCTTCTTCCACGTGACCGTTTGCGTAGTTATCTTCACTTTCTTCATCTTCGTCGTGTGATGGCCTCCGCACGATTGGTGCTGACACAGATGAAAGCTGAGCATATAGAAGCACCTCCTTCTTTGTCGGTGTATTAGGTGACACCAACGGGCTTTTGAATTCTTGGTTTCTCGGATGAGGATTTCCTGAGACGACTCGAGGCTCGTCTCTGGTCGTCTCGGTGGTGACGAGAAACGTTTCTTGCTGCTGAACAAGAGAATCTTGATAAGGGACTTTCGACCAGTCCGAATCTGCAAAGGTTACAGGTGGATGGGGACCTTTGAGGAGATCCAAGGCTGAAGTGGCAGATCTTGCCTTGCGCCTCGTGTTTCTTGGCTTTGACGTTGCCAAAAGGATAAGATGCATTTCGTCAAAACCGTCAGCACCTCTCTCGATCTCTCGAAGTGTCTCTGACGAGGGGACAGATGCTGGTTGTTTTATAGCTGGTTTGAACTTCTTCGGTCGTGTGTTCAAAGATTTTCTCAGCTTGCTGAGGGGCTGACGCTTGAGGATTCTTGATGCATGCTGCTGACCATCACGATCGGCGAGGATCAAATCGTCGTCCGAGATGGGGTCGTGCTCGGAAGAGCTGACGGGACTTGCGAGCCGCTCTGGCGACGCGGTCAATTGGAGCTCATGATTCAATAGAGGTTCTGCTGGTAGATTGAAACGTCTTTGGCTATTCGACTGTGTAAGTTCGTCGACTGGTTGTGCTTCGATATCTTCGTTGTCACTTTGCGCGGACGATGACAGAGAAATTGAGCCTGGGCTAGCGGGAGGATCTTCGGAGTGAATGGGAGATGTCAATGTAACACGTCTTCTGCGTAATCGTCGATCTTCGGGAGTTGGTGAGGCAAGAATTGAGCGATGTGTTCGTTGCGCTTTCTTCGAGTACGTTGTTATCTTGTTCTTCTTTCTGGGCGGTGACATGAACATCTTGTGGCAATGCATCAATGCGAAGCGCAGATCGAATTACATTGTGAGTTGTGATGGGGGATTAAGAAGGAGCTGACAGGCGGGGAGCAATGTTGCCTACCGAGAGTCTGTCCTTCGTTCCTTCCCGAATCGAACTTGATCAACTTCGAGATTGGTATGTGTTTGTAGAGGAGTCGAGTCTGACCTCCGTTTCTTCAGATCAGGCTTGGTCAACTTCGCGATTGGTACGTATCGAATTTGGGAAGAAGGGGACTTCTGCATGTATGTGATAATGATAGGGTATCTCTTTCAAACGCTATGACTTTTCCAATGCCATCCCGATGCCTTGGGCCGTCGCACATGTATTAAAAAGGGTTAAGGGAAATCTATGCAGCTCATAGATGATATCAAGAAGATCAAAGCATGCGCCTGATGGCGGTCTCGCCCTTGTACTTGTCAAGACCTTGGTCGAGGCTTCCCCACCACTCGAAGAGCATGCTCTGGCAGATGAGCTTGAACCACGGTGTGAACAGAAGCGAGTCGTCCTTGAACATTGTTTTGAGGTCGTCTTCGGTAACGTATTTGGTGGCTTGGACTTCGTTGGGGTTCTCCTGGAGATCGACGTCGGTCTTGATGAAGAGGATGTAGTCGACTATAGGATGGTTAATTAGAAGAGTTCTGGACAAGGAAGATAACAGACGACATACTCTCGTGCTCGCCCCATTTGCCATCGCTGGGAGCGACGTAGTGAATGCGGGTAAGGAAGTGAAATTTGTCTAGGGGAACCTGGTGTGCCTTGATTCCAAGCTCTTGGTCAAGTTTGCGCTGAGCGGCACGCTTGACACCCATGATGGCGGTCTCGAGAGTGGAGCCAGTCTCGCCAGGAACACCAAGAGGGTGTGAGCAGCAGGTGTTGGTCCACATGTCGGGGAAGGTGATCTTCTCGGAGGCTCTCTGTTGCAGGAGCAGACGGTTCTTGTTGTCGAAGAGGAAGACGGAGAAGGCACGGTGCAGCAAGCCCTTCTCGATGTTCTCCATCAAGTGGCCTAGCAACAAAGGTTAGTGGAAAGGCAGTTGGCGAAGGGAAGAGTGAAATTCAAACGTACAAACTTTCTTGCTGGCGCTACCAATGGGGAGATCATTCTCGTCGAGAACAATGCAGACCTCATCCATGAGACGAATCTGCTCCTCGTCGTAGCCCACGAGGTCGTTGTCCTGCGTGGCAGAAGTGGCGCTGGCCAAGGAGGTGTTGATTTGGGGAAACAGGCGCAGGATATTTTCGGCGGTGATTTGGGGCGCTGGGGGAGCGACAGTGGTGGTAGTGGTAGTGCTCATCTTGGGCGACAAGTGGACTGACAGACACAAACAGAGGAGCAGGAGAAAACAAAGCGAGCGTCGAGTGAACAATCGGGCGTGACCCTGAAAGACAATCTGAGTACAATGGTCCGATGGAAATGCCAATGTCCAATGTCCAATCTCGCGCCAGCCGCCCCGCTGTCAGTCTAGCCCGATTGAGACTTGATTGAAGTCGCGCCTCGTCTCGTCGTCTCGTCGTCTCCGCGTTGCTCTGGCTTGGCCGAAAACAACAGGCACCATTTCTTGTTTGGCAAGCACAGCACTCGATTGAGCAAGTCTCTGCCATCCCACCACCATGTCGTCTCTTCTCGACGCCGTTATCCGCTCGGATAACGATCAACTTGAATCACGCACACCCACTGCTCAATCCACTGGAAGACCTGCCTCTCGTCCACGAGGCCCGCCCTCTGTGAGCACCCCCGGCCTGGGTAGCGATGCTTTTGCCTATGGAGACGATGAAGTCGTTGGTGTGCGAGGCAGCCGAAGGGGTCCCTCTACAGCTGGTCCACGCCCAGAAGTCGAACAGGTCATGGACACGACCGCCGAGAGACTAGCTCAGGAGTTCGAGCACTTCCTCAACACCTTCACCGAAGAGCCCATCTCGTCCGCCCTGGCCCCTGCCTCCAGTGCTGCCACCACCGACAGATACTACGTCGAGCAGATCAAAGGTCTGGCCCGTTATTCACTGTCCACCCTGTACGTCGACTACAGGCATCTCGACGCAGCCAAGCCCGTCCTCGCCCAAGCCATTCAGCAAGACTTCTACCGCTACCACCCCTACATGATTCGCGCCCTGCACAATTCAATTGCTCTCCACGCTCCTCGCTATTTCCGCCAGCATCGTCAACCGGGCTCTTCGGCTCCAAACACTTCAGATGCCTCCATCGACGGCCACGATGATTCCACCCATCACAAAACCGCCAATCAACAGACTGACAAAGTCTTCACCCTTGCTTTCTACAACCTTCCCCTAGTCTCACGCGTCCGCCAGCTACGCACCAGCCAGATTGGCTCCCTCCTTTCCATCTCAGGCACCGTGACTCGCACATCTGAAGTTCGTCCCGAACTTTCGCTAGCAACCTTTGTTTGCGAGATCTGCAACACCCTTGTCCCAAATGTCGAGCAAATCTTCCGCTACTCGGAGCCCACTCAATGCCCCAACTTGACTTGCGGTAATCGTCAAGCATGGCGTTTGGACATCCGCCAAAGCACCTTCGTCGATTGGCAAAAAGTCCGCATTCAAGAGAACAGTTCCGAGATCCCCACTGGCAGCATGCCCAGAACTATGGACGTTATCTTACGTGGCGAAATGGTCGACCGTGCAAAGGCTGGTGAAAAGTGTATCTTCACCGGCACTCTTATCGTTGTGCCTGATGTCAGCCAGTTCAGAGTTCCCGGTCAGCGTCCGCAAGCCACTCGTGACACCAGCTCTGCTCCCAGAGGCTCCGAAGCTGGCGGCAGTGGTGTAGGTGGTCTCAAGGCTCTGGGTGTGCGCGAACTCACCTACCGCATGGCTTTCCTGGCCAACATGGTCACTCCTGACGCTTCCACAGCTGGCCAAGCCTCTACTCAACAGCTCAGAGGTCAAGCTACAAACATCATGAGCTCGCTCAACCAGGCAAAGAACGCCGACATGGACAAGATCGGCGAAGACGCTCAGTCCGAGTACTTAGCCTCGCTCAGTCCAAATGAGATCAACGAGCTGAAGACCATGGTTCACAGTCCAAACATTTTTATGCGCCTAGTTGATTCCATTGCCCCTATGATCTATGGTCATACTGTCGTTAAGAAGGGGCTACTCTTACAACTCATGGGTGGTGTGAGCAAGTCTACCCCTGAAGGAATGGCTCTTCGTGGAGACATTAACATTTGCATTGTGGGCGATCCCAGTACCAGCAAATCGCAGTTCCTCAAGTACATTTGCTCATTCATCCCTCGCGCCGTCTACACCTCTGGCAAAGCTTCTTCGGCCGCTGGTCTCACGGCTGCCGTTGTCAAAGATGAGGAAACTGGAGAATTCACCATCGAGGCCGGTGCGCTGATGCTTGCCGATAACGGCATTTGTGCTATCGATGAGTTCGACAAGATGGACATCGCCGATCAAGTCGCTATCCACGAAGCCATGGAGCAACAGACCATCTCGATCGCCAAGGCAGGCATCCAGGCTACCTTGAACGCTCGTACTTCCATCCTCGCAGCCGCTAACCCAGTGGGTGGTCGTTACAACCGCAAGACTACCCTCCGAGCCAACATCAACATGAGTGCTCCGATCATGTCTCGTTTTGATCTCTTCTTTGTCGTTCTCGATGAGTGTAACGAAGCCGTTGACAGGAAATTGGCACAACACATTGTTGATGTTCACCGCCTGCGCGACAATGCCGTTGAGCCTGAGTTCAGTACCGAGACCCTTCAACGTTACATTCGTTTTGCACGCCTTTTCCAACCAGTGTTTACCGACGAAGCCAAGGCCACTCTGGTTGAGAGATACAAGGAGCTGCGTGCCGACGATTCACAGGGTGGCGTTGGCAAGAACTCCTATAGAATCACTGTAAGACAGCTTGAAAGTATGATTCGCTTGAGCGAAGCTATCGCAAAGGCAAACTGTGTCGATGAGGTCACCCCTGAATTTGTCAATGAGGCTTTCCAGCTTCTGAGGCAGAGTATTATCAGTGTCGAAAAAGACGACATCGATATCGACGACGAGAACATCGATCAACTTCAGGAGGATATCATTGCAGCTGCCGAGCAGGATGAGGAGCTGGATGCCATCATGGGTGACGACGCACCTGTTCCAAGACAGAAAACGACTATTACAGCCGAGGAATATCGTGAGATGGTCAACAGCCTGGTCAGCAGAGTCTACACAGACCATGAACAAGACGAAGATGGTGTTGAAGAGGAAGAACTTATTCTCTGGTACACCGAGACAAGAGAACAAGACATAGAAAGTGCCGAGGGAATCCAAGCCATGGCCGACAAGACAAGGAAAGTCTTGAAGAAAATGGTCAAAGTAAGTTGAAGCTAGCTCTTGCCCAATCTCAAGAAAGCGGCACTAACTTTGCGACAGGATAACATACTCCTGCGTATTCGTGGCGAAATTCGCGAAGACGAATCTGGCACAAGTCCAATGCAGAACGAGAGGCTTTTCTACATTGTGCATCCAAACTGCGATATCGAAGAGATGGGAATTCACGATGTGTAATTTGACTAGCCAGAATTCATCATGAGCTACGTGTTTCGACGGCGTTCAACGGTTCATGACGGACACCAGTGGGGCTGGTGTCGGTATGGGATGGCAGGCGTTGTATGTTTGGTCGTTGAGGATATACCAGGCAGATAGACATTCAGCCACTTCTTTTTCAGCTTCTAGTGCAACTTGGATGTTGGATTTCATTTCTTTATAGCATACATATATTTCATACAAAGTGACTGTCATCGATGTTTCAAATCATTCAATCATTGACCACCTTTCACTTTTGGAGGCCCTAGGTCCTCGACGACGGGCTTTAATGTACCTGCTCCATGCTTAGGAGAGAGCTCATTCACTGGCGCTTTCTTCTCTTCTGGTTCTTCTTGGTTGACTTGGTTGATGACAGGTGGCTCAACTTTCATGTGCGCCAACTTCTGTTTCGCTGCTGAGTCAAGGGGGGCTTCTTTGGCTGTAGCCGCAGTTTCGGGGGATGCTGCGTGCTCTTTTGCTTCCGCTACGACGTATGGCGCCGGCTCAGATATCTCGTCTCCCAGTATAGCCTTGGCAGTCTTCTCATCCGTGTCTTCTTCTTCTAGGTCGGGCTGACCGATAAAGCAGAACAAGTCACCTGTCTTGCCTAGGTCGTATTTGCGATCTTTGGAAGCTTCTGCGGCATTGCAACCACCAACTTGCGTCCTCAGCAGTGGTCGGTACTCTGTTGCCAGACGACCAAAATCATCTCGTTCTACTTTTTGTCCAGTAAATTCTAGTGCCGGCAAGAGACCGATTTCTGTGAGCTGCGTCTCGTAGGGCAATAGTGCATGCAAAGGTTGAGAATGCTGTAGCGTGTCGTGTTCTTTCTGCGCAAGATATGCCTCCTGCCGACGTATCTGATCTGCGGCTGGTTCCGCGGTGAGGAAAGGCTCTTCGTCGTCGGGTTTGTTAGTCTGCTCTGTCTCTTTCGACTCGTCTTCACGTTTGGCAGGTTTGTCCATATACTCCTCCGGCTTCTGGAAGAGATCCCGGTGCACAGTCGCCCAGGCTCCTGCACCAAGTCGAGCCGGGTAGTGGTTCCTCCACCCCCTCGCCCTCATCAACTCTAGCATGTACTCAAGCCATCCGGGCTGGGTGTCTGAGACTAGTTTAGCACGCTTTGTAGGAGCCTGATGCACTGAAGATGTATCGTGGACTGCACGAAGACGATTTTTAAGATAGTCGTGCACTTCGGCCCAGATATCACCAAAGATGAGAGCGGCATCAGCGTTAGGAGCTTGCCACAAGAACGGTACGGACAAATCGTCCAGGCTTTTGACATGTTTCTCAGTATCAGACATTGTCAGCGTATGGAAGGGACCAGTGCCATTGAGATAAGCATCAGGAGTCGCGAGCACCACTCCGAAAAGGTTATCACCATCATCCGATCCATATGCCGCGTATCGATGTTGCAAGACGTGGTACATGAGATACTGGTAGTATAAAGGTGACAGCTCTGTTTGTGTAGAGAGCAACAAGACATGAGAGTGGTCAGGATCGACTGGATAGAAGGATTCGAGGAAGCGGAGGGCGTTGGTCTCGGTCGTTTGTTTTGCTGTAGAGATGCGATGATGGACTTTGACTCTGCGTTGACGTGGACCAGTGGGGTCTTGATGAGGGGGCCACTCAAAATCTCGTAGGTAGTCGCGTGCGAACGGCTCAAGATCCGGAGGAAGGTCTATGGTGATGTCAGGATGAGAAAGTCCACTGTAGTCGGCGGTCTTGATGGAATGCAAAAGACGCAGGAGCGAGCCTGAGGATTGAGGCTGGGCGTGAATGAGGATGTTCACGCTGGGCTTATGCCACGAGGTCAAGCCGCCGGTATCGAGACGGGTCATCCACAAGAAATCCTCGTACTTTCCTTTTGGAACTTCAATGAGCGGGGTGGCCAGAGTGCTGAGTTTGGAGCGCAGGCCTCTAACAAAGAAAACGTCTTCAACAGAGGAGTCATCGATAATGACAGCTTGTGGGTGCATGTACATGTGGATATGGCCAAGGGCGCCGACTACAGAAGCCTCTGCTCGAGCGTCTGTACTGTACTCGGAATAATCGCATCGGGCATCGTGAAAGAATATGTCACAAGAGTCGCGATCAACACCATTTATCTCGAGCACCTCTTCCAGGGGCATGGCATCTCGTCCCAACAAGGAGAAATGCACAAAGTTCTTGTCTACACGGGCCATCTCGCAGGCCATGGGCAATAGATTTGCAGCGCTTCTGAGGTTGGAAGCAGCAAACAAGACATTCCTATTCTGCTTTCTCTGACCCATAGTGCGGGCGATGGCCTGAATAGTCTTTGCCAATCTGTAGAATTTGACAGGGCCGGCATAGTAGTGGTTCTCTGGGGTTCCAATGGGCTGCGACTTGGGAGGGGGGCCAGTCGGCTCTTTGGACGGAGTATTCGGGCGGGCAGCTTGTTGAGCAGGGCGAGCAGGCGGCCTATAGCCAAACTCGACGCCATTGACTTGATGTCCCGGACGCAGTGGACGACCCATGCGCTGGTCGACGCTACCTAGGTCGGTGGGAATGTTGTGTACGAAGAGCCATATCAGGAAGGCACCGAGCAGGCCCATGGCCAGTCGGCGGCGGCGCATGCGCAGCGCAGTAGACCAAGACCATGGCTGCGAGCCTGGCCGTCGACCGAGGTCATCGTCGCGTTTGCCCAGGTAATCGTGCCCACCATAAGCCATTTCAGCGTCTCGTCATGGTTGTCTCTGCTGTCTGTCCTTGCTCTTTCACGCACTTTGCTCACCTCTGAATGCGCCCTCGACCCTCGCGATAACGCTGCACTTTCGCTGTGGTCCGTGCACTTGCTGACATCCACCTCTCACTCACTCTATCACTCCATCTTTCATGTCATCATGTCAAAGGGTTTGACTTGACAATTACGATTCATTTGATCAAAATCCTGAGCTAGCCATGATATGTATACACATCGGATGTCGGTTTCTGCTACCATCCTCTTCCATTAGCACTCACCCAAAATCTTCTCCTTGGCTGTTATCTGCTCTCTCAGCTTGACTTCATTTCGTGGCCTAAATTTGACCTCGTAGCGATTCGGGATTGAAACCAAACTTGTCGGGTCCGAACTTCCCTTGACCGGATGTGTTTCCACCTCTGTTCCCTTTTCAATCTCGAAGCAGCTGAGCATCCTCATGAACACGAGATACAGCTCTCTGTTAGCCAGTAAGCTTCCTGCGCACATTCGGTATCCGACTCCGTATGTGAACAGAGGTGCATCTGGCTGCTCGAGCCATCTTTCTGGTCTAAATATTTCGGGGTCCTTCCACACGGCTGGATCCATGTTGCACGCCCATGCATTCAGGTATATAGTCGTCCCAGCTGGAATTAGCTTGCCTTCATATGTGATGTCTTTGACTGTTGCTCGAGGAAGGGCCAATCGTAGAACCGTGTAGTATCTGTGTGCCTGTGAGTCAGACGCCGTCAAGCCGCAGTTCTGCTTTCACATACCTCAGACACTCCTTGACGAGAGCCATCACATATTCGCACTTCATTTCGTCCTCTGGTGCGCAGAGTATCTCGTCCTCGCTGAACATCTTACGGATTTCACGAATGGCCTTCTCTTGAATGTCCGGTCTTTGTCCAAGAAGTGCGATACTCCATGCCACTAGTGTCGTCACAGTATCAAGTCCTCCACTCAGCATGGTCAAGCTGATGCTTGTGAGCTCTTCCTTGTTGAGTTTTGCTTCCTTGTCCTGAATGACATTGGCCTGAATACATGGCTTATGCGTCCCCTTTGCCATCCGATCATCCAAATCTTTGTTCAACTTGGTCAAGTACACGTCTCGGCGCTGTCTCATCTCTCTGGCGCGTGTGGAGCCAGCGTTGAATGGATTCAGACGAAGGAACGGCACATAGTCTTGCATGTTGCCACTTGTGCTCCTGAACTAAGTTGAGGTCAGCAAATGACGCGGAAGGTGTATGACAAAGGCAGCTTACCTTTGAAATTTCTTCCTCGACCTCTGTGATCTCGTGGAATAGAGGATCGTCTCGGGTCCCCAAACGAGTACCCCAATTCAGTGTCAAAGCCAAGCTAAGACTCAGACGCTGGATCATCGGCATTGGATCCACAGATTGTGTACCATCAGCTCCATATTCCAGGCCTTCTTTGACGAACGCCAGAGTCTCCACGTCAAGATGACCAACATAGCTGGCCACCGAAGGTTTATTCAATGCAGATGCAGCACCTTTGCGGCGACGTTTGAGACTGTCGCTGAATGGTGATGTGCCAATGGTTGTTCCTGCCGTGTTGGATAACACCTAAACTCAAGTCAATCAACCTGGAAGGACGCACCATCACATTCAACACATACTTTGTGAAAGGTATAGAAGACCGGTCTCGAGCTGAGAGCCTGTGAGAAATGTCCAAACAAGACTCGGCAGGCTTCAGCAGAGTTGCAAACGATGATTGGGACATTGCCTAGTTGAATCTGGTACACATCGCCATAGGTCTTTGACCACTCTCGATACTTCTCGGCAGCATTGTATTTTATGTCAGGGATGTTTCCAAAGACGGGTTTTCCTGGTGGTCCATTGAATCCTGGGATTCTTGCATTCTTTCGTATGAATTCATTGGTCACAAAGTATGACAATGGCAACAAGAGAAGTATAGTGAAAATGAACCGAATGGGATGTTGATTTGCCTGAGTTTGAGCAAACGAGATCAAGAGAGAAAGCATCTTGAGGATCTACACGACCAAGAAGAGCGACGGAATCATGAAATGTAGCTGGCAACCCATGAGTTCTTATTACAACAAAGGAAGGAGCATACCCCGCAAGGTAATTATTAGAGCTCAGTGGGGACCCCGCTTCGTGGGACTGCCTAGAGTGGTGAAAGCATAGGTACTCCATAGGAAAGCGGCTACGTTCCGTGATGCGGAAAAATCACCGCACATCGATCGGCACATTGTAGGCCTGCGATGACTTGTTGCAGTCAATGATCTTCAGGGCTTGATCGCCTGTTGCGAGGAACAAGCATTCAGCCACTGCAGTACGAACCTGTCATCATTAGCATTCGGCATTCAAGTCTGGCAGTCATTTGCTTACTGTAGGATATGGGTTCGTTCTCAGCATGCTGACAAGCTTCTTCAAAGTGTCGGCACGGGCAGTCGGTTTGTCAGCCAGTGCCTGGTAAACCTCGACAGCTGCCAGTATCCTCGGGATGTTGTTGGACTTGAAATGCGCTTTTTGCACCAAGGATAGCAGGACCCGCCAGCTGGTCACAGGTCAGATGGTACGATTGCAGTTTCTTTTAATTGAACTTACTTGAAGGGGCCGTCGGGAGGAACAATAGAGGGGAGCGCATCTAGTATGTACGCGATAAGCTCTAAAAGGGGCTGACTCTCAGCCTCTTTTGTTATGAGCTCTCTCAAGCAACTTGTGAGAGCAGACAAGCAAGCAGACCTCATGCTGTCACTTCCTCTTGATAATGTGTCGACCAAAGCCATACGAGAGGCTCGTAGTAATCCCTCTGCACCTACTCCAGCGCATGATATACTTCCCTTCAATATTGCTTCACGCTTCCAGATAGGTGGGTCATCATTTAATGGCGTGAACAAGTTCAGGAAATATTGATAACTTGTCACATCCATATCGGAAACACTTTGGCAATGTTAGCTAGTCACAAAGTAGAACGAATGAGAGCGAGCAACTGACCTTTTCGTGTTGAGATCTTGTTTTAAACATATTGCAGCGTGCAGTCGGACCCTGTCCATCTTCTCGAGAGCTAAGCGGATGATGTTCCCTTCTAGCAGATGTCGGGACTCTGAATCGAGTTTTGTCTGGGTTGACTTCCACAGGCTTTGAACGCATTGTATTGCCTGTGTTCGTACCAGCGAACCAACGTCTCCCCTTTCAGTAATGGTGTAGTCGTTGAGGCCAGCATCAAGAGCTAAGAGGACTGCCGGCAAGACGTCAGCACCAATAGTATCTGCTTGGATCATGAGATCTACGGCTTGTAAACCAACGATGCGCCATTCAGTCAATGGAGCTTTTTGAACCATATTCGAGAGAAGATCGCAAGCTACGATTCGGTTGCAATGGTATATATCTTGCAGCCATGGGAATGCTGAGCCAAGAGCAGTGACACGCCCGGACCCTTGCACGACCATACCCGAAGCATCGTGCGCAATTCTAGGAAGACAGTCGGAAATGTTCAGGATAGGGGTGGTCAAGAGGCCTGATTGACTCAGTCTTGAGAGTGCTCTTACCAGACGCGGTAGAACCTGCGAGACTGAGGTTTCTGAAGAAGAGATCAAAGCAGATACAATCGGCCTCAACTTGGGTATCTGTGATGTCAGATCTACATGATCCGTCTCGAATAGTAAGGATAGCTCCGAAAGAGATGCCAAAAGCCGTGTTACAGCTGATGGCAACTCTGCACGGGTGGCCCGTGATGTCTGGTTCTTATAGAGATGTCTTTCCTCGTCAAACAGCTTCCATAAAGACAGTAAATATTTCAAGTCTTTCGTACTCGAATTCAGGTCGTCGCCTTTGGTCAGTTGAAGCATCTTCGTGTCAAGGACTCTTGACAGAGCAAGCAAGGACCCGTGGCATTGTTCGACATCAGAGTTTGGGAACGCAAAGATGCATTGTTGTAAGTGCTCAAGCGTGATACGGACATTCTGAGGTGTTTGAGGAGCACACAGCAGGCCAACAGACTCCGCGGCAGCCTCACGGGAAAGAACATCAGTGGAACCGAGACCTCTCCACTTTCCGAGCGCGGCAAGCAGTGCCTCTCGATATATGGTATCGAGGTTCGCGGCATCTTGAGCCACATCCACCATGGCACGCTGCCGGAGTCCAACTGCGTGGTAGTCGACTACTTGCACGAGGGAGATACCGTTGCTGACTTGATCAGGATGCCTACCAATAAGCTCCTGTAGAGCAGCTGACGATCCTCTCCTGATATTTCCGGAAGGGTCAAAGCACGCAGAAAGCAAAAGCTGAATAGCAACGACCTGAATGATAGATCCGGCGTCTTGACAGAATTCAAATCCAATCTGCGATGTGTCTGTTGATAACAGTTCCTTCGTGGTGTACCTTCGAGATAATGACCAAATTCCGAAACAAGCGGCATCACGGACGTTGCTTCCAGTACTTACACCAACAGCAGATCTCTGTTCAAAGCTGAGTGCTAACAACAAGGCGTTCAAGATTTCGGGAAGTTGCTGCGGTGACGCTGACCTCCTGAACAATGCATGTGCCAATGTCAAGGTCAAGCCATGCCATCTCAATGCGTTTGCTGCACCGAAATCAGGCTTTAGGGAAGACTTGGGCATGTCCTCCTTGAAACTCTCGAGGACAGCCTGGATGACTTCATGGCCCATCTCTGGGTCGAGTCGTAAGATGATCATACTTAGTGCTTTGCTGGCTGCGAATCTGACAGGTGTGTCACGATCTTCAAGTGACTGTAAGCAGCACTCGATTGTCTCTTCCAAGACACCCGATGCCTCAAAGAAGTCAACAAGGTTATCGAACGAGCATTGCAGGCTCAGCAAAGCTATATTACGCAGCAGTTTAACGACAAGTTTCTTCGTAACGGCGGAAGAGCTTAGGAACGCAAGCATCGCATCATCCATGAGTTTCTGACCAATCGAGTAGATGGATGGCATGAGATTAGCGACACCCGGTGTGTCGACCGATACTGTCATTCCTACCAAAAATCGCAGAGGGCCCAAGAAAGTGTGAAGGTTTGAGTTGGGCGAAGCAGACGGATTCAGGAGCTTCGTCAATGCCCAAGACACAACTGCAGCGGGAAGCTCGAGGCGTTGCATATCGGGTCTAGTGACCAGACGTACAAGCATTTTGGCTGCAGCATCTTGTTCTCGCGTAGCACTTGCGAGGTAATGGACGCCCAATGCTATGACACGTCGTGCGATCGAGGGAACTTGTGGCTGTAGAGACATGTGCTCTTGAGTCCTGGAAGACTCAGCAACAGTCGATATCGAACTGAGGTCAAATGGCACGAGCATCAAGTGAGACAGCCATAGAAGCAAGACATAGGACTTCTCCCAGGCAGTATCTGAGTCTGCGCTCAGGACTTTGAAGTCCTCGAGATTGGTCAAAACGAGCTCCAGATATCTGGGTTCATTGTTGAGAAAGCCGATGATGATCTTTTCTCCACGGACCTTGCAAAAAGTGTATAAGAGTTTACTGGCGGCGACATCCAGAGAGACTGCGAGGCTGGAGGGAGACTTGGTTTGTGGGAGTTGGAGAAAGGCTAGATATGCTTCGACAATTGGGAGCAACAATGTCTTGAGATGAGCATCGAGCAATTGAGGTTCTCCTTGGAAAGGTTCGATCTGTGTGTCTCATCAGAAGCGTACTAAGACTCTGAAGAAAAGACACAAAACACACCAATTGAATAACGTGGTCGAGATCGCGTGAACGAACAAGATAGTGGACGCGACCCTTGTCTCCCCGTTTGCACAGCAGTTTCGAAAGCGCAGCTTGCAGATCTGACAAGAGTCCTGCCGATGCGCGCATCAATTGCAACTCATCATCGACTTCGGCAACCATCATAACATCTTTTTAGCTCCTGGGGTAGTGTGCGAAGAGACGAGAGGTGCGCACGAACAATCAATGGTTCGACAAGATTGTTTATGACTGGTCACTGCCCTCGATCAACGCCAAGGCCCCCC